ATCTCAACAGCATCAGGATGCCTCGCCTTGGACTAGGATCGCCCCAGGGTCGTACCCGCAACTTGACCCCCCCCCCCCCCCCCCCCCCAAACCCACTTTTTCCTTGTGTCTTCTGTTATTTTCCTTTTCTCACACCCTCCGCTTCTACCTTGTCCATATAACACAACTACTACACCATCATCCCCACCCTTCTCCTCACGTTACGCCAGACGCACATAAGTCACGGCCTGTAATGGACGTTGCTTCTGCTACAATGGACATGCGAATAGGTAGCTCTGTTTTCCAGATTACAACAATCAAGAACACGAAAATGATTTTGACAAGACTCTTCTTGTGCACGTGCTCTCAATGAGTAACTTCCTTGTGTAGACGATGCGATCGACAGCCATATCAGTCGCTCTGCTGTGACCTGCCTATACTCTCTGCCACGAGTACACAAGCATGTGCCTTCTTGTCGTCAGTTACACAACTGCAACTCTCAACCATCCTGCTTGGGGGGAAATTTACTAGGATTTACGATGATCTGAAGTGCCGCCAATGTCGGCTTTTGTCTCGCGTGTTTTGTGTGTAAGAGCGGCCTCGGAGAGCAACATGGAAATGGAAAGGAACATTATTGCAAACTTCCATGTGTGTGTGTGTCTATTGAGGAAATATTCGTGACGCCATGACGAAGCAAAACAGCAACTCTAGTCTTTTCTTCCTCTCAATAAACCCCTTTCAACTTGTTGATCTCCTCAATCTTCTTGACATGCTCCCGTATCGTGACTGCCTCTTCTTCTTGATTTTCTGCCGCTTGCATCGCATACTCTTTCTCCTGCTCATTCCTCGTGCTTCTCCACTCGTCCAAATGCTCTTGCACTGGCCTCTTGGGAGAATACCCACTTTCGACCGGCTCACCCAAAACCTCATACAATGGGAACACACCAGTATAAACATTTTTTCCTTGAGCGGCAATCTCACAACTATCCGCCAAGCCCATATTTTTGGCCCTCAGCTTTGCAGAAGCAGAATTTATGCATACACGTAAAATTTGCACACTTTTAATTGCTGAAGGAGTGACTGGGAGGGTGTTTTGCCATCGTTGTGATATCATGTGATTTGTGAGCATTTGCATTGCGAAATGCTTTTCTTCTGCGCTGGTGACCAAGGAAGCCGTGCCGTGGATTACAGCACTTCTGTAGTTTAGACTGTGGCCATTGGGTGTGTAGTTCAAGACCACACCGTCGACTTTTGTGGAGGCGATGCAGACTTTTGCGGTGCCGTCGTTCTTTAGGACGGCGCGACGGAGGAGCATGGCTACGTTTCCGTGGAGGTAGAGGTCCAAGGGTCGGTTTAGGTTTGCGTGGTGGGAGAGGGAGGAAGAGAGAGGAGGAGTGCTGGAGGTGGGGAGGGGGTGGGAGGGGTCGTAGCGGGCTAGGACGGCGGTCAAGGGGAGGTTTATGGGGGTTGGGTCGCCGTCTGCGTCGGTGCCGATGAAGGAGACGTGGGAGACGAGGGTGGAGGCGAAGATTGAGTGGACGGTTTGGTAGTCGTAGGCGGCTGGGCGACATGGCGTTAGTCAGGTGTGTGGGTGTTGATGCGGAGGGGATATGGATACCTCTATGCTTGTATACCTTGATGGTGTTGAGAGGAGTTTGGGCATAGCCATCTTCCAGTGGTACTTTCTGAGCGCCCATGGTGCTGTGGGCTCTTGATGTGGAGTGGATCTGAGTATGCGGTCCAGAGCTCCGGCAGAAAGGTAGTCGAGCGAGAGTCCTAGCTATCTGTTGCAGTCGAGTGGTAGTACAAAGGTAGGAAGAGCAGACAGACATGAGCAGGAAAAAGAGAAGGCGAGACCTGGGTCATGAACCTACCGCCAAGTACGACTTACCTCAGCGCATGGACTACAAGCCCTACGGCTCAGCACCATCATGGTGCTCCGCAGTGGTGGACATGTTCTCGTGGTCAAGCCGAATGCTGGAGTCTGAGTGGTCGCTTGCGTAAAAGGAAGTGCGAACCGACCCTCGGCTCGCCCTGCTCGTATGGCACGGACTCCACCCACCAACTTTGGCTTCGTCCTGTCTAATCTGATGCGGATCTAGCCAACGGCACCTGGATCCAGAGCTGGAGAGTTGCCCTTTGTTACTCCTATAATCGTATTTGTGTGGTGAACATATTCTAGCTCCAAGATCTTGAGGGTAGGCTAGTCTGGTCAAAGTGGAAGGATGAAAGAACAAGTCATTGCCATGGCGAAAGGATCATCGCTGCTTGGCATTTTCTTATCGCGTGTGGATATTCTTTTCCGCTGCATCTGGTAGCGAGTCTCCTGGTATCTCTTACCGCTCCTTCCGGCTTGCTGTGTGTATTGCATTCTTTTGCAGTCCTCTCAAGCTGCCTCATATCGACATTGGTGAGATATATAGCTGAACCTCAATCACGATTCGTGAGCGTGCCTTCTGTCCTTCATTCGAAATCTCAGAGGCATGGATGAGGTCAAACAGCTAGGGACAGCACCGGAGGTCACTTGCTCTAGAACCACTCCTTGGTATATATGGAAGAAAGCCGCCGTATGTGTGGCAGCTGGCTTGTCATTTCTGACAATACACGGATGGGAGCTTCCCTCTGCAATCTTGGAACCAGCTGTGGCGCTTCGTCCATCAAATCCTGGAGAGAACAAATTCTCATGGCATAACATCGAGGCATCTCAAGAACTCATCTACCACCAATGCTATGAGGACTACCAATGTGCGAAGTTGCAGGTACCTATGGACTGGTGGCGCAACTCCTCACAGCCAGGAAAGAACATACCGATCGCAATCATAAGATTGCCAGCCAAGGTTCCTGTAAGCGATTCACGCTACTCTGGCGCTGTTTTGACCAACCCTGGTGGTCCTGGTGGTAGTGGAGTAGCACAAATGTTACGCAGTGGACGAGCTACACAGACGATTGTGGATGCGGAATTGGATCCGAATAGCACTTCTGTCAGTTCAGAAGCCAAGTATCACGATATCATCAGTTTCGACCCCAGAGGTATCGGATATACTACCCCTGGCATTCACTGTTTCCCTGATAGTCTGGCGCGCTCGAGCTGGGAATTACAAAATGAAGCAGTTGGGATATTGGGAAGTTCTGAGGATGCTTTCGATCGAAACTGGTATCGCGCCAGAGCTTTGGCTGAGAGTTGTTCAGCTGCAACCGATACGACTGGAGATGGCTCGGAAGATATTGGCGAGCATGTGAATACCACACCCGTAGCGCGAGATATGCTCGAGATTGTCGAAAGACATGCAGAATGGCTGGAGAAGCAAGCTATAGCTAAAACACAACAAGATCAACTTCAGGGCATAGCATCAGACGAACATGCTATCGACAGATTACGCTATACCAACGGCACAGCAAAAATCAAGTACTGGGGCAATAGCTATGGCACCATTATCGGCCAGACTTTTGCAGCCATGTATCCAGACCGCGTAGAGCGTATCGTCCTCGATGGCGTCTGCAACGCTCCCGATTATTTCTTCGGCCCCTGGTTCAGTGCCCTAGCAGACGCCGACGCTATTCTGTCAAGCTTTTTCTCTCACTGCCATGATGCTGGCCCTGAGCTGTGCAGTTACCACTCCTCTACCCCGGAACATATAAAGCAAAACTATGAAATTTTGCTCGAGGAGATACGCAAGCAGCCTAAGATCGTGCTGGGCTCAAAGAGCAGAGGGCCAGATGTTATTACATGGTCTGATGTGAAGAGTATGGTTAGATTGGCCATCTATCAACCTCTTCTCTACTCCCCTCTGGTAGCAGATCTTCTAACCGATATATCCTCTGGCAACGGCAGTTTATTCGCAGACCTCAAAGCCGCAGTCACACCCATCACCTGTCCTAGCTCTAACTGCAACAGCGAGGACTGCGATCAAGATGACAATGCAGAAGATGCTGCACTGGCAATTCTCTGTGCCGACGCCCCTGGCCTTGGCTCCATTGACAAAGCTTCTTTTAAAGAATACTGGCATACTCTACAAAACCAAAGCTCTGCACTGGGGGATTGGTGGGCACACACACGACTAGGCTGTTTAGGCTGGAAAACCCTGGCGAAGAACAGATTCCAAGGCCCAGTTTCTGCAAACACGGCTTTTCCTATGTTGTTTGTGGGTAATGCTTTGGATCCTGTTACGCCGTTTGAGAAGTATGGCTGCCCTTTTCCCCTTTTTTTATTCCCCCACCCCGCCCCTCTTTCTTGCCTTTGTGTTCTACAAGGATGATAGATGACTGATAGGAAAACAGTGCAAAAGCAATGGCAGCTAATTTCCCGGGTTCGAGGGTACTGCGGCAGAATTCTGAGGGTGTAAGCTTCTTTTTTTTCCTTTGCTCCCCCGTCTCCCTTCTTTTCTTCTTCTTCTTCTTCTTCTTCTTCTTCTTCTTCTTCTTCTTCTTCTTCTTCTTCTTCTTCTTCTTCTTCTTCTTCTTCTTCTTCTTCTTCTATCTTTCTCAATTCTTTTAAATCTCTTTCCCCCGTCCAAAACACTAACTCCTTCTCCACATCAGCATACATCCTGGTCTTCTCCTTCCCTCTGCACAGCAAAATTGATACGCACCTACTTTCAATCCGGTATCCTCCCCCCTAAAAACACGGTTTGTGAACCTGATGCTATACCATTCTTTACCCCTTCTTCTTTTACCTCTTCTTCCTTTACTTCTGTTGCTTTTGATGACGCTGCTGCTGCTGCTGCTACTGTGGGAAAGAAACAGGGAGATGAAGAGTTGGAACAAGCGATTAGAATTTTGGGTGACTCGGTTTTGGACAGCAGGTTTGGTTTCAAAAGAGGCAGTGCTGGAATTATGAGATGGCGTAGCCTTTGAGAGAAGAGGGGTGTGAATGTTATCTAACAAGGGCACCCTTTTGTACTTGCGAGTTCTTGGTCAACGTTGATCTGAAGTTTGGAATATCGACTCTTTTGCAGTTTGGAGTAATTACATCAAAGAGTCATTGTCAGCCTGTTTTAAGGGTTGATGAAAGTTTGTTTGTCAGTCTTCTGTCAGTCCTCAATCTCCCAAGGTCAAGCTGGCACAAGATACAGATATTCGTCCAACATCACTCCATCCTTTGTATACCTCACACACTATCAAATATACTCTTAATCCTTTTTATATCGCCAAGCGTGACAAAGAACACGCCTCGCACACACAAAACATCCCTGGAAACAAAAAGCGCCAGACCCGTAAACATATACCCTCACGCCATGCTGTTAAAGAGGAATGAAAGACCCGGAGAAATGAAACCTGCCGAAAAAAGAAAGAGACCGATAGCAAGAGACGGAAATTTCGGAAGAGATGCAGAAACTCCCAAATGCCCTCCCTTCTTAGACCTGTAAAATGAGGTTCCCATACAAGAAGAACAAAAAGCCAATCGCTGTGTGCATGTGCGCCGGACAAAGACGAAGAAATGGAAGAAGAAGAAGAAGAAGCAAGGCGAGGAGAGAAGCGAGTAGATGGGTGGGCGATCGATAGTGTTTCAACTATCGCCTATAAGATCCGAGTTTGGCAAGTATATCGGCCATATCAGGCTGTCCACCATTAGGAAGACCATGTTGTCGCTGAGGCTGAACAGGTGATCTCAGATCAGGTGTTTGAACGCCCAAATGAGCGGCAATATTTTGAGGTGATTGCTGTTGCTGCTGCTGTTGAGCGAGCAGGTTCGCTAGAGCGGGATTGTTTCTCAGCGCAGCCAGCGGGTCCTGATGGGGGTGAGGTGGATGGATGAATGAAGGCGGAGACTGTATACCAGGTGTTTGGATACCTGGTGATGACAATGGAGGTGGTGGCCGAATCGCAGCAGCATTACCAAGGAGCTTTGCCAAGTCTGGTGTCAGAGCAGTAGCAGGAGGGAGGCCAGGGTGTGGGCCAGTCGGAATACCGGGTGGCTGCATGACACCGAGAAGCTTCTGCAAGCCAGTAGGATCCAAAGAAGTGATCAGGTTGGATAAGTTGGGAGCAGCAGTGACTCCAGCTCCATAACCATACTGCACAGGAGCAGGCACGGGCTGAGGTGGTGCATAAGCAGGAGCAGCCTTTGCGCGGAGGACCAGTTGAGCTGCAATAGTAGGATCGAGATTGTCGTACTCGTCGAAGCGCACATTCTCAATACCAGCACGACGATCGAAGATCTGAAGGGGAATCTTTGCTGTTTGTTGGTTGATGCGAGTGATGCGCGAAACAGCGAGAACACCCTCAAGAATCTGACGACGAACGACAGCGGCTTCAGACAGACGTGGAGACAGAAGCAAGACGTCGACGCGAATGCCTTGGAGGGTGAATGAGTGCTCCAGCCAGGCTATGAAGTTGCGATCGAGGTCGTCCAAAACGATAATCTGCACATCCGGAACATCGCGTGGAGCTCTTCTCGGGAGGGGCAGATCATCGTCGCTATTGCGCCTCCTCGGACTGGGACTGCGGAAACGGCTGGCACGACCGCTGTAGGGCGGTGTTCTCGACCTGCTCCTGTATCGCGCATCGTATCTGTCCCTGCTTCTGTCGCGAGCGCGGTGTATCCTGGGGGATCTGGGAGAGCGCGGTGAAGGAGATCTTCCCGGACGGTAATCGCGAGATCTTCTGTCTCTAGTTCTGTCCCTGTCTCTATCTCGATCTCTTTCTGCTCTTCTGTCGCCTGGCAAATAACGATCTTGCACTACCGAGGAGCTGCCTGCTCTGCCAGTGTCGGGTGAACGTGAGCGACGGGGGGCGCGAGGATCGGAGTTGCGGTTCTTCTGAGGTTTGCTCACTTCGAGGTCTGTGTCGGTCAGCATTGGTCGTCGCCGGTTGCTTCAGGTTTAACTTACGAATCTTCTTGCCACGAATCGTCTTTCCTTGCTCGGCGCTAATGGCTTTGGAGCAACCCTTGGATTCCAGAAACTGCACAAAGCCGTATGCTTGCTTGATGGAGATTTGGGCCAGATCACCATACTTGTGGAAGACGTGGAAAATGTCGCGTTTCGTAACCCTCTCACTAGAAAGGTTGCCGACAAACAGTCTCGATCCGTATGGGAACTGCTCCCAGTTGCCTTCTGTCACGTACTTTCGCTCCTCGGTCAGGAAGTTGTCGTAACGGTGTTGTGTCTCTGGTGTCCACGGCTGATCGTCCTCATCCAAAACCTCTCCTGCTGCTTGTTTTCTCTCACGCTGACTCTCGAGCTTCATGGCTTGCTGGAAGGAAGCGACGGGCGGAGGTGGCAGTCCGTTGGCTCCTACGTTGTTGCTTGCATATTCTCCGTTCTGCTGTTGTTGCTGCTGCTGCTGCGACTGCGCTTGCTGAGCTTGTTGAGCTTGGAATTTGTTGGCGTAGGTCGAATAGGCTTGGTCTTGTTGGGTGGCATGGGCCGAGGCGGCGGCATTCGGAGGAGATTGCGCGACCTGGGACGAGGGAGAGGTGGACTGGGCCTGACTATGGGTAGGTTGTGAGAAGTTGTTGAGCAAGCTCTGCAGACTATTGGCTTCAACACCAGGAGGGAGTTCGTTTGCGCCAGCGCTGGCTGTCGGTTGGCTTTGAGGATGGAAGGAGTTGCTCTGGAAGGAAGCTTCGTTGTTGGTATGGATTGGCAAGGCAGGGAGATGATGGGCAGCAGTAGAAGGATAAGGAATGTCAGATGGAACAGAAGCAGTGGCATGCGCAGAGGCGTCAGAAGAGGCCACGACGCCAGACGAGGCAGGCTGGTACGAGTACTTCTCGCCATAAACTTGATTGGTCTGACTATTCATGCCAACCGATGCTTGCTCTTGCGCCTGATGATAAGCCTGATGGCCCTGTGGGGCTTGACCCTGTCCGACTTGACCTGCCTGTTGAGTCATGTAGGCTTCAGGATGGTTAGATTGGGCCTGTGCATGTTGAACAGCTTGTTGCTGCTGTTGTTGTTGGTGTTGAGAATGGAGGCTCTGATCATAGGCGCCAGCTCGTTGATCGGCGTACATCGGAGGCGGTAGTTGGTGATGAGCGGCTTCGGCCATATGGGTTCCTGTCTGGTTGAAGACGGGATCGATCTGGTTCTCGAGGACTGGGATATTGGAAGGCACTGGATAATGGACGGGCTTTGGAGACACCGGACTCAGGAGCTTGAGCTCACTCGTGTACTCGGGTGCTTCTTCAGGTGGTATCATGTATGCAGGAGTCGAGGTGCGCTACATGCGCCAACATACTACGATCGAGTAACAGCGCCGGGGAGTGGGAGGTGCAAGACAGAAGCGATGGGCAGCGATGAGGAGAAGAAGAGGCAGATCAGATGATGAGAAGACAGACGACGTCGGGATGATGTCTGTATGAGCAAGAGCGAAAGAAAAGTCTCAAGCTCGCTGTTTAGCGCTTGATTTCGTTTGCGGGGTCCCAGCACGAGCCTGCAAGTGGTGTGGAGGGCGTGTGGAAATGCTTCAAGGCCGTGCTGTTACTCTAGGGCGGTGGTTAGGTAGGGCACTGTGTTCACGACAAAAGGGCTGCTCCTTGGGAAACGAATATATGCTCTGGAAAGGAAGAGGACGACGACGCTTGATCAAAGTATCCAACCACTGAAGCCAGCAAGTCGCTGCCGCATGGCTCGTGCTTGCAACTCGTGCATAGGAGCGCGTCACCGGACCAGCAAGAGATCGAGCCTAATCATGCTACTCTAAACTGGTCGACTGCTTCGAACCATCTTGCTTTTCTTGTGGCCTTTTTATCATGCCTCGTTTCCCGCGTCCTACTCACAGGAGTCTGACCATGACTCGGCAAGAGAGATTTGAGCCAGCATCTCGGCGCTTTGCTGAATGTCCGACAGAGGCGTGAGCTTTACCACATCAATATATTTACATCTTTCTAGAAGTCGAGAAAGAATTTCAGCCGCAAACCTGTCAATATAGGCGTTGGGAATCTGCATATGAGTGTAGAAATTAATCTAGTCTGCATGCAGAAGGTGAGTACGACATGCAACACCTGCCTTCGTCGCTTTCGTACAACGCATCAAGAGACCTTGACAAAATTCAACTCTGTATTCGTGGTCAGAAGCGTGAGCTTACTCAATCCATCCTAACTCACCCGAAAAACTTTGCCTAACCAACCCCCTTTCAACACCACCGCACGCTCTCTCTTTGTCCACTCGCGCCACAATGTTCCGCTCCTTCGCCATCCTACGCCCGAAGCCGAGCTTTGTCGTCACAAGGACCCCGACATCGTTCTGCACTTCCGCACGTTCATTGGCCGCTATAGGGGTAGGCGGCGGTGAGAATAGCGGCGGCGGCGGCGACGACGAGCTAGACGCGGCGAGGCGCTGGTTAGCAAATTTCAATGCCGAAACAATACCGCGTAACATTTGCGACGTCTCTTTCAGTAGATCTTCTGGTCCTGGCGGTCAGAATGTGAACAAGTATTTCCATCGCTTATCAAGACCAAATGTCGGTTTTTTGTTATGTAGAAGCTGAGACGTTTGTGTAGAGTAAACTCAAAGGCTACTTTGCGACTCCCGCTATCGGCCTTGCTGCCCATGCTTCCTGTTGTTCTCCGACCTGCAGTCTCAAAATCTAGATTTAGTGCCAAAGATGATCTGGTCATACAGGCAGATGATAGCAGGAAGCAGGCTGAGAACGTGCATCGCTGTTTCATCAAGCTACACGAGATGATTGTGCAAGTTGGACGTGAAGTGGTGCCGGGCGAGACTAGTGCTGAGCAGGTGGAACGCGTCAAGAAGCTGTAAGTACAGGTCTGCGTTACAAGTACTAGCACCTGCTTACACCGTGTTGCAGACAAAAAGCAGAGAACGAAGGCAGACTCAAGATGAAGAAGAAGCACAGTGACAAGAAAAGTGCAAGACGAGGCGGTGGAAAGCCAGACTATTGAGAGGAAAGTATCATTGTATCATTATTTGTATATTAGTCCAGTGACGACTCATGCGATGTGCGAATGTAACGAGATGCTCATGATGACAGATCGGTAAATTGTCCTGAGATCAGTATCACACGCAGCGACAGGCGCTTAGCAAGGTACCTATACTTGACATGTCAGCAATGTATAACAAAACCAAGGCATGAGAAGCTGCAGAGGTGTATGTGTGGATAATAAAATCAGACATCCAAGGAAGATGTTGCGCTCAACGACCGTCAAAGATAGGTTCTAGGCGACGGCTAGCGTGAAAACTGCGAATGTGGTATGGGTTTCATCATAGAAATCCGTGCTGGGGGTGGAAGAGATGAGAGAGGATGCATACCGAGAGCGATAATATGGTGAGACATTGATGACGGCGTGGGTTGGCGTAGTCATATATGAGGCGATCTACTCTACAGCTTCCTGCAATATCTTTACAAGCATGCTGTCTAAAGTCGCGACATGCGCAATCTTTCAGAGCGCGTTGGTGGAAGAAAAAGAATGGAAGCTCCCAAGCCGAGGTTTTTGAATTCACCGCCCCGCCAAGATGAATTCTGCCACGGTAGCTGTCGGATGCCGGCGCGTCCGAGTCGAGCGTCAGGGGATGGAGCTCTCTAGAAAGTTGTCTGTCCTTCTTCTGTGCCTTTTGTAGCAACAATTGCAGGAGACATGGCTCCGAAACACAAGGACGGCGACGTTGTCGCGGTGGTAAGTCGATGCAGCAGTTGTGATGATATGGAAGGTTACTGACTCTTGACAGATTCCTGGCCAGTACATATCATGGTTGCATACCATAGTGGCCTATGCTGCTTTCCTGGGAGCTCTTGTGGTTGGAATGTGAGTGGCGCATACTCGGTGATCTCCAAGATGTATACTGACATTTCAGTGCACTTCATTATGAGAAGATCGTCCAGAATGAGCATTTCGTACGTCGCAAGGACAAATCATCAAGATAAGCCATCCTAACCCCATCACCAGGGCTACCCTATCGAGTGGTTCCCCTCAGTCTCTGCCACGATTGGCGACCGATACCCCGAACGTTCCGTCTTCCAACTCTTCATCGCAGTCACGTCTGGTCAGTAAAGGCACCTGCCGGCAGAAAGAGCTTTGTCTGAACAATCATCTAGGCCCTCGTTTCCTTCTCGTCGCCTTGTGGTACGTCTTGACAGCAAGACCCGGCCAAACACTCCCCAAGTTCATCCTGGGTGTTGGTATCTTCAGAACCTTCACCTGTGGAGGATGGACCTACGTCACCTCTACAGACGACCATGACTGGCACGACATCTTCATGATCTCTTACCTCGTCGCTACTCTGCCCTGGACCATCGGCTGCATCGCCCTGAGCCCAAACAATCCCAAGGCCATCTACTACCGCAAGGTCTTTGGTGGTGCCTTCTTCGCCACCCTTGTGCCTCTCGTCTACTTCTTCATCCAGCACAAGGTCCACAAGGTCCCTGGTGCATACACAATCTATGCATTCTTCGAGTGGGCTCTTGTCCTTCTGGACGTTGCCTTTGACGCCGTCACTGCACTCGACTTTTCCAGCCTCGAATTGGTTGTCAAGGACACCAAGGGCACCAGCAAAGGGTATGTCAATTGGCTTCCCAAATAGTGGTATGCTGCAAACCGCAATGCTACGCCATCGCTGGGACTAATTTATTCTTCCTCATAGCAACACTCAAAGAGTGGCCGATAAGCTCACTGAGACGGAGAAAGACAAGCCTGTTGGTCAGCTCTTTGCTGCTTCCTACTCAAAGGGTGACATGCTTGATGCTCTGGCTGATGTCTACCTTGGCTTCACCTTCTGGTCCGTCTTGACTGGTTTAGGCTTGTTGATCTGGTACTTCCCTCTCTGGCATATGGGCATCTCTGGCTATGAGGCCTTCGTCATGGCCCCTATCTCACCCTTCCTACTTGGTATTGGTTCCATCCGCAGAACCGTTGTTCACAACATCTGCCTCGTTCACTTCCTCTCACTCTCAGGTCTTGTCGCATTCCTGATCCCCACACCCGAGTACCGCCTGTTCGCTGTTGGTTTCTCCATCTTCATGTCAGCTCTCGCATGGTCTGCTACCTGGTGGTCAGAGCGTGCTCAACCTGCCCGTCTTGAGTCTCGCATCTCTGCCTTCTCCCTTGGTCTGCTGACCTCGAGTGTCGCAAAGTATGCTTGTCAGACCAACAACCCTATCTGGCCCGCTGTGCATGCTGAGAATGGTGGTTGGAACTACACTGGCCTTGTTCTGGCCATTGTCGCCATCTTGAGAGTCACGCGTAAGCCGCTTGATCCTCGTGGTGATGTGCCTGGCTACAAAGCCGTATCTGGTTCCTCGTTCCCTGCCGCTCTTGGTTTCGCCGGTCTCATGTTCGGTATGCACTCGCTTCTCTCGGACTCGAGTACCATGATCTCCTGGGTATGGGAGGGCTTCCCCATTCGTGGTCCTATTGCTGTACCTCACGGCAACTACACCTTCCTCGCCATGGGTCTTGGTCTGCTCATTGGCCTCTACTATCCTGTCTTTGCTCGCAGCTGGACTTTCTATGGTATCGGTTCTCTTGGTGCCGCTTTCTTGACAGCCTTTTCTCATTGGTCTGGCTTTTACGGTGGACTGGCTCTTGCCACCTACCTCATGGCCGCTGCCCCTGTCCTGATCGGCAACGCTGCTCGCTACCCTCCTGGCCGCACTTTCTTCCTTGGTTTCCTCTTCTACAACATTCTGGTTCTCGCTCACGTCTGGGTCGTCGCATATGCCTTTGTGCCTGGTGGTCCTCTCATGCGTGAGCACACCGACTGGGTTATGACAGCTATGATGTTGTTCATTGGCTGCGGTATCTTCTCTGCTACCACTTCCGAGACTAAACGATCCAAGTCTGCACCCGCCAACCCTTACGCCCGCAAGCAGCGTTCATACTACATCTATATCCTGATTAGTCTTCAGCTTCTCGGTGCCTCCATCTCATACCTCCGCTTCCCTACTTACGACTACACTCCTTACCACGCACCCGAGAAGAGTGTCACTGCCGGTATCTGGACTACTCACTTTGGTCTTGACAATCCCATGTGGACATCTGAGCGTCGTATCGGCGCTCTCGTCAAGGAGATGGAGCTCGATGTCCTGGGTCTGCTCGAGTCAGACACTCAACGCATTATCATGGGTAACCGCGATAGTACGCAGTACCTTGCCGAAGAGTTGGGCATGTACGTCGATTATGGTCCGGGACCTAACAAGCACACTTGGGGTTGTGCTCTGCTCTCCAAATTCCCAATCGTCAACTCTACTCACCATCTGCTTCCTTCGCCAGTCGGCGAACTCGCTCCTGCTATCCATGCTACTCTCGACGCTTATGGCGAGATGATCGACGTCTTCGTCTTCCACTCCGGTCAAGAAGAAGATCCCGAGGACAGACGTTTGCAATCTGAGTATTTGGCTGACCTTATGGGATCCACCCCTCGTCCCGCCATTCTGCTCTCCTACCTCGTCACCAAGACTGGTCAAGGCAATTACAACACATACGTCTCTGAGCGCAGTGGTATGAGAGATATTGATCCCTCCGACGACTGGGACAGATGGTGCGAGTACATTCTGTACAAGGGTTTGAGAAGATCTGGTTACGCTAGAGTGTCTAGAGGCACTATTACCGATACCGAACTTCAGGTAAGTCTTTTACTTCTTGGGTGTCCCTATCTTGATTGAAGTACTAACATGTGTGATAGGTTGGCAAATTCGTTGTTGGTCAGCCTGAAGGCGGCAATGAGCAAATCTCGGAAACCGAGGTTCCAGAGGGTCTTCGCTTCCCTGCCATGTTCAGAGGTGAAGGTATTAGAGGACACAGATACCATGTCTTTGACGAGCCCAGATACTACGCCTGAGCATCACTCGGATTAGTTGAGAGCACGAAGATTCAGAAAGTATGCTATCTAGAATCTATCGTGGCATTCCAACTTTCTTCTGTGTATGCTCTAGAAAAATGCACTTGCTTTATGTATACTGTCTTGATCGCTTTTGCATGGTAAAGCTGTTTGTGAAACGAGTGTGGGTAGCGATCAATGAAAGTCGCGACGGCGAGTTGTCGGCCCTGGTGGCTCCTGCTCCGATTTCTTCTGTGCCAGGCTCTCTTTCCTCGCGTTGGAGTCGACTGACAAACGACATCTCCACTGATCCACCAGCCATCCATTTTCTGATCTCGGAAACAAACCACCAATCGACGACATAAGTATATCCCTACGCTGGGCAAAGCAGGATTCGGCCATCTGAAATGAACAAGGGCATATATAATGCTCTCAAGGAAGGGGTCCCTGTAGACTATGTGCAAGAGGTCATTCGCAAATTCATTCCATCCAATGGAAATGGCATGGCTCACAAACAGGCCATGTAGAGACCCTTGAGTCAGTGAAGCGTCACACCAATCCAAGAGTGGCAGCAACACTGAAATTAGGATACACAAAACACTGGAAAGGCTCGGAGTATTCAAAAGAGATCATTCATCATGCATACTGTTGGATATCTAAGAAAAAGAAGAAGAGGAAAAAAGAAAGAAGCATCATCAAGAGCGCCATCTAGTAACCACCCTTGGTATATCCATTGGCACCAGTGATAACGACATTGAAAGAACTTCTCCAACTGCCAACATTGATAGCATAAGCCTCACTAACCGCCGTGCTGTAGAAAGCACACTTGACGCTAACCTGAGGAGCAGGGTTACTGCACCCATCACCAGGGCTCAACTTTGGGTTTCTCTCAAAGTAGATGTTGAAGCCTTTGCAAGCCGAGTTGCCATCGCAAATGGCAGCGCATTGAGCAGGATTGTATGAAGAAAGCTCGGTGTAGAACATGTAGCCCGCTTGGGATTGAGAGGCGTAGAAGCCTGCGAAGCGCCAGGTGTAGTTTACAGGCACATTGGCGGTCATGTATTGGGAGCGCAGGGTGGAGTCTTTGAGGAAGGCTGAGGGTGCGGGGTTGGAGGGTGTGTAGGTGTAGCCGAAGTTTGGCATGGTAGAGCAGGCTGTGGCGGTTGCTTGACGGCGTTGGCGCTTTTTGCTGCTGGTGCTGGTGCTGACGCTTGTGATTGTTGCTTTGGAGGCTGATGTGAAGGAGGAAGTGGCCTTTACTGATGAGGGTGGTGCTGTGGTGCTCATCTTTGCAACAGCGGCGGAGGCGATGGGTGAGCCGGTGATGGAGGTGGTGGTTTGAATGGCCTTGGGGCTTTGTGCGGCCATTTGAGACAGGACTGATGCGATGGCAGAGTCGGTGTTTTGGATTGTGACAGGGCAGGTGGTGCAGACACTGCTGGGCTTGCTAGAGATAGCAGCGGCCTCGGCGATGACAGCCAAGGCAGGAATCGCGAAGAGTTGGAAACGCATTGTGAATGTGTTGTAATGAGAGTGTAGTTATTGTTGGGAAAGGGTGTAGTGGTAATTGTATCAGAGAGTGACTAAAGCTTGAGCTTTGGAGATAGATTGTTGTTGTTGTGAATGAATGTAGAGTTGCTTGATGATAGAGAGAACACAAGGGGAGACTTGACCATAACATATATACTGAACCTCTTACAATGGACTTTGGTATACCAGACTCTCCAGAGATCTCGGCCTTCATGATGGATGGCTCGGGTCTCAGATATCCAACGTTTAAGTTCTGTTAACGGCCGAAAGATCGGCGGGGCGGCTTCCAGGAGTTTTCTAGAACACTGGCCATCTCGATTCATGAGATGCTTGTTGTTGACGACGACCTGTATTTGTGTAAGTTTTGGATTGCGTACCTGATGCTATGTCATCTTCGTCATGAGTATACACGTCAACAACAGGCCATACCAGCAGAGCTCCCCTGCAAGGATGTGCTGCCCCAGGCCCTGACCCAGGGTCTGCACCGAACCCTTGCCGACACACAAAAGGGTTTGACAGAACTTTGAGGCTTGGACATACTCTCGAAGTATGTCAAATCGACCAAATCCACATCGCAACGCGATAGCATGAGCCCCGTGCCAAGCCTCGAAAACCTCGCGATCACAGGCAAGATCAGGAATAGATATGTGATCAAACCGTTTTCCAAAGGACAACAAAGGACGAGACCGTTGTGTGGCTTGACTCCATGCAATATTGAATGTCTTAGATGCTTACTCGACATCCGAATCAAGCCGGACACCTCTGATTCTTTGCACAAACTCTGGTTGAAAGGATGATACATGGCGGTGATGGCTTGGTGGTATGATCGAGACCGCTGGTCTAGTGTTGTGTTTGAATCAGGAGTTGGCTCTGGATTTGACATGAGGCTTCTCGGATAGTTGGCCGGGTCGGGCTCTGGCGAATGAGACGACATGGCAGGACGTGCTTATTTTTGCCAGTGGTGATAGAGTTGCTTCATCTCTGCAAAACAGAGATCACACTGCGCCTCAATATCTGGAGGCTACTCCGAGCGACGCTGGCAACTTGGCAAGTAGTGTTGAGAAAAGGAGATGAGGTGGTTGGGTGTTTGTGAACGGTCTCGGTGCGATCGTACCCGAGCTCCGGCTGCCTAGTCAGATTTGCTCACGACCAAAACTTCTCGCCGAGGTATGTCACCCTGGCCATGTACTTCTCTCCAAATCACGTCGACACACACGTCTATCATCACTCCGGCTTGGAATTGAGATGTTTCGTACCGGATATGATATCTGGCCATGACTAAGATGTCCTCTGGGTCTTGTATTCAGCCACGAGTATCATAGCAACTTGTCAATGAGATGTCCACATCTCAATGTGCAGTCTGTGCCCATATCTCCGGCAATGTGCTATTTTGATTCCAAATTTGATCATAACTCGAGCATAAGGCTTCTGACCATGATGCAACTGTCACAGCATATGAAATAGAACAACATGATCACTATGGTAAATATTTTACTGTGACAGATCATGTACGCGACCTATAGCATCGCCTTGGAGCAATTCGAGATGTCAAAAACATTGCTTTGGAGATGACCCTGTTGACGCGTCGCGAGTCTCGATGCCGTCATCGTCTGTCACGACACACCCTTCTTCTCTTCAACGCTCACGTCCAAGCCCGACACATTTCTGATAGGCCGAGGAAGCCAGAACTCTATATGGTACTCTCAGGAGACTCAATGCTAATTTGAAAATCACTGCGTATATGCTCACGTGTTGACGCGGAAATACTCCAGCGCTGAGGAAGAGAACAGGTAAAGGTAAACACTCATTGATTTCAATTTGAGAATACACGACTAATACTTATAGCGGACTCAAAAGTCCGAGAGATGACAAAAGAACGCAACAAAAGACACAAAAGAACATGAAAGATCTCACACATGTTCTGGCTATGCCCAATGCCCAAAACCCCCAGTTTTCCAGATGCAGATTATCCACCACACTACTTTCAAAAGAGACTATCTAAGACAAGACGCAAGTGGCAGGTGTGACTGCAGTATTGCATGTCAAAGTCGACCCCACAGTGACAGCTCCAGAGCGGTTAAAAGCATAATTGACAGCGATACGCGTAGTTCCATCAGTAGAACCCTGGATACCGATAGCTGCACTGCCAGAGCCTTGATCACCACCAATATCATAGTAGCGATAGACAAAGATACCAGGTTGGGTACTGTCATAGCTGACTGTGAAATGGTAGGTCTCGTAGGTACCAGCGCGAGCGAGACGGTACTCATAGATTACTGATGTGGAGGTGGTTTGGTAGAAGATACCCGCGTCGTTGTTCTCGCCGAATTTGATTAGGTCGTCGAAGAAGGGGGCGGCGGCGTAAATGGGGATGTAAGGGTTGGGGAGACCGCCCGCGTTGTCGTAGGTTGTGCTGCTGTCGATCAGGGTGAGGAGCTGTGGGAGGTTGTTGTCAGTATCAACGATTGAGAAGCAAAAGAGCGTGGAAGTTACTTACACCGTTAGTGGATGGGAAGGACTTGGCGGAAGATCCAGAGTATATTTTCATCTCGAAGGGTAGGTCGATCTCACAGTAGGAGTCGTCTTCTTCAGTGTCGATCGGGTCGCCAAAGTCGCAACGAGTTGGGCTGGCGAGAAGACCGTTGTAGGTCGAAGTCGAGCCATCAGGATTGACGACCGTAGGACTGCCACCACCGCTAGTGGGTGCAGGAGAAGCCGAGGCAGCTCGGGATGATGAAGCAGCAACGCTACTTGCCGCACCACCACCGCCATTACCAGCGGCACTACTGCTTGAAGCAGCAGGCGCACGAGAAACAGAAGATGCAGCTGCACCGCCATCAGTCGGACCTGAGATGAGGACTGCCTCAGCGATGGTGGATGCCACTGGATCGTTGTTGTGATCACCAGCAGTCTGCTTGAGATAGCAAGTTCCTTGGGTCATCGTAGCGTCGCCCGAGTAGACAAGGGCACCGCAACCAGCAGTTCTATCGCAAGCGAGGAAACACTCGTTGATACCTTGAGATTGAACACCAACATTAGCAATGAGGATACCCTGACCATTTCTACCACATGAGACGCTGTAACGAGCACCTCTGGAATCCGTGAGGGTTTGGCCGTCCATGGCGGGACATTTGGGAATAGGACTTCCTGTTGCAGAAGCAGTCGCAGTGGACGAAGAAACACTGGTGGGTATAACTCCTTGCCTGATGCCGGCCACGAAGCCCGCACTGGTTCCCTGGAACTGATAGTTGGTGCCACCGATCTTGAGGTAGCAGGTTTTGGTATCGGTGTAGACGAAAGCTCCACATGCGTTCGTGTTGTCACAGAGGGCTGCGCAAGCACCAGCATCTGCCGGAGAGCCAAAGTTTTGTCCACCTCCACTAGTGTCCGAATTGCACTTTATTTGGTAGGTGACGCCGTTGGTATCAGCAATTGTTTGACCGTCCGCAGATGGGCACGAATATGTGACCTGCGTTACAGCAGCCGAAGGGGCGGATGAAGCACTACTGCCAGACGAAGCAGCAGCGGCACCGCTGGATGAGGGTGATGCTAAAGACGATGCCGCAGGAGAAGACGCTGCGATAGACGATGCTGCAGCAGTCCGGCTGGATGAAGATGCTCCCGGAGAGGATGTTGCCGGGGATGATGCTGCCGGGGATGATGCCGAAGGGGACGATACAGCAGGGACGACAGAAGATGCAGAGGACGCTCTTGATGAAGAACCTGGGACGGGTGCGCTAGAAGCTACACCAGGTGCACTGCTTGATGATGCTTGTACCGATGAGATTGCAGGCAAAGAGGATAGAATCGGAGCAACTGAGGACGAAGCACCGGCGATTGAAGACGATCCCGCGTTCGCAGCTGAGGACATGGATGGAGCAGCCGAAGAAGCAGCCGAGGATGCAGGTTGAACGGCTGACGGAGCGGATTGAACAGCGGGAGAGACAGATTGAACGATAGAGGAAACAGCAGATGACAGTGCTGGAGCACTGGAAGAAGCGGTCTGGGTAGCAGAGGAAGAAGCCAATGAAGCACTCGAAGAGGCAGGTCCAGTACCGCCAGGACGAGCAGGCACAGCTCTGATGCCAGAAACGGTACCTTGTGTAGCTGGCTGGAACGAGACATCATCCGAAGAGCTACCAGTCTTGACGTAGCAGCTATCGACACCATCGAAGGTCCACGAGACACAGCCATCAGTTTGATCGCAGAGAGTCATGCAGTCGTTGAAGTTGGTTGAAGAACCAACACGCTGACCAACTCCTCCAGAAGTAGCCTGGTTACAGCCGAGCTCGTACATGCCGTCAAGGTTCGACTCAACCATGTCACCGTTATCGGCAGGACAAGAGTAAGTCGTCTGAGGAGTTACGCTGCTCGAAGCTGCAGTAGAGCTGGCGGTACTTGAGCTAGGCACGATGACAGGGCCAATGCCGCTGACAGATGCTGCACTGCTAACAGGGATGCTGCCTCCGCTTGAGCTGGGTCCCGAAGATGCGCCTCCAGCAATTGACGACAGTACGGAAGCGGCAGAAGACGAAGCAGCTGCAGATTCGACCGAAGATAGCTTCGATGACAGCTGTGATTCGATGGAGGATGCAATTACTGCTGCTGACGATGAAGCTGCAGATCCAGTCACTGAGGACAATAGAACTGTGCCTGAAGCGACTGAAGAGCTAGAAGCACCAGGCAAAAGGTCTGACACAGTGCTCAACGGAACACCACTTGAAGCAGAGGCAGATGACGAACCTACTCCAGTGCCATTTATCACCACTGCTCGTATCAGCATTGATAAGGTACAATGATGGACGTGACTTACGAGGCTCAACATGAAGAACGACCGGACTCCAGCTTCTTTTCGCTTCCATTGGACCAAGGAATTTAGCAAGAATCAATGCATTGTCGAGCAGGCCTGGAGGCAACTTGTAGAATTGAGCAGTGCCGTTTGTAAACAGTGGGTTAGTCCAATTCAGCATTCTATTGCGAACGGAGAAAGTCGTGTTGATAGGCAGGTTGTAATCAGTGATGCCAAATGCTTGATCAACAACATTGAAGTTGGTTGCGATGTGACTGCCATTGAGAGTTGTGAGACGGCCTGCGTTGATTGTGTAGACTATAGCCAGCGAGGAGTTGGTAGTGGTGTTTCCATTGGCAGTCAGCCAGTAAGGAGCCGTATCCTGGTCAGGGTAGCCAGAGACATCAACTTGCTGGAGTCTGATCACGAATGGTGCACCGCCGTTGGCTGCGACATCGGTCCATGGTGTTGGCTCAACTGTCACAGTCGATTGAATGACTGTGGTCGAGGTTCCTGATGTGTAGGTTGCACTACAGGCACTGACATGAGTTGTGAGAGTAATAGTCTGAGCACTACATGCCTGCGAGAAGAGGGACAACGCAGACGTAATTGAGAGAAAACGACGAGGTATCATCTTGTGTCTGCCTTCACGGCCGGACAGCGAGATGGATAGATGTGTCGGAACTACGCGAGAAAGCGAGTGTAGTACCACGACCTAGCTAACGAGTTGAAAGGAGCGACTGAGATAAAGGAAAAGAGCGATCCGCGCGGAAGACGTTGTGCACGCAATTAACCAAGCAAGGTCGAGGAATGAAAAACATACCCATAATTTGATAGGCCAAGATGTGGAGGAATGCGACAACCATCCCTCGCTGCATACCAATATGACTAGACCCTTATTAGCCTTAGCGGTGCGTCACTCACATGCCACAAAACATATTGACATGATCCAAATAGCATACCGATGCAATGGTTCGGGAAAAACTTGCAGTGGGGGAGTCGATATCTGTGAATACGCACCAGTAGTTAACTTTGATGCGTGCACATTGCAAGATCTGGCTGCTGGGAAAATCAGATCATAGACCGGCTCATCATGTGCTTATTGTTGACACCTAACATCCTCCTCCTTCATTACATAGAGCAGTGATATCCTCCAAAGATGCACTGTTGTTCCCTAGTGTGAGAGGTATCAGTGGAGAGTCGATGAGATGACCCTCTCCGTCAATGATGTATGCGACGGTCCAAAATTTGTGCATCGAAAAGACATCTACACGGACGACGGAGTGCATCGCTCGGGGAAACACAAAGAGAAGCTGTCGCATTAAAGGAAAGCACCTAGTAAAATGAGCTGAAATATGAGATAGAAAAAAGACGCGTACGTCCTAACACTAGAAACATGAAGAGCGCATTATAAACCGATCCAGAAAATCCGCCAAAGTTGTGCAGCGAAACCTTTATTCTGAATCATCAAATTCATAGACCAGCAATGCATGATGAAGTCGCTTTTGATCGATTACAGAAGAAGGGCAGCAGCGCCAGAGAAGATGGCGACAAAGGCGGAAAGGCCAAGGGTGTAACCACCGATCTGGACAGACTGGATGGACATGGTAGAAGCAGCACCTTGCGAACCAGAACCGCTGGCCTTGCTGCTGCTACCACCAGAGCCAGAGCCAGAGCCAGAGCCAGCAGTGGCTCCAGCACCAGAACCGGTGGTGGGAGAGGCGGTAACCTTACCGGTACCAGCGGTTCCAGCTTGGGCCATCAAGGACGAGCAGACACCAGTAGGCTTGGCAGCCGACTTGAGAGTAGCAGAGCCGCTGAAGCCGCAAGCGCTGGCACGCTGAGCGGAAGGCTGAGCCGAGTAGTACTGGTCAAGGACGAAGCCAAGCTGTTCGGTAGAGTTGCACATGCTGTAGGCACCGTAGTTGCCGGTGGTAGCGTTGTGAGCAATTCCAGCGCAGGAGGAAGGGCTTGCGCCACAGACGTAGCCAAACATGTCACCGTAGGCCTCTTCACTGACGCTGGACTTGACGTTGCAGCTCAAGGAGTTGAACATGCAGCTGCACAGCTCCTGGTTGGGCGATGGGGGAAGGGGACTGGCAGCAGCAGCCCAGGCAGTGCCGGTGGCCGGGCAGGAAGCGATAGTGTTGGAGGGAGTGTAGGAAGCGCTGTTGACGCCGGAGGGAGAGACAGTTGCCATAGCCTTAGACAGGTTGGAGTAGTCACCTGTGAATGGGTCAGAATAGTCTTAAGCGAGTACAAGTAGCGAGGATCTTACCAAGAGTAGAAACCTTGTTGTTGGAGACGGAGACAAGACCGTACTCATTCTCGGTCTCGAAGTACATGTAGACGATACCACCAGACCAGACCTCGGTCATGTCGCTGCCGTAAAGAGCTTCAACTTCACCCCAAGTACGAGGACGAACAGTGTTGCAACCGTACTCGGCGAAGAAGACAGGGACAGAGTAGGTAGAAAACTCCTCGGTGCGGGCAGCGTAGCCACTCTCCTGGTAGCTGGAGGGATCACACCAAGAGTAGACGTTGTAACCCCAGAAGTCAATGTTGAGGGCGGTGTCGGAGCTGCAGTCGAAGTAGTCGGCCATGTTGACACGGATGTCGGAGTCGTCAGAGGTAGCGTAACCGACACCGAGCTGTCTGTATCCCTTGGAAGCGATGTATGCCTTGGTGTCGCGAACAGCAGCCTTGACGAAAGCGCTGGCGTTGGTGGTATTCTTGGAGTTGGAGACCTCGTTACCGGCGAAGAAACCAAGGGTGTTGGAGTACGGTGCCAATGCGTCCACGACTGAGACATAGCGCTCATACAGATCATCGTTCCAGGCAGGGTCGTTGCGGTTGATGGACTGGTCGGGGGCGGAAAGGTCAGAAACGACGTAGATGCCAGCATCTGCGAGCATGTTCATGCAGTCATCGTGGTTCTTTGTGGGGTCGATGGCGTAAACACGGATAGTGTTTGTGCGAAGAGCCTTGAGGTAAGGGATATCACGCGAGCAGATGGATGCATCGGCCAGAGGGTCGGTGTAGGAAGTGTCGGTGGTGTTCTGGACGTCCTCCTGGTATGCGACACCGCGCATGAAGAACTGGGTACCGTTGGTCTTGTAGAAGAACTTGGAACCCTTGATGACAATAGGGTCAACGTCAGCAGCGACCTTGGACACGAGCATGCTCGCGGCCGCGATGGCTGTGGCAATACCGAAACCCTTCATGTTGTAGATGAAGATGCTGGTTTAGGTGTGTATTGGGTAAAGAGCCGCCAGGTAAATAGGGGCTTAGAAAGGTGCGATACGCAGGGAAGGAGGGAGAAAAGTCTTCGAACGAGCGATTAAATGAGATTGAAGAGGTGTGAGCAATGAGTGAACGAAGGTGGATAAGGGTAAGTCGCCACAGGAAAGACCCAAGATAGAACAGGGACAAGGAAACAGTGAGCAAACAAGAAAGGTTGCTGTCCGGGAGTTGCGCGCCGTGGCGACAGGAAAGCGCCTTACATAAGGCCGCTCGCTTTCCAGTGTTTGGCACTGGCCGCGCAAGCCCACCTCCTGGCCCATCAGATCTTCATCTCCCCGAGGAGCTACTTCGCCACAACGATACGAGCCCGCACGACTGTCTGGAATATTCACTGCCCTATTTTATCTCTCACTACGAAGATCCCCTGCCCAGAGCTTGGCCACTTCTGCGCAAGAGCTTTTCCATTGCTTCTGCTGCTTCGTCCTTGAGTCTGGTCGAGATCTTTTATGTGCCAACAACGGTCATACCCGCAATCTCCATGACCGTGCCTGCAATGTCCACTGGTGGCCATGAGGAATCGTCAACCGAAACGCATGCGTGGGTGGCGCAACAGCACTCGACGACTGCTTCCTCTCCGATCCGCTTTCATGTCTTCTGTGAGAAACAATTCCGAGCAGCCGGGCCAAGCTTTATGTGTCTCAACGGCTTCGTGCGTATTCTTCCTAGCACGGTCAACAAGATGCCGAGAGTGTAAACACTCGCCTTTGCTCTGTTGACTTTTTGTGAAAAAATGCTGTCTCCTGTCTCTGAACCTGCCTTCCTTCAAGGGGAACAACCTTTATCTTCTTGAACAACTTCTCAACGTTCATGTCATCGTATCCGTAAAACATACGATGTCGTCACTATATCCGTCAGATCTACATGCTCCTGCTGGATAGGACATGTCCAAATCCGTAGCTTGGTGTGTGTGTACAGCTGCCGGACTTCTGATTCCACACATCCACGCTCATTCAAGTGCATGTCGCCATAACTCTTGAGACAATTATATCATCGTCCACCGAGTATCTACTATGCTACGTCAAGATCTCTTTGTCCAAGCTCTAGTATCGGCGCAATTCAACTCATGACTTATGTCATGTCTAGGAATGCGTTTCAAGATTTGGGGTCATGGGAGAGGAAATTGCGGGATGTAAATCAATACATAAAGTACAGTATCGAGCGACTCAATCCGAGGCCCTGTCCTTGAACAGCGCCCCTACCATACGACAGACTCCTTCTGGAAGGATTAAAATATGGCGTTAGATTATCGTATGTCCAGAGTCGTGGCATGCAGCTTGGAATAGCACACGACTAAACATCACTATTGCCGTACCCGTGAACATAAAGTTTGTTACGAGGTGCGAACACGCGGCAGCGCTGCGGAAGCATAGTTCGTACACTTGTCAATCGATCATACAGCAGATGTAGACCACAGGATTGACCACATGGAGCCAAATCCGCAGCTGCCAGCAACAAACAGTTCCAATGGGCACTCTTACCAAGACATGTGGATGACGATGATGTCGAGTGGAGGCCGTAATCAAAGCATCACCGAAGCATCTAATGAAGAGCACCAAACGATTCAACAAGCATGCGTATGAGGTGTGAGGCGCAAGAATGACAGAGCTCAAAATAGTACTGGCAAGTTAGCAAGCATCTCCAAAGACTCGTCTAGTGGCGATCACATTAGGATGTGTGTTATTTGCTGGCCGCCCGCCAATAAATCATCCATCCAGTCGGTCGGAGCGGCACACAGCGAGGAGAAATAGCAGCACAGGGCTGTGCAAAAGATGCGCTTCAATTTTTTCGAGAGAGATCGTCAGGCTTGATTTGTCTTGAATTCAAGCAGTCGACGGAGTTTCTGCCCTACGAGAGACGGTGAGGTGGAAGAGTCCATGGACCATGGTTCTCAGCAAAAATCGACGATGACGGTCCGACGCGGAAATGATTGCAAGAGGGCCAGTCTCAGGAATGGCAGGACGCAAGTGTCAGACTGGGGTGTTTGAGATACAGGCGCTAGAGCGCGAGACAATTGACGAATCAGCGGGCAGTGTGTGGAACTGCGGCGCGAAATGAAAGTTGGCTGGGGCGAGGTAGCGCGACCCGCCCTGCCGCGAATGCTGGAGCTAAAGTGATGGATGGCTCGAGCGTTGTTTTGGGATCAAGGAGAGTTGTGTTCCTGTTGTGCTGCGTGTGCTCGCTGCCCGGCGTCCGGCCGCTGAGTTCTGCTGGGCCTGCCTTGGATCTTGGTGCAGAATTGGCTTGCAGTGCTCTGTCGAATCGCGTTGGTGCGGCCTTTCGCCTCTGAGCCGTTGAAACAAGCAGGACTACGATCAACCAAAAGCCCCCCTTTCCCGCCCCTGCCTCGAGCGCGCGCCTTCTGTTCCAGCGTCTTTTTGCTTTCGTGCAAACACACATTCGTTCGCTTTTGTGTTCCTCTCCCAGGCTACACACCTGTCTCTCTTCCCTCCATCACCTCCGTCACCCAATCCACGGTGTCGGTTTGTTAGAGGTTTGCTTGACAGCTGCAAATCCCGGACCATTTGAGAAGTACATTCTCTGCACCTCCACACCCTCGCCGAGTCTGCAGCCGCGCGTTCTCACGGCAACAACTGCGGCCACTTTTCGACCTCCACCACTTCCGGTCCGAAATAACATCAACATCGCCTTCCTCGTCAAGGGCTAAGTGTTGCTGCAGCCGCATCGGTCTTCTTTACAGACCATCACATTCGCTGCATTCCCAGACGACAAACGCTTCGCTCAGGCTTTCTGCCCACATTCCCACAAACCGTTCATCCCTTGTTTCACGGCGAATGTCACTGCTTTGAGGTAAGCAGCAACAACGACTTCATTGACATCTCCAATGCAATTCTGACTCGCCACAGTAATTTTTCGTATTTGACTTAAGCATGGCGCACCCTCAACAGGGCGGTGGCCAGTACGCTGATGATGGCTACGGCGGTCACGGCGGCCACGGCAACGGCAATGATGCCTACTACCAAGATGACCAGAACCAGGCCTACTACGACCACAATCAAGGCTATGGAAATGGTCAGGATAGTTACTACGATGAAGGGTATGTCGCGGCTGCAAGCTCTGAAAGACCGACCATCGCTAACATCCTCACAGTACCGGCGGTCACTACGCTCAGGGCGAACATGGCGCTCCCTACCAAGGCCAACAAGGTCAGGAAGGCTATTACGACCAAGGCCACAACGGCTACCAGGACGAATACTACAACGACCAATACTACGATCAAGGCCACGCTGCGGGTCAGCAAGCACCTCGTCAGCCGAGAGGTCACTCCGAGGAAGACTCGGAGACCTTCAGCGACTTCACCATGAGATCCGACATGGCTCGCGCTGCCGAGATGGACTACTACGGTCGTGGTGATGAGCGTTACAACAGCTACAACGGCGAGCAAGGCGGCCGTGGTTTCCGCCCTCCATCGTCTCAGGTCTCATATGGTGGCAACCGCTCATCCGGTGCCTCGACTCCCGTCTACGGTATGGACTACACCAACGCTCTCCCCGCAGGACAGCGCTCGAGAGAGCCTTACCCTGCCTGGACCTCGGATGCTCAAATTCCTCTCTCCAAGGAGGAGATTGAGGACATCTTCCTCGACCTGACAGCGAAATTTGGTTTCCAGCGTGACAGCATGAGAAACATGTTCGACCATTTCATGACCCTCCTCGACTCGCGTGCTTCCCGCATGTCGCCCAACCAGGCTCTTCTTTCGCTGCACGCCGATTACATTGGTGGCGATAACGCCAACTACCGTCGTTGGTATTTCGCTGCTCATCTCGATCTCGACGATGCTGTTGGTTTCGCAAACATGAACCTTGGAAAGGCCAACCGTCGCACTCGCAAGGCCCGCAAGGCTGCCAAGAAGAAGGCCGCAGAAGGCGAAAACGAGGAGGCTACTCTTTCAAGTCTCGAGGGCGACAACAGTCTTGAGGCGGCCGAATACCGCTGGAAGTCACGTATGAACAAGATGTCCCAGCACGACCGTGTCAGACAGATTGCTCTCTACCTTCTTTGCTGGGGTGAAGCCAATCAGGTCCGTTTCATGCCCGAATTGATGTGTTTCATCTTCAAGTGTGCCGATGATTACTTCCACTCTCCTGCTTGCCAGAACAAGGTCGAGCCAGTCGAGGAGTTCACTTACCTCAACAACGTAATCACTCCTCTGTACAATTACTGCAGAGATCAGGGTTACGAGATCTTCGATGGCAAGTACGTTCGCAGAGAGCGTGACCACAACAAGATTATCGGTTACGATGATATGAACCAGCTCTTCTGGTACCCTGAGGGAATCGAGCGTATTGTGTTCGAGGACAAGTCCCGTCTTGTGGATTTGCCTCCCGCAGAGCGTTACGAGAGACTCCAGGATGTCATCTGGAAGAAGTGCTTCTTTAAGACTTTCAAGGAGACCAGATCCTGGTTCCACAACTTGGTCAACTTCAACCGTATCTGGGTCATTCACGTCACTGCTTACTGGTTCTACACCTCTTACAACTCGCCTACTCTCTACACTGAGAATTACGAGCAACAGCGCAACAACTCTCCTACTACTCCCGCTCATTTCTCCGCTGTCGGTCTCGGTGGTACTGTTGCATCCCTTATTATGGTTTTTGCCACGCTCGCCGAATGGTCCTACGTACCCAGAAAATGGGCAGGTGCTCAGCATTTGACCAAGCGTCTTCTCTTCCTCCTTGGTGTTCTCGCCATCAATGTGGCTCCTGCAGTTTACATCTTTGGTGTGAACCGCAAGGGCAAGATTGCTCTGATTCTTGGTATCGTGCAATTCCTGATCGCGCTCATCACCTTCTTCTTCTTCTCGATCATGCCTCTCGGCGGTCTCTTCGGTAGCTACCTCACCGGCAAGTCTCGCCGTTATGTGGCTAGTCAGACTTTCACTGCCAGTTGGCCTCAACTTAAGGGCAATGCTATGTGGATGTCCTACGGTCTTTGGATCATGGTCTTCGGTGCCAAGTTGGCAGAGTCTTACTTCTACCTGACCTTGTCGCTTCGTGATCCCATCCGTATCTTGTCTACTCTTAAGATCAGATATTGTATTGGTGTCACTTACATTGGCACAACGCTCTGCTACCACCAGGCTACGGTCACTCTCATTCTGATGTACATCACCGATCTGATCCTTTTCTTCTTGGATACTTATCTTTGGTACATCATCTTGAACACCGTCTACTCGGTTGCTCGCTCCTTCTACCTCGGTGTTTCCATCTGGACTCCTTGGAGAAATATCTTCTCTCGTCTGCCCAAGCGTATTTACTCCAAGGTTCTTGCCACTACTGACATGGAAATCAAGTACAAGCCCAAGGTTTTGATCTCGCAGATCTGGAACGCCATCATCATCTCGATGTACCGCGAGCATTTGCTTGCCATCGATCACGTTCAGAAGCTTCTCTACCACCAGGTTCCATCAGAGCAAGAAGGCAAGCGTACTCTCAGAGCACCTACCTTCTTCGTGTCGCAAGAAGATCACTCTTTCAAGACTGAATTCTTCCCCAGCCAAAGTGAGGCCGAGCGTCGTATCTCTTTCTTCGCCCAGTCTCTGTCCACCCCCATTCCCGAGCCCGTACCGGTTGACAACATGCCTACTTTCTCCGTCATGATTCCCCACTACGGTGAAAAGATTCTTCTCTCTCTTCGTGAGATTATTCGTGAGGATGATCCGTACTCGCGTGTTACCATGTTGGAGTACCTCAAGCAGCTTCACCCTCACGAGTGGGACTGCTTCGTCAAGGACACCAAGATTCTGGCTGACGAGACTTCGCAATTCAACGGCGAGTATGAGAAGACCGAGAAGGACACTGCAAAGGCCAAGATCGACGATCTTCCCTTCTACTGCATTGGTTTCAAGTCTGCTGCTCCCGAATACACTCTCCGCACTCGTATCTGGGCATCGCTCCGTTCTCAGACCCTCTATCGTACCATCTCTGGTTTCATGAACTACAGCCGTGCTATCAAGCTGCTGTATCGTGTCGAGAACCCTGAGGTCGTTCAAATGTTTGGTGGCAACTCTGATAAACTCGAGAGAGAATTGGAGCGCATGGCTCGTCGCAAGTTCAAGATCTGTGTCTCCATGCAGCGTTACGCCAAGTTCACCAAGGAAGAGCGTGAGAACGCCGAGTTCTTGCTCCGTGCCTACCCCGATCTTCAGATTGCTTACCTTGACGAAGAGCCTCCGCTCAACGAGGGTGAGGACCCCCGTCTTTACTCTGCCTTGATTGATGGTCACTCTGAGATCATGGAGAACGGCCTTCGCAAGCCCAAGTTCCGCGTTCTGCTTTCCGGTAACCCCATTCTGGGTGACGGCAAGTCCGACAACCAGAACCACTCTATCATCTTCTACCGCGGTGAGTATATTCAACTCATCGACGCTAACCAGGACAACTACCTGGAGGAATGTCTGAAGATTCGTTCTGTTCTTGCCGAGTTCGAGGAAATGACTACCGACAACGTCTCTCCCTACACTCCTGGTCTTGCCACTCCTAAGTTCGACCCTGTTGCCATTCTTGGTGCCCGCGAGTACATTTTCTCAGAGAACATCGGTATTCTCGGTGACGTTGCTGCTGGAAAGGAGCAGACATTCGGTACTCTGTTCGCTCGTACCCTCGCTGAGATCGGTGGTAAGCTCCATTACGGTCACCCTGATTTCCTCAACGGTATCTTCATGACCACTCGTGGTGGTGTCTCCAAGGCTCAGAAGGGTCTCCATTTGAACGAGGATATTTACGCTGGTATGACTGCTCAACTTCGTGGTGGCAGAATCAAGCACTGTGAATACTACCAGTGTGGTAAGGGTCGTGATTTGGGCTTCGGCTCCATTCTCAACTTCACCACCAAGATTGGTACTGGTATGGGTGAGCAAATGCTTTCTCGCGAATATTACTACCTCGGCACTCAACTCCCCCTGGACCGCTTCTTGTCTTTCTACTACGCTCACGCTGGTTTCCACGTCAACAACACCTTCATCATGTTGTCGGTGCAGCTCTTCATGTTCTGTATCATCAACTTGGGTGCTCTCAGACACGAGACCATCATCTGCCGTTACAACAGAAACACCCCCATCACTGATCCTCAATGGCCTACGGGTTGTGCTAACTTGCGCCCCTGTCTCGACTGGATCCAGCGCTGCTGTGTCTCCATCTTCATCGTCTTCTTCATCTCTTTCGTCCCTCTCACGGTTCAAGAATTGACTGAGCGTGGATTCTGGCGCGCAGCTACTCGTCTCGCTAAGCACTTCTCTTCGTTCTCCCCTCTGTTCGAAGTTTTCGTCTGTCAGATCTACACCAACGCACTCCAGCAGAACTTGTCATACGGTGGTGCCCGTTACATCGGTACTGGTCGTGGTTTCGCCACTGCCCGTATGCCATTCGGTATTCTTTACTCCCGTTTCGCTGCTCCCTCGATCTACCTGGGTATCCGTCTGTTGCTCATGCTTCTCTTCGGTACCTTGACTATCTGGGGATACTGGCTTCTCTACTTCTGGGTTTCGCTTCTCGCTCTCTGTATTGCACCCTTCCTCTTCAATCCTCACCAGTTTGCGTGGGGCGACTTCTTCATCGACTACCGCGAATTCCTCAGATGGCTGTCTCGTGGAAATACCAAGGGTCATTCTGCATCGTGGATTGGCTTCGTCCGTCTTTCGCGTACCCGCATCACCGGATTTAAGAAGAAGGTGCTTGGTGAGCCGTCCGCCAAACTGTCTGGAGACACAGCCCGTGCTCGCTTCGGTAATGTCTTCTTCGCTGAGGTCATTGGTCCGCTCTTCCTTGTTGCTGTAACTCTTATTCCCTACCTTTACATCAATTCTGGAACTGGAGCTACTCGTGCCTTGAACCCTGATGTCGGAGCTGCCGCCTTGCAACCCCGCAATGCTCTCATTCGTATCGCCATCGTTGCCTTTGCCCCTATTGGTATAAATGCTGGTGTTGCAGGCATGTTCTTCCTCATGGCTTGTTGTATGGGACCCCTCTTCAGCATGTGTTGCAAGAAGTTCGGTGCCGTTCTGGCTGGTATCGCCCACGCTATTGCCGTCATTGTGCTCATTGTCATGTGGGAGGTCATGTTCTTCCTTGAGGGATGGAGTTTCGCCAAGATGCTCATCGGTATGATCGCCTCGCTTGCCATTCAGCGCTTCATCTACAAGCTCATCATTGCTCTGGCTCTCACTCGTGAGTTCAGAACCGATTCCTCCAACATTGCTTGGTGGACCGGTAAATGGTACGGTATGGGTTGGATGGGCTTCTCTCAGCCTGGTCGTGAGTTCCTGTGTAAGATCACCGAGTTGGGATACTTCTCATCGGACTTCTGCTTGGGTCACTTGCTGTTGTTCTTCATGCTCCCTCCTCTCTTGATCCCTTACATTGACACCTTCCACTCGGTCATGCTCTTCTGGCTGCGCCCTAGGTATGTTTCTTATCCATCTCCACCACCTGATATACCTGCTAACCAACCCACTACAGTCGCCAGATCCGCCCTCCTATCTACTCACTCAAGCAGTCGAAGCTTCGCAGACGTCGTACGATCCGTTACGCCATCCTGTACTTCACTCTCTTCATCCTGTTCATTGTTCTCATTGTTGCACCAATGGTCGCTGGCAAGTTCCTGAACCTCAAGATCGACACGCTTCCTATGCAATTGATGCAGCCCAGCAACCTCAAGAACAACGACACTACCAGTCAGACTACTGGCACAGCCGTGGCAGGAGCCACTGATGGCGCTGCTACCTCAGATGCCGCGTCAGAGTCGTCTGCAGCAGCCCGTCGTTTCGCCCACTTCATGTACTAAGCGGATGATGTGGACGAAGCTACATAATAGATTGGGTGGAATTTCTCTGGCGTCAAAATCATGGCATTCATCACGTCTTGTGACGTGTTTGTGTAAAACAGCAAGTCGTCTCTTGTGTTCGAACAGGGCGAGAACCGGTCAAAGGAATCGGACACTGCATAATGATGTTTATTTGTTTTGCTTTTTATTCTTTTCAGCTTCGGTGGGAAAAGACATTTTGGGAACTGGTTATTGTCAGTGTTAGAAATAAAGGTCCAGAATGCAAACCACCAGTACATATGCATATCCACCGCTCTTCCCACTCCTGTGTCCTTGTCCGGTGATGAAGACGATAGTGATGAAAAGTTGAAGATTGAGACGAGTCACGTGAGCAAGAGGGGTACCAGTTGGCTGAGGTGTCGGCTTGGTGTACATGTGGGACCAGCGACGGTCTCCAGCATACATCGGACCTATTATCCACAATGTAAGTCGGCACTCTCTCTCCTCCAATACAAGATGCAGGAGCGCTGCACTCGCACGCTAGACGTGACTGACATGATGTTGATGGTGATAGAAAGACGCGACGATGCCTGCAATGCTGGATGACCCGACTGCGCCTGCCATCTACCGCACGTCTGGCGATGCGCCGTATCCCACTCCATATGCCCCGCTGCCCGACAACATAGTCCCGCGCCAGGTCACTCTGCGCGATCGCTCAACAACAGCGACACTCGTCGCCTTTTCCTCTCCCGACCAAGTGCCCAAGACACTACTTCACTACCTCTGCGCCCTGCTCAATCGTGAAATCGAAAAAGGAGATACATATCCCATGATCAATGAGCTGCCACTGGAATCTTTTGGCCCGTACTGGTTCGCCAACTTTGGCGCGGTAATGCTGTTAGGCGATGTGAGTAATGTGGAGCATGTGTGGCAGATGGAGAAGGAGAGTGTGGATTGGAGTAAACAGTGCTTGGGCAGCTTTTACATCAAGCCCAACTACCCTGGTCGTTCGAGCCATGTCTGCAATGGCGGCTTCCTAGTCAGCGATGTTGCGAGAAATAGAGGTGTGGGTCGCTTGATGGGAGAGGGTTACCTTGAATGGGCCCCTCAGCTCGGCTACACGTATTCGGTCTTCAATCTCGTCTACGAGACCAACATCGCCTCTGTCAGGATATGGGATGCTCTAGGCTTCAAGCGCATCGGTCGTGTTCCCGGCTGTGGCAACTTGAAGTCTGTAGATCATCTCGTCGACGCCATCATCTTCGGCCGCGACCTTAATGGCGAAGCCGAAGACTATCTCTCCGAAGAACGCTTCGACAAAATCCGCTACTATCTCAAGACAGGAAACTACCCCAACGGCGCCGACCGCGCAGAGAAATCCAGACTCCGCAGCGCAGGCGCACATTACCGCATCGTTCCCTCCCCCTCTGTCGACGGCGAAGAAAAACTAATGCTAAAAGACAAGGAAGTAATCTCCGACCCGCAGAAACAATATGAGATCGCGTTGAAGACACATACCGCTACTCATGCGGGCATCAACAAGACAACAGCTTCCATAGCGGAGAAGTATCATTGGATAAGGATCAAAGAGACGGTGTCACAGGCTATTCGCAATTGCGCGAATTGCAAAGAGACTGCCAAACCTGGTGCCAGAATATCTCCTCCTGCCTCCAAGGATGCTTCTCAACCCAGTCCTGCTGCTCAACATACTGCACTCCTCGACCCTGCCACTTCCTCACACGCAGACCTTACAAATCAACTCCATCCTTCCACGGCCGATGAAATGGATCTCTCCACTTTCAACGATCCCTACGGGAACATCCCTGTAGATCCTGCTTTGATGGGAGGCATATACACCCCTGGAGAAACCTTTGGAAGCAATGTCCAGGGAGGAGCGGAAATGGGTGCTTTTACAGAAGTCACAGAGCAAGAAGCTCAAGCCCATGGAGGCATTTACGGCGCCCAGATCTATGGTGATGATGCGGATGCACAGTTGCAGGCAGAATTGGCGGGGGATATGATGGTGAGAGGAGGTGGTGGTGGGCAGTGAAAGAAAACGAGAATCAGATGCAGAGTAGGTTGAAGTTGAGATGAAATTTGCTTCAAGCCCCAACTCCAGAACTTAAAACGCTACGCTCATACACTTGATCCTTGCACGTCTCCCTAGCTTCCAACAGAGAATCGATATCCCGACTTGCAACGCTGAGTGCCAGCATCGTGGAGTCGTAGATCTCGTGGACAAGTTTGACCTTAAGAACACCAATAGTGTCCTCCTTCTCCTCGTCCAGGACCATGAAATGGACGTAGTTGAGACCAGAATTCTTGTTCATTCGGAGATCGATGACGGCTTCTATCTTCATCACTCTTGCCGGCGAAAGGTGAACGTAGAGCTCCCCTACCATCGAGTCGAACCGTAGCCTATATTCAATGGGGTCACAGATAACCACAAAACATGGTTCCCAGTCCAGGTTGTGGTCATACCTAATCCTGTGGATAGTAGATCGAGCTAATTGATACAAGTCTGGAGACCTGCTACTGATCAGACTTTACATTGATACAAGATGCGTTCCGGCGAAAGTCGATCTTAGGTATTAATATCTCTTGAGGATGTGAGTATAACGCAGCTAGCTGAAGTGACAAGACTTTGAGGTCATGATAAATCGTCAGTCTTTCTGTACAGAACTTTCTAGTGGCAAGTCTTCGTATTCTGCGATGTTCAAGTCCATCGGCCAAAGCAATCCGTCGGCTGCGTCAGAGGTTGGGAGCACCTTCCCCTGTTTGCCATTTCCCAAACACACCAACGCCGTCACATGCGTGTCTCAACCATTCCAGCACACGGAAGGTCTGTCCAACACTGCGTCTTGCCGCCACAGAGTGTATAAGTTCTTCCAACTCAAGCTCGACCTCCGAACTTCCTTCATCAACAACATTTCTCAAAGCTCATCATCACACAACAGCAGCTTCAACACCACTCATCTCTCGTCTACCATTAACAACCAACCAACCGCCAACATGAGCACCGACTTCGGACGCAAGGTTTGTCCATCCATCTCATCGATCCATCATGATTCATCACTGACATTCATCACAGGATCTCTCTGACAAGGTCGAACTCTCTGACATCCATTGCCCACGTGCAGCACTGACGAAGGTGAAGGTCGCTGAAGCTGTCACTCCTCAGTCTGCAAAGGGCCCTCTTGACGTCTCCAAGGAGCACGCCACTGGTCACGCCGACCGCGTCGCCAGGTTTGTCTTTCATCCTCATCTCCTTCCATCATCATCGCTCGACTGACATAGATCACAGAGACATCAAGCCCGATGACCACAAGTCCGTCAGCCAGTCTGTTCACGACAAGGCCTCTCGCCTGACCAGCTCGGACAATGCCACCGATGCCAAGTCCACCACCGACCACAAGTCTGTCACCGACAAGATCAAGGACGCTGTTCCCGGCCTCCACTCTGACAAGCGCTCTGATGCTGCTGAGGTTCTTGACCCCAACACCTCGACCACGGCTTCCGATGTCGTCAACAAGAACCTCTGAAGCGAGAAGCATGACTCACATTGGTGGATTCTCTGATGGATTCTCTAATGGAAACACGTCTACAATAATCCTTTGACTGCATGATGATACGACATGGCGGATACCCCTTTGCACTGCACCTGAGACAGAAATGAAATACCTTTGAAGCTCGCTTACTTCTGCTTGCTTCTGTGACTTGTCCTTGTTATACTTGTTCATGTCTTGGCTTGGCATTCTTCTCACAGACACACAACACTCTACCAGTCCTTGTATATAGTCTTCTTCCTTGACGCTCTCTGACCTTCTCCACCATTGTCACAGCAGCAACCCTCGCATCTCTCACTGGCAGAGAGCTGTCCTAGTGGGAAGTGCATAATCTCCGACAGGCAAGTAGGGGTAACAGCGACGACGTAGACAGCGTCACTGACCGCAGGGCTGAGATAGCTGAGCTCCAAGGGTCGAGATGAGGCGAAGATCTGCTTGATAGTAGGCACTATTGTTTCCCAGAAGCCCGTGAATGATTCACAGACGAAGAGACAGGTGAGCTCATTAGAGACTTTGGCATACAGACCAAGATGTCGTCGAGAAGTCGTGAAGATCGACAGGGCGCATTTTCAACTGATGAACCTCGGAGAAAGGAAGCTTTCCCCGCATGACGCGCCCATCATCCTCCAACTTTCTCGAGCTGCCTCCCAAACACAAACCTTTTGCAAGCCAGCCATTGCAAACAGCTTTCAACACACCAAATATGCCTCTACGACTACCCACCCGCCGGGTCTCCACCCTTTTCAACCACACCCTCACCAAACAATACCGCCACTACAGCACTCCCCACTCGACCCTGAAAATCTCCCAAGTCCCCGCGCCGCACGCCGGCAGCATACGCATAATCTCTCTAAACCGACCTTCTGCCCGCAACGCAATCTCCACCCAACTCCTCGCCGAACTACGACAGCAGATTCAAGAAATCAGCGCCGAGGCTGAAGATGGACCCACACGAGCTTTGATCCTATCCAGCGAATCCGACGCGGCATTTTGCGCTGGAGCAGACTTGAAAGAAAGATTGACAATGAGTGGAGAGCAAACCAAGCAATTCCTGACAACACTGAGGGATACCTTTACACGGCTTTCTTTACTCAGGATTCCTACCATCTCGGCGGTTGGGAGTGTGGCTTTTGGGGGTGGGTTGGAGGTTGCTCTCACGACTACATTTAGGGTGTTTGGGTCGACGGCTAGTGTTGCGTTGCCCGAGACTAGACTCGCCATAATCCCCGGTGCTGGGGGTACTTTTCGTCTTCCGGCGCTGATTGGTACGGCGAGAGCTAGAGATATGATTTTGACGGGTCGAAGGGTCACTGCCGCAGAAGCCTATTTCCTCGGTCTTTGTGATAGATTGGTTGAAGTTGGAGAAGCGCAAGGGGATAAGAAGAAAGAGAGGGAACTGGTCTTGACACAGGCTGTTGCTCTAGCGAGGGATGTTTGTGAAGGTGGTCCTGTTGCTACGAGGGCTGCTCTGCAGGCGGTGAATAGTTGGGGTGCTGGTGAGGAGGCGGAGAATGCGGCGTATGAGAGGGTGTTGGGTACGCAGGATAGGATTGAGGCTCTCAAGGCTTTTGGGGAAAAGAGGCCGCCTGTGTTTAAAGGGAGGTAGATGGAAGATATGCCCACTTTGGAGACAAGGCAAGTGGAAAGCTGTAGTTGTTCATGGTCTGGACAAATCAAGAGGTTAGATGGTCATCTACCTTTGTCGACATGGCTTGATCAATACATGGAGAGTCTCACTTCAACAGGACTTGGCCGGGATATAGATGCAAGGTAGCAGCAATACACTCTCATCATATTGTCCCAAGGGCGACTGATGATGAATGATCAAAGAGCAACGTTTGTCATCTGACGTGATATGCTATGCTATGCTATGCTATACTATGCGGCGTTCCTATGCGGCCTGCCACTCAATCTCCAGCTCAGTGCCATGCTTCTGGCTTTTGTTGTCGACATAGACGTCGATCTTGTTGAAGCGGTATGGGACCTCGTCAGCATAAAAGGTCGTCTGACCTTGGTAACCAAGTGATTCTCCTTTGCTCTCGAACACGGTGGCGTCCGAGACATCAGACGAACACTCAAATGCACCGTCAACAACAGCACACTTACCTCGCGAGCTCTCCAGACTAAAGCCTCCGTCATGCTGAGTAGCACGGAAGGTGGCACAACTCTTGGTGTCGTACCAAACACCGCCTGAGATGATGCATCCTTTGCTCTTGCCACCAGTGTGGACATTGAGGTGTCCTCTGCCACTAAATGCAGGTCCAGTAGGTTCGGGAACATGAGTGCGAGTATGTGTAGGTCTTGGTGCAGGACGACCCGCCTTGGCCTTTGGTGGGTAGCGGATACCACTGTAGGGGCATGTGCTCTTTCCGCCGTCTGGATCCGCAGCCTCGAAGACGCCAGTCTGCACACTGCCACGAACCTCGAAGTGGTACCAGATTTCGTCCAGCTTTCCAGCCTTGCAGCCAAGCGTGACTGGACGACCGTGTCTCGAGCTCAAGGCATTCTGAATCTGGTCTCTTGTGTATGTCTTTGTTGTACTAGGCTCAATACCGGCATCCATCAACCATTCATAGCTAGGACGCTGAGAATAGAGCGAAACGGCGGCAGCAAAGTAGTCGACGACCTCTTCCTTGCTGCGGTACGAGGTGTAGCAGTCGGGGTCGAGGGTGGAGACGCAGGTGCCGTGCTTGGACCACTCGTGCATCCACAGACTCTCGTCGTTGCCCTTGTAGTCCTTCCAGTACATGGTCATGTTGGACAGGAGATCGGTAGCGCCGAATGACTCCAGAATCTCTCTGATGTTGTGGTATGCACGCTTGTCATCGCAGTTGGCTTCGTAGCTTCCGTCGCATCGATCGGGCCTGGCGAAGCGGAAGCGGAAGCGTTAGCGAGCTGGAGACTAATCGAAGGTCTGTTGACAGGTACTTACCACAGTCCGTGTATAGTCCAGGCATCATCCTGTATGAGAGCGTTAGCTGTCTGCTAGCCAATGATATCATATGGACGAGCACTTACCGGCCCAGTAGGAGGGTTCGTGTCCCAGAACTGAGTCTGTAGCATCTGACCACCAGGATAGTTGAAACAGCACAGGTTCTCTACGACAGTCGTGTTGTGACAGCTCAATTGAGGATTGGGGCATGATGGGGCGCTGCCGGCATCAAGGCCGAAGTAGGATTGAGCTCCCAGGAGGATCTGAGATCCACGAAGCAGCGAGTTCACGGGAGGCAGCCTCGAGGGGTCGACTAGGTTAGACCAGAAGTCGGGCATCTGTATGACTACCATCTTGACACCTTGATGGTCGGGATGTGTAGATGCGGATTGCTGTGAGTTGAGGGAGAGCGATCGAGGTGAATAGAAGTAGACTGCAGCTTGATATGGGGGAGAAGTCGAGGAAGAAGGTCAGAGGGTGCTGGTGGGCATGTGGACAAGGCACCTCATGCAGGAACGGTAGCACATGACTGGTTGCTCATCGCCCGGTGTGACCGATAAGCCGTCTTATCGCAAGAGACCCCGTCATACCCCGGCCGATAAACTGCGCCACACCCGGCGTTCCTGCAGCATCTGACGACTTTGCCCGTTTTGAGCTTTGCGTCCTCTATGACAGAGCCTCTATCCTAGCAGATCTCAACACCGGGCGCTATACTGGCCCAACTGACTTACTCACCGGGTCTTTGTCATGTACCAGATCTCCTCTGAACGGCAAGTCTCTCGTGAGTCGTGATCAAACAATGGTACGGCAAAGCAACATGCGGCGAACACGCCTAGCCAGTCATTACCGAAGTTCATCCGTCTTACCGCTGGCTGCCTGAACCCCAAACCAGCTCTTTGAATACTATATACATCCGAGCAGACTGCTGGTTCAGTTGGAAAGTCTCACATATTTCTATGACCTATTTTGTATGAGTCACATAACATTGTAAGTGATGCAACTCCATGCAGATCAAGATGCCATCTTCGACCATACATCATTGTCACGAGATTCTTGAATGATCTTCACATCATGTTGGTAGGTGGCATAGGATGGCAAGACTGTGAGGCATCGTCGAGAAACTTAGCACTGACAGTATCCCAGGCTCCTGTTCTTTCATCACTATTTTTGCTATTCACCCAGGCGGTGTCTGCACAGCCACACAACACACATCACGCACAGCCCGAGGGCCTCATAAGTCAAGAACAACCTCTACTTACTTCGATTATCGACGACAATTCTACCATGCCGAATCAACACGGCTATCGCGCTGTTTCATACTTCGTGAACTGGGTACATGATCCTCCGGCTTGATCGTGAGTTGCAGATCACTAATGCTGTCCAGGCGCCATATGGCAGAAATCATCACCCCCAGGATCTACCCGCCGATAAGCTTACCCACGTGCTCTACGCCTTTGCAAATATCAAACCCGACACTGGCGAGGTCCACCTCACCGATGCGTGGTCAGACACAGACAAGCATTACGACGGCGACTCTTGGAATGATGTTGGTAACAATGTCTATGGCTGCTTAAAGCAGCTCTTCTTACTCAAGAAGCGCAACCGTAATCTCAAAGTCTTGCTCAGTATCGGTGGCTGGACTTACTCACCCAACTTCGCTGGACCTGCGTCGACCGAAGCTGGTCGCCAGTGCTTTGCCAACAGCGCCGTCGCTCTGCTTAAAGACCATGGTTTCGATGGTCTGGACGTTGATTGGGAGTATCCTGCAGATGATGCTCAGGCTCGCGACTATGTGCTTCTACTGCGAGCCACCAGGCTTGCTCTGGATGCCTACTCACAGTCTGTACCAGGAAATCCACACTTTGCGCTCACAGTTGCTGCACCATGTGGTCCTGAGAATCTGCATCGCATGCACTTGCGCGATATGGACCAATATCTCGACTTCTGGAATCTGATGGCATATGATTTTACAGGTACCTGGAGTACAGCCTCAGGTCATCAGACCAATATCGGCACATGTCCTCAGTGTCCCGATAGCACACCTGTCAGCACTGAGAATGCTGTTCGCTGGTACACTGATCACTGCGGAATTCACCCGAGCAAGCTCATCATCGGCATGCCTCTATACGGTCGCAGTTTCGCAAACACCGATGGTCCTGGTGCAAAATACGCAGGAGTCGACTCTGGAGCTAGTTGGGAAGCCGGATCTGGTATCTGGGACTACAAGGTCTGTCTCACGTTCTGTTCCGTTCAACCTACCAAGCACAATTTTCCATGATGCATAAAAAGACATTGCATGACCTTTTCCATCGTTCTTACTAAACACCGGATACATGGTGAGAGACTGTGGTATGTGTCAGAACTCCCTTCTTTGTGATGTGAGGGTTCTGCTCTACTGCGGTCTTTTGCCTGGGTCCATGAGCACCAAATAACTTGATCTAATCTGACTCCACCAATACATCCTTTGCTATCACGCTATCATCACTTCTTCTCGCATCAAGAAGGCTGACTTGATCAATGTAGGCACTCCCTCGGCCTGGCGCAACCGAATACCACGACCCTTCATTCGGCGCCTCTTGGAGCTATGACCCCTCCACTCGCGTGATGATTACATACGACAATCCGGCCTCCTCGGCTGCAAAGGTGTCTTACATTCAACAACGCGGTCTCGGTGGCGCGATGTGGTGGGAGAGTAGTGGAGATAGGGTCGGTGAGGGAAGCATTATCACTCTGGTCACCAATGGAATGGGAGGCTTCGGAGGAAGACATATGGAGAAGGTAGACAACTGCCTGGAGTACCCCAACAGCAAGTTTGATAACTTGAGGAACAAGTTTACCAACGAGTAAAGATTGTAGGGGACAATCTGAGGGGAAATGCTTTATACTTCACAGCCAGGTAGCGGAAATATAGAGCAATCTCTCAAACATAAAAAGCATTCCCACAATCTCAAGCTCAACACAACACCTTGCCCTCCAGATTGATAACCCTCCTCTTCGTACCTAAACATTCCGCCCACTCCACAATACCCACCTCATCCCATCTAAAGTCAACACTCCCACCACCCTTGACCCTCAACCCCTCCACACTCCCCCCACCCCATTCCCTGGGTACAGCAGGCCCCAACACTACAACCCCCTCTGCATCAAGATCCACAACCAACATGCCCAAAACCGCACCCACGAAGCCAAAATTCGCATCAATCTGAAAAGGCTCGTTTTTGCCACTATACATACTCAAGCCATTATCCGCAATATTCTGACTTGTCGTCAACTTCAACTCGTGATATGCGGTGACGGAGTCATTTAAACGGGCGTAACAAGCTGCACGCCAGAGTTTTTCCCACCCGGCATTTGCGTCGGCGATGCCTGGGCCGCGGATGCCGAGGGTGTTGCGGATGGCGGAGTGGATCGTGGTGTTTGTGTAGCCGTGTGAGAGGGCAGAGAGGGAGGTGCCGGGATACCAGCCTATGAGGTGGGAGAGATGGCGGTGGGTGCTATTTTTGTTGTAGAGGGTGTCCAAGGGGGTGAGTTTCCATTCTTGGAGGGTGTGTAGATTGGGGTTTATGTGGAGGCCTGTGTCTAGATGTTTGAGAGCGTGGGTGAGTTTTGGGATCATGGGGGATGAAATGTTGAGGAGCTGGGCAGAAGATAAGGTGTTAGTGAATAGAGAGTGTAGGAGTTGTTGGTAGTGGGTGCAGCCAAAGGTAGTGGGACCATGTTCTGGCGACGAGCAAGGGTTGACTACTAAGGTGCCGTCGTTGAAATTTCTGTCTTCCTGGAGTTGGCTTAGCCAGAAAGAGGCGACACCTTCTAGTAAAGGATATCTGGAAGATGATAATTAACGTTGTTTCTTCGAGTGAATCTACCTTTGCATACGTACCCTATTTCGCGCAGCCAGTCAAAGTCTTGAGAGTAGGCGAAATGATCCGCTACATGTAACATCATCCACGCTGCTGACGCAGGGTAGTTCGCCCAATACTCATCTCCTGTCTTCATACCAGTATGGCCAAAGACATTCATCTCGTCATGAGTCACCCAGCCAGGTGCATCGTAAAGCAATTTCGCAGTCTCAGAGCCGCGAGGTACCCAGGTTTCGGTCATGTACCGCCAGAGTGCTTCTTGCAGCTCACCAAGTCCGGTTTGATCTACACCCCAATGGTTCATCTGAAGATTGATATTGGCGTGGTAATCAGCTCCCCAGGCGTTTTGAAGTCCATATGCCCACTTTCCTTGCAAATTTGGTGGTAGTGAGTTTTGCCGTGAGGATGAGATGAAGAGATGACGACCATAGTCAAACTGGAGAGACTCGTAGTAAGGATCACTTGTTATGTTCTCTGTGCCTTTGTATGCGGCTATGATGTCTGCTGTTGGTTTCCCTGTGGATCCTGCCGTGTCTGGGAGGTTGAGGACGAATCGTGAAGATAGAGCTGTATAGTCTGCGACATGATTCCTCAGCAACATTTTCGCACCTTTGCTTGCCGCTAGAGCTGTAACAGTTGCGATATGGTCGCCTGGGTCAGAGCCCCGGAAGGAGTAATTAGCGGCTGCATTTCCCTTATCCTCAGCATAGTTTGTGCCAGCACCGACCACTAGAACTATGGATCGGTGCTTTGGGTTCGGGTGGATTGTGAGAACACCAGATGAGCAAGATAGTGAAGCAACTCTGCCTATGAGCATTGCTTCAGCACGATACAGCATGCCGATGTCAGTTTGAGTGATGCCTTCGAGAGTCGCAATCCTCGTGGACGTCGAACATGAAGAGTTGACCAGAGATGCATTAGATTGCTGATTCTCAAACGAGATGTCAATCTTTGGTAGCGAATTGGTCGAAGCAAGCTCGTATACGCAGACACTGTCCGGATAGGAGCAGTAGAACTTGCTATTCTCTCTTCAGTACCACTGGTCACTGTATCCTACATTATAGCTCTGCTTACCTGGTATATATACTACCGCTGGATACGAAAGAGGTCGTGTGTACTCCATTGGTCAAATCGAGTGATCTGTTATAGGACGTGAATTGTGTGATGCCGTCAATTGAGATGGTCAGATTCCCAAGCACGGCATAACTTCCGTAATTGTTGTTGTCACCCATCAGAGCTGTCACGTTCCCTGTGCCATTCTGAAAAATCCAGTCGCGGATACCTGGAAGCGCTGAAGACACAGGGCTCTCCGGATTGCCTCCGTTGTAGCTCGAGTTCTCAAAGGGTCCACCGCTCCAGAGCGAGTCAATATTGAAACTGAATTTTTCCTGTCCGGGATTGCCAAAAGGCAGTGCTGTCAAAACGTGAGCAACGCTTCTGTTCTCTGAACAGATGAAGCTCACCAGCCAGTCGCCCATTGCCAACAGGATACGCTGTCCTGATGATGTCTGTGAAGTTGTTTGCTGGCTCTGTTGCCCACAAGGCTTTAGCATAGGTGCCTTGCACTATACACAACCCACACACTAAACCACTCGCTGTGAATGAAACCATATTGCACGATCAGTAGGTAATGTGCTTTCGAGTGTCCCAAGACATGAGAATATGTAGACAAGTGCAGCACATCTCCGCTCATGATGTGGTGAGGGGTGCATACGATCGGCTTGGTGTATTTGTCCGGATCGTCATTGATCAACTGCACCCAACATGATCCAGACAACAATAGGATGCGCTAACTACCAAGATGTACTGCAAGGCTTCGGGGCAATGACACGCGAATATGTTGAACATGGAATTGCTTGTCGCCCCTACACGCAATGACAACATGGGTGGCAGTCAACATGTCAAGCGAAATGTGGTCGAGCGTGGTAAATGAGAAAGGAGCAAGTAAAGAGTTGCCCATTGAGTAAGGAAAAGTTAGGCGGACAGGGCAATAGCGTCGTCGCTGCCACTAGCGATAGGTTGCACGACCTTACTGTATGTCTCATTCGCTATATGCGCGGTGACAACTAGCCAGTGATACTCGTGTAATACGCAGCTACCCTACTGGCTGTTTCGGTCTTTAGTATTTGCGGATTCCGACCTTGTCGTCGCCGCCATCTCTACTACTTCCGGCTTCCTCCCCCGAGCAGAAAGGGCAGACACAGTTCAGATAACTCCGCAATTCTTGGCATTACCCTCACGTCTGTGCGGCGAACTTTTGAAGATTCCATCTTGAAGGCGTGCAAGATTTCAAGCCTCTTCACAACCACAAGCTTGCGCCAACACGAATCATGGAGGCGCTGAGCGATTTCAACACACTACAGCAGCAGATCCAAGCATCTCTCGTCGCCGTCACCCGATCATCGCAAGCCATCTCATCAGAGGACCTTGGCTTCCACCGATCGCTCGATCCAACATTAGGTCGCGCACTCGACTCACAGAATGCGCGGCTTCTGGGGCTTGCGGAACGCCTTTTGGGCAATGCGGCTTCGAGTACGGAGCTTGTACGTCCCAAGTTCCGCGACACAGACGCTGTAGACGCACAGTGGAGCAGCGTCGTTGATGTTATCGACAGCTTGCTTGAGAAAGCAGACATAAGCCTGGATGAGTACACGGGTGCCGTCAAGCGCTTGAGCCCGTCAGTAGAGCAGGTCAGACAATTCTCCTTCTCTTTGCTCCCACTTCCATTCCACTGACACAAACCAGGCACAAACACCGACCAAATCACAAAAGTTCTCGCGCATCTCCAACGCCCTCCGAACACAAGATATTCCTAAACCTCAGCAAAACTTCAGAGACATTCCCACAAATGCCGAATCAGGACCTTTCAAGCCGCTTCTTGAATCGAAGCCGCACGCCGTTATACCCATGAACAAGGCTCTGGAGCTATTCAAGGACCAGAACGACGTCCAACACCACCCGCACCCTTATCAAAAGGAAATCGAGCAGTACGAGTACCCGTCATTTGTCTACACACAGGCAGAGCCAATTCCCTATCACCCATACGAAAGCACAACCGCTATATTTGTCGACACAGAAGAGAAGGTAGATGAGATGCTCCAGGAGCTCAAGAAGGCAAAGGAAATCGCCATTGATCTGGAACACCATGACTCTCGCTCATACATCGGTATTGTATCGTTGATGCAGATCAGCACTCGCGACAAGGACTGGATCGTCGACACGCTCCAACCCTGGAGGAGAAAGCTGAACAAGCTCAACGACGTCTTTGCCGACCCAAAAATCCTCAAGGTGCTGCACGGTGCTTTCATGGACATCACCTGGTTGCAAAGAGACTTGGGATTGTACGTGGTTGGTCTGTTCGATACGCATTTCGCATCGAGAGCGCTTGGATACTCTGGAGGAAGTCTGGCATTCTTGCTCAAGAAGTTTGTCAACTTCGACGCGCAGAAGCAATACCAAACAGCCGATTGGCGCATCAGGCCCCTTCCGCAGGAGATGTTCGAGTATGCTCGTTCCGACACACACTTCCTTCTCTACATTTACGACAACATGCGCAATGAGCTCATCCAGAAGTCCGACTTTACCGTTCCCGACCATGAGAAGGACAAGATTCACGATGTCTTGACTCGCTCCAGAGATACTGCTCTGCAGAGATACGAGCACCCCGTCTATGATGCTGCACAAGGTCTGGGCGCTGGAGGATGGTATAAAATGCTGAGCCGCACACCTGCTCTTCTGGACAAGCAGCAATTTGCCGTCTTCCGCGCTGTGCACCAGTGGCGTGACGAGGTTGCCCGTGAACAGGACGACAGCACGCACTATGTCATGGCGAATCACAACATTTTCAGCCTCGCAAAGGGAATGCCCACCGAGAAGGCTGCTCTCTTCGCTATGCTTCAGCCTACCAGCCAGACTGTTCGCCTGAGAGCCGACGAGCTGGTCTCGGTCATCACCAAAGCAAAGGAGCAAGGCGAGAATGGACCTGACATGATCTCAACGTTAAAAGAGATTGAAGCACATCTTCTGGGTGTCCCGCTCAACGAGACACCCAGCCACTTTGCTGCTCTCAAGCAGTCACAGCCCCAGCAAACTATCCCCGCGTCAGTACCATCGGCACCAACAGCACCAGTCCTGAGTCGCACCGACAGCAGTGAGCCGTCAGGGGTTCGCGCAAAGGTTTCGCAGTTTTGGGGTGGTCTATTCGGCGGTAAAAGCCAGAACCACCAATCTCGCCCATACTCGTCGAACATCTCACTATCGGTTCCTCTCCCTCCCCTGACAGCCGAAGTGTTCGCTTCCTCGGCGCCATTAACAGCACCGCCCACACCCCAGGCTTCAGCAACACCCACATCCGCCACACCTTCGGAATCGCTAGCAACACCCAAGGACCGCATCTTCACCCTCAAGGAGCGTGGACGCAAGCGCAACTCTGATGCCATCTCAACCGGCAACGACAGTCTTGCGACCAACGCCGATGAGATCGATATTACAGCCGACGAGAGTCTGGAAGCAAAGCGTGAGGCTAAACGCCAACGAAAAGAGCAGAAGAAGGCCGAGAAGGAGGCAGCAGCTCAACACGCAGCAGAAGTTGATTTGGAGGAAGAGGAGTTTGACTATGCGGCTGCACCTAGTGTGCTAGATGCCAACAAGGTGGACCCTCGTGATAGGAAGAAGAACAAGAAGGAACCCAAGACAAAGGCGTTTAATCCTTTCGTCAAGGCGCTCGACACGATGAAGGGTATGCCCAGACAACAAAAGGAGAGAGCTGGCAAGAGTATGACTTTCAGGAAGTAAAGGCATGGGGTTTATTGGGTCTCACTCGGAGCATGCATGTGTTATATAGATTCCGGACCTCAACAGGTCAACAAGATACGATAATTCATTCTTCGTAAATACTTCGATGTGGTTGGTGACCCTGACTGTATTTACCCCACAAACGCACATGTCAGACTCTCGTCAACTCGTCCCTTGACACATCAACAACTCGCACTTTTGGTCTCTGCTCTTCGTCAAGTACTTGAAACATAGCATCACATCGCCAAGGCGCCAAAACTCTCCCATCATGTCCATCGCCTCTCCCCGACCAAGCCTGAACCTGCCATCAAGCCGCCGCACGTCAACAAGCACAATAAACTCCATTCGCTCATCCTCGACCATCCGCGACACCAACACACCCACTCCAGCAACCGCCCGCCGCCGCGACCGCGCCGCCCTCCGCGAATTTTACAACCTCCAAGCCGCAGCAGCCTCTGACGCCGCAAACCCACCTCCAAACCCCACTCTCCGACCCGAAGACCAAGGACCACAAGATGCGCTATCCGCCCTCGACTCTGCCTCCTTTGACCCAAATACCTATATTACCAATTTGCTGGAAACGTCTTCTGCGGAGACACTGCTTCGTACCTTGAATGCGATTACGATATCGAGTCTGGGACTTGAGGGCGATAAAAAGGCTTTGGTGTATGATAATTATACGACGTTGCTTTCTGCTACGAGTACGATATCTAGGATGAGGGAGAATGTGGATCCTATGGCGCCTGTGACTACGACTCTGGAGCCTGCGGTGGGTCATATTGTTGATGTTGCTGTGGGGATTGCTGGACAGAGGAAGATTGGGGATGGAAAGGAAGGGCAGAGGGAGCTTGTGAGGTGGGTGTTGGGGGCACCGGAGAGACTAAAGAGTTTGAAGGAGGAAGGGAAAGAGGAGGAGATGAGAAGGGAGTGGGAAAGGGTTAAAGAGCTATTAGGGAAGTGGGAGGGCGTCAAGGGTGTCGAGGAGGTGAGGGGCAAGTGTGAGGAGGTTGTAGGAGTGGTATGAAGACTCGCAATACAGCAAGACGAACAAGCACAACACGAAACATCGCGGCATGTCTCGTGGTCGGAGAGACAGGATACCGTAGCAGCCGGATGACGTGACTCCAAGGCACAGGAGACGAAAGTCAACCTCCTTGCTCTCACGCCCGCCCATGTCAAACCCAAGGCTCCATCAGATTGTCGCATGAGACCCAAGCGAAAGGAGAACCACACATGTCGTAAGATGCGACGCCCGAAGTCCGACACATGATGTCCAAGGCTCACGAATTCGACACTATCGAGAAGATCATGAGGAGACCAATGCAGAATTGACAAGATCACAAAGTCGAATGCATGAAACACTTTACAAGCTCTGTCACTACACGTGAGGGCACTACATGACCACGACATCACACCCCGAGTGAAGCTGGAATCCATGTGGTTAGCCAAGTATCTCAGTCTAGGTTGATGTAGCTTCGACAACGTCGACGTCAGATACATTTCGAAATCTACACTCGCAAAGCGATTAGACAGATGCTCCCAAAGACAACGGGGTTTTATGTAGAATTGACCTTGGACATGATTGAACGTGGTACAGTCGTATTCATCACTCTTTGACAGGGTTATACTCCCACCATGAACATTTTTCTTGTCATTTCTAACGTATATCAACTGCACAGTAGACGGATCGCGCGACAATCTATGTTTTGCGAAACTGAGAAACCGTAATCAGATCGCCAATAGACATGTGTGGTAGAAAAGCAATCGTCAAGAAGATATGGGGGTTTTCAAGGTCATGGCGTGAGATAGAACGTACAACACACGCTTTAGAACACTCGGTGATACGAGATGGTAAAGCATTAAGAGAGCACAGAATCAAAGTGTCCAAGCGGTCAAGGATACATCTAAGGAGTCAAGCCTGTACTGAAAACACCTCGGGGGGTCCGAACTACTCCAGTTATACCCAGTGCAGAGCTTGTCAAAGAAGTGTGGATATACGAGTACCAGCTGGTTGAAAGCCAACATCTAATCCTGAATCCTTGAGTCTGCCATGTACATCTTGTGGAGTTTGACTTGTGACGAATGTCATCTTGTGTGCAGCACAAACGCTTCCGTTTCTATACATGACCTCCACGAGGTGGAAATCAGAAACAGGACGTTCGGAGGCGCTACACTCCAAGTAGAGCGGTCCTCAGCGGTTGATCACCTGTTCAGTGCCGGACATCGCCCATTAGGCTACGTCCGCGACTCAGGGTCTCCTCTGTAGACACTGTACCGAATGGTGAGGTAGAAGTACGCGTAGAAACTCAGCTTGTGTCGAGAGGTGGTTGAGCTAGCAGTACACGATTGTGTTCGAGCTTGTTGTTGACCTGTAGAGTTGATCTGATCTGATCCCAACTTGTGCTTATTCTGATTTGGGAACGGCACTGGCTTGCTTTATACAAGAGATGAGACTCTGGGGTGCCAATCGTCGTAGGGGGCTATTCTCAGAGCATACGTGAATGTACGGGGTTACCATCACGACCGCAATCGTGTGAAAGGCGTATTTTGTCAGTGTACTACTCTGTGCGAGTGAGCCCTATGCTGGGGTTCGCGAGCGATAGACAGTGAACAAGGCGTGCGGATTGCGAGAAGTTCGATCGTTTTGCGAGCGCGAAGTTGGAGAATCTGGGAACAAGGTGTCAACTAAACGGTCAGTGAGCGATTGCGTCTCCGCCGGTGCATATAGAGACTTGATCAATCTCGTGTCTTAGATCTGCAATATGAGCAACGCAAGCAAAGCAACTCACAGCGAGAGCTGAGGTTCGAACAAGACCTGGCCAAGAAGACAAGACAGCTCCAAGAGTCTACAAATGATCAGAGACATCGACCAGAGGCTTGACTTGCCCAGAACCGCTTGATTGCGTGCCATGACATTCGTCAATCGCCAAGGACTTGGTGAACAGGAGGCGATTACCAGTGATGCATCGAGTATCTGCCATGAGCTTGACCTTCATGCTTGACTTGCAGCCACCTTCTTGGCTTGCTTCATGATTGACGACATGTCTTGTCCTTGCAGCTCCATGACAAAGATACCATGAACAGAAGGAGTGCTAGATGACCGACTGACCCAAGCCGAGCAAAAGGCAGAGCCTTGCCGATCTCTCGAAGTACCTCACACGCTCGCGATGAATCGACAAATGCGGTGAAGAGCGACAGAGCGGCGCTCGCCTGCTTCTAGAACTGATCAATCAGATCCACATAACATACCCCACGACCCCGAAGCATATCTTGCGTGCATGAGCGGCAGAGAGCCACCTGACTCAAGCTTCCTATTGGTTTTGCCGTCCAGACCTATTTGCCATTGCCAGCTCAAGTCTGGCTCAGCCATTCACTTTACGGAGAACCAACACATGTGCTGTAGAAAAGGGAATCATGAGGCGACCATCCCAGCCTCCGGAAAGATAGTCAGGTTCCGGGAGATTGCCAATGCCACACGTGCTGCCCCCAAGGACGGTGTACTGTGTTAGCGACAGAGATAGCCGCGGCCGTTTGGGCAAGACCGAAGAATGAAGGATCGTTGAATGTGCAGGAGATGCCAAGCGGATTATGTTCAGCATTTCAGCCGGTACAAAGTGCAACTATCGCTTGCAACACGAGCGTCGTGAATCGCGCTTCGATAGACACTCCTTAGTTCGAAGGATCGTGGTGGTCGGTGCCATTCCAAGTAATAATGGTTCAGCATGTGTTGCATGGGTGACGAGCATATCCACTCCAAGTCTCGGGATGTCCATCTGCCATCTGGAAACACCACTTGAAGCAAGACATTAGGCGCTCGTACCCTGAGAAAATTTTCTTCCTGTTCGGGATGTCACCGAACCTTCGCAGTCGAGGTGCAGAGATGAAAGTTAGGATGGAAGTGGCTTTGCCAAGTCAACGTGGAGTCCCCGAATGGCCAGGCACGACGAACAACGTGCTACCCCAGACGAACGTGATTGGCTCCTGCTCACTTCACGCCTTCCACACGCTCCTTGGGTCTTCGAGCCTCGCTCGGCTATCTGCAATAAACGTCCCTCGGGCTCACCAATCTACGGCAAGGAGTAGGCTGGCGACGCGACTAGAACAGGATAACATTGCACAAGCCGCGACCACCTGCAATTTTTTCTCGGTCTTGCCGCGACACGTGTGAGTGGGACGACTTTCCAATAATTGGTCCAAATCAAGCAGTCCTGACATTGCATGTACCACAAGCCTGGGACTATCGAAGATTCAAACATACAGATGCTGTCCGCAAGCTTGAGTGAAAGCGAGATGAGTAGCTTCACAAAAGTGATATGCCGAACCATGTTTCGACGGCAATGTGAGCCAGAACATAACCGTAGACGGAAAATATTGCAGATCCAAAGTCAAGTGCAACTCCGGTCGGCCACGAGCAGTGGTTTCTCATGGCCCCACGCGGAGATGGAGCACTCGACATGTTGCTGAACTGGGCCGTTGTGCTAAGTGAACTAAGATTAGGCTTTTGGGCAAGAACCGTCAAGACCGTGCAAGACGTTCTCAAGCACCCCAAGATCAAAAGCTACGGCCTTGGCCGCCTTGTGCGTGATGGAATACAGTCCGCTGATTGGATCCCGACCCAAAGCGCCACAGTCTGGGCCTGCAACCAGTTGAGGAACAAGCAAACACCCGTCTGACAGCCAAGTCGGATGGTCGAGTAAAGATGCTGCAGATAAAAGAAGGCAGCTGCTCACCTCATCCCTGTTCGACTCGTCCATCATCAGCCATTCACTCCTGAAGACAGATCGTTCACAGTCAGATCTTTCTGACTACTTTCCTCTCACATTCGTTGCTTCTATCTCTTAGATAGTAATTCGACAGCAATGGCCGCCGCCGCTCCTCACAGAACCGCAGGTGGAAACGCTGCTTTCCACAACTTCCACAATGACTTCGCTCACATCGAGGACCCCAACGAGCGCCGCAGACTCGCTCTTGCAGAGATCGACAAGGCTCCCTTCGGCTGGTACCACGTCCGCGCCGTCATCGTCGCCGGTATTGGTTTCTTCACTGATGCATACGACATCTTCGCCATTGGTCTCGTTACCAACATGTTGGGTGTCGTGTACTGGCAAGACGCCCCCGGCAAGCTCGCCGGTAAGATTCCCCAGAACTCCGATACTGCCATCAAGGTCGCTACCTCTGGTGGTACCGTCATTGGTCAGGTCGGTTTCGGTTGGCTCGCCGATGTTGTCGGTCGTAAGAAGATGTACGGTCTTGAACTCATGATCATCATCTTCGCAACTCTCGCTCAAGCTCTTTCTTCTGACTCTCCCGCCATCTCGATCGTCGGTATCATCATCTTCTGGCGTGTCCTCATGGGTATCGGTATCGGTGGTGACTACCCTCTCTCTTCTATCATTACCTCTGAATTCGCTACCACAAAGTGGCGCGGTGCCATGATGGGTTCCGTCTTCGCCATGCAAGGTATCGGCCAGTTTGCTGCTGGTATCATCGCCCTCATCGTCACTGTCGGTTTCAAGGAGTCCCTCCAATCTGGAAAGAACGCCGCCGCTTGTGATGGCGTTTGCCAGCTTGCTGTCGACAAAATGTGGCGTGTCATCATCGGTTTCGGTGCCGTTCCTGGATGTATTGCTCTCTACTACCGTCTTACCATTCCCGAGACTCCTCGTTACACTTTCGATGTTTCCCGCGACATTGTCAAGGCCGATTCTGATGCTAAGGCTTACCTCAACGGCAAGGCACACGGCAACCCCGATGAGATCACCCACGTCCAGACTCGCGAGGCCACTGCTGGTCAGCTAGAGATCCCCAAGGCTTCATGGGCTGACTTCTGCCGCCACTACGGTCAGTGGAAGAACGCTAAGGTTCTCATCGGTACTGCTGGCTCATGGTTCTTCCTCGATGTCGCTTTCTACGGTGTCTCGCTCAACAACACAGTTATCCTGACTGCTATCGGCTACACCGGTGGTAACAACATGTACGAGATCTTCCACAAGAACGCTATCGGTAACTTGATCATCGTCTGCGCTGGTGCCATTCCCGGATACTGGGTCACTGTCGCCCTTGTCGACACCGTCGGTCGCAAGCCTATTCAGCTTATGGGTTTCACCCTTCTTACCATCTTCTTCTGCATCTTCGGTTTCGGCTACAACGTCATCGGCACTGGTGGCAAGCTTGGTCTCTACATTCTCTGCCAGTTCTTCTTCAACTTCGGACCCAACGCTACTACCTTCATCGTTCCTGGAGAGTGCTTCCCTACTCGTTACCGTTCCACTTCCCACGGTCTTTCTGCCGCCTCCGGTAAGATCGGTGCCATCATCGCTCAGGTCGTTATCGGTCCTCTCCGTGTCCGTGGCGCCACGGTCCCCGGCACTTCTCCATGGCTCAACCACGTCCTCGAGATCTTCGCCCTGTTCATGTTCTGCGGTATCTTCACCACCCTTCTCATCCCCGAGACCAAGCGCAAGACCCTCGAGCAGCTTGCTGGTGAGGTTCCTGGTACTCCCGAGTACGACGAGAACACCCACGGCGCCGCTCAGAACAAGACCTCCGAGGACTACTCTGAGACCAACCACGCCGAGAAGTCTGCTGTCTAAGCCAAGATTTGCTGATGTTACTTTTCCGATAAAAATGTTCATGGTGTAAATAAACAGGACGCCCAAGCGCTGGGTTGATGTTCTATTCTTTCTTACTTTTCGTACATAACGATGTGGTTTCTTGGTTGTAGCCTCTTTTGATACTTAATGTTATAACAACCTTCACTTTGCAAATTACCTTTTCACTCATGTTGTGCTGCGATCTTTCCTCTCGACGCAAGGCTTGTCTGACATCTCACATGAACGTGTTATACATAGCTATCCATGCATCTATCAACATCTGTTAACCTCTGGCTAGTCAGCTATCTCTCTCGAGCTCGGAACCCAATCCTCATAACAGGAAACCTGGGCCATCTGTCTAAAACCTGTCGCGAATCGACTTGGTGACTGGATCTTCGGCAGCATGTCCTAGAGCTGATGGTAAGCATCATCTATCGCCATCTGATGAATATCACCGGTGTACACGGGCTGGTCTTCGTGATACACTAGCCTTTCCAGCCATGTAACCACCTACCGAGATGTGAAAATGTACGCAACCGATTACGAAAAGTATATCTGCTGTATACCTCTTTCCACCGTCACCACCAAATCCCAATCTCACTCTGCTTCAAACCCCATTTTCCCTTAGGGACTATCGGTCTCGCCTTCAGTCAAGCCAGCGTCCTGCTCATCGATATAAGCACAATCGATGTTTTCACAATCTGCGTCACCATAATCACTCGCATGCACATACTGTCAATGTCGTCAGCACACAATCTTGGCCAGGAAAAAAGGGCTTTGGAAAACTGGGAAACCTGAAGATGATGCCATACACAATCTTTTTCGTCATGGCTGTCGCCAGAATAACAGCAACAAACGTCGCGGGGGAAGAGTTGCATAGGTCCAGCAATTGCCAGGGTCGCGAAGAGAGCGGAGAGGATGAGTGTGTAACGCATTCTTGAGATGGTGTTGTCAGGATAGGAGGATGAGTAGGTGATTTGAAGGACATACTGTGTAGAGTTGTTCCTGAGAAGTTGTATCATAGTTGAGCGGAAGACGGGCCGTCTTATGTACCCAGTATTCTCCGTAGAGAGAGAGAGAGAGAGAGACACAATGCGTTCATGACGATAGCAGCTTTCGTGTTGGCGTGACTGCTTCCGCTGCATCCTCAACTTCTAGTTGACAGTCGAGGACATCCCTAGGGTAATGATCAGACAACGAGTCCACACGTGTGACTTCCACGGTGTTTGTGTGGTAAACTACACCCGCTGCATTCTAGCATCACGATGCCTCCTCCTCCTCATGATCAGTTCTTCGGGGAGGTCGCATCTCTGCCTCTTTCGAAACGAGAATCTCATGCGATCTAGCAGTTCTGGAGGATGCGCGGTCTCAATATGGTATCCATAGACACATTTGGAGATTGGAGCTGCCAGCCACCGATATCATGGCTTTGACATACGGCCGAGAGAGTATTCCAACTAGTTTAGACGTTGAAGGTAGAGGAATCAGATGGTAGACCTCAGGAGCGTCACAATAGTGATCCTGACCAATGATGTGCTTTCGATACACAACGCGGCAGGATCTCGAGAAGACGAGGCATAAGTTTATGTTGTGTTTGCGTGCAGGCAGGTACACTATACTTCATGGGCTTCCATGGCTGTTCAGGGAAAGAGTCTGGACTGTGAAGAGTAAATCAGAAGCGAATTGAAGTCCGACAATTCAAGATATGGACCGAAGAGAGTAAAGCAGAGATATAAAGCCGCTATGAGACAGAGCAAAAGAAAGACGAAATGAAAACAAAATAGAAAACGCAGAATTGGGTATCGCCAGCCATGAAAAAGAAAAGAAAAAAACCAGTCCGACCTTCTATGTCCCTCATTTTGTTGAGATCAACAAAACATCTTGCAGTACGAAGATGTGTATATTTACCAGCACTTTAAGCTGGAGAAGAAACCACCTTTCTTCTTTTTCTTCTGAGGCGATGTAGCAGCAGACTCGGATTCTGAGTAGCGCTGCTTCTCTGCCTCGCTAGTGATGTTTGGTGCAGGTGCAGATTGTTGTGTTTCTGTTGCTGCCGAGATGCGCTGGTTGTGAGGTGTAGGGTTGACGAGGGAAGGGAAGTTTGGGCGCATGCCTGCTGCGTGTTGTTCTCTGGCTTCTACTACGCGCTTGACGATTGCTGTGAGGTGTTAGTGGCTGTCACTTCACCTCAACTGTTGGAGAAGTGTAGTCGGTGCTTACAAGCAAAAGTCTCCTCGATGTTAACGACCTCGCGCGCAGAAGTCTCCATGAAACCACAGCCTCTGCTCTTGGCCCACTCCAAACCCTCGGCCGCACCGACTTGTCTTTGACCCTGAAGATCGCACTTGTTTCCAGCGACCATGATGGCAGGCCAGCACTTTCCCTGCTCTTGTCTATTCTCCCTCTCCATCTCGATCAATTCGGCAAAGAAGTCCAGATTCTCGACCGACTGAGCGTTTGTAATGTCGTAGACCAGGAGGAAAGCGTCCGAAGTCAGATTGGCAGCTGACCACATGCCGCGGTATTCTTCCTGGCCGGCCGTGTCTGTGAGGAAGAGGGAGTAGGTCTGGCCATTGATGGTACGGGTGACTGAGTACGAGTCTTCAATTGTGGGATCGTAGTCGTGCGTCCAGGCTGAGCGTACGATGCGAAGGGTGATTGACGATTTGCCTGGCGCATCTTGTGAGCTGAAGTCGTTGCTGCGCTAAGTGAGGGGTACATACCACAACCACCGTCGCCGCAGATGGTAATTGAGATCTTGTCGTCCATTTCTTGGACCTTCGCTGTTGTGATATGCGTGTATGGAGAGATGCGAGTGTTGGTTACAAAGGAGCGAAAGTGATGCGAATACAGGGATGCTGAAGGAACAAAGTACAAAGGTGTCAAGGATGGTGTCGCCGAAGAAAGTGGTACAGTTGCCGGGGTCCGATGGGTCGCCTTGCCGCCGAGAGGTACGGGTCGAGTGAAGATTATAAGAGATCAAGTGAGTGAGTGAGCAACTGCCGGCCGAGTGGATTGCGCCAATGAATGCTTGACTGGAACGAAAAAGCGAAATACCATCTAAGTCAAGCGCAGAGTCATGTCGATGTCGATATGGTCGAGCGGTCCCTTGGTTTTGGAGACGCTCGGTCCATTCGAGCCCAACTCTGGAGATGCACCGTCGATCATTCGACTCCGCCGCTTCCTCATTTAACATCCGGATCTGCTTTCGTCTGAGCGGCCATGCAGAAATACATGGCGCTTGCTCTAGCCTTCATATCTGCACTGTCAATGCTGTACAAGAGCACTCCTTGGACCAAGAAGCATTCGAGATCCTTCTCTTGAACCCAAATTGCGAACAAAGATCCAACGGCTCCGTCCCATGCTGAAACACTTCCGAACCACGAATCCACGATGGCGCCAAGCCCCACTGTTTAGAGCTAGCTTCTGCATGTCGACTCGTGCTCAATCTTCTTTTGTCGCGTGAATGAAGATAAGATCAATCGCATGTTCGATCAACGACTTGGCCCAGACTTGACTTCAGCCAACCGAGTATCCATTGCTTCACGGGTTTGACAACGAAAACTTGCGTTACTCGATAACATGTATAATGAGTTGGTTGTATTGTGACAGTACATACGTCTACTTGTTCTTAGCCCAATCTCTTGCCTGGACATTCTGTAACTGTGGCATGTCATATGCTTGAGGCGGCAGATCAACATCCTCAGGCGCTGTGATGATGCCAAACTCCTCGGTGTAGTGAGAGCTGCTCCCATAGAACCCGACAATCTTCTCTCCTGGCCCAGCCTCCAACACCTTGATGTCTTTGCTCCCAAAGATACTACCAGTGAACCAACTCGTGTTCAGCGCTCCTGCTTTTGTTCCATCTGACAAAGTCATGCTTATACCACCTAAAATCTTGTGATCCCAGCCTGACAGCTTGACTTCCACTTTGACGATGTCGACGCCTGGTGGGATGTGCAGCTTCTGCGAGTTGCCACCACCAAAGTAGTGTGCTGAGCCGCTCTGAGTATAATGAAGCCCACAGGGTGTCTTGTGTCCATCTTCATAGTAGATGACTGCTCCATCGAGAATAGCACCAACACGCAAGTCGATGGTATTTGCTCTGCTCAGTTTACCATCCGGACCCTTTTCGTTGAGCAAGACTGCCCATTTGTGTCCTTCCAGCTTTGCGTCGTCATCGTCATCGCTTTCATCGATGCATCGCGTGCAGGTTCCTACTGCTGATTGTTTGCGTAATACGATGTTCGAGCGGTATATTTGAACAAATTCCCGACATACCATTTGCCAGACATTTGCGACTTTCCTGACTCGTCCATTACAGCCAAGGACTTCAAGACGAAGTGGTACAGACTCGTCAAAATCAAGCCGATGAAACGAGACAGACTTAGTGTTTTGCCCGGACAATGAACAGTCATAGGTTGCTGTCTCGCTATTCGCACCGTTGACGATTGTGATTTGCGCAATACCAGCTTTGCAATCGATGACTATCGTATCGTTCTCAGAACTCTCGGAAAAATGCGGTGTAATTGAGGGAGTATCGTTCGACCTCTTCGGAATTGCACTTGGCTTTGACCTGCGTCGTCGGCGTACATCGCGCACGCTGCGCTGTTTGATGGTTGAAATACGCATCTTGAGGTATGGTTTGGTGGTGGTTCTGGAATTTCCAGGAAGGGGATGACTGTGTACTGTCAAGGTATTGAAAAGGTGTGTATGTGATAAGACTGTTGACCATAGACGAGGTACGATGGACACTAAATAGCACCTCAGCCATAATACAAAATATTGATCCCTCACCAATACACAGGGTCTATGCTGCCTGCCATCAATCTGGCTACAGGCAACATTGACCCAGGGTAGATGTGGTTCCAGGCATCAACAGCCTTGGCTTCGCGGCACAGGCTGAAACGCACAAAATCCAAGCTCAAGTCGCGTCCTGCCTGATGGCTCAGGCACTTTAAGAATATCCGAATACGACTGCTCAGATCTCCCACGCGTTGGCAGTCCAGTTGACGCGTGAATTGATAGCAATTGCCTCAATAAACAATGGTCTAGTCATGTCGTACTTTGCTGTCCGCAGCATAACGGACCGGGTCGGCTGTCCGAAGAGAGTACAGTCGTATTTCAGGATCTCACTGGACTTGCCATTTATGACTGTGATCTGCGCAAGTCCGTCTATACATGCGATGACTATTTTGTCAGTTACACCGCCGCTGGCGCATTTTCTTTCCATTGATGGAATCGCGCTGAAGTTTGGGTCCTCGTAGCGCTGCTTGACTGTCGAGTCTCGCATGCGCCGCATAGCTTATATGTAGAAGCCTGTCAGAAGAGGTAGGAACGTACTCAGAGACAGCGAACGTGTACAGGACGATGAATATGAGCCTCCCGACATGAAGAAGATGGTTTCCGCTACTTTCGAAATCGCAGCCGCTCCTCGCTTGCAAAACACCAGGGATTGGTTTGGATTTACGTCATACCTCGGCCATCATCGACTCCTCTCTTCCAATCGCGTGTCCTCTCACCACGTTACAATCATCAAAATGAGCGACAAACATGAAAAACACACGAAGCCGATAGTATCTGTGATATCTGGTGGCATTGCTGGTGGTGTAGAAGCATCAGTCACTTATCCCTTCGAATTTGCCAAAACAAGAGCTCAACTACATGTTCGGAAAGCAGGAGTACCATACCCGAGAAATCCGTTCGCAGTCGTCGGTCAGGTGTATAGTCAGGAAGGGCTTCGCGCGTTGTATAAAGGATGTGGAGCGTTAGTTGTTGGATCTGTCGGCAAAGACGCCGTCCGCTTCTTATCCTTCGACCAAGTCAAAAATGCATTCAAGGATCCAGAAACTGGCACCTTGTCGCCCGTGCGGAACATGCTCGCCGGTATGGCTGCTGGAGTCGTTGCTAGTGCGACAGCTGTCACTCCAACAGAAAGAATAAAGACTGCTTTGATCGACGATGCCCGGGGACCCAAGCAGTTCACATCAACGCTTCATGCTATCAAGACGATCTTGACCGAAGATGGCTTCAAAGGTCTATATCGAGGATTTGCAGGAACGACATTAAAGCAAGCATCAGCCACGAGTTTTCGCATGGGTACTTACAACATCTTGAAAGACTACGAGAAGACCCATCACATCGAGCAGAACACAGCTGCGAACTTTGCCAACGGTGCAATTGCTGGTACCACTACGACGCTGGCGACACAACCTTTTGATGTTATCAAGACGAGATCACAGACGGCAAAGGCAACGACTACCAGGGAAGCCATTGCGGGGATATGGAAGGATGATGGTATTCGTGCTTTTTGGAGAGGTACTGTTATGAGATTGGGTCGTACTGTGCTGGCTGGTGGAGTTTTGTTCACGACAGCAGAGGCTGTTGCAAAGATCATAAATCCAATTCTAGACCCGTAGCTGAGCAGAGTTGGATCAAGACATAAAAAATGCTGTTGCACCGTGGCACCGTCCATCCTGGGTGTCTCGAGATCTCGTTCGGCTACTGGTCATGTGAACACTCGAGTGTCATAAACAAGGACCATATGAGCTCATCCTTTATACCAGGTCCGGCGTACGATTACCGGTCAGCCGCCCGCTATCAGGCAGAGATACTGCAAATCTCTGGCCTTATTGCCCGAGATCGCACTTGTGCCTCTCATGCCGGCATTAGCTGCCTCGAAGCTTCGTGAACAGCATATAATTACCATCCAATAGGCATTTGATCTTGACTCAAAAAGACTGTTCGTGAGAATCTGTTGTCATGTCAACCTGTCCATGTTGCAAGTTGATCATGTTTCTTTTCGTTTCACCTCTCGATCGTGCTGCCGAAGCTTTTGCGAAGCTCCTCATGAGCTGTGTTGTGTAACTCATGTTCCATGGGTGTATTGGGTGTAGTGAAGACACGGGAGGTGGCTGGCTCATACCAAGTTAGCGTGAAGCTCAGCGCATAGTAGGCACCTTGAGCTTGAGTAAGGAAGCTGAACCAGAAATCATCGTTGTTGTCCGGGCATCACAGGCGAACTCTCCATCAGTGGCCGTGGAAATTTCTTCAATCCGATGGAGTGTTCAGAGATGATGTATCGTTGACCACTGCGACCCAGGCTTGTTGTACCAGAACGGCCCATGCAACATTGGACTTTCGAAGAATTGGCAGTATGGTTCTGACCAGTCGCTTGCCAGAGCTTCTTGCCCACCATCGGTCTCGGAGTAAGTGTATGATGATTCCAAAGTGTGCAAGTATCGCGAGAGCCAGTGGCTCTCTATTTTCGATGACGTGGATCATGTTGTCGCCCAAGGTCACTGGCCATGTCATGATACCCGAGAAAAGCCCACCTGTGCAGTAGATCTGCATAGCTTCTTGGAGATCAGATATGGAATCGGAGTAAGACTTCGCATTCACGTCGTCGGGAATCTCACGTCGCAAGTGTTCCAAGGTAGATTCGACCATACTGGCACATGTCAGCCCGGTTACCAATACCAGCCTCTAGCTAGGATGATCTCACCGGCACATGTCTGGCAGTGGCACTCCCGTGCTGTCCTCAGACTCGATCTGAGTTGGCGTATGAGGAGTAAATAATACTCCAAAGCTTGTGAGACGTAGATAATCATGATACTCGTTCTGTAGCAGGCCGATTCCGCTCAGAAATTGACGCAGCTCTAGAATGTCTAAAATTGCATCTGAGAGGTGATTTTTCCCTTCCATGTGAGATTGTGCCATGGAGAAGACCATGATGAGGATCGAACACGCAAATACAGCCTCGCAGTTCGAGAGATTGACGTCACCCAGAACGAGTTGAAAGCCTGTAAGGGCTTTGTTCTGGTATTCCAGAGCAGCACGATCCCAGGTTGAACCCTTCTCTGAAGCGTCGATAACTAGCTGTCGTGCTGATAGCGCGAGAAGGGCATCCAACAGATATTCGTGACCTAGAGCCAATTCTGGTACCACGATTTGCCAAAGGTGAGTTTCGTCCGAGTGTTGACAAAGAGTTCTGTACGCTTTGGTCGACCAGTTGTGCATGAGGCTCAATTCCGTGATCCTAGAGATGGCAGATTGTGAGAAAGCAAGGGCTCCAGGTTCCGATTGATTGGAAGGTGATGCTTTTACGCTGTCTGTATTTTCGCGGCTCTCGGTGATGAAGCTGCAAACAACATCCCGTTTGAGACAGTAGCCACAGCTCGGAATTGCTTCATCACACTGTCAAAGATATGTATCAGCAATATGTACATGATAGTCTTGTCAACAACGAGGTGGATGCTGCGATTGTGATTGTGATTGTGGCTGATGAATGCGTGTCTCGCGTGCAAGCTGACCTTAACATGACGTTGTTTGCAACCAGCGCATCCTCGACGAGACTTGGTGTGACTCTTACGCTGCGGCATGTCTGGTTCGAAAGAGGGTAGGCTCAAATACTTGCACGGCGTATGGCACACGAAGGAGCCATTTCTAGGAGGATAGAGCCCCGACCACTTCGGTCCCGGCACGTTCCCGGAATGATCCTGCCCTAAACGTTTTGCGTGCCCTCGAACAAATCCTCAGGTGAACTCAAAACCGGACAAAATATTCCCATTGACCTTAATCACCTAACAGTACGGATATGCCACATGCGATGCTGACGACGACAACACCACAGTCGGCCGCTGTCTTCGCTTTCTTTTTCGCTCTTTTCACTCATCTGGGTCAAGCAGAATGATTAAGCATATTGCGCAGGCACTGCGCATACTATAATTAGCAGTGAGCGGCAGATACAAGGAGATGCGCAATACGTAATACGCAATACGTGATACGTGATACGTAACGAGCACGTCAACGGTTTCAACTCAGCGTCTTGTTACTCAGATGAGGCCCAATCCGCTCTCATGAATCTTCGCTTATTTCATGCTACTTCCCCAACGGCGTCAATTCAGACGTCCTGACAGCCGCTTGTTAGGCTCACACTCGAGCTCTGTTTGAACGCATGTACCGACAAGCAGCCTCCTCAGATTGTGCATCATAGCTCATACGCAATACGCAAGTACGACTTCCGTTTGCTGAGCCAAATATGCTGCGCCTTGAGGTCTCGGATCGACTAAGTGTCTATAATAGCAAGTACATCCTGTGCCATGTACAATTCTCGTTCTCGTCCATCCTGTCGTTTGCATCCAGTACTTCGCCTGTGTGATCTGAACTTGTCCAATCTCATATCCTCCTTCTATCTCGCCAGTGGCCAAATCTTCCTCGCTCTCAACTTGTTCACCCGGCATCGCAAGTTCGACGTGAGACCTCAGCCAATTCTCAATCCGATCGATTCACACGAACATGTCGGACTCTGGAACTCAGTATGGCGACTTCAAGCTTTATCGCTATGATCCCAGCATGGCTGCTGCGATTATTTTCATAGTCGCCTTCATTCTGGTGACTGCACTACACTTCTATCAAATGATCAAGACGAAGACCTATTTCTTCGTGCCGTTCGTGATAGGTGGATTATTCGAAGTGATCGGCTTCATAGCAGTAAGTTGACCTTGGAAGTATAAACATGATCACAATGACTTACCTCTCGCTGTAGCGCGCCAAATCAAGCCAAGAAGCTCCCGACTTCAGTATCCCTGCCTACTCGATCCAGGCCATTCTGATTCTCATCGCGCCCGCTCTGTTCGCTGCCAGCATCTATATGGAACTTGGACGCATCATCCTCCTCACGGATGGCGAGCAACATAGCATCATCCCGAAGAAATGGCTCACCAAGATTTTCGTCATCGGCGACGTTATCTCCTTCTGTCTCCAGGCCGCAGGTGGTGGCATCATGGCATCAGGCACACTTCAAGCGCTGGAGAACGGTGAACACATCACCATCGCTGGTCTCGTTATCCAGATACTGTTTTTCGGCTTCTTCGTCGTTGTCAGCATTACCTTCAATGTCCGCATGAACAAGATTCCTACCAGCCGCAGCGTGATTTCGTTCAATCCTTGGAGAAAGCATCTTTACACTCTCTACGGAGGCAGCGCACTGATTCTTATCAGATCGATCTTCCGTTTGATCGAGTATGCTCAGGGCAATGACGGATACCTCATCTCGCATGAGTGGTTCTTATACGTTTTTGATGCTTGTCTCATGCTAGCTACCATGCTCCTATTTGCCTGGTTCCATCCCAGCGAGATCTGGGCCATGTTGAACAAGAATGGTGGAAGGATGGCGGTCCACGGTTATAAGATTGAAGCAGCGATTCCTATGGTTTGAGAGATTGTTGAATACTCGTTTTACCGTTGCCGCATATAGATATCAAGCTGGAGGGTCGTATTCTATAAGCGCCTCCGAAATCAACCAATGAAACCTTCCACCACAGCTTGACATCCTTACAACCATGCCATTTGTGCCGCACCATATGAGATGACCTCCACAGACCGTGTTTCGAGGTTAGAGTGAGCGTACAGAGCGAAGCGACTCTTTGATCGCGGAGTGCATCTTGGTGACCATCAAAACGATCTAACAGAAGGTCTTCTGTAGCCAGACGTCTTTTACAAGAATAGCTGCTGGAAGTCGCTCACCACTATCTTCAGACTCAATAGTGGTCGACGTTGATGGTATGTACTAGATCTCGGCTGATAAATGTTTTTTGATGCTAGGACAACAAACAGAATTCTTGTATAACGGATGTTAAGACGCTCCGACACGCAGCGACGAGAAGCTGGAATCAGGGTCATGTATAGCCGGAATGCTGACTCATTGTGATGATCTGCAAACGCGTGATCAAGGCGACGATAGCGACGATAACGATGGGCACCTCTGACCACCCAGGCCTCATTTCTTGCCCCAGCCACTCCCTGCTTTCGTCCGACCTATTTTTGTCGAACTTGCGAAAATGAGTATACTCGCTCAAAAAACCGTGACACTTGTCACTGGAGGTTCGGCCAATTCGATGTACATTGATGGTCCTAGCTGACATGATATGTGTCAGGCAATGGCGGCATTGGTTTCGCACTCGTTGCCGCACTGTTAACTAATCCATCCAACCATGTGCTGCTTGGAAGTCGTTCCATCGAGAAAGGTCAGAAAGCGATAGCGGATCTAGAGTTTCTTAAACCGCTTGGTACCGTGGAGCTTCTACAAGTTGATGTCTCGAGTGAGGAGTCAATCAACGCGGCGGCGAAGCAAGTAAAGAGCAAACACGGCAAGTATGTGACTTGATCCATCTGAAGATTTAGTGGTCCCGGTTGCTGATTTCGATACCAGGCTGGACGCGCTTGTCAACAATGCCGCCATCGCTATTCCTCCTGGTTCACTCGCCGAACAGATGGCAATTTGCTTCCAAACAAATGCCACAGGACCTTTGTTAATGGTCGAAGCATTTACTCCCATGTTGCTAAAATCCGACCAGACGCCACGCATCATCAATGTCTCTACCGGTCAAGGATCCATCACGAAGCGGCTTGACCCCACCGCACCTGGTTATAAGATCAAAGGCATACAGTACCGTGCCAGTAAGACTGCACTCAACATGGTGACAGCTTCTCAGGTAGCCGAATTGGGCGAACAGGGCGTCAAGGTCTTCGCCTACGATCCAGGTTTCACACAATCGAGCTTGGGACCGCACAACAAAGCGGAGTTCGGGGCGAAGCCTGCGAGTGAAGCTGCAGCACCAATTATCAAAGTCTTGAATGGCGAGAGAGACTCCGAGCATGCCTGCTTCCTACATGCCACTGGCCAATTTCCTTGGTAGAACCGACTGGGGATGCCTCGAGGCTAGCGTTCGTTTTCGCGTGGAGGTAGACAACAACAAGCCTTTACTTCATCCGTACTGGTAGAAAGTGTGCGATCACCGTCGATCTCAATTCTGGCTATCTGTCCATATGGTTAGTCAATCTTGATAGTGCGTCTACTCTTCCCTCTTAGAGCTCACCAGCGCACAATAAAGGTCGAAAGTGCATATCGCATATCCTCGATGACAAGCCCTCCGGTCAACCCTCTGGATGCTGTCGATCGGTTTCTTGTGTCAATTGACATTCGAGTTCCATCTTGCAAACATGGTTTGAGTAAGCTGTATCAAGGTGAGAAGCATTGGGCTGTTCTCATTGCTTGGCCTTTCCTTTTGCTCTCCGACCATCTTGAGACCCCAAAGCGTCGAACTTCTCCATCAGAGCGGCGACCTCGCTTGCCGACCACTTTTGGTGCTCAGCCATCCATTGACCTTCAGCACCGCGCTGTGCCTCGACAAGCTTCCGTGTGCGACTGTACACCGCAGAACGTACACTCTTGGCAATACCAGCTGCTGGGTACGCGAACATACCAAACATTCCAGCTCCAGTCTTTGTTGCCAGTCCAGCCAACCCTCTACCAAGACCTGTTGCCACGCCTGAGGCTCCTGACTTCTTGCCCTCCTTGTAAGGTTGTACAACTACACCAGATATACCATCTATCATGCCCCATGCAAATGTCTTGCCAGCGACTGCAAAGCCACTACCTACGCCAGTCACTTTGCCATTGTCTCGAACGTTATCGCCGTAGTGTCTCGGCGCCGTGCGAAGACCCTCTGTTATAGCCATTGGAATGTCGACTGTCATCCCTTTTAACGCTTTGGGGGCAAAGTTGACGATGCTTTTAACTCCTGCCAACGCTGCTTGGCCTCCTGCTGAACGCTCTGATCTACGTGAGTTTGTTGATGTGGTTGTACGAATGCTTGCGCCTGAGCTCTTGAGGTCGGGCACATCTAGTCGTTGTCCATCAACTAGCGCGCCGATTGCATCTGCTCTGTTTTGTCTTCGCTTCTCGTCGCCGTATACTTTGATCGGCTGGGTAACCATACCGGTGATGCAACCTGTAAGATCCATGGATGTAGCTAGTACAGCAGAGGCTCCACCGCTCAAGGGATCCCAACGAGTGGGTTCTATCGTGATGGGTTTCGACTGGTAGCTAGGAGCATGTCAGTAGAGGAAACACAAATACCAACACAGCCAACTCACGTCTTGAGGTCCTTGCGTAATCCACTGCGTTGCGATGTTATGACCTCAACCGCCATTTTCGACATCTTAATCTGCTTGCGGCCTGATTTCACAATCCAAGCAGCTGGCTGGTCTGGAATCAGATCGCACTTCATCATCTCGACAGGGAGATGTCTGTGGAAAGAGTCGACTGCAGCCCGGACTCCCTCTTCGCTCTCCATACGCTGAGCAATTGCCATCGCTGCTGCCTTTGTTTCGTCCCTGATCAAGAATCGGATGGCTTCAGCGAGCGTGATACCAGTCATATCACGAGGGGCCAAAGGTTCAGGCCCAGCACCCGCACTAGCGATCATATGGCCCCAGAAAGGTTGACTGCAAAAGGTAAGCTGTCAGCATAAATCGGCGCGATAAATCCTGCTTGACTCACTCTCCAAAGAACGGACAGACGAGCGTCGGAATTCCATTCTTGATACCACAAGCGGTGGTGCCTGCACCACCATGGTGTACGACTGCTGCCATACGTGGGAATAGCCATTCATGAGGACAGTCGCCAATGTAGTATATGTTCTCGCCCGCATCGCCTCCAAGCTCCGACCATCCTTTCGAGATGATGGCCCGAACACCAGAGATCTTCACGGCCTCGAGAATTGTGGCCAGCATCTTTGCTGGATCGTCGAGCACGATGCTGCCGAAGCCAATGTACACAGGCGGAGGTCCTGCGGCTAAGAAGTCGGCGAGATCAGACTTCGGCGTGTATTTTGGTGTGTCCCGGAAGAAGAATCCACAGACGTCTGCAGCCAGGAATTAGTGCATGAAGACGTGAGAATGCGCCAGGATGAATTTACCGATATACTCGGGCCAGTCGCGAGGCTTGGGTACCAATGCCGGTGACCAACAGTACGTGAATGGAACTCTGAGCATCTTGGCCAAAGCAGGTCCATCAAGCAAGTTGATAGGCTCAAGCTGAATACTCTCGCGCCAATCATTGATCACATCACCCAACCTGTAGAGATAGTAAGCCATGCGGGAGAACAAGTGTGCACTTCCACCGGATACCAACTCACCCTTGCCACGTCATCCATTCTACCACATGATATGATAAGTAATTGGCTGCCGCATGGTCGCCGTCGACGTTTGATAAGTTTGCTAGTGGATGAGGAAAAGCGCGGGTGGCGCTCCAAGGCATCGTGAACATGAGATGCACTGGGATACCCAAGGCTTGTGCACAATGCACATGTGCAAAGCTCGGAGGATTTGCGATGATGGCATCGGCAACGAAGGGCTCATCTGTCAGTGTATCAGGCAAGATGCACGAGTCCCAGCAGCCTGACAACATCTCTGCGACCATCTGACGTTTGCGACCAATCTCACCCGACATCATTGTCTTCATGGATGGCATGAGACTTGGGTTCTTGACCATGTAGGCCATTAGTGATGCCGGATCACCTCCTATGGGGTAAAATTCAAGACCAGCCTTTCGTACAAATGAGGCAAACATATCGTGAGTTGCGAGCCGAATCCTGTGTCCATATTTCTGTAGTTCACAACCCAGAGCGATGAAGGGTTGTACATCTCCACGACTACCCACGACCTGGATGACGAGGTTAAGTTTAATATCCCATGTCTGACTCGGCGGGACCTTGAAGTCGTAGTCAGGAGGAGCTGACTGTGAGTCTTCGGGTACCGTGGAAGGGAAGAAATTCGAGAAGGTTCGCACTAAGCGCGAATTATAGTCGATGTCAATGCGTCCATCGTCTGTATCCCAAGCCATTAGTGGTATATCTACAGGTGATGCGGTCTGATTCTACCTCTGATGTGGTATGGAGCGTCTGTTTCTAGTGATACACACTCGGGGTCATGATCGACGTGATAACTATGTTCATGGATATCGGAGTAAGGTGGTGGCGGTCGTGGATCCTCAAGTGTATCTACACTCCTGGATTTGTGCAAGCTCTCAAATTCGTTGGACTTGACCATCGTGACAGTATCGTTGAACAAAGTGATAATCAGCACGGAACGTAAAGGAACAGCGGAGATTCTATGAATTTGTAGTCAGAAGAGCTTGTCAACGTACTTTAAAGTAAGAACTAACTACAAGCTCGGATTCACCATGATTGTCATTCTCGAGGTTACATGAAGGAACTTTTAAGATTCAGCTTCGTTCGAATCTTTGCGTATTGCGTATTGCGTGTTGCGTGTCGCGTGTCTCATGCAGGGCCCATCATCACGCTGCAAGATCTAGCGGACGGGCTACACATAAGCCGCCTGCCTGCTGCGTACGCTTCGTAAGGTGGCTCATATCATTCGTGCTATTGTGGGAGACAGCGTCTATGGAAGTGACCTTTCGAGATGGTTGTAATTAGTGGTGCTTTAACTGACGTCGGTGGCCGTCACTGACGGTCAGTTACCGACCATGGTCAGTGACCACCAAAACGACGATTTTCGTGGTCACTGACCTCCCCGCAGTGGCAAAATCACTCAATTCTGACCTCTCGCGCAACCACGCCTCCAACGAAGGGTTATCTGGCATGCCAGTTCCACAAACTCGAGCGAAATACCGGGCAAATTGAGCTTTACCTGCGTTTGGTCTCGCGAATTCACCATGGCGAGTGAGCTCAACAAGCGTCGACGTGCTCATTTAGTCGGTTGTACGCCCTTCCACGAGCATGTACGCGAGGTACTTCATACCGACGATGAAATCGAGCGTAGCAACGCAATCGAATACGCAGCAAAACATCGAGCTAGATACTGAGAATTTCGCACCGTACGTTGGTAGATAGAGCTCAGGAACTGACTGCCCATTGACGTGGATATCGACCATCAGTTCTACAGTACAAACGCTAGCAAATATTGTTCAGATATTGCCAAGCTCGCGGGCTAGCTATTTCCATCAAAATCCGGCGCTAATTACGGAAGTGGCAAACTGACAAACTGACCGTCGGTGTAACGTCACCGACCTGGTCAGAAACGTCGGTAACCGCCTCGGTCACTGACCGCGCGCACCCCTAGATTGTATCAAAGCTAGGGGTCGTGAAGTGAAGTCTAAATAGCCACGATGCGATTCAATCGGCTCTGGCTCCGGTCATGTATTCAGCATGTAAAGCGAGGGTTTGATCTAACCTTTAGCTGATATTCCGTACTGTGAAACTACACAAGGAGCACTCGTTGTCCCATAGATTCCATCGCAGTAGCCCAATCCCACGATCTTGACTTGTCGCCGCGAGAGGTCCAGCATTTCTGCATGACTTGGAGAGCAGTCGTGGAGTTGCCAAAGTTGTGGGCCTCATCACCAAGGCCTTGTATGAGACTTTGGAAATATGACTGGGTTGGCACATCTTCAGCCATACTGCCAGCGATACAGATTGGCCAAATAAGACTTCGGAGAGCTTGTGCATCACAGATGAATTGCATTTCTTGCAGAGCGTCCATAGTGTTGATCACGCTGTTTCGAACGTCATCCAGTTCTGGATTAGCTCCTGAAATGACAGTGTTTAGATACACTTCGGCAGCGTGTGCAAAGACGAGTGTGATAGCTCGCTTTATGGCTTCTTGTTGGACGCCAGGGTTCGTCAGCACGAGATAGGCACCCGTAGTCCCGAGGTGCGAGAGCCCTAGCACGGCGAATGCTTCATCAATTTCTGCACGGAGGCCGGCAATGCCTACTTCTAGACGTCCACGAATCGGATTGCCTTGTTCGAATAGCTTCCAGAAACTAAGGCTGCTGGTCGACATTGCTCTCGCTTTCCACGCACTTAGTGCTGCAATATCGCCAATGATCAAGGGAACCCAGGATTGGCAGCCTATGATGGTTGCTAGGTCGATCTCTCCTTGCAACAGGTTCACAGACTGCGTGTGGAGACGCGGTGGGTCATTTGTAGAAGCACATGATAGCACATCGAACCACAAAACGGCTCCAACGAGGAAGTTCTCAGCAGTGTCTTCTAGACGATGAGATTGGGTCTCATCAGGAGTTCCAGGGGTTAGACCTCCTGCTGAAGCACTATCGACTGCATCGTTTGTAGATGACATACTGCGAACGACGGTAGCCAAAGCGCCCAAGTGCACCTGCCACTGACTCGTTCCACCACGAAACAGTTCAAAGCTGATCAGCTCAACACCGCAAGCAAGGATTTGCAGCCGTCTCTTGCGTCCTGAAGCTGCACCAGCCGAGTCCTCGTAGCTACTTTGCAAGAATATTTGGAGCTCTTGCAAGGCACGATTGTGATGCTCGTTGAGTTCGTTCAGGGTGTCGTGGTAGCGTTGCCCTCGGACAGCACGAGCAAGCAGCGAATGTTGATGCAAAGCGCCTAAGCTCAAGGCTGCGTGATACAATGGTTTTGTTTCGGTCAACAACCAAAGTAGCCAGCCTCGACCGCCACTGGCCACAGAAGGGGAATGGAACCGAAACTGGAGCGCGAAAACATGATCCAGATAGTGCATCAGCAGCTCCGCCTCGCGATGGAACCCAAACCGGAAGTACGTGGTCACGCTTGGGGTCGGTGCTATTGAAGGAGTTTGGCTGGAGCTTGCTTCGAGAACCGAAGGTGAAATGTCCACTTCGACTTGCAGTAGCTCTCGATTCTGGTCCGAGTTTCCGGGTAGGCTATCAGCTTCTTCACGTTGTGGGTCGCTAACTGGGGCTGGACTTTTCGCGCGGTCCTCTTCTTGTTGGGTTTGGAGGGTTTCCGCTCTCTTGCGTTTACTGTTCTTCTTGACTGCATCTTTGATAAGGGTCAATTCCGTTTGCTCTTCTTCTCCACCATTCATCCAGCTTGGTCGATCGCCATAACCATGGCAAGTGATGTTACGCGATTCACACGCGGTGCATGTCGGCTTTGTCGCGTCGCATTTCTTGCGACGCACTGTACATGTCCAGCAACATGCAGTGTTCCTACGCGTCCCGTTGCTGCGGGTTGAGGGCATGGAAGCATGGCGCAACGATGGACTTTTCGTATTAGAGTGTGTGGAAGGTGCCCATGTCGTGCCATGTCCGCGTATCGTATGCAAGCTGGATTTGCGGTAGGATGTTCAGGCAGTTCCAACCGAGCGCTTCTTGCCAAGATTATGCCATATCTGGAAGGTTCAGACGAGGTATACCTTAACTTGGTGGTGAGATGCTGCTTCCAAATGCTTGTACATTTCCAAAGAACCAAAGAAGAAGACACAGACAATAGCATGAGATCGTTAGATTATGGATATACAGAATTATGAACAGTGCCGCTAGTCTGCAATCATCTTTCAAGGCTCGAAGGCTTTTGGGTACAGTCTCCCGTGAAGGGCTTTCACACCAGCGGGCTCGTAAATGTCGTTTCCATGAAGTTCGGCCCAGTCGTCAGGAAGACGCATGTAGGGCGGTATACGATATTGTCCGTAGCAGCCCCTAACATTACACTTGAGATCACATTTTCCATATAAACGGCAATAGCAATCGGCAGCGCTCGGACATGCCTGCTCGTTCAGCTTGGCCAGATCTACAGGCCCATCTTCTTGTGGGATGAACAAGACATGCCAAAGATATGACAGAATGCGCCCAGCAATACGGTCATCACGAGGGGCAGCATTGGAGTTGCGTGATGTGCCATAGCTATCGAGCAGCCATTGGCGTATAGCGAGATACTCTTCGCGCGTATGGCGGTGCATAGCCTCCCTGGAGACAACAAACTGGGCGCAGCATTGTGCGCGCACAGGGTCACTTCTACTCAGTTTCAATCCCTTGCTCTTTCTGTTCTTCAGGTAGTCGTCTCCGCCAAACAGGACGGCAAATGCTTGAGGCATAGCAGCATCAGATGCAGACCTAGCACTCCAAGGCTGTAAAATAGAGTTGATATATGTCTCGAGACTTCCTTGCGCAGGACCAGAATCCTTAGGACATGTGCCAGCGCTCCAGTCGCAGCGAAGATTGTGGTAACCAGTGGGCTCTAGAGCGGACGCGACGTTCAAAGCGGCCAAGCTGGCTGCATTGTCGTACAGTGTATCGTCGTTATGCCATTGGAACCTGTTGCCGTGCACAAACACTGCGCCTGCTTGTGGAATCGAGTCGTAGTTATCGATCAGGAAAGTAAGGTAGGTTATGGACTCGTGGCCACGATTGGCGGGTACGCGAAGGTTCCTTGCAGACGAATCGGCAGGCGCGTCGACGTTGTAGATGCAGAGGTTGTACTTCGAGGAGAGACGTTCGAGCCAGACAGTATCGCCATCCGCAGCGACGTATGAGACTACTAGAGCTGGCTTAGAGCTATCATCGAGTCCGGGACATGTGCCTCGAGCTTCGGGAAGGCTAGCTGCTGTTGTTTGGTAGCGGATTGTGTTCCACAAGTATAGCTTGGGCGCTGGCGGTCGTAGAAGCGATACGATAATGTAGATAACTACACAAAAGAACGCGAGCTGCAACAGCGACTTGCGCGACCTCCGTAACATGTCGAGATAAGTGAGTTTACTTTCATGATGCTCGCTTGCGTGTTGGCCAATGTGATACTTTTGCCTATTTCCGCATTGTCGATCCGCACTAGCCACTCCGGACGCCCGGTCCGATTTTTGTACTGCCACGAACTTGTCCTCCTAACCATCCGACAGCCACAAAGCTTGGTACGGGGCATCTAGATCTTTTGATGTCGAGATGCCGAAGCAATCCTTACCGAATCAAACAGAGACCACAAGTGTAAAATAGGAGACCTGGTGCTATGATTCTACGACCTGCAATACAGCAGATGTCATTTTGCGCTCGTCATGTCCGGCTATGCGGCTACAAGATCAATAGTCCTTCCGGCTGTGCCAAGCTTTTGACTTTACCCACACGTTCCCTGAATCGGAGGAGCGACCAAGCAGCAAGAATCGGAAGTCTACAGTTGTGCCATCGCTGAGAACGAATCGAACAAATGGACCACGGTCAGTCTTCTAATGACATATTCCTTCATGGCATTGACGCAGACTGGGTTGCCTATTTTGGGTTGTTGTCGAATTCCGTGCGGCACGACTTGCGTTGTCGAGCGAACCGCGTAATCATTGCTCTTCAACGGCACCGCTTCTCGAATGCTTCGTGGCCTACCTTTGCAAGAATTTTGCCCAAGCCGTGAACTCTTGAAACTGGTGTGTCAACATAGCAAAAAGGTGGCCAAAGGTGGAGATTTGGTGCGTGATTGGTCTCCATTGATCATGCCCTCTTTGCCAAGTCGGATGCATGCGGGTCGTGGTATGCGTACTCATTATCATCATCATGAGTTCCTGTAGGCCTTCTTTCTCCGTCACAAAAGGGCTAGGACATTCTACTGTTGAGTTGTGGGCGCTGAAAAGCTATGCATGCTGCATGTAGGTTGAAAGACAAGCAAGAGCTGGGGGAAATTACGAGTTGATAAGCTTGAAGAGTTGTGGGATGTGATGTGGTTGATCGGCGAACGAGATGAAGATCAGCCGTAGTGATTTGTGATTTGCTATGCTCTTCCGGGAGCAGACTTTGGCACCAAGTGAAACACGAGCAACCAGAACAAGCAGTCGACAGATCAACGATCGCAAGTGGCTTTTTTGCCTTCTGCCTTTGTCCTCAGGTGGCCGTTTTTAGTTGGCACCCAGCATCGAGTGCCAAACAAACCGGCCAAGGGTCTGCCCACGTCATTGAATTTTGATAGGCCTGGGCACTGACGTCGAGAAAGACCATCTCCGCACAATTCCATCATCTTGCGACCATCTCCCTCGCGATACCGTTCAGTTTCCCGTTCCCAAATACAATTTCATTGTTGTGTCCTGCTTCCTGAGATACCCCCATCATTATCTTGTAGCTGAATGGTCGATATGGCTTCGTACACGCAAACACCGCCGCAAAATGGCTTCTACGAGACCGCGCCGCAGCCCACCGATCACATCCAGAGCATAGGCTATGGCAATGCAGCGCAGCACGACTTCGCGCATGGTAAGTGAACCGACACGCGTAACAATTGCGTCTTCTTACCTTACTTGCGTAGAAGGTGGAAGTCCCATCACAGTCGGCACCACTGTCGGCAACCCAGTCCCTATCGTGCTCGAGGACGGAGGCGTCAATCGCTCCGCATCTAATGCTTCGACTGCTGCATACAGAGACACGACCCCATCGCGTAGTGGCACTTTGAAAAAGAAGTCCAGTCTTCGTCGCAGCGGCAGCCGCAAAAGCACCATGGCTGGTAGCATCGCTGGAGTTGGTACACCGGGGGCTCGCGACGATTACAACAGTGCCTTGACCACTCCCATTCCTACTCATGGCAGTCCTACCGAGATCCTTGCTAGCCGTTTTCAAGGTATGTTGTAGCATCTGGAGCCACTTGTTCACTGCGATCCTAACGTGGGTTCCAGCATGGCGCACGCTTCTGAAGTCACTTATCACATATTTCCGCGAAATTCAGTCTAGCTATGAGACTCGTAGCAAAGCATTGCTGAAGGTTTCGAACGTCTTGTCCAACTTCTCACACCCCTCGGTCTTCATCACCGATGGCGGACTTGCCGACGCAACTCGCATTCTAGGCGACTACCACAAGCACTCCGTCGCCGAGTCAAACAAGTCGCGCGACATCGAGCAAGACGTCATCTCTGCTCTCACTGGCTTGCGTAGCGACCTGGGCCAGAAGATCAAGGAGATCAAGAGTCTTAATGGCGACTTCAAGAACTCCGTGGACAAGGAGAAGGATGCAACTCGCAAGGCTGTAGACCAACTTGCCGAAGCCTTGCAGCACGCGGACCACAACGACAGCAGTAAAGCCGATCCTTTCATTGTCCGTTTGGGAGTCGACCGCATGGTCGAGAAGCAGATTGACGAGGAGAACTACCTCCACCGTGCATACCTCAACCTCGAGAGCTCCGGTCGCGAACTTGAGTCTATCGTCGTAGGAGAGATTCAGAAGGCCTACAACGCCATGGCCAGCATCCTCAAGCGTGAGGGTGACGATGCCTACAACACTGTTGAGCAGCTCCGCGGAGGCCCTATCGCCATGCCCAAGGATCTCGAATGGTCGCGCTTTGTCGAGACGGACCCTCACTTTGTCAATCCCAGACTGCCCCTGCGTCGTATCGAGGATATCTATTACCCGGGCAAGTACGCTCCCGCTGCCGCAGAGGTCAGAGCTGGGATGCTGGAACGCAAGAGCAAGTACCTGAAGAGCTACACGCCTGGCTGGTATGTCTTGTCACCAACTCACTTGCACGAGTTCAAGTCGGCAGACAAGATCTACTCGCAACCTCCCGTCATGTCGCTGTACCTGCCTGACCAGAAGCTGGGCTCCCACTCCGAGCCTGGCTCTTCTTCGCACAAGTTCATGCTCAAGGGCCGCCAGAGCGGTGGTATGCACCGTGGTCACTCTTGGGTCTTCCGTGCCGAGTCTTACGAGACCATGATGGCTTGGTTCGAGGCCATCAAAGTTCTGACCGAGAAGACTGGCGAGGAGCGCAATGCCTTCGTCCGCCAACACGTGCGCAGCATTAGCCAAAACAGCCACCGCAATAGCATCAGTAGTGATGGGCTTGAGGAGGACGAGGCTGACCGGGTCCCCTACTCTGCCCAGTCCAGCATCATCAACCAGCCCATTGGCGAGACACGCCTCCAACGCCCCGTCCCAGGTGAGTATGTGCTGCCCCTTTCATAGCGTCAACCCCAACTTTGCTGGAGTCTAGACTGACTTGACATACACAAGGCGGTCGATTCCCGTCTGATCTGCAGATCCCTCGCACCATGGCCGCTTCCCCAGATAGCGAGTCTGACGAAGCCGACCACAACACTATTCCCGGTGTCACAGCTCTTCCTCCCGGCGTTGCCGTGATTGAGCCCACTCATTACGATGACAACCCTTACCGTTTGCAGGGAGTCTCCACTCACGAGGAGTTGCCCGCACAGCAAAGAGCGGCCTTCACTTCCGCCACCCCAGGATCTGTCGCCCACGCCAGAGAGACCCTGCCCTTGAGAGAAGGAGATTCTACACCCGACTCTTACCAGCCCAGTCCCGTTGACAACTTCAACCACACTCCCGCTCCTCGTAGTGATGCTGCTCACACTACTCAGACGTTTGTCTTGCCCGTCCAACATGCAGCTCCAGCTCACCAGCTCCAGGCCGACGTTCCCATCAGCCCTATCGAGCAACCGCAATCTCTAGCTCCTGCCTCCAAGCCTGTGAGGCAGAACACCAACTACAGCGATTGGATGGCCCCGGCCGCTGCTGGTGTAGGTGCTGGCGTTTTGGGATCTGAGGCCTATCACAATCAGAAGGATAGAAACATCCCTTCTAGCAACACTATCGCTGAAGAGCAGTATGCCACATACACTGGCAGCGCTCCCCTTCCTGTCTTGATTCCATCATCTGCCAATGTCCCTCAATCGCCTGAGTTTGTCCGATACAACACATCATCTACTATTGGCGCTGAGACTTCCGGAGCTCAGAGCTCTGGTGGTCTTGGTGGCCTTGAGGCTGAAGGAGCTCACGAGACTGGTGTCTTCTTTCCCAAGGTCGTCAGACACGACACTGACATGAGCGTCAGCCAATTGCACGTTCCTGGCGAGTTCCCTCCTACTACTCCTGGATTTGCTCCTACTCAGGAGTTCTCTGAATCAGCTACTCCAATTGAGGAGAAGACTGGAGGTTCTTGGGCTCCTCGTCCTACCATAGGCAGCAATGGAACTTTCATTGCTCCTACTGCCTGGGACTTGGCAAGAGAGTAAACAAGATTTGACGACAGCAAAAGACGAACTAAATTTATGGGAAGCAACAGGACTGTGAGTTACATGACCCTGATGATACGATCTTCTCCTACTATCTCGATCCGGTTGTTCTCAATACCTTTTCCTATGTTCTATCTTTTGTATTGCTTTTCGCTTTATTTGGTTTTCCACTGCGCTGCGATTACCCTACCTGTGTTCCACTATACTACGTAACCCTCTCCTAGTAATATAATTAAACTTGCTTTTTGTTGGATTATGTGTTCGTCGTTGCCGTGTGTAGCGTTTGTGAATGTACACATGTATCATGTCCGACTTCTCGTGGCCCTAGTTGGGCACAGTATAATGAGCACTGCCACTCACGCGGACGAGATTCATAGTCCAATATCTCAGCTCGAAACCAATTCACAACACAGCACATCGGACACCAAAGAGTAGCATCAACTTATGATCACCTTGGATAAGCCTGAATACCCCAGGAAAAGTGCATGTTAATGTAAGAACAGCTTTAAGATGGAACTATGGGTCGATCGCAACACAGACAGGGTTGTCCCAATTACCAGATTGACTTGGTCGATATCAAGACACTCAGTAAACCTCTTAGCCATCAATCCAAAATGATGCATGATACGAGGCAGAAACACGTTTAGATACTGAGAATGTTATAGCCCACATCTTAAAGCATATGATCAAGCCAAGTGTCCTGCGGCCAAGGCAACAGCCTAAGGTGAGGAAGTACATAACTCAGCAGCGCGCCAAAGCTGCCAGGCGTCTCGGCGTCATTCATCTCCCCTCTCGACGAACACATCAGAGCACAACAGACTATATTCATGTTTCAAAGATTTTTATCACGAAAAGAAATCATGCTTGATATAGCTGAGCGCCGTAAGATCAGTAATGATACCATCGCTCGATCAGAACAAATCACAATATCGACGCCGGGTGCTTCGTTGGAGAGCTCCTTCATAACGGCTTCTACCCATGCTTCTCTCTCACCTCTGGATCCTGAGTTTCCGAATCTTCAACTCTTACCGATAGAGGTACAGGATGTCGACTCCTTTCTCAGTGCCAGACAGCTCATCGCCAACGATACTGGATTGAAAGACAAGATCGCAGTACTCAATCTCGCGAGTGATGAGGAACCCGGGGGTGGATGGAGATATTCACTGAGTCAAACACAAGAAGAAGCATTATGTTATTCAGCAACTTTGTTCCAAACATTGAAGGCAGAATGGTATCCATGGCCAAACACAGGACAAGGAAGCATTGCAGGAATCTTCTCGCCGAATGTTGTCGTGTTCAAGGATACACTGGATAATAATTGTGAGGAGTTGAAGCAAGAGAAAAGGGTTGTGGTTTCTGTACTTACAGTTGCAGCGCCTAGATGTCCTGAGCTCACTGCTGATGGAGAAAATTTCAGGGAAGAGAGGGTACTGCAAGAGTTTAGGGAAAAGGTTAGGTTGGTGTTGAGGTGTGCGGCTAGGGGAGGCAAGACTGGGTTGGTGTTGGGCGCAATGGGATGCGGTGCTTATCGGTGTCCACCGAGACTTATTGCGAGAGAGATGAAGAAGGTCTTGGGGGAGGAAGAGTTCAAAGGTTGGTTTGGAAAAGTGGTGTTTGCGGTTTATGGCAGAGGGCCTGTGGGAAAGAGGAATTTGGAAGTGTTCAAGGACGTGTTTGGCAACGAGTGATTGAATCGGTCAATATCTCTCCTTGAGCACGATATGTTCTTGTACACCTATACTGTATACCTATACTGTATTCGCAGATCCTAATCACTGTGCTCTGTGGTAGGCGCCGAAGATGGTGTCCTGGTATCATGCATGTCACCCCTGAACCGAACCCACTCGAGCAGACTGTCTACGGGGCGTCCAAGAGAGGGTGTAGGTGAAATGCAGCCGCGTTTCTATCTCGTGTTTGTGGCGGCTCAGGAGGCAGATGTCGACATGGGCATGGCCCCTTCGATTTTCCGAAGTACGTGGTACCTGAGGTCAGGACAGAGCACAGAATGTGCCGAGCAGTGAAGTATGCTTACTTTCTCACCCGTGAGTCTAGCACGAGTCTCGGACCAGACCTTATCATTCTGGTCGTGGGCTCGACTCAGGTCAAGGATGGAAAGATGAGGCTCAAGTCCGCCATTCCGTCATTGGATGACTCGCCAGGTCTTGGTCAAGAGGATTGCGGCACACAACATGATGCACGATAGGATGAGGAATGCAAGAGCGGAAAAAGGACAGAGATGGAGTAGGACTGATGGACCCTCAGCGCTACTGCAGGTGCATCGCGTTCTGGGCGTGCCATGCATAGCCGAGAAGATGGCAGCAATTGATCATTCGTCAGAATTTATGAGATGGTTGCCAAAGTAAGACAAAGCTGACTCGGTCATGAAGGGCCGTTGCAACGGGATTCGGGTTAGAGTTTTGGCGGATATAACAACCCTCGCCAAACATCCAAATATCGCTTATGCAACAGACAGCTCTGGCGATTACAAAAAGATGAGAAACGATATTGACAAGTCATGAAATAAATTGAGATGGAAATAGCTAGGGCACAGATTGCAATTGGCCGGCCCAGGCTCTTTTGCGCGGGAGAGTGGCGTGGTGATCATGTTGGGGAAGGCACGAGTGGAGTTTTGGCGACGGATTCGGGAAGGTCCCCTTTCGTTTTGCTGCTTGTAGAGTTTACTTTTGTCGCCATGTGCTTTGTTGGCGGAGGGGATTACCCACTCTGATATATCGGCCAGTCTCGCGCCGACTCGACAATGGAGACGAGCAGACGGTTACGGGGAGCCTCTCGTCCCTCTCAGCCGCAACCGCATCCGCAATCGCATCTCCAAGGGCATCCTTCACGCCCTCTGCCTCCTTCTTTGTCCGTATCTACCGCTTCCCCAGTCTCTCGACCTCTCCACCACAGGCTGGACGCACCCTTACCAGCAACTCCACCCGGCCAATCTCAGTCACCACCCAATGCTCCCTCCCGTCTAAGGGCCTCATCGCCGACACGTCCTCCGCAGTTGCGGCCCGAATCGTGGCAGTCGGTCACACAAGACTCTGTTTTGGACAACCTCCTGTCGTCGTTTGATCGTATGCCAGGGTCCGCTGCAGGTCCAGGTTTCAGCTCTCAGATCATGCCTGACTTTGACAGTGACGACCTTGACCGCAGCAGCTCGGCCTTCACCCCGCCGAGACCTCTGCAGCGCCTGCAACAACGCGTGCGAGGTCACACCTACTCTTCGTCACTGTCGCACGACTCGGACACTATCAGCAACGACTCCCAGCTCACCGCCCGCATCCGTACCAACAGCCACTCCGACTCGCGCCCGTCGACCGTCCAGAGCGTCAACAACGGCTACGGCCACGTCCTTGGGACTGCTCGTGTGGGCGGCTTCGAGAAGGCAGATCCGCGTATCCAAGGCACTCCCGAAGTCGTGTCCAACGGCATCCTCGACCGCGGTCGTCCCATTCCATCCATGTTCAGCACATACGAGGTGCATTGTCCCGAACCACGAGTCCCCGGTGGACCGTCCAAAGCAAGCGCAACGAAAGAGCAGGCCTCTACAAACAAGTCGGATATCCCGCAGAGCATACGGGATCAGGCCTTGGAGTTTGTGCGACAAACAAACATGCGTGCCCAATCGCCCTCGAACATGCTCGAGCAGCCTCCTACCAATTCTTCTGCTTCCATCATATCCTCGCTCTCCAAGCAGTCGTCCGCGAATGATGCTCCCAAAGAGCGCCCAGGTTTCTTCCGACGAGTCTTTGGATCCGCCGCTCGTACCAATTCTTTTCCCGATCAACAGCGCCCTAATATTAGAGATTTACCACCATCTACTGAGACTACTGCACCGTCTGCCTCGCCCACGTCCCGTACCAACACTCCAGATCCACCTCAAAATGTAGTCACCAAGAAGGCATCTTTCTTCAGACGTCGCAAGAAGTCTATAACCGATGCTCCCCCTCCTCCAGCGCTGCCCAATCCAGCCGTGTCCGCCGCACATCTCAAGGGCACTTCTCCACCCGTAAGTCCGGGCGCAGGTAGTCTCAGGATGGTCATGGATCAGTACCTTGGCAATCCTGATCGTCAGTTGAACAAGACTGACTCTGACCTTCACAAGCCTGTGGATACTCCTATCGGCCGACCTACTCGATCCAGCATACTCAGCCATGACACGGATGAATCCTCAGAACTGGACATGTTCCACTCTGGCTACACCCCCCCACCAGATGCGTCAATACGAAGAGTAGGAGTAGAACCTCTGGAGCCTCGAGCTGGTGGCAACAGATCTGCCATACCGAGTGCTCAGCAACACCTGTTCAAGAGTCCCAAACTGGACGACATGGAACGTAATTTCGGCGGAGTTAATGACCGTCTGCACCTCGGAAACACCCGCCCGGACCTGGTACAGAACAACTCGTTCCTGGCCGACAATAGTGATGCAGATGACAGCAAGGCTCCTTCTATAATTTCTGCTGTAAGTGAAACCTACCTCGGACCTGTAGGCGCTTTCAGCCCTGTCTCGCCGTTGGCAAGTTCGCCCATGATGACCCCTGTGGAGAGATTTGTCACTTCTCCGACGTCTGACGCGGAGAGAGAACCCGTGTCACCTAGATCCCACTTCTTTGAACAGAACCGTGACAGTCTTGGTCTGCCGATCGAGAGACTGAGAGCGCCACAGAGCTACGTTGTGTCCAGTGATGACAACGAGCTGCCATCGTTTCAGGTTGATGGGCATACTGTTCGTCCGTCTGTCGAGGTTGCTCGTGGTATGCTCGGAACTGTCGATGAACCGACCGCCGACGAAAGGGAGCGTGCCCGCCAGATATATCAAGGCGAAGAACAACATATGCTCAAAGACGAAGCTGCGCCATGGCTTGGTGACAAGAATCCTGTCAGCGCTCGTACCCTTACGGCTTACATGGATCTCTATGACTTTGCAAATCGTAACATCCTCAGTGGCTTACGGAGTCTCTGCGATAGACTCGTGTTGAAAGGAGAGAGCCAGCAGGTCGATCGCATCCTGGACGCCTTCTCCCGACGATGGGACGAGTGTAATGCTCAGAATGGGTTCAAAGGCCCAGGTGTTGTACATGCCATTTGCTATGCGTTATTATTGCTCAACACAGATCAACACATGGCCGATATCCAGCACAAGATGACGCGGTCCGAATTCATCAAAAACACAATGCCAGCTGTGAAATCAGCAGCCGAAAGCGCAACCATCCGACCTACACGCTCGCCATCAAGGCCTTCGTTGCCATGGTCTGATACCACCCCAAAATCTCCCGATGACGACGATCGAGGCTCTGTTGACTTCAGACGCTCGACTAAGCGCCTCTCTTTCAGACCAGGTATGGGCAGATTCGAAACAGACCCTGGTCCTGCCGAGCACGGAGAACTTGGCTCAATAAACCACCTTGTGACTCGTCCCTTCGATGGTCCTGAACACAAATGGCTGTTGGAAGTCGAATTGGTCCTCAAAGTGTTCTACAGCTCGATCGTTTCCTTGGCTCTACCACTACATGGTTCTGCAAACTCAAAGGAGAACCATGGATCTTCTCAAGGAGCTTCGAACCTCAGTGTGGCTGGAAATCTTAGACGTACTGGTTCGGTCATATCCAAGGCGCCATCTGAAGGCTTCTCATACCGAAGCAAGAGGAATAACAGCGGTGCATTGTCATCTCACTGGAATGCAACAAAGAATAAATCTCGACAGAAGGCATACCCTGCTTCGACCGTTGGCTCAACACGCACCTCGATCGACGATGGTCAATCTGCCTGGAGTCCATCAGCACAGAGCAGTATGTGGAGCAAGATCTCCATGGGTAGGACTCAGACAACGATGAGTGTTGAGAGCTTTGCTGTTCATCCCGACTTCAAACAGAGCTTAGGTTTCACCAATGCGCTCTCGCAAGCGATCATTCGTGAAGAGAGTGCAGGAGATACTGAATCTGTCATGAAGATCGGCACCGTGCTCGAAGATGAGAGTCTCGAGTTAGCTGGCGCTCCGTGGGCAAAGGAAGGAATGGTTAAGCACAAACATCATCTGGACGGCCCCGAGAAGAAAGCCAAAGAGCGCAGCTGGAGTGAGTGCTTTGCTGTGGTCGAAAAAGGATATTTACATCTGTTCAACTTCAACCGAACTACCACCAAAATCAGCGACATGCGGAGCGCCAAACGTCATCTACCAAAAACAAGTAAGGCCGCGAGTATCGCACCTTCTGTCGTTGGTGGTGGCAATTGGACCGACAATGCTGACGAAACCGATCAATTCCTCCTCAGACAATCTCTTGCAACTGTTCTACCTCATCCGGGCTATAGTAAGACTCGTCCGCATGTCTGGGCACTGAGCTTGCCGACTGGTGCTGTTCATTTGTTCAACGTCGGTACTGCAGAAATTGCAGAGGAATTTGTTTCTACCGTGAACTACTGGTCTGCGCGTTTGAGCAAAGAGCCTTTGGTTGGTGGTGTCGACAACATTGAGTATGGATGGAGCGATAACATTATCAATCCTGCTCTCATCGGTAACAGCAATGGAGAGCCCCTTACTAAGCCTCCTTCAAGAAGTGGCGGCAATCACGGTCACTCGGCTTCTGTCAACAGTATCGGGAAACAAAGCATGCAATCCTCTGTTCGCGGCTCTTTCGACCAAACTTTTGGCTCAAGAACTAGACTGCCTGGCGATCGCGCGCACATTGCTGACTGGAAGCCTCCTGCAGCATCAATGTTGCCATCACAACTTCTTGAGATCGACCAGCTTCGTAGTCTCAAAGCATATGTCGCATCAGTCGAGACTGAATTGGAACGTCACAACGAGCTGCGCACTGCTGTAAATCTTGCTTACACTAATCGGTATGGCCAAAACTGGAACAAAGTCATGGCCAACTGGGAGAAGAAAAGCGCTTACCTCCTCCGCGAAGTCGTGAAATTCAGAACATATATCGAGGCGTTGGACCGAGCGTGTCACGCGAAGGAGAGAGTCTACGAAGAGCGACAAGTTCGCGAACAAGAACGAGCGGTTCTTGGATCCAAGGATGGCAAGAAAGAGAATGTCAAGGCATGATCACTTGCATTTCGCACATCCAATTGCCGTGAGGTTTGGATCAGCTTCACATTTCTCTTCTTTCACCACTTTTCTTATACCTTTCCTTTGTTGCTCTGAGGAATGTTTTATGTTTTTTTTTCTTTTCTCTTTCCATGCATGCATGTTTGTCACGTTCGAGGATACCCAGCTTACTCATTAATTCGCTTAGTCCGTTCTGCATAAAAAGCGCCTTTTTTGATAATATCCAATGCTTACGAGCACGTTATAGAACCGATCTTTTCTTTTTCCATCATGAGTTGAGCGATTATTTTATCGTCAGTGTGAATATGTTGGTATAATTTCTGCCATAGATGGCAAGGGAAGAATGATTCACACCCGGTTGGCTCATGCTGATCTACTCCAGGCCCCGATCTTGACTTGCATTCTTAATGTCAAAACCCCAAGGTGTACTTGACGCAGCATAAGCAACCCTTCCCTTTCGACAACGAAAATCCCTCGAATGCTATAGAAACATTCCAGGAAACTGGCGACCTAGCACCAAACGTATCTGGAAGATTTCAAGGGGAAGGATGATGAAAGCAATGCAAGTCATATAAATGTGGTTAAATCGTGCTGTGCAGAGTATCGAGGATGGGTGTCACGATGGAGGAGCTGCTCAGCCGTGTTGATGGGAACAACATGATAGGGGAGAAGTAGAGAAAGAGAAGAGGAATGAGAGAGAGGAAGAAGGGTGAGAGGAGGAGGGAAAAATGAATGGGGAGGAAATTTGAGGCGAAAGAGACGTAAACTAGTGGTGAAGAGTAGGTTATCGGCAACCGCAGTCGGTGATTCGAGTCAGGAAATCTACATGATCGTTGCCCAGCGTTGAGGTTCTGCTTATCACATCAACTATCATGAGAAGAGATCAATGCGTAATCCGAAGGTTGTGGATCACTTTGAAAAATTATAAACACTGAGAAGTGCAGGACAGGCGTGAATTAGAAAGGTGTTAATCTGATAAGGGACGCAAACAGAACAGAAACATTATGTACTAAATCAGAAGAAGCACCAACGCGACAACTCACAAACCGACCAGATCGACAAAACTGAAATCATGCGAACAGAAACATAGATTCCTCACGACAGTGGAGCTCCTCCCTGCGCAGTGTTCGAGACTAGATGCAGATCCCCTATCTTCAAAAACGTAGTCTCCTGGCTGACCACACGTCTCGGCGCACCGGCAACTATCCGGTAGGGTAAAGGATGTATAAAGGTCACTTCATCAGTGGCATATACATTGTAGTTTTCGTCGGTGGTCCAGAAATTATTCTTTGGTCGATACTCGACCTCGAGATTCTCATCGGGAAAGACGTTGAGCTTGCAAAGTTCTTCCCCTTCTTGCAAAGTCCAGGTTCGTAGCCATGGTGCCGCTTTGTCCAGACGTCTTTTCAGCTCTCGCTCCTCGCGCCTGCTGGCTTCTGTCTCTGGAGAATCTATATGTGGCGGTGGCTTGCCGATATCTCTAGCATTGGCCTTTGTCCGTTCGATCTTGAACCAGTCGTCGCTTCCGTACTTGTCTATCCCTTGACAGTGTAGAGGTTTGTTCTGTTCGATTTCAGGCAATAACGTCTCCAGTCCAGGTCGTGCGGAGGGCTCGAACTTAAGGCAATCGCGGATAATCATTCTGAGAGCGGCCGAGTAGTTTTGGCCAGGCAGTGAACCTTGCCAACTCAATATCGAGATTGACCTGTCTTCAAGGTGAACCATTTTTCCGTAGTCGATGGGTTTGAACCACGGTTCGAGCTTCATCAAGGCTTCGGCCACCCTCCCAATCTGCCATAAATTCGTACATGTACCACGCAATGTACCTGGTTTCAGTGGGGCTTCGTACGTCATTTCAGGAGCATCGTATCCCTGGGTTCTCTGGAAGGACATATTGTGGTTGATATTTTTGGCATCGTATCTGTTTGTGAGACCTAGTGCGAGAACAGTCAGCGAACAGTTCTAGACGATCTGGCACATTCTACGAGTTGCCTCTCTATTTTGCTCGCCTCTGTAAGATCCTCGGGGCTGGCATTCGTTTGGAGCACCGGACCGAGACGTATGGCGCAGAAGTGTGCGAATATCAAGGGCGACTCGTGACTAGCGCACTGTCGATTGGACTTACATGCTCCACCAAGGTCAGCCAGATGAGGGCGAGGATAGATGGGGAAACTCGAGTCTCTGTCGGGAGGTGCTAGCAGTATGTTGTCGGGTTTCATATCGAACACCACGATGACATCTGAGTCCCTAGGACGGGCGTGTTCTCGGGCTTGAACTTCCAATTGTTTGGCTGCCTTCAATAAGCATTCTAAAGTGTGCCAGATAAAAGGTTCCGGGACAGCTCGCCCTTTGCGCCGGTGGGCCGAGATGAGACCGTTAAGATCACCGTATTCGTAAGACGGCATGTACAGACGATAATGCTGGTATGCGTCTCCGTAAATGCTAGGTTGTTTTCTCGCCCAGCCATAGAGTGGTACGGAAAACATCTCCTCAGTTGAATTCGGGACGGTCATTGTGCCTTGTAAGTAGGCCTCTTTACAGAATCTCTCAGCGGGGTCAGCTTGTCCCCGTGAGCGTCCAGGATCGACTCCAAAGTCCATGCATTTTTCGACGAGTCTTTCGTAGATCCCTTCGTATACGCCCTCTTCGATTGTAGGTTTGCTGCTAGCAGTGTCTTTGATGGCAACCGATGCGAGGGGGGCGTGGGTAGCTGAGTCAATAAACAACCAGAGGCTCACTTGACCATAAGCTCCAGTGCCGAGCTTCCATCCCCCAACCCAATGTCCGCCATTTGGCGCATCTTGTGGGCGTGGGCGGAGAAATCTGAGGCCAGAACTATCTGCAAAGATTGCAGCTTCCTTCCCGAGAGTGAGTGGCGGTGGCGGCATGGGAAGATAGTATGGCTAATTGCCGTTCGAAATTGTTGCTATGCTCGCGTGGAAATCGTCTGCCTGAGATGATCAGAGGCAGAGGAGTCTCTTTGACAGGTACGGTAGAAGACCATGTCTAGGGACGACCGCTTCTGGCCAAAGACATTGTCTGTCGGACTCGAAAAAAATATCCAAATTGGTAGATGTGAACAAAGAGTGCAGGGTACTGAAAGCGGAGAGACGGGTCATTGTTTAGTACAAGCATTTCCGCTTCCGGACAAGTCAATCGTCTAGAGCGACATGTTCACATAATTGTCGAAGCAGAAGAGGACCCAACAGAAGCCAAGGCATAGTCGATATGTTTTGACAGGCTGTGTTGAAAAGGATGTGTGCGGAGCGGAGAGGGGTCGTGTCGACGATCAGAAGAAGATGGTAGGAAGGAAGTGCAGTTCACCGCCTTTGGACCCTGAGACATCGTCATTCCATCAATCTTGTGCTATGAAGAAGGCACAAGTCCATCCATCACACACAACACACAAGCTCGCCATAATGACAATAAATCTACTACCACGACGCAGTGCACAATGCGCTCTCAGGACTCTCACAACACGGCCATGCGCCCCCATTGCAACGTCAGCGACGAGAAGCTTCACATCGATGCCGCCCTTCCCACCCACAAACCGCGACATGCCTCCCCGACCCCCGCAAGCCGCCATGCCCATGCCCTTTGTCACTGAAACCGTCGGTGGTGGCTGGCACACCTACGACATCTTCTCCCGCCTGCTCAAAGAGCGCATCATCTGCCTCAATGGCGAAGTCGACGAGACCATCTCGGCCTCGATAGTCGCACAACTTCTCTTCCTCGAAGCCGATGCACCGCAAAAGCCCATCTCCCTCTACATCAACAGCCCTGGTGGCATGGTGACGGCTGGATTGGCCATCTATGACACCATGACATATATCCGCAGTCCCGTCAGCACCATATGCATGGGTCAGGCTGCTAGCATGGGAAGTTTGTTGTTGTGTGGTGGTGCTCCGGGCGAGAGATACACATTACCGCATAGCAGGATCATGATTCATCAAGTCAGCGGTGGATACCAGGGTCAGGCTTCGGACATCGCCATCCATGCAAAGGAGATCTTGCGCGTGCGTGAGCAGCTCAATGAGATCTACCTGAAGCACTTGACCAAGAAGCACACCATGGAGGAAATTCAGAAGTACATGGAGAGAGACTACTTTATGAGTGCCAAGGAGGCTCTAGAGTTTGGCATCGTCGACAAGATTTTGGAGAGAAGAGAGCAGGTTGGCGAAGGGAGATGATGCACCATTACACTCTGAACATATCATAGGTGCTTGTATAGAACAAAGCTACAACAGCTCAGCTCGAAAGGGACACAAGACATGGATCGCACCGTCATTGGGATCATCACCACTTAAGATCATCGAACCTCACCAGTTCGTCGCGTTTCTGACTACATGCGCCCAGCGTACCCAGGTATCCAATCAGTCTTGATTTTGGACAATTCGGAAATCCAGCATTACTGCGATTAGGCTAGTTCGAGACATGGAACAAATAGCAGCCGCGGGCTAGACATCCAGCTCTGTCTACCTATAGCCCATCATCCATCTCATAAACCTTATCCCACCTCTCATCCCACTTCCTACTACTATTCACAAATCTCAAATCCGTAGCCAATCTAATGACCCCCTCTACATCGTGATTAACAGTACTAGCATGAATGGTAAACGGTGTGTGCAACACCACATCTCCAGCTTCATAGTCTGCCACCAACCATCTGCGCGAAAACCGCTTTCCGTATGCCGAAGGCGCAGAGTCGAGGAGACCTGTAGACATCATATTGGCATTGAAAGCGTGTTTCGCTTCCTTGTCGCTGAGGCCAGATGCCAGTGCTTCTGCGTAGAAGCGAGATTCTTGTTCACGGCCCAATGTGTGACCTAGACACAGCGTCAGTCATGTGCTTCGTTAGGCGTGATGCAAGGCAAGAATACAAACCTTTTTCAAGATAAATAAGTCCACCACCGTTAGTTTTAACATCACCCATGGGCACCCAAGCCGTGATAGCAGTAGCCTCCCCATGTCTTAGGAAAATCTGGTCATAATGGACTCCAATAGCATGAGTACCCGGGATGTTGTTCCTCAGCAATGTCCTTTTGATCGCTAATGTATCGTTCCCCCATCCCGAGAACTTTGCCACAAACTCCAGTAAAGCGGGATGTTTGCAGAATTCCTCTTTATACCAGTCTTGCTTGTGGGCATCCAGTGCTCTGTCCACAAAAGTGGCTGCAGAGTCATCCCCTGGCCGCTTGTTGCCACCTACGGCACCGGCGCCGATGCCAGGAAATTGGGAGGCTGGTTTTGAGGAGTCGAAGATACCTTGTTGGGGTGTTGTGCCGGGTTTTAGTACGCCGGTTGGGGCCATGGTATCGAAGTAGGAACGCCGAGCTTTGAGAACGTCTTCACGGGGGATAAGACCTTTGAGAAAGATATAACCATCTTCATTGTATTTCCTCCGGAGTTCTTCTAGTGGTTCATCTGGATGTGATGGCTGGAGCCATGAGTAGTCTTCTAGAGGCCCATCGTTGACGAAGAGTATTGGTTGAGTTGGTGTTGCAGGGCTCTGTGTTGGACTGATAGAGTGAGGCATCTTGACTTCCACCCGAGACTTTCAGGAAATACGAGATCGGAAAAGAGAGTAAAGAAGAAAACAGAGTAGAGGTGCCAGGTTACCTGACTTTATACTGTCCAGATGCCTGTGCTGCTCGCGAAACACCTACGAGATCGAGCCACCATAGTGAAACCACGGTACAGCGTCCCATTACAGGAACGCTGATCACCAAGAGCGCATATACAAAGTCCACATGATGTCTATATGTGGTTCAGCCGGAAGCAAAGCAGTTACCAATTGTAGGAATTTTCTCCGTCCAGCGGGGTAAAGTTGCGGGGCACCAGACATGACAGTCGCATCGCCTGGTTTACGAGTCGTGATGATTGGGTGTCCACGCGGGACGACTTTCCACTCTCGAAAGACATGGCAATGCTGTCCATGGTGACAGAATGACATTCTGGTGGGGTGGTCAGTAGTTGCAGACCCCAGATCTGGCGTGTGCTGTCACCAGCAGGTATATGCAACTTCACAAACTCCGTGTTACTACCTGTGATTGAGTCTGGATGTGATTACTAGAAAGCAGTCATATCATTTGGTTTGATATGTAGAGAAAGCCCATGCCCTTGTTCCCAGCCTTATGTCCTTCTTGTTCATGGGTATCCAGTATCGGCGCCATGCAACGCCAATGATAGCAATTAAAGCAAGCCCTTGGAAATTAGATGTTTCACCGTGTCTGTCGTAAAGTTCGTGTCGTATAATGTTGGTCTAGCATTCAAGCCTCGGCGAATCTAACCATGCGGCGCTTGTACGAAGCTCCTTCGTCGAGAGAAATTGCAGAGTCGCGTTGACTTGATTTGCGCTTGTCGTAGCGGCGCTGTCGAGCTTCCTTTGACTCTCGGGCGCGCCACTCGAGGATTTGACGACGGCGCCCTTCTGAGCGTTTGGTGACCATGGCAGGAGTAGGTGTAAAGCCGATGCCATCAATACCTTCACCATCGTCGTCTGCTGTCTCATCAATGTGGTGTCCAGTGATCTCGTCTTCTTGCCAAGTCATGTTGTCGTCTTCGTGGTGAGATTCGTCTTCAGCAGGCGTCGAGGGAGAATCGCAGCGCAGTGTGGAAAGCTTCTCTTGGGCAATCTTTATGGCTGTCGGAAGGGACAGATTGGGTCCTTCCTCAAGATTGGGCGAAGCGATAGGAGTTGAAGGCGGAGGAGAGGTAATACGGCGAGGAGGATGGAGAATAAAACGACCTCGCTGCGACGCTTGGGTGTTTGGCGTTGGCGATGTGTTGGGAGACGGCATGATGGAGTCGTAGGCGCCAGGAGTTTCGTTGATCTCGAGCATGTCGGCGGGACGCTTCTTTGTGGTCGGAGGGTCTTGAGTAGTCATGTCTAGACGTTCAAGATGATAGGCCACTCGGGTGCTTGGGCTGTCGTCTCGCTCGTGCGCAATGGCGGACATGGTGGCCGGCGCAAAGGCTTCGTCTTGGTGCGGTCGGGTAGAAGGAGAGGGTGCTTATGCAAGCGTGCTCTTGCTGCTCACTGTACGCACAGCTTCATTTCTCACTCAAGCTGCTTGAACGAGGCAGCCAGACGACGTTACACTTGATTTAGCATTCGGCCCTCATAGCTGGCTACGCACGTTGTGCCTCACTGCCTGCCCTTGCGTTCTCAACGCCGCTCGTCTGCATCTGGACCTTCCATAAACAGCACGTGGAAGGTGGGGCCAGTTTCCGCCCTTTCCTCTTTCTCCTCCAAGCCAACCTTGCACCGTGCTTGTCTTGACACTTTGACGCGAACATGTCTTCACTCAGCTCTGTGACAGTATAAGCTAACATTGTTTCCACTCAAGTCGAGTACTGAGCTGCGCTAGGCTTGGCTATTCGATCTTGCTTTTGTACCTTGCACTGGCCTGCAGCAGATGCCTTTTCTTTTGCGACCCGTTGTCATAAATTCGTTCGGCCATTTATCATCCGCGCCTGCCGCTTTGCCTGTTCTTGCCAAGCAGCCGACTTTCTGAAAAGCGACTACCAGCTTGCGTCTCTCGCTCAGACATCTTTGTCCCTTGTGGAACGTCTTTTCCAGCTAACAAGCGCCCACGCTCATCTATGGTTGCTTACTCAATCAGTGTCGCATCCAAGTCTTGCTCTCTTCATTCTGTCTGCAGCTGCCCAATCTCAATCTTATGCCTCGCTTGAACCTTCCTTCCAAACCATTGCTTCCAAATATTGACACCTCCCTCCCATTTCCTTCTGCCGCTCACTACCTTGATCGTAGCCATATTGCGTTGGCCATAGGCTCAGTCCGACTGCCGCTCCGAGATAATCTACCATCTTATCGCTCAACCGCACCCACCCGTGTGCGTGACTCTCGTTTGTCGACTCTCAAATATATCTCCTGTGCTTTGCTTCTAAGCGACTGCTCATGCCATCTTGGTATGATCAATATATATCATGGTGATCGTGCCAGATGCGAGATCTTCACTCGCCATCTCCCGGATAATAAATCGATCATCCTGGCGATCGGTTCACGCAATGCATACCGGTAGATCATCCGCGTCAGTGCTTGGACCGGACCCTGGCCAGGCCAACCTGAAACTAAGCCCTGCCTGGCGACCTCAAACCGTCTACTTGTTCAGCACTCGACTTGCGCCTCCCCATCTCCGTTGCTTCTGCGCCTGTTTTCTCTCTTCCGTACCAACTTCTTTTAGCCAGAATAGACGACGGAAAGTGCTCTGACCCGCCGACCACCAAAGCTCTCCTCCACAACCCGCAGCCACTCAAACTTATCCTCGTATTTAGCGCAAGCAGAGCCTGTAGCAGCTGCGAATGGTTTTCTAACCTCGAGTCTAACCTCTTGGACTTGATTCAAGAATGGATACGATCGAGAAGTGGAGATGTCATGCCACGTTTTTCTTATCTTTTTGCCAAAGCGTGGCTCCTCTTGTGGACGCTCATCATACACATCTGCCGGGCTTTTCTGAGACCATGGCAAAACCCTAAATCCTACCCATGTACCCGTCAGTTGGGTAGCGAAGCTAATCCTCGCCTCGTCCAAGTATACTAGTACCCTACTTTCCTCTTCTACGATATTTTTCTTCTACTTGGGCATATTCATATATTTCACTTTACCTCCCCGCGGGCGATCTCTAGCTTTTCTGGCTGCCCGTCCACATCTCCAATAGAGTCATTCATTCTACTGGGCATTGCCCAGTACAAGACAGGTAACCATGGCCGATGCGTCGTCTGTACCGACTCTTCATGAGCTCAAGTCGTATGAGATGTTGTCCATCTCGGCTGTGTTCCTGGCCGTCTCTGCTATTACGGTCATTTTGAGAATATATACCAGAGGCTGGATGATTCGTTCCTTTGGTTGGGACGATTGGCTCATGATGGTGACATGGGTAAGTGGTGTTTATGCTTGTTGTTCACATCCAATTCTGATGAGCTGCAGCTTTTATTCGCCATGACGACCTCACTCCTGATGAGTATCGCCATGTCAGAAATTAACCCACCTGGTGTTGGAGATACTGACACGGTCAACGGCATTTTAACAGTACGTCCTTTCGGAACACACTACTCTTCCTGACTGACCAAGCCTGTAGTTAGTCGTTTGTATCTTCGGTCTCTACATCTTGACTACTGTCATCTTCAAGCTCAGTCTTGCAGTCTTCTTCCTTCGGGTCGTCAATCAACGCTGGCAGCGTCAAGTCATCATCGGGTCAGTGACTCTATACACGCTATTCGGAACTGCTTGGCTCTTTGTCGCCATATTCCAATGCGGCAGTCCTGCCAGCTATGGAAAGAATGAGGCAGCTGGGAAATGTCTGCCTTTCCGGACTGTCCTCCGTCCCCTCAACTATACTCATGGTGTCCTCAACGCCGTCACTGACTGGATCTTTGCAATCAGTAAGTTGGCACATGTCCCCAAATGGTACATATCTCAACTAACACCAATCAAGTCCCTATCTTCGTCGTAAGATCTACACAGATGCACAGGCAGCAGAAGATCACTGTCTGCACCATCCTGGGTCTAGGTGTCCTCGGTAGCATTTGCTCAATCGTTCGTCTGGCCTACGTAGACGTCATTGGCGTCAAACTGGAAGAGCTCCTCATCTCAGCCCCCAACTTCGCTATCGTCAGTATCGTCGAACTCGGCCTCGGTATCACAGCCGCCTGTCTCGCAACACTTCGCCCGCTCTTCGCCTTCTGGTTCGACAAAGCACGTACTGGTATCTCATCTTCTCGTAGTGGCAGGGATACAAAGACTGGACCAGCAGTAGTTGATGGAAGTAAAGGTGTTTGTGGCTCATACGTCACCTCTGGCCACAACCTGGGTCACAAAGATGATGGTGTCGTGACTGTCACAAGGGAACTCCAGATCTTCTCGAACAGACCTTCAAATGTTGGCGAGACTTTAGAGATGCATGCCATGGGCTTGGACTCAAAGCACCAACATCGACATGGTCAAGGTGACAGACCACGAAGCCAGAACAGTGAAGAGTCATTGTTGGAAGTCGTCTAAAACTCCTCTCTTTCTTTTGCTCGAAACTGTTCTTATCAGCTTCTTTTTACTCTATATACCCATTTTTGTTTACGACTCAATATCAATACTACTACCATCTCTGAATCTACTACCTAACATCCTCACCACTGGCTATTTGACAAGTTCATATCCCATGATGTGTCGTCAGTGTTTGAGCAAAAAGCCACTCCTGCAGAGCCCACGAACATGCGAAACATCACAACAGCAGGACGCCTAAGCGGTGACGCGCAACGTTGCACATCATGTGTTTCATACGTACATTATATGGCAGACGTAGCGATTGGAGCGCATAGAGCGGCAATGATGCAATAAAATAATATGATACAAAGGCCATGCGCGGGATCTGCAGATCATATATATTCGTTGTCTCAGATCTCGGTTAGCCCTGGACAGGCTTATGGTAATTTGTGCTGGGCAGGTGAGGTAGATTGGGGGTGTCTTTCGTGATCTTTCGATTATAGATGATGGGTCCTGTACTCGAGTCTGTAGATGATGAATCGTTCGCTTACTATCTCATAGCGTAATCAGCTGCGGACAGTGCCCAGAGATCTGGTATCAGGAATAACAGCAGCGTCACATAGTCCTCCTCGATGCTCACTTTATCCTTGCCTCCTCATCTAGGAACATAACTGTATCTTCCATCTCGAGCACATCCGCAACTTCGACGCCATGTTTGATGATCTTTCCTTTGCCCCTAATCAGCACCTGTATCTCACTAGGATGAACCCAGAAGAACACAAGCATAACGGCCAGCATCAGTAAAGCATCAAATACATATGCAAAAGCTTCATGCGTGATCAGATATCCACCCTTGTCCTCCAGATACTCGATCAATCGGTACACCGACCGCACCAGAATGAGCATACTGCCAATATACAACGCCTCCATGTGTTTCTTCCATGCAAAAGTCTCGGAAGCCGTTGTAGATGTCTTAGCCAACCTTACGTGGAAGATCACACCAGTGACCAGGAAAAGTCCAAAGAAGAAAACTTGGATAACCAGACCGATGATGATGACCCACCGACCAGTGTTGTACGAATATGGTTTTTGAGCAGAAATGATAGCGCCACCGATTGCTTGAGCCATGAAACTCAACACATCACCGAGGACGAAGAGCTTGGTGAGCCACGTACGGCGGATAGGAGCCAGAGATTCTGAGTGGGTGACGAGTATGATACGGCCAAGAGACATGTACATCGTTGCTGACAAAAGGGCGGGTGCGATAAGAGGGAGAATCAACTGGATGGCGTAGGGTGGAAGAGTGTAGTCGGGTGATTGATTTATGGATATTATGCGGAAGGTGTAGCCAATCCCTTCGACTTCAAGGGGTTGTTAGCATGTGGATCTGTGTCCGCTGAGGAGGTATAGAGGTCAAACGTACAGATGCCACCGAGCAGAAATGGGATAAGGTACCAGATACGGGTACGGACGAGTTGATAGAGGTGTAGGATGCTCATGATAAAGAAGAGGATTGCGAAGAGCACTGCTGCTGGAACAGAGGCATCGTAAGGGTAGACATTATGATATATCTTCGTCATAACGAATGTTCAAAAGAAAGCGAGCGCGACGAGGAACACAATGTGAAAAGAAGAGAAGGATGCAAACGTAGATGCAGAAACAAGGTCGGATTGGTGTTGATATACAACAACTCGCGATTTTGCAGCATATTGTTGAAGAAGGGCTTCCATCTAAGCGTACTCAACGGCCCCAGAGACTAGTGCGCAGCACCTCCTAACTCCTCGTGCATGTCTGTGCCTACCTACTCATTTGCATAGCAGTATTGTCTGCGCCTTCGAGCTTGATGTGCCAAGGACAGAGAAGAGAAACGGCGAGGATAGTTCCGCAGATATGTTTCGTGTTCGTACTCGTAGAACATGTGCGATATAACCGAGCCGTGTTCCTTTTATACTGGTCGGCCATCACAGCTAACAGTTACGTTCGATACACCATGACCGCTTTCTCGTGGCCGAAGACCTCAGAGCTCATACAAGTTAGTGCTCCAATCGTAGGAACGCGTAACAAACCAGCGAGTCAGATAGTCTAGATGCCGGTCTTGGTCAGGTCCACAGCACAGCTGTGAATCGCTAGATAGCCCGTTTTTGGCCTCAAGATGGTCGTTGGCTGGAAGCAACGTCGTCATGTAGAAAACTCCATGATAACGGAGTATCCCCCGGAGGAAAGGGCATGAGCTAAGATAGTGCCGAATCTCGGCTTTGGTTAGTCCCGTATTCGTACGCGTACTCGTACTCGCTGGATCAATCATCGCGACGCGGAAGAGCTGGTTGCATACAACATGATCTAGACGAGCATAATCTCCTCTTCGCATGCCCTTACAAAGCCTCTTATACTCGTACTTTCGTACAACAACAGGCGCTAGGCATGTATTTGGGGGAAAGTTCAGTATAAGTAGTCCACTGGTTCCATCCAAGCTGCGGTCAAACTTGCACTGCCCATCGACAACAGTTCGTGTTTCTCTGGATGTTCTCAACTGCGCGCAAATCTTGTTCCCATCATCATTCGCTCCACTGCTCAAGTCTGGAACCGATGTCGAGCAAGGCTGATTTGAGGGTCAACATCATCCCTCCGTTGCACATAGCAGCTTTGAATAAGTGTATCCAGACTCGCTCGATCTCTCGCAAAGGATACTCGAAGAAGATGAACAATGTCGCTGTTGTACTCTCAATGGACAAGTCCGTTGAACCTCGGTGATGCCGGTGACCAGCCAAAGCTTTGGCGCGGACCGCTATATCCGCCGACTCCCGACTCAGTCCTGCCCTTCCCGCGATCCGGAACGGCAAGCTGGCTGCGCCTGGTCTCTAACTTTACCCTGACACTGACATAACTCACGTCACAATAATTTTAGTTCTTCGCTCGGAGCAATTCTTCTTTATATTCCGAAACGATAAGAAGTATACATAAAGGGTGTTGGTCCGACCATCTCCAACATTTGCGAGAGCGATGATTCATTGACGCGTTGACCATGCCACCGACTCGAAAGGCACATCATAAATCGCGCAATGGCTGCAATCAATGCAAGAAAAGACACGTCAAGGTAATATCACATCCTCCTACTATCTTACATGATACCAGCTGACTTTGTTGATCAGTGCGATGAAGTCCGGCCACATTGTGGAAACTGCGTGAAAAGAGAAGCGACCTGCAGCTTCTCCACAGGCGAACAAAGCCCTCCCAACGGCCAGGAGGAGCCGGAATCACCAACAAATGTTCCCGAAGCTCGACAGCAGGTCCTCTCTCGAGCCGAGGAGATGGACCTGATTCATTTCTTCACAACAACTACCACCAAGACTGTCTGCCATGATCCTAAGGACTGGCACCTGTGGGAACATGGTATTCCAGGACTGGCCTTTCAGAACGAGTATCTGCTTGACGCTCTATTAGCATTGACGTGTCTTCATCGATCAAGGTTGCATCCTCTGAGACAACAATTTTGGGTTCGATGTGCTATAGAATACGAGAATCGCGCGTTACCGGGGTTCTTCAAAGTACTGAGTGACGTGAACGACGAAACCTGCCATGCTGCGTTTGCATTGTAAGTACCGCCTGATAGACCATTGCTTGAGCCTCCATCAACAGACGTATACGCCTCGATGATTTTAGGTCCTAGCTTGTGTTTCCCCACGTCCGACTGACACAGGCCTCAGTTCTTTTGTCACTACCCTGGTCGAAATCGCAATGCCTCGAGGAGACATTGATCCTATTGAACATCTAGTCGGAATGCGCAACTACTTCAGAGGAACGGCGATATTATATCTGACCAAGTTGGATGCACTGAGATGTGGTGCTATGAACTCATTCTTTCTTGCAAAGACGATCACCTGGGAATACGATCCGGAGCTCCGAAGGTCCCTCCACGACAGAGTCACCGCTTTGTACGACATAGTCGCTGGAAGTCGGGACGAGAAAATCTACAACGAAACGATTGCTCTACTACTGCGACTGTTCTATGACTCTCCGTACGCCATCATAAGCTTCTCGTTGCTCGTTGGACCGGACTTCTTCCAGCTGGTCTGTCAGCGAGAACCAATGGCAGTATTGATTTACATATATTGCGGTGTCGCATTTAACAATGTCAACGAATGGTGGTGTGACGGCCTGGGAAAGCGAATCGTCAATGGGCTGACACTCCCCGAGGAGACGTTGGAAGATAGTCCAATGATGGCATCTGCTCTTTCGTGGGCTAAACAGCAAGTCATGAAAGTGCCAGAATCGAATAAAGTGATATTTTGGAGGATCTTTGTAAGTCTAGACTTTCGGTTTCTGTACGCACCTTGCTAACATGCTTCAAGGATGCTGAGCATCAAGTTGAGACAGTTGAGACTCTTCTGCATCCAGACGATCCCCTTCACTGTCTTCGTTCGAACGACCCATCAACAGTCAACACCCCCGATGCTTCTTGCCAGAGGAATGGCACTGTCCAGGACAAGGAGACTACTGAGTGAATGCCATGATCAAATGAGCTTTGTTCGCCAAGGATGTAGAGGTCGGATGCAGAAACAAGAGTCAAGAGTGATTAACAGGTTCACAGACCCGCCATTCCATCCACAATCTTCACGCCTGCTGATGGCATACCGGACATGATATACTGACGATCTGGAGGCGCTAGCGTCGAGGTCGGACCAAGAGCTCGGATTGTCTTCGTTCGTGCTTCTGGCATGCGTACACTGCTCGATACCGTATCGCGAGCTTTGAGAGATGATCGAATATTGCCTGCAGTCATGTGGCAAGATTTGAATGACATGACATACAAAATTCGGCAAGGATCAGGGGGAAGACTGGGGTGCTTGCCCGCTGTGTAACCAACAAGCATATAACTAGTGCACGGGACCAGCTTCGACGCTCACAGTCGATAAGCCGGACAAATCTGATGAACCCAAGCATAGTCTAGTCATTTAACAATCACACGTTGACTGTATTCAATCACAGCGTTGCAAGTAAAAGCACGTCGTCAGAACGAATTGACGCTTCCGGTCGAATACGACCGCGTGCGATGCAATGGTTCGCCTTACACAGTATCTTGGCTGTGTCAGCACTAGGATACACATGCATTTTCGGTCCCCGCTTTCTGCTCACCGGTAATTTCAGTCGCTCCTGCTCGAGTTGTTAATCAGGTTGAGACGCAGATTTCTCAATTGTCACTTACCTCACCGCACCGCAATCGCCCATCCTCACCCATTGTCGCCAGCAAATGGAGTCATCAAGCCTTGCTGGAGTAAAAGAGCTACTCTCACCTTCGGAGATTATCGACCCTTCTTCAGATCAGTACGAAACCGAGTCGCAGACATGGCAAGCTCATCGTAATCTGCATCCTAAGCTTCTTGTCAGGCCACAATCTCTGGCCAGTCTATCGCGACTGATTGCCTTCCTCAGTCCCTCCAGTCTGGACTGGACGGTTCGTTGTCAAGGTATTGGTGATGCTTCCGCAAGAGATGTCTTGATCAGTCTTGCTGGCTTCAAATCTTTCGTTTTCGACCCTGAGCACGAGAGTATTCTTGTTGGTGGTGGAATGAGTTGGGGAGAGGTGGAGGTGAAGTTGGAGGAGCAGGCGCCTGGTTATCAAGGTAAATGTCTTTAGCTCAATACTTCTTGATCATGATTGATGAGTATTTTCACAGCCGTCAGTGCACGATGCAGCTTTGTCGGTGTAGGAGGTATGATCCTGCACGGTGGTCTGTCCTGGATGTCTTCAACATACGGTCTGGCCTCCGATCCTCAGAACTTCATTGATGCACAGGTTGTGAAGCTGGACGGAAGCATCATCTGGGCTTCTGAGGAGTCGGATTTGTTGTTCGCTCTCCGAGGCGGTGGTCACGAGTTTGCCATAGTGACTGCTTTTAAGCTAAAAGTCCATGAGTTCTCACAAAAGATCTATAGTGGTAGTATCGGATATCCTCGGGCCGTACTGCCTGCGGTAGCAAGAGGTATTGAGGAATTTGCGAGAATGGCGGATGGATGGCCTGGTACTGCCATGTATCTGTACAATCTGGATCTCATGGAAGGTGCATTTATTGGCGCGGCTGCTCAACCCGGTATCGCAATCTGGCTGTTTGACCCTGAGGGCGAAGAGCACGGTAGAGAGATCTTCAAGTGGGCTTTCGAGATTGATGGTGCTCTTGACTTGACTGAAGTCATGAACTTGAGGGAGGTGAACAAGCATGGAGGTGAGCCATTTTGTGTACTTGGTCATCCACGAAAAAAACATACTGAAAGCTGACGTATGGAAACTCAGACAGTGTATTAGTCGCAAAGGGCATATGCTCATCGAACATGTCCAACATCACAATCGCCAACGAAGACATGACACAAGAGCTAATCCTGCGCACCTGGAACTGGCTCGAAAACACTATTGCCCTCAACTCTACAGAACTCAGAGTCGGTACCTTCGTCCTACTCGAGCTTTTCCAGAAGCCTGTCTTTCGATCTGCTGATGGAAATGATGAGTGCGCTTGGCCGCATACACACAATCAGCACCTGCTACAGTTGGGCGTCGGCAGAGTCAATCAAGGAGATTATCCGACTGATCTGGACACCAAAGCTTTCCAGATGCTCAAAGATGCTGGTAAGATGATTGTGGGTGACAAGTTCTCACCGGAGGATTACTTCATCAATTTCATACAGCCTTGGAATGATCACAAAGCGGTGAGCTCCTGTCTACTCTGTTTTCAATTGTCTCAAATGCTGACCTCGGACCAGATCTTCGGTAGAAACCATGGAAAGCTACAGACAATCAAGAAACGCTACGACCCTAAAGGTGTCCTGGTCAGAAAGAACTGATGATGGCAAAATTGATTGTAAATTTGCCTTCTTTATTACGGCCTCATTAGTAGTCATTACCCATTACCCATTATTCATTATATGCTCGCTGAAGAAGACGCGAAACTCCGTATCACACAATGCGTAGTGGCTCTCCCACATCCAGTCTGACGATCTGAGTTCTGTGGTCTGCTTTCCCTGGCTTCCTGTCCTGATGCAATGCAATGCTTTTCTTCTCCTCGTCCAACTTTTGCTGTGCTTCCTCTGCTGAATATACTGTGCTCTTGATCCATGTTACAGACCATCCCTGATTTTCCTTGGCCTCGTCGTGTGCGCTGACCCAATAACGAGCTCCCAGCTTGCGAACAATTTCGGCGCCTCCAGGATATCCAGCTGCCACGACACCACCCATGAACCAGGGATTCTCCTCGATATTGATCGAGTGAAAGAGAGCAGTCAGTGGTAGCGCAGACATTTTGGCCAAAAGGGATGATGCATACGACTCCACTGCAGGATATGCTACACCATGGGGGCTGTATAGCACACTGATTGTCTTTTCGAGTGGCGGGAACAGAGAGCCTCCTTCAACTTCCATTGGCGAGTCCGGTGGTGTCATGTAATCGTTGTGGCTGACTGTAAGATCTGAGAAATTGCCTGCCATCGGGGAATCCTGTGGTGTCTGTGGCAACATGAACAGGTTGACAACAGAACCGTTCACTGACGTTGTCATGCTGCTTGGAGCCCGATAGGTAAGTCCAATCGCGTTGTGAAGTCTCGTAGGATCCATTCGTTGTGGCATGTATGAGACTGTGACCTCACCACCCTGGCTAGTGGAAGAGTAACCCGGTATGGGAATGCGCACGACGGTGTCATCAATCTTGCTGTTGTAGGGCTGCATCGACTCAACAGTCGCATGCGTGAAGTATTTCCATGATTTAATCAATTTGGCAGCCACTGGCGTTGCTAGAATGCGCACTCTAGTATCCGCCGGAAGAGTGCATAATGTCTGTTTATGACAATGATCTGGCTTGTCTTGCGATATGATGATGAGATCAGGCTCAGATATGTCGCGTAAGGAAGAGATGCATGGTGGAGTCGTATGATGCGATATTTGAAAAGACTCCTTCCAGACAGAAGAACTTCCAGTCACCCAAGGATCGATCAAGATGGTATATGATCCAGGGAACCGAGCCGAGGTATGAGCAGGCGCGAAAGAAGGAATTAAGTCGATCAAGAATGTAGTGTCAGCATTGAGAGGCCTCACATTCATGGCCATATGTGCACGCCGATGCCTATAAGAGAAGCAGAGAAGAATAGGAGGTCACGAAGAAGAGAAGAAGAGCTTTCGGCGTCGGTTGAGGCATGTTTGAGTAAAACCTGGAAAACGACATGAATGGTTCCCCGTTGAAAAGCAGAAACATCAACCGATAAAAAGTGGATACGCGGTACAGATCTACTTGAAGCAAGAGCCAAGCCCAAGCCACCGGATCGCGCGCTTCCTGCTGGAGGCAGCCCCACGCGAGCTGAACCGATTTGAATTGCCAGCTGACTATAACGAGGATATTGTAGAGCCTGATGACTGTTGTTGTTGTTGTCGTTGTTGTTGTTGACAAGGTCTGGCAAGCGAACTTGCAACTCGTCAGATTTGTGCAGTTGCCTAACCGGGAACACGGCCTCGAAGTATGGGCTGGAACTCCCAGCGAACAAAACGCATGGTCTCGGCTGGGGCTACTCACAATGGAGTTCGGCTAACGAGCCTCCGCGCAGGCCCGATCGCAATCGGCAACCGCTCGCGAAATCAAAACTCAGATGACTTCATGAAGCAGGGGCAACCGCGTTGACAGGACAGTTCGTTGCTCTGCCTTGTTCTAGAAAGCATGGAATAGGGCAAATGTATCTATGTACCTTTTTAATCTGTATTGTTCACAGCGGCTCGTGGTCGTGTCTGATTTCCCATTCGACTTCCTTGCGGATGATGCCTGTCTGAGAGCTGATGGACTGATTCTCGTCCGTTGCTCGATCTCGGGATTCGTGATGTACTGACGTCCTCGTGCCTAGCTTTGAGCTCAAGCTTATTCCTTGAGATGCTGACCGTGCCGATGCGACGTTGTTTCGGTGACTGGATTTGATTGGTCCCATCATGAGATACGCTCCATTCGCCTCTGAGCGCGACGCGCTGTGCGAATCGTCTGTCTTCGCAACAGTGATGTTGTCGAAAGGGCTCATGAATGACCGGAACGATGGTATCGATGCGGAGACCAAGGACCATGCCAACCATATCTGGATCCAGATAGCCGGAGGTATGAAGGCGAAGCCCTTGTCTTTGGCTCCCACGGTCAATGATAATCGTCGCAGATGAGCGATAGAGAACCCAACAACCCTAAACTTCGTCAGGAAGGAAGCCCAGTGTCTTCAGGTGTACTTACGCAAGTCTGAACGCGAATGCCGTCATGACAAGCATCTTCGGGCGCGAACCAAGCATGACACCAGACACCAAATATGAAGGTACGATCATGAGTGCCGCCTCTGTGAGGATATCGAAAACTGTCACAACCCTCCACCGAGTGATCTGCTAATGCATCAGTATCGCATATAGACTGCAAAATCATTGCACTGACGTAAGATGGACACCTGGCTGCCTTCGAGAAGAAGTGGTAGGGCGAACACTTAATCAGAAGAACGAAAAGCGCGACAACGCCCCAGATAATGGTTACACCTAATAGTGACCAGCACAGTATGGTGTTGAGTAATCTGTTATGGGTAAAGAGGCGTCTGACAAACAAGGCGAGGGACACTTTCGACAACGTGTACGCAAGGATGAACATCACTTCGGCAGTGTACATTGCCTAAATCTGTCAGTCATTGGAGCACTCTCATCAGCTCTCTCATGATGTCAGGTCGTTCGACACACCTTGTCAATTCCAGGCAACTGGTTCTGTTGTAGGACATTGCTCGATTGACCAAACCCAGCCCCCAAGCCAACGAAGATAGGAATGTGTTGGCATACAGCGGCGAACTGATATTCTAATTAGCAGAGACCCATTCGAGGGTACAGTCCAGGACTCACTGTCGCTGCTACCAAAGCCCAATCGTCGGCACCATACAGACCCCATCTGACATTGTATCAGTCAGTCGTCTTCGCTTGTTCTACCCTTCAACTTACCTGACTTTCAGCCGCACCAGCAACGTGCCAAATGGATATATCAGAGAGAGCAATGCGACAATCCAAACATAACCAGCATGATCTGTGTCGCTGATGCGAGAGAAGTAGTAAGTACCCGGTGGGAGTGGATCGCCGTTGACAGTCGTTAGGTTAGCAGCCATGCTGTCATTCTACAGCAGCGTAGGTTTGGAAGATAGGCGGCAAAAAATGCATCACCAAATGTCCGCAGGGCACGCATCCCGCTACATATCCTCTTCACTGCGCGGCCACTACAATCCATCACTTCTCGGGGGTATCATTCGTATTGCTCACGTTATCGGTGATAGAAGGGACATCTAAGATTGGTGCTCGGCTTATTGGACTTCGCGAGACAGAAGCTTGACAGATCCTTGGTCCCCTTGTGGCTATCGCTCCTGCCGGCAGAAGTAGCCCTGCACAACGCTTAGGGTTTGGAGGAGCACGCAACCGACATGTTCGGTTGAATGTTTCGTCCGCCGAACCACCCGGATAGTGGTAAGGTCAAGGGGCGGTACAGCACGCTCGTGCGTAGCGATACCTCGCAAGGTGATCGGCATAGCAGTCGATGGCGTCTGCAGGTGAGATGACCCTCGCTTGTGCTCAATTGTACAACCCTTCTCAGACAGCCTGCTTGCTATCGCTAATCTGTGAGTAGAACAACAATCAGCTGACACTGGCGGTGAACAATGAGCATGTTTCTAGTCAGAACCGAAGGCGTAGACTTGGAGAAGGCTAACGGAAGCTGGCCTTCGACTTCGACCCTGCATCCAAGCCCGCGCACCTTCGGACTTCTACGCCTGTGAACACTCATCCTTGCACAGAATCTAGAGATTAGTGGCGCGAACTCAGGCCCACCGTGTGTACAGTAAGCGGCCGGCAGGATCAAGAGCCGCGACAAGCAATTCGCCAAATGCTTATAACCTCGAGGCAGACCTATAGCTGCTGTTTGCCTTATCGAGTGGCTGAAGCGGAACACACATATTGGACCTTGTATACGGCACAGCAAAAACATTCGAGATGAAACATCTATATTTTGGTTTCGCTTTGTAGAATTTTGATAGTCTGCATCAGACCACACGCAGGATCAATTGAGTTGTTCGTCTAAAGACTTCGTCATCTATTTGCGATATTCCTCGCGAGTAATGAACACTTTTCGGGGTTCATGGTGTCGAGCAAGGATGCGTCGTCGTCCTTATCAGCGGCTAATCTATCTGGTATATATCCCCAAAAGCCTGGACCCCTTCGAACACCACCTCCGCAGATCTGGAGGGGCTGAACGGCGTCCCCAAAACACTTTCGTCAAAACTATGTTCATCCTTCGACAATTTTAACGTGCGTAAGCGTGGAAAACAAGACCCGGAATAATTTATTCAAGACATTGCAAGAGTTTGGCTGTCGTGGCTTGCATGCGAGAGGCGGGAAAATAGAAGAAGGCTTGCAGTGCAAAGTGAACTCTGGGCCCGGGCTATCGCTAGGGATAGTCAATGCTCCGCGCCATACTATTGCATCAGGGCCCCAGGGGAGAAGGCGTGCAGGTGATGGATAGAGATCGTTCGCTGCCGGAGCTCCTCTTGTTGCCTCAAGTCGGAAGGTGGCTAGCGTATGGGTTTGAACTAAAATTGATGGGCGAGATGAGCGTGTTACCTGCTGAACTATATGTTCTTGACTCTTCTTGGGACATGTCCCCTTTGCTCTCTTCCTTTCTGTAAAGTCTAGGGGCTCCTCGGTCGCATCTTGATTATCGATTACCTATCACTGTCGCCACCATGTCATTGTCTTCGGAAGACATGAAGAGCAATGCCATTCATTTTGGTGAGCGTGAGATCGTAGACCCCGAGAATCGACCCACGAAGACTGCTGCAGCTGCACGCCACGCACAATTCGAATTGGGCGACTACAACGACTCCGCTAGAGATGAAGAGTCTTATGAGACAGCAGATGCCTATGGCTCCATCCCTTCAGATAAGCGGGACATGATGCGCATGGGCAAAGAGCAAGAACTGCGGGTATGTGCTTGCTGATCACGGTCCTCTTGTCTACTTCTGATCTGATGTTGGTGTACAGAGAGTGTTCCGACAAGTCTCGCTGCTGTCATTTACTGCCATTTTGATGGCAACATGGGAGTTCGTCCTCATGGCTTGTACACAAGGTCTCGTCGATGGTGGCCGTGGCGGTTTGTTCTGGAGTTACATATGGGTCATGATTGGTTACGGATTCATCATCGCCAGTCTGGCAGAGATGAGTTCGATGGCTCCTACATGGTAGGTTGTGCTGGGAAATTGATTTGGCAATCGCTTAGCTGACTCGCGTAGTGGTGGACAGTATCACTGGGTCTCCGAATTTGCACCACCCAACTGCCAGAAGTTCTTGTCGTATATTACAGGATGGGTGTCGACCTTGAGTTGGCAAGCAGGGTATGCATGCCTAGTACCAGCACAACCCCCCTTTCGAAAAGGCTGACCGACGAGCAGAAATGCTTCTGGAGGCTTCATCTGCGGCACACTGATCCAATCTTTGATCATCATCAAGAACCCTGACTATGCTGCTCCTGGCTGGCAGGGAACATTACTGGTTTTTCCCATCATGTTCGTCTGTGTCATCTTCAACATCTGGCTGAATCACTGGCTGCCAAGCATGCAAAATGCAGTCATGGTATTGCACGTCGCTGGTTTCCTGGCAATCATGGTAATCTTCTGGGTTCTGAGTCCCCACGTTCCCGCCAGAGATGTGTTCCTGGACTTCCAGAACGACGGTGGCTGGCAGACGATGGGCCTTGCCCTCATGATTGGTCAGATCTCTGCAGTCGGGTTCCTGGGAGCCTCGGATGCGGCAGCTCACATGTCTGAGGAAGTGAAGGATGCGGGCTTGTCGGTACCAAGAGCTATGGTGAGTTTTGATGCAGTAAGTGTTGGTCCGTATATCTGCTGACACATTTTCAGTGGTGGACCTACATTGTCAATGGTCTCCTCGGTCTGATCATGCTTGTCTCGTTCCTCTTTGCCATGCCGTCTGTCGAGGATGCCATCAACGATGCTACTGGTTATCCCATGATGTATGCCTTCCAGCAGGCAATGCCCATGAACGGCACCATCGTCCTGACCGTCTTGATGATGGTCCTTCTGATGGCCGGTAACATTTCCTACCAAGCATCGACTGCTAGACAGACATATGCATTTGCTCGCGACCGTGGCTTCCCAGGCTCCCGCTGGTTGGGCTATGTCAACCCAAAGCTGATGATTCCAGTAAATGCAGTGGTTTTCTCAGCGGTGTTCACCATTATCCTGTCATTGATCAATATCGGGTCGTCGGCCGCTTTCAATGCAATCATCTCTCTCGGCGCAGTCGCACAGATGGGAACGTACGCCATCTCAATCACTTGTGTTCTGTACAGACGCCTCACTGCCCCGCACCTTCTTCCCAAAGCAAGATGGAGTCTTGGCCGTTGGGGCGTGATGATCAATGTTGTCGGCCTTCTCTTCGCTTGGGAAGTCTTCTTCTGGTGTAAGTAATACGTCTTCTGTCGGAAACGCGTCGCTAATGGATCAATAGGTTTCTGGCCGAATGCTCAACCAGTCACTCTGGACAACTTCAATTGGGCTCCAGTCATGTTTGTCGCGGTCGTCGTTGGAGCTCTGATTACCTACCACTTCCAGGGACGTCGTGTTTACACTGGCCCAGTCGCTATCGTTCAAGGCCGTCAGGAGGAATGACTGTCCGCCTGATAGCCACCGTATCTGGACAGCGACTGCGCCATATTGTCGTGTATATACATCTCGAAACAGTGGTGTTGATAGATTCAACGGTCAGTGAAAATTAGGTTCCAGCTTGCAGCTCTAATTTTGCGTCCGCGCTGCGCCATCCCCAATGACCGTGCGCTCAACAAGCATGTGAAGAGAGAGCTCTTGTTCAGCTCGTGTCAATGACACGAGTAACTCTAACCACTGAGCAGCAGAGTCGCGAAGACGTGTTTGGTGCTCTGGAGGTCCAGAACGAACAAAGAAGACAATGATGAGAGGTCTTGTCTTGGAATTAAGGCTAGCGAATGTATCGCAGCCAATAGCAGATTGCAGGACAGGGCAGTGAAGCCATTATTTGCTGGGCTGGGTTTCGGCGGCGTCGCGGTCGCAATCGTTCAAGGGTTTGCTCGCTTTTGGAGCTCCTGAGCTGTCCGTGGCCTGTGCCTTTTTTGTTGCTCTTTCTGTTGCTTTGTGCTTTGCCCCGCGTGTGGGGGCGTTTGTGTGTCCAGCTTCTCTTGACTCTCTCCTGTCGTCACGTATCTCTTCATACCTCTTCACGCGGTCCGTCTCCACGTCCACTATATTGCTTCTTTTCCGTGTAGTGGATAAGCTTCAGTGAGCTCCAATCGAGCTCCATGATAGCTCCTTGCCCCTCGCCGGCCGTACCCGCCTAAGCTGGTAATCCGACCTGCCCTCTGTTCCTTCGCCCCGAAAGGCTTCAATCATCGTCATCCGTTTGCGTAGCTTGGTTCAGGTACCTTGCGGCTGGTCAAGCTGGCAGCTCGAGCTGCAAGACTCGACTCCTCAATCGACATGCCTCCCAAGTTGAACCACACGTCTAACCATCACACGTCTGATCCGGACAATGAAGTCGTCTGTCCGATCAAGTCTGCTGATGGCAGCAACTGTCGCAAGAAATGCTTGGGCGTGCGTCCCCCTATTTCTTCTCCCTGCCTCTGCTCCGTCTCCCAATATCCACTGTTTTGCTGTCGTTGACCGTGTATTTCTGTACCTCCGTCTCTGCTATTGCCCTTGCACCATGATTGTCTCGTCTGCCCCGCAAGTCGTTTCTACACGCCGCAATGCTTCGTCGTACGGGTCAAGATGGGAACGCGACTTACAAAGGCATATAGGAGAAGCGCTTCCGCTCGATGCAGGAGCATATCCGGCGAGCGCATCCGGAATACTACATTCCCAAGTTGCCGGCAACCAAGGAAAGTTTCGACTTGATGGTCAACTCACCGCCGTCGGAGCGGCCGCCCCGAGTGGAGCTATGGTCACCGACGTCTGCCCCACGCCAACCACGATCACAACCTGCAGACCACCACCATAGCAACGACCAGTATGCAGTTGGAGGACCCTCTGCAGGTGTGTTCAATGCGCCCATGAGCGTTGGTTATGACAGCCTGAGCTCATATGGATTTCAAGGCGGCCTGGGACCCGTTCAGATAGCGCCCGACGGCTACGGCTTGCCGGCAGAGTACCGACGGGGCTCCCTCATCCCAGCTGCGAGCGCGGCTGCCGCCCTGGCGCAGTTGCACTATGCTCGACCAGACGGAGAATGGGACAATGATCAAGTAGGCCCTGACTGCGCTGATGACGCTGCTCCGAGCGCTAAGTACATGCGTCAGAACTATTTCAACGACCATGTCGACGCGAAGAGAGCTCACATGGTAGATCCAACCCTCTCGGCTGGACAGCAGTTCCTCGATAGCCAATACCAAGAAGACGCGAGCAACCCCTCGGGCCTGTTGCTGCTCAAGTCGCCCGCGAGCCGCCACAACACGCTTCCCCCCATGCAGCGCTCCATCTCCCATAGTTCACGTCCTCGTAAGAACTCGCTAACACAGAGCGCGCGTAAAGCAAAACACGAAAGAGACAAGATCAAGAACGAAAACCGCAAAGCCCTCAGCGCCGAGCCTAACATGTACGGCAAGAGATGGGAAGACTTGATAGACGCTGCCACGTCGGCTACCGAGGAAGACAGAGACCTCACACCTGTGCGTTGGACAGACATCTCTTTTGTCACGAACGAGTACCACTGACTGTTCACAACAGCTGCCCGTCTCGCCATACAAGTCACCCCAAGTCGGTGCCCGCACACCATTAGCCCCCTTCGCCCTTGGCTCTCAATTCCAATCATATACTGCCTCTCCCTTGCAACAAACCCTCACACCTCCTCCGGCCGACGCAGATGGGCCACCTCTGGACATGGGTCCATTCCCTTCCGTCGAAGATAACGCCGTCTCATCCTCTCTCGACTCGAATCAATCAGGCAACAACTTCCACATCATGCCGTCACAGAATCTCTCTTCAGATTCGTCACCGATGTTCTCGAATCCCGTCCAAATATACTGCGCAGGCTGCAGAAGGCTGAGTATTCTCAAAGAGTGCTTCGCTTGCACCGAATGCATCTGCGGCCTCTGTGGGGGTTGCGTCGACACACTGATGGCAGAGCAATCACGCGGGCGTATAGCACAATGTCCTCGATGCCGCACAATGAGTGGGAGATTCAAGCAGTTCCAGCTCGACATACGCTGAGAACTGCTACATCCCTTTATGCCTCCTTTCTTTCACCCGACCTGTTTAATATAGCACATCTTCATCGTTCATCTTTTTTCTTGTGGGCTGGCTGTTTGATACTGGGATTTGTCCGGCGCTTGTAGGCGTTCTGCTGGAGGAAATTTATGCATCATAACTTCATGGACAAACGGGGTGGGATAGACTGTGATGGAACCCGCTGGGAGTGGAATCAGCAATGGAGAAACAATTTTTGCTAGGACATACGCGAAGCTACAGACAAATTCACTTAAGTTTGTCTTTTCGCTGTGATTCCCTTATCCGCAAGCTATAGATTGTGATTCGACCGGCCGACACTCATCACTCCAAGACATCCCCTTACTCTCGGCTTCCTCGTGCGAGCGCCAGCCCTCCCATTGTCGATACTCGCACGCACTGGACTTCCTCAAATCTTCCCACTGCAACAACGCTCAAGTGCATGTTCTCTATCATGGCGCCCCAAAAGAAGGGAAAGATCAAGACCTCTGACTTCGTCGGCTTTGACGGTGGCGACGACCATGAACTGTTCAAGGCCGAGACTCCGTCCAAGATGGCAACCTTTCCATCTCATCAAAGTGCCAACACTTCGCGTCCCAAAGCTGCCTCGACTCTGGACAAGTGGCCCACACGGTAGCATCAGCTCTATTGCTCCACGCATTCAAAATTCTGTATGCTGACTCTTCTCGCAGCGATCTCTTCAGAAACCCGGTTACCCTTGTCGTCGGCGCAAAGAAGAAATCGTACACTCTGCACAAAGATCTTCTCATCTTCTACTCGGACTTCTTCCGCGCTGCTCTCTACGGATCCTTCAAGGAGGCGGAGGAACAAAGAGTCGAGCTGCCCGAAGTCGACGAAGAAGTTTTCGAGACCTTCCAGCTGTGGCTCTACACTCGCAGACTTGATCATGCCGAAGTGAGCTTCATGACTATCACGAGACTTTGGGTCTTCGCCGATCAGCATCAGATTCCACTCCTACAGAACTATGCCATGGACCTGATGTTCGAGAGAAGAGTGAAGAAAAACTGCTTTGACACAAGCACAATCAACTTCGTGTATAACAACACCGTTGCTGGATCCCACTTGCGTCGGGCTGTGATCGAAATTAGTACCTCTTTGGTCAATTCACCTGGTGCCCACGAGAGACCAGAGCACTGGACGGTTGAGAGTCTTATCGATCTCGTACGCGCAGTCGACAGCCGTCTCAAGGACTTGAAACAGTACTCGCTCCCGAAGAGAGACAAGTGCTTCTTCCATGTCCATGGCAAAGATGAGGAATGTTGAAGAGTAAAATCTCATCCCAGCCGTGAGTGAATTCGTCTCGGAATAAGTAAGGTGTGCTCTCGAGTAGCATTGCAATCTAGCATCTAGCTCCCACACCTCACAGACGTCAGACGCCAAACAAGAACCGCGCTCGAGACCATGTTATCCTTCGTCATCCTCAACAATGCCACTCAAGACAAATCCAACGACGATGAGACCAATCTCACACTCGAGGAGAGATTGACCTCAACTATTCACCAGAGAAGATATCATCGGAAAGGAAAGCTTGTTGCTAGCATGCACTTGAAACCACCCACGAATCCTAGATAACATACGCGCAGACCGCAATGGAATTCAACTACCATGCATTGGCTCTTCCAGACATGGTGATCAGCCATACATGAACGACACTCGTCAGTCGTGACACAAGACTAGGCTAAGCCTGGTTCTTCTTGCCAACCAGGCGTTTGAACAACTCGCCAGCTCGATCCTCTGACCCTGCAGCCTCTTCAAAACGAGTGACTACCAATGTGCAGCTCGTTGTCGTTGCATGGGTTTCCACTCCTTCCTAACATGGATCTTCAAGTGACGAATCATGGTCAGGGTTATGCCTTCGACAAGCATTTCCGCCAACTAACCGATCACTGTGCCACGATCGAGGTTCTGTAACTTCCAAGTCCTGGCAGAATACAACTCTTAAATGTATGTAGTTCACCCTAATAAATTTACAGAGCCAGAAAACGTCTACGTGTATCGTGAATCACATTTGTGGATATTTAAGTTTGGTGTGATCCGTGACCACCCATTGCTCTCACGATCTTGTGTGTCATAATGGTAAGAACATGTGCACAGACACGGTTGAGGGTGGGCATAGTAATAACAGAATTCTGGCAAGATGCGGGTCTGATGACTTGGTGTCAGTTTTTACCTCGAGCCTTGGTGCACCGAGCGATTGTTATAACTGCGAGTTGGAACATGTCTCTCATATATTAGTGAAGAAAAGTCAAAAGTCAGGACGAGGTAACGGTAAGCATAACCACAAAGCAGATATCAGAAGATATAGATCGAGTTCCGGATTATTACCAACCCACAATCAAGAATGGGAAACAATCTCTCAATCAAAACCAATCTACTCTGGCACAATTCCAGCAACCGCACGCCAGAAATCACACCTTTGACCCCTTCCACCCTCCCAAGCATAAGCATCCACAACTTCAAATGCATTCTCCAACCCAGGCCCCACATACACCGTAGCATTAACCCCTTGTACGATATTCTGACTAACCTCTTGCCCACCCGTCTGATTAAGATTGACCTGCACAGGATTCCAAACATTGAACCTCGGAAACTCTGTCGCTGCTAGGCCTCCTTGTCCAGCTACGTTGGCAGGGATGCTAGGGTTGGAGTTTGTGACGAATTGACCCCAGATAGACATGAATGCTGCTTCAAAGGCAGAGCCTTGGGTGGGTGCTGCAGGGCCAAAGTAGCCGGATACATCGGCGCCGTGTTGGGCTGCGGGGACAGAGTATTGGTATTTGTAGCTGCTGCGTTCGGGGCCGGTGAAGGCTTCAGCCATCCAGTAGGAGGGGCAGACGAAGGTTGTTTCGGCGTATATGTTGTTGGCGCGTTGTTGTTGGCCTGTCGCTACCGAAGATACATTCAGAGCGGTGGGACCTGTGGTTCCGAGAGTTGCAAAGTCTACTGCTGCGGGTGAGTCTGTGGCGTTGGAGCTGGGGTAGTAGCGCAGGATACGTGAGATGTCGTCGTTGCTGAAGAGGGGGAAGGTCAATTCTAGCCATGCTACCAGATCGTCTTCAGTGTTGATGTCTTGGGGTGTGAAAAGAGGACCTTCGTTGGCGTTGTTGCCAACGAGGAGGTTCTGTCCATTGACCTTCTTCTCCAGAAGTTGCTGACTAGGCACGTCTTGGATGAATACGCCATCTGTGACTGGCAGGAAACCCCATGTGCCAAACGTTCCTGATGTCGAGACATTGAAACTGGCGTATTGCAAGGTCTCTGTATCTTGATTGATCAGACACTCAAAGATGGTGCGAGAGGATGAGCCATAGGGTGTATTGGGCATACAGTGTGCAAGACCAGCGAAAGCATAGTAAGACTGCGAAGGTACCCAGTCTTTGTAGCCATATTGCATTGGCAAGTAAGGAGAAGCAGCGATAGCGTTCTTGAACAAAGAGGTTCCCAAAGTACCGCCATAAGCCATAGTCTGCAGCATGACTGCACCACCACCAGCAGACTCGCCAGAAATGGTCACGGACCGAGGATCTCCACCAAAAGATGAGATGTACGATTGCACCCATTGCAAGGCGAAGGTCTGATCCAGGATACCTGCATTTACAGAACCAAAGCGGCTGACTTCATCCGAAGACAGGAAACCAAAGGCGCCAAGGCGGTACTGGATGGCTACAGCAATAAAAGAGTCGTTGTTTGTTTCGATAATAGCCTGCATGTCTTGCTGACCATTACCGAGTCCATAGCCACCACCATGGATCCAGACAAGAACTGGCAGATTGGTAGCATTCGGCGGAGCATAGACATTTAGGAAAAGACAATCCTCGGTTGACAGCATGCTTGCAGTGGTTCTACCATAGGCGTTGAACGAGCTCTGAGGGCACTGGGGTGCAAATGTGGTGGCTTGGATTGTTTGTGAACGGTTCTCTGCAGGAACCTGAGGTGCTTGCCAGCGAAGAGATCCAATCGGGGGTGCAGCAAAACGGACACTTGGGATAATAGGTCAGTGTTTGTTCTTGACGATGTTGGTTGACAACATACCCTTTCCAGATATTAATACCGGTGGTCTGGTTGGTGTATCCCTCATATATTTCATATCCTAGATCAATCTTCAGATCACTGCTGCTGGTAGCATTCGTTGATTGTCTCTTGGTCTTGACGTCCTCGAAAGGTTGACCAAAAGGCACAGCAGCACTGGCAACCAAGGAAGCTGCGCCGAGGAGAGCGCCAACGAGGGTCGAGAAAGCAGGCATCTTGACGATAGAAGTAAGAGCCACCTGAACTGCAACGAACGATCAGGAAATAATCAACCTACTTATACTTCCATGAAGCACACGGGACAGCAATAACCCGGATCGCGATGCAAGAGACTACCCCGCCGGTAAGCTTTTCCTATCGACCCATTGCATCAGACCTTGTAGCTGCTGAACATAGCCGTGAGATCCGTAGATATTATACGAGGACATGTGTGGAAACATGCGGAGTGGTTGTAAAGACGGCACACTGCGTAGACTCGACCATGCACCCCAGCCAAGGAACATGCGAGGCTCCGGAGTTGCAACACTCCAGCCATCTGCCGGCAATGTAACCATACCATCTGTCAGCCATCTGAGACATTCGGCAACGTGAAAAAGCTCATCGGTAAGAAGCCCTTTGCATGGCTGTAAAGCTTCGTCTCCATGAACCAGCCAATGAACAAGACTACGTTCGGCCGATATGCACAGGGCACAGCCCTTGCTTGTGATGACTCTAACAGCATGCTTGATATCAAAGCAGTATGCACAGAGCAAAGCACACACGTCATGACTGCTGCAAAACCCCCACTTCCCCAGCTTTTTGGGGATGACATTTTGGCAAAACGACATGGCGGGGACGCTATACAAACCTTCCTTGCAGGACCAGTGACGTTTCTCGTGCCCGGTATCGCCGGTGGTCCGAGACGTGTTCCTGAGCCGCGAACGCGTGTGCCAGTATCCGTCAGGCACACCAGGTCAATCCGTGCGCGTAAATCTGAAGCCTCTCCGAATACGGAACTCTGTCACACGTGTAGCTGTTGCAAGGCACAATACTTTTCCCAAAGACTGGAGCATTGTCGCGGAGGCACATTGAATCGTGGATTCTCTGTACACGGCTCTGTCAAGTCGAGAAATGACTCTGCCTTTCTACAGCCTGTCATTACACTGCAATCATTGAGAAGGAGAGTCGAAGCTAGAAATCTCAGCACATGGGGAGACAAGCGAGTAAAGAATAGAATCAAGTTGATTGTGGTTATAGGATAGCGATCCGTTTCGTATAGCGCATTCCTTTCAAGACATCTACTACACCAGCAAGAAATGGCCAATCGCTTCAAAGATGCGCTGCGTGACAGTTCTCAATGTCTTCTATCATTTCCTACAGAGATCCGTTCTGGGTTGGCGCCTGCATGGCAGCTTGGGGTGCTGCAGGAGTGCCTCCCATAGGAGCTGTCTGCGCTGGCAACCCAGATGTGGATGCCATAGCCAGTGCTGCGCGTTGTCTTTCCATCATCAACCTCTGTTGATCGGCCGTGAGAGTACTGTGGAAACCAGAGGGTCCCACTGCTGATGGTGTGTTTGGGTTTTGTGGTTGAGCAAAGGTGGGTGTTGCGCGACCAGAGGATGGTTGTGGTTGAGTAGCTGCGTAGCCTTGCGAACGAGATTGGTAAGCTTGCTGTGACGGAACGGGCGTACTGGCGGAACCATAGGTTGGTCGCGTTTGGCCATAGTTCTGCGGCGTGTAGTTGGTGCCTGTAGGGGTGCCATTTGCGAAGGTCGATGCTGTGGTACGGCCGGCAAAAGCGGTCTGAGGAACGTTGTAGCCGGTGCGAGCTGGGTTGGCAGGTTGAGGAGTTTGAGTGCTGTATTGTGGGGCATACGTTGGTCGCTGCTGGCCGTAGTATTGTGTCTGGCTGAAAGTCGAGCGTCCATTTGAGCTGGTGTTGTATGTGTTCGGATAGCTAGCGCCTGCGCGAGGAGCAGTGGCGGGTGCATTGTAGTTTTGCACGGCACCGCCACGGTAGCTTGCGACTGGAGTCCTCGAGCTGTAGTTGGCAGGTGCGTGAGAGGAGCGGCTGGGTACAGATGGGGTGCGCCCGAATTGCGCTGGGTCTTGACGAGCAGCAGCAGCGGCTTGCGCAGCAGAGCTTCGGATCATCCTGGTAAGTTGATCTTCCTCCATGGTGCCACGATATTCCTTGTTCTGAATGATGATGTTCCTCTTGACTGCCAGAGCAGCGAATTGCTCGCCATCCAGTTTGGCAACGGCATATGGTGGAAGCTTTTCGATCAATTGAGCCAACTGTGATCTCAAGGCTCTGTACGTTTCGTTCTCTTCGGCCGAGGGAGCTGTGGATGTGCCGACCATAGCGCTCAGCAGTGGACTGGGACTTGTTGGGTTGCGCGAACCAGTAGGAATGTACGAGTTGCGGATGCGCTGATGCGATGACAAAGCTCTCAGAAGGTCAGAGATATCAGCAAGCATCTGGCCCACCTCGCGATCTTCTTCGTTGATGGTCGACACAACATCGAGCTTGTTTGGCTTGAGGTCCTCTTCGTCAAACTCGTCGATTGCTTTTTGGATGGCTTCCAGGTCTTCAGCGCCCAAGACGACCGACGATTCTTCTTCAGTAGCCTCCTTGGCTGAGTCTTCCAGATCGGTAGGAAAGGGGGAATCTTGCAAAGCCGGGTCGAGGACAAAGTGTTCATCGAAGCGTCGTTGACCCATTCTGTGCCACCAAACCATGTCTTTTGTCTCCTTGGACACCAGGGCTTTGGAGTTGTCCTGTGTAGGCGCGAAACTCGAGTAAGCAGCGCGGAATAGGGCGCTCTCTTGGGCGATGACGTCGGCAGGGGCGCTGTCCTCGTTTGACTTTGACTGTTCCTGGCCATTGATCAGGCTTTCTCTCCGTCTGCGTTTGATGGCAGAGGCAGACTCCTTGAGCTCATTGGCGCCGTAGCCCACCCAAGAACCAACAGTCAGGGGTTGAAGAGTGTAACCAGCCTTGCGCGAAGCTTTCGGGAGTTCGCCAAGAGACCATGAGATTGCGCTAGACTTGGAGGATGAGTGTCTGATCGATTTGGGAGGATTCAGGGGCGGCAGGGTGTTGGAAGGAGGGAAGACGTCGGCAAAGGTAGGGTTGGCTTTCCTGGAAACGACGGCGTCATCGGGATTCAGAGGAATGACCTTTGTGGCGGAGAGCATGTTGGGTAGACCGAGCTCTTCGATGGAGAGAGCAGGAGCTTGGACGGAAGAGTCTGGGCGTGGCAGACTAGAGAAGAGTTGTCTCGGTTGAGGAGCATTTCCGTACAGACTGAGGACAGTCTTTGCGGTTGTGTTTGAGCTCGAGTCATCCTCCTCCTTCTTGATAGGCATCTTGGTGTCCTTTGAAAGTTCGCGCTGTAGGCAGCCCTTGACCAGGGTACGGAAGTTGGCGAGGTTCTGCATCGAGGTAATGTCTTTGTTGTTGAAGCGCTGGCCAATCTTGAGAGGATCCTTGACCTTGAGAGGCTCGAAGAGAGTGTCGAGAGCATCGTCGAGGTCCTGGTCGAACTCTTCGAGGTTCAAGTAGAGGTTGTTCTGCAAGCGCGAAGCGATGGTGTTGTGTGCATCATGGTCGGTAAGCTTGGGTCGCTTGGTTGAAGAGCTGTCGGTCTGGAAGAGGCGCGACGCGTTGGGCAGTGGAAGCTGCAAGACCGAAGGTTCAGGGTCATTCCTGTCATGGAGATTAGTACGAGGCAAGACAGATGGCGGAGAGTAGACGCGACGGACTTTTGAAGGAGCTCCAAGAGGTCTTGGAACAGCTGTGTCGAAGGTTGTGCTTGTTGGCTTATTTCCGAGTCGTCGCGCTTGCGCTTGATTCTGGTGGGAGAAGTGTTGACGGCGGCATGGGCTGCGTCGACGGACTGGTCGCCATTGGGGGTTCCGTTGGTGGTCATGATGCTTGATGCTGTCCCCGCGTCTTTTGTCGCAAAAGTCGCAATGATGAGGGAAGACGCGTTGTGCTTTGGATTGCCGGCAGCCCCAGCTTTTCACAAAAAGATGAACTCGCGACAATACCAACTCGCGATCCCTATTGTCGGACTGATTCAACAGTAGACGTCAATAGTAACAGTAATCCGATGAATAAGACAATAGACAGTGCTTCCTGCGATGACCTGACCCTCGCTCTGCCTCAGACGTGGCCCTTGCATAGTCTTTAGCGGCTCCTGCCGGCCAATCTGCCTGCCCAGTGCCCATCCGCATCCGCATCCGCGTTTGCTTGGCATTCCAGTGTGTTTGGGAAATCATTTTGCCAGCTTGCTGTGCATGTAATTGCAAAGCGACAGCAGGGCTCTTGCGCACGACCTGATGAATGCCAGTTGCTGGTGTTCTGTCCCTTGGTAGACGGGTCCAATATGCTACTCGAACTCGCCATGCCCACAGCTGCTCAATTGGCCAGCACGCCCGTCGCTCCTTCTTCAATTCACGCCATGTGAAGAGCGACAATCTTCCAGCCGACAAGCAGCTTGACATTCTCCGCAAATATGCCGTCGACGACGTCTCCCATCGCTCTACTGCTCGGCTTCAGCTCCACACACACAAAGACAGCGAGACTCGGTCCTCTACGTGGAGTCTCTCATCGAATCCCAAGCACGATGCCTTGAAACGCATTGTCGCTCGTCACCTGGAACATCTGGCTGCACTCGAGACACTGGACGATATAGGCCTTCCTCTGACTAGGCAAGAGCAAGCCACGCTTCAGTCTCTTGACTACAACCATCATCATGTCGACCACTATGCCAACATCTTCTCCAGCAAGGACTCGCTGTTTGCGGCACGTCTACTGATTGCCTCTCATGCCCCTCCATTCTTCGTCTATCACGACTTCCTCGCTCGCACCCACATTAGGCCCGAGGCTCTTCGTCTGCTCTTGGACCATTTACCCGTGTGGGACCCTGACGCTTTCTGTGTGAGCCATGATCTTGTGACTCCCGTCTTCGAAAGATTGCTATACCATTGCCGCCGTGTCTGGCCTGATGCAATCCCGACTATGGCCACTTGGCTGACAAAGCAGTTGCGTCTCTCCGATGCTCGGCTTACACGCATAAAAGACTCTGGCTTGAACGGAGACGACAATGAGCTGATAGCCTACTTGACAAGTCGTTACAACTATGCTTTGCGCCTGCTCTCCCAGCCCTCGCATGTTTCGCCCTTCAAAAACATCATCTTTCAAGAAGCTGCTCAAGCCACAATCCTGAAGCACATGGCCGATCACGACCCTGCTTTTGCTATCAATCGACAAGGTTATCGCGCCGTCGCTCGCGTTCAACTGGCCGCTAAAAAGTCGTCCTCTGAGCGAGAATGGGCTAGACTAAAGTCTCCATCTTGGCCCCCGTGGAAGGAAGACCGTACGGGTATGGATGCTCATATCGGTCTTGACTATGGAATCAGCCGTGCCCGCCAGATCCTGCTCAGGATGCAAGAAGCCGGATACCCTCTAAAGGACTGGGATCGAGTTGCCATGATATACGCAGGATGGGATACGGATCGCAGTCCGACCATCCAGAAGAGGATTTTCCTAGACGATCTGCCCAGGAGTGACATTGCGAAAAGCCTCTGGATTGCTCGAATTAAGACGACACGTACTGCTCAGCAAGCATGGGCCTGTTTCCTGGCTTATCAGGACGAACATCTACCATTAGACCACCGCATATACCACGCCATGTTCGAAGTCTTGATACAGGAGCGTAAAAGAGTCATGCTTGGATCAGAAAATATTGGCCACGAAGTCGATCGCGACGATATGGACCCGCTGTATCCTGGTGATACGATGGAAATCGGCTCGCCCCCGTCTTCTACTCATCAGCTGACCTATATCCGTGCCGAGATGCCTTCGGTACAGCAGCTCTACGATCACATGCGTGAGGACGGGAAGCATCCTTCCGACGATACTTTGACCTTGCTTTTGGATAGCGCTGAGTCTCTCGCCGAGGGCTTGGTCTATCTAGAGACTGGTGCTCAAGATCATCGCATTGCTATCAACGCCCTTTTGCACGGGTCCAAAGACTATCAAGTTTTGCACAAACTGCCCGATAATCTGTTCACTGCATACACGCGACTTCTTTGCCGGTTCCCTCACACTCCACTCGACACAGAGCTGAAAATGCAGTGGCGATATGGCAGCATTATCAAGTCGAACTTCGATCTTCGACAACCGCTAGCTCGTGCTCTCTACCTTCTCGTGCAGCAGAAAAGAACATATCTCCCTGCCTGGAATTGTGTGTTTAGTGCACTGGCTCGAAGAAATGCCCCAACCCTAGCTTCAAGCTGGCGTTCACTACATCTTCGAGGCGAAGAGTCGCTGAAAGAGCAGAATGAGTTGTACGACAAGATCTTTGCTTTCAATCTCGCCCGTCAGGTCAATCAGACAATGTGGGAGAACGACCTCACCTTGGATGAGGATGCTTTCCTAAATATCTGCATAGTCGCTGAGCACGCTGCTAGCGCTGTACACACCATCTTTCGTGAGTACGGGTACAGACAAGAGCATGCTTCGGAGTCCACAGGTCGCCTGATCACTCACGCAAACACCATGTTCCAAGATGGCCCGGACTGGATGAAGGAGCAATTCTGGATTCTGACTGAAGGTGCCAAGGACTCCAAGTCCTCTATGCCTAGAATCGAGAGCTCTGCCGTGAAGTTGCCACATTTGTATACTATTCCCCGTCCGGCCATGCTGCACGCCTATATTCGTGCTTTGGGCCTGCTGCGCGACTACGAAGGGCTCAAGGAGTTGGTAACCTGGATGGCCAGGTACCGTAAGGATCTTGCCAAGCGCTGTGCTATGGATCGCAGAGGCCATGTATTGATGCGGAGGGCACTGATCGCACTACGCGTCTTCTTGGAAGATCGATGGGAGCTGTCAAGGGAGCTGGAAGAGAATGCGGATGAGGAAATGGACGACGGAATCACATCTAGCGCGTCAGCTGAAAATATCGAGGAGATCAAGGCGCTTGTCGAGAGTGTGCCACGATGGGGTGGCTGGCCATCTGATGAGGAGGTTGAGATGTATGTTGAGATTGGTCTTGACAATGGCCGAGAAGAGCAGATGTCCGAGGCTTGAACAACACTTGTATATATAATTCGATTCCTGTAAATACTTTGTGGATGTGGGAGTGGAAGTAAAGATTGAATATACTCTTTCGTCGTCAACTCTCTGCGTGAGATCTCTTGGTGTCGGATGTGACTATGTCTTTCTGCATGATGTCACTTTACTCTGCGCTATTCAAAGAGTGTGTGGATAACAAGAGCCAGAACACATACTGTAAGATAAGGTGGGCACTCATAGAGACAATTCAGAACCAGGTCAATCGAAAAGCTATACTTCGATATTGCTACACAAGACTACTTTATCGTGTTAAGCGGTAGTATCATAGCTTGTGAATCCCTGCATCTGAATTGCAAGCAGAAGCATGTGGACATTATTGCGCTGAACTCGGGTATCTACCTGTGTTTGGTCCTTTCCCTACGCAAATGCTCTTGTGTATCCTTGTTTCGCCAGGATGTTTTCTTCTCTGCATTTGCATAGAGGAAAGTTACTAAACGCTTTGAAACCACAGAAACCCCTCCTTCTCTCCCTAGCTCAAAAACCCCCATATCAAAGAACGAGATACTTTTCCGCAATCTTCCTAGCACCCCTCTCATTATTATTCATGGCCAGAATGTGCATCAATGCAAACGCCGCTTCTTGTGTAAATTCCTCTGCATCAATTTCTCCATCTTGCTCGTCATCTTCACCATCACTATCCTCTCTCCTTGCCTTTTCCCTCGCTTCTTCTCTGACCTTTTCCGCTAGTGCGAGTGCTTTCTCGTACTCTGGGATGGCTAGATGCATGATTCCAAGTAGGTGCCATGATCTGGCTACATTGTATGCGGCTTCTTGCTCATGGATAGCCAAGCCAGTTGCTTTGCGTAAATCTACGTAGCGTTGGAGGAATGCGACACCTTGATAGATTTGCCAGTGTCGGTTTTCGGCTTGTCTTTTCATGGCCATTTGCATATATGCGGTGGCGATGCAGAGATTGATACTCACATTGCCTTTGTCCAGAGTAAGCACTCTGAAGTAGTAATTGAGGGCAGAAGTCCAGGATTGTGCTGCTGCCATGATGTGTCCGTATAGTGACAACACACCGGCATCAAGGTCTGGAAGGTTATAGGGATTGGCGTCACGTTTTCCGGCATGTGTGTAGGAAGAACGCTCTTGACCGGTGAAGGCATAAGCGGCGCGGGACTCTGGGTCCAGCAAGGCGTAATCAAGTGCTTTTACTTGACGCAGGATGAATTTTTGCGTGGGTCCGCTATTGAACCAATTACTATAGCCTGCAAAAAGTCGATTTACAGCAGCGAAGAGTTGATATGCCGCTCCTGAATGTGGCCATTCTGTAATAAAGAAACGGCCTACTTCACACACTTTTTGCTCGTCGTTGAGAAGCAGTGCACATGCCATCCATGTAGCGTGGATTTGAGACTTGTGGGCGAGATTGTGATAGAAGACTGTGGCGAAATGTGTGTTTGTCAGGATCTCATAGCATTTTTCTCGATCCGCGGCTTTGGCGAGGAGGAGTGCGTATTCACAGAAAATGTCTAGCCACTCTGTGAATTTGATGTCGTGGAAGTTGTCCGGGATGCTTTCGTCAGGGACGTCGTCGTCCATGTCCATGTCATCGTTGGCGATTCGCTTCTTCATTGCTTCCATCTCGGCGATCAAAGGATTCTTGTTATTGCGACCGTATCCAGTGAATTTGATGTGCTTGTCACGACCTGGGTAGAAGGCGCGCACTGTCTTGAAGTCGTCCATCATCTCTTGTGCTGCTTCAAAGTAGGTCTGTACAGCATCTTCATCGTCATCCAATGTCTCTCTGGCCGAGTTGACGAGGACATGGTTGGCTTTGATGCGTTGATCTTGTTGCTGAAGACGTTCAAAGGTCTGTGACACCCGTGCTTTGGGAGCTTTGGGTTTCGTTGCCTTGCGGCCACGTTTGCTGGGGCGGAGCATGATTGGTTCTTCGTCTTCATCTTCCTCCTCGTCCTCTTCTTCCTGCTCTTCGTCTTGGTAGTCTCCGTCTTCTCCATCTTCCGGCATGGGTCCCAGAGAGTAGTGTCTGGAAACCGGGCCGGCATGCCTGCCAGACGATGCAGGTTGATCAGGACGTGGCATGAGAGGTGCAAGCGCTCGTGGTGGAGGTGGCTTGTCGACAGTGATCTTCGCCTTCTTCACCGCATCACTTCGGCCAAGTCTAATGACCTCGTGTACCAGCGGAACAGCTTCTGCCATTCTCTGCTCAGATTCATACAGCTTTGCCAACGCAATACGTGACTTGATGTCTTCTGGGTCATTGTCGACAATAAACTTCCAGCACGACTCGGCATCTGAGTTGCGACTGAACATCATGTAGCAGTCGGCGAGCTTCATGTAGTACTCGTGATCACAAGCCTCGGGGACTGATCTGATGGGCTCATAGAATAGGATTGCCTCTGCATAGTAAGTCTGCTCGATCAAACCTTCTGCAACATCTCTGAACAGATCGTAGTAATCTGCAACATCGTCTTTGAGGTCGAGTAGTTGCTGGAAGTGGCGCATCGCTTCTGGAAGATCGGCTCGGCTAACCTTGACGCGGAACAGACCAAGCTTGACCTTCAGTTCGAGAGGAAGACCCTCGCCGTACAATTGATTCTGACCAGCAAATCGACTGTACTTGAACTCCGGTATCTGGATTCTACGAGGCACATCATCGTTGTCGAATTCTCTGTCGTCTCCGGTTACGGTATCCCAGAAAGTGTCTTCTTTCCTGCCAAGTAACCATCTTGACAGCTTCTTCAGGTGGAAAGCTGCTTGAGCGGGATTCTCACACTTCTCAACCAGATCGAGATATACGTTGAGATGTGACCATTGTGTTTCTGGAACACCGAGGGATCTGCCCTTGAAGTAGAAATTGATCGCAACATCATAGGCGTCCTTTGCTCGCCGGATCTCCGGTAGACTGGCCGAGTATGCACACAAATCGGCGTACTGCCTGACAATATTGAGGTCATGGGGCTTTTGACGGACCATCATCTTGGCTTCCCCTCTAGCCCTTGCGGGTTGATCGGACTCCAGAAGCAGATTCAGCTTCTCGCGACGAGCGTCATAGTCATCGGGATCGAGCTTGATCGCCCATGCGAAACAATAGATAGCCTGTTCTAACACCGAGGGAGAACGATTATCTCCAGCCAGTTCGAGAGTTCGTTCCGCAACAGTCCACCAAAGAGCTGGGTCGCGTCTTGTATGAGCACCGTGCAGAAGCACAGTCAGCGAGTCTTGATCTTTACCTTGTGCCAATAGGATCTCAGACAACAAACTGTGAGCAGCGAAGATCTCCGGATTAGCCTTGACAGCATCACGCGCATAGTCTGCAGCGGCCTGATAGTTGTTATTCAAGAAGGCTTGCGTGGCGAGTGACTGCAATCTTTTGAACTCCGGATCGGGTTCCGCGACCGTGTTTCTCTTGTCGCCAGCCTTGCGGCGGCCCTCTCCACGTGGGACACCATTTCCTCTTGGTCGGCCTCGGCCACGACCTCTTCCCTTTGCCATTTTGGGATCGTGATCTGTGCCTTTGATAGCCCATTTCCAACCACGTCTACGCCCGGTGGCATTACCACGCGCGCGTGCACGACCTTTTCCACGACCACGAGATCCTGCAGCAATCTCTTCGTCGAGAATCGCATTAAGAAGCTCGGAATTGATCGACGCGTCGGAACTATCATCGCCTCCATCAGACATTGCAAAGTCGGGGTCAATCCGAGGGTTATCTCTAGCATCCAAGAGTTCGCGCTCAGCGCTGTCCAGACGATGTCGATGAAGTTGAGAGTCTTCTCCTTCAAAATCGTCTTCGTAGATGATTTCGTCATGGTTGTTGAATTGGTGGTTGTTGTTGTGACTGAAATCGGCATGGGCGCTTTGGGGATTCAGGACAAAGTTGAGGCCGTACTGAGCTTGTAGAGCACCATAACCAGCACTCGGGTCTTCATCAACATCTGAGTCTGCGTCCATGTCATGCCCATGCATGAAACCCTCGTGCATCAGAGGCTGTGGTCCACGCGGCATGAAACCTTCATGCATGAGAGCTTGAGGCATAGGAGGATAGTAGTCCTCTTCCGGTTGAGTGTATGCATAACTGTACGGATCTGTCTGGTGAGATAACTCGGGATAAGGTGTTATGTGATATCCAGACGCAGGGTCCGGATAGGAAAGATCGTGTTGTTGGTCGTCCATGGTGGATGGTTCTTTCAGCTTCCGGCAGATTTATCAGAACCTAGTTTTCTTTTGCGTGCCCACTCCATCAAAGGTTGAGAGTAACGGTATGTGAAAGGCGTTCGATAAAGTCTGCAAATCCGAGAGAGTGTGACGAGTAAGAAAATAAAAGAGTCAGTGATGGTCCGCGACAAATTGTTCGAGGCTTCGAGACACGCGACTGCGGGGCGGAGCGGGAAGCCAAGCAGTGTATCAAGGTGGAACCATTTTATCACGAGCAGACACGGACATAGTTTGAAAAATAGTAAAGATAGAGGTGTATATGATGCCATTGTTTTGATGTTCATTTCGGCGTAATGTTGGTACAGATAGTTACGTATGATACAGTGTGAAGACGACTTTCTTCCATTATCCTTCTCCTTGGGCTCCGAATCTCAACAGCCCGGCGTGCAACATGATGTCCAGGATTGGAGACAGCTACTGAGGTAGCAGATGAAAGGATGTATGCTGGTGCATGGTGGCGGACCGCGTGCTTCGGCGTGGGCGAAGGCTTGAGCGGCGTTTATGCGATTGCTGTAGGAGGCGATTGTGAGGTGTCGAGATGGGACTACTTTTGCTGGACAGCAATGTCGCTGGCGCCTTCGCCTTGTAGTCGCTTGAGAGTCTGGTCTCTTTGGTACTCCATGACTCTTCTCTTTTTGAAGTATTGGACCTGCGTCAAAGTCAGAAGATGGCGGCGAAACAGCAGGACATCGGGCTATGACTTACCCAGCTAGAGGCGCAGTTCTGCTCAAACTTGACCGACTCTTGAGAGCATAGCTTATCGGCCTTCTCCCCTTCTCTCACACTGTCGATGATGTTGTTCTTGTCGAGACAGGCAAAGTAGGCGTCGCGGCCCTCCCAGCAGTGTGCGCGCTTGTTGCGATCGGGCGCAATAAAACCGCCATCGGCTGTTGCCTTTGGTGCCTCTGGAGCGTTGGGCTTACTTGAACCGAACCAACTCATGTCAAATGTCAAATGTCGTGGTATGCGAATTTAATAATGGCAAGTTGATTGAAGCCTCGAAGCGGCGAAGAGAGTCCGAGCACCGGAATGTCGGCGGCGACGTCAGCGAGGGAGAGGGTCCTGTGTTGTCACCCAAGAAGCTGGAGAAGGGTGATCCCTCGAGAAATCAACAATAACCTCTACATCATCAAATGCCTCGTCGAAGGCGTCCTGCTCGTCCAGGCGCCCTCGCCGACCTTGCGCCAAAACGGATCCTCGCTCAAATCGTCATACTACAACTTCTATACTACGCCGTCGCAGCTGCCTTGATCCTCTTCACCACCCTCGTCGCAGGCAGAGAAGTCACGGCAGATCTGCTTCTCAGCTGGCGCTCCGTCCGAAGCGATGTCACCACAGGCTGGATGCTGGGCCTCTGCTGGATGATGGACAGCCTGATCTGGTATGCGATCGTCCCTCCTGCCGGCCCAAAACTTTCGACAGGCTAACATTTTGGCGCCAACAGTGTCATCTTCCTACTCCTATTCATCGCCCGATCAAAACTCGTCCCTGACTTTGCCATCACCATTCACGTCATCAACCTCGTTGTCACCACCCTCTACACCAAGGAACTGCCTACAAAATTCTTTTGGTGGGGCCTGCAATTCTGCAGTGCTGGCCTCATGATCTTCCTCGGTGTCTGGGCATGCCAGTGGAGAGAGTTGAAGCCGATATCTTTTGGAGGAAAGGGAAAACAAACTGCCCCTGCAGGCGACCCTGCCGCCATCGAAGAGGGAGCGGGTTTCGCAAGAGAAGGAAGAGGCCCTGGTAGTGATGGAGCTGGCGCATACGAGATGGCCGCCATGTCTTCCAGAGACCACGCTGCATGATGAATCCTGGTTATTATGATTAAACACTAAGTCATATCCAAGCTTTGAGCCATACCATCCTTGCACGCCTGGGAGCATGAGCCGTTCGCTCAGCCAACTATCCGCTGCCGTCCAATTACGTGGTTTGGAAGCATTCATAGCTCTCAACTTCCCGTCCGGCCAGATACCACACAGAGTCCACTTCGTCCAACCTCACCACACCATCTCTTTCTCGGAACTGGACCTCTCCATCTTCTTGTAAGCTCTCTGGACTTGAAACACCTTCAATGGGCACCTGCGACTTGACATCTGCTTTGACAGTAGTCCGACAGACAACTTGCTCCCGCTTGTGCCAAGGGAGAAACTTGGTCGACAGCCCATGCACATTGGATATCCCCACCGACGTTGGATGTAACGGGAGGACTGGATAGTCGCCTGCATATTCTCTGATCAGCTCTGATCACAATCATCAGTATAGGAAGCGTTCCACATACGCGTGAATATACGTTGTTTGAGAGGCAACCAGATATGCGTCAGCTCGTCATCGTCGCTGGCAGTAAGCAACAGTTCCACCGATTTTGCGTCGTAAAGTTGGTATTGTTGGCCACCGAAGACTGGTAAGTGTAACGGAAAGCCAACGACCACATTGCAGGCAAGCAAGAAAAGGAGTGGACGCTGCATTGCAGCAATGATCAGTAAATATATTGAGTTGAAGGAGAATGTTCTGTCGAGGGTGGAAGATGGAAACTGAGTCTGGAGTGGAAAGTACCTAGGTAACGTTCATGGCTGAACGCAGGAGGCCGCTCGTATATACCCCTCGGAGGGAGGCGCGATCCAAAACCTTCCTCCAAGGTATATTTGAACATTCGTGCAGATCGCCCTACTATGTAGCAGAACATGTGTAGCCCCTTGAGATTTTGTACCTCCATAAGATCTGTGAGTTTCTTGATGAGCCTCAAGCACCCCACAGCACATGCTTGCTTACTACTGGGCAATATTTGGGCCCGGCGCATGCATCATGCTGCGCGGGCAAGTTGAGGTCAAAGACGTAGCTTATGTCACTTCGATCTATCGTCATCATATAGGTAGTGTTGTCAATACTAGCACGCAGTGATGTTCGGTGATGCTACCATATAGTACTTACTTGACCGTGTTCAAGAGCATGATCATGTTTTGGAAATGGTATGCTGAAGCACAGACCAAGGTCTTACTTTTGGTCCAATACGGACGTTCAAACTCTCGACACGACCAAAACTTCGACTCCGATTCATCTCACGTAGCCTTCCACAGAAGACCTCGGTATGAAGACATGGCGTATTCTTAGTCAACGTACCTCGAGGACGAACATCTCAGTGCGCCAGTTATCAACAGTGCGCAAACCAGCAAACATCGCATCTTTACTCAGAACCTCTGCCGAGAACACAGAAGAGTCGTCACCAGAAATTGAAGTCAATGGATATGTACGGACCATCAGAAAGCAGAAGCGCATAGCTTTCGCCGCAGTTGGTGATGGTTCGTCTTTGCAACCCGTTCAAGCTGTCTTGACGCCGGATCAAGCTTTGGCGTAGGTCGAAACTTCTTTTTATCAAGTCACTCAAGAGTATACTAAATAATTTCGATGCAGTCTGTCTACCGGAGATTCGATCAGACTTCGCGGTAAATGGCAGAAGTGTCCTCCAGGCAAAGCTCAAACACATGAACTGCAAGTATCCGAGGCCACCAAGCTCGGCTACAATGATGCAACAGTATGTTCTACTTCTTGAACACATGCCCTGCTATGTTCTTATCATGCTCTACAGACGAACCCAATTCAAAAGAAGTACCAAAGTCCGGAATTTCTGAGGACACTTCCACATTTACGATCCCGACTCCCGTTCAACGCACTTGTACTTCATCTTAGATCTCAAGTCATTGGCAGCATCACAAACTTTTTCAACAAGGAAGGCTTTGTGCAGACACATCCGCCTATCATCACCTCTTCGGACTGCGAAGGTGCAGGAGAGGTCTTCACTGTATCTTCCAATGCTTCCAAGGACGGCACACAAAAATCTGATGATGGCGAAGTGGAGCACTTCTTCAGATCACCGAAATACCTAACAGTTTCATCACAATTACATCTCGAAGCACTGGCACAATCTGTCGGAAACGTCTGGACGCTGTCGCCAACATTCAGAGCAGAGAAGAGTGATACGCCCCGCCATCTCAGCGAATTCTACATGCTCGAGGGTGAGATGTGTTTCGTGGATGACGCCAATCAGGTCATGGATATGATTGAGAATATGCTCTCAACCATGGCGAGCGATTTGCAAGGATCTCACATCGTACAACAGATTGTACAAGCAAAATCGACTCAAACTTCTGAGGAAGCTGCTGAAGAAGGCGCAGTCACCGCAGAGGAGCTCTCTCGCCGTTGGCAAGGTATGGCTAAGCCTGACTGGCCTAGAGTAAAATACGCAAACGCAATAGAGACACTCGAAGAGGCAATCAAGCAAGGCACAGTCTTCCAATTTACGCCTTCATGGGAAGAAGGTCTGCAAGCCGAGCACGAGAAGTTCCTTGCCGAACACTTTGGCAAAGGTCAGCCTGTCTTCATCACCGACTATCCCATCGAGCAGAAGCCTTTCTACATGTCAAAGACTCCCGGCAGTGATCGCACAGTAGCCTGCTTTGATCTTTTGGTACCCGACCTCTGCGAACTGATCGGCGGCTCAATGCGCGAACACGACTTGAGTGGCATTCAGAAAGTCATGCAAGAACGCGGTATGCTGCGCGAGTTGACACCAGAGCAACGAGCGGCCGGCGAGAGTGAGATTGCAGACCACAAGCTCTATGACGGCAAACATGCAGGTACACTTGACTGGTATCTCGATCTTAGACGCTATGGGAGTGTGCCTCATGGAGGCTTTGGATTGGGCTTTGACAGACTATTATGCTACTTGGCTGGAGTGGGTAGTATCAGGGACGTGGTTGCTTTCCCACGCTGGTACGGACGCTGCGATTGCTAGGCTTCAGGCTTCAGTTATCAAGTGGTCTACACAATATCGATTCTGTAAATTAGTACATCTAGACTTTCCACAGGATAGGACGGTTTCCGATGAGGCCGCGTGAATGACAATACACTGTGAGAGGGGTGAATAGATGTGATCCCCTTGCGCCAGCGGTGAAATGGCGACGGATAGCTTGCCCCTAAACAGCGAGCGAGCAAAGCGACACCGGAGAGCTCGCTTCGCTTGCGGCTTCCCGTCAGCTTTAAGTTATCTGATTGACAATTTCGACCGCTCAATCTATATTGGCGCGGCATGCATGATCTTCCATGCTGGTACTTTGTTTGGAATGGTGCGCATATGCTCCATACAGCAGGAAGATGGCATTGCTATTGTCGATGATGGAGAACAGCGACAGCAACAACGGTCCACACATTCAGAGGACTCTCGGAATTGCCTCGGTAGGGTTGGATAAGCTATCTTCTTTACAAATTCGACGGCAGCTAGCGCGGAGATGGTCAAATGGTTCTTGGGAAGTGCCAAAAAAGGTTTCACGGGCCACGGCGTCCCGAGGCTTCCAAGCACCAACCGTCATACGGCAAATGCCATGTATCGAGATGCATAGTGGATTGCTCTGCTCTCATCTTTTTCCCGGATACGCCGTAGAAAGAAAGACGACAAGGTCTCTTTGTTCAAAACCCAAACATCTTCAGCGATACACGTCTCGCGGAACGCCCCTAGGAATAGACAGTGCGCCGAATTGACGACTCCGGATTCTCTTGACCCTTTACAAATATCGGCGCGTCACCACTAGTAACTTTTGCAAAGCTTCCCAGAGGTCACCGGTTTTGCCGCATACACTGTAGTTACTGAGCTGCACGCGCATTCAAGCACACACGCTTGCACATCTTTCCCTTCAGGAGACGCCCAACCTGGATTCTCAATCTCTCGCCCCTATCATCGGACACATGTCCGTACAAGAGAAGATGGTCCTCGAGGAGGAGGACAATGAATATGAGTGAGCACACACACAAGCCGACGCGCAATCAGAACGGATCAATTGACGAGGATGCCCATACAGCTACGAGGGACTGCCGCCAAACTTCAGTCTGGCGGCCAACATGGCGGCCGGTGCCTTCGCTGGTGTCGCCGAACACTCGGTCATGTACCCCATTGACTTGTTGAAGGTGCGTCGGGACCTTTGAATGCTATCAGAAGAAGGATGATATGCTGACTCTGAGATTTCTAGACACGAATGCAAGTCATGAGCCCGACACCTGCGGCTATCTACACCGGTCTCGGAAATGCGATCGCTACCATCTCAAGAGCCGAGGGCTACCTCTCATTATGGAGGGGTCTGTCGAGTGTGATTGTGGGTGCCGGACCTGCCCACGCCGTCTATTTCGCTACATACGAAGTGGTCAAGCAGCAGATGGGTGGAAACGCTGCAGGCCACCACCCTCTGGCAGCCGGTGAGACCGACACATTTGCGCCTCTCTGATCGATCGAGTACTGACCAAAACTTACAGCTACCAGTGGTGCTTGCGCAACAATTGCCAGCGACGCCTTTATGAACCCCTTTGACGGTACGAACTGCCTTAGACCTTCCCTTCCGGAATCTCGCGACTAATTACAATCCGCAGTCATCAAGCAGCGCATGCAAGTACACGGAAGTGTCTACACATCTCTTACCCAATGCGCTCGCTCAGTCTTCCGTAACGAGGGTCTCCGCGCCTTCTACGTCTCCTACCCCACCACTCTCGCCATGACCGTCCCCTTTACCGCCCTTCAATTCACCGCTTACGAGTCCATCACGAAATTCATGCACCGCCGCCCCGGCTACGACCCCTTGACTCACTGTACTGCCGGAGGTCTCGCCGGTGGTATTGCCGCTGCTGCTACTACTCCCCTCGACGTTATCAAGACTCTGTTGCAAACTAGAGGCAGCTCCACCGATGCCGAAATTAGAAGCGCCAAGGGCTTGTTTGACGCTGCTGGTATCATCGCAAGAAGAGATGGCGCAAAGGGTTTCTTCAGGGGTATGAAGGCTAGGGTTGTCACTGCTGCGCCTAGCACTGCTATCTGCTGGTATGTTCCCACACCTTCAAGCTGTGCAACCGACACTCGCTAACTGATCTGCACAGGTCCGCCTATGAGGTCGCCAAGGCATACTTCATCCGCGCCGAGGAGGCCAAATGAGTCTGACCACTCCAGTTTCGACCTTAGCATATCGGCTCCTGTTTCCCGTTTCCGCCTCTCGTTCTGCTAGATTGACTCGATATCAACCCTCGACTGCTGCAAAAGACGGTGCGGACAATCTTGAAGCGGCGCGATGATTGTGCCAGGACGACTGAAGCATTTTCCTTTCGAATTTTTATCTTGGTTCATTGCAGTGCCTGTTCGCTCCTTTCCGCTGGGCGCCTCATACATGTCTTCTCTTTGCTGGCTACTTTGGACATCTGGACAATCTGAACGGATGTCCGAGATTCGTGTTTCTTTCCCTTGGCACAATTTTTGCAGGAGTAATGGCGATCTCACAAAAGACGGCGGTCATGCTACGATGCGATGGAAGCGACATGTGTTCTGGGTCAATATTCAGACCAAATGAGGCTTTTGTAAGAACAGGTATGAGGAGGAAGAATAAGAAGATATGGGTCTGCGTGTACAGAAAAACAGGAAGCAGACCATGAATCGAGCGCAGAAAGAACAAAAACACATGAAACAAATCAAAGGCGCCCCTTCTTGATGACAACATGGAAATCTCGCTGTACGATCGTGTAGGTGCTGACGTGGATAACTACACCAAGTCAAAGCCCACCTTTGCCTGCCACCTCCCAGCCTCCCGCTTCCAACAAGCAGGATTCTACCCATGCCACTTACATTCCCTCCCACTTCTGTACCAGCATCTTCACTTTTCCATCTTCCTCTGCATATTACTCCACCGCGAGGCTCGCTCTACTCGAGATCGCATATCTCGGTGACCTGCTAGACCAGACATTTCGAGGTCTTGACTCTACCCCGCCATTCTTCTGCCAAGAATATCAGATCGTCACAAACACGCCTTCACTATCCTTCATCAGGCTCAACGGGTCCTAACGGGGATTTGAGATAGCCGTTTCTCGCGTCTGGAGTGGCAGAATCTGGAATCTCTCGAGGTGTATCACTTATCTGTGGAACTGTCAAAAATTGAACACTCGTTCTAGCTGTTGATCTTCATCAGCACGGCTGTATTCGCAAGCAAATCGACCCATAGCAAAAGTCGAACGACATCACTTTTTCCTAAACGACTGTCAGCACTGGAAACATTGCCTGGGAAATTCACCGGACTAGAAACTCTCACTCTTCACTTTTCGAACATCACTTTTCGCGACACTCACTCTTGCATTCCAAGACGGCAATTATCACCTCGCGGTTTCTGCACTTTCTGTTTTATACCAACATCAACATTTCCCTAATTCAACACACCCATCAACGATGGCACGTACCGAAACCACAGTCTCCAGGGAGCGCATGACGGTGATACGCCGCTACCCATGGCCTGAAAACCTGATCAACTGGTGGACCATCGTCATGCTCGCAACTGGCGGCTTGATCACTGGTGTCTTTGGCGACTTTATGAGTATCCAGAACCGCATGGGCTTGGGCATTCCTTGGTGAGTGGCTTCCTCTTCATAGTCGATAGCTGCAAGTGGGGTATTGTACTGACTTGACATGACATAGGTTGTTTCCTTACGCCGTCACTGTCGGCTCCCTCACAATCTTCTTCATCGTCATCATGATCATCTTGCTCGCGCAGAAGAAGTTACAGCCAGCATGGGTCATACTGATGACGTTTATCCTCATCGCGCTCTTCCTCGCCGGACTCATCGAAACTGCGATCCAATTATTCGGAAACGTGAGTTCACTTTCCTTACCCTTTCCCAACCCCTATTGCCTTTTGTTGGTGGCGAGATACTGACAAGATGCATAGGGCAATGTATCCTCCTACTGCAACCGCTACGTCAACAACAACGACATCCGCGGCGTCTCCATCGACACACTCGCCTGGCTTGAACAAAACTCCATTTGTGCGCAATGGGATGCCGCTTTCGCTTTCTGGATCATCGGTCTGGTTTTCTTGGTCTGGATGATGATTATGGCTGCTCAGGTGAATAACAAGCGTGGATACTATGATTGATTTCATTCTTTCTGCTTTCCTTGCGTTTTCTTTCTCTTGGATTTTTTGTCTTGTTTTTGGCTTTCTCATACCCACTGTTTTCCGTTCTGATGTTCCGTTTTCTTGTTTTGTTTTTGGCTTTCTCATACCCACTGTTTTCCGTTCTGATGTTCCGTTTTCTTGTTTTGTTTTTCGTTTTCTCTCTTTTTTGGTGTGAGTCGTTACTTATGAGCTATGCGTATACATATGAGATGAGATGTAGGGATATTACGATATACCCTCTTGTACACGGTCGAGGGTCTTTATATACACTACAGACATTTCTCGTCTGCAACCTCCCATGCTTATATCCTGGACACGTACGCATAACCCATTCTTCGGACTGGCTTCTACGTGTTCTGAAAAGTTGAGCATGGGGGATAATGAGAACTATCTACACACGTCTTACGAGATAACTTCTGACCTTCTATGCCGTGCAAACCTCGACTCCTATCTCCCATCTCCCTACCTTCTCTCTCTCTCCCCGCACATGTACAACGGCTCATTTTTTCTCTGGACCCGACTAACACACCTCCTCCTCCTCCTCACAGATCTCCAAACTCAACACAAAGCACTCTTCGACCACAAAACACTGGTACTACATCATCGACAAGCCCTTCGTTGCCAGTCGCACCTGTTCCTGCCCCCACAGTTGCCCTCACAGTTCCTCCACTTCCGAGGCGTTGAGAGGTAGAAGTGGAAGGACTAGCAGAAGGGCTAGCAGGGGTAATAGTGCCGAGGCTGTTGTTGATGGTCGTAGTGGCGGCAGTGGTGGAAACCGTCCGGGCTATCAGGTGGATAGGGAGTTTGAAAGGGGAAAGAAGAGGGAGGGGTGGTGGTGGAGGGCTTGAGTGCGTTGTTTATGAGAGAAGTGATGCATGAGATGAAACAAGGGCGTGTGATGAATTCACGCGTATTGTGGAGAAAGAGAATGTCGAGATGGACGATGACCGATGGAGTTGGTTTACTGTGGCATGAAGCAGATACACAGCAGGCGTCTTTTTCTTTGAGACAAGATTCTATGTCGTTCTGCTGAAGCTCCTGCGTATTCTATGCTTCACTGACTGTAGCATCGTTAACCACGCTATCCAGGACCTCCTTGACTGTACTCCAATCTTTATCAATACTTGCCTGCCAGTTCGAAATGGCAAACCTGCAAGCCGGCTGACCTCCCCACTTTGTACCAGAAACATAGATCTTCCTCGAGGCATTTATTTTCTTGACCAACTCTATATTCAGCGCTTCCTGCTTGGCTCTGAACAAGACAATGATATACACTCTTTGTAGCAACTCTTCTTTCGTAGCACCTCCAGATACGAGAGGAAGAAGCTCATAATCATCGCTGTCAATCATGTGAGCTGCAATGATTCGAGCGAGTGCAATTTGGCGTTCAAGCATGTCGACAAAGCCTTCACGTCCATAGGCGACGAGGTTCGCGTAGACGGGCAAAGCTCTAAAGCGTCTTGAGTTCTCAATACCAATGTTCAGAGGCGAGGGAACAGAACCAGCGGCTGCATTCAGATAGGGTGCACCTGGGTTTTGGAATACTGCTGTGCCGATATCGAGATGTCGAGAGAGGAGGATACCGCAGTCATAGGGCACGTTAAATAGTTTATGCGCATCTGCGGCAATTGAGTCGGCGTATTCGAGGCCCTTGACGCCAGATTTCAGGGTCTTGTAGTCCGAATTGTCGTCGGGAAGAATACGCGCTAGCAGACCAAAGGCTGCATCGACGTGTATCCAAGCTCCGTACTTCTTCGCCAGATCGACTAGATTCGTCATGTCGTCCTCCGATGTTGCAAAAAGACCGCTGTTGACTTCAGAGCAAGACACCACAATGATCGAGGCAGTCCTGGGTGTCTCGAGGGCTTTTTTCAGTGCAGCAGAATCGAACAGATGTGGCTCAGAAGCCCTGCCTACATCTCTGACACTATCGTGGCCCAGACCAGTAATCGAAGCAGCTTTGCGGAGCGAGCTGTGAGGGACAGAAGTCAAGACTTGTATGTCGTCAAGCTCAGCAACTCGCATAGCAGCTATGAGACCCATTGATGACACATTTGCGATCGTGCCGTTACGAGCTGCAGCAGCCGAGATGACATACTCGCGGCCGCATGCGAGACCGATAATATTACTTGCTGTCGCGCCAGTAGTATAAGTACGATGAGGAAAGTCTTTGTTCTACAATATATGGACTGGTCAGCATAACTCTAGAAGCAGATACGATGGACATCATTATTCACTGAGAATCAGTCTACCATGTATACGGATTTGTATGCCTCAGAAAACATACCCAAAAGCCTAAGAGGTCGCAGATCATGTCCAAAGAAGCAGCCTCGACATCTGTGGCTATCGTCTCGTTTGGAAGATGAACTTGGACATTCTGGTCGTACTCGGTGACCATGTTGTCGGCGAAGACGGCAGCAGGAGTAGCGCCTCCTGTGACAAAGCCATAGTAGCGGGAAGACTGACTGCCTGCATTGAAGGCTGGGGCCACATCTTCTGATAGGTGTCGTTGAACCGACTCGAGACCAGTGCCAGTCAAGGGCACTTGCCTGTGCAGACTTCCCAAAGCATGTGAGAGTTTTGCAGCAGATGGCAAGACATGCGATGGCATTGCCGACATGTTTGCATTCATGACTTTCGTATTGAGACAGCTGGTTTGTTGGCCGGGAAGGGATGATCGGAAGTGTCGTGTACATAGTCGCTTAAGCCACTCGCTTCACGTAGGAAGGATCGTGTAAGCGAAATGAGCATTGCAAGAGCGCCAGACCTTCGAATCAGATTTCGGAAAAACGAGGAGCTCCAGAATACCATTGCCTAGATCTTCCACCTGAGCTGTACTATCGGGGCGACCAAGAGGGCCGATAGAGTGTCAAGAACAAACCATGAACAGGGTGGTAGGAGCGACGAACTCAGGCAACAATGCCAAGAGATCGCCTGATCCAGCTCGCGTTACACGTCGCGGGCAGTCGCGTCCGTCGAGCTTCGACAAGGAATTAATTGATTGGGAAAGCCGCAGGCGCCGCCTAGAGATAGCGAGCAGTCCACGTCGAAGGAGCAAAATTGACGACAGCAGCACTCGTGATGCTCAATGACTAAGAACAACCTCCGCGAGCAGCTTGGATGGTTGCTACAGGAGAAACCGTGTATTCCCAAACATTCGCCTTCGCTACCGCCAGCACCGACATCCTTTGGACCTTCATCGCAGACACAGCTTTCGCAAAGCATACCTAGGAATGCCAATCCACTACCGACACCATCAGCGAATTCAGCGGCGCGTCCAGCTGTCAAAAATACTGCAACAGAGCGAGAAACAACGAATCCACCCCCGCGTGGCGAGCCCAGTGCGAACATGGCAAGGTTGAGAGCCGCTGCCTCTTCCTCTCCTACCAAGCCTGTTCCAATCGCCTTGCCAGAAAGATCTTCCCAATCCTCGACGAGACCGGCCGCTCCAAACTTCACGAGGAGCATCAGCACGTACGCTCAGTCACCAGCTCCGCGAAACGCCGTGCCTGCCATTAGCATGGCCCGCACCATGCCCGCATTGCCCTCGAAGGTCGATACTCTCGATCTGACAGAAGACCCTTTGCCCACGCCGAGTCGACTCTTGTCGCGATTGACAGGCCAGAAGAGAAAGAGTGATGAACACAGGTCCGACACATTTACCCGGTCAACCTCGAAAGCTCCTCGTCTAGACACAATCCAGCAATCCGAGGATGATGATGACGACAGCTTCATGTCAATCGATGATCTTGTAGACGATGAACCGATCGGTCCACCTCCTCCATACTCCACCGTCGCTCAATCACCCGCTAAGCGCCCTGTGCAAGCGCCCGTCCCATCTTCCAGTTCTACCATTGGCCCTCCACCTCAAGAACGACGAGTCAAGCGTCAGATTTTGGACAGCGAAGACGAAGACATGGGAGACGTCCACGAGAACATGCCCGAGCCACATCTGCCATCTCATTTGAAGCCGAAGCAACCTTCAACGTCACCACGGAAACCACTACGAACACCCGCGCTGAGTCGCGTTGTCGAGTCTCCGGCTTTTGCATCACAATCTCCTGGTCTCGCTCCGCTTTCTTCAAGCGAAGACGCTCTGATCAACAAGTTCCTGTCATGGACGCAAGAAGACTTCGAGTCAAAGTTGGCCGAGGCCGACGACCGTCATGCTCAAGCTACCGACAACTACATGGCTGCTATGGAATCCCTCGACCTCGACGAAGTTCCGGCCGATGTATCTGAAGCATACGAACAGGCAGGCGCGATCGAAGAAACACTCAAGAGTTTGAAGAACTTCAAGGACCAACTTGACTCGCTGGACTTTGAGATGAAGAACATGTCGGGCCTTGTGAGGAAAGCCCTACTCGCCAGACAAAAGCCGACCAAAGAACAACAGGAAATGAAGCAACTCAAACAGCGCATTCGTGATACACATACCGATATCCTACCTCTTCTCCAAAGTCTCGAGTCTGCTGGTCTAATGTCTACCTTCAAACGACCAGCTCCTGTCACTGTTAAATCAACTCAGGCTGCGCCCAGAGCAAAGACTGAGGTTCTGAGAAGCCCTGGTCCTGAGCGAATTGACCAAACCCAACTTCCTCGTGGCAGAAACACAGACGCATTCACCGGTGTCGAGGACACCCCGCCTAAGCCAGCGAGGAGAATCAAGCCCGAATCAGAGGTGGAAGATCCTAGCGTGATGGAGATCAGCCCACCTCGTCACTTTCCAACAAGAAATGCCTACGCTTACAATGGCCATAACCCTCCTCTGTCCCCTTCCAAGCCGAAGAACATCACCTCTGTGAGCCGCCAGAACTCAGACAAGCCAGCGGTTGCAAACAGAGATTTTGTAACCTCTCATAGACACAGTGATAAGGAGAACTACGGCGTGCCTGATGAGTTCGACGAGTTCGAGGAAGAAGATGAAAGTCTGTTCAGCAACATCATGGGCACTCCTCCTGCGCAAGCTGCCGACGAAGAAGACTTTGATGATGAGTTTGGTGATGATGAGGACCTGATAAAAATCGCAACCGAATTCGAGGACCATTTAACCTTCCATGGCTCATCCCGTCCTTCCAACAACTTCCCAACATCCAACCAGGTCTCAAATACCACCAAATCGCGTCCAAAGAAGGCTACCCCTGTGAAGCGACCCAAGACACTCGACGAGGAGCTTGGAGACTTCCCATGGACTAAATCAGTCAAGTCTGCTCTAATAAAGGTGTTCAAGCTACAAGGATTCCGCCTCAATCAAGCCAATGCTATCAATGCAACACTCGCTGGTAGACACGTCTTCGTGCTCATGCCAACAGGAGGTGGTAAATCTCTTTGCTATCAGTTACCTGCGATCGTCAAGAAAGGAAAGACATCTGGCGTTACGGTTGTGGTGTCTCCACTGCTCAGTCTGATGGAGGATCAAGTCTCACACTTGAGAGCAAACCAGATCCAGGCGTTTGCGCTCACTGGTAGCACGACGATGGATGAACGTAGAGAGATAACAAGCACCTTCACCAGGCCGAATGTCCAGGACTTCGTTCAGTTGCTCTACGTCACACCAGAAATGCTGAACAAGAGTGGTATGATGAAGACAGCCTTCAAGGATCTTCACCGAAGAGGAAAGCTTGCAAGAATTGTCATTGACGAGGCTCACTGCGTCAGTCAATGGGGACATGATTTCCGTCCAGATTACAAAGAGCTTGGTATGGTCTTGACCGAATACCCTGGCGTGCCTATCATGGCTCTCACAGCCACAGCCACTGAGAATGTCAAGGTCGACACCATCGGCAACCTGGGTATCAATGGATGTGAAGTCTTCTCCCAAAGCTTCAACCGCCCAAACCTCCGGTACAATGTTGAGACCAAGCCCAAGAAGTCAGTGCTGCTCGACAGAATCCAGGAGATCATCGAGGGCGACCACAAAAACAAATGTGGCATCATTTATTGCCTTTCCAGGAAGCAGTGTGAGGATGTTGCTGAAGAACTCTGCAAACGCCGAATCCAGGCCCACCATTACCATGCGGGCATGGAACCTGAGCAAAAGAGCCAGGTCCAGAGGGACTGGCAGAGAGGAGATATCAAAGTGATCGTGGCAACCATAGCTTTTGGAATGGGTATCGACAAGCCGGATGTCCGCTTCGTCATTCACCACACCATCCCCAAAAGTCTTGAGGGCTACTACCAGGAGACCGGTCGTGCTGGACGTGACGGTGCTTCGTCAGATTGCTATCTATTCTACGGCACGCATGACCTGTTTACGCTGCGAAAGATGATCGACGATAACGAGAGTGGTAGCAAAGAACAAAAGGATCGTCAACACGACATGCTCCGGAGGGTCGCCCAATTCTGTCTGAACAAGACCGACTGTCGTCGTGTCCAGGTCCTAGCTTACTTCGCCGAGAACTTCTCGAAAGAAGACTGCAACAACAAATGCGACAATTGCAACGCGACAGAAGAATTGGTTGAAGAGGATTATACCGACCTCGGCCTTGCTGCTGTTAGCCTCGTCAAGGAAATAGCGTCGAGTCGCAACGTGACTCTTCACCAGTGTCTCGATCTCTTCCGAGGCACTGGTCGTAACATCAACCCCGAAGACAAAGAAGCTGAGAACTTTGGTGCAGGTAAACACCTTGATCGAGAGAATATTGATCGTCTGTTTGGCCTTCTCATAGCCGAGGATGTCATCCGTGAGTTTTCGGTCTTCAACAAGATGAAGTTTGCCAACCAATACGTTGGTCTCGGCCCGAAGAGACATATGTTTGGACGTGGACCTGGCAAACAGAGGCTGATGCTACATGTCTCAGCAGCAGGCGGCAAAGCCAAGAAGCGCAAGCTGCAGGCCACTAATGGTACTGGTGTCAAAGCCTCTAAGGCGGCAAAGAAAAAGCAACAGTACCCCTCCACGAACATCTCATCACCAGACCAAGCAGGACCAAGCCGTAAGCGTGGCGGTATGACTCACAATGGCTATGAGCGGGACACATGTATTGTTGATGATCCCGATGAGGATGAGGACTATGCTGAATCCGATGACGATGATACCTTTGAGCCTCTTCGAACAGGCTCAAAGGCCCATTCTCGCAACCAAAGGGAACTAGGTCCTCCAATTACCAACGACGAAGCCATGGACAGCCTGGAAGACGTTCACCAGGATGTGCTCGCAATGTTCGTTGAACAAGCCAAAGAGCAGATACACGAGCTTATGAAGAAGAAAAAATTGCGTCAACAACCCTTCTCTGACACCATGCTACGAGAGATGGCTGTAGTCTTTCCCAAAAATCTAGAAGCCATGAAAAAGATCAGAGGGATCGACCCTAGCAAGGTCGATTGTCATGGCATGAATCTGCTGCCCCTGATCGCACACTACAAGAAACAGCTAGACTCGATGATGCAGGGTCCCGAGGACGTTCCATACGATCCGAATCATGCCACCGTCATCTACATCAATAGTGACGAAGATAATGATGATGATGACGATGAATTCGCATACGACGGAGGATTCAGCTCCGAGCCCGAAGCTGGAAGTCAAGAGAAACAATCCGCGTGGTTCAAGCCCAATCGCGAGGTCGAGGCTTTCAATGCCAGGTTCACGCAATCACAAGCAGCACCTCGAGCATCTGTACCTCCAGTAAACAAGCGTGCTCGACCCGAGAGCGGAAGTGGTAACAAATGGGGTGGCAAGAAGTCCGCTGCTCGTAGATCGAGTTATCCCCAAAAGGCTGGCGCTGGCGGAGGAGCGGCCAAGAAACGCGCACCAGCCGCGAAGAAACAGGGTAGTATTGCTACCAAGTACGCGTACAATGGTGGTGCTGGCGGAGGAGGTTCTTCCAAGAAGGGAGGAGGTGGCGGTGGCACTTCTAGTGGAATTGGCATGATGCCGCTTTGAGTGCATGTTTCGTATCTGTCATTGCTTTCTTTACTGCACTGAGCTGGTGTATTGGGGTTGGAGCTGGGGTTCTCTGGTATTGCTTTACTTCTTGCTCCTGCATCTTCTAGGTGTTTTGCTTCGGGAGCGACTTCTGGCTACTATTGCCTTACATATTATACATTCATGAGGTCACGATATGAGAATTACACAGAATGCATTCTAGATCGAACAGTCTTTTTTGTCGCTTGATACATAGATAATTTGTGATGTGATCTTCCTATTGTTGATGGTAGATGTGAAGTTCGTTCTTATCAGTCACTGGAACCGAACAGGCCACAACGTCCACCCCTTGCAATGATATCCCCCATGCCCGCTCAGATGTACCATAAGAAGCTGCGACCATGTACTCGGAGAGCCGGGGTGCCGTCTTCGGAGAAGCAAAAATCCATCGATCGGGCCGAGGCTTCCATTGAGCCTCAAGCCCAACCACCTTCGCGGGTGAGGAAACACACGACTCATCGTTTTGGCAGGGACGATTGACGGCATGATTGAGTCAAAAACAAACACTTTCTTTTCATGATCATACACATTCTTTGGAGTCGCTCTTTCTTTTATCGTTGCTAGCACTTGGAGCTCAGGAACGTCTTTTCTCCGGAATATCATCCACCAATTCGATCAAACACATTGGGGAAACAACAATTGTGACCAACGATTTTCAAAATTGTTATCGCCATCAGCTATGGATATGGAGAAAAAAGCAATTCAGGACCGGTCTGCTGGATCAGCTCCACAGCGATCTCATCTGGAAACCAACCTTGCCCATGCACTTGCACGGCGGCGACAAGCTTCGACACTTCGCAACTTGACTCTTCCAGCTTCCAACGCCATTGACTTCAGCTCAAATGATTTTCTCTCACTTTCCAGCTCCTCAGCACTTCGGAAGCTTTACCTTGGAGAACTAGCCGCTCGACCGGATTTTCCTCTTGGCAGTGGTGGCTCACGTCTTCTTGATGGCAATAGCAGTTATGCAGAGGCATTGGAGAGGGATATAGCAGCGTTTCATGGTGCGGAAGATGGCTTGCTGTGTAACTCTGGCTTTGACGCGAATGCTGGTTTGTTTTCTGTTTTGCCACAGCCTGGTGATATTGTGGTGTATGACAGCTATATACATGCTAGTGTGCATGATGGCATGAGGGCGAGTCGTGCTGGAGCGAATTTCGCGTTCATGCACAACTCGGTTACGGATCTGCGGGCTGTGTTGAAGAGATGCATCGACTCGGATGAAAAGTTCAGATTGGGTCGACGTAGCATCTTCATCGCGGTGGAAGCAATCTATAGTATGGATGGAGACGTTGCACCCTTGGGGGAGATTGTCGAGGCAGTGACTGAGCTACTGCCTAACGGCAACGGACACATCATCGTGGATGAGGCACACTCTACAGGCGTATTGGGTCCACAAGGTAGAGGCCTAGTCTCAGCCCTTGGGCTGGAGGACAAAATTACTATTCGATTGCATACCTTCGGCAAGGCGATGGCTTGTAACGGTGGTAAGTCTCTTTTGTCACCAGATTTCGTTGCCACTCTTGCTAATGAGATGCCCCAGCTATCATCCTTTGCAGTCCGTTGATCAAGCATTACCTCATCAATTACGCACGACCACTGATCTATACCACTTTCTTATCTTTCCCAGCACTAGCAGCCATTAGAGCTGCATACACCTTCCTCTCCACCGACAACACAACCGCACTGGCCACACATCTGTTCGACCTGATTAGCCTATTACACGAACGATTGTTTGCTCTCACATCGAGCTTACCACAGTATCAACGTCACCTCCTTCAAGTGCTCGAGGAATGTCCACCATCGCCGATTTTCTCAGTACTCAGTTCAGACCCTCGCGGTCTAGCTAAGTTCTGTCAGGAGAAGAATTTTGTAGTTCGACCAATCGTGCCACCGACTGTGCCGCTAGGATCTGAGCGTATTCGAGTCTGCTTACATGCTGGCAATACTAGAGTTGAAGTAGAGGCGTTGGTCGCGAGGATCACAGCATGGGTGGAACAAAAGACGAGCACAGCACTGGCGAAATTATAGATAGAAGTTATGCCGAAAATGACATCAAAAGACACATTACATATTTCAATACAAGCAACAAACACATTGTTTACAGTACATGGCAACTAAAGCGATCGTAAAGACCCAAGCAAGACCGAGCCGCGTAACTGAGTAACAAGAGAGTGATATAAAACTTGAGGACCAAAAACAAATCGCCCGCCAGTAGCGGGGAGAAAGCCACCAGCTCACTGGTTTCGTTTCAGTTGTCGAAGGGGGTGAGAGCGTCAAAGGCTCTGGAAAGGTCAAGGGGCAGATGACGAAGATCGGTCCGATGACCTTGGCGTGTGGGAAAGTTGCCAGACGCGAGTTAGAGCGCGGTGCCGCTGGACCACCCCGCTTGTTGGTAAAGCGGTGGTGGGCTGTGAGGGAGCTGAGGCAGGGGGTATGTGAAGGTCAACGCTCGTGGTTCGCTTGCTCGATATGGTGTTGATGTTGTAAATTGGAAGGAGATACGAGTACTCAGACTAGCCATAACCTATTTGATTTGCACACCTCGAACGTATACCTTCTGAATGTTTCGGTCGTCGCCAGTCATAAGAAATTTCTCGAACACTGTACGTGTGCTGTCTTCGGACTCACATGGCGCCATGACGCCTGAGACATTGCCCGAGACCCACAGCGCATCAAACTCCTTGCCAATTTCAAAATTTCCGACTTTGTGATCGAATCTGCATACCCTTGCCCCGCCCAAGGTAGCCATGTAGAACAGTTCCTCGAGCGAAAGTCCCTCGTCGGTGCCTTTTGTGGCCACCTCTCGAGCATTCGAAGCAATGAGAGCTTGTCGCATAGCATCTAGGATACTGGACGAAAATCCACCACCACTATCAGTGCCCAGTCCAACTTTGATGCCTTTGTCCAGAAAGGCACGTATAGGCGCTGTCATGAAGCCACCTCCCACCGTCATGTTTGCGATGGGACAATGTGCGACACCAACATCGAGAGCTGCAAATTTTTCAAGCTCATAATCACTCATGAAGCAGCAATGTGCCATGATAGAGCGATCATTGAGAAGGCCAAAGTGTTCGTACAGATCAGCTTCGCACTTGAAAGCAGGGAAAAGCTGGGAAGTTGCTTTCATCTCCTGTTTTGCTTCATTGAAGTGAGTTTGTATGGATAAGTTGTCCCGTTTTGCAATGGAGCCTAGAAGAGATAGCAATTCGTCATCGCAAGTGATAGCGAATCTAGGAGTGACGACGTAGCGGACCAATTCGCCAGTGGGGTCGATGGATTGTACGTGAGCGATGCAGTCTTCCGTCTCTTGGACAGAAGCTTCAACAGACTCGTCACGGTAATAGTCTGGTGCATTGCGGTTCATGTTGCATTTGCCGATTAAAGCTCTTTGACCTTGGCGTAGGCATTCATCTGCAAGTATCTTGGTCGCCGGTGCATGGCGAGAACTGTAGTAACTAGCAGTAGTGATTCCCTGGCGAAGGAAACCAGCAACACATGAGGCGTAGACTCGCTGTGCATAAGCTGGGTCTTCAAACTTGGCTTCGTTCGGAAAGGTGATTTTATCGAGCCAGTCAAGGATATGCATACCTTGACCAAGGCCTCGCTGCATCCATTGTGGAGCGTGGTTATGAGTGTCGATGAAACCTGGAATGAGGAAGTCTCCATGTGGAAGTCGATGGATCTCGCAGTTGATAGCTTCTGGTGATTGTAGTATCTCCTGTTCGCGGTCTGCTTTGTCTAACGTGATGATACGTCCATCGCGTACAACGACAAGCGCGTCATCGATGATTTCCAGGTAATTCAGGGAGCGTGAGTGGATAACAGACCCGATGAAGACTCGTGTCCCTTCCATGTCAGCTATGAACTCACATCTCGATGGAAGATTTGTGAACGAATGATGGCAACGAGTCTTATCGTGCTGTTATCTATCATCCCAGGTATTGTGCAAGAATTATGCTCTGAAAAGCAGATATATGCATGATATCGTGCATGTGATCTGCACAAAGTCTCAAATACCACGCCTTCCCCAACCCGAGCCCCAACCATCAAGGTGATCCAAAAATGCCGCGGCAATGACGTTCCACCCGGTTCCCCATATAATCATATCATCGTACTTTCTGTAAACAAGTAAGCCCAACAATCAAGATCATGTCAACCATCGCAGGAACCTGGACACTCGTCCACAAAGCTCAATCTCTCCAACGTTCATCCCAAACCCTCTCCACCCTCGGCAGTCGCGCGTTGATCTTTGGAGGCGAGCTCCTTCCCCGCGAGCCCCGCGACGATGATGTTCAGATCCTGAATCTTGCATCGTCTTCTCAACAGCCCCGACACAAAGCTTCGCTGCAGACATATGGCAATAGCCCGAGTACTACTCCAGAGAACGCTGGTGGTCTGCCTTCAGCTCGTGTAGGCACGGCTAGCACAGTTGTCAATGGCAAAATCTACTACTTCTCAGGTCGTGGTGGCGTAGATATGTCACCGGTCGATGAACAAGGTAATCTCTGGCAGTTCTGCTTCTCGGATGCTGATGGCGTGGGCTGGCATGTTGTGTCCCCTGCCAACACCTCTGAGCCTGTTCCGGAGCCTAGAAGTTATCATTGTATGACTTCTGATGGAAACAGCACCCTATATGTACACGCAGGGTGTCCTACCTCTGGCCGACTTTCCGATCTCTGGTCTTTCAATGTTCATGACAGGATATGGACGGAACTAACTTCGGCACCTGGTCCTTCAAGAGGCGGCACTTCAATCACATTCGCAGACGGAAAACTATACCGCATGGGAGGCTTCGACGGCAACCACGAACTGGGCGGAAAAATCGACATCTACGATATTGGTTTGAATGCCTGGAGTACCCATACCTTTACTCCTGATGGCGAACAAGGACCAGGCTGCAGAAGCGTAGGCAGTCTTCTAGCCCTCAAAGTCCACGGTAGACCCTCCCTAGCCACAGCGTTTGGAGAAAGCGATCCTAGCTCTTTAGGACATGCTGGCGCTGGAAACATGCTACCTGACACTTGGGCCTTCGATATCGAGACTAAGGAATGGAGTAAGGTTGTGGTAGAGGATGGCGGACAAGAGCCGCAAGCTAGAGGCTGGTTCGCTGCTGACATTGCAACATTTGAGGGCAAGGAAAGCATCATAGTACAAGGAGGTCTAGCAGGGGATAATCAGCGCTTGGACGATGCTTGGGTACTGAGCTTTTAAGCTGTTGTCACGATTAGGGAGCACGTAGACGATGAGATGCAGATACGAGATTGTCAAATCATTTTGTTACGAGCAAAATAACCTAATTATCTCCTGTGGAGCGCCCGTACCCCCATGCGACCCCTCGAACCCCGGTCTATACTCTAATGACTCTTGCTTATATCGTCGTCGTCATTGTCATTGTCGTCGTCGTCGTCACCAGCTCTAGGCTCTAGCGTCTATAGCTCTCATCTGCTCACACAACTTGCAGCAACAGTAAGAAGGGTAAAGCATCATCATAGCGACGACATGAGGCATAAACTTAGCCCCAGATTCAAAGAACCCACCCGAAGGATGTCCGTAGATACGGATATCGCGACGGGTATCGGGGGCTGCCCGGCCTCTTCTAACGTAGGTATAGCCGGAAGGCAGATTACCCACGAAATCGTACTCGGCAGTACCTATAAGTGACACACTAGTTAGCTATACATATATACACAGCGTAAAAGCCTATCTAGTCTTACCGAGTTCGTCACGCAGAGCGATAATGCCGGCCTTGGCGGCCTCACGCATCTTGCGGTTTAGCGCATGACTGAGCGCGCGGAGGATCTCGTCATCTGGCTCTACGCGCTCGTTGGGCTTGTTAGGCACTATACCGGTGCCGTCGGAAGGGTAGATGGGAGCGGAGAGGTCGACCTTGATGGTAGACATGATGGATGGTTGATGTAAGCGAGACAGTGTCCGTGCGCGGCGCTAAGGACGGATTTGGCATGGCGCAAACAATCCAAGGCAAGTCTCGGCGAGCGTGAGTGAAAGCGAAAATAGAAAATAATGGAGAAGAATCGTGGCACGAGTGAGCAACAAGTGAATACACGATTATTCTTGACATTCATTTCCAGCCCGCGGTTTTCCTTTGTGAATACTGTCTGCTCAACGACAGCGACAAGGAATAACAGCGCTGTAGAAATGCACAGTCAAATTCATCTTGGTCGACATTGTCCATGGAGAACGTCCGATCACTGCACTTCCACCACGTTCAACTTGAATCTGAAAATCATCCTGCATTTCCACAGCTACACATGTGTCAGAGAGCTCTACGCACGGAGACGCCACCCAAGTCTCCAGCCAGGCACATCGAAGGAAGACTGCCGGGTCCATGTCTCAAGAAAGAGCGAGCAGGTACTCCGGAACAGGTGGAAGTTGATGATGATACACATGACTTGATGCAGTAGGGCCAAAGAGAAAGTAGTGCGACAATGGAGAGACATGATACATTCAAAAAGTCTATTAACCTCGTCGAGATCCTCCACGATCGAACTACACAAACAATCGCCAAACAGAATTAAGCAGAATCTCAATGGGTATCAGACAAGAAAGGGAGTATAACATGCGAACAAAGACGCAAATGCAAAGTATTAGAAGATTGTAACATTTGGTGAAGAAGATTCCAGAGCTCAAGGTCCAAAGGCCCCCTGAATCTTAGCGTACAGCTCGGTGTCGAAGAAGTTGTAGTGTAAATCGTGGAAGCAGAAAGGTGCGCGGAGTAACGTCTCAGCAGTAGGTCGATCCGCCGGATCAATTGTGAAACAGTCATACATGAAGCTCAAAGCAGCAGGACCGACGACGCTGCTAACATCTTCAGGAATTGGTGGAGCTTGGTTGAGACTGCCAAGCTTGAAGATGGCACCAATAGCTTCTTCTTTGCTCCAAGGACGACGACCAGCAAACATCTCCAAGACCACACAGCCCAAAGACCAGATATCGACCTTTGCGCTGTAGCCTTGAGACTCGGTACTGCCGTTGGAGGCGCTTCCTTGTGACTGAGCGCGGATGACCTCGGGCGCCATCCAGAAGACACTGCCTTGCATGCTGTTGGTAATGTCGTTGTTGTAAGGGTTGGGGCTGCGCTTGGAGATACCAAAGTCAGAGATCTTGCAAGTACCATCAAGATCAAGAAGTATGTTGTCAGCTTTGAGGTCGCGGTGCAAAATACCTTCGCGATGAAGGTACGCTAGTCCATCAAGTGTTTGTCGTGTCAGGCTGCTGACAACCGACTCTTCGAATTTGCCGTGTTTACGCAAGCAGCTTCCGATACTGCCACCGGAGATGTACTCGAGAAAAATACTAATGGAGTATTCTTTGCGCTCACAACCGAGATATTGAACGATATTCATGTGATCTAAGTGCTGCATCGTGTCAATCTCGGAGTCGAGAGCCTTCACCATCTCGCGAATCTTTTGCGGATCTGCGTTAGATGTCTTAGGGTTGACTTCGACTTGCTTGACAGCCAGAAGTTCACCGGTCGTGGTATTCATACCGAGATAGACGCGACCGAATGTACCTTTTCCGATGAGCTGACCTTTCATCCACTTGAAAGTTGGTTGTCTCTGAGGATGCTGGATCGCGAAATTGTCCTGAGGTATGGTCTCTAGCTGAATGAGACGGCTGCCCCGAGGTGGCTTGATCTGTTCAATACGAGCGCCAAACATCTTCGTACTTTTGCGCCGCACAATATCACCACCACCGTACCTCAGAGTACTCATACGATTGAGCGTACTGCGGTTTATCTGAGCGCTAGGAGCCCGGCTGGAAGAGAAAGAAGTAATGGAAGGACTTGGCGACTTCTGGGCAGGCATTTGGTACGCGCCCTTGACAACTTCACGAATACTCTTTGTTCGTCCCAGTGCACCGGACTTTCGGAGGTTCCTCTGAGCGACCGAGGGAGCAATATTCCCACGCTTCAGTGTAGAGTCCTCTTTGAGAGTCGATTCGTCGCTTCCAAGAGTACCGTTATCAAGGTCTAGATCAGGTAATGGCATAAAACTCTGGTCCGGCTTGGGTTCTACGCGTGGTGCTGGCGATGCCTGAGGGGGTTGTGCACCCGAGGCGTCGTTTGTAGTGCTTGCTTGACCTTCTAGACCTTCTTCTTCAATCATTGGCTGATCGAGATCAACGTTGGGAAAGAACTCGTCAAGGTGCTCCACAAGTGCCTCAGGAGGAGGACGATTGGCCCACAGATCACTGGCGAAGCTCTCACGACGACCGAATTTCGTGCTGTCTTCTGGAGATTCTGCTGACCAAGCTGCTGATACTGCAGATTCGGGATGTGGTCTCTCGCTCTCATCCAAAGGATCTGGAGAAGCAGTGAATCTTAAGTTTTGTTGAGATGCCTTGGCTTTGAGCATTTGATCTTGTTGACTCGAGCTGTCGGATTGATCTTGTGCAAGAGAAGATTTCGACTGCTTTGCATTGACTTTCTTTGCCAATGGAATCGCAAAGAGACTCTCGTTTGAATCCTTCTTTGTTAATGGTCTGGCGAAAAGACCATCGTCCGAGTCCGAATCTTCGTCTTCTTCGTCCATTGTAGCTGTGGAGGGTCTGTCGAATGATACAGGCTCGTTGGGCAGATGGAAGCTAGGACCATAGCTTCGACGACTACTCATGCGGCTCAAGCTACTTTGTGGGCGTGCCGTGGTAGGACTAACAGCTGGGCTCGGGCGTTTCTGAATGTCTTTGGCCGGCGAGATTGACGACCTGTCTTTGCTAGGCATCTGCAGCGTAAGCGCTGGTCGTGAGAAGCTGTTGCCTCTCGACGCGTCGCTACTATCTTCGATACTGTCTTCAAGATAGGCAGGAATTTTGAAGGGTACTTCGCCCTTGGACATCGTGATAGGAGAGCCGCCGACGAGGCTTTGTCGGCTGTCGCCCATACCGGTACCACTGATACCAAGAGTCTGCATAGCCTTCGGTGGGACGCCGCTGTTGTAGCCAGAAGGCGGACTCTGGGCGGATTCTCTGGCAGAAGCAGGGGTCCCGGGCGCGCCTACCATACCACCCATCTTGCCGGCGCCGATGATCGCAGCGCCTATGCCAGAGCCAACACGCATTTTACGCTTGTTGCTATCGAGACTTTCTGCTGAACTCCTCTTCGACGCATCACCGCGATCAGACCAGCTAGTTCGCGAGATGGGCCCTGATCTCTTCCTGAGTGAATCTGCTTTGGAAAGGGTGCTGCTGGGCTCTGGAGGAGGTGGTGCTTTACGAAGTGGAATCAAAGGTTCCATCTTCTTTTCCTGCTCGAGAAGCTTTCTCTCCTCATAGGGTGAATTCCGTCGCTGGTCAAAATCGATTATGTCCTTGCGTCTGATTGGTGAGAAATCTTTTCCAAGTCGGTCTCGTGAGTGCTCGAGACGAAGTCTCTGCTGTTGTCTGCCCTCGAGGTAGGCCTGTTGCTTACGCGTAGTTTCTCTTCGATGCTCTTCCGCCTTGATCTCAAGAATTGCCAGTCTCTCGGCCTCAGAAAGCGAAGACAAATCAGTAGGCAGATCGCGACCACCTGAAAGCAAGTTCTCGCCAGTCATCTCCCTAACGAGGTTTTGTATTGATTGCTTCTTGCCAGGGACCAAGGTGGACTCGTTTGACTTGAGAGTAGACATGTCAGTTTTGTCGTCTCTAGTCAGTCGAGCATATGTCGGTGGATCCACCGGCTTAGAAAAAGAAACACCACGTAGTGGAGATACCATACGATCTCGCGAGGACTCGGTAGCAGCCGAGCGCACGAAGAGTTTGAGCTTTCCTGTGGAGTCAGAGATGTGGTGACGAGCAGCAAGTAACAAAGAATCGGTCAAAGGTTCTTCGTGTTGCTCTTTGCCAGGTGAGGTCTGATGTATAGTCAAATCGGGAGTTTCTGGGATACCCAGATTATAGCAAATTGTCTCTCGCATTTCTTCGGACGTAGTAACCGCGGTCAAGTCAATCAGCCTGTAGTTCCAGCCATCAGGTGTGACGAATGCATATCGCTTGTCAGATTCTCGGGCTGCTGACCTTCCCCGTTCAGGTATATGTTGGGGCTTCTCTGCTTCGGTTGTCATGTGCCCTGATCTACGAGAAGAGGGCCTATCAATTGATGTTTCGCTTGAATTTAGGCTCGACTTAGTCAGTTGCCTGGGTAAAGCTGGACTAGTGGGCGATTCCATATGATCGTCACGAGAGTGGTCCCTCTCACTCTTCTTGTGACGTATGAAGTTACGAAGAAAACCTGTCTTATGTTCCTTCGCGCTTGCTGTAGCGCTGTTCGGCACTTCTCCAGCGCTATTCCTTGAAGTAAGCTCCGTAGGCGGAGGTGGTCGAGAGCCTTCTTGAGCATGTCTGCGAACATCTACAGGAGGTGTTTTGCCATGATTTGCATCGCTGGTGGTACTGATACGACTAGAGGCTGGACCACTAGGGTTTGTGTAATCACTGCTACTGAGTCTGTGATGATTGTTGCTGTAGTAACGATTATGCGCCGATGTGGAAGGAAGATTCACAGGACGAGCTTGTTGCATGGCGGGACTGTGCTGTGGACTCGACTCAAATCCTGGCCGGCCAAAGTCGGACCGGAGATGGGAAGTGGTTTGCGCATAGCTCGCAGTCAGTTCCGTCGAAACGCTGGGACTGTGTCGTCGTGGTATGTCAGTTTCGCGGAGGGCGTCACGAGAAAAGGTACTTCGACCATCCGTACTGTCGTGCTGCTTATTCATCAAGCTCAACGAATCTAGGGTGACAGACCGTTGCGACGAGTATCGCCGTTGAGCAAAAGAGTTCGGCATCTGAAGACCGGGACTATCTTCGCCTCCACCAGCAGTGGTGGGAGTTGAACCAAAAGTCGTCTCGTGCCGAGTCATCATAGGCGAGCTCTCGATAGCCCCGTCTGTATCGGCACTGGGCGGAAACTGCGACGACTCCCTCCGTTGACGGGATGGTAGACTTGATGAGCTGCCGCCGTTTGCACTAGCACCTCCGGTTTCGACGATACGGCGAATAAGCCTACGGATTTTCTTACCATCCTCTCGATCTCTGGCTTGGTCCAAGACTATACCAGCACTAGCACACTCTTTCTGTAACTGAGGATAGACATGATTATGCAAAAAGGCAACATTAGGCTTGTTTCCCTGAGAACGACCAATCTCGAGGAATTGGGAGCCCTGAATATTGAGATGTTTGAAAGCTTCTTGCCAGATGACAGAAAAGCCATTGTCGGCCAGCCAGGCAACGACACGGTCTAGCGGCCATTGAAGGTCATGGGGCGAGGCAGGCATATCCGAAGGCGGTTGCTCACGTGGCTGAGGGACAGGCGTGGAGTTTGAATCGGCGAAAGAGAGCATGTTTGGAGCAGGCGAAGAATGTCCTTGCGTCTCCCTAGCCGGTAAGACGACTACCTGCTGGCGGGTGTTCGAGGGTGTTGGAGGTGCATTGGAAAGGTAATCCCTACTTTGCTGAGAGCGCAATTGCTGCATAGGCTGGGACTGCTGGTAATACGAGTTGTACTGATTGTTATTAGACTGGTTGTATTGAAGCCATCGTCCATCATCCATAGGGTCGAGCGGGTACTGGGGAGTGGCGGGTTGTTGCGAGTAGGCGGTGTGATAGTGCTGCTGGTTCTGAGAGCGACTAGGGGTATTGGACGGAGGTGGAGGAGGTGGCGAAGCATGCAAGGGTGGTATGCCGACTCCAGGACCAAACGAGTCAGCACCAGGGATGTAGGTAGCGGACACTAAGGGCTGGGTATCAGGAGGGAGCGGGGGCATCGAGGTGTAGGCCTGGTAGGCAGTGGGATCGTAGGCTCGAGGCTCCCTGGGATGAGGATACGGGGGCTGCTGCTGCTGCGAATAGGGGTACTGGTGTTGATGCTGAGTATATTGTTGCTGCTGCTGCGAGTATGAAGCCTGCTGCTGCTGTGGGTAGGGCGATTGCTGTTGTTGCCTGTTCCACATGGCCCAAGCATTCAGAGCCGACTGTGGAGCACTGGGCGGTGGAGGGAGCATCATGCCATTGTTCTGCGGGTTGCTGGTGGGAGGACGCGGTGGAGGCGGAGGAAACTGCAAGGACGGTGGATTGGAGATCGGCGGTGGTGGAGGCATGTATTGCTGCTGCTGCTGCTGGCGCAACTGCTGTTCGGCAGCGGTGGCCGAGACATGGCGCTGGCCAGTCTGGTAGTTTGTGGGCGGCATGGCGCTGGCCGTCAGCGTGTGCGGTAGCGAACGTCTGGTGGGGTCTTCGGGATCGGTGAGGTATTTGGCATGGACAAAGGTATGGGCGCGAGGACGAGGACTACGCGGGCTGGGTTGGATGGTTGGATAGGGCGAGTCGCTGTTTGCCGTCGACGTGGGTCGCAAAAGGTCGCGCGAGTCGAATGAGGGTACGTCTAACAGAACAAGGCCGTTCTGCGCTCTGCTGGCCGGCTTGGGTCGCGCCTGCTGTTGCTGTTGCTGCGGCTGGCTGCTGCTCTGCTGCTGATGCTGCAACGAGTCTCCAGCAATCATTTCAAGTCGACGAAGCCTTAGAGTGCTGTCGACATGTCGCCATCGACAGTCGCTCTTTGCTCCAGTGCTCGTCGAACGCGATCTCTTTCAATCTTCGCAAGCCGACAAGAACGGACGAGGTGAAGACGAAATTGTATGACTCTCGGTAGTCCACTCTAGTTGATTGTGATACTCGACGGGACGGCCGACCGTGTGTCGTGCGCTCGGCTCAAAACGACTCTCTACAACGCCCGTCGAATACTCGTCAAGCCCTGTCCTGTCTGCCAGCCTTTGCAGATCCTGTCTTCTTTGTTCCCTTCTAGCCTTGCCGTACCTCTCACGCTCGTCTATTGTCCCCTGCCAAAGTAGCCTCCGAGACACAGCGGTATGCCGCCTACAGTCTGCAGCCTCGCATCCGAGGCGGAGACCCTTTGCACCAGCCACTTGCGCCACATTGTTGCACAATCTACTCTTTTCTCTCCATCACCCACCTCACCTTTTCAGCACTGTCACGTCTAAATTCTTTCTCCTCCGCCATTCATTCATACAAGCCATTCATATGATACGGTTCACGGTCATCTTGCTGCTATTTGATCTAGTAATCTTACAGCCAACTCTAGATCCATCTTTGGTAGTAGCTTTTATGTCGGAACGGGGTCCGAGCCGCCGACATTGTTTCCCCACGTCGCTCAAACTAAAAAATCATAGACCCTCGAAACTCTCACCATTTGTGTTTAACTTCGTAGTTGCTGCATCGATACTCAATTGTATTCATTTTTGAGGTCGTTGTTCACTACTAGCCGCTTTTCATCGAAGTTGATTCGGAGCGATGAGATCTATGTGCGAATCGCTTGGTGGCGACAACATATAATGCTCCGAGATAGCGTAGGACCAAATGCCTCTTTCTTGTATAGCGGCATACCAAGCATTGAACAGATCCTTCGTGCCCGACTTGCTGATCTGCAGCTCGACGCACAGTACATACGCGATTATCAGCCTTGCGGCCAAATCCTCCGGTCAGCCGCTATTGTAACCGCTACGCCGTTGATTCTACGCAGCTTTTGTCTTAAATCCTAATTTCCCATGCGTTATCGCGATATCGTTCACCTCTACCTCTCAACATCCTCTGCTACACACAATCTACCCCCAGGACATGTTCCTAACAGCTGACTTCGAGGCACAATGCCATTCTACCGAGATGACCATGGCGATGGTACTATACAAGTCGGTGCTCTCAAGGGCTCGACCGGGGCAGACTTGTACAAGTTCAGCATGCCCTTTATGGTCTTGACGACCCTGTCTCTTGCCTTGCGCATCTACGTCCGTGGATACATGACGAAGACCTTCGGTCTTGAAGATTGGCTCATTATCCCTGCATACGTATGCCATCTCCTTCCCGTCAACAATAGTCCCTGCTGACAATCGCAGATTCTGTTCATGGTACTATGCATATGTGTAATTGTCGTGGGACAATGGCTTCTGCGCGAGGATGCCATGGAACGCTATCCTAGGATCATCAAGGTGGGCTCCATTGGTCTATCTCCTGCTTTCGGTGCGCTGACCCATTTAGCTTACTATAGGCACCAGCGTCCTCTTTATCTTAGATCAGATCTTCATCAAGTTGTCTGTGGCCGCATACTTCTATCGCTTCTGCGAGCGTTGGCAGCGTTATGTCATCGTTGGCACTGTCTCGATCTTTACGCTGTACAACCTGGCCTTTCTCTTTGTCAGCGTCTTCCAATGCGGCGTACCCACGGTCCTGAATCTGGTCCGACCAAACATCGATGGACATTGCATCAACTGGAGTCACATCGTCAAACCTCTACTCTATGTCGGAGTCTCGCTGAACGCTGTCTGCGACTGGGTCTTTGTCTTGGCGTGTCTGCCAGTACTCGCGAAACTGCGACGTATGCCGACTGGTGAGATGGTATGCGTCTGCTTCCTAATATTTCTAGCTACCGGGGCCAGCGTGCTCTCGCTGGTGCGGATTCGATACATCCCTGGAGGCGGCACAGACGTCCTACTTCTCAAGCACAACCAAGACTTCGCCGTGTTATCATTCACAGAAGCGGGAACGGCTATTGTCACAGTATGCATGGCAACCCTGCATCCACTGTTCAAAGCCTTTATCCGAAAGAGAGGAAGCTCCAGATGCCCGGCTTCTAGCAGCCCTAGGAAGCCCGACTCCTCCGAGCCTGCTCCAGAAGTATGTACATCTGAAAAGCGTCCAACCGATCCTAGCTCGGAAGAGTTGTCTACAGAGCACTCGAATCTCGGCCGTATAGGAATACTACCCACAATATACGACACGGAATTGGGCACGATGGCCGAGCACAACTCGCCGAGACTTGGCTATACAAACGACTGGACATGAGCACGACAGCCACGCCAGTTCGACCAACGCGGTCTAAGCACCAAGAATAAGCTGGAAGGGGTTCTCGACAATGATACTGGAGATACATACACCATCACAGGTGGATCAACCCAGCCTCAATCTATCGTTGCACACAAAGCGAAGGAACCACCTGTTGGAGTAGGACACAATCGTCCAAGACGCTTGATATGGACGTGTAGAGTGCATCACCTGCCAGAGCACCGATATTGACTTTTTGCTTTCCAATCTGGGTCGTTACGGAAGGGGTCGGAGGGTGTGTCTTGAGGATTACTATTGAGCCTACGCACACGACTTCTTCCATCCCACCCCAGTGCTTGATTTTGGAGGTTTGACACCCGATGACTTCGTCGTTTATCAAATTGGTTGTGACTGGTATTGAGGTGTGTTAGTCGTCACAACAGTGGGTGTGCTCGTCGTGAGAGCTGCCGCTGGGATAGTGGTCCAAGGAGAAGGTCGGTAGGAGGCCTGTCCTGAAGTTGACGAAGCAACGGAAACAATGGCACCGTGCACTGCCCATCAGTATGAAAGACACGACGACGCTCCGCAGCACTTCACCATTGGCCTCAACCTGCTAGGCTCTGACTACTCGACCAAGAGTTTAGCTCTCGAAATTCTCAGCCTCTACTACGCCGCTGAACCAAATTGCTCACAGCTTACGCTTCTTTTTGACCTTCAGCCAAGATGAATGTTGCGCCACCAGATATGTTCAACGAGGAATGCGAGCATAGATTCATGTGTACCAATCGCTATCTGAAAAATGCAAGCAACTTCTGCTAGGGTGTATCATTGAAGAATAAGAAGAACGTTCCTCAAGCCATCATGTGCTCCACTAACCACCGCGCTCACCAAACTCTTTAGCCCAATCCTCAAACTCTTTGAGTCCAGATGCAGAGACACTGGGCCGAATGTTTATCAGACTGGCCTTAAAGTCTGTTACATCGATTGGTCGGATATCGTCTGGTGACATGTGTAGCAACTTCTCTCCTAGAGAGCGAAGAGGTCCCATAGCGGCATCTTTGGCTAGAGCTGTGATATCACTGCCTGAGAAACCTGTGATGATATATTAGCATTGTGAGTCGAGCATTTGTGGAGAAACACACACCTTCTGTCAGATATACCAATTCATCCAGATCCTCATCGCTGATATTGTGCTTTTGAGCGGCCATTAAAGTCGTGAGCTGCAGCTTGCGCACCCACTCTTCGGGAAGTGGAATATACTGTCTTCTGACAAATCTTCTCCTCGCGGCTTCATCAATCGCCCATGGCAAATTCGTGGCTGCGAGTACCAGTACTCTGCTCGCGTCACCTCGCTCTTTGTCTTTCTCACTTGTCTCCTTGCCTGCAGCTGCCTTTGCCAGATCGCTCCATTGGATCAAGAATTCAGTCTTGATGCGACGAGTGGCTTCATGCTCGCTGGAGCCACCACGAGCTGAAAGCAAGGAGTCAATCTCGTCGACAAAGATGATTGAAGGTGCCAGAGCTTTTGCGATGGAGAAGAGTGCACGCACGAGCTTTTCGCTCTCGCCAAGATATTTGCTCGTCAGACTGCTAGCGGAGATGGCGAAGAATGTGCTCTTGCTCTCTGTCGCAACCGCTCTGGCCAGCATGGTTTTTCCTGTTCCCGGAGGTCCGAAGAGTAGCATACCGCGCGCCGGTTCGCGGAGGCCCATGAACAGATCTGGGCGCAAGAACGGATAGACTACTGTCTCCTTCAAAGCGCTCTTCGCGATCTCCAGACCAGCAACATCGTCCCAGTGTACCTCGTCACCCTGTATCACAATCTCGTTGAAGATCTGTTTTGCAGCTCCTTCATCTACGCCACGGGGCAAGTTCTCGAGCAGGTTCTTAACACGTTCGTCCCACTCGGATGCCTCATCTTGCGGTGGTATCGTTGGGTCTGGGTGCTCAGTGACGGCCTCGACGATAGGTGTGGGCGCCTCTCGCTCAGTGCTAGTCTTCCTTCGTCGTCCTCTGGGCGGATTCTCCCTGCCGCTGCTATGTTCGTCCGCGCTGTAACCAGAAGATGCGTTCCTGTCGTCAAGTTGTTGTCGAGCTTTCGCAGCATTGACTACCCCAACTGCCTTCCTAGGAATTGGCGGTGCTACTTTTGGTCTTGGCTGACTAATCGGGTGTTCGACGGGCGTAGACGACGAAGCTTGGTGTTCCAGATCCTTCAAGGTTTTGGGCGGTCGAGCGTTTGGCGGGTTTCTGTACTTGCTGGGTTGCGCAGGTGGATACTCGTTGCGGTAAGACGGTAAAGATACAGGCTCAAGTCTATGCACAGGAGACTGTCTTCGTGCCTTTGGGGTGTTGGCCGCGGTAAAGTTGGCGTTCGATCTTTGACGAGGAGAAGTGATTGGCGAAGGTGGACCAAGGTGTTCAGAGCTGCTGGTATATGCTTGAGATGAGTGTACGGGGTTCAAGAAAGAATGATCAGGGTAAGGTGGACGCTGCGAGTCCGAAAGGGACCCGTTCGTAGCCGACGGCTGAACAAAGTAGTCAGCTGGGCTCGGGGGTCGTACATGCTTCTGAGGAGGTCTTGGTTGCTCTTGTGATGAACGGAGGTTCGATGAATGAGGTGGGACCGGAGGAGCGGATGCCGGATGGCTATGTGGTGTGGAGCTGGAAGGAGGAGCTTCAACAAGTCTTCTCGTGTATGGGTCCCAGACAGTGGCCGTGCTAGAGGGACCATCCAGATTTCCATTGGCTTGTTCGACGCTACCAACACTAGCGTTGCGTTGGGTGATTCCCCATGCTTGAGTAGCGGCCTTCGAAGCAGCAGCGGGTCTCCTGAATGTTGAGCTCGCCAGCTTGCCAGACGAACCGGTTCTTTCCTTTCCGCCAGCACGCAGAGTCCTCAACATGCCTCCTCTCTTCTCCGGACTAGGGGTACGCGAGCTCTTTCTCTGACCGTTAGACGATTGAGGAGCCAGCATCGAGGACGGTGGAAAGGCAGATACGGCTGGGGCTGCAGGTGAAGCGCGCACGCGTGGAACATCGGCTCCGGAGCTCGACTTTGAAGTATACGATGGTCGCTTGGTACGGGTTGGAAGAGAAGGAGGTGTAGGGCGGGAGATATCCGAGTATCCGACCGGAGGGATGCTTCCTCCTCCCAGCCAAGCAGAGTTGTTGCTCTGGTCTGCAGTTTCCTGAAGTGGAATGCTCGTGCTGGACGCTGTTGCCTTTGCTTGTACTCCGGAATCCGCTGCTTCTTCCCGGCTTTGTCTGAGTGCTTCAAGAAGGTCGACTCGTTCTTTGCACTGGAGTTCCATCTGTCGCAACGACTCCTGCAGCGCTCTTTCTGTTTCGGAACGTGGTCGCCATCCAGTAGGCATGCGATAGGCGTTGTGGTAATATATCTGGTCGAGCGCATTACGCCATGATCTCAAAGCCTCTGTCTCGTTGTTCTACCCTGCTGTCAGCCATCGAATCTAGCCACTGCTAATGTGAAACTCACTTGACCCTCAAAATACACAGCAGTCGAGCACGTTAGATAGCAGTCGTCATATGTCTTCTGCATTGAAGCTGCTGGCTTCCCACGACCCAACATGATGTGTTTAAGAAAGGCGTCTTCTGCATGCAAAATCGATCAGTTTATCCACCCTTCAATCTGGAGTGGCCTAGGTCGAAGTCCTGTGTACACTTTTTGTCCGTAAGGCCGCGCAAGGAATAGAGGCTTGGACTCTTGAATGCATGGCTGCGTGACGTATTGCGCCAAGATTGTTAAATTGAACCCGATCCGCTCGGATACGCTGATCACGCCTTTCCCAAAACAGCATCACTATTCCCGTCACGCGTCTATTCTTCCGTGAGGCTTCGAGAAGATCACGATGAACACGAACAAGGACCTACATTTCACAGTTACAAGGGAAATATGGTTGTACGGACGCTGAGTACCGATCGGTCTGCCATTAGAAATAAAAGCACTTGTTCACAGATGCTAAACTTCCCGAAGATATCCTTGAAGTTCAATGTGTGAAGCGAGCAAGTTCAATGTAAAAGGATCGCTCAAAGCAATCGTGAATACGGTAAAAGTACATGTTCTCTCAGGCTATTGCAAGTCGTTCTCTCTGCGTTCGTCGTCGGGCATGATAGAAGTCGGAAAAGGTCGTAAGAAAGTGGATGCCATCTCGTGGTAGCGTAGTGAAAGTAATCAAGGCTCCTTGTCGGCACCACCGTGGCCAGACCTGCAACTAAAGTTAGCATTGTATCGGGAGATTGATCAGTATAGGGAAGCGTACCAGAACTCCTTGCCGACCTTGTCACCCTTCTTGCTCCTGTCTTCTCCGAGCTTCACGGCAGCCTGGTCGTGTCTCTCCTCCATCTCCTTGTTATGCTGCTTTACATCCTCAGGAAGGTCTTTCTCATCGGGCTTGGGGGTGCCCTTGTTGAGCTTGGGTTCCAAACCCTTCGTCGATTTTGGGTGTTCCTCGCTCATTCTTCTGGCGTAGGTAGAGAAGCTCTTCTTCTGCTGCTTAGCGGCACCGGTGTTGTGACCCTTGCTGTCTGCCTTTGTGGCAGCACCACTGCCTTCACCAGCCTTGGGAGGAGGCGGGCCGGGGTGCTCCTTGTCGGCTGAGGGGTTGGCACCTTGTTCTTGAGGCTTCTCGCCCCTGGGATCGCCCTTGCCATCGCCATAGCCTTGCGAAGCCATTCGTCTGGCGTAGGTGGAGAAGCTCTTCTTTTGCTGCTTGGCTGCGCCGGTGTTCTGACCGCTGCTGGTGCCCTTGGTAGCAGCGCCGCTACCCTCACCGGCCTTAGGAGGCGGCGGGCCGGGGTGCTCCTTGTCGGCGGAAGGGTTTGCACCTTGCTCCTGGGGCCTGTCACCCTTTGGGTCGCCAGAGCCATTGCCATAACCTTGCGAAGCAAAGCGTCTGCCGCTGACGCTCAATGCCGGGCTGCGAGCGAAAGTGCGAGGAGCATTGCGGAGGAAGCTGGTGCGTAGAAGACTCATGATTGACTTGGTAATTGTGATTTTTGGTATGGAAAGAGAGAAGGGACGAAGGGGAATTGGAAAAACAATTGAAGCAATCGCGTGTGGTCCATGGCGACGGCAGAAGCTACATCACTGAGTTGCGAATCAAGCTCTCCAATACGTCATTGATGGGCGATCGGCCCAAAGACCTCTCCACAAACGGTGTCAGCCAGATCTATGAACGATAGCAAGGCACGAGCACACCTTACAGAACCTTGTTCAACATCAAGGCCCTCGCTTCCTCGATTGAGATATATGCTTTCTCCAATTGTCACCTGGCAGCCTGCTACGATATCTATACGAACCGTTGTTGCTCTTTGAAACTCAGGTGTACTCTGCCTCCTGAAAGCGACCTATTGTTGAGATGAAAGTAAAAAGAGGAATAGCGCACTCAAAGTGCGTGGTAAATGTTGTTACAGAATGGTATCCAACAAGTACATATATCAAACAAAGCCTCAGCCTCTGTCAGTCAATAATATCAAACAAGCTCGCTATCCAAGCACGCCCTGAAGATGCAAGATTGGCTTCTCACATGATGACTACTTCATCATCGAGCATGCTTCCATCACCACTTGTTTCCCAAGTGCTCCAAGTATCTGTTAAGGTCTCTTGGTTGGCTTGCCACGCTTTTCCAGTGGTCTCTTGCTCCGTCCATACTACATCGTCCGCGATGTTTCTATTCGCATAGTACGCCGACCGCGGGCCAGGAGGTCCGATCTTGACTTTCGCAGCGGAACCCCAAGCGCCGGGACTAGCAGGGTAGTACTTGTATCTCTGTTGTCCTAAGACCATCTTCCACAACCACACCGCACAAGACATAACCGGTGATATCATCGGAGTCAAGGGCCGTAACGCCAGAGTAGGCAAGACGTAGGGGAAGTCTGGCGCGTGTGGGTCTACACCAAATCCACGCATTCTAGTCGCGTATCTGGGAGTGCTGAAGATGGAGCTGAGGATCCACTCTGCGATGAACCATGTCCAGAATAACGTGCATGCAAGGCCGAGCCAGGTCAGCCGGAAGCCTAGCGGTGTTCGACGGTTGCGATGGAAGTACAAGCCCCAATATTCTTTCCATGCAGCGCGGAGTACACTAGTCGGTCGCCCACATTGTACACATGATGTGCCTGCTTCGTGTTGATGAGTATGCTGAGTACTGTTCGACCGAGAGGTGGATCCCCTCGAAGCGGTCGCAATAACTTCGTCCAAGGCACGACTGTCCTTAGTCTGGTGCTTGGGTTCTGGTTTAGTGCTGGTGCTGGCCAACTGTTCCTTGAGGCCTCCTAGAGCAAACCATCTCTTCCGCAAATCTTTGTCTTTCTGCGAAGTTGGCACGGTCTCTACCTGTTGGCTCTGTTTCTCCTGGTCTCTTTTTGCAGTATCCGCACTGATGGTCTCCTGCTTTTCGACCGATTTCGAAGATCGCGGTTGAGCGGACGGTATATCGGGAAGGTCGAATCTGAGTGTATTGTCTGCGGACGGAGCCATGACCTCTTCCAAACTAGCTATAGTAGAATCACCTAACGTTGGGTCGTCGTCCTCTCTTCGCTTGCCTTCGCGGATGTCCTTGAGCACAGCGTCCAAGGCAGAGGCGGGTAGATTTGGTTCACTGATGGCACGCTGGTGAGTGGCTTCGGGTATCGAATTGAGTGGTCCAGAGCTTTGTCGACTTATTTGAGATGTTGTTGAATTGGCCGGCTGTCTTGCAGTCTGTGGAGTGTCAACCCAAGCTCCCATGACGACTGGGGTTTTTGCAGGCAACTGTCGTTCCGCTGGCCTTGATGGAGTCACCAAAGGTTCCTCGGGGCCAGGTTCTGGGATCTCTACCACTTCTGGTGCTTGTGACGATTCTCCCTGCTCAATCTGAATGATTTCGGGACCTCTTACGACCTCAGGAGCTTGCGGTGAGTCTCCTCTGAACAGCGGCCTTGTAGACTGCTTCGGGTGTTTTTGCGACCACGAGGAATCTTGACGGGGCTGATTTGTAGCAGGCAGAGTGTCTTTGGCCGAAGTTGGAGATGGCGAAGCGCTCGGAGTCCTTGAAAGCCTTTTAAGCAATGCTAGGGAGTCTGCTTTTCGCTGAGGGGGCCGTGGAGTGATAGCGGATATGGATGCTGAATGCTCGACAGTTTTGTACAGAGAGCGGGCCGAGTGTCGGGGCTCTAATGGGATGTTCTCTTTGTCTGAGATGGTCGGTCTCGAAGATTGCGCCGAGGCAGGTTCCGCATAGCTGTTTCTATAGGCACGCGACACTGTCTCGTATGCTTGCTGGCGAGTGGACGAGGAGGCGCGGGATTCGTATGTCTGAATCTCGCGCTCACGAATCTGGTCGATGGTGAGGCGAGAGCGTGAGGGAACGGCGGGTGTAGAGACTAGCAGCGAGGCGGCACTAAAATCCTGGTCTGGGTCCCATTGATCGACGTAACTGTCTTGGTGCTCAACCGCGGCTCCCTGTGAAAGGATGTGGGTGCGCCTCTGAGGCGGAGAGACATGAGCAGACGAGTACACTGGGTCGTTCGCGGCATCGGCCCAGTCAATATTTGGGCTTGAGTGTATGTTGCTTCTGATCTGGCGCATCCAAGCATGATTAGGTCGTCCTTTGCGTCCCCATGACTGCGGCAGATTCAAGGGTGGGTCGGAGGCAGTACTGCCAGAGAGGCTGGCTGGGCGATAGTGCTCGGGTTTGTAGGAAGGAGGATTGTGGATGTTGTTGCGCTCGAGATTGTCGAGGTTCAGGGCGGCGCGTGGCAGGGGTTTTGCTTTCCTAAAGGCGTGTGACTGGGTCAAGGCTTGTATGCGCTGGGCGTCTTTTGTATGCTGGAGCAGTTTGCGACCGAATTCGTCCGATCCATCTAGGGAGCTGAGATCGGAGAAGTTGGAGGCCTCGTCGTAATGCGACATGGTGGTGACGAGTTTGCGACGGGAACCGGGCGTCGAGGCGCGTTATGGTGTGAAATATTGATGTTTATTGCAGCATGCAGACAGTCTTGAGCACTTTCAAGTCCAACCCGGCAAGTGACATGATCTACTATACTTCATACTGTGTGGAGATGGATATGCGACGGCGAATTGGTAGATGCGACAATTGGAATAGAAAGCGGACGACTTTGTTGTTGATGGCTGATGCTTTGTTGACGCCTGCTCCAGCCTCCGTGTCCAGGGTCACCATGGTGGTCCAAGCTCAGCGCACCCCACGTTATCCTCGCTGCCATGTCGTAGCCCCAAGCCGCGTCGACACCAAGGTACGACAAGCAGACGACGATTCCCCTTCTCACACCCACACATCGCAACCATGGCTCAAGTCAACTGGCGCTCGATCAACATCGACGCTCTGGATCCCGAATCCTCGTCCAACTTCGATCTCTCTACCCTGACTCCTGCCGTCCAACCCGTCAGCTCACAAGACGTCCAAGCCCTCAGCGGCCAGATCAGACAACTATGGCGCGGAGGTGATGCCGAAGGTGCTCTTCGCGGTGCTCTGGAGAATGCTCCTTACGGTGCCGATGCTCAGTCCAAGGACTCCTATATGCAGACCGTCACCGAAGTTCTGCAACAAGTCCGCACTGCCGACATGGCTCCCATCTTGCAACGCATCTACACATCCGACGGCGGCTCAGAGCTTTGCGATGTTTTGATGAAGTACCTGTAATATTGCCTTTAGTACTCTGTACCTCAATCGCATACTGATCTCTTCCAGTTACAAGGGCATGGCCTCCGGTGCCTCTACCAGCAACCCCTCCAAGAACGTCACACCACAAGCCACCGGCTTCTCACAAGTCCAACCGCGCAACACTGCTGAGGGCCAGGGTGGAAACATGGGTGTCTTTTTGACTTGGCACGAGAAGGTACGCCTCATCTGACAGCCTGCTTGTACTAGTCCTTTGCTGACCACATCCTCGACATCAGGTGATCGAAGTTGCCGGCCCCGGTTCAATCGTACGCGTCATGTCAGACCGCAGAACTGTTTAGATCGAAAGATTCATGTACATTACGACAATACCCAGCTAGAGTTAAAAGTTTCATCTTCGTCTGATCCGCACCATCCTCCAACAACACTCGTATTAGCTATGTTTACCCAACAGAGAGAGCAGAATCATCATAACAACAAGAGATGTGATTGGTGGTATAGTGTATGCATCGAAGACTTTTCATTACTCTTCATGCGAAGGAATGCTATGATTATGTCGTCAAACTATCTCCCGGGACGCCATGCATGCAGTGTTAAAGTAAACTTTGGTGGGTATCTGCTGCGACAATAAACAAAAAGGAAATCTTTCCCATCAAAATTTTATTAATACAATCCAGAATCTCGGGTTTCGTCATTAGAATATGTCATTCGTCGCTCGCGTCGGCAAGCGTTGAAGGACAGGTTCAGAGTATTTTCAACTAGACGTGAGCAGGGTTGACGGCAGGTGCGCTCGAGTCAAAACTGTGGTGGTTCTGTGCCTCCATCGAGGGCTCCTCAATGCGGGTAGGCTCGCGAACGTGAGCAGGCTGAGGATGATTGGGGGCCAGAGCCTCGGGCTGCTCGCCAGTAAGAGGGTTGGTCAAGGGCTTCTCCGATGGATGTCCGTTGACAAAGTTGGACTCAACGTCGACGTTGTTCTTCTTTGCCTCGCGGACATGTGTGCTCCAGGGTCCCATCTTCTCGTCGTGGGTCTTGCCCACAACGAGGATGACGGTGCTAGCGATGACGAAGATCCATCCGATCCATCCAAAGACGACCGAAGTCACGATACGAGCGCTATGTCTGTAGTCGAGAGGAGTCTTGCCGTTCTCGAGAACGAGTCTGTTTCCCTCTTCTGCGCTAACACCAGTGACGTATGCGCTCTTGGTAGCGACGATGACGGTCATTGCGATACAACTGGCCAAGTGTACGAAGATGCCGGCAATGGCAGAGAGCTTCCATGCAACTCTAACACCATGGTCCTCATGTCTCTCGGGCCAGATCAGGTCGAAGAAGAAAGCACCACCAAAGATGGTGGCAACGTAGATTCCAGCAAAGATGTTGTAGGATGCAACACCAACATAGTCGTTGTTGTACTCGCCGGCACCATGAGACTTGAGGTACTTTTGCTGGCTGACAAATCTTGACAGAGCATCCGTTCCGAGCGATTCTGAAACAACACAGAAGATCATGGCCAACTGGTAGACGATGAACTTCGTCCTTCTCAGGTGGTAGACATTATTCCACATATTGGCATTGCCAAACTTGGACCATGTGAACTCGCTGAAGGGCAAGCCGAAGATGACGGGTGCCATCTTGATTTAGTGTAGGTGGTTGAAGTACTAAGAAGGTTTGATATGCTTGTCCGAGAAAACAGCCTCTGTCTTTGGTAAAGATAGAGGCAGCAATATAAGGTGGCAAGGTGTAGCTTGCTTATGCCAATATGGTTGATTTCTAATCTCAAGCAGAAGACGGCAATCCGGCAGAAGGGTCGAGAGGATCCGAGGGGTCCGAAGTGGTATGATACGGAAGGGGAAACAGCGACGGAGGGCGGGAGAAAGGTACACTTAAGAAGGAAGCACCAGTTCCTCGTCCCCGTACTCAAATGACCATACTCCGTAATGCCATGTTCATCTATTCTGCGAGCTTGCTAATCCCGACCAACAATTTTTCTTTGCGGCCGTGTTGACCCTTGGGCCTCCGTCCCTTGACGCAGCGCAAGCAAGACGAATCGGTTGCCGGTGAGCTTGATAATGCAGATCACCAATTGCCTCAGACGTCACTGGAGGCTCAAACTGAGAAAACCGTCCTCCGAGGCCGTACGATTGGACTTCAAACAAGCCTCAGAGCCGCACGGAAAGTTTCTGGCGAGAAACATCCGCCAGCCATACCGATGCGAAGCACAGGTGTCTGATAAATCTTCATATGTTGTCTCTTGTTCCTGGACTTTTCTCGTTTATGCGAAGTTCTCTTTCGATGTGATTAATCAAGACGACCATCCACGCACAGATGATCTTCAGCCTCACAACGTCAGAGCCCCACCTGTATGCGGCAGAACCAGCACGGAGTCACGAACAAATTGTTATGACGGAAGCGGGTTCGTGACCGCGGTTGGTGCTAAAGTAGAACTCCTTTTCCCAACCTCTTAACGTCTCGTCATACTCGTGTATCCCCACACACTCTTCAGAGATTTATTCAGATCAACCCCCAGATCGCGATTACGGCTCGGCGGTACTTTTCTGTGTGCCTCAGGTCCTACATGATATGACATGACTAGTGAGACAACTAGGTAAGCAACCGATTCTTTGCAGTTCCTACCGCAAGCCCGGAGAGAACGAGACTGTCTAGCAAAGATGCGTGTTCCGACTCCGAATTCAACGCAAGATGTTTTCAGGAATACCGATCTCTCAACTTTGCACAAACTGTGCTGGGCGACAACACTGCCGCAATGCGAGCTGAGATACCGCAGCCTATCCTCTATTCGTGTAGAGAGACGATATGATGGACGACTACAGCATGCACCAAACGCGATCTTCGTGGAAGCGAGATTCGACTACAGAAGTAGGAGCGTTCGCCATGTATAGCGATTCGGTAATTCGAAGACCATGTTTGCAATCGTCATCCACGGAGACTCACCACCTCTCGACGTGTGAGTCGCGGTGTGTGAGGAAGCGCATCCCAATCATACCAGTACTCTAGCTTCATGGACCGGTCTTCCGATTGCTGTCAAGATGTGCGGTGCATCTAGGGTCGGCCAACTCCTCCAGCAAGTGCATAACTCTTATAGCTTCTCTTGGCTACGACTCACCAGGCCAAAAACACGTTGCGCGTTTGCGACGCCTACTCCCCAACTCCCATGTTTGCTTTGATCGTACTCGCAAACAAGGTTCGGCTCCTCCCTATGTTGAAGACCGTAACGCGTGCAACTATCAAAGTGCACAATACGTGCCGGAAACACATCGATCCCAGCTGGAGTGCGATCAACTGACTGTCCTCGACGAACGGCTCCAGCCTTGAGGAAAGAATTATGCATCTCTACAGCCCGCCCTCGGGTTATTCATATGGGAGAGGCGCAACAGTCAGACTAAAGAAGACAGGAAGGCCCCACAACTCGCGTTCCTAGGTGTTTGCGACGTCCACCGTCCACGCGGAGAGCAAAACCAAAGCGCAGAGTAGGTAAAGTCCATCGCTCGCGCAGATGCGCTGAGATGCTTTCAGGCGTTGTGAACTTGTGATTTGGTTGCAGTGGCACCGCATAGCGCGGTTGGGTAACCGTCATCTCTTTGACGTTGACATGGCGCCATGCAACCAGGAACGAGGTGGCTGGTCATGCCAAGATCATCGACGCAAACACATGTCAAGCGGGGAGATCTGGGGTGAGGCTAACACTCGAGTAAACACGCGTATCATATTGACCAGGGGACATTGAGTGAGTAGCTGGTCAATGAGATAGATCTGTAGTGATAGGAATGTCTCTCATATGATTCAATGCTGTGCAAGGTCATTCTGGAAAGTGGTAGACTTAAAATTTTGCAAAAACAGGCAGGAACAATGAAGTTTTCCTACGTCATCATTTCGTCGTAGCTTCCGTAGCTCTCGATCCCCTTCACCGTGCCTTCCTCAAAACTCCACGCGTGCCTCACCTTTCCACCTTTCTCATCAACCTATACCTAAGTTTCCTCCGGTATTCCCAGATATGAGATTCAATTTTGCGACCGTCGCCGTGCTCGCTCTCGGCGCGCAGTCCGTCGCTGCCAGCACCTGGTTCAGCAAGGCTGGTAAGTGAAGATTGTTTGCTATCGTTGACAGCTGGCTTGCCACTACCGCATTGATCGGACGAGCTTCTAAGCAGTCTGTGAACGATTGGTTGTGAATGGCACAGCTGCTCAACCTGGCGCCCATGTCCTCTTGATCTGTTGTGGTGCGCATTGAAACTGACAAGATCGCAGCTTACAACAAGTGGCATGAGACCGAGTTGGAGAGATGGCTCTCTGACCACGATGTCCCTTACCCCACTTCTGCCGACCGCAAGGATCTCGTCGATCTGGTCAAGACCAACTGGGACCAGAAGATCGCTCGGCCCTACAACAGCTGGGACACCAAGCAGCTCCAGAACTACATCTCGAGCTCTGGCCAGGAGATCAAGAAGGGCACTGAGCAGAACAAGGACAGTCTTGTCAGCCAAGTCAAGTCGTACTGGCATGAGACTGCCGACCAAGCCTCGGACGCCTATGCGTCGGTCCAGGACTGGGTCTTCGACAGCTGGACTGAATCGCAGCTGAAGTCTTTCCTCGACTACCACAGCATCCCTAACCCCTCCCCTCGCTCCCGCGACACTCTTCTCCACTCTGCCCGCTCCAACTACCAGGCCGTCGCCAAGAAGGCTGGTGAGACCACCGCCTACCCCGGCAACTGGCTCTACTCTCAGTGGTCCGACTCTGACCTCAAGGCATGGCTCGATGAGCGTGGCATTCCTGCCCCTCAGCCTACCTCTCGTGACAAGATGATCGCTGCGCTCCGCCGTAACGCCCGCACTGCTTCCAACCAGGCTGCCAAGGCTGCCGCCTCTGCCTCCACTTCCGCCGTCGGTGCCCAGCAGTCTCTCTCTGACCAGCTCCTCAACTCCTGGAGCGACAGCCAGCTCAAGCAGTTCTTCGACAAGAACGGCATCAAGGTCCCCCAGGGCTCCAAGCGTAACGAGCTGATGGCTCTTGCCCGCAAGCACAGTGCTAAGCTCTCTGGTGACAACGTTTCCGCCTCAGCCTCCTCTGTTTACGGTGAGGCCTCTAAGTCTGCCGCTTCCGTCTATAACGCCGCCTCCGGTGCTGCTGGCAAGTCAGCATCCTCTCTGTCCGGTGCTGCCGCTAAGTCCGCCTCCTCGGCTTCTGGTGTTGCTGGCAAGTCTGCCTCCTCTGCCTCGGTTGTTGCTGGCAAGTCGGCTTCTTCCCTCTCTGGTGCCGCTGCCAAATCTGCCTCCTCCGCTACCAACGCCGCTGGCAGCCAGTTTGCCTACGCCACTGACGCAGCCTACGGTTCCGCTCAGTACTGGTTCGATTGGGCCAAGGCACAGGTTGGCATCGGTGGTGAGCAGGCCAAGTCCTCTCTCGCTTCCATCTCCAGCGTCGCATCTGCTTCTGCCTCTTCCCTCTCCAGCGTGGCCTCCGTCTCCGGCTCCTCCGGCTTCCACGCTGCCACCGACGCTGCCGCCGCTACTGCCTCTTCCGCTGCCAGTGTTGCCAGCAAGTCCGGCAGCAGTGGTTACTACGCCGCTTCCGATGCCGCTGGCTCGTCTGCTTCTTCCCTCTCGGGTGCTGCTGCCAAGTCCGCCTCCTCAGCATCGAGCGTCGCCAGCAAGTCTGCCTCATCTGCAGCCAGCGCCGCTTCGGTCGCTGCTTCCAAGTCCTCTTCGTCGCTCTCCGCTTCTGGCCCCTCGTCTGCCAGCAGCGCTGCCAGCAGCGTCGCCAGCAGTGTCTCCAAGGCTGGTGCCGGTTACGCCCAGCAGGCCGCCGATGCTGTCGTCGAGAACGCCAGCTCTGCCAAGCACAGAGCCTCCGAGGCTGCCCAGAGAGCCACCGACCGCGTCAAGGAGGAGCTTTAAGCTCATCACCATATCAACCACAGCAAGAAAAGAAAAAGCCGAGATGAAACTCTACGAATCATGACGATCGGAGGAGGAAATGGCGATGCCGATTGGGCCTGTACTTTTATTTTAGTCAACGACACTGATGAACCAAAGAGGATCATTCTTCCGCCTCTTGCTTCCCTAGCTAGTTTTTAACAATGAAATGTTTTTATCCGTTACTTAAGTCTCTTGGCCTTGTGTACTGTGACAAGTCATGTGTCAGATCACACGTTTCTGAATCTGCTTCGCGATGAGTTGTGTCAGCTTCGTGACGTTTTCGAGTACCATGATCAGTCGTTGACCTTTACCTTCTCCTTGTCACCGTATCAAATCCACAGTCTCTCGAAGGGCATGCACATGTCTCGGTTCACAGCCGATCTAGCAGAACGGACTCTGTGTTTCGCACTTCAAGTTGTAGGCAGTACGACCCTGTCCAATGTTCTTGGACCTATCTTGACTCTTTCGTTTCTTGGTTCATCGATGGCTGGTCCATTGACGGACTCTAGCAAATATCAAAGTATCCTCTAGATATGCCATGGAGTGATGAGACAATTACTGTTAATAGTGACAGCACCGTTCGTTTCTTGTCGTTGGAGTTCTGACATCACTCACTCGCCAGGTCAACGTCCAAAACCAACAGAACAATCAAGGTAGAGAGTTCGATGTCGACGATGGGGAGTCAAAGACTTATAGGGCCCGTTGATTATCTCGACGTGTAATCTCCATTAAGCATCGAAACATATTTGCGAAACAAGGAGCGGGAATGGAAGAAGAACCAATTGAACCAGGGTCACACAGTGCGCCTGAGTCATCTAACACTGAACACCGTCTTGGAAGGCATGAAAAAGCGTGGAAGTACGTATGCGGCAAGAATTCAGGCGCCTCTTAAGCTCATGTGTCGTTCCTATCATGCAGCAAAGCAGCAATATAAAACAGCAGAAATGAAGCCATTAGTCATTTATAATTATCAATCATCAATACTTTTCAATCAACCATGTGTATCGCTTGTTATCATCCATTTCGTCAAGCATTTCCTTCTCGGCCTTTTTCATAATGACGTAGTCGTCAGTCAATCCATGGTTCATGATTCGTTTCAATACCTCGTTAGTATCGAGTTCTTCCAGTGCTTCCTCAAGTGTTCCGGGCATTCTGGTTGTGATGCCGAGTTCTTCTCGTTGAGCTTTCGTAAGACTAGCGGGGTTGACAGTGCAATCTTTCAGCATCATCTGCTTGTCTGCTTCTATACCGGAGAGACCAGCAGCTAGCAGGGCGGATAGAGCGAGATACGGGTTTGCAAAGCCATCGAGACAGCGTACTTCCCAGCGTCCTGGCTTAACTTTACGCAGCGGTACTTCTCGATTTTGTGTTCCCCAAGCCACCCAGACACCACTCGTCCACATGTTCTCGACAACGCGAGCATAACTCGCATCATTAGGTAACAGGAATGCACATAAAGCGGGCAATTGCTCGAGTACACCAGCAAAGAATGAAGATTCTTTCCTCGCCAAATCTTCCACAGATAGAGTGGATGAGTTCAGCGATATGTGTACATGCTGACCCGAGCCCACACCGTTGAGGGGAACAGGATGCAGAGTAGCACGCAGTTTGTGGAGATGAGCGATTTGCTGAACGACTTGGCGGGCTTGGAGGAGCGTATCAACCGCTTCCACGATGTGCATGGGTGGTAGCACGAATTCGTATTGTCCAGGTCCGGATTCTGAATGGAATTGCTGTATGGAAATGCCAATGCTTGCCAGTGCATCGGCGATCTCAGCAAGGACTGGCAATGCGGTCTCGAATTGTTCAGGGCTGAAGGTACCCCATGCGTGATTTGTTGTCCATGCAGTATATTGACCATCGGAGTCTTTTTTCAGAAACACTACTTCAATTTCGAAACCAACCTCCAAGGTTATTCCATGGTTGTCTAGGATTCTGTCCGTCAAGGTTCGCAGATTGTTTCGTGGACAGTGGACTGAACGGCGACCATCTTCATCGCAAAAAGACGCCATCACAGTTGCAGAAGCAAGTGGATCTCTCGAGTGTGTGCGTCTCATCGACAGAACATCAGGCTCAACGTACAGCTGACCCACAGATCTGACCGCCGAAGTAACATGATCATTCTGTAGGGTGCCTGTGTTACCTCGTGCGATACTGATGCGCTCGCCTTCGGTGACAAGGCGCCTGAACTCGGCAATGGGCAGTATACGGACACGAATTGTGGCTAGGTAGTCGAGCCATTGCACGTAGACGAATTTGAGATTGGGAACAGACTCAGAGAAGATCGTGAAAACCTCTTGGTCGTAAGGGTTGTCAGGTGGCTGCGGCTCGTTCCAAGGGAGCTGGAGAGGCTGGGGAACTTGCATAATCCTGGCCTCGCGGTTACTCTGTGCTCTGGTTCGTCGTGGCAGCTCGCTCTGGGAATCGTTAGCAAGATTCTCAGCCAATCAGTAGTCGACGCCCCTGCTGAGTCATATCCAATTGCCTGATCCCAGATCATTCTGGTCGTTTGAGAGCGTAGGCTGGATGAGAAGGCTTACCGTTGCCATATCTGGAAGTTCTGCCCGAAGGTTATACACTCGATTTGCGTTATTGAAGTAGATGTCCTTGGCCGCATCGATGGCTTGCTCAACCGTGAGGTCATCCTCACGCACATACTCTACGAGAATCCTTTCGAAGGCTTGTCTGAACTGTTTCAATGCAAGCCAGTAGACTTCACCGAAATGATGGGCATCGGTGCTGAAGAGCAGCTTTGAAATGGGAGTGACTTCCATGCATTGACGCAAGATAGTTTCTTGACCGTTTCTGCTGACCTGCGGGAAAACTTCACCAAGATCGAGATATACGTTCTTATAGACGGTCGCAAGATAGCCGGCTTGACGCATGTAGGGATATGAAGTGTGGAGAAGGATCATCTGAACATGAGGAAAAGCAGAGATAAGAGGCTGGAGATTTGAGGGGTCTGCAAGAAGCAAGTCAATGTCGGCATCGCCTAAGCCAGTGTGAAACTGGAGTGGCTTGCTTATCGAGTCTTGCTTGGCCGCTGCAGTCAAGAGACGGCAAGTCGAGATGACGAGACTATCATTCAAGCCTTTGGATTCAATGCGGAAGTCGTTTTGCGAGCAGTTGGGCAGATAGTCGGCCTGAAAAGCCTCGAGACTATTGGCGGCTACCTGAACGTCACCAGCGATCTTGACACCGAGACCGGTTCGATAGCAGATGACAGACTTGAAGCCAGCAACATCGGGATTGTTAATCTCGGTTACAATGGTAGACTCGAAAGCTTGGAGGAAGGTGACCCATGCCTGAGCACACATGTCGTCGTTGAGCACTGCAGGACCGATAGGCAGGCTGCCCTTTTTGTACATCTCGCGAAGGATGTCTGCAGCGACTGTTTCGATGCGAACAACGCGCAGCGTCTTGTCAAGGATGAAGTCGTCATGCCAGTCGTAGAGATAGACAGTAGTGTCGTCGAGGCCATCGTCCATGAGGATAGTGTGTATACCCACGAAGCATCTTTGTAGAAAGCTTTCGAAGTTTCCTTGCAGAATATCTGCTCTTTTCTGCATCAAGTCATCCCAGTTTGCATCGTTCCGGAGGTCGTAGAGCTCGCGGAGTTGACGGACGGCGCGGATGTGCGATAGCGATGTATGCGTGTCTGAAAGAGCATCTCCATGTGCTTCTGTAGTTGCGCTTAGCAGGTCGTAAGCTTCTTGCTTGGATGGTAGAAGTAGATTGTGGGCGTGATTGTCAATGACAGGACATGACCGAATCACGTTCCTCAGGTCGTCTAATGTCGCCATTCTGAGTATGTCGACTAAGTCGAGGGAAGGCCGATAAGAATGCCTCTCACCTCGTGCATCTTTACGCGCCGCGTGTCTTATCGATAAGCGCCGATGCTGCGTCATCGACCACCTTGATCGCACCATCTCGTTGTTATCTCACCTCATTCCGTGGAAGAGATATAAGGCTTACACGTCCGCAGTGGAACAGAGAAAGGACGAAACACCACGATCTTCATCATGCCCACCGTACTCGTCGTAGGTGCTACCAGAGGACTCGGCCTCGAGCTTGCAAAACAATATACCGATCGAGATGACACTGTCTACGGCACAGCACGTTCAAGCAAACCACAAGATGCTCCTGCGAAGATCAACTGGATTGATGGTATTGATGTGGCCGAAGAGACAGCAGGTGCAAAGCTCGCAAAGTCTCTAGTTGGCCAAAAGCTCGACGTCATAATACTGGCAGCTGGTTACTTTGGCTTCGAGACCTTCGACAAGCTCGACTTTGAGAAGGAATTGCTCATGTACAAGACCAGTGCCATTGGTCCTGTTTTCATTGTTCAGAATCTACACAAAGCTGGCCTACTATCCAAGGGCTCGAAGATCATCATCATCAGTTCAGAGTCGGGAAGCATTGCCTTGAGACATGAAAGCGAGGGAGGTGGTAACTACGGTCATCACGCCAGCAAAGCCGCTTCCAACATGGTTGGCAAGCTACTGAGTCTGGACCTCAAAGAGCATGGCGTTGCCGTGGGGATTGTACATCCTGCCTTTATGAGGACCGAGATGACCAAAGGTGTTGGCTTTGATAAATACTGGGATGCTGGTGGAGGTACGTTAAGCCTTCCATGTCGATACTTAACACGACTGACCCTACGCTAGCGGTGACACCTGATGTTTCTGCCAAATCGGTCATTGAGTTCGTCGATACTTTCGACATTTCCAAGACAGGACAGTACTGGGCACCCCGAGGTCCTGGAGACATTGGAACGGCAGAAGACGTCCTGGGTCCTAAAGATCAGCTGCCGACGCCACTTCAGCTCCCCTGGTAACCACTCAATGCGCAAGATCACTGATAGCATGCACTGGAGATGCATTTTGAGAATGGATGATGTGTTTCATGGTAATCATTAAACGAACGCTAGCTCGTCTCTACTTGTGTCTCTGTACTGTCCAGGCTTGTTCTGTGTAACAATTCCTCATCACCAATCTACTCGTTCTTCTTGATCACCTTCTTACCCATGGACAGGCCCATACCGTAGTCGTACACAAGAGTGCCGCCCAAGTTGGCACCGAACAGCAATAGGGCACCCAGCACGATACTCGCACCGACCATCCAAGTCTGAGGCTCGTAGGCCATAGGGTTAAGACCGTCCTTGATGTACTCCATACTCGAAGCATTTCTTCTCTTGTACCAGATCCAAGCCGACACAGCGATGACAAGATCGTTGATCACAGCGTGTGCAATCAAGACCTTTGACTTTGCCTTGAGCTTTCCGCTCTGGTCAAAGAGACCTTGTGCTTGAACCATCTTCATTGCTTGAGCGACTCCAGAGGCGGCCGAGGGTAGAGCAGTCAGGATGCCGAGACCGAGGGCCCAGTAGCCGATTCGTGTGGTCTCGACTACGGTGGGGAGGTAGTTGGTCAGGGTGGAGGGCATGTATGGGCGAACGACATGAAGGGCATCGAGACCATATGCGGTGCTCAAGAAGGCGATAGGGAAATGGACGGTCGCAGGGTGAACAGGGTGGCTACAAAGGTAACCATGTCAGCTCTCAATTCACCTGATTGACATTGATGTTGCTGCTGCACAATGCTGCCCTGAACAGTGTGGGGAAAGCTCCAGACTTACTCGAGAGACATGATGGATGCGAGCTGTGTAACAACAAGACTTTGTGAAAAGAAACGTGAATGTGAATGAGACTCTCGGAATCTTTTAGCTAGAATATTTGGAAAAGCAAACAAACAGTTCTTGGCTCTTGTCTAAATATTGTTTCGTTGCGAGAAATGGAAGGAAGGAGTTGATCGGCCCCTCCGTTTCCGGCGAATTGTAGCGTTTACAATGGTCATAATTTGGTCATCAATATTTCCTGCAGCTCACTGCTTCCAGCCGTCATACCACGTTACCTGTGCGACAGGTGAGTCGCACCGCAAAGGGCTGGTAGCAAAATACACGTCGAGTAGACAGTCCCATGGCTTTTGTGTTGCTGTGCAGAGCAAGAACAGTGCCATGGAGTAGGTGCAAAGGTGAACGTCCAAGCTTGGCGAGCTGGTTGTTTGGAGAGTCTGCAAGCTGCAGAGCAAAAGAAGCGGGGACTTATTCTCTCGGCAAAGAGAGAAGAGTGAGAGGGAAGGAGCGACCGGCAAAAAGTGCAAAAGGAATGATTGACCAAGGTCGTACTGGGGCTCGAACCCACTGGGATGTGTTAGTTGATATTCCGAAGGCGTCGGCGTGTCTCAGATTAAACTTACGGACTCGAGAAGATTTGACATGTGATCAAAATCTCGCGTGCTAACCGCTACACTATACAACCGTGTTGTTGTAAGGATTCCGTCAGTGTAGTCTATAAACATCGAGACTGTCGCATTCAATTATGTTTTAGGTCGGATCTGCTCTGATTTACGAATATTCAGCTCACGAGTGCACTCTGCTTTTCAAATATCATGTCTCGTAGCTACATAGACCGGCTCTCAAGCAATCTCAATCATTGAAGTCATAGTTCTCATCAAGTTCGTGTCCCAAGGGTCTACACCAGATCTCTCAATGTCTGTTCCAACCAACAACACAACCATCATCCTCGTCATCACCACTCTGCACAGCATCGTCATCGCTCCCACTCCCATATCTCTGATCCTCTTCGTCAATAACGTCATTGTCATCATCCAGGTCGGGGCCCCTCTCCGCAATCTCGCGCTCGATCAAGAGTTTGAGTAAGCTGCAGAATTCAGCGTGCAAGCGCACGAAAAAGTACTCGTCACCAACAATCTCAGCCAGACTGCGAGTCTTGGGTACATTTGCCAGTGGGGAAGCCGCGGAGAGAGAGGAGCGAGGATAGCCATCTGGGTCTACGGATTTGGCAGAAAGGAAACTGGATACGGGTGTGACGGCTGCTGATGTGGGAGCTTGGTTTTGAGGATGACTCGTCGAGGAGGTGAAGGAAGAGGCTTGCGAGTGGGTGCGCTGGGGTTGTGGAGGAGATAAGGACGGTGGTGTTCGTTCAGCGGAGCCCATGGACATGGGTGGTGAAGGTGTGGCACTTGAACTGTAGCTACGCAAGGATCCGACATTCGCAGCAGACAATTCTATTGGCGAGGCTTCTGTGCTCTCTCCTTGTTGTAGGGTTGTGAGATGTGTTTCGGCCAGCGTGACGATAGACTTTGCCCATGCCTCAAAGGCACGACGAACAGCCGTCTGGTGTCGAAACAGGGGACGCGAGCCCACAGCTACGAATGCATACGCTCTTCTTTGACCCCTGGCTCTTGGATCTGGTAGTCTGAAGACATGTGCCACGTTGACTGTTCTTGGGTCCTTTGGTCCTTGTGTCGCCAGATCGGTAGTCAAGGTCATGGAGCCGGAGCTCTGTCCTCGAGGCAAGGACTCCACGGCCAACGCTCTCGTACAGGCATCACGGAGTAGAGGGTTCGAAGGAGCTCGAGTGGTAGCAAAGGTAGAGTCGCGCCACTTGCTGCGTAGGACTGGTGGAGTTGTTGTTGCGGCGGGCACGTTGTAAGAGCAGTTGGCGCAACTCGTGCCCGTCTCGTTTGGCGGCGCCGATGTGGCAGTCGGCGATTGCACCGATGTCGTCAGCAGTGCTTGCGGCCCATGGATCTCGCAAAAGTGCCCTAGTGAAATCAGCGTGTCCGCCATGAAGGTCAGAGATGACCAGGTTCAGGGTCATCAAGCTATGCCTCGCGTGGCATTGGCTGCGGGGCCGACGACGTCTCCACCAGAGCGTCTTGGTCTCCCACCGATTCACTTCCTCGTCTCCTTCTGCTCAACTCCAATTTATCCTCGCTCATCTCCCCAGAGTTCGAGGCCTTTGTTGTCGGCCTTGTCAAAATGCACAATCCTGTCCTCGCTGTGTAATCTCGCCATCGGAAGACCTAAATCGGCCGTGTATCTCGAGTTCCGCTCACAAGCTTCACATATGGGAACGAACTAAATTTCCTATCATTTAGCATCCATTCTAGCCTCGGGCATCTCTGGGATATCTGGAGAGCAAAACAATCGAATTATGTGATTCAAGAGATAGCAATACACGCAGCAGAAAGTCTCATAGCTACCTCAACGTAGCCATGTCTGCCGCACTTGTTGTCATCGACCCTCGTAACTCAGCGATCCCAGCATGCTTCGCCAGCAATGCCATCACTCATTCCGCGTAGTTCCAGACCGCAGCTCAGGTGCATGTTGACTACGACTCTGGATATGTATCAGCAGATGAAATTTCGAGGCGCTCGCACCAATACTTACTCATCCTGACCATGAATGTGGCCTCGTTTGGAGCCGAGCCGTTGTACGATGCGTCTTGTAACTGTTCTTGGACTGCACCAGCGAACGTCATGTCGCTCGTGACGACTTGATTGAACTCCCCCCATACGATCTCCTCCTCATCGTTCATGACGTTCTCCCCTCTGAGCTGACGCAGGAAGTCGAAAAAGGACAGGTCAACCCAGTCTTTGAGCCATGTAGAGGGTGCGTCTCTGCCGTCAACTTGTGCTTGACAACGCCATAATGGGAACGACATCATGATACGACCATCCGGATCAGAGTGGCTTGGCTCCACTACCAGAACGATTTTCACAAACGGATACATGGCAGCCTCCTCGGCAGACGCCATCATAGAGTCCGTGGGAGATTGTGACTGAGCTTTTTCGGACGGGCTGTTGATAGGTTTGAACGCGGCAAGCTGGTCGTTGAACGGCTTGCGTGGGCGTCCTAGAGATGGCTGTCCTGTACTCTCTTCTTTGATCGAAGGCAGAGCGTTTTTCGAAACGCCGAGCGCAGGCTTCAGAGCACGCGTCTTCTTTGCCGTCTTCTTTGCCGTCTTTCTGCCGGTTGTCACCTTGGTTGTGGTTGGATGATTGACGGCGAACAGGTAATTGCTCAAGACCTTCCTGATGGAGCTTTGGGTCCACTTCTGAGTAGCCTGGCCCCATTGCCATTCACTTTCGAACCGAGTGATGATGTGGTCCATGTGTGTCGTGTACAGAGCGGTGCGAGCTGCGCCTTTCTTGGTTGGCGCCACGATCCGAGCCGAGTTGCGCAGAGCGTCTTCGAGTCGCTGCTGCTCGGGAGCTGAGAAGCCATGGGCAGTCGCGATGCCCTTGGCGTTGAAGGCAAGCTTCTCACTCTCGGTATTCTTTGGCATTGTTGTTTGATGTAAGTAATCTGATGAGGTGAGAGATGAAGTGTGATGACTTGAAGGGGTGGGTAGGAGACCAAACGCCTGTAGAACTAGAGTGCGCGTGCTCGCTCAAAGTTGGCAGTCACGTCCCTTCTTCTTCGAAGCTGATTCAAGTCACAGTGCCTTCCTGATCTGAGATGTTGCCCTTGGTGACTTTCCATTGATCAGACTAGCGAATTCTCGCTCGACTGTGCATTCAGTCAGTCAGGCCGAGATATCGTTGCTCAATGTCCGGGAATACGAAAAGTATCTAGCCAGAAGTCTGCCGCGCAAAGGTCATTCCCAGACAGTGCTACTCTGCAAGAACTAACAGACAGAATCTGGCATGGCATCCGCACCGAAGGGCCTGGCAGTAAGACACCAGCTGTGCGCTCTCACAAATGATTGTTCGAGCAACCCTCTACCGAGCCTATTCATGTCTTACGAATCAAACTAGATCGAACTCCATTTTCTTCTATTCTGTCCGTTGTAGCCATATCAGCTCTAGAACGTGATAATCATAAGATAGTCTCTCGTTTCTCAGGTTTAGAGGAGTATTCTCTCGTGACTTTGATGACAAACTCATAATGATGAGGTTGCTTGACAATAATCGAAGCACAAAAGGAAACTTTGACTTTGTCAACAGAAGCTGTATTCAACTGTCTATTGCGTTTCATGTCTTGCAGTGTCATTTTTCATCATAATCAACATTCCATCCATCGTTTCAATACCGCGCGTTACGGTTCATCACATCATCCTCAATCAAATTATTTCCATGATCGTGAAGTTCGCAAATCTAGCACAAATCAAACTGCAGAACAGTGATACTGTGCTTAGGAACATTCCAAGACCAAGCAGATCCGTTCTTAGCAGCTGACCCAAGCTCAGCAGGACGAGGCACAACCTCAGTCTTGTTTCCAACATAATTGTAAGAGTTGAGATCACTAGCAGTGATTGAAGTACCGTTGACGCTGGTGTAGGCACTTGGGATATTGACGTTCAAAGGCACGGTAGAGTTCAAAGTGTTGATGACCTTGAGGTAGACAGCATTATTCTCCTCGTCGATACTAGCAGCCCAGAACAAGGGGTTCAGTTTTCCCTCAGTGGCGTCAACGGGGAGTGTCTCGGTACCGCGGTAGTGAGCAAACAGCCATTGTTGCCAATAACTGGCACTCAGTACGGTATTGTCGTGCAGAGCGTCGTACGAGATCATGTCGGGAGTCCAGTTTGTGAAGTTGCGGTTCTGGAGTGATGGTGCGTATGAGGACATCTTGACAGTGTGGGGGTTGCGCTCAGCTCCAAGTGCGTAAACACCCTCAGCGATAGCGGAGAGGAGTCGCGGGTATTGGACATGAACATCGAGAGGGTAAGAGTAGTTGACAATGCCCGAAGGTGTATCGATCTGGATGACGGAGTATTCGCCCAGTAGAACGGTAACATTGGTGTTGTTGGTTTCCTGCTGCCAGTTGTCCCACAGGTCGAAGTTGGCCAGGAACCAACTGGGCTCCTGGTATCCATGCCAATCCCACATATTTCCAGCAGGAATCGAGATATTGTAGTTGGCGGCATTCTCGTTGAAAGCAGTGCTGATGTAGGTGATGTGAGGGTAAGCAGCCTTCAAGCCGTCGTACATGATTTGGAAACGATAAGGATAAGTGACGCTGAACCAGTCCTCGTTACCAATTTCAACAAAGTTGATCTGGAAAGGCTCAGGGTGTCCATCAGCGATACGCTTAGCTCCCCACTTGGTTGAATTGTCACCCATGCAATACTCGAGCTCGTCCAGAGCTTCTTGTAAGATCTCGGGCATCTGTTCAGGAGGGTAGGAAGCGCCGTTCTGACCATAAACGTCGAGAGAGAAACCAGCATAGACGGCAAGAACAGGCTCAATATCCATAGCTTCTGTCCACTCGAGATATTCGAGCAAGCCGAGGCCTTGAGTGTTGTAGTAGTTCCAGTCTCCAACGCGGCCAGGACGGTCTTGCAATGGACCAAGAGTCTCCCACCACTTCCATCTCTGAGCCGGACTGTAGCCCTCCAAGTTGTTACCACCTGGGAAACGTAAGAATTGAGGGTTGAGATCGTAGAAGCCTTGAGCAATGTCAGGACGAAGACCATTCTTATAGCCCTTGAATGTCTCGGGAAAGACGGAGATTAAGTTGAAGTACAGGGTCTGTCCAGCAACTTGCGCACCATCGAAAGTAACGGCGAAAGTGTTGTTGGCATCGGGAGCAGTAGCGTTGGGGTGGAGAGTAGTTTCGAGTTGCTTGAAGTCAATATAGGTGGGGGTAACATTCTTGAAAGTAGAGCTGGCCCATGTCTCGCCGGTAACATTCGAGCGGAGTGATACCGTGATGTCACTCGCATTACCTTGAGTATTGCGAGGGTAGTTGTTCAGATAGAACAGCGAGGCGTTGTACTGTTGAGGATGAACATCAAAACCCCACCATCCAAAGTTTTGGAAACCAACTTCTCCAGTGGCATTCAAGGGGAAGTCGATCTGTAGCGAGGTCTCCAGAGCATCCGAGAGAGGATGAAGGATATCGAGAGTCATGCGGACTCCCTGTCCGATCGGTGCCCAAGCTGTCATGACAGGGTCAAAGGGGACCACCTCGTTCTCGGAGTCGGTCACGTAGGTGCCGACGTAGCCGTCAAGGGTACCGATTATGGCATTGGATCCTTGGAAGGCACGGTTGGCAATCATCTCGCCATAGATACCTCCATCTCCCGAATGATTGATATCCTAATTGTTCAGCCAAAGTAATATAATTGCATCGATACATCTTACCTCGTGCATGATACCATAGAGGTAGGGAGATGTAGCATTACGCCTGCTCTTGTCGAGTGTATCAATGTGCAGAGTGACCGGCGAGTTGTCATTGCGAGTGGCATTGATGTACGCCTGGTACGAGGGGAGGGATGAGGACAGGGCGGTATCATTGTCAAATTGGCGAGGAACCACATGAGGAAGTCGCCTGGCACTGACTATGCCAGCACCAGCAAGGGCGAGTGTTGTAAGACCGAGCATCTTCGTTTTGCTTCAACGGCGAAGAACCAAATGTCAATGAGAAAACCATATTGTAGTGAGAAGACTTCGCTCTATATATTGAACCATTCGTTATTATCCTGATCACACGAGGCTAAGAGAGCCATCTCCGCAAAAAGTGGAAGTATGCGTAAACACTGGATTTCTTCATGGAGACCATGTCATCGAACATGCGATCAAAGCATAACCCCCACCGGGAGCGGCGTGGTTCCTGCAGAGAGGAAGTTGGATCCACCAATGATGAGACCAAGATGTTGCTTAGTGGAGGCGGGTCGAAGCCGGAGGCCAAGGTGCGGGGCCCCTCTTACCCATGACCCCAACCTCACGGCTAAATGCGGATCGCTATACCAAGCCGATGAAGATATCTTGGAGTAGATCAACGGGCAAATAGGGTTCAATGCCTCGATCACTGACACATGAGAGGGCTGCAAGAAGCCGAGTGCGGCATAAGAGCACATCCTTGCTTGATAACCATGATCTCAACCGTGTGCTGGGACGTACACAGCCCGATCATCTTGGTCTGCAAGGATACAGTGTGGCAAGATAGATATCGAGTTTGCTAAATCGGTTCATTTGCTCCACCAATGTCCCGGAGCTTTCTTGTTCTGACTTCTACGACCCAAAGTCGGGTTGATGTGTCCGTTGCTGTGAGGCTTTTGCGCTCCATCGCTGTTCATCAGCTTTTTCCACAGCTCCGCAATTGGGATACGCTTCGCAGGAAGCATGCTATACTGTAGACTGTACAGACTCTTGCGATGGATCGGTGGGACGAATTGACCGGTGAGCAGACACAAGAACACACTAGGCGAGAGGTAGTGTTTGCGGATGCGAGATGCAAGCTGTGCATACTGAGAGAACGTTTCCGAGAAAGGCAGAGGTACAGACTGGGAAGCGTTAGGATTCTATCGATTGAGTCTTGGTCGGTTTTCCTTACCTGTAACTTTATATGTGCAGTAGGTGCAACCTGCGGATCTAGTGAACCGTGTTGCCGTGAAGAATCAGATGCAGAAAGGGTATCACGAAGGTCAAAACGTATGCCGCCTGAGAAGTTAGCCAAGGGGTCGGGACACATAATCAATCCTCTCATACCTGGTAGTCGCTGAGAGTCTTTGATCCTCAGCATGAGCGCAAAAAGAGGGAAATGGTTCAAGCAAGCCAACCATGTGTCCAATGCGGCTTTGAAGGCAATTATGCCCATACGCGCGCTAGCAAAGGTCGCGTAGAAGACACCAATGGTTGGTAGCAAAAAGGTCAAAAGTGTGAAGAGAATCGTGCCGAGCAGTAGCTGGTCTAGATCGTAATCACACGAGTCGATACGATTGCGGAGGACGTTTCGCTTCTTGCCACGGAATAGATGGAAGAGCGAGACTATTATGGTGAGCTGCCAGTTGTATATGCGGGCCGAGGCGATGTAAAAAGCGTAAACGTGAATCGTTAAAATGGAAAGCAAGTCTGAGAATAGCGAGATGGGCATGCTTGCACCAGCAAAGCTTGAGAAGCCTATGATCTGGACGACATGCGGGAGCAAGGGTCTGATATTTTGCATACATTCAGCCCAGTAGTCGATTATCCAAAGAAAGAGATCACCGAGAAACTGTGCCAGATCCTTGTTGAGTTTCAAACCGGCAGGGTAGTTCATCAGCCAGCATATCATGCGTTGAAGACCGGCAATGAACCAAGAGTCAACAATGGATTCGACCTGACCTGCAACGTAGTCCGAATTCTCGATGATGTAGGAGCCGATCGCAATACCAATGATAATGTCGTTTGCGACAAGCCATAGACTGTTGTAGAAGCGTATGTATTCCGGATGGCTGTTTGTGACACTTCCCCAGTCGGTGCGTCGCTTGCGCAGAGTAAGATATTGGATCGGCCAATAGCAAAACTGTTGCAAACGGATATCAGTTTGTTGTGCAGTGGCTGAGATATCTTTGAGAGCGGCCGAGTCTGGAATCGGTCGCCATTCGAGAAGTCTCAACCAAACTTCTCCAGCAACACGGTGACCGACCAGCGCAAGTACGAATAGCTGGGTGATGACGGGATAAACGTAAGCGAAGAAGGCGCGGTGAAGGCTATAGCGAGTATAGTCCCAGAGATCGGCGGCTGACTCGGCCATACGCTCGCTTACGCTCATGCTTCGTCTTGTGCGCGAGCCGATATAGCCAACGTTCTTTCGAACCAGCTCATCAATCTCATACGAGCAATTGATCTGGTTCAATATCACGGGCAGAGCAATCTCTTTGGGAGTACGGGCATGATGAACAACAGTATGCATGCGTAGCTTGTCGACGAGTTCCTGCTTGCGCGCTCTGACAGCTGCCTCTGCTGCACCGAAGCCTTCGACCACTGTCTTGCCAGCTCTTACTTGGGCGTCTGATAGAGTCAGGGCTATGGGTGTGAGCGATAGGTATTGCATGCGATAGGGGTTGGGTCGGTCGAATGTAACGATCTGTAGCGAGACGGAAGATTCGCCAGGGCAGTGCACTTGGGGGACTGCGTAGTGCTGAGAGTAATAGACCTGGATCGACGACGGGTTGAAATTGAGCGATGGCGCACGCTCTGGGTTCAACGTACCCAAGACTTGCAAGGGCAATCGACCGCACCTATCAAGGATGCGCTCGATGGGGTGAGGGCTTCCGCGGAAGAGCGCACCTCTTTGCAAAGCAATCTCGACATTACGTGCCTGGGTATACGTTAGCCGGAGCATTGACAAGCGCTTTTGTTCAAACTGACATCGACTTCGAGCAAGATGGTCACAACGACCATGTCAAGGTCCGAGTTCTTCCATCCTACAATGACGCCTGCTTTCTCGGAACGAACAATGTCGGTCGGCCAGAAGATGCGCATCAAGGCATTGGGGGCGATCATGAAGGCCTAGAAGGAGCCTCGTCGTTTCAATTGTTCGCGCGCAGAGAGACCTAGAGCTGGACGAGGATGCTTCAGACTGTCAGGAGAGCTTCCTGCCGAGGACACGATTGCACTGACTATATCACTCTCTCGGGCAGCTATGCGCTCGATGGGGACGATCAGGACGACGAAGAAGATGCTAAGGACTAGGAAAGCCTTCAACGACCGAGTCTGCGCATAGGGTTAGCTATGCTCCGCCATGACTTGTGGATGGGCAGCGGGGACGCACAATAACACCGAGGTCCCAGGCAAAGATGGCCAGTTCATACAGACGGGTGACAAGATCCCAGCGAGCGGTAGTGTACCCAGCTACAAAGATGCCAAGCGTGAGGACAGAGAATGGGTGCATGAATTGCCTCGCTCATGACCAGAGTCGATGTTTGTGTCGCGGATGATGCGCGCCCTCTTGGCAGCTCGTCGAGCGAGTATCGAGTATCGAGTATCGAGTATCGAGTGGGAGAGTGCTATGAGGTGGATGCAGAGATGGCTTTCAGCAGCGGAACATGACAATGAATGAGGCAGCGATCATTTGGAAATTGCCTTTCTCCTTGTCAGCGTCCTGCCGCGCAATCGTCGCGCTCGTCTTGCTCCTCCTCCCCAAAATGACGCCGCTACAACTTCCACCGGACGTGGTCTGTGCTCGATGCAAACCTTTGTCCAAAAGCGGAAGCAGCGATTTGTATCAAGCCGCCCTCGCTGCGCGCTTTCACCTTAATCGTACTCTCGTCGACGCGTAGTAATATTCGCATGTTCTATAACTGGTGATAACGAGGTCGTGTTCGCCGCTTGTTGTTTACGCTGTCGGATTCGCTCACTCGCTTGTCAATTATCCTGCTTAATGCTTGATACCTACTATGCAGCAAGCCTGAAATTTCCAACATTAAACTCCGCTCGCAGACATTGATCATTCCACTATAGTCAATGTTTGGACGTGCCCAGCACGGCAATGGCCAAGGTGGTGGTGGAGGCGGTAGAGTATGCTCTTTCTATCAGCAAGGGCGATGCAAATTCGGAGGTGAGCATGGTCGTTGCTCCTCGAATGTTTGCTCTGCATACTGATATCAATCTTCAGACAACTGCAAATTCGAACATCCTGGCGCCAACAGACCACAAGACAGTGGCAACCGATTTAATGCCTTAGGGAACCAGGGCAATCAGTCGAGACCACCCGCTCCTGGACGAGGGCAGCACTACAGCAGTCAGAATACGTGAGTCTGACAAAGATCGAGTGGCGCTGTGCGCAGCTCACCATTCACCTCACTGTCATGGAACTAATTCATTTCAGTTATGGAGTGACGAAAGACGGCATTGAAGGGGATCTTAGAAATGAGAAGCCAAAATGGCCGTTCTCTGCCTACGGTCCAGGCAGGGACGCTCCGATACAGCTGTTCGGAGGGTATCCGCTTGAGATGAGTCCTGAGGAAATGCGGGTCATGTACTATGAAGCTGCTGCAAGCGGTAACCCACAACCCGCGGTAGGTCACTACATATTTTGATCTGTCAAATTCATGCTAATCTGACCACTCGAAAAGATACAAGCCGAACAGCAACTTAGTACACAGTCAACACAACAACTGGAGAAAGTCCTCGGTGATCTGGATGGCGCGGTCAAATACGTCCTGGATGGCGAGAATCAACACCCAAATCGCATAGACTCATGTCAAGCTGCTGTAGGAAATGTCTTCCACAGAGGACGAAAGCTGAATTCCAAATTTTCAGATACTCCGGCTCCAGCAATGGCCCAACCGGCCCAGAATGGAGCCTTTGGGCAACCTTCTGCTGTGGGTAATGCAGTGGCGTTCGCTCAACCTTCAAATCTCCGTGGTGGAGGTAGCTTTGGTCAGGCATCGAGTCTTGGTCAGAAACAGAATCCATTCGCGCAATCAACGAGCACAGCACCAGTTGGTGGGACCTTTGGTGCTGCTTCAACCCTCGGGCAAAAGCCAAGTCCCTTTGCACAACCCACTACACAACCTTCTGCGGGAGGCTTTGGTCAACCTTCGACTATAGGAGCCAAGACTAGTCCATTCAATCAACCACCAGCAGCGGCGGCGGTTGGATTTGGGCAGCCATCGGGACTCGGTCAGGGAAACGTATTCGCGAAGCCTTCAGGTGGAATTCAATCAAGTCCGTTTGCTCAAGCAACACAACCCGGCGTGCAGCCATCACCTTTTGCGCAATCTGCGCAGCAAGGAGGAGGTTCCTTTGGCCAAGTTTCAGCGTTCAACCAGACACCGGCTCCTGTTCAACAAAACAGCACATTTGGGCAGTCTTCTGCTTTGGGTCAGCAACCTCGAGCACCCTTTGGCCAGCCACAAGTACCTACGCAACAGAACTCGGCCTTCGGTCAACCTTCGATTCCTGGCCAAAATTCGCCCTTCGGCCAACCATCAGCGCCTTCTCAACAGAATGCATTCGGACAACCTTCAGGCTCGACACAGCAGATAAATCCATTCAGCCAGCCATCTGCACCAGCGCAACAAAATGGTGCATTTGGACAACCTTCGGCTCCAGGGCAGCAGCAGAATGTATTCGCAAAGCCTTCACCATTTGCCCAAGTCCAAGGGGCTCAACAACAGCAACAGCAGCAGTCACCTTTCGCGCAGGCAGCCACAACGAATACACCAAGTCCGTTTGCTCAGCCTCCCGCGAACACGCAGACATTCGGTGGCGTCTCTATCCAGGCTGCCCCAACACAAGCAGAACCGCAGCAGTCGTACGCAGAAGCAGTGCCTCAGGGTGACTGGATCGTACGCAACGCCAACGGGACAGTCAGAAGCTTCAAAGGTGCGGCTGTACAGTATATGGCCTCAGGAAAAGAGGCAGGAGCAACACAAGAGCCACACTACAGAAAGGTCGACGGCAGCATGGAAAGGATATGGCATCCTGAAGGCAACCCGGCACCAAGGGCAGAGGTAGAAGCACCAGCAGAAGCCTACACTGCTGAAGTTCAAGCGGCGTACATGTTTGTGGCAGAGCAGGGCATATTCAAAGACGGAATCATGCCAGAGGTGCCGCCCAAGTGTGAATGGATCAGGTGGGATATATAGAATCCATGAGCCGAGTCCAAGATGTTAGTTTTAGACCAAGCAGATTATCAAACGCGGAACGATTCCGCAAGAAGACGAGATAGTGTATGTTGGACCACATAGCTTGCCCTGCACAAAAGATCATGTGATAACAGATCCGTGTTCAGACCTCATCATGGAGACATTCGCACATTTCCAAAGATGAGGAGTCGTACGACTTGACAGAAGGCAGAAATTGCGACGACGGAAAGATGTTTCATGTGAAGCCTTGGCCAAAGTTCAGTTGTGCTTCTTCCCCACAAGTCAATGATGGGTGCATGTTGATGTCACCAATTCACACACGATGGAATTACGAAAGCGACTACCTCGCGAGAGGTCCTACATACACGAGAAGCAAGATGTTGCCGCAAGTCTCCAGCCTCCGACATCTCATACCGGTCATGGCGTGTTCAATGGCTTGTTGGCGCTGATCGGATACCTGGTGCAGCTCCTGAATTCAGTCGTCTATGGATCCACAAAGAAAGACTTACGGCAAGAGGAAGATGCAGACGAGGACAAGAGCGATGAAGAGGCGGTACTGCTGGGGCACACGTGTCGTGGATTGATAGCGGTTCGCGAAAGGCGACGCAAGAGAAGCACAGCAATCATTCTGTCTAGCAATCGCGATGGAGAGGCACCGTCTGCATTGAAGCATGCCGCTGCCGCATACCACTTTTTGCGTGCAGAAACACACCCCAGACTTCTTGGGTACGTCGCGTCTCCTCGCTTGACTACCTAAGCCATCACTGATGAAGCCTCTAGCTGTCTCTCATCAGGCCCACCCATCATCCTCGAACACGCCCCCCTCGGCAATGTCCACGCCCTCGTCTCCTCCAAGATCGCATATCCTTCCCTCGCCCATCCATCAATACCAAGCAGACATGCCGCGCTAGCTCTTCCACTGTCCTGGCTCCTCCAAACTTCCTCCGCTCTCCGCTTCCTCCACGATCAGAAAGTCACCCATGGCGCTATATCCCCAAGCTCCCTCTTCCTGCGCTCAGATATGTCAATCGCCATCACAGACTTTACAAAGAGTACCATAAACGGCCACAATAATGGTGTACCTACTAGAGCGCCAAAGGACTTTGCTTTCCCAGTCGATGCACTCCGCTATGATTACTTTGACGGCGAGTTATCTGCCAATTCTCAAGCTTTGGGGCTGGCTATCGATGCGTTCGACTTTGCGACATTGGCGTATACGTTACTGTTGAGGAAGAAGCCGGAGTGGGAACTACCTACAGGTAATGGGACATGGGCGTTGGAAGAGTTGCATGAGGCCTTGGATGAAGCGGCGCCGGAGTTGGGAGATGAGTTTGTGGTCGGCTATGTGGCGCGAGACGCTTGGTGTTTGGTCTATGAGGAGGGCAATATCATACAAGAGGATGTCGTGCATGCCTTGCTTAGACATGGCTTTCAAGTCCAAGGTGACAATATCATCGGTGTCAAGGAGTCTGTCAAAGACTTTGCGGAAGCATACCACCCATCATGGAGGTTTGAGGGCTGAGGACATCGAGACTGTGTACGAACACAAGGCATATGTTCTCCTCAATCCAGCAAAAGAAAGAAGCTACCATCTTCGAGATGACATAGCCACGAAAGAAATCAAGTCAGTTTGCTTGTCGTCTTATTTTCACCCTTCGACGTGTAATCAAAGAGCTCCAGAGTGGTTCGAACACACTGTTCCAGGTTCCGCGAGTCGGTAGGTTTGGTCTGAGAGGATAACCCCCTCAGCCGTTCCACCCTGTTCCGTGAAGAGAGGGATATCTGGAAAGACTATGTGCTCGAGATCGCTGACGAGCTCCTCACTTTGATCCGAGAAGTGAGGAATCATACCTAGGAAAACAATCAGATACCTATCAACTACTTCATTCTTCAAACTCTCTACCAAGTCTCAGCAGGCAACAGACTATCCCCCCTCGACCTCCTATTCCTAAACACCGGATACGCAGAACTAGTCTCACTAATCTGCCTACTCCCCCTCCTCTGCCTAATCGTATTCATATACCCATTAGCCCAAACATCATTCCCAAACACATCATCAATATCATCCATCTCATCCAACACACTCTGCGGCGGCTCCTCATCAAACACATTGCCCAAATCCGCATGCGCGCCAAAGCTCTCCCAGAAATCTAAGAATGCATGACGACGACGCGGACGTCCGAGTTTGGAGTTGCGTTGCCAGAGATATTTGCGTTCGTAGATTGCTATTATGAGGAGCAAAGGCGCGTTCAGGACGCGTACGGCTGTGACGTTTACTTTGTGGAACCAGCGCGGGGTGGTGAGGAACTTTATGGGGAGGAGGATAACGAGGGCGGCGACGTTGAAGGGTGGACGGTAGGCGAAGAGGGTGTCGGATTTTACACCTTCGAAAGTCAGGACGGCACGTCTGAATTGGATTTCGGCGGTGGCGTTCTTTGCGAGATTGGAGTAGGTGTTACTGAGGATGGAGACGAGGATGGTTAGGAAAAGCGTGTTTCCGATAAAAGCGAAGAGAACCATGAGCATTGGTCCTAGGAAGCTGTGGAACTCGACGCTTTTGGAGATGCCTGTGCCGTCGAGTCCGAACCAGATCCATAGCATCCATTTGGAGATTGTCAAGAAGCTGTGGGAAGCGTAGCCGTCTTGGCTCTCGCTGAGCCATCGCATTGCTAGCAGGAAACCTCCGAAACACCATACAGTGACCACTGTAAGGAAGGTAAAGTCTCCCATCATGGTTCGTAAAGCAATGAACAGCATGTTTTCAGGCATGAGGCAGAAGGCTAATCTTGGCATCAAGATGGGGGCTCCCAAGGAAAGAATATCGAGTGCTTGTTTGCCCACTGGTCCAGAGTTGATTCTCAGGCCGTGCATGCGTACTCCGAAATAAGCCAGGTAGATCAACGAGAAAGCAATGTCCATGAAAGCCCACAAGTTTTCTGTGTGTACCGACCACCCATGCTCAAGTACAGAAGCGAGCTCTTCGAGCACCCAGCCAGATCCGTAGATACAGAAGATGAACTCTACTGTTGTGAATTGCAAGTGCCCGGGTCCTATCTCCGTGGCTTTGTTGAACATTGTCAGTAAATAAAGAACGAAGAGCAGGAGGAATTGGGCAATCTCGATGACTTTGCGATTGCGAGGTACAATGAGACGGTACTGATTGAGTATCGGTGCTTTGCGTGGGTCATACAGAGAGATTCTGCGATTCTTGTATCGATCTGGGAGGATATCGATAAATGCAGTCGGCGTGTAAATAACACGACCTCTGTAGACAGCGTCGACAATCTTCTGACAAGCGGACGCTGCCAAGAAGCTTTTTGACTCTGAGATGATGGCTACCTCAAGAGCTGTCAATACTCGCTCACGACCTGACTGGAACCAGCCCTCTGCAAGTGCAGAGTGAGCCCTCTTGCCTCGATCGACCGAGGGTGGAGCATTCTGGAATGGCTCGAATCCAGATACTAGCACATTGGCAAGTGCTAAAAGACCTTCGCGGCCACTATGGTCCTCATCAAATCGGCGAAGGATACGACTGGCCAAGACTTCGCACAGATTCGCACGTGTAACGTTGACAGTCTGATGATGAGCCTGGAAGGACTGTTGGCGAAGAAACTGGACACGATTGACCAATAGACACCATACTGAGAGACTATCAGATTCAATCCGAGATATTCAACCGATCTACTCACCAACGGACACATCGTCTGGGTCGTATAGGTGATCAAGCAAAGGTCGCACTACAGCAGTGTTCATGCGTGGACTTTTTAACTGATCGAGACTGTAAGGATCATCTGTACACTGTCAATGCATTGCTGCGTACAAGGAAATGGATATTATGTACCAATGCATGCAATCACAAGCCTTCTGATCCGGTGAATAGTCGTATAGATAGGTAATTGTCTGTGAGGATTGGGTTGCCAGGGTATGCTGTCTCTACGAGGAGGATAGCAACCATCATCATCAGCTGGCTCAGCATCGTCGTCAAGAAGTTGCTGCTGTTCTTCGCGCGACATTGCAAGCCTAACAGCCTCGCTAATGCTACGGGAAGACTGTTCTCTCGCAGAGAATCTATCGGGCAACGATGGTCGAAATCTTTCAGGCGAAGGAGTCTCCATGGTAATATGTTTGTCGCCATTACCGTTGGCATAATTCGAAGACTCGCCATTGTCGTCGTTGAGAGGCGGCGTCTGGCTGCGGTCACGCTCGTGAGGACTCGCGAGGTCCGGTGCCAGATTATATTGTATGGCACTCGGACTCGGGCTTGGCCTGTCATCCATGTGTGCGATTGTTATGCACCCGTTGCTCAATGGCGCGAAAATATGGTTGATGATGATGTTCTTGTCCCAGTCGCATAACCATTGCTTGCTTCACGGAATGACATGAACGTCAAAGCTTTTGTCACTGCCGAGATACGCAAATGGTGGACTCAGCTGTTAGCAACATTCAGCCGACACATATTTAGATAAGGGCTTATGTTCGAGTGAAACAATTCTAGTTGCATGCATGAGCATCGACCGCGAATTTTTCGAGCATACCGAGAAGTATTTGTTCTCGTCTGAGCATGAAATCGCGCACGCTGCGAGAAATAAGTAGGCCACAAATCTCGCAAGAATGTGGAGAGGAAGAGCTACGATGGGAACGCACCCTAGCTGATCGTTGGGAACGACGCGGAGTTTTGTACCTCCACTCCTCCACGGCGGCCAACTTGGCCGAGATAAGATGGAAGTAAGTTGTCCGGCCGCCGCTTAGGGTCATCGATTGGTCTACATCGAGAGTCCGCCTAAGTGAACATGATCTTATTACCCCATGGCTTGAAGATCTCGGAAGACTCTAGAAGAACAGCATCGCAGTGACTCAGGCCTCGTACTTGACTTATCATTGTATACATATCAGTCGTTCGCCCACAGGATATCTGAGCATCTTATAATCCCCAATTGCTCCGCAGAAACCATCCTGACATGTCCGCTTCCCCAGCCCCCTCGTTATACCTGTCACCGTCCAAGGCGGCACTGCAGTTGCAGTATGTCGGCAAGAGTTTGGCGGATGTCCCGGCTCCTGCAGCAGTCCTGGATCTGGCTCCAATCAGAAGAAACTGCAAGGCGATGCTCGAGGCGACTAGAGCTCTTGGGTTTGGATTCCGAGCCCATGTCAAGACACACAAAGTATGCTGTTAAATTAGCCTTGGTACAATGAGACGGCTGACACCCCTCCAAGACAACTGAGCTCACACGCCATCAAATGGGCCACGAGTCACAAGACATAAGATTAATCGCTTCGACTGTCTCGGAGATTGAAAACCTGGTTCCTTACTTGCTCGAAAGCAAAGCTCGAGGAGCGACAACCAATGCAAGTTTGCGGAATTAGGTACGCAGGATGATTCTAACTTGTGCAGATCCTTTACGGCTTACCAGTTGCTGTCTCTCACATCCCTCGTCTTGCAGCCGTCGCACGAGTTCTTGGTGAAGGGGTTGTTGGACTGTTTGTTGATCACCCCGAACAAGTCAAACACCTCGCAGCATTGAATGAGTCTTTCTGGCCTGGAACTGTGCCTCTTTTCATCAAGATTGCAGCTCCTATCTCGCGAGCCGGACTGCTCCCCACCTCTGGTTGCATCAGTCCTTTGGTGGAAGCTATCGTGTCAGCACCCAAGGTCCGCTTGGTGGGTGCCTATGCTCATATGGGTGAAAGCTATAGATCGAGCAGTCCAAAGGAAGCGCTGGATTTTCTCATGCATGAATTGAAGGATGCCAAGGCTGGAGCGGACCGCATCATGGAGAGTCTACCCAAAGGATCAACCGAGAAACTCACAATCTCTCTCGGTGCAACGCCCACAGCTACTGCAGTACAAAATGCCCTGATTGAGAACGAATGGAATCAGAAGTTCCGGACTTATGTCGAAGAGGTCAAAGGAAGCTACGATATCGAAATACACGCTGGTGTATACCCTGTGTTGGATATGCAACAGCTTGCAACCCGCGCTCGACCGACGACATCAGATGGCAAACCGCTGCTCTCGGCAGAAAACCTTGGTTTACGGATCCTCGTCGAGGTCGCGAGCACCTACAGCGAGAGAGAGAAGCCAGAGGCCTTGATAGCTGCTGGCTCGATTGTGTTCGGTCGAGAGCCATGCAAAAGTTATCCTGGGTGGGGTGTGGTGACACCTTGGAAAAGCAATTCAAGTCCTCTTGATATCTCCACAGTATATGATCCTACGGGAAGCAAGACTGGCTGGATCGTCGGTCGAATCTCCCAAGAACATGGTAATCTTACTTGGGAAGGACCGACAGAAGGGATACGTACCCTCAGCATTGGCGAGAAAGTTATGGTTTGGCCAAACCATGCTTGCATGGCTGGTCCAAACTTTGGCTTTTACATGGTAGTCGATGGTGATAGTCCCACACCGGACAGAGTTGTTGACGTTTGGACTCGCTGGCGCGGATGGTGAAAGGGACATCTTTGCATAGAGCACTTCAGATTGTTCACATTCACAATATGCAGTTTATGGAACCTCGGCACATTCTAGCTCACCTCGACGCGTCGAACTCCAGGCCTTTCTTGATTAACCACTCGGTCAGCGACTAATTTAATTCGATGGTCTCGGAACGTTGAGCGACGTGTGTCACTGCTATCTCCGGTTCTTTGCTCAATACGTGTAGAATATGTGCGGATTCTTGAGGTGCCTGAAGCTCTCACAGACACGACACGCTATGCTTCTCACCTATATGTAGCCACGGAGCGCTTGGCTTTGTTGTATAATGGTGTCCAAGCCTCGCATGGTGTATGTTTCCCGGAAGGAGCTCTTGTATGCAAACGCTGTTTCGGGAAATGACAGCTCCTTCCTCCAGACTACAACCCGACACTCTGATCGATCTTGGACTTGGCAAGGTTCAATGGTAGCGACTTCCATAGTTAGCTACCATTGTTGTACTCTGCCAAACTCGCACCTGGCAGTCTTGCACACCAAAGCCTCGTCATTCTCTGCATTGCTTCTGTTCCCTTCATCGATCGCTTCTTCCTCGTTGCTTTTGGATAGGGCGTAGTTGTCTTGTGCCGGCAAGATGTCTCTGCTGAGTCGCCAGCAGTCGCTCGATGGACGTACCAGCCGTGCATCGATCACCTCTGCACAGTCCAAAGCACTCGGGCCGCAGGCGAACCAAGCCTCGAGCGAGAGACTCAACGCCGCGGCTCCTGGAGTGCTCTCTATGCTCAAGACATCGACCGACGTTGGTGATGTGGGCGAGTTCTCTCACAATACAGGCCGTCTTCCTGCCGCTCTTCGTCCAACCCATCAACGAAGAAATAACCCTTCCCGCCTTTCCAACTCGTCGAACCATTCAACATACACGTACAACACCAGTCATAGCCGCGCACCTTCTCATGGTTCGCGAAAGGCTTCCAACGCCCACAATCCCCAGGGGTGGGATGCTGTATCGGTTATCTCTGGAGGTACAGGAAACGGCAATGGCGGTCGACACGGCTCGATGGTCAGTCTTCAGACTGTGGCAACGATGCCACCTTACGACAGTAGAGCCCCTTCGATGTCCCGAGGTCCTCCTAGGTCGTCACCGTACGGTTCTCAGATGCCATACGGCGATGGCCGTTCCTATTCTCTGACACACTCCTATCATGCGCCTTCGCTCAAACCTGCCAAATCTGTGACAAGTCTGAAGAGTCAAGGCGGTGGGCAATTTCAGCCTCCACGTCCACCATTCGCTTACCCTGCGAGACTCAAGCGCCCTGGTTTCCGGACCCCTTCTCCAGCTCTGAGCGACTACACTGGCGGTGCATACCAAGGCTCTCATGGTCAGATTCAACCATTCGAGCATGATATGAAGTTTGCACCTGAGCAAGCCCAGGACTACTATCCTCCGAACGAGCCTCTGTACTATCCTCATCATGCACAACCCCAAGAATCGTACCAGGGTACCTCATCAGGCAGAAACTATGGACCAGCACCTGGACGAGCCATGCATCGATCAAATTTGCCAGCATACAACAACGACTATCCTTATGGACCACCGCCAATACCGAGACACGCAAACCAGCAGCAGCCAATGCCGCCTGTTCTTACCCAGCACGGGTACCAAGATGCAAAGTATTATGGTCAATACGCAGCTCCAGTCCATGCTCTACCTTCGCTGGGCTACGGATCAACGTCAAGAGTGAGTACACCGGGTATGGACGTTATGCCGCCGTCTTCGAGACAAAGCTCCTCGTCACCGCCATCGTTCAATCCTCCCACACCAAGAGATACGACTGCGGTTCACATCACAATCGACCCAGCTCTTGTTCATTCCGCACTCAGTGAACTCCCTGAAGAGCATTCTGAGTACAAAAGCGTCCAAAGTTACCTCAAATACACAGAACAGTCGACCTTGTACGAACTTGATGCAACTCAACCCGCCGCCATCGAGCTTGAAGCAAGCACACCCACGGCTAAACGAACTGGCTTGGTGCAGCGCATCAGGAATCTCTTGGAGGATCGCGCTGCAAGTCAAGAATATCTACCGGCTGGCCAAACACAGTCACCGCAGGACATCTCAAGACTCGTCGTCCCACAGCCGTTCCAAGATTGGAGGCAAGAACCTGTCGAGTTGTCTGCCAGCAAAAGATCATCAGTCTGTGAACCTGTTGAACTTGATGTCCCTGCCAGGATTACCAGACAATTGATCCAGGCAAACACCGCACCCTCTTCTTCAGAGCACAACACAACAACTTCGCTTGTGCCTGAAGAGACGGTAAAGGCAAAGAGCGATGGAGCAGTCAAGGATGTGTCTCCGATGCTCTCAACTCAAGAGGCTGAGTTGGCTCCGGGCGTTGGGAAGACAAGCCGTGGACTAAACTTCAACTATTCGGACAATCAAACCTACTCTTCTTCGGGACTTCTGCAGTCCAAGAATGCTGAGTCAGGCGTGCACATCACCCTCTCGGAGCCGCTTACTTCGTCGAACACCATGGATCAGCTTGAAACCAAGGTAGGCGACAAGACGAAGGAATACACTGAGGAGTTTCAAAGTGGAGGCGTCAGCCCTCTACGCCCTGACGAAAGGGTTATCAGAGATTCAGTCGTGAGCCCGATGGCCACCCAAACTATACAGGCAACAGCGATCCATGCGCAATCAAAGACTGCAGACGCATACTCGGAGCCCGCTATAGATGTGCCAGCTGATCGCACATCAAGACAGACTTTTGACACCACAGAAATAACATCCGGTTTGTCTCTACCGACAGGTCCATGTCAAACCTTCGAGGCCATTCCTTCATCGAATCATGTCACAGACGTTGCTATCAAATTCTCAATACCACATTCATCAGACTACGGCCGAGCTCAGTTAGTAAACCTCAGCAATCTGTCAGACACCCCAGTTCGGATCTCGACAGAGATCAAGAAAGCTCGGTCCGCTGAGGATCACAGCTTGCAGAGCTCGTCGCTTCCAAGCATCGAAAAGGTGGCTCCCCTTCGCATCAGAAGGATGGAAAGTTTCTTGCCCATGGCCACTGGCACGGAGGGCGCAGACCTTTCTTCGTTCATTCGTCGCTCGTTTCCTCGTAAAAGATCGATGTGGTCTACCGCCCAACCAGAGTCGAAAAGACTGTCCACTGACTCCACAACTGATCTCGGGCCGGCCATGATCAAGACACGACCTGGCTATCTACCTGATCTCCACGAAGACTCAAAGGAGGATATAAGTACGAGAAATACCCGGTCTTCTTACGCTGGCTTGAGACTCTCCAACTCGCACTCGCTGCATTTCAAGCCTGTGAAGCGAACGGAGGAGACATTCCAGTCAAGCTATCTATCACCACGTCCTCCAAGGATGTCACTTTCAGAATTGAGGGAAATCCCTTCTTTGAACTTCAGCCGAATGGATCTTTTCGACAAACTGAATGAGGAGCTTGAGACGCATATTTCTCGGTCATCGAAGTCTCTGGCAGGTGTCAAAGGTGAGAGAAGGTCCGGAACGCGCCGTTCGTCGCTTCTGCAGCCAGCATCGACTAGCGAGATTCGCGAGAGGTACACCAGCTTCTTCACTGACCCAGATGACTCGGAACTGCTCGAAAACTCTACTACTGAGGCCCTTGACACAGATAATCGAAATCAAACACTCCGGAACAACCAGAATGATGCAGACACCGTGTCCACCAGATCTTTTGCCCGATCTGTCAGACCAATCTCTACACAGCAAATGATAGGCATGACTTCGGAGGTCAATCGTCTCCCAGTCCCCTCTGTGGCCGCTCTTTCAGAACGTCTGTCAACACTGCTACCTACAATCAAGCATTTGCATATCGACTGTGCCCCTGGAGACCAGACAGCGATGAACGACGCCATTGACAGGATACACCACCTCGGACGATCTGATGGCGAGGCTGCTCCACTCCTACGATCCTCTACGGGACTCCATCAGCTAGCCGCCATTGCAGACAACATTGCTACGAACGGCACGCACGATTCTGCTCTCCTTGAAGTGCAGAAGAATGGACGATTGATGAAAGAGCTCCCACCACTGCCGGAAGATAGCGAGAAGTTCTCGCTGAGCGACTCTGGTCTTGACCGTAACACTACCCTCATTACTGATGGCTTGACCAGTATATCGGAGCTTGAGCCACCAAAGCCTGCCCTGCTCCGCGGCAAGTCTCTCAGCGGTATCAACAGCAAAGACGAGGACCTATATCCTGGGTTCGCATCTAGACACTCTCTTGTTCTGTCGACCCAGAATCTAAGACCTTGGAATCTTGATGAGAACTACCCTTGGTGTGGTAACAGCCCTGGCATCAAGATCGACTTCCCTACACCGGTACTCCGCCGTCATTCCTCTCCACCCAAACTCGTGAACAGACAAAGTCGAGGTTCTGCTCAGACCAAGAGCGAGACCGAGGAAACTTTGGACCCAGACAGCACTCTTCCATCATCACCCATAGTATCCAACCCCGAAACTGTCACTCCCACTGTTCTGACAATTCACGACCGCAAGTCGTCCAAAAAGTCACTGATTGGATCCCTGTCTCGTCGCATTGGACTCAACACTCGTGTCCAGTCAGGCAACAGCGCTCGAGAAAGTGGTCTCGCGGAGAGAGCTAGCCCTGGCGACAGATATCCATACACAAGCTTGCAATCCCCTCACACGCTTAACATGGAAGTGCGATCGTTCTTCTCAGATTCTACGGAAGAAGAGCACGATGAAGAGAGACGCGGTTCCTTCCGCAAACAAATCACCTCGTTTCGAGCCAAATCGTCGAGAGTTCCAAACGGACATGCTTCTGTGCCCTACTCACAGTCGTTGGATATTCACCGTGGCCGATCTCTAGATCAGTACGGACGACCTTCGCAGGCCCACACCACCGGCTCGCTCTATGACGACCGCTTCGCAGAGCCTGTTGCACCTCAAAACTACGATGGCATGGTCGGCATGGGCCGCGTCGAGTTCAGGGTCAAGCGTGTCGCAGAACGTCTGAGACACATGTGGTTGAAGGGTGGTGAGATGATCCGTTCTCTCAGCCAGCGCAGTCGTCCAACGAAGAGGCAGCACAGGGAAAGAGAGATTGAAGTCGACAACTGGCTTGCGGATAGCCTCTACTCCCGCGATTGAGATAGTGAACATATTGGTATGGACTGAGTGGGTTGAAGGTTATTCATCGCATTCATGTGCAATATGTCTATACGCTACATAGTACCTTTCGAGACAGGGCAGGGAAGACTGGACGGCACCACGAGACCACGAACCAGTAAAGGATATACAGCATCTGTACATAGCATCTTCAGAATGAAAACAAGCATCTCAAAAAATGGCCATTCCGTATGCTAAGCTCTGCCATCCCTGCCCTCTATCCATAGGTTAAGCAGAGCAACAACAGGCCGCATCAGGGCACAATCATATCTCGAACCAAAAGACCCAACGCAGAGAGTCGATGAAGATGAATCGCAGTACCACCGCTCCAGCTTTGGAGAAAAAGACAATTGCCGACCCTGCTCCTTGGGACCCATACCGCTCTTTTGGTACACGATAAGGTTTCCCAAGTTTCGACTCTGGCGTCATCGTTGCAGCGTCACCGTGTCACGCAAAAGTCAAAATCTCCCTGGGAACGCATGGGTCTTGAGAGGCTCAAGTTGCCATGAACCTGAAAAGATCATCCTTCGGAAGTGTGCTAAAGATTGTGACATGGAGATTTTATTGTTCGGAAAGAGAGGAGTGGATACAAGGAGATGTCCGACAAATGGAGCATTGAGTTGATTTGACAGCTTCGGATGAATTATTGATTGAATTCTGATTCTGGTGATGAAAGAGGCGCGAGTGATGAGTGGATCATGCTTGCAAAGATACTGCACTACGAATCTGCAAGAGGTCCCTCTAGCCAAGGTGTGGTATTGTTTACTTGGCTTGCTCGTTTGCGTACAGCAAGGTCGTGTTTACCGACCTCCTCACCGGAGATAGTGTCAGGAGTGGATGGTCGTCAGCGCTCCGCGGACATTCCAAGCATCCCCACTCTTATCATCATGCATGTCTACAGTTTGCGATCATCGTGATGGAAGTTGAGCCGCGGAAAGGACCTGTATACAGCACGTGGTTGGGGTTTTGGAAATGAACCCCGCGCGATTTCTTGGGCTCCCTCGTCCCCGGGTATCCACTCGTTGCGTTGCGACAAGATGATCCGCGGACCCTTTGTAAAAGTTTTGTTGTATTGACCGGCAAGCTGACATATGGGATCATGGAAGGTATCGCGAAGCTTTTGTGGGAAATTGAGGAGATAACTTGGGGCATTCGGGTTTGCGATCGGCGAGCCAAAGAGACATTTCGTTCATGCTTAGTGACCGGTGCTTATGCGAGATGTTGACTACGGGAGAGACACGAGACTGACGACTCGGGTTTAAAACTTTCTTGTCTTGGTTCTCGGAACACGATCTGTCACGATACCCAGGTACATTGTGCATGCAATGTACAAAATCAGCAAACCGAGAGGATGCGAGGGCAGGAAAACGACGTTGGCGATAAGGTTGTCTTTTTGCATTGGGAATTCGCTAGACACAGACCATGGAACCCTTGATACTATTCTCCGTTGCAAAACTTGCGCCATGCGAGACTCACGTTAGTTTCCACACAATTGTCGAGGCGTTGGGCCTCAGGATTCAGGAAGCAAACATAGAGAAATGGGACATGGCTGAAGCCGTTACAGGGGAGAGGCTCGATAGAGAAACAGTTCATGAAGCGGATCAGTAATGTGTGTCAGATTAGGCAGGGCTTGCTCCCTACAGGCACTGTCGAGAAAGGCCGGTGTACCTGTTTATGCAGTAGTGCAAGGTGGCTCTCCTTCGGCGAGCGACTTGAGAAGCAGGTCCAGATGTTTCGCTGTGCCCGTGTCTTCCGATTCAACTGATTGTTGTGTACAGACGTTTCACTGCTGAGATCGAAATCATCACCAACTTCCCAATCCGATAGGTTTATGATGAAGTCTTGTCTCAAATCCCATCGAACCCCAGGCACACGGACAATGGTATAGCCAAAATTTGTCAGGGATCGACATCACTGGAGGTTGGCCTGGTTGGGGATGGGGAACACGCGGCCAAAGTCCATGCAGTAACCCAAAAGATGCTAACCAAACAGGTGGAGCATGCGTGTGCTTTGCCATGTGCAAAGTAGAGAAACTCGAGGCGGGAACCGAGGGACCCATGGCGATCTCCCATACTAGCGGCCGCGGAGGGTCTCAGGAACAACCGACGTCATGGTTTTGTCGCAACAGCAATGTGGTCTGCATCGGGGAGAACTCCTTTCTGCCTCGCTCTCCTCATAAGAAGAAGAACTTGGGTGACAATGCAATAGATGTGGCGCTCCCGACCGTTCAAACGTCGGTCTAATATTCCTAAAGCAGGAGCATGGAGCGCAAAGGTGTTGACCCCTTGCTGGCATATCATCAGTTCTAGATTCTGCGATCTGCAAGCAGTGTCAATAGTCCATTCGCGTGGTGCCTTAGTAAGGTTGGGTTTTGGCGAGCGGTATGAGTAAGTTGACGAGGTGCAGATACCAGCATGTTACCTGCTCCGCTGCGCATCCGGACAACGGACAGAAATACCCTCCGTGCGCTAAGGGATTGACATGTGGCACCTGTATCACGATGGTGGTGCAACATGATCATAGATCGCCGAATCTGCCACTGTCCGACCGAGAGCTAGTGTCCTGCCCTAGACCATCGAGTGCGCAAACTCCAATTTTTGGAGGCTGAATTGGCGTTTGGGGCATTATCACAGTCGATTCTTTCTTTCCTGTGGCAGTCCAACGTCACCATGAAGTTGTGTTCTGTATGACTCGAGCTCTTGGACGTCTTGGACGTAAACTCTAACCTGCGTTCTCTCGCTTCTTGAGGGCCGTTGGGAGCAGCTAACGGGTATGCTTAAAGAATCGGTGTGAGTGGCGTCTAAATGTATCAGCAAAATTTCGCTCGGTGAATAGATCAACGCATCTCTCGTGGAGTGGTACTTGTCATGATCTCCACACACCCACGCAATGGTATTCCTTCCATGTAGCCTTTACCCTTGGCAGTATCATCTTTCCAACGACAATTAAAAGTCAATTGATAGTTCCTTTCGGCAGCGGACGAGTCGAGATCCGGCAATCGTGAGTTTAGAATGCTGGGACTCCGAGAGCTTCATCATCGGACTTAAGAACATCCTCACATGAAGTGGCTGAGACCAGTTTCTTTCGATATGGAGTGCGGAGACGATGTTTTACGGATCATGCAAGGGCCAGATGACAATGCAAGTGCAGCCGACTCGATCTGCCCAGCACTAGAGGCTCTCAAAGACAATCGCAGCTTATTATAATGGAAACTCCCAATGAAGAAGTTCTTTGCATAATGACAAACCATTCCAATTCTTGGGTGTTCTTAAACCTTCGTCGTGGATCCACTTCATCACATCCGGTCCGGGGTCAACAGCATGATTGTTTAATGTTCTCAAAGATTTGTGGTATAGAACTATGATTTACATGCAGGCATACCAACCTCGAAAAGGCTAATGTATGATGTCAAGTCAAATATGATGCTGGCAATCACTCCTTCCATCCTCGGTAGATGATCTTGCTTCCGTAAGTCTGACCCTTCTTTAGGAGCACCATCTTCTTCCAGTCGTTGTTGTTCGCAGCGTCAATGTAACGACTGGGCTCAACGCAGAAGCCGGCACGCGCACCACGTGCAGGTGCACCGTCGACAGCCGGAATGTCGATGTACTTGCCAGTGTAGAACTGGAAAGCGGGCTCGGTGCTGAGAACCTCGAAGTGAAGCTTTGTGGTAGGGTGGAAGAACGAGCACAGCTTGCGGGGAGTCTCGGATCTCGTGTCCAGAGAAACGCTTGATGGATCGGTGTTGATGACGAAGCAGTGGTCGATATCAGGGTCGACAGCTCCTAATGTGAAGGCCTTCTCGGCTTCAACACCAGGGAAAGCCTTGACTTCGCCGGTTGGAATGTCGGTGTCGTCGACAACCATGTGCTGATCGGTCATCAGAGTAGCTTCCGTGCCCTCGATAGTTTCACCACCAGAGATGTTGAAGTAGCTATTGGCGACTTGTCAGTGGGTATCGTCATACTGCACATGAGCAACTTGCCTGTGATTGGTGACCGAAACCACTGTCTCCTCAACTTCATCTCCAACGAGCTCAACCTCGTACTCGATCTCGAGTTGCGTCTTCTCTACGCCTCCCTCGTTCTTCTTGCTTCCAGCATACCAAACGCGGAGCTCTACAGTTCCGGGATAGCCTTCTTCGCCGTCCTTGCTCAGATACTTGAACTGAACAGCTTCTGTGCCGTTCCTGTTGACAGGGATGGGTCCTTCGAAGGTCCTTTTGCCCCAGCCATCCGGGCCTCCGTGCAGGGCATTGGGTCCGTTGTTTGCAGTGAGTTTGTACGACTTTCCGTTCAAGTTTTGAATCTCGGCGTTCTTGATGCGGTTCGCGACACGTCCAATCGTCTCACCAAAGTAGGCCGAGTTTTTGGTCTGGTAAGGCTCCGCGGTAGGGAAACCTTGAACGATGTTGTGCCCCGCAATGCGAAGCTCCTGGATGATGGCGCCCTGCGGCAAGAATGTGAATGCGTCTTCGGTCGACATTCTGCTGTATGAATGATCTGGTAGATGTCAAGTGATTGAAATTGTAAAGTGAGAGGTGAAAGGATTCAAGACGATACGTAGAGACATATCTTGCGATCACGGGTAAACAGGATTCTTGCCTCATGTCACCGCAGCGCGACAGATATTAGGCGGGGGAGCTCTAGTGGGGGCTCGACGTGGAGGGGTACCAAAGCCGCCCTTTAGCCTAATTTTGATGGACACCTCACGTGGAGGCTCTCCTTGACGTTCGCGAAGCATGCTGTCATGGACTCCATCAAAAGGCCAAGAATACAAGAAGACAAGAGCGACACAACAGAAGTGCCGACCCTGCTGTACTTCGGTGAGCGCTGCTGAGCAACAGGGTTATTGCCAAGGAGACTGGCCTGCAGGACTTGGATCAGAAACTGCGTGGCTCACCAGCAAGGATTCGCGATACGATACGGGACGGCTTTTGTTTGAGATTGGCAAAAGCTCCGCCTTCTCGGCAACAAGCCCGTATAAATTATTACACGCGTACGAGGCCTCGTTCCACTGCAGCAGATGAAGCGCGAAACTCAGTATTTTTCTATGCCATCCTAGACACTTAACACGGCTCAATGTTGCTCCAAAAATGATGGTGCTGTCATGATCAGTAAACGGGAAGTCCACTGATAAGAAGAACGAACAAGATCTTCGATCCCGCAGGAACGGATTTATATCCAGCATCTAACTCCGTCCGACGTCAAAGACATGTCTGGCTCCGAGGAGCTTTTTTCTCGATGACAGCTGTTGCTGCAGCCACCATATTATGATGTGTCTGAGGAGGAGGCATCGCCTCTCTCGATACAGATGTCTGCACGTTCGAAGCGAAACAACTCCCTCTGTTTGCGCGACGTATTAACAGCTGCACTAGATTCCTCGCATGTGGCTGTGTGTACGACGCATTGCTCCAGTTTCCAAAGAATGTCGCATTTGCGCATGGGGATGGCGGGACACAAGTCCGACAGATCGCATGCAGCGTCCTTGTGTACGAAAAATCACTCTAGACGGCACAGAAATGAACATGACATAGAATCTGTGACTTATGGATCTGAGCGATCATCTGAACCATCTATAATACAAGCCGCGCAAAACAATTTTGTGCTGAGAGGTGCGCCAGAATCCACCGTTATTTGCTGCCAAACGACCATTCCTGCTGATTCGCGCACCCATGAGAAGCAAGGACTCCAGTACCATAAAACCTTGCTAGTGTAAGACATGTTGATCGTGACCTGTGAGATGCTTTCCAGAACATCCCAATCGTGAAACCCTTGTTGATTGAGCCGCACATGGTGACTAATCCAGAAAGAGGCGATAATTAGAATAATAATGATACAAGGCTGACGTTTTGATCACGTCGTCACCTGCACGAATTTGCTGAAGTCGACTTCCATTGGCTCGTTCATCCAGTCTTGAGTATTGAAGGTTCCAAATGCTTGTGCTGGCGTGGCGTATTGTGGACTGCCGAAAGGCATCATGTTGTCATATTCTAGTTGAGGCTCGAAGGCGTTGCCGTATGCCATCGCGGCCTGGAATCCATCCTGTAGTTGCGGGGCCTGCATGGCGACTTGTGATCGCATAAGATCGGCAGCCGAGAACCCACGCATGGAGAACTGATCTTGCCAGGATGGCATGAGAAAATCGTCGTTGTTGATGGCTTCATTGTGTAGTGGCGAAGGTTTGATGGGCGATCTTAGTTGCGATAATTTAGGCACGGGGCTTTGCGAGACCGGCGATGGTGATGCGCTTTGGTGGAATGAGAACTTCTCGTCGAAGACGGGCGCCGCGTTTGTCGGCATTGGTGTGCTGTGTACACTCGAGTGCGAAGAAGTGCGAGCGTGTTTGCGAGGAAGACCATGATCTGATTCGGAACTGATCGAACTTCTTCTGGCGATGAACGAAGCGCCCTCTGAGATTAACTTTTGTTGTAGCCTTTGGCAATCCTCCTCGAAATGTTCGTGCTCGCCGCTACCATCATTCTTGGGCTCCAGAAGGTCCAGCCTAGCCAGTATGTCATGGGTAAGAGGTTGCCCGCTGGCTTCTGACAAGGGCTTGCCAGGCCAGATGTTGGCATCGACTAGGCGACGATATGTTTCTTGTAGACCAGCGACAAGTTGTGCTTGTTGTTGTTCGAGCATCTCCACGTAACTTTTGGAGGTCAGCTATGAAGCGGCATTGACAAAGAGGAGAGACATACCCTTTGGGATAGATCTTGTCGTGAGACTTCTTCCTCTCGCCAAAGACACAGATAGCATTGTCTGCCTTGCATCTAGTGCACGGGTGGCTGCCATCACACTTTGACTTCTTCAGACGGCATCGGTCACAGGCCTTGCCGACACGCTTCCTTATGCTGTCTGTTGAGTCCGAAGACGATGTCCTACGGACAGCTGATGGTGGCATTGTGTATGAGGATACCAGGTGTGATCAAAGTAAAAGCAACAATGATTAGGTGGGACTGGGCAACAAATAGAGCCAGAATGTCTAGGTGTATTAACAGTTGAATTGATATGATCGAAGCTTGACGCAAAACGGAGACTCCCCTTGCGTGACGTGGGAACCCATCAAATATATGTAAGAGAAGGATGGGTCACCAAGCGTTGGCAGTAAGACTTGATGACGCTATCCCATTGGAGGCCACATGGTGAAGGCCTGTTAAGATTGTATGGCCTGACTAATCGTAAAACTGTTTCAGTCCGCGGAGGCAGGATTTAGATTGACGCCGATTTGCTTGGTCAGACTCGAGGATCATGATGGGAAACGGACAACAAGCTCAAGAGGAAATTCGGCCGATGGATCGGAACCGGGAACATCGAAAAAGCGAGAGCAAAACCCGCCGAGTCATGCAACGGCGGGCTAATGATACGGATAAAGCTTGTTTCCTTGGTTCACCAAGTGCACCTTCGATCGCAGGGCTGTTGTCGTTCCGAGGCAATCGTTCACGATATACAAATATTGAAATCCTTCTCCCTCTTTCTCCCTTCAACTGCAATGGATGGCTTTTCTGTTAGCAGGACCGGTGAGGCAATGTGCCCCCGACTACTGCAGGAGAGCGTGTGCGAAGGCAGCAGGCAGCAAGATAACCAGTACTTACAGGGTACTAACATGCCTGTCTTGTCATCTTCGTGGCTCATCAGCATCCTTCAACATGTTTCGGTTGTCAATCGTGGGGCACTGCTTGATTCCCTGGCGTTGCCAAGTGCCAGTCACTCTGCCAATACTTGTCTACGACTTGTGCCTGCTGTCATATGATTCACTGCGTCGCATGTCGCATCCAAGTGTTTGCTACGTTCTGACTTGCGATCGGGAGCTCAAGCATGCCTTGATACTGGCGAAACTCACAGCAAAAGTCCTTGCTGTCCCATATCAAGATGTATGGACAGACGATTTTGGGTGGTACCCGGCTGCAGCTTCCATTTTGGTTTATCGATTTCGAAGGAACCTTCCATAGCGTGCTTGTCAAGAACGCAAGCCACTGGATTTCTGCAAGAGTAGCCACACACACATTTCTCGCGTTAGGTACGACGTTCTGCTCTGCTTCGGGCCCCGGCCGACTTTTACATCCGAGTTTTTTGCACAAGTCCCGACTGGAGGAATGACGAACATCCGCACCCGCAAACCCGTCTGCCAAACTTCGAAATGATGAAAATCAGGGGTGTTCGAAGGGTCGTAGAAGGAAGCACTGCCCGTCCCTCTAATCCCATTCTGACAACGATCATCTTGCGAGCCAAAGGTAGGCAGCCATACCGGACCCTGGAATGCTCCGCTCGGTCACACCCGCCTCCGACGGCATCGCGCAAATTTCAGGCCCCTGTCCACTTTTTTTCTCTGCTGCCGACTATCCATCATTATTGAGGCCGACCTTCGCATCGAGCGGCGGTGACTTTAGTAGCTTCATGGATAGTCGGCCCCGACAAGGTTGCTTGTCCGATCGGCCTTACTGCTGTCTTCCGACGCTTCAAACCTCTGATTGGCACGGGTGCCGAGCGCCGATTCATTCTTCTCGCGATGTGTTGTTCATATCTTGACTGTTCGATTCGAGACCCATACCAAGAGAAACACTCCAGCTGCTGGTTACTGATCTCGTTGAGCGACGATACTGAAAGCCCTAAATAGGGCAAGAGCTCATGGGCTGACTGTTGCGTCTGCTCGCCTATTTTGTATGAAATTTTTGAGTTGCTCGTTCTCGGAATACGCACCCAAAGCGTAACATTAATGAATCCTTCGAGGTTCGGCAACACAATATCATTTGCGGCTCTTCATGGAGCCCTCCCTGCGGTACTGTCGACTCCCGAGGCCAACAACTTACATTATCCATGATGGGAACTCCATCAATATAGATGAGAGACCAGAAAGCCCCTCTCGTGCTTCTCGCTCGCTCCACAGCGACCGCAGAGTATTCGCTTATTGACGAAATGGTTCGTCGTGCCACGCGACTGAGTGGCCTGTTCAGCGAGGATATTGGACTCCATCGTATTTACAAATTCCGATTTCCGATGCCATCACACAAAAACACTGTACTTGAGCTCAACCAAGTAGGCACTCCAAAGTAAGCACGCACAGATCTTCAAAAGCCGTACATGGTTGAATATGGCTTTCGATGATTCGGGGTACACTCGCACCTCCAAGTTCGGACGACCTTCGCAGTTATCCGACTTTAGTTCCAAATAGACCTTGAAACACAGGCCTCCCTCAAGATGTTGACGCTTTTTCGCTTCGGCCGATACCACTTTTGCGACTTACCCGAGTCTGTACCGAATGATCTGGTCGATTGCATCGAACGAACTTCGGCTTGAAGACTGACGGAATGGAGTGTCCTCCGGACGGGTTAGAGACTTGCTCAGTCATCGAACATCTGTATTACTCATACATCTGTGCATCGGTTTAGAGTTCGCCGCACGGCCCTGAATTTCAAATATGGGTGTGATTAAGTCTCGTGGCTGCTGGTACAACCCTGTCACGTAATTCTATCTATTGAAATGAGTCCACAATCGGCTTGAAGGTACACAAATATACATCAAGATACAGACTGATGTGCTTCTAGATGATACAGCCTATTCTCGGATGTCTATGACTTCGAATCTCCAGGTAAACGCGAGGTGGCAGATGGTTGTCGTTTCTCAATTCCTAGGACTGAAACTGGGTCCGACTGATGCTTCCATAAACATCTTCTTGCATCTTCACAACGCAATAATGTCGTCTATCCATAAGTTTCTTCGCGTACAAGCATGCTAATTTGAAAGTCTTTGATGTCTAACGTGCGCGTTTTGAATACTATCAGAAGAAAGACGTGACCGTCGAGGTCGTGACAATTTCGGTCAAACATTCATTGGAGAAGGAGGTCATCACTACATCGCCTTTGTTGTGCTCATACGTGCATCCAAGGAACACGTCATATCGAATCAAGCAGATTATCTCAATGACATGCATAGAACAGTCTTCTCCCATCTACATCACTTACGTCGGTTACAAATATACAGTACATGCATATGCAAGGATCTATGTTGACGTGCATCGGAGTCAAGGCCGAGCAACAGGCGTTCCTTGCAGGGGCCAGGGGAGATAATTGCAAGAGAATCAGCATCATAGTTTCGCTGACACAGGCTAATTACTGGTCAACCGCCTTCTCAAGCCATTGTACTTTCATCCAAAACGTCCTCCAACAAGCCTCGTCTACACACCTCCACATCAGGTACACCCATACTGTACGTAGCTTCATACGAGTACATGCTCAGCTGACTAAAGAACGGCTGTAGCACACTGCGCAGAAAGTCGTCCTTGGCCATCGCTTTTGTGTCTGCGCCGTCCATAACGGAGCCACCCAAGAAAGGCTTTCTAGCACCGCTCTCAGAAGGTGATGTGCCGAGGGCGTTGGAAGGTGTAAACACGGAATGCTCGGAGTTTTCCATGCCCAAGACCTCTGCTACTTCGTCAGTTAGGGCGACCGGATTGAGGTCCACGGGACGGTAGACAGCGTCGATTGTGTCGGTGATGTAGAGCCATTCGTGCAGTTGGAACTCGTCAGGCGACAGAGTCGTCAGGAGATCGAGGAGCTTACAGGCTTGCAAGAGTGAGAGATTACTATACGTCTCTTGCTCGTGCACACTTCCACCAGGCAAGCATGTCGTGATCGCTCTTTGAAGATTAGCATTCAAGACAGGCCAGACGGCAGATAGATGGACTGGCGAGAATGACAAAATCATTGCGCGCAAAACCATGAAAACTTCTGATCTTGTGGTAGATGAAGGCGAGGAAGAGGGATCGGCGGTACACAGATCGATAACCTTGTCCAGAATCTGTGTCAGACTGCCTACGAAAGTGTCTTGCTCGCAGGCAAGCATGAGAAGCATTGTCTTCCGCAGAGTAAGCTGAGTCTTGCGGTCGGCTTCGAGACGTGCAGCATTAGCGCCTACGCCAAACATGATACCGGCAGTCGAAGGTGTGGTGATCTTCGACAGCAGCTCCGGAAGACGATCCTTGTCGCTCAACGCCCACTTGCGAAGCACAGGATACCACCCGTCCTGAATCAATTCCGTAGAACAAGTCAACAGTCGAGGGTTGTTGAACGCGTCTGCGATATCCTTCTTCCAGTACTTGGATGTTGATCCCTGCTGAGCAACGCATTCGAAGAGTTTCAACAAGTCTCTATTGATGTTTTCGGGGAACGATTTCGCATGGAAGGCCGGTGTCATGACATTACTCGAGATGATGTTCACAGCCGTCTGAACTCTGTCGCTACTCTGCAATATGGTGGGGAGTTTTGGCGTCACATAGAGTAGACTGTGTATGAGGTCGCTAGCACCACTAGGAAGCTGCGACCCAGTCGTTGGGGCCTCAAGAATATTGGTAAGCGGTCTTGCCGTGAATGTCGCCGTCAACAAGCGAAGGAAGATATCGCCTAATTCGCGACGCATCTTACGCAGTTCGCCGAAATTAGTGTTGTCGATCTTCTCAGCGAGCAAGACGGTGAACTCCAAGAGGGAGGGGAGAATTTGTCTGTGAGGCAGTGGATTAGAGAGCACGTCTCTCAAGAAAATCGTGCACTCAGTCCATATTTCGTCAGTGGCGTCGTCTTCGATTGCACGCGAATAGCTAAGCAAGAAAGCGGCCACTTCTGCCGTGGAAAGATCGGAAGTCAAGCTTGACCTGCGTCCAATATCCAGAGCATCGATATTCGTCCGACTGTAAAGAGCATTAATGATTACAGGGACGGTGTTCTTTGGCCGTGATCCATCCAAGACTAGAAGCAGACTGAATACGGCCGCAGACTCGGCTTCCTCAGAAGGTTTGGGTCGGGACCAGATCAGTGCTAATGTCTCCAGACACTCCAACCCCTCAGCGGCGAAAAGATTCTCAAGAATTTTTCTCGTTCGATTCCTCAGTTTTAGTGCATTCAACGAAGTGGTTGCCGCACATGTCGTGTCTGATCGGCCACTCTCATTACTCGCCCATGCCCAGATAGAGAAACAAATACGGATAGCGTCCTGGAATGACAGTATCATGGTGAGCCTACTGTTCATGCGACTGGTCTTGCTCGGTGGCGCGTGTTGGCCGTCTTGCGCAAATACACCCGAAATGTTGCCAAAGAAGCCCTGCGAAGGCTCAGGAGACTTTGGTGCAGGCATTATGACCTCTTCATTCTGAAATTGGCGATGAACGTGAGCAAGAACAAGCTCAAGCCCATGTAGTAGTGCAGAGAGGGTAGATATAGGCACAGACTCGATCCTCTCTTTGGTCGAGTGCGAGATATGCTTCACATAACGGAAAGCATTCGAAACCTGCTTACATATGCATTCGACTAGCGGCAACAGATTTGCGAACACCGCATCTGCATAAAGTGGTAGGACCTGGTCAAGGAAGTCAACCCAATGTTCCAAGAACAAGCGACTTGAGGGTGACGATAACCCGCTTCGAAGACAATCCAAGAGCTCCGGTGGAGGCGTAGAGACCATCGGTAGCGGTATCTTCTCGGGCACTTCGATGGTGAGCGAAGGTCTGTGAGAGGCGAGCGGACTCTTCGGCGGGGCAAATGCGCTCTGCACAGATGTCGCTCGCAGCTTGAGGGCCTTGGATATTGTCTCGAGGTAAACAGTCTGCAGTGCTCCGATCGGACCTTTTAGAGCCTTACTTAATATATCAATCAATGCATTGTCAACCTCGAGCTGATTCAGGAGTGGCGGGTTCGGACACTCAATGAGGGTCTGAAGAATAGTGAGCGAGGCATGTTGTAGTGACTGCGAGACTGTGTGCCCTTGCAGGGCGAGTGTTTTCAAGCACATCCTTGCAAGAAATTCGATGGCATCAGTCTTTGCGATTTGACTTCGGGGGCCGCTCGGAAATCCGAACTGGAGGTTTGAGAGAGTGAGCCACATATGTTCGTTGGGATTTCGCAGAAGATTCCGTAAGTGTTGAAAACAGAAGTGAATGTCGTCCAGACTCTGTTGTGCGTTTCTTTTGGTTCGATGACGACCCTCCTTCCTGCTTGCTTGGTCCACAAAACATTCCACGTCATTCTGTAGCTTAGAGCATATGATGTAGAAGATTCTGTCTAGGCTAGAGAGACTTTGCAGCCATGAACGGACGACGTCAGCAGCTCCTGTACCTTCGGAGTTGAGCGAGTCCAGAAGCAAGAGCAGAGGTCTCGTCAGAACCTTTTCCGAGTCAACGTCACTACCAGATTCGCCTGCAGTGGGCATAACACTGGGTCTGCGAGACATCGGCCGTCCGGAGCCTTCGGACCTTAGGTTGAAGCTTTGCATGGTATGTTCCCAAAGCACCGTAAACCTGGATGCGAGTTCCGAACCATCGGTCTCAGATTGATCACTGACGAGTAAGGCCAGACGTGCTTCGACCTGATGTTCGGCCTTGGTCAAACTCTCAAGTTGCCATATGAGTCGCACAGCCTCGACATGGTACTTTGGTCTAAACGGCGATAGGTGGTGCCAAATACCGTTCAGAACATTGGTCTGAAGATCCATGATCTGTTCGTGGCTGAAATATTGCGACTGATTCCCTGAAAGGCTTGCGACTATGACCGACATGATTGAGCTGATGACCAGGAACGAGGACTGCTCAGTCGAGGAGTCCTGCAGCAGACTCTCCTTTTCAAGCGCCTGTTTAAATGTGTCATGGATGTTCGCACTGCGAAAAGCTTCTGAGTTCGGTGTCTTGGTAATGATGCTCACGAAACAATCTGTGATCAGACCTAATTGGTTCACCAAAACCTTTGAGGTCAGAACTAGTTTCAGCACCTCCATCACGCTTTGTATCGTGTACTCAGCGATGCACTTGCGGTTCAATCCCTCGGATTCTGTTGTTGTTTCTTCGAAGTCCTCTTTCATATACTGCTGCACGAGTATCTTGACAACTGAGGGGCGCTTCGCAGGTTGCCAAGTAGTCTCAAGAGAAGCATCTGGTTCATCCATAGCGAAAGCACGCGGAGGTAGCACGCGCAACAGACGTTGTGCGAAACCCAACACAAGAACCATGAAACGTTCTGATTCATCTGTGTCCTCGCGCAGGATAGAACCAAGACGAGATAGCAGAATTAGTAGCGTGTTTGGAATGTGCCTCAGGAGCATCTCTTCATCACGTATATCAAAGCGATCAACGACGAAATGCAGAAACTCAAGGCTCCGAATTGAGTCTATTTCAGCAAATTGTCGCAAATCAAAAGATGAGAGAAGCACACTGATAAGACGTGACCAGATCAGACTGCTTTCCACACCATCGAAGAAGAGACTCGCGCTGCGAACGACTTCCTCGAGTTGTTTTGGAGTACTGGCATGGCTGTACTCAAACACGTTTCGAAGAGCGGGGAGTAGAACCTTGGGGACGATCAAGCCACCGACTTCCCAGCGATCCATCAGAGAGAGACATACGCGGAAGGGTCTCGCACGGGCTGCCGGATTGGCACATTGCTGACCGAGCATGTTCATGATGCTCTTCTCTAGAGGAGCCGCACCATGCTTCTGGAAGTATAGAGCTTGTTTCTGTGAAACGTTGCCACGTGAGTCTGTGGGCGACAAGGGCGCGCCGTCTTCAGCCTCGGAAGCAGTCGCATCGGGACCGAGGAACCATGACCATAGCCTACGATTCAAGCTCATGTCTCTTCTCAGCACACAATTAGCGGCAGCGGTAGTGATTAGTACCATGTCTTTGGATCTGACATGGTTGCGAAAGACAGGAGAATGAAGAGGTAAGTGCGTGACGAGAAGATCGAGGAATCCGCGCTGGACCAGAATCTGCGAATCTTGAAGACCAGCAGCGAAACAACGCACGAGCAGACCGGGCTCAGGATTGATAGCAGCTTGCGCAGCCAAGGGAAGGGTGCGATGCTCGGTCTGGGCCGATTCTGTGGATGTCTTGGATGGCGCGAAGTTTGGGAGTTTGCGAGTCAGGAAAGCAAGAGCGCCCTGCCTACGAGACGGATTCGTGATTACAGCGAGAAAGAAGCACTGCCAGAAATAGCCGTCCTTCCCTTCTGCATGTGGACCATCCTCTATATCGCGAGAGGATGACTGGCGCAAAGTGTCGAGAATGTGGAAAGCTCTATCGAAGTCCTCACTTGTTTCATCCTCGATACCAGGTAGCAAGGCCAAAATGAGTGACTTTGTAGCAGGGCGAATATGCTCGGAATCCAGCTTCAAGATGCGGTCCTCAACGACCGAGTAGAACAAGGGTCGTACAGATAGAGAGGCGAAGGACAGGACGGGGACTAATCCTGGTAGGTATACGTGTAGTGTCTGACCAAGAGATGGAGGAGGGAGGAAGGAGAAGATGCTGGCGTAGACGTCGAGGGCTTTTTGGTGAACACCCGAGGGCAAGGCAGGATTGAGACATTGTGCCAGTCGCAAGGCAACGGATTGAGCGTGAGGCAGGTATTCAAGCGACGGAGGAGGGGGATGGAGGGCCCTGAGGAGACGGGCTAGAAAGGCAATGTAGTCGGCCCATTCTTGCTGAGCGCTGTCGAAGGACGAAAGGGCGCGTTCGATAGCCGTAGCATAACGTCGAGTCGTCTTGTCCTTCTGCGCAACAGCTGATTGTAGTCAGAACGATGTTCTCTCTTGAGAGGCACGCAAACGCACATACCGTCCTCGACCCGGCGAGGAGCACGCAGAGCAGGCGACGAGCGTCCCGTGCTTAACGGAGACACTGAGCGCCGACCATCACCGGGTTCGAATGGCATCTTCAGCCAGAAACATAGAGGTTGCAAGAATTAATTGTCTGGTTGGACATGTATTGTTGCTTGGTTGCTGTATAGCTCACGCTTGGCGTGGGGAACGTGGCTTCAGGTACGCGCGCTTCTATTTCTGTTTTGGTCAAGTATCCACCGCCGTGTCTGAAAGACGACTATGGCGGGCAACGCGTGATAGGTCTCTTCTGCCTGTTATCTCGGAAGAGAAGCTGTGAAAAAAACTAGAATGATGTCCCGAAAAAACACTAAGCTCACGCGACGGAATGTCGAGCACTCGAAGCCAATAAGACGCAAGTGCCTAATCAGGACAAATAGCGTCCGAGTGTTGTCATGGTCGCGGTGACGTGTGGGTTGACACAAGCATCGCCGGGAATTAATAAAAAAGCAGTGTTCACCGACTGCCAAATGGTGAAACTGACTAATAACCATCAAACCATCTGTCATGCAGCGCCTATCCAATTCTCCCTCTCCCACTCGCTCTCAATTTCCCTCTCTTCCTCCTCTAGGCGACGAATCCTCTTCGGCCATCTATACACGCGACACCAGCCCGTCACCCCTAGATAACGACAAGGACCCTGGACGTAAAGACAGTGGCAGTCCGAAGAACGAAGGCAGCTTCTTTCAGCACATTACATACCCCGTCTCGTATACCTTCAGTGGCCTCCTTCGCCGGCTCAGCGCAGACGAAGCTCCTACCGCCCTCGCTCGTGCCTTGTCAGCAAACTACAACGGCACCATGGCCCCCTCTGCCACTTTCTATGACGCTCCCAAGCGCCATCTCTCTCCCTTCCAGCCCCCGCCCTTGACTCCTCTGACTCTCTCGGGCTATAGAGAGAGTACAACACTCTCCAGTAGATTGTTGGAGAAAGCCCTCGCTGAAGAGATTCGCTTGCTTGTCCCACCGCGAGTGCAGCTGGTTGATGAATGGAAGTTGATTTACTCGTTGGAGCAGAACGGCACATCTCTGAGCAGTCTGTACAGTTTGAGCGACGAGTACAGAGGCAAAAGAGGCGGCTTTGTCCTTGTCGTCAGAGATGCCAGCCAAGGGGTCAGTCATGGACGAGCAAAACAAACGTCTCTTCTGCAAGTACTGACATTATTCCGCAGATTTTTGGCGCATATCTCTCCGATCCTCCACAGCCTCACCCGCATTACTACGGCACTGGGGAGTGCTTCTTGTGGAGCGCCTTTCGTCTGCCCTCTCTACCGGACCTCTCATCGCTGCCTCCGCCGCCGTCGGCCGACACTACACACATGCAGCGCAGCACAACCATAGCTACCACAAAGAAGTCCTCTTTAAACTCCTCCACACCAAGAAGTGGGACATCGACTCCTGATAGAATCCGCTTCAAGGCTTTCCCCTACACTGGCGAAAATGACTATACCATCTTCTGTCAGCAAAGCTTCTTGAGCATTGGCGGCGGCGACGGTCACTACGGACTCTGGCTAGACAACAACTTGGCTAGGGGAATCAGCTCGCCGTGTCCTACCTTCGGCAATGCACGCCTGAGCGACGAGGGTGAGAAGTTTGGAATCCTTGGTGTTGAATTGTGGTACATCGGCTCTTGATCTGATCAATACGCCACTCTGCACGGCCTCTTCTCGTGGCATCTCCATGTCTTGAAAACCTGAATAAGCGTTGGCTCGGCAGGACGCGAAAGTCTGGTGCCTTTGTCCGGGCGTTCTGCTCCTAAGCAAAGCACGCGCAAGCCAGATGCTATGTTGACATTCCCCATTTCGTACACGGGACGACCATCCCCGCGGTGCATCTCGACGTACAGCGTTGAAGCAGACAAGTCACTTGGTCGATCGAGCTGGGTGACTGTCAGCGGCGAAATACCCAACGGTTTTGTCGACGTGGACGAGGCACACATGACATGGATCTGACTTCAGATCTTCTATTGCCCGCAATGATCTGGACTTGTGGCATGAATCAAGCATCCGCTACAATCTTCCTAGTGAGGTCGTGATTCGAAGTTCCCAGTGTTCTCTTGCTTCAGCGGTACTCGTTCTGTCATAAGCGCAGACTACTGTAGCTAAGCTGCTGAACTTGATGAGAACCCGTTTGTGAAAGCAACTTCGCAGCATCGGGGTCTGGCCCAGAACATGGGTTTTCATTTGCTCTAGACGGTCGCGGATAAGCTGTGTTCAGCACACGCCGCGATGAGATCTGATTGCTATCTCTGTACGACCGAAAGTAAAGCAATATGCTACTTGCAACTGTTCTCCAGCGAGTCGTCCTCCGTAAACTCAACATGGGAGCCCTACTTTCCAATCGACTTCTGTCGGGCGAGCTGGGGAGGGACAGGGACGAGGACTGAGCTGAACTCCGAACGTTCTCGACCTTAGATAGGTCTTCGGTACCTGGTGAAATCGATAGACAGACATATACCGAGGTCTCAGATGACCGAAACAGGAAAGAGCCAAGCCACATGAGCGCCGGGCTGGCCTTTCCAACGGTATTTTATTTCAACAGTCAACGGTCGTCCACGAACGCTCTCCACTCCAGATTCACATGGGTTCTCAAAACACTCTGCCGTACAAAATGGCGTACGATATATCACCTGCCAGACAACGGTAAAAATGGTCTCTCGTATACTGCCCGTGGTGAGATGCGCTTCGAAGTATAACACTGTAACCATCTGCCAGTTAAGTTCTTGATTTGTCTGTTTGACGACACATTAGTCCTTTCCATGTTTGACACTTGATACAACCTCTGACCAACACTCGGTTTTTCGAAGCAACTTGAAAGGCAGAAGGGATGCGTGCATCAGACATTTTCTTGCCCATAGCGGCCGCCGGCATGGTCATCGGCTCTCCTCTGGATTTCCAAGAGCGTGCCGTCAATACCTGCACGATTCAGAGTATACAGTCTGTGGTCACCAAGCTGAACCCTTCTGTTGCTACTCCTTACTGCCAATCTCTTCTCAAGGTCTCTACAAAGACTGTGAACAAAACCATTAAGCCTTCGTCGCCGTCGAAACATGTAGTGACTGCGACTGTGTCCAAGACAGTCACCTCGACCAAGTATGTGGAACGGTTGCAAACAAGAAGCTACCAGTTGATTGACGACTTATAGGAATGTCACTAAGAACGTCACGGCAACAACAACTAGCTCATTCAATGCATCGGATACTAGAATCAAGAAGAGTACAAGCACGTCTAGCAAGAAGAGCAGTAGCTCCGCCAGACCCAGCAGCAGCATCAGCAGCAGCAAGAGTGCCAGCAGCTCTTCAAGTACAAAAAGTTCGACTTCGTCCCTGCCCAAATCTTCTTCATCGGCACTGTCGACCTCATCGAAATCATCGTCTAGCCGTGCTCCGACATCTTCGACGGGCAGCACTAGATCATCGTCAAGTTTGTCAAGTTTGCCAAGTTCTTCAAGCATTGCTCGTCTGAGCTCGACATCGTCTCCTAGCAGCACCGCTCGTCTCAGCTCGACACCATCTCCAAGCAGCAGCCGAAGCTCAAGTTCTACTTCGGTGTCTTCAAGCAGCACACGCTCTTCTTCAACTCTGTCTTCTTCGTCCATCGAATCGGCTTCATCCTCTGCGTCTGCTTCAGCGCCTTCGTCTACGAGCATCACCACGAGCCCTTCGAGCGTTCGACCTTCTACAAGCACAAGTCCCTCGTCCGAAGGAAGCATGCGGGTCAATGGAATTATGGCTCCAGTCTCAGGATCCTCTTCTACATCGGACTCTGCTTTAGTCTCAACCTCAACAACCGCATCATCTTCGTCTTCATCGTCAGCCGAGACTTCGTCGCTTATCTCCAGTGGTAGCAGCACTTTTTCGAACCGCTTTTCCAATGCTACAATTTCCAGCACTTTGTTCTCTAATGGAACATCGACCAACGCCGGGAGCACTGTATCATCCACAGGATTTGTCGATCTTTCCCCCACTTCCGCAGGAAGCTCTGCTTCTGCAAGCTCAGGAATCACCAAACGCGGTGTCGAAGAGCGAGCGGTGAGCTCAAGCAGAAAGACAACAAGTACCAAGAAGCCGTCAAGCACAAGTTTCAAGAAAGTCACAAGCACACCGAAGGCCAGCACAAGTTTGAAGAAGACGACAAGCACAAACAAGCCGGTCACGATTAGCTCCAAGAAGATGACGAGCAGTGTCAAGAAGATCAGCACTTCTATCAAAGCTGTCGTCACGTCACAGAAGGTCAGCACAAGCTCGGTCAAGACATCGAGTGTTCCCATCAACAAGGGTCAGCCTGTACTTTTCAACGGCCTCAACAATGCGCAGCAGTCCAGCATTTGCAGCTGCTTGAACGTACCTACGCCCACGGTCACAAGGAGTGTTTTGGTTGATAGCTTCACTACGATTACCTCAACCGTTACCGCCGTTCAAACCATTGTCAGCTCTAGCACGACAACAGCTTACCACACTGTAAGTCGACAACAGTCTGCATGTTCTCTGGATAATAGCTAACACATTCAAACAGACTACTGCGACACCCGATCTCTTCTACATGCAAGTCTCGAGCAAGAGCAACGCAGCGATCAACGGGCAATGGGCAGTGCTCCCAGGAGGCAACGAACTCCTGGGCTTCACAGCAGGAAAAGCTGCAGCCAGCGAATTCTTCTTCACCGCACCCGGGCTGCTTGTGGAATATCGATCGAGCTTCATTGCCAATGTCGAGGACGGCAACTTTGTCACGTCCTTCTGGATGAACTCTGTGGAGCGCATGTACAATGTTTCTGCGGTGCCGCTGCCTTGCAGTAATCAAGGTGGACAACTCTTGTGCAAGAGTGGTAATCTTGAGCAGCTGTATTGGTGCAATGTTTGGGGGACTACGTCTTTGGTCATTGGGCCTGCGACTTATAATAATGGGCTATGCAAGCCAGTGTCGCTTGACATAGTACCGGCATAGATAGAGAGTATAATCTTGATGGTATTAATTGAATGATGGAATGCCTACAACCCCTGAAGGACGTGAATGGACGAGGCAGATGATTGAGGCAAAGTTGGCATGAGGCAGATGCATGTGATCGGGTGTCGGGATTGATGGTGCGGAGAGAGCTTCTCCATGTTTGGCGGCGAAGCATTTGGTCATCACCCGAGGACCCTAGACCTTCCGTCTACCCATCCCAATCCCCGAACTCGATAGCAAACACCTTGTCGCAGACACTCGGGACTTCTCAGCATCGCTCTAGCAGCTCCCGCACATCTCACAAGCACGCAATGGCCTCACGCGCAATGTCGATGCCAGCCCGCCGTCTGGCTACCAGCCTCTCTACTCCCGTCATCAGCCGCCGCAGCTTCCAGAGCTCAGCACACATGCTCCAAGTGGTACCGGCAGGAGCCATGCCCGTCCGCAAGCCCGTGGGCGCCTTCCGTGGCGGGTACGAAACACTTGCCCTTGTTCCTCGAGCTCTACCCTCCTTCCGGATCCTGAGCCCACGGTCGTCGCGTGACTTGACTGACAGTGGTGTTTGAACAGTATCCTCGGATTCCTCTCTGGGGCCGTGTTGAGCGGAGGAGCTCTTTACTACTATGTCATTGACGAGTACCGTGTCTCCAACGAACTGTTGACCGAGGACATTTACGTGAGTTTTTGGACCAAGCAGTGGAGAGGAGAAGAAGAGGCAGCAAGGCTAACTGCTGTGTGAATGCAGGCTCTGCAGTCAGCCGTCTCGCGCATAGAGGGCTATGTCAAGTCGCTCGAGGAGAAGGCCCGCAAGTAATCGTCAGACTCGCTTCCCACGCGCCAATTCCTCCGTCCGCCATACCCACGCAGCTCCCTGATCCCGCACTATCAGCCCGAACCTCCTGCCACTCGACGTCACCACTCGAATCCCTTTAAGCATGCGCCGAAGCTCTCAGCATCATTTGTCTCCATCTTCCGCGACACGCCAAACGAAATACAAAGCTTCAAAGCTCCGTCTCCTTGTTTCCTTACCTTTCACTATCTTCGTACAACGACAAGATATCCCACCTCGAATTCAGCATACCCAAGAATTGAAAACCAATACCATTCTCCATCCGTGCCCAAAGAAAGAGCTGTGAAATGCGTGAACAACACGGTTCGTATACACGAGTCCAAGACAGTTGTCTGTGTCTCTGCCAATACCTTGCTTCTTCCTTGCAAAGATGATGCCAGACGTGAACGGACGCGTTCCTATAATCTGACCTTTAATCTTCCTGTAGCCATCCGCGTCTCTGGGCCTTGCGACTTCGAGTCAACTGTAAGTGGCCTCTGCAATGCTTCTGCCTCGACATCATTCCAGTCAGCCCATGTCCCTCTTCATCTCTCATCTACTCGGCAGATGGTCTTGTCATTGCTTCCCCTTCTTTGATGGATTTTGACGTCCGGCTGCTAAGGTATGAGTTGGTGGTTTCTGAGTGTATCGAACTTGACGCAGAAGGCAGAATATTTCTGTGAGCCAATGTCGCTTGCTGCCTCGAATGAATGTCTGCTCTCGATCAGTCGCTAGAAGCTCAATTTACTTCCTGTCTTGTCAATACAACTTAGATCTTCTGTCAACATCATGGTCACGTCAAAAAAAGTCCGAAAGAGGGACCATGGTTTGAAAGTCAAAATGTTGCTTTCAAATTCAGAAGTAATCAAGTTATGCTACAGACGGAAGTACTACTTCTCTCGCATCCTGAAGAAGGACGTGATCAAGAGAAGTGTGAAAAGATGGAAAGATACGCAGAAAGCAAGAGATGGAAAGGCCTTCAATGAGCTCGCCGGCTCAGCTAACCAGGTCCATAGCAGTCTGGACTGGCGCGTTCAGATGAACCACATGCCGGGGTTCATGACTGCAGGGTTAGCCATGGGGAAGAGCGGCTCGTAGACGGGCTCAATGCTGGAGACGACAGTGCGCTGATCATCAAACGGCTGGCCGAAGCCCTTGGAGTGATGAGCACCACGCAGAGAAGCGATGTGGGCGTAGTAAACGGCAGGGAAGATCGAGACAGGAGTAGTGGCACGAATGTACTGGTAGGAGTGATCATAGATCAGGGTGTGGATTCTGTCGTTCGGCCACTGGGGCTCGTTGAGCAGGATGTTGTAATGAACTGGACGAGCAGTACCCTTGATGGCAGTGTGCGCACAAAGGTAGAAGTCGTTCTCGAAGGGCTGAGTGACACCGGTCTCGACCAAAGTACCAGGAAGGGCATTGGCGTTCTTGTCACCGCCACTCTGAGGGAAGAAGCGGACGTGATGACGCTTGGAGGCGATGATCACAAGGAACTTGGGCTTGACACCAACCTTAGTGAAGGCCCTCTTCATGGCAGCCACTTCCTGGTCAATGACCTGTGCGAACTGACCCTCGGAGACACCGTCGCGGAAGTAAACGACCGTGGTAGGAGCCTTGCCCTGGCCGACCTTGGCAGACCAGCCGTTCTTGACGAGCGACATCATGTGCTTCTCAATGTTCTCGTCAGTAATCATCTCGACGCGATGACCATTGGTCTCAACGGCAGCGGCGTAGCGGGTGGCCTGAGGGTTCATGGAGACAGTCATAGCAGCCATAGAGGGCCCCGGAAGACCAGGAGCAGCGTGAGAGACGTCGGCACCGATGATAACGGTGTTGTTCTCAAGATGACCCTTCTTGTTGGCATCGCTGCTGAAAGCGGTGTTGGTGTAGCCACCCAGCTTAGCATTGAATTTCATGAGCACATTGGAGATGTACTGGGCTTGACCCTTCTGAACGTGAGCCATCTGCACACACTGAGAAGGAAGGCCAATGTTGCACTCGCAGTAACGCTTGATCCTACCGTAGGTGATGCTGTTCTTATCCTGAAGGATGAACATGAGGATCTGAGGACGCATGTTGTGCTTGTTGCCAGCCATCTTGAAACACTCCTTTGCAATAGTAGCAGGCTCGCTGTTGGGGGCATAGTAGATGGCGGGAGCTCTCATGGCCGGTGTAAGGGCAGCACCATGAGCGCCGTAGGCTGTAATAAAGCCCTGAACGAATCTCTCAACGGCAGCCTTGTCGACAGGACCTCTGCCGGGTAGCACACAGACACCCCAGGTGGTCTGAGCCGCGGCAGGAGGAACGGAGGAGAACTTCTTGCCCTTAAGGTCCCAGCGACCAGAGGTTTTAGGATCAGCCTGAGCAGCGGCACCGGTACCACCAAATTGAAGCTTGGGGTTCTGTAAGAGGCGAGCCTTAGGTTCAATCGGAGTGGCCTGGATACTCATGCCGTATTCCTTGAGGAAGGGGTCCGCAGCCCAATTGATCATGTTGACACCGTTCTGAATAGCCTGCCAGCGCTCTCTAGGAGGAGTGACTGCAAGCTTGATCATCGCAGATGTCTGAACCTCATCTAGCTTGAAGGTATATCTCTGGTTCTCCTTGATCTTCAAGAGCTCTAGAGGAAGCACGGCCTTCTTGGTCATACGAACAACTGGCCAAGCAGGATATCTCAAGCGAACGTTGTGTTCAGTCTGGAAGTATTGAGCCACAGACATTGTGGAGCCATCCTTGAAGGTAAGCATGTAGGAGGAGTCCTTGTTCATGAACTGGTCAATCACATAGTCGTCCGAAGCACCTCTGCGATGAGTAGCCACAACACGAAGCTTGCGAAGGCGACGGAGATCGTTAAACTTGAGGTTGCCTGGTCTGAGCAGCATACCAATCTCAGCCTCGGTTCTGAGTCTCGTGACGGCCAAGACAGCAGCTGAGAGAGGGCCAGCGGACCAGAAGGTGCCATTGGCGACATCAGCATTGACGACCAGACGATGACCAGCAGGATGGTGAGCGATGCGGAGGGACTGGTAAACACCAGTGGTGTGCTCGACATGACCACCGAGAGGTCTGCGTTGAGAGTTGGCAGCGAAGAAGGAGCGCTTGATAGAGATGAATCTCGAAGAAGGAGTCTCACGCATGATGTGATCCAAAACGGTGATGGCCTGGAGGATCTTCTTGTCGTAATCAGCGGTGCCACGCAGATAGGCATCGAGACAGGTGAAGTCAATGGTGGCGGTCTTCCTGATGACGACACGATGGACATCGGTGCGACCAGGGCGAGCAGTACGACCCTGCTCATTATCGAGGTTCACGTTGAAGCGAGTCTCACCATCGCGGTCCTGCTGCGACCATGCGAGACTGTTGCCATCGAAGATCCAGCCATTGCCGAGCTGCTCCTTGGTAGCCTTGCTGTTCCAGACAGCCTTGATCAGGCCGCGCTTCTCAGCACCGGTGCCAACCATGACCTGATATTGGTAAATGGGCTTGGTGGGCAGGCCAGTCACAGGGAAAGCGTTGAGGCGGATATTGACCTCTCTGCCGAGCTTGGATGGAGGCTGGCGGCCTTGGAAGGCATGACGAGCACCACGAGCGTCAGACCACATAGCGGCGCCAACGTCGATGTTCTTCACATTGTTCGAGATGCCCTCGACAAGCTGAGGAGCAGGGCCAGGAGCGGGGTCACGGTTGCCATCAAAGCGGGCGAGGTCCAAGCGAGCACCGGCAGATTGAGTGGTGGACGAGCCACCAGACTGGCTGTCACGCTGAGCGTTACGCTTGGTAGAAGAACTGAGCATGGTGAAGATGGTTTGAGTGTGGAAGGGAGATCAGGTCTTGACTTTCACTGATTTGACAATATCGTCAGTTGGTGATGAAGAAAGTGTGGTAATAGAGCAGATGGAGAATAGATGAGTGGTGGTGATAGATGATGAAGATGTAAGGTGATGAAGTAAGAGTGAATATTTTTGGAGAAGAAAGTAGAAGGTGGAGTGGTTGGAAGAGGAAGTGGTTGGTTGGCGGAAGGGAGCGGGTTTATATAGCAGAGGAAGGTGTTGTTTGCTCCGCAGGGTGTGATACCACAAGCCGGAGTGAGAATGGAAGGTGAGATGAAGAGGACAATGAAGAGCACTGTGAAGAGGAAGGAGCGACTAACCTGAGGGCTCTGTTGGTTGATGTGGTGGTTGTCAAGGAAGAAAGGTTGACCGAGGCTTCGCTTTTGGTTGGTAAGTAACAAGCTTTGTTTGCGCGGGCAGGAGGTAAATGTGCAGAGGACGGAGTGAATTGGCAGGAGCTAGTGATGATGAAGATCAAACACCGGAGATTGACGGGGAAGGTGTTTGAGGAAGGTGCTTGTGAAAGAGATAATGTTGAAGATCTTGTGGTAGAGATAAAGATGAAGTGCGGAAGAAGAGGTAAGAGAAGCGGAGACACAAAGACGTGACCAGGAAACAACTTACCAGGAGTGATGGAAGTAATGCTAGTGATGGTAGCTATGCAGAGGTGATGCTTGTTGAAGATGAACTGTAGTGGAGGTGGTTAGATGGTTGAAGATTGGGTTGACAAAAGTGTGCGCAAACAAAACTTACAAAGCAACAGAGCAAGGTGAACTTGATGTTGATGAAGGACCGTCGGTACCGCACTGTAGGATTGACTGACTGTGTAAAGGAAGAGAAGGACTGGTGATGTTGACTTCGTCGAAGAGCAAAGGGTTTTGTGGTTGAGCTACAAGGCAAGAGTCGGTGGATGATAGCACAAACGCCAGTTGAAAAGAGACGAAAGCGCTGCGTGGGACGCCGGAAAGCTAGCAATCTACAGCTACCGTGTCGCGCTCCCTGCACATCGGTTTGCGAAGCTGCCAGGCAATCTGAAGAAGGTGCATTGAATGTGGGCCAAGTCGAAACTGCAGATACTTCTTGCCCTTTGAGTATCAATCAAACCAACCCTGCTTGTCTGTCTTCTCCGCGTCCTTTGCTGCAAGGAAGAAGCGTCATCGATGAGTACACAGGCCTACCTGCTTCAGCAAGAAGACTAATGCAAGATGCATAGAGACAAAAGCCCGACACAATCCATGCCTATATCCATCAAGCAGAGCCGCCGACCATCTGCAGAGGACACAAAGGACATCGCCACGAAGGACTGCCACAACCCACTCGAGCACGCAGTCAAGTGGTACAAGATCCATCAAGCAGGCAGCATCACAGCTGGCAGAAAGAGACGGTCAAACAAGCATCAAACCAGGCTGAGCAGGGAGCACCAGGACTACAATCTGGCATCATCTCTCGTCATACCCTTCGGCCCGCACCGGCAACTGGCCGCCAGCTTTGCATGATGCATATGTCGAAGGAAGAGAGAGACATGCATCAGGGAGGCTGGGTCTCTAGGAGCTTGTGCGCATTGCTTGTAAGGCAAGCTGGACTACGGCATCGCGGCAGACACTAGCTCGAGCCATTCAGGCTTCACGAAGCTGTCCTAGCAGCCTGAGTCGGCCGCAGCAAACGAACGCTGGCAAATCCGGGGCATGATCGAGAGTCGTTCGGTGTACAGACTCGGAAGCAGAGGCAGACGCAGAAGCAGCTGAGGGCTACGTCGTTTGTCGGCAAGGGAAAAGCGGAGAGACGCAAGGCGCGTTGCCGAAGCGCCGTGTCTGCGTGGAGCCGCTGCATACACTTCATCCTTTGCATACGCAAGAGCATCATCACGGAGTATGTTCTACGTTCGAAGAGAGTGATATGTGCAAGTCGTCAATTCTGTCCTCGTTGTTCGTTTATATATTACAGTGGCAGACGGAAGGCAAGAAAAGCAAGCCGAAGGACATCATCCCTCGTTTTCCAGGCCCATGATGCCGTAGAAAGAAACCAAATCAACGCCCAAATGCTCCCTGCAATGCAATAGTCGGCAGTCCGCGGTTCGTTGTCGAGCAACAAGCCGTATGTGCTTCTTCGTAGGCGCCTGGTTCAGCTGACAGGACAACACCCTGCATCCGCGCGACTGACTCAATACCCGTGAAGTTATGCGATGACAGCTCGGGTTCAGCGGCCGTAGTTGTAGTTGCCGCCGCCATAGCCACCACCCTGGGGCATGGCTCTGCTGGGATCAATGCCTCTGATCAAAGCAACCATGCTTTCAGCGTTCAATCTCGCCTGGGCCGGGTATGTAGAAGCGTTCGGGATCATGCTGAGAAGCAAAGTGATGTCTCTCGGAAGGGGCTTGGGCGGTGGGGCCACAACTTGTGAACCGTAGCCCTCTGCACGCTGTCTTTGCTGTTGACGGCGGCCGGCGGCACCCTTGAGTGGAGATTCACCACGCGCAAGCTTGCGTGCAGGTTGTTCTGCATCAGAATCTGCGTTGTCAAGCGGGCGCTTGGGAGATTGTACATAGCCGGCGGCGGCAGACAGAACTGCAGGGTTTGGTACTGGCTCAATCTCAGTGCTGAGTATCGCAGACTCTGTACCCTTGGGTCTCGTTTGTGCGTTGGGACTGATGATGGTGCGGACTGTGCATGGATCAAAGGTAGGAATTCTGAAGCGGTGGCCAAAGCGGACGAGGGATGGGTCTTCGGGGAAGAGATCGGCCATGCGCTTCTCGAGCTTTGTAATTTGTGCCAACTCGCCGTAGTTGGACTCGTACTCGTGGATAAAGAGGAAAAGAGGCTTAGTTCTGGCAACGTTCTCGGGCTTAGCCGAGAGCTTAGAAACAGTAGTCTCGAAGACAGCACGAGCATCTGTGTATGTGGTTAGCATGCCGACTCCGTGAGAAATTGAAAAGGACTTACTTGTGACATCGTTAGTAGCGATCAAATGCTTGAGGTATTCCATAGCAAACAGCTCGTCCTCGGGGAACAGCTTCATGCCGCGCTCGAAGATCTTCGTTGCGGCCGGATCCTTGTAACAGTGGTATTCGATAAGCGCGGTTGCCACATAGACATCGCTTGTGATACGACCTCTCTTCCTCGCGAGAGCGAAGACATTTCTAAGACCTCCGACAGGAGCATCAGGCTTGCCCTTGCCTTGGATTCGGCGCATGGCACGCATGAGAGCGATCCAGACAAAGGACAATGTCTTGGAGACGGTCTTGATCTGAGAGGCAGTGTCCTTTTGCACCTCGTCGATCTGTCTCTTCTCCTCGGCATCTCTAGAGTTCGAGGCAGGTCTGCTTGTTGAATCTTCATCATCGTCGTCATCCCTGGCTTCCGGAGTGGGTTCGCGAGATAACGGAGGCAAAGACTCGTAATAGTCTTTGATCTGAGCGACAGCCTTAGGCTCGCGTGCCCTGATCTTGTCGATCAGAGCGTACAATGCATTCAGGCAGTTGTCGTAAGGCTCCTTCACAGCATCACCACGGCGGACAAGGCTCTCTTCGCCGTCCTCGACAGGCATGGTCTGCTCGATACGGTCGGCACGGACGAAAGCGAGAAGGCAGCTCTCCGGGTTGGCTGAAGCGCCTTGAGCGAGGAAGTCGTTGGCCTCGGTCTCCATTTCATTGTCGAAGCAGAACTCGGCGGCATCGTACCAGATCTGAGGCCAGAAGCGAAGAGCCATGGTAGCCTGTCTGTAGACATAGAGAACGCGATCGCGGTATGCTTTGATGTCTTCCTCCTTCAGCACGAGGGGATCCTCTTTTTCCCATTCGACCCAGTTTTGCCAGATGGTGACTTGTTGCTGGTAGTCGTCGTCGCCGTCGCAACCGGGAGCCGGAGGAAGAGTGGGGACGGTTCTGCGCTTTAAATCCTGTGTGATCTTCTGGAGAATGTTGTAAGAGGTGCGAGCGGTCATGTAAGCGGGCGACTTTTCTTGGAGGAATTTGCGACCCTGCGAAGATATTAGCAGATTGCCAGAGTATGGATACGCGGTGTGACTTACGGTCATCTTGTTAAGACCCATCTCAAACGAGTCGTACTCCTTCCACAAGCTGGTGGTGGCCTGCATGGGGACAGTAATGGCACGCTGGTAGGCCTTGCGCAAGAGGTCCATCTTCTGAGCGTCCTGCCAGCCGTTGCCTCCAGGGTTGCCGGGACCCGACTTGATGAAGTTGATGTAGTCCTGCCACATGCTTCCAGAGTCCTTGTCGTTGCCGATCAGGTTGAGGGCGAAATCGTACGCCTGAGTGATAGTCTGGCGAGCCTGGCCTGTCGCGTCGGTCATGACGTTGTTGCGACGTCTGATGTAGTCGAGGTAGATGCCCCAGAGCTGTACGTTGTAGTTCTTGAGAAGGGCCATGTTGAAGATGTTCTCCAGGCGAAGGAAGTCGTCCTGGTCTTGCTCCATGAGGGCGTAGGCGACCCATTGTTCAGCCTCGAGTCCTGTTAGCCGCGAATATCTCGGGACGTTGGGAGAGAATGGAAACTTACAGCAGTGGGGAAGACTTCGAAGAAGCGGTCGTAGACGCTGCGAGCATCGTCGAGCTTGTTCTTGGATCTGTGCAGAGCAATCAAGTCAAGCCAAGCATCAACATCACCCTTGGGGTCATCGGCAATTCTGTCCTCCAACTGACCAACACGGTCTTGAGGCAAGCGCGGCTTGGATGCGGCAGCGGCAGCGGCAGCGGCAGCAGAAGTAGCATTCTGAGCAGAGGGAACAGGGGCATTGGACTGCGGCAGGGGCTGGCCTTGGACAGAAGCACCTTGTGTGGGAATGGCAGAAGGGGCATGGTCTTGTTCAAGTACATCAGTAGGAGGGTTATATACGGCTTGTACATTCTGTTGCTGCTGCACAGGAGTCTGCGCGAGCGAACCGTTTGTGCCTGTGCCCTGCTCTTGCTCTTCATCGTCTTCGTCATCATCCTCTTCAATGAAGCCACCGATCGTCTTGGGCTGTTGCGAGACGGGCGTCTCTGACATGCGCGAGGCGACACGAGATGGAATCTGCGAAGGAGGCTGCGATTGGACAGCGGCGGGCTGGGGAGTGGCCGAAGGCTGAGGTTGATCGGGCATGAAGCTGGACGGATCATAGTCTTCATCATCTTCCTCTTCCTCTTCCTCCTCCTCTTCTTCGTGATCCTGAGCCGGGTTCTGGTCGGCAGGGTCGTAGGAACTGGGGTCATACTCTTGAGCGCTCATGGAGGCGAGGAAAGCGTCCTCTGCACTAAGCTCGGCCATGATTGCGGTGGGACGCGACCAAGAGAAGTGGATGACGCGCGGGGAAGGGGGAAGGTGGATGGAGTGTCGTGTATGCACTAGAGGTGGTCCGGATTCAAGAGGTATACCCAGTGTTGAGAGATCCTAGTATGAGATAAGAAGAGAGAGAAAGGCGCGCAAACAGGGAATGCGAGGATGAATCGAGATGTGACGGGCCTGGGTGAAGTTTGATGCGACGACCTTGGCTGAGCTTGCGCGAGACGCAGCTCCGAGAGTCCGAGGGTTGGCTGCCACGCTAGAAGCAACTAGCGGCGGGTAGAGCCGCACCTTGCATCGTGACATCAGCCGAATGCGCCGTGCTTGGTGCTTGGTGCTTGTCCTTGACGCTCCGCAGTCACCTCTTGCTTATTGACTCTTCCTGCTTGTGCGGCTTTCTTTCTCCTCGACATTCTTGTCGCACCATGAATCCGACAATCACGCTTCCGAGGAACAACTCAGGTGTCTCGTCCTTTGGTCCAGTCTCTTCCTCGTCCCGGCGGAAAGATGGCGGTGTCCGTATGCCTCGATTCTTCAAACGCTTGTTCAAGTTCCCGCAGATGGACTTCGAGATGGCTGTCTGGGAGATGACCAGCCTGATTATTGCGCCCAAGAAGGTCTTTCGCCAAGTCTACTATCACAAACAAACTCGCAACACGTGGCACAGAGCGGATCCGTCCTTCACATACCTGCTGTCCTTCTTCCTTCTCCTGACTGCTCTATCCTGGGGTCTGGCCTACGCAGATGGTTTCGCCAAAACATTACGCATAACGCTGGTCTTCATCTTCGGCCACTTCCTCCTTTCCTCGCTACTCGTCTCCACCGTCGCCTACTTCTTCGTGGGAAAGCTGCTGGGTCCAGGTGTCAAGGGGCTACCGGGCAGGAACAAAAGAGCTGGCTTGTTTGGCCCACCAGGGAATGATGTAATTGAACAGCTGGAGTTTGGATACTGCTTCGACGTGTCAATACGCGCCTTCTTCCCCGTCTGGGTCTGGCTGTACGTCGTGCAGTTCCTACTCATGCCCGTCATCTCTCGCGACTACTGGGTTTCGCTCTTCTTCGGCAACCTCTTGTACCTCGTGGCCTTTGGCTACTACTTTGTCGTCACATTCCTCGGCTACAATGCTCTACCATTCTTGCATCATACACAACTGCTCTTGACGCCTGTCGTCGGATTTGCCATCTTCTGGGTAGTCAGCTTGTTTGGCCTAAACTTGCCAAAACATTTCGCTCCAGTCTTATGGGCGGGTGCTGATCTGCGCAAGTCTGTATGATTCAAGTCGCATGTACACTTCATAAAAGCAAAGCTTTGTCTTCCTCTTCTTCACATTACAAAACCATGATCCTGTCGTGCGATTTTGCTGCCTTGACAAACAATGACCCATGTTCGAAGGGCTCAAAAGCACTGCGCATGCTAATAGTATACATTTCTTCCATATACAAGTATTGACATGAAACTCGATGATCTATATACAGTCAAAGGTCAAGGGGAGGTGTTGCTTACAACAAGGGAAAAGAAAACGCCAATATACATGCCCATCCATGCTTCTTACTTTACCCGGTGGTATGCACAGATCTATCCGCATCCAAGATTATTCTTACACTAGATCCATCCCATCTCTTCTAGAGCGGCAGAGTACGCTTCTGGGTTCTTTCCTCGAAAGTCTGAATCATATCGCCGACTTCAAAGTTTTCCCAGCCATCGAAGCCCATACCACACTCTGTACCTCTGCGCATCTCTTGAACATCCTTCTTGACGTTCTTGAGACTGTTGACGATACCTGTGTCATCAAATTAGTAAAGTGCCTTCCAACTAAACCAGACAAGAAAATCAGGAACTTACCATCGTAAACCTTCTCTTCACCCCTCGTAACTCTAACCCTAGAGTTCCTAGTAACAACACCATTTCTAACCTTCAATCCCGCAATCTTCACCTTCTTTCTACCTCCAACTCCAATCTCGAAACTCATAGCTACTTCGGCCTCTCCAGTAACCTTTTGGATCTTTTGTGGTGGCAGTTTTTCTTCAAGCACAGCGCGTACATCATCCACGATGCGGTAAATTACGTTTTGCTCGAGAATCTTGATGCCTTTGCGTTCGGCTCGGCCAGCGCTGTCGGGGTCGTTGGGAAGGTTGAAGGCGATGATGTGGCCACCTGCTGCGTCGGCATGTTCGATGTCGAATTCAGTGACGGGGCCGACGGAGGCACGCAGCACTGTGGGAGAGCAGAGGGGGTTGGTCATTTGGAGAAGGTAGGCGGAGACGGCTTCGACACTGCCGCTGACGTCGGCTTTGATAATGAAGGGCACCGTTTGATGGCCTGGAGTTTCGTTCTCGTCGACATCAGTGTTGGATTTGCGAGCGGTGGGTTCTACTTCCGTGCCGGATGCTCTTGCTGCTTTCTCGGCTGCCTTTTCGGCCTTTTCGGCTTCCTTTGTTGCGTCACGCTGGACTTGCTGTTCACGGCGTTGGGTGTTGATGACTTCCATGTCTTCAGCCATGCGAATGCGCTCGTCCTTTTCGTCGCGGAAGGCGACTACATCAGAGGCTTTCTGCTCGTTGGGTGCTTGGAGGACTTCGTCGCCTGCGTTGGGTTGATCCCGCCAGCCGTCGACTTCAATGGGAGTACCGGGACCTGCGGACATCTGGGCTACACCGGCCTCGTTACGGAGAGTGCGGACACGTGCCCATGTCTTACCTGCTACGATGATGCTGCCGGGCTTTAGAGTACCGCGGCGGACTAGCACAGTAGCTACACGGCCGGCCTTCTTTGTGGTAGCTTCGAGGACCCAACCTTCGACTTGTCCTTCGGTGTCGGCGCGGTGATCGAGAATCTCGGACAGTGTAACTGCGGCGTCTTCGAGCTCGTCAATACCCTGGCCGGTCTTACCACTAACAGGTACGACTTGGGTGTCGCCACCATAGTCTTCAATCTCAACTCCGTGGCGGGCCAGATCTTGCTTGACACGATCTACATTTGCTTCTTCCTTGTCAATCTTGTTGACAGCGACGATGATGGGTACTTGTGCCGACTGAGCATGCTTGATGGCTTCAATCGTCTGAGGCTTGACCGAGTCGTCAGCCGCGACGACCAAAATGATGATATCAGTCACAGTGGCACCACGCTTGCGCATTTCCAAGAAAGCGGCATGACCGGGAGTGTCGAGGAAAGTGATTGTCTTGCCACTTGACAGAGCAACGCTGAAAGCACCAATGTGTTGAGTGATACCACCATGCTCAGAAGCTGCGATGGACGACTTGCGGAGGTAGTCAAGAATAGTAGTCTTTCCATGATCAACGTGTCCCATGATAGCAACGACAGGGGGTCGGACGGGGAAGTATTCCTTGTCCTCTGGTGCAGGCTCAGGCAAAGCCTTGAGATCGCGCTCTTCCGCTTCCGCCTCTTCCTGTGCACCAAGAGTGGGATCGAAGTTGTACTCCATAGCAATCAAGCCGGCTTCCTCGGCACCCAAGACGTGGTCATGCGAAGTGTTCTCAAAGCCCAGCTCTTCCATCTTATCGGCCATTTCCTGATATGTGACGTTGGTCAACTGTGCAAGCTTCGACACGCTGACAAACTCAGGCAGGTTGATAGGTGTCATCGCCTCTGCACGTCTTGCCTGTCGTGCGGCTTGACGAGCAGCTTCCTTTGCGGCCTTGTCCTTCTTTGCTTGGCGAGCTTTCTTGCGTTCATCACGGTTGTTGCGCATGGCTCCAAAGTTGCCCTCCGCATCGTCGTCGTCGTCGTCGAATCGACTTCGGCGACCTCTGCGTGGCTTCTCGTCATCCTCATCATCCACTTCCTCAGAACGACTGCGGCGACCTCTTACAGGTGCACCCCTGGGTGCTTCGTCTCCGTCCTCCTGCACGAAACGGGAAGCTCTGCGGGCATTACGCTCCGCAATTTTTCTGTTTGCTTCTTCTTCGGCAGGGGTCAACTCATCAGTCTCAGCTGAACCTTCTGCGCTCGCTGGGGGCGCATACGCAGCGGCCATTTCTTGACCTGCGTCCCTCATTTCTCTTGGTCGTCGGCCATCTCTGTCGCTCCGTGGTGCATTGCGATCGAATCTCTCAGCGTTGGGGTGTTGTCTTCGATCGACCCAGCCGGGCTTGGGAGGGTTGGAGCAGTTGCGGAACTCGTGACCAGGCTCGCCACATCTGACACAAGTTTGACCAGGACGAGAACGGTCGTAGGTTCTGGGCCTTTCGACATTCAGAGACTCGATGTCAAAGCCGCCAACTCTTGGTTGACGCTTCTGTCGGTATGCTTCGAACCTGGCATCAATGTCTACAACTGACATGGGTGTATATCTCCCACTGCCCGCCTGGGTCTGTCGCTGCGATCGTGTCTGATCGTCCTGCTGCTGTCTGGGTTTCAAGATGTTCCAGCTCTTGGCGTTCTCAAAAGGTGTGTCGTCTGGCTCATCACGGCTGTTGACCATCATAGTCGAGAATCGAGAGGCTCGGGACGATTGACGGTTCTCGGCTGACTTGGCCTGCTCTTGTTGAAGGCGCTTCTTTGACTCGTCAATGAGGGCATTTCTGACCTGTTGGTCTTGCTCACCGAACAGAGATTCAACAGACGGTTCCGAAGGAGGTGCGGCCAGCCTGTTCTTGCGAGCCAACAAGTCTTCGAGCATTCTTTCCTCCTCTTGTGACAAACCGCTACTTTCCCCTGGTGATGCTGATGCAGGTTGCGGTTCTAATTGGGGCGTCGGTGTTGCTACAGATGCGGTGCGTCTCATGGCGTTCGCTGTGCGTGGATTGACCATCGAGGAGGCAAGCTCAGTAAAGTTGCGAGCACGAGGAGGAGATGACTGTTCTTGAGCTAAGGTCTGCTGATGCAGCTCACTTGCTTTGCGGCGGTTCTCGTCTTCTTGCCATACGCGCCATGCGATCTCCCTGTTAGTTTCAACGTCATCCTCGGCCTTTTCCTTTACTTGTACTGGTCGGATTTGAACTGGCGGAAGAGGAACTGGCTCCAGGGCTTTCCTTGCCAACAGCACATCAGACGCAAATATATCGTCGTCGTCATCTTCGAAGGATCGCGATGGTTGTGAAGTCTGTGTTGGTGTCTCGGAGGATTGTGCTGCTTTGACTGAGGGCTCGGCAGCACTCGGGGACGGAGCGGCCTGTTGAGGCGTGGAAGCGGCAGTCCTCCACGACGGGGGCTTGACGGTAGGTTGAGAAGGAGGAGCAGGAGGAGGGTCTGATTTCATCTTGAACTGCGGCATTGGAGCGGGCTTGGGAGCGGGCTGATTGTTCCTCCTAGGCTCCTGTTTGGCCGCCATGTCGTCCAGACTAGGCATGCTACCCACAGACTTGATGACGTCGAGTTTCTTCAATAACGTGTCCTGTAGTGCAGAACGATTGGCTTTTGCATTTTCATAGCGTCCGTCGCGGTGAGCAGTTTGTACTCGGTTCAAAGGCCGGTTGGCGTTCGCATCGACTGCTCGCGGTGAACCGGACGTCTGTTTAGGCTGTTGCTTCGTACGATTCATCGAGAATTGTTGATCCGAGCGGTTCATCGAGAACTGTTGATCCGGGCGATTCATCGAATGCTGTTGATCCGGGCGGTTCATCGAGAACTGTTGATTCGGCCTTTGCTGTCTCTGCTGTTGAGGCTGTTGCGGCGAGGGGTTCGATTGACTCGTTTGTGACGTCTGAGTTTGTGGTGTTTTCCTTTGTGCATTTCCGAACAACCTCTGGGCGGCTAGCTTCTCTCTTGCTTCCTCCTGTTGCCTGCGACGAGCAGCGTCTTGTTCCTCCCTCTGGCGTTTTGCCTCAAGCATGGCCTTGTGGGCTTCTTCAGCAGGATCCGAGAAGTCGAAGTCATCGGATTCCTGAGCGCGGGTGGCAGTCGAATGGAAGGCATTGCTCCGAGCTATACTCGTCTGGCGGATGTGAGGATTGATGCGACCAGCGCAAAAGCTGCAGAGGCTTTGGCTCGAGGACGTCTGTATACCACAATTAGCCACTTCCTCTGCAATCCGGCTCTGCAGACTTGCCCTCAATAGCTTTGACCTGCGCATCTTGAAATTGCTAGCCTTTACAGGTCCACACTTCAAGAGGAGAGTGGTGACGCCGTCCCGAAAACTTCTTGGAGCACATGCAAGTTGCGGCGTCCGGAGAAGCTGTCTCTCCCCCGAACTTGGACCGCTTATTCTTACTTTAACTCTGTATGAGGCTTGCATCATTCAGACTTGCAGCATTGGATATTATCACATGAGGGAAGAAACAACAGATTGAGTAGCAGGCCGAAGAAGCAATCGAATCGTGGGTTACCAAATGCTATGCACATAACTCCGGAATCGTCCTGGTATCCTGCTCTGAAAGCCTCGCTTCGGCGACCTTGCTCCTGGCTCATCAAGTCATAAAAGCAATTCCCATCAGAACATGAAGATGCTGTTGAATCAACTCTTTACTTCTTCTTGTTGCCGCGGTTCTTCTTGGCCGTGGCTGCTGCTCTCTGTCTCTCCATTCTTGCCAACTGGTCGGCCTTCTCCTTCTCGTGCTCCTCCTTCTCGGCCTTCTCAGCTGCCTTACGGGCTGACTCCTCCTCTCTGCGTTGTCTGACCAGCTGTAATCTCTCCATGTCGTTTCTGGCTTGCTCGGTCTTGCCCTCAGAGTGCAGCTTCTCATATCTCTGCTTGGCCTGAACGGCTTGCAGGGCCTCGCGCTCTCTTCTGGACATTTGTGAAATGTCGGCTGGCTTGGTGGGCTTCTTCTTGGGTGCCTCATCGTCGGATCCAGCGACTACAGGCTTTGCGGCCATCTTTGCGGCCTTGGCGGTGTGGTTGGGGTTGGCGGGCATGTCATCGTCGTCTGATGATTCTGACTCGCTTCCAGAGGGCATGTCGCCGACTTGGACGGGTCCCTTCTTCTTTGCAATGGCTGCGGCCTTGCGTTGCTTGGCTGCCTCGCGTCTTTGCTCACGGGTCATCTCTTGCTCGCCGGCGACGGTTGCCTTGGGTGCCTCCTCATCGCTTGACTCCTCCTCTGACGACTCCTCTTCGGATGAAGAGTTGTCCGAGTCTGATGCCCACATGCTCTTCTCAGCACCCTCGGCGTCGATGGGACGGAGATCTCTGCTGAAGTGCTTGCCGCCTGCAGAACGAGTCAGTTGTGTCGCGTGATGTGCTGGCTGCCATTTTTACTTACCACCTCGCTTGGGCTTCATGAACTTGCCGCCTCTACCTCTAGTAGACATGTTTGCGGTTTGTGAAGGTGGTTGCTTTATGTGTGGTTTTTGTTTGACCTTCCGGCGTAGATTATGAGTGATCCGACGGACGTGTACGTTGTTATTAAAGTCGCGATATCTCAAAAGTCGCAACAAGATTGTTATGGTGACGAAGAAAATCTACTTGGGCCCTGATCTGGCTGACCTCCGCCGCAACAGTCACTGGGATTTGCTGACCGCAGTCATCGTCCTTGGCAGCGCATGCTGTGACTGGGGTCTGTGCACTCTTTTTTTTCTGCGACGGTATATAAGCGCCTCCTTCCCTCGACCCTCTTTGCTCGGGTACATAAACTGATTTTCCTTTATTCACCAACGCCGTGTTTGTTCCTGTTGCGAGCGAGGGGGGAAAAAGGAAATAGATCGATCTCGTCTGCTTACCCCGAGAGTGCCAGAATAGTGGCGCTCAAGGAAATATATTGGACGGCACATAACTTCGTGAATGACGACCGTGTTTTGTACTCTCAGCCTGGAGAATGACCATGGCTTGCACTGCAATTGTTCGCAGTCAGCCTGGGCCTGCCACAATATCTTTGCGCGTGGTCTCGTGGCTTTGCATGCGGTCCTCGTAAACTATCGCTCGCTGCTCGTATTCTGGGTCTGCTGTTGATGTTGTACACCGACTTCTATGTTCGCTTCGAGGTCCATCGTGGGCTTTACTCAACACCATGCCTTGGCTCACAACGCTGCTATAAGACTGCATAGACCTATCGAGATTTGCGGACGATTTGCATGAAGCCGTGTCAGTTGGCAGAGTATGGATCTTGTCCATGGTTGGATTTCACTGTACAGCTCTAAGCTACTGCCCTGCTCACAGACTCCTGGGATGTACGAGGACATCTCCAGCCCTCATCAAAGAGAAAGCAAAAGGACTATGTACCCTTGCCTGGCAAAAGGATGTCGCAGCCGTGAATCGAACACGGGGCTCGTGCATGGCAAGCACGAATTTTACCACTAAACCACTGCGACTCGGATGAAGTTACGAGGTCTTTCAAACAACAAGATTTTCAGACGATTCCGGACCCCCATTCTACTGCACTGGCAAGAACCCAGATACCGCGTTGGGCACCTCCTCAAGGCTGCTAACAATCGCTGATGGTCTTCCGAGTTCGCCCTCGATCATGGCATCTTGCCATCCGTTCCCTGCTCTGTCGACCCAGCATGCCTGCATACCAACCGCGCGAGCACCTGTGATGTCGAAAGGGTTGCCGCTGATCAGCCACATGCTCGCCATATCCTCTTTGTTGTTAGGGTTTTTGCCAACTGCCTTAGCAAGATGGGCATACGACTCTGGCGTCGGCTTGAACCGCTTGGGCTCCTCTACAACGACGATATCCTTGAAGGCCGATGCATGCTTCGAGAGATCGGGTGATTTGTTGACCGAGTTTGACACCATTGTATGCGTGCCATTCGAAAAGACCACCGGGTAGAGATCACTCTGCTTGGCAATAGCCTCAAGTGCTGGTCCCACATCGGGGAAGATGGAGAGGGAATCGTAAGCCTTCATCAAGTCGTCAATGTCCTTTTGCTCAAGTGAGACAGAAGACTCTGCCAAGGCATGTCGTAGCGACCGCAGTGTGACTTTGCTAAAGTCCTCGTATATGTCTGTAGTCGTGTCAGTGACGCGATCGGGATGCATTGAGTTCTGGGGAATGCATACTCATGCTGTTCAAACGCCATGTGTACTCCAGTTGATACTTGCGCCATGTTGTTGCGATTGTCTGTGCCTTTTCTTGTCCAAAGTGTGATGCGAGCTTCTTGGCTATGGACTCGGTGGACAGAAGCGTGCCGTAGGCATCAAAGGCCAGGATGGTTTTGTTTTCGCCGCTCATTATATATTGAGACTAGGAGAGAAGAATTGGAGGAACAGAGAATGAATTCAAGATGGCTTATGATGGTCTAGAAGTATGATGCTGATGGTCAGGAACGGGCCTCGGTGATGCAATGGAGGGGTCCCATTTCTCCGCGTCCCCAGACAGATAGGTTCTCTTCATTGCTTAGGTACTCACCACAACCGGTGCTAATGAACCTAAGGCGTCAGTGTCTCTATGTGCACGATGTCGTTCTCAGGCTGGTCGAAAGATTGCATTGCTCACGGCTTGCGTGTGTAAAGTCGCGGTCCAAGATACCCCATGGCGTCGGCGGACGATGCGGACCGCAAGAGGCGCCATGTGGATGTGTGACAGGAGCTATCTCAGAAGGAAGCTCTGCTCTTTCTACTTGAGGCAAGTGCTTCTTGGAAGGTGATACAACTTATGATGCGAGGAGGTAGGTGCTACCATGGGTTGCCGCATGTCTGTTGAGTAGACGCGGCTCCTGGCCTTGAAACCTCTCAATCGTTTTCCATTACCTATGCCCATCAACGAATCTCCTTTGCCCTCTTCCTATCTCCTCTCTGTCTTTTCTCCCATTGCTATCTTCCTTGCGGGTTCCCTACTCCTCTCGTGAATCGCCTGCCTTGGACGCCCCATATCTCAAGGTTTCGCGTCTCCAAGATATCTCTACGACAGCGGCTCTAGCCCTTTGCCGCTAATACCTTGCTGATTACCATCACAATTGGCCACAGGACATACCACATGTCTACCTACCGCAGATCAAGAAGAGATAGTGCTACAGCCGACTCTATCGCAATCTCCGACATCAGCTCTCGACCATCTGCACAAATGGACATGCCAAATGATTGCGGTCAGTTTTGCACCTCCTACGGAGCTTGTAACTCGAACTAAATATGACAGATGGCTGGAATGAATTGCAGAGAATCACCAGCTCACCAAGCGCTCCAACAACACCTCGCACTAAGCGCAAAATTCATTTTATCGAGCCCTCGCCCGAGGATGTTGCTCCGCGAAGATCCAATACCGTTCCTCCAGGCTTCCGAACTTCATCGACGATCGCTTTCGATCGTGAACAGACATTGTCAGGAGCAGCGGGTCCCGAAGAGGTCCAGCCTGATCTTATTTCATTCGAGGAGCCTGAAGAGATGTCCTTGAAGTCACAAGATTCGAGCGATGCCTGTCTTGAAAGCCATGAGGGAGATCCAGACTTCTACGACATGGACGTCGAGATGATTGCCTATAATGACGACTCGACCCCGATCGAGGAGCTCCCACAAGTCTCACCTGATGAAGATGACGCAGAAGATGCAAAGGTTCCCATCATTCCATTCAGGCATGCAAAATCGCAGTCGGTCTCGGCTGCCTCTGGAGCACCTCAGGAAAGACCAGCTCCACCAACATTCTATCGCACATCGTCGGCATCAGGGCTTTACTCCAAGCCAGCTTACAGCCCGATTGTCAAAGCACACGTCGCAGCCAGCCCTGTACGTTTTGACTTTTGCACCACACCTGATAGCGACGAGCAACTTGACGATATTCCGCAACTGTCTCGAAGCCAGACTGCGAGCTCCAAATCCAGTAACAGTGCATCTTCGGCACTATGGGACGACAAAGTCGCGGTCAGTACTGGTGAAAAGTCAGGACCGCCGAGCGAGATTTCCAGTCCAAATGCACATACGAGACAGTCGTCAGGCTCCAGGGGCGAGTTTCCCTTGGAAGCAGTCAAAAGGAAGCTGTCTGCCATGTCACACATGAGGAGAAGCGGCAACAAACATAGCAAGAGACAAAGTTCAGAGCCTTTGTCAAGTCCTGATGAGATTCCGGCTGCGCCTCCAAACACTCGCGCAACAAGTGACACGCCGAAGAGAAGCCCCAGAGGACCTGTGGCCCGACACAGTCATTCGGGCGTTCCGTCCCCTCAAGTCAGTCCAATGTTGACGGTGCAAAGCGAACCGCAGTCTCCGACGCAAAGCACTCGCGTATCACCTCACCTCAAGCCGGCCTTGAAACATGGTGGTCCCAGCAAGCCTATCGCAACAACCAAGTCACACGATCGATTTGTACCCACACACCGGGACAGCCTCGAGCTTGCACGTCACCGGTTGGCCGCAGAAGCAGCTACCATCGATCCTCAGCTTGTAAGCACGCGAGACTCGATCATCCTAGCTAAACAGCGATGGGACAAGTATCCCAAGTCGCACGCTGTCTTTGATGCGCAGTCAGAACAGGTGCACTTCGGAGGTCTAAGTCCGATCATGGACGCCAGCCCGCCAGACCCAAAGGCATACTGGGCGGGCAGACGAGAATACCTGTTGAAGCAAAAAGAGGTAGATTGGCAGCGTGAGATTGGCGGCCACCCAGAAAACGATCATGATTGTCCCATTTGTGAAGTGGAGAAACCTCGAACGAAGCGATTGACAAGCTTGCGAGCTGGTTGAAGGTTGTAGACTTGTCTGATAGAAGCACCTAATCCTCGGCGACCGAGTGTGTGTACATAGACTTTTTCTCTCTACAACGCCCTCCCTTGAACCCCTCATGACACCGGCGCCTGCTGTTACGCTCGATGAAGCCCGAGTGCAGCGATTGTCCCTCGATCGATCTAGTCCACATCGACACCCATCTTCTTCAGATCTGCGCGAGCGAGCTCAATCTCGGCCAGGATCTCCTTGTGAGCCTCTGGGACGTCGTGGAAGGTTGCGACATTGTATCCGAGCTTGCCAACAAGGTAAAGGCCAAAGGAGAAGACGCCGAAGAAGGGAAGCTGGAGCTATAGTCAGAAATCTGTCTGTCGGAGAGTCGAATTCGGGAACGGATAGAGCGTACGTAGGGCATAAGATCATTGATGGCGGACGGCAGGGGGATCAAGCCAAGGAAGAGTGCCAGATAGAGCTGTGACGTGTTGTGTTAGTTGTGTGTTTTGCCAGCCAGAAGTGACGATGTCGCATACGGAAGAGACGAGCAGGAAGATGGAGATGGTTTGCGTGGCCCTTGTCATTTTGAATGATTTCTGTGGGTTTTTGTATAACACAAGGAGATGTCGACGTTGCTGTTGTTTGCGACTTTCGAGTCGGTGGAAGCTCTATCCCTGTCTCTCTCCCTTGATCTGCTCCAAAGTCCGGGGTCCAAGAAGCGCCCGCCGTGATCGTGAGGTCTTGGCGTTGGTTTGTCAGTGCTAATTTAAGATCTATTGCCTTTGCCTTCTTGACCTTTGTATTTTGTCCTTCTACTGAATTGTGAGAGGAATCAAGTTCTGGGACTATGGCTGACTTTGAATGGGCACAATCGGTGTTGGACGCTGATGAGCGGCCTAGTTTGAGCGATATTGCAAGAGCACTTCAGATCCTCGCAGACTCGAGTGCTGACCCTGAGTTGAGATTACGGATGCAAGATGTTTCATTTCAGCAATTGCTTTCATTGTTATCAGGTCTCGCTGCCAGTAGTGCACAAGAATCGTCGAATTTGACGTTATGGAGAAACTTGCTTCGTTGTGTTGGCAACATGATCGCGGACAATGGTAAGATGGTATCATCTTGAATGTTTTAAGAAACGTGCTGATTGGATCGTCTTGGAACATAGATGCTCGTAGAGCTCAGTTGCTGGAGGATCCGACATATCTGATGACCTTGGACTCGTTTTTAACATCCATCTCGAACAACCCTGAATCGACGACGTTAGTGGACATCACAGTCAAAGTCCTCTTCAACCTGTGTACAGACTACAGTAAGTTTGAAATAGATCAAGGCAAGTCAAATATACTTATTCGCATATTCAGCTCCTGCCCAGAAAGAGTGCTTCAACCAGAACATCCACCAATCACTAATCTACTGCCTCGATACACGGCTTGCTGTAGATCAGGGCATCTGGGGCCTGGCACTCGATCTGACATGCATGATTCTGGAGCACAAGCAAGAGCTGAAGCCGTCACAAGAATATCCTGACTTTGAAGCCAACGCACCTCGACTTCTGAGATTGCCTCTCGCGGAGGTGGATGCAACAGCGTTCCTCGATGCGTTGACATTAGTTGCTGCACATCTACTCGACAAGAACTTCGTACAGAAACTTGTCGAGCACAAGCAAATCGAGCATATCTGGAAGCTGCTGAAGCGTACGGAACATAGAATGCTCAGCGATCGCGAAACAGAAGACCAGGACGACTATGATGAAAAGCAATATCTCCAATTTCAGCTTGTGCTGTCTCAGGGGTTGGCTGACATGACTGCTTTACCGCTCTACAACGACAAGTACGATACGACTGATTCATTCATACAATCTCTCTACCCGCAGGTCATTCCCACCTCGACGGACCCTACATCAAGATCACCGGTTGCTCCTGCAGCTTGTCTGATTCTCGGCAATCTCATCATATCCGACGAAGCAGCCATCTCTCTAGCTCCTCACATACCGATAAAAGATCTCTTCGCAAAACTCGGTCGATCAAACGACTCTGCCTTCCTCAATGCGGCATCAGGACTGTTACGCCATCTATCAACACCTGTACAAAACCGCGAACACTACTTTGCGGATCCGGAATACCTCCTATCAACCAGACATCTCTACACAGACATTCCGCTCGAACAGGTCCAAATGGGAGGCCTTGCACTAACCCGTCAAATCCTTGCAAACATGAAGCCGAGATTGGTAGCACTACTGTCTTCCGCCACCAACAAGTTCCTCTCAACGCTGCTATCAATCTACCAAACCACAACATCTACATCCGTAAAGTTGGAAATGTCAAGACTGGTGGTGAGCTTCTTCCGCACACTCCAAGCTTCTTCGGCCACGGTATCGGAAATCGAAACCGGAGAGGAAGAAGCGACAAGGGCACTCTTCGATACTCCTGTCAATACCTCAAGCATTCTCGACCCGCTCGTTTTTAGTATAAAGCATGCAGCTGAACCAGGAATCATCGCCATACAGGCAGAAGCATGGTTAGGATTGAACCTCGCTGCTCGTCTCCCAAGTGGTGCGAGGAAAGTCTCTACTGCTTTCTCTGATGATGAGGAGTTATTTGCACTGTTCATTTCAAGGTTGGGTGGAAAACCTGGAGATGGGGAGGAAGTCAAGGATGAGAGGCCTGAGTGGCTAAGAGAGAAGGAAAGAGATAATGCAGTCCTACTCGGTGCTGAGTTGATCAAAGCAGAAGATGTGGATGGAGACGTCAAGGAAAAGTTCAAACTCGCATTGCGGGAGAAGGAAATCCGCATTGGTTGATTGTGCGATAATTCGAGGATACTATTTATACAGCGAAGAGTCTCAGATCATATCAACATTACTAGGTAACTTTTTATACAAATCAACAAGTACCAGGCTCAAGAACCGCAAGCCTCAACCCCTCCATAAGCTCCAGCAAATTCTCCACCAGGGGCGGCGCCGACCTCGGTGGCCGACCATTCATCCTGAAGATATCCATAAGCACACTCATTACAGCCGCGGGCTCTGATAACAACACATGCGTGCCGCTAGGGTCACCGACAGCCTTTTTGATAGCAGCTTGTCCTTTGTTCAGGCTGATGAATCTTTGCGCGCCGTTGCTATCTGTTTCGTCTAGCATGGCGACGCTTTCACCTCGTCGTGCTGAGATATTGCCGATGGAGTCGAGGGCTGATTCGGTGAGTGCGGCGTTTGAGATCACACCGTATGACCATAGGGCCAGGCCTGCCTGGTAGAGTACGATGGCGTGGAAGTCTCGCAGACAGCCGGTGGGTATCTTTCTGGCCGCCGCTACAATTTGAGCAGCGTGATAGACACCTTGACGAGCACTGGAAGACTTGGCCCATTCTTGCAGTAGAGGAAACACTCTTCTTGCTTCTGAGTGACCTTCTGCTCCTGCGAAAAGATGCATTTCCTCGAGCGAGATATGCAGGTGCATGAGCAGCAGCTCTAGGGAAAGAGTCATGGCGACATTGGTATGCGAGCTCATCTTGACACAGTCGAGAAGTCTTGTGAGCTCTGTAAGTCTTGATGATAGCAACAGATTTGAGTTGCTCCATGAGCTTGCTTGACCTCTGCTGATGGAGCACATTTGTCGATATTCCCAGATCAGACGCCAAGCGGCACTGAGCAGTGCTTGACTCGCAGTGGTCTCATCGAACATGTCGTGTCCCTCGCCAAGAAGCTCAACATCTTGTAGCAAGTCAGTAAGAGATGGTTCTCTTTGCTTGTGTTGATCCAGAGACATGTATGTCTGCTTCCACTTCTCGGCTGTCGCGGCGATCCACAGACTCTCAGCTTCTGGTAGAGGTAGGCCGAGTTCCGCATACGATATCAGAGGATTTGTGAACAGCGTAATCGACTGACGGGTGTCGTACTCTAATAGGTAGAAGACCAGCCTCTTTCGCATCTCTTGTTTGGCCCACGCATGCCACTTGTCTTCAAGAGCTTTGCCTGTATCCGTCGAGTATGGGATAATGGCCTCATAGGCAGATCTCCGAAACCAGCCTCTGCGGCGGCACATGGTTAGATATGGCTGGAGGAAGCTCTCCGCGATTTCCATCTTGCGAGAGTTTCCGCTCCAGAGACCGGAGCTCAGGCCAATGCCGAGCGACGTCACGCACTCAACATCGCCAATGAGTGTGTTGTCTCTTTCGATGTTGTTAGGTACCCCGACGCGGACTACTTCCATCAACGCAAATCCCATCTTCCTCAAGCTGATATCTGGAGCAAGAGTTGCACCACCAACAACCATCGCTGCAATCAGTTCTGGTCTCGCATTGTTTGGTCGAAATGTTGGCAGATGAATCATTCGATTCGATATGGCGGTTTTCGATGAAAGAAAGTATTGCAACAAACTGTCCAGAAGCTCGAGCGATGGGAATGACAGCATCGTCTTTTGAAGTGTATCTGCATTGGCGGAAGACATGAACAGGGCCATGATACGATCTCGCATGTTGTATGAAAGCATCTCGGACGTCACTCTTCTCTGGACTGGTAATCGCTTGCTGGTATCGCCGTTCGGCATTGATATGTTTTGTTGATCGTTCATGCCACGATCTTGTGTAACAGGACGGAAGCGCCATGTCGAGGACTTTTGTAACGACTCGACTCCCAGAGCTGAGGGCGGGTCGCTCGTGGATCCAGGTATTGATCGTGCTGTCTCCGGGGTTTCCACGAACGATGCGAAAGGTATCTCGTGGTTGTACCCGTCCAGAAATCCGAGATCTAGGTCGTTGAGTTCGAGGTCTGTATTTGTACCAAAGTCGAAGACATTCCGTGGCGTCCATGTGCCAGGTATGAGCTCTCCTGGTGCAGGTTGTCGAGGGAATGGATCTCCGCCGATGATGCTCTGTAGGAAGTCATGCAAAAAGCTCCCATCATTCTCATACGCTGGCACAGATACATGGCCAGGATTCTGTTGAGTCAGTGATGGGTCCACCATCTGGTCGTCGGCTGTCGTCATGTTGATCATGGGCTCTGTCGAGGCTTGGTACGGTCTCGGTGGCTCCATGAAGGATGAGGATAGACTCACATCATCCTGGTTCATGTCGTTCATACCCATCGGATGAGTTATTGTAGGATTCATCGATGGCATGTCAGATGGCATAACAACCGGCTCACTTGCAAAGGCCAGAAGATCTCTAGCAACAGCTTCCTTGTCTGGTGGCGGTGGCGAAGACTGATACACACAGGTCATCTGCTTTTTGTTGCATCTCGTACATGGCTTCTGTTCGTCGCAGCGAATGTGCAATTCGGCACAGGCTTCACATGCTTTACTGACGCGTCCTTGGCGATTTGGTGCTGGGGTGTTTGCTGATTGTTCTCCTCGAGCTTCATGGCCTGCTACATGGCGTTTGAGGAGATCGCTGACATGTTGTCAGCCGCTTGTTCACCATCAATGTATCACACATGCTGTGTAACATGCAGGGCACCTACGCTCTAGCAAAGCTCTTGTTGCAGGTCTGACAGAGGTAGGGCTTCTCCTATCAGGCGACACATTAACACAACCCCACATCATCAACACTCTAAGGCAAGACTGACTTTGGTATGCAGACGAACATGTCTTGCAAGATGGTCAACCCGTGAATAACTCTTTCTACAATCACCACATTGGAACAATTTGGATGACTCCTGGGGTGTCTGCTCTGAAGATTCGTCCCGAGCGTGCTTACCCAGTACTGAAGCGGGGGAAGGGTTCTCCATCGGTTCGGAATAGTCGCAACAAACAGGAGATATCATGTCAGGTAGCACCACGGCAGGAGGGTGGACAATGTGGAGATAAAACAGAGATGCCCGACTCATGGCGACCGCGTCTCCCCTCAATTTCCCCTCGGTCTTTGCAGCGCGTCGGCTGGTCTTTCGCTCCGTCTCGAAGCGAAACGTGCGGGTTAGTGGCGTTCTGGCCCCATCCTTCCTCCACTTTCTCCTCCACTTCCCGACACATTCGTCGATCGCGTGCGGAGCCCCCAATGCCGAGAGCATGTGCTACTGTATCTTCCATAGCCTATTATCGAGCTGATTTGTATTCAAACTGCTCCTTTGCTCCATTGACTGCACATTGCTGACACTCACACATCACAATCTACACAATGGGTATGTTCGTTCGTCCAGAAAGACCACTCGGGTATGGCTGACAGAAGCAGGTCTATCACCAGTTCACTTTTTTAGCCATGGCTCGACCATGATGCTCGGCGAGGAGTCCACCAGTGCTGATTACTGGAAGAAGTGTGGCGATGAAGCCTTGTCACACAATATCAAAGGCGTAATCATGATGGTAAGTATCCTCATCCTCTACAATAGATATGATGTGCTGACAGAAGCATAGGGAGCTCATTGGGATGCTAGAGGCGACAAGATCATGGTTTCGGCCAACCCAAAGCCCAACAAGAGTCCCGTAGCCTATGTTCACCCTTCAAAATATGTTGACTACGAACTTGTACCCGACCTACCCACTGCCGACAAAGTACTGGACTTGCTGCTCAAGGCTGGCTTCAACGCAGAGAAGGACGCAACTTTCGACTGGATTCACGACACATACCTGATCCTGATCAGAATGTTCCCTAACGGCTGCCCTCCCACCACAATCGTCAGCATGAACGCATACTACGATCCCCACTACCACATGAAGGTCGGATCATCATTGCGATCGCTGAGGAAGGAAGGCTACCTGATCGTCGGTACTGGAGGTGCTGTCCACAACCTCTACCGCAATGTATGGTGGCCCATGGTCAAGCACAGAGACAACTTCGCCCAGGTTGCTCCCCCAGAAAGTCCTCTCTTGGACTTCAGACAAGCCGTTGAAGATGTCATGACTCAAAACCAGGGCCCTGCTTTGAGAAGAGCCATGACACGACTCATGAAGCATCACTACTACCGCGAGGCACACGGAACAGACGATCACTTCATGGCAGCTTGTTTCTGTGCTGGTGCTGCAGGTGATTGGGAAGATATGGAAGAGCAAGGTGGTGTCTTGGGTGCAGAAACCTGGGAGCTTCAGAACATGTGCAACTCACAATTCACGATTGGTAACTGGCAAGGAAGCAGGCCTGTACGAGCTTCTGCTTGAGGAGAGACTTTCATTTGAGTACCTTTAGTTTATGATATCCTGGGATCGGCAGTTGACTGCCTTCGTTTTGACAATCGAATTCGCCTTGCATACGGACTTGCCCACCCATCCTGCAATGACTTCTTCTTGATCATGTCTTTAGAGTTGATCATTTACCCTCAACAAGCAACCATCACACCCTCCAAGCGAGCATATTGTCCGCTTAATCAAGGAAGGTCGTCTCGTTACATGGCTCGATACTTGACAGCGTCATGTTTACAATTTTCCAAATGTATGCCGAGCAAAGATCATGCATGAATGATCGTGTTCGTAATTGATATGTTCGAAAATGATGCTTGCTATTGATACGCTACGACATGGTATATCTATCTGTCTTTTACAACCGACTCTGTCCTCTACCACGCAACAGTTATGACTCCTTGGGAGGAATGATAGGGAGAGTGACATAGTTGGTGAACTTGTCGCTGAAGTGGATGAAGTTGGTACCCTTAAGCTTGGCTTCTGAGCGGTCGACGGAGTCGTTGTGACCGAAGATACCCGAGCCTTGGGTGTCACCACTGGCAACCTCGAAGATGATTTTCCCACCCTTGTCGACAACGACCTGAGTGGGCCAGACTTCAATGTCGACTGGGTATACCTCTCCAGGGATGACGGGCTGCTTATCGGTGCTGAAGTAGTCTCTGTGGGGGAGGTATGGGCGATGCTTGTAGTGTTCGGGGTTGGTCTTGCGCATGGATACGCGGAGCCATCCCTTACAAAGCGGTACGGGATCGCCGGCAGTACCTGTGTAGAAGACCTCCTTACCCTCGGGAGAGATGTGTCTGAGGGTGACGAATACATCAATGTCGGTGGGTGTGGGTCCAGTGGTGTCAGGGGTCAAGGAGACGTTGAGACGAGCTGTGATGTGTCCAGTGATCTCTGTCTCCTGTTCGAAAGCAGGAGTGGTGAATTGAATCATCTCCGGCTTGTCAAGCGTGCCCAAAGCTCTGTAACCAAGCTTTGCCTTTTCTGAGGGAGTAGATGTGGTAAGTCCCTTCTCTGGTGTGAGGTAGTAGTTTGTGTATTGTGTTCTGGCAATGGGCCATTCGTTCTCTTGTCTTCTAGGGTATGTTTGCTCTGCTTTGGAGTCGTTGAAGCCAACATCGCCCTTGCGGAGGACCATGTCTACCATGGGGACTTTGCCCTTGGTGGCCCAACCAACTCTGTCCTCGCCCTTGAGGAAGGCATCCAAAAAGCTGCGTTGGATTTCAACCTCTTCGCTGTAGTAGAAGGGAAGATCGTGACGGCCAGTGATACAGCGGAGGTACTTGAACTCGGAGCCCGCATGAGCGAAGCCTTCGATGTTGCCGCGGAGATGGAGCAGGATACCACCCCAGTTGGCGACTGAGAGGAGAGGGACCTTGATGTCACCCATGTCATATTCCTTTGAGGCGTAGTAAGGGTCGTCGCGGTAGCTATCGGAAGTCAGTAGTGGTCTAAACACTTCGCTCCAGAAGCACGCACTAGTTGTTCTGGTTATCGATGTTCTGATCCTGTCTGTTTGCAGCTCTCTCCTCTTCTGACAGATCACCTTCAATGGTGTCTGGGCCCCAGTTGTTTGCCTTACGTCCAGGCTTTCCGTATTGGTTGGTGATGATCTGGCGATTCCACCAGAATCTGATGAACTGGTTGGAGAGAATACCGCCGTGACGGCAGCGATCTCTGTAGTAGTCCGACATACCCTCCCAGGGGACAATAGCAGAAAGACCCTTAGGGTTTCTGGCAGCCACACGCCATTGAGAGCCGGCGAAGTAACTGATACCAAGAAGACCGACCTTTCCAGACGACCACTCTTGCTCCGATGCCCATTCGACTACATCGAAGAAGGCTTCTGAGGTGCCTCTTGACATAGTGTCAAGGAGACCAGGAGATTGACCCAGACCACGCTCGTCAGCACGGACTACAGCGTATCCGTTCTTGGTCCAGAATGCAGGATCAGGAGTCTCCCATGCCGAGTGTGTTGACTTGTGCTCAGGGTTGACTTCTGAGTAACTCTTTGCGTGGAAGTCGGCATACGGGATGTCCTTTCCGTAACTACTCGCTGTTAGCTCTTACTGGCCCGATTGACAGCTTCTTGAAGTTTACTTACGGTCCATATGTGATTAGGACAGGGACCTTTTCAGTTGTCTTCGGTCTGTAAACATTGACACGAACCAAGCCATCGCTTGACTTCAACTCAACGGTAGCATTCTGCTCGAACACATAGTCAAAAGACTTGTCGTCGACGGTGTGGAGGTCTTGGATCTTGTTAGGCATCTTGCAACAATGACGAGATGGATAGGAGAAAAAGAGGAAGGGTCTACGAACCTTGGCTCTGGAAGTAGGAGCTTGCCTTTTTGTTCAACAATAATCACGTCTTCATGGCAAATGCTTCGGCGCTGGGGTCTGCAGGAGTCCGAATTGCGGACGGTCGCGGGGGTCCTCCACATGTTCCGCGTCGGCATGTGGAGGAACAGCAATCCACCTTGATGTGGGTCGTGCTATACAGTGTTTGTGGGGCTACAGCGGCTATGGAGAGTCAATCATCCGAGATGAGGAGGTTCTCATGCGAGCTCTCAAGTTAGAGAACTACATTTTGACTCCTTTACTCAACTTGACGACCTTTCACAATCATTGATTCCCTTAAGCATATTCACAATCACCAAACCTCATCAAAATGGCACACAAAGGAGAGCTTCCCAAATACCAGAGACTCATCACTGGTCACAACGACGATGGCAAGGCTATTTTCGCAGAGATTGAGGAGACTGCCCCTTGGACTACGGTTCAAGGTGGTTCCGTTGGCTTCTCCCTTGGCTACACAACTTCAACCACGCCAGTTGACATGACCGACGACAAGGATATCGCAAGTTACAAGGAGCACTTGGTAACACCACCTGGTCTTGTCAACAAGCAGGGATCGGTTCTTCGTTTTGTGGTACGTACTTCTGATTATGCCTCTAATCGAGGATACTAATCAGCTCAGGATTGCCCTCCTGGCTCAACATCACCTATGCACCGCACTGTTTCGCTCGACTACGGTGTTGTTCTCTTCGGAGAGATGGAGCTGGTCCTCGACAGCGGCGAGACTAGAGTCATGAAAGTTGGAGATGTTGCAGTACAAAGAGGAACCAACCATGCATGGAGAAACACAAGCGACACCGAGTGGGCGCGTATGATGTACGTCTTGCAGCCTTCGCTTCCCATTGAGATCAACGGAAAGCCATTGGACGAGGATCTCGGTGTTATGGAGGGTGTTCCCAAGTCGTCTTGAACCCATAGAGAACCGATACAATGTGGTAATCGCAACACTCAACGCTCCAAAAAGATTTCCGTCACAGACCATCAAGGTTGATAAGCATTTACATTTAATTCTCAAGTTTCGGGACTATAGCACATAAAAAAGAACTTGCTAACGGGAAAATGTTTGATTTAACGAGAAGACGCAGCTCCAGAACACCTGCAACATCATGACCATGCAATATAATGTTTCAACTCAATGTTCTCCACCAACCTGCCAGCGGAAGTATGTGTTGTTGATCTTGCCTCCTGTAGCTCTCCAAAGTCTGTTCGTCGCCTACAGATATGTCAGTATGCCTTATCCATCTCGTAGTCGACGATTTGTGGCGCCGTACCGATGTGAGAACAATTCCGTTGAACATATTCCAAATGAAAGCTCGCTCGATGCCGTTTTGTGTAGTGTCACGGTATGAAAAGTCGAGTGAGGTGTCTACCGGGCGATAGTCGGGGACACGGCGGAAGTTGTCCTCCCAGTCTGATGGATTGTTGCTGGTACCCTCCGGCGCAGAACGAGAGTTGGGAGCTGCTGAGACGTCGGAGTCTTCACCACTGTGTTGCAAGTCGTAGTCGGCGAGCGTTCTGCCCAGCGAGTAGGTTACTCGGTTCTCGGTGAGTGTGACGGACATTTTGGTGTTGATATTGATGGCGACAGCGACTGAGTTGAGAGCAATATGGGGAGAGGCACCACAGGCAGAGGAAACAATCAGAGGTAAGTCTTCAGCCTGAGAGTCCGGATGCCGGATCTTCGAAGAGTGTTTAGGTCCGGGCAAAGTACCGGGGACCCCCGCAACCATCTCCGTAGAGGACGATCCTTCCTCCACATACCCGATGTGGAGAAAAGCTGAGCGCCCGGTATGGCGGCTGTAGCAACATGTGATTCTGCTCCGGCCTCGAGCGCCATGGTTTCACGGAACCACGGAATTAGTATAGTTGCTGCTGTTAACTTTGTAGCAAATATCCCCTGTGAATCTCACTTTCCTCCCTTCCACCACATTTTCTATATCCAAGATTCTTCAACATGTCTAACAGACCATTCGCACAGCTCCAAGCTGCCGCTATTGATGGCAGAACTAGAACTGTCTTCTATCGCCAAAGTCAACTAGAGAAGCTTCACAAGAACCTTGTGTCGAATGCATCCGAAATCGTGGACGCGATTGTTGCAGATGCTGGTCTTAGCCGAACAGAAGCACAGATCGAATTCTCGCTTGCTCTTACGGCAGTGAGAGAGCGCTTTGCGGAGCTTGAGCCAAAGAAGGAGCTTGAGAGCGAATATGCTGTTGCACGTGGTGAGGATGCGGGTAGCCTACGTCTTGGATACGGCATTGTATACATCAAGGCTTCAGCCGACCACACTCCTTTCTATTCGGCAATCGCACCCTTGAGCGCAGCTGTTGCTGCAGGAAACTGCGTGGTTCTCCAGGTATGCATATCCGTACACTGCTACGAGATACAGTGGCTGACAAGGACCATAGATCGAGAACAGCCTTCGCAGTCTTCCAACCATTCTGCGCAACACTCTCAAGTCTGCACTTGACAACGACACATTCGACATTGCACAGCAACCTGTACAAGACGCATCCTTCCTGGGTGGCTGTCTGCAAGTAGTACAAGATGGATCCATCGATGGGCCCGCTGCACAGAACCAGCTCGTCTCAAAAGCAAGCTCAATCACAGCAGCGATTGTTGACAGGACGGCGAACTTTGATGAGACAGCAAAGGCTCTTGTAAATGCTCGCTTCTCATACAACGGCAAGTCACCATATGCTCCCGACGTCATCTTTGTCAACGAATTCTCCAAGAAGGACTTCTTGCAAGCACTCCTCAGACACTCTGTGTCATTCGACGAAGTAGTGGAGAGGGAGAAGTCGCCGACCAGAAGAAGTGGTCGTGAAAACGACATCAGAGACCTGATCTCTAGCCTACAAAAAGACGGAAGCGGTCGTGTCATCGCACAAGAATCCAACCGAGCAATCCTGGAAGTTACCAAGAGGTGAGCACCAACATCAGTATCGTAGAGAGGCAGAAGCTGACACGCGATGCAGGAGTACGAACCTACTCAAGAACAAGATCAGCGAGCCGGCTCTGCTTGTACACTCTGTCAAGAGTCTTGACGATGCCATCGACTTCATCAACAATAACGGCAACGAACTGCTGGCTGCATACCACTTTGGCGAGAATGCCCAGTGCAAATACCTCAGCCAGTTTGTCGCATCGCAAGTCTCATACGTCAACCACATCCCAGCAGAACTTCTTGGTTAGTACTTCGATCGCACTTATCTTGATGAAAACCAAGACTAATGAACATGTCAGTCGGTCCTGCGTTCCCAGTCGGTCACCCCATCACCTCGACGCGTTACCCAACCGCACTCTTCACCCGCCCGACACCCGCCTTCGTCACCAACACCACACAGTCAAAGACCGTAGAGTCAGCCCTGAACGGCGCGTCAAAATCGGAGAAGTCGACCGCAGTACAAACGCTGTACCGTCAAGCAGTCTCAGACCTACCTTCCGCACACAAGCGACCAAAGCAAACACGCGCAGGTTTCGGCTTCTTCGAGCAATCCATGCTGCTGAACCTCGGCTTCGTCTTGCTGTCCACCGGTGCCACAATCGCCGCGACTGTTATCCTTGGAAAGCGTGCAAGAGCTTACTATTCTCATTAGAATAATTCTTGGTTGTTTTCGTTGTTGGGAAGGTCCGATGGTGTCAAATGGCGTGTGTCCCAATACGCAATTCCCAAGTCTTTTGCAAGCGAGATGTTTGTCTGGTTTCTTTCTACCATCAATGTGCTTTTGACCAGCCACCTGTTTTTCTTATCAATAAAAACAATTCATCGCCTCATATGTATGCGCACCCTCATTAGTGACATTGACCAAGTTAATTAACCATACTGCAGAGCATCACAACACAAGATCAATATGCCGCTCATCGAGAAATCGTGCGTCAAACTTTGTGAAAGTACATAACAATTTCACTAAAATATCACCAGATACCCCGCCATCATGAGCGCAATCAAGGGCTCATCACTCCCAAAAACCTCCTTCCTGGTCTTTTACTCATCAATCGTCGACGGCAAGATGTGGTGTCCTGATTGCGTCGATGTCGAACCTTCAGTCCGCGAAGCCTTCGACGGTGCTGAGAAGCCCGAAGCCATGCTCTTTTACGTGGGCAAGAAGGAAGAATGGCGTACCCCCGAAAATGTCGCTCGTGTTGACTGGAACGTCCGTGGTATTCCGACAGTCATAAAGTTGGAAGAGGGAAAGGAGACTGCTCGTGTGACTGAGACTGAAATCTTGGACAAGGGCAAGTGGCAGGCTTTTCTCAAGAACTAAAAACACTACATTCAAGACTATGAGAGGAGACGTCAAATTGGGGAAAGAAGAATGATCGAATTGTGGGGTTGCATAAAACACGTTGCTATATCGTAAAAAGATCATTGAAAGATCGACGCGGCTGCTAAATCAGTTACTCGGCCTTTGCGTATCCCTTCATCACAAGCTTGGCTGTGGCAACTCTCATTCTCTTGCCGTAGAGCCAGACAGGAACAGCGGTGAGACCAAAGATTCCCATGAGTAGAGCAAAGATGCCGAAAGGCATGGCGGGACCTGCGCTCTCGACCCATGTGCCGACAAAGAATGTCCAGGCGAAACTGATGATGGCACGGAAGGTGACAACCATGAGGAAGCAGTCGGCACTCCATCCACCGTAACTCTCGATGATGTAGTTGAAGCCGATGGAAGGAACTTGCATCAGACCGAAGGCGACCATGCCGTTACCGAATTCGAGGCCAATCCAGGCCAATGGCGTTGCTGCCTTTGCAGAGAAACCGAAGCAAATAGAGCCGGCAGTAGCGATGGCGAGTGCAGGGAACATAAGGGGAAGACGATTCTCAGGCTCGCTGAATCCGTGACGCTCACGCCTAGCCTGGCGCTTGACGATGTAATCTGCGGTGAAGTAGGTGTAGATTGCGCCGAGAGCGGTACCGATCAAACCACCAACGTTGATCAGACCAACCGAACCGCCCCACAGGTATGGAGGTGCGGCAAGGATCTGAGGTGCAACGGTCGAGAGGGTGACGATCAAGCCGACAAGACCGGCGTAGTGGAGCATGACCATCCAAGTACCAGGGAAGAGCAGCGTGGTGTAAGGTGTGATGCAACGCTTCCAGAAGCCAGGTCTGTACATGCCAATCTTGAGGCTTCTGGCGAAGGTGTATTCAGGGAAGACAGCAGAGCTGACAGTCTCGACTCTGGCCATCTCAGCCTTCTCGCCGACAGGTGAGTCGTTGTCATAACCCTCGGGACGGACAACAGCCATGGCTGCTTCACGATCGAAGAGAGTCTCGGGAACGAAGAAGAAAGTCAGGACGAAGATGATGCCAGAGAGGATAGCCGAGATGTACATGGTCCATCTCCATCCCATGTCGTGTGTGATGTAACCACCAATGAGACCGCCTACCAGAGAACCAGAGGCAAGGAAGATAGTGTAGATGGCCTTTCATGAGTTAGTTTGTGATGTCTTGCATCGATGACTCGATAGACTCACCATAGCGCGACCTCTCTGGTGAGTAAAGAAGATCTGACCAACAACATCGGGAGCAAGCGTATCGGCTGCACCACCACCACATCCCTGGAAGAGTCTAGCAACAAGCAGACTGTTGAATGACTTGGCCTCACCGGCCCAGACTGAGGTTGCACAGAGGAGAGCCAAGCAGACAAGGATTACAGGACGACGACCAAAGGCTGATAAAGGTTTTAGTTCAAGTGTCGTGCGAATGGCTCTTGGGAGTACTTACTGTTTCCTAGAGGCACCCACCAGATGTTTGAGGCACCCAGAAAGAGGTTGTTGACAGCGATAAGGTGGGTCAGCTTGCTGAACGGCAGAATGCCAGTAGGAGGTCCACGCTCGTGCATTTGCATGAAAGCGGTAATCAGAGTCGGCAAGGCACTACTGATGATCGAACTCGAGACATTGGTAACGAAGGCGTATATACTCATCAACAGCAGAATCGTGATCTTGCGTGTGTTGGAGAAATTCAGAGGATCCGCGGGATCCGGTGATGGCCTAGATAGGTTGTCAGGAGGTGAGGTCGATGATCATCGTGGTAGATAAAACATACTCTGGGTTCAAGTGGATGTGGGTTTCTTCGACCTCATGGTGCCCTGTATTTGTTCGTACGAGTTCTCTGTCTGTTGATGCTGGTCAGAGATGTTGGTGATTTCGTGGTTAGGCCGCCACTCACCCATCAACGTGACAGTGCCAGGAGGCGCCATCTCGTTGAGCTCCTGCTTATCAAGCGAGAAGGCATGTCTGAACGAAGTCATAATGGATAATGTGCCTGAATTGGCAATTGCGTTGTAGAAAGGATGTCGCTAGGAAGGGAAGGACGTATCGAAATGAAGATATCTGCGACGGAGAAGGAGCGTGGTTTATGAGTCTTGAGATGCTCGCGGACGTTGTCCAATCAGAGTTTGCACGCTCTTGCCATCGGCAGTACGTTTCGTGCCCACTACAGAAACAGTGGGCGAACTAGGGCACAAATGGGCTCGCGCTCCTTTCCTCTCCACGTCTTCGAGGCCTCCCCCACAATTGATTTGGGGTGTCTAGCGAGGCTAGGATATTAACTGACTGCTCATTGGCCACTAGTCCTAGCCCCAGACTCAACATGTGCAGCTGGACCTTTTTAGAGTTTACCCCAGGCGTGGGCGTTCCACCGTCTTGGTGCCGCGTGGAGAGGAAGTGTGGAGAAGAATCGTGAGAATTGGAGAATCCGAAGGTGGAATGGCTCGTAAAGCGACAAAGATTGAGGGCTTCGTTAATCATGCCCTAAGTCACCGGAAGATCAAGTGCCGGGATACATGAATAGAGTTCATTAATAGTTCTACGAACATGACCAACAACGTGGGGGAATGCCGATGGATGCAGTGACAGGTGCTTTTAGTGCTTCCCGATCTCGCTCTACTCACTACTCCATGTCTCTATGGACAAAGCTGGTAACAACTCTGCGCGACATTCGCCAAATCCGACGCCTTCGCTGCACTTTCCTGTGAACTGTACAACGACGCCGTCCGCAAGATAACCGCGTTGAACAGCTGGTGGTGGGAGATTGTGTTCAAGCATACATCCACGTCCCTCGTCCGAGTCCTCAGAAACAGTGCCGCATGCAAGAAGATCTCCAGCTTGGAATCCACAACCTGCGCTAGCTTGATGTGCCAGAAGCTGTTCGAAAGACCATGCTAGAACCTTGCTGTTTGCGACGCAAGCACGAGTCACATCGTTGTCTGTAGATTGAACAAAGACAGATAGGTCGATTGACAAGCCCCGATCGTCCTTCTCCACAGCGATGTGGGGAGGCAAAGTATGTTTCCAGCCTGGCCCGTTGACACGGAACGGCTCCAAAGCGTCGTAAGTGATAATCCAGGGTGACAGTGTTGTGCCCGAATTTTTGGAGTTCAAGGGGCCGAGCGGGATCATCTCCAATATTTGTATGTCGCGAGCTGTTCAAGGGTCAGCTTGTGTTGCGCTTCATCAGTCTGGAAATATACTTACCACTCCAGTCATTCAACATCACAAAGCCAAAGATGTGCTCTCCGGCATTGTTTGCCGTGACAGTCTGGCCGTATGGAAGGGGTTTGCCAATTACAGCGGACAGCTCCATTTCATAGTCCATTCGACGACTAGGCCCGTAAATGATCTTTTTGTTCTCACCCCTCATGGCAGCCATGTTGTCTTCCCAGAACTGGCCAATTGGTCGTCGGACAGGTGTACCAGAAATCTTAATGCTCGAGCATCTACCAGCATAGCCTGGAGGAATAAAGCCCCAAGACGGAGGAAGACCTTTTCTTCCCATGGCAGCAAGGCCAGCATTGAGATTGTGAGACTCAGAACACGAGAAGTCCGTGAAGTCTGCTACCGACACTGGAAGGTGCATTTGACATTTTGAGACATCTTCCATGCTACTCTCGGGAAGCTTACTATCTTCGATGAGTTGTTGAACCGCAGAGCGAACAGTTCTATGAGCAGATCTACCCAGAGCTGCAAATGCATTCAATGTTGACTGCGAGAAGATGCCATCAGGCAGACTTTGTAGATCAGAGGTGGCTTGTACTAGGTCCGCAAGGAAGATGACATTGTTCTCGAAACGTGTGACTGCTTGTGGAGAAGTGTGTTTGTCCGAGGATGCGATTCCAAAGGGGATGTTCTCGACGCCAAAGTGGCTACCAAAGTCGGATTGAAGGGACGTCATTGTGTATCCTTGTAAATGGTGTATTGAATTCAACTGAGCGAGAGCTTTGGTGACAATTGAGGATGTAGAAAAATATCTCGGGTACGGCACTCCAAGGTCATTAGCACATGTAAAGAGGCCTTGCTGTAACTCTACCTCTCGGTTTAATCGGTTCCGTGCTGTCAAGCCCCTCCATCTTGCCCGCTCTCTCCCTTGGATTTGTGGGTATGGTGGGGTACCTCGATGTGGAGCCGACTATCCCGGTGGAGGAAATCTCGACTAACAACGCCCGTTGCGTATGTGTCTTTCGGGGACCAAGCTCGACTTTGTATCATACGGAAGGTCAATTATGCCGAGTCCGGGTCCTGATGGATGTCTAGAGTCCGCAATACAAACGAGTTGTGACTATTTCTGCAGGTGTGGCACCCATCTTCCTTTCGCAGTCTCTTGAGGTCCAAAACTTGCCCAGGAAGAAGCAGACACTCTCAAAATGGCACTCAACGTTTTGATCGTAGGAGCTGGTATCGGCGGCCTGGTATGTTGTGATGATGAGTACCAGAATGAATATCGAGGCTGACCAGAATCCAGATGGCCGCCATTGCACTCAGAGAGCAGGGCCATGATGTTACTCTCCTCGAATCTTCCAAGTTCAGCAACGAGACTGGAGCCGCTATCCACATGGCACCAAACGCAAATGGTTTACTCAAGCGTTATGGAGTTGATATCGAGAAAGTAGGCGCAAACGAATGCAGCCGAATCGCACAGTACCATGCCGAATCAGGAAAGGCACTCTTCCAAGTCGACCTCACAATGCCTAACAAGCAATGGCAACACAAGTGGCTGTTAGTGCACCGCGCCCACTTACACAATGCTTTGAGAGAAAGAGCCATCGGAAAAGAGGGCAAAGGCAAGCCTGCTACCTTGAGGCTAGCCAGCAAGGTCACTTCAGTGGATCCCGAGAAAGCGGAGGTGACTCTAGAGAGCGGCGAGAAAGTTTCTGGCGATGTTCTCCTTGGAGCCGATGGTGTTCACGTAAGCCTTCTAGCCAAAGTAGCTTCAAAATACCCTACTGACAACCCTCCAGTCATTGTGTCGCAAGTCACTCGTTCTTGAAGATCCTGAGAAGTACACACCCTTTGATTGCGGTCACAGCGCTTATCGCTTCCTCGTACCAAAGGATCAAGTCATGGCCGATCCTGTCTGCCGCGAGTTTGTTGAGCAGGAGGGCATGCTCTGCATGATTGTTGGCGAAGATCGTAGAGTTGTCGTGTATCCATGCGTCGAGAACAAGCTCATGAACTTCCTTCTCGTAAGCATCTTCGTCTGGAACACATAGAGCTCCGCTAACAAATTGCGCTCTAGATCCACCCCAGCAGTGAATCGCGATCAGATGATGCTGGTTGGAACCAACAGGGTGACAAGAAGCGTATGCTCGCAAGTGGCGCTAGCCTAGCGCCTCAAGTTCGTGCTCTTCTCGAGAAGGCTCCGGAGGACAGCTTGAAGGTCTGGACCTTGCTGGATATGGAGGTTCTCCCGACATGGATTAATGGTAGTATGGCGTTGTTAGGTGACGCTGCTCATCCTTTCCTGCCTCATCAAGCACAAGGTGGTGGTCAGGCCATGGAAGACGCAGTTTCGCTCGCCGCTATCTTACCTTATGGCACAACAAAGGAGGATATCCCTGAGAGATTGAGACTGTATGAGCAATGCCGACGCGAACGCGCCAACAGAATCCAGGATGGTACCAGATTGAGTGGAACGTCTCAGAAGGATCTTGCAAAGATGGGCAAGAAATATGATGGTCAGTACATGCAGCAGCAAGGTTTTGAGTGCTCTATCGCTGACATTGGTGCAACAGCTTTCGCCTTTACCAACTACAACTTCGGACACGACGAGTGGGATTTCTCCAGGAACGCCCTGAACAAGCATCTTCAGTCCAAGCAACCCTACCGCTTCCGCCAACCCATTTCCTTTGGTCCTAGTCCGGGACCGCGCCAGCCATTGAACGCTCTGCCAGACGTGCACTCAATGTCTAAACAAAACCAAACAGTGGCTACAATTCGTTTCAGAACCTCGAGAACGTACCTCCAGAACTTGTTCCCTACCACTTCGTTCTCTTTCATGTCGGCAGCAACAGTCGTCGAAGCCTCGATCATCTGCTGCTCTCTACGCAGCATGACATGGCTGGGCAATACAGGCTATGACCACTGTGGTCTGTACATTCATGGAGTCAAGTACACCAAGAAGGATGGCGAGATTCTTCAAGGAACATTCTTGCCAATCTTGTTCGAGAACTTGACCGATCCCATCATCACCGGCCGTGAGGAGCTTGCCGCACCTAAGTTGGGATGCGACATTGATGTCTCGGCTTCTGGCGATTCACGCAGCGTCCGCATGAGCTGGCGTGGAACTACCTTTGCGGAACTTGAGTGGAATGGTCTTCACGACAAGCCTCAGACGAATGGAGCCAACGGCGCCGGCGCTCCCAACGGCGTCAATGGTGGTCATGCGAAGCCTCCTGGTGCCCCTGGTCCTCCTGGTCCACCCATGCCCAAGATTGAAGACAACGGCATGTTCATGTATCGATACGTGCCAGCTGTTGGCGAGCCAGGAAAGGCAGACGCCGAATACGCCGTGTTCGACGAGTACGAGAAGAAGGCACCATCTACCTCAGAGTCTCAGCAGGACATGCAAGACCAGATGACCAAGTCGGCAACCATCAAGTTCTCGGCTGGTGACTGGAACTCGCTCCCTACCCTTCATCACATCGCTCAAGGCCTCGCAGATGTGCCGATATACGGCATCGTGGAGGCCACAGTGAAGGAGGTACCTTCAGTAGGTGATGTGAGGGGGGCAAGAAGGATTGAGTAGAAGCTGAAGGTGTGAAATACACGACTTCAGATCTTTTCTTTCCTTTGCGGTCCAGCGACCTGTTCTCGGAACTGGTATTATCTTGGAAATGTGCGTGGTGCCGTAATCCGTCATAAGAGAGTTGCAGACAAACTACGAAATATCATCTTAATCAGTCATAATGACTTACTTCCCTGACGTGTACATGTAAGTGTTGACATATCATCTCGTCAAGTATCGTGACTGCCAACTGTCGGCTGTTTCTACCGTTTTCGGGTATGCGCCTGGATCCCAAAGGGCTCGAGCTCGTTATCCCTTGCAGTTTGTGTGCAGAAAACATCATATTGGGTGGTGGTTTGTCCCGTATATTGAGGGTGCAGTACCCACGATGATCGCGCTTCCTCGGAACATCCAAGATGCTATTGGCGCTGTAGGAGAGTAGGGCCAAAGGTTAAGCGGCTGCAGGACGTGTTTCAAAAATCCGATACGGCATTCTGGCAGCCAGAGCTGGTAACGGCAGGGTTAGCTAGCGCAATCTAAGGATAGATGACGCCTACAAATTTGGGCAGCTTAAAGGCGCGCCGAAGTTCTCCCTGTAGGTGACAGGATTGCGTGACGCCTGCTACCATCAAACATAGACCCAAATCGATCTTGCGAGATAGTAGAAGCAGTCTCAGAGTCGCGTTGAAGATCGAAAAGATCTTTCCCGGGCCTCGAGCAAGTTATTGCTGAAGGTTTAGCCGTCTGGCATGGATTTGAGTGGTTTCCAGAGAGCCTAGAGCATCAGACGAAACGCGTATCGACGAGCGCAAAAGCTCGATCCAGAGGCTCGATCGCCGGAGTGGCAGCCAAAACAACAACCAATGACCGGTAAATTATGGTAGGGTCATGGCCTGGTTGGTCAATAGCGCCATTAATCCTGTTGTTTCGCCCATGCAACTCGTGCATGTCATGAATGGTCTTGTCGCCTCCGCCCGCCGCTTCCGGATACCTGAACCGTTTATACAATTCAAGCATGTCATCTTGTGCTTGACTCCTACTTTCTTATATCTCTCCTCTCGCTGCCCTGTTCCGCTAAGAGATCCCTGTGCTTTGTGTGGCTGTCGACACTGCACACAAGGACTTGATCTCCAACAGCAACAGGCTCACATTTCGGACATCATCACTCACAAAGACCCAAGCGGTTCTCGACGTCATCCAACAGCAAAGACCCTTGTACGCATCGCACATAGCGAAAGTCCGACGCACGTGTATCCGGCACGCAACAAAGGTGTCAATCACACTGCTGGTAGAGAGACTCGAGAGTTGTGCTAGATGGACAGGTGGCTCGTCGGCGCATACAGCACATGAATCTGCTGGACGACACTCTCAGGACCCCGTCAATCCTCGACGGCGAGGCCCAGTCGCAAGCCTTGATGGATCTCCATGAGGACATGAGCGAGAAGCAGCAGGCGTCTGCCCTGGCTGCCCACCACGATGCCCGTGCCCTCATTCGTTTGATCCAGTGTCCGCAATGTTCGAAACCCTACACCAATCCCGTCACGCTTCCTTGCGGCTACTCGCTATGTCGCACGTGTCTGCCTCAGACCTACCGCCGTGAAGGTGTCTCGTATCCTGACACACCGGGCAGACAGCTCGGCTTTCTCTGTCCATACATCGAGTGTTTCGAGGAGCATGTTCTCGCCGACTGCAGCATCGACGTCACCTTGTCCAAACTCATGGAAGCCATCGCCGAACTCGTCCGCCGTCACAACGAAAATGCCGGAACCACTCAGACATACATGGAAGAGGTGGTGAAACAAGACGAGGTCGTGGGCCCGTTGGAAGCCAAGGACAAGAACAAGCCGCGATGCTGGACTATGCCCGGAGCCCGTCTGGTCGCTACATACAATCTCGCCGACATTGGCATTCTCGAATACCAGACCGACGTGTCCTACCAGGACTTGTCGGAGACAGGCGAGGCTGCACAAAAGACCGACCAACAAGTCTTGGTGCAATTGCTCGACACGGCGCAGAAAGAGGTCGACTGCCAGGTCTGCTACAACATCATGTTCGACCCTGTCACTACAGCTTGCGGACATACGCTTTGTCGCAAATGCCTGGCTCGTACGCTCGACCATTCGACACATTGTCCGGTTTGCCGCCGTTCTGTCGTTACTCCACCATCTCTGATCAAGTATCCGAGCAACAAAACTTTGGTCAATCTTCTCGAAGGACTCGTTCCGGAAATCATATCCGCACGTGCTGAAGCTGCCGCTCTGGAGGATGCCATTGCGCTGCCTGACTTTGAGACTCCTTTGTTCGTGTGTACACTTGGCTTCCCTGGATGTCCCACTTTCCTACGCGTCTTTGAACCAAGGTATCGCCTTATGATCAGACGTGCTATGGAAGGCAATCGACAATTCGGCATGGTCACATACAACAGTCACGGACTGCCTCAAGAAGGCCTCGGCAACATACAGTTTCTTGCCTATGGAGTTATGCTCTATATCGAGAACGTCCAGATGCTTCCAGATGGTCAGAGTATTGTAGAGACCAGAGGCATGTACCGTTTCCGCGTAAAACAGTACGGCACTCTGGATGGATACACTGTAGGCAGAGTCGAACGCGTCGAAGACGTCTCGCTACAGGAGGAAGAGCGTCTAGAAGCCGAAGAAACTTCACAACCTCCTGCTGCTGAGAACGACATCGAAGGCCAAATCAACCGAATGTCGACTCGCGAGCTCCTCATGCTCGGTCTCGACTTTATTCTGGTCATGCAAGGCCGAAGCGCACATTGGCTACACCAACGCATTCTGGAAGCCTACGGCGGCCCGCCGGACGATGCCGCCTTGTTTCCCTTCTGGTTTGCCAGCATACTCCCCATTGACGAGCATCTCAAGTATCAACTGATGCAGACCACAAGTGTGCGCGCGAGACTGAAGATTACAGCTCGCTGGATCAAGCACATGCAGCAACAGCGATGGTTCCAGAGCCAAGCCTGCACTGTCTTATGACTGATAACTCATCTTGCATTGCGTTTTGGAGCTCCCATCCTCGTCCTAATTATTGCGGTCCGAAACTTTGTGCGCGATGAATGACACAATCAGAAAACCCACACACCACTCCCTGGAATGCCTCTCTCCCAGAAGCGAATCCTCTTTTCTTGATTACTTCGTTTCATTTGTACATCCATTTCCATCTTTTTGGGCTCTCTTCTTGCTTTCTTTTATTGTTTCATTCTCAGCGGTCGCATATATATCCAGAGCTATTAGGCTCACCGCCAGGCGTCAAAAGGGCGAGATATGTAGGACATTATCCTTGCCTCTCGATTGGAAAGAATTCGGAACGGGTTGTATATTGCAGATCAAAGGGCGCATGGGGGGAGGAAGGTATTTTGAAATCCACTTTTTGCTTCAGATCTTGCTCTCTTACACTTTCCTGGACTTTTATGTGTGTGTCTGTGACGTTGCTATTCAACTTTCTTGTTGTGCTACTTTTATGAATGTGGCTGTGACAACACACGATACATCACAGGACACAGGGCGACTTTACTGATATTTCACCGTCTTGTTGCTCGCGCCAGCTCTGCGACATCGGTAAAGTCTTGAGGAAGCAACGAACCGAGCACGAGAGCCCTTTCCATCGACATGTGTATGAGTCCTCTGCATCTGTGACCGACCTTGGGCATCGAAAGTGTAGGTCCAAATCAAGCGGTGTCTTCCTAATATGTTCGTGCGCTTTCGCTCCGGAGTATGGTCGATATAACACCGCGTATGTTGACGTTCTAGTGTGACTGTTGTATATACATCCCTACTTCGTAATCTATTTTGAATCACCACCACCCATAACGACTTGGACGAGGATGAACAGACCAATTGCCCACCAGTACCTATGAGCTGTTAGCAGAGATCCCCAGATATGATGTAGTCTAGTCTGACTTTTGCAAGAAGGATTTTTCAGGTTCTTTGGCCTCAGGCTCGCCTTGCTGGTTGACAACAATGGGCTTGTCAAAGGCGACTTGTGGTCCCTGGTGCAAGGGCACAATCTCAACTGCAAGCGAACCTTCTGAAGCCTTGACAGCAGCGGTGCTGAAGCCAACATGCCATACATTGCCCTCTGAGTCGACGAACAAGCGCAGCGCAGGGTTCTTTGTAGCACCGAAGTTGGCTCCAGAGGCTGCGACACCGACCCAGTCGTCAGCGCGGTGTACACCGACCCGTACAGTCTCATCCGATCTTACTGCCGGTGCAGTGTATGAGTCGACTGTAGCATTGAGAGAGGGCCAGGAGTAGGAGACTTTGGCGAAGGGAAGTGGTGCTGGTGCTGTCAAGGGCCAGGCGAAGACATCAGTGGTGCGGATCGAGTCTACGGTAGCTGCGGCGAGAGCAGAGGTAGTGCACAGCAGTGCTGCTAATAAGCTTGTTGCTGCTGTTATGCGCATCTTGCTGATTATGAACTTGTCGAATTGTCTTGTGTCGAATGTTGACAACGGTATGGCTATCGAGACTCCGGAGCTTCTTGCCAAGCGTAGCTCTCTCGTGCTCGGAAGAAAGCGCGCCGATCAATTGGTCGGGGAAAGATGGGAAAAGCGCGAGGGCTGGAGAGAGCTGGGGGCGGACCCTGCATCTCCAAACGTCACAATTGTCGAATGGGGAAAGCTCAGAAACCTTCCTTCCGCCACTATGTTCCGCTGCACGCAGGGAGCTTGCATAGCTCTGGTCAATTCAACATGTTGAGATGCAAGAAATCAGCTTTCCTCTGCTATGCACTCTCCTCTGTAGCACCATGTCTCTGGGGATGATTGATTGCAGGATCTAGCTTCGCTCGCTGAATTGAACCGACGAAAACAGTGCATTTATCCAGCGGTCTCCTGCTTCTCGACCAAAAGACACGGCAAGCTTCCCCGTGTCTCCTCGCTGTCTCCACTCCTGTGACGGAGAGATCGGCGGTCCTCGAGCTTCCCAAGATAAGTGCCACGCCTTCACCTTTATCCGTTCTCTCAGCAGTTCAAAGGTCTTGATCCTCTTTCTTTTTCTTATTCCTCACCATTTCCTCATCTCACTTCTGCCTCTCACCCTCAATTAGCACCAAGTCCATCACGCAGAGGCCTCAACCACTCAACTCGCACTACTACTCAGCTTACAACTCGATCCACAACATTACTTAATTTTGATTGAGCAACACCACTCAACATGTCTTCCATGCCTTTCCGCCAGCCTTACAGGCAAGCTTCTCGCCAGCAGTCGAGGCAGATGTCTGTTGACCCTCACAACGAGCTCCACCCGGTTCAGGATCATTACATTGGCATTGATGTCGGTACCGGTAGTGCCCGTGCCTGTATTATGAACGACAAGGGTGACATTGTTGGTCTCGCAAGTGAGAACATTGGTCTCTGGCAGCCTGAGACAGGTTACTACGTGAGTCGTCTTCAACATGGCCCCAGACACGACCACTCACACTCGACTAGGAACAATCCACCACAGACATCTGGAGATGCATCTGTAACTCGGTGCAGCGTGCCATGAACCAGCACGGTATCGACGGCTCCACCATTCGTGGTATTGGTTTCGACGCTACTTGCTCGCTCACCGTCTTCTCGAACGATACCGACGAACCCATCTCGGTCACTGGACCCAAGTTCGACAACGCCGACGGCAATGACCGCAACGTCATTCTATGGCTCGACCACAGACCGGTTGAGGAGACTGAGAAGATCAACGCTACAAACCACAACCTGCTCCGCTACGTCGGTGGCAAGATGAGCATCGAGATGGAGATGCCCAAGGTGCTCTGGCTCAAGAACCACATGCCCAAGGAGCTGTTTGACCGCTGCAGATTCTACGACTTGACCGATGCCCTTACTCACATTGCCACTGGCAACGATGACCGCAGTTTCTGCAGTGTCGTCTGTAAGCAAGGCTTCGTTCCCGTCGGTGTCGACGGTAGTGTCAAGGGTTGGCAAGAAGACTTCCTCAAGGAGATTGGCCTTGAAGATCTTTGCGAAGATAACTTCAAGCGCCTGGGAGGTGTAGACGGGGTGGTAATTACCTGACCTAAATTGTCTCCGTTGCGCAAAAGCTAACTCACATCTCAGAGCGGGAAGTACCACACAGCTGGTGACAAGATCGGGACTCTTTGCGAAAAGGCAGCCGCCGACCTCGGGCTTCCTCCAGGTATCGCCGTTGGTGCTGGTGTCATTGATGCTTACGCTGGTTGGATTGGTACTGTGGGAGCAAAGGTCCGCCTGCCAAACTCGAACCTCAGCTCGGGCGCCGACAAGAACGATGTTTCGCAAGCCTTCACTCGTCTTGCCGCCGTTGCTGGAACATCGACCTGCCATCTGGCCATGTCAGAGAAGCCCGTCTTTGTCGACGGTGTCTGGGGACCCTACCGAGATGTTCTGATTCCAGACTACTGGATGGCAGAAGGTGGACAATCGGCGACTGGTGAGCTGCTCAAGCATGTCCTTGAGACTCACCCAGCTTTCCAACAGGCTATGAGTGTTGCCGAGACCTTCAATGCCAACATTTACGACTACCTCAACGAGCATCTTAACGAGATGCAGACAAAGGAAGACGCTCCCACAATCTCATATCTCGGTCGCCACTTCTTCTTCTACGGCGACCTATTCGGAAACCGTAGTCCTATCGCTGACCCTAACATGAAGGGTAGCGTTATCGGTCTGTCAAGCGATCGCAGTATGGATGGCCTGGCACTCTACTACTACGCCACCATGGAGTTCATCGCTCTGCAGACCAAGCAGATCATTCAGCGTATGAACGAATCAGGTCACGTCATTAACTCGATTTTCATGTCAGGTAGTCAGTGCCAGAACGGTATCTTGATGGACCTCATGGCCACTGCTTGCGAGATGCCCGTCGTCATCCCTAGATACGTTCACGCAGCCGTCGTCCACGGTGCAGCAATGCTCGGAGCAAAAGCTGCCTCTGCCGACAAGGACGGCAACACTGAGCCTCTCTGGAACATCATGGACCGCATGAGCAAGCCCGGTAAGGTCGTGCTTCCAGGCAAGGACGAGAACGAGAAGAAGCTGCTCGATGCCAAGTACAAGGTCTTCCTCATGCAATGCGAGCAGCAGCGTGAGATTCGTCGCGAGATCGACGAGGCCGTCAGCGGCTGGAAGTAAACGACACGATTTTGATCTTTGACGAAGAATCTCATCTAGTTTCTTGAAGCCTGAAAGTTGGGCTTGCAAACACAAAATAGCTCGGGGACGATTTTGCTACCACTTACTACATTGAGGTTATATACACAATAATGAACATTTGATTTACATGACGATCAATGTTCTCTCGCAGGATTGCACAATATTGTAGTTAGGGCTTTGGGAACATATGATTCATGTTCCAGAGCGGGAGGACTCGAGGTGAGGGCGTAATATTTAGTGTCTCCCAATCACTAGTTATCTTCAGGATAGTACCGACGTCGATTTGCCTTCATACAGTCTCAACCTCTACTTCTTCTCCTCGGCAACATCCTCCTTGACCTTCGCGTCCCCCCTGGCAGGCCTCTCGCCGAAAATCGTCGTACCTACTCTGACTTCGGTGCTCCCCTGCTTAACGGCCGCCTCAAAGTCCGAAGACATACCCATACTCAGCTCCAGCTTTTCCTCTTCGATGCCCAATTGCGTAGCCACCGCATCCCTCACCTTTCTCAACTGCTCAAAGTCTTCATTTTCCGTCTCCTTTGTCGTCGCTTTACTGCGTGCGATGGCACCTATAGTCATCAAGCCACCGAGCTCGAGGTGTGGGCAGGAGGTCATGATGTGTTCGCAAAGACTCGCAGCATCTGTAGGTGAGACACCGGATTTTTCTTCTTCGCCAGAGGTGTTTACTTGAACCAATACCCTCAATTTGGCTTTGATCTCCTCTCCATTTTCTTCGACAAGCTTCTTTCGCCCTTTTTCGAGGCCGTCGGCTTTTTTGGTGCTGTCGACGCTGGAGACGGAGAAGAGGTTTGGGATGCTTTCAGCTAGAGGACGACATTTATTTGTTTGTAGGGCGCCGATGAAATGCCAGTTTATCGTGTTAGGTAAGAGGGAGGCCTTTTCAAGGAGTTCTTGCGAGTAGTTTTCGCCAAAGTGGGTGTGTGAGGAGGGGGAGTTGTGGAGGGCGAGGATGTCGTTTGCGGGTTTTAGTTTGGAGACGGCTATTAAGCGGACCTGAAAAGGTGTGTCAGTGTCAGAAGGAAGGGCAGAGGGAGAGAGGAGGTGAGGGGACGAGGGGACGAGGCATACATTCTTTCCAGAGGTGTTTGCGGATTTGATCTGGGAGAGGACATGGCTGAGATTTTCGGACAGGTGCTTTGCGCGCGTGGGGTTGATTTGCATTTCTGATTGTTCGGACATTGATAGATGATGGGCTACGGAGGAGTGTCTGCTGGGAGAGAGTCTTCTGTTGGTTGGAAGAGAGTGAGCAAGGTGTTAGGTGTTTCGAGTTTGTGAAGGAGCTCTCTCCAGTCGATGACGATGGGCTTCGGCTAGAGTTGCTTCGTTCCAAGATATTCTTGCCACTCGTACCACCCTGTCCGGACCTCTTTGCTTGACAATCACGTCAACAACGCGTCACTATATACCTGTGTCTTCTTGTAGCGACAGATAGAGGAATCTTTTATATAAACAAGCTATCATACGCGCCGCTTTGCTCAACGTGGCTGGACTGAACACTAGACAAAGACTCCAGTCACTTTGTTGTTGGTTCAACGTAAGCTTTCTGAAGTTGATGGTTAGAAGCAGTAAATTGGATATGGTCCCTGCAATACTATATGCACACGTCCTGTACTAACGTGATGGTAAGAGATTACATCAAAGCGTGTTGTAGCACGTTTTGGAAGTAATAGATACAGTATGTCGACGGTGATTGCAATTTTGTTGGTCGGAGCTATTGCTTATGGGGTAACCCTGCTCAACAGCCTCTCAGATGTATTGACACGAGAATTCGCTTGACTGCAGAATCCTCGAGATTTTGTATCACAACCATTGCTTTGAGAATGGGCGGAGTCTTTGCATTCGCGGATGGACGTTTGTATCGTATTTTCTATCATATGTGGTAGGCGCTATCTATATTTCCAAATGTCGAGATAGAGGTTGAGCGTAAGTCACGAAGAAGTTTGCGACACAGGTGGCTTCTTGAAGCAGGTACTCTTCTCGTCTCGCGAGGGCGACTGCCGAGGGATCATCGTGTCGGGTTAGACCGATAGCCATTTGTGTCAGAAGCAAGAGGTCGTTAATCAGCTCTTCGTCAGCATGAAGGACGAGGCCACACATCCACCTTACCAATTTCTGCACCAGCTTCTCTGCCGGTATGGCCCAATCACGAGGCTCGGCTATACATGTAACGTGTGCCTTCAAGACTAGCGACGTGGCTCGCGCCTTGATGTTCGGGAATCGAGTTATGTCTTCCCTCTGCACTGCGAGCCCATAGGCTACTAACATTGTATAAAGGTCAGGATCTTCATGAATGTACGGACGTAACTTTCCCATGTTGAGCAGCCACGTCGCAAAAGCCTTGTGCAATGTGCTGTTAATATCTGAGCGACCGTTCATGAGTGGGATGAGTTGATCGTCGAGTGGTAGTGGACGTTGTGGGGGGGTGACGCGTGGAGAAAAAGGGGGCCCAAGCCGAAGCGACTCAGGAGTATCGAGTGGGTCCAACTGAAAGCTGGTGGTCGTGCATGAACCTTGGGCAAGAGGTGTCAATGGCACGACTGAGTCGCCATCCCTGCATTTGGTTGAACGTGGAGAAGGCGCGCAGTCGCTTGCGGGCACCTGAACGGGTTCGCATGCTTTGGAGTACGCTGGTGGCGCGTCGGCCTCTGTAGTCCGCGGTCCCTGACCCTTGGTTTGTGAACACTGGTCATCTCCGTCTGGACCCGTTTCTCCTTGATGATGCCTTGCTCTTTTCCTCCTGTGGGCGTGGCGATGTTCCAGGTCGGCATCGGCGTTGGTTGCTGTGCGAGTAGACTTCGTATCCAGGTAATCATCCCAGAGATTGAAAGCACCACCGTTGTGGCTGTATGAGGATTCGAGGTTGAAGGATGGAACTGTGTATCTGGACTCGAGAGCATGCATCTCTCGCGTCAAGGCTTGGTGTGCGTATGTGCTGTAGCCCATGTAAACTTCAAAGCCTCTAGCCGACTCGGCGAAAGCTTGTGCTGAGAGCATAACATGTTCTGCTGCTCCTTGCACAGCTCGTGTGGAGTTGCGGATGGGCATCAGACTTAAACTTGCGATATTCTTGCATAGCGATAGTCGCAAGAAGCGGGATTTGGAACAGCCTTCGACGTTACCAAACATGTAAGAGATATCGGAAGGTATCTCGTCTAGACCAAGAATAGGCAGCTCATCGTCGATAAGCTGTAAGCCTGTAGGGATCGAAAACAGGTCGAATCTCTTTCTCTTTCCTTTCACGTAGTGCGTGACTGTGAGTTGCAACATGGCAGCAGCTCGGTTGTCAGCTTGATCGAGTCCGAGCCAAAGTACCAGGCTTGCGTCCTTGTTGAGAGGAGACGGCTCTCCGAGGTGCAACGCTCGATTGTTATCATGATCATGCCAGGTCAGAACGACACGCTCCTTGAGGTACCACACAGGCTCACGCCCAGACTCAAACGCGACAGATGACGGAGATGGATACATGCTTGTATTTGGATATGTACTGCAAGTTGAAAATCAATTTTGAAGAGAATGCCCCGACACAAGACGTGTCAGATGACCCTCCCACCCGGGCTTCTGTCGACAGAGAGCAGCCCTGACTCGGGAATTTAATTGGATGAACGCTTAAGATTGAAGCAAGAGGAGGTGGCGAGACAGTGCTCAGGTTCGGACGCTGGAGGGCCTCCAATCATACAGATACCGTCATACAACTCTTGTAGGACACCACGAGATCGCGGATACCAGTCGAAGAATCAGACAGACACCGTACAAATGGCAGCACGCAAAGACAGGCCAAATCAGAGAGGTGCAACGCGTGACGATACGGATATTCAGAGTGAGTGTGTATGTAGGTGGAGGAGGATGGAGGTGCGTGCAAAACAGCTTCGCAAGCTGACGTTCGCCGCGAATCGGTCACGCGTCACCGACGTCGGTTTGGCAACAGTTTTAGCAACAGCGCCTGAATTCTTTTGCAACAACAGCCGACGGATGAGAACAGCTTGTGCCATTTGTTACTAACGACATTCCAGTCTGCTGCATCTCCTCCACACACCGGCGCAGTTGTTATGCCAGTGTACAGGTCTTGTGCTTCTATCATTGCGCGCTCAGATATGATCAGTAACATTTGGAGACGCCTCAGTTGTCGTTGCACTGACTGCACAGTTGAAGACACAAAGTCATTGTCTAGAGAACGAGAGCGTCGAGCATCTGTTCATGCGACGCTGGTCTTTGTGGAACAGGCTTCAAACAAGGCCGCAGAGTCTCAGATCATGACAACGCAATGCGACTCAAACCGGATGGCTGGCAATGTCCAAGCAACGGCTGCATTCGTGCGCATCACTCCGTTACTCTTGGTCTCAAACAAAGCCATGAACAATCTACACACTCTACATGGAAAGGCAGGAAGTCTGGGATCGTGTCTCGGATTCGTGCATATTGCGCTACAATCATGACCACGAGTCCCTGCCATCGAAGGATTGACATGAGATGACTACCCTAACCAGAACTGTGGTATCATGTATGTTGATTGCGGCCAATCACAAGAGAAAGACCAACTTTCAAAGGCGTAAATAGATTGGAACATATTGTGCATGATGAAGGCACTGTATCTGGGAGAGACATGGGCGACCTTCTTTCCAATCTAAACCTGTCACTCGGAGTTGTACTGCACTGCACAGTGGATCAACTGGGGTTATGAGACGAGGCTGAGATATCAATTGGGTTGCATGATTTGGAAAAAAAAAGGTTGCTCGTCTATATTGCGTACATTAGTCCACCCCTGACAGCAGCTAGTCCACTAGCCTGTCAATCCACATTGCGCAAGCCTCTCTCTGATTTGCAAGATTGGCGGAGGCTCTTGTGAATGCGAAGACCAAATTTGGACACTATCGATCGTCACTGCTCTGCAACCAGTAGCCACAACTGCCGTCATCTTGGGCGTTGCGAGTTTTCTCGCCAAAAGCAGTCGTTGCTGAGGGAGCATCCCCTGAGAACCCGTTCAACATGTTCAACAGGGGTCCGCCAAGCGAGCTGTCACGAAAGCCAGCCAAAGTCTGGAAACTTTCTCATATCAGCTTCTTGCAACGTCAAAACAAACAAAAACATAGACATATCGTATATTAACTTGGAGGGCTGCAGCAAGTGTAGTTCATCTGTGCCTCAGCAAGGATCCCTCGACGACAATGACCGAAAGGTAGGTTGGCGCAGCAGCCCTGCAAGAATCACATATTGGTGGCCCCCGACATCTTCGGTCCCGCACAAGCCGTGCAAATCCACATCATCAACTCCAAGTCCGACATGTCATGCTATGCGAACAGACCTCCACTTCCGTGCCATGCACAAATTGGGGAACTACGCCCGTATTCCAGCTGCCATGTGTCTCCGACTCCCCCGTATGTGGAGTGTGAAAGGTACAAATGCCGAACACAACGAGACAGTCGGTCAGCAAGTGCAGACATAAAACCGGCCCCAGAGCGTTGGGTCTGACCACTCGACGCCTTGATGCTCAGTTCATCATATCCACAAAACGCGTCCATGAACATGATGCTGGCAGTGCATTAGTTGTCGCGCCTGTTATGCACCAGGTCCAGACAGGTCAGGTTCGGCGCATCGCCGGTGCCCTATCCCAACACGTCGGCTCTGGCGATGACGCTAAGGCTGCTCGGCGCGGCGCGCCCGAGTGTCGTCTAACTTTGTTTTCTCTCAAGCTCGCAACGTTTTCTTCCCTTTTCCTCCTTTTACCATGGCGCGTGTTCCGTGCCGCCCAGCTTGCATCTCTTCCTGGAAGGGTTGCTGGCCTGAACTTGGATGCAGCAGAAGCGCATTTGCCCAATGTGCCTCTATTAATCTATCTGGCATTGCACTTATGCGCCTCCCAGGTACCTGGGTTTGCAAAAATGATTTGGAAATTATATTGCAACCAGCGTGGTGGTGGTGGGAAGGTGGTCGTGGCGTGCATATACAGCTTCAGGTTCATGCGTACTCCGGACGTTGGACGTCGATAGAATAGGTGGGTTCCTAGCTCACAAGTATAACAACGTTTCTCTCCCCCCTCCCCTTTCCAACGATTAGACATCTATTCCTTTCACGTTCACTCCAACTTACCCTCCTTTACTCCAACGTCGTGTTGCCAGGGACCCTGAAAGGCGATATTATCTTAACGGAACCTCTTGGGAACCACTTTCGTGAACCCTTCTTTTCCCTGTTATTGTTTTCCAACCGTCAGATCATGATGGATTCCACACTCATATCTTCATCTCGATCGATGGTCCAAGGCATCGCAGGCGCTGCCATCGGACTGTCAAGTATCCTCGTCATCGTGCACATCATCTCCAGACGTACCGCAAGAGCCGCGATATGGTGGGATGACGGCTTGTTGTGGTCGGGTAGCTTCATGGCCCTTGTTATGAATGCTCTCTTCATCCATGGTAAGTCTTAAGACATGCTTAAACCTTGAGACAGAAGAATAACAATGAACAGGAGCACAACTAGGCCTTGGTGAATATGAAGAACAAGTATCCTCATCACAACTTGAAAGCATCTTCAAGGTCAGTACATAACACATTGTATATCATATCATAACACAACCTAACCTTATGTCAGATACTATTCACCAACAACTTGATCCACCTTTGGGCATTGGCTGCCATCAAGGCTTCATTACTCCTCTTCTTCAACCGCATGTTTGCCAGCTCCAACAACACACTCCGTTGGACTGTTTACTCCTCTCTTTGCCTCATCTTCATCTGGGTCATCACCTTCACTGCCATCTCAATCTTCCAATGCACACCAATATCCTTCTTCTGGGACAGTGGCATCACTGGCCAGTGTATCACTTCAAACTGGACTTCCAGGACTGCCATTGCCATCTGTGATACTGCCTTCAATTTAGCCACCGACTTCTTGTGCTTGATGGCACCCTTCCAGGTGCTTCGTAAGCTACAATTACCCGCTGGCAAGAAGGCCGGTCTGGCTGCCGTCTACCTCCTTGGCGGCTGCAAGATCGTCATTACCGGCATTCGTACCCTTTACCAGCTTGACATTCCTTACATGGCCTCATCCGACAGCCTCTACTCATCATTCGCTCCTACCATCTTCCTCATCATTGAGACCAACCTTGCAATCGCTTGTGCTTGCGTACCCTCTTTCTCCGTCATGGATGGTCGCGCAATCTTCGTCAAGACCACCAAACTCACCTCTCGCTCCAACACTCCCGAAGTGCTCGAGCCTCCAATGTCTCCTTACAACCGTTCCAACCAACAATTTTCAGACACCTCTGTCTTCCTCACAGAGTTCAAGCGTCAACCTCAGGCCGAATTCCCTATCCTCACCACCATCACTAGCAATGTTGCAGAGGAGCCTACTCGCCTGCCCAGCCTCGAGCTCGGCAGCTTTGCTCAATCCTCAGTCTTTGACATTCTCAAACCTGCTGGTGGCATTGTCAAGACCTTGAACGTCGAGCAGACGATCGAAGAGTTTGACACTGTCAGTATGCTGAATGTCGAACAAACGATTGAAGAATATGACTACATCATGAGACAAGCGTCCTTCTCCATCGTTTGATGACCTCCTTTTCCCCCTTCTTGTCTCTTCTTTCTACTGTCGTTTTTCTTCCTTGCTGTTTACCCGTTGTCCCTTTTATACCCCCTTTCGCTTTTATGGTTGGTTGTTGTCGTTGCTGTTTGGAAAGCGTGAAGCGTTGGTGTTATATCATGACTGATCAAAGCGCGGTGTTCCGGATGGGATGGTTGGATGGCTCATATTTTTCTCCTGTCGCTTAGCGACAAAACCTCACACTCACCATTTTTCCCTTTGTTGTAGATCTAGATGAGAACAGGATAGTCGATGAATATTGGTAGTAACATAGTAGTAGTTTAGCATATACCTTCCCTATGAGGAGGTCAAATGAAAACAGAATCAAATGATCAAAACAAAGACTCGTCACGTCTCTCTCTCTCTCTCTCTCTCTCTCCTGTCGTGTCCTTACCATATATCGATGCGATGCTCTACTGTAATTTCTGTATAAGTCTGGTGCCCGCGCCTTCCTCAGATAGTGCTCTGCTCTCTCGAACTTCGATTTTGCACAAAACGAAGTCTGAATCAACGCGACCATTGACGAGAGAACGCGACCAATACATCAAGCCATCACACTTACACATCAGTCTCGAGTCTGTTTCATCAAGTCTCTGAGATGGCAAGAGACCAAGCTCTAAGCAAGACAGATAAGTGTTGAATGCGAGTAAAAATAAATGATGCAGAGCATACCCGACCACGTCAAAAGCCAGCGCGACCACGTCAAAAGACAGCGCGACCATTGCGAGAGCCGACCCGAACATTCGCAAGAAAACCCGACCATTCCAATCCGACCATTCCAAAAGAAACCCCGACCATTCGCGAAAAAAGCCGACCATCGCGGAAGTCAGCCTGACTATTCGCAGACAGATCAACAACCAACACCGAAGCTTACAGGACAATGTGAAGTTTCCAGACATCCTACAGTAAGCAGAGGAAATAGTACAGGTATCTCTTTAGAGGACGCAACTGCTCGGTGGGGAAGTATAATTCTGCATGAGAGGACTTGACCATTCCAAAAGCTCGACCATTCCAAAGAAAACACGACCATGCTAAGCAAACCCGACCATTCTAAAAGCTGATCCGACCATTCCAAAAGCCGATCCGACCATTCCAAAAGCTGATCCGACCATTCGAATAGAAAAATCCGACCACCAACGAAACCCCGACCATTCGCGAGAAAGTCCGACCATTGACAAAAATCCGACTAACCAACCAACTGACTAGCTAGCTATCGATACTGAAGACTAAAGAACCATTGCGAGAGGAAGTCGGAGTAGCTGTATTCAAGACAAGTCACAATACTCTAGACAGATGCTGCATCGCTCTGATCATGGAGAGAGCTCGGCCATTCCATAGAAAATCCGACCATGCCAAACGCTAACCCGACCATTCGAAAGAAGTTCCGACCATGCAAGAAAATACCCGACCAACGACCAGGAACACCGACTATTCGCAAAAAAGTCCGACCGATTATAGAAAAACTCCGATTATCTGAAGAGATGATTCGGCTATCTGTGAGAACTTGCAACCATCCTGTAGCTAGCGTCATCACTTGCAAGTAAATCCTCAAGGAAATCCGACCATGCTATAAACAAAATCCGACCATTAGACCAAAAAAAAAGCCGAACATTGGCGAAAAACTTGCGACCATTCACCAAGAAAACCCGACCATGAAAAAACAGATAACACCGACCAGCCATCAAAAAAACCCCCCGAATAACCTCGCGAAAAAAAGTGCACCCATTTTCTAAAAACTTCCCGAAACATCCGACTGATCACATAGGGTTTCTTGCACCAGATCATAAGGATCCTGTAGCTAGCACTCAAAGAGGACGATTTTTCTGTTTTTAATAAAAGGATGGAAAAAACGCCGACCATTCTCATAATTAGAAACCCCGACCATTCTAAATTTTTTTTTGAAAAATTACCCGACCATTGAGAAGCAAACCCCGACCATTCGCGGAAAAAGTCCGACCATCCACCAAAGACTACTCGGACCATTAGAAGGAAACTCCGACTTATTCAACAGTAAAGTCCGACTAACCATGGAATATTGCGACAATTCGGTGAAATTAAATGACCGTTCGAGAGATTCGAAAAGTGATGAAAGGTAGCGACAATACAAAAGCCTATTAAAACCTATAGAAACCTATTAAAACCTATTAAAACCTATTAAAACCTATAAAACCCCTATAAAAACGTGGTTAAAACATGAAAGTGGAGAGGAGAGGGGTGAAATGCAACCTCACGAGAAAGCGAAATGAGAAGGCAACAAGGGTTGAATAGTTTGTGATGAAGTACGTCTAGATATCTATATTACATTGTTGGACATTTAGTCTGTGACTGCTCAATCATCCCCTCGTGGACAGCATAGTCATTATTTTCACGTAGGAGTCTGCTTTGCCTCTTCAACTCCCGACGGTTTCTCTGTTGCCTCGTTCTCTAGAGTCTCTGCAGGATTCACACTAGCATCCTTGGGATGCTCGGCGTCGCCAACGTTACGTTGATCAGCGGCGCGTTGCTCAAGTGTAGCATCTTCCTCGCCTTCGTCCTCGTTCATTGCCATACTCCAATATGCATCACTGATTTCATCAGCAGCTTCACGATCGGCAACTTCGCTTGCAGTAGGTCCGACAGGGACTTGAGCTCCTGGTGTCTTTTCTTCTTGCTGCAGGGATTGTGATGTCGTGGTTTCTGGCACGTCGGGCGTATTATCCACAGCCTTGGTAGCCTTCCACTTGGGTACTTTTATGCTCTCATAAGAGAGTATTTCACGGTATTCGCCTTGAGCGTAAGCAAGGAGGATGGGCTCGTTCATCTTGAAATCTAGACGTTTGTCACTGTTGACCTCAATCACCCGGGCGAATATGACAGTATGATCCCCAATTTCGAGTGACTTTTCAGGCATGGGCTGACATTTCAAGTGAGTTTTGATATGTCTACTCCTGATGTAAGGGGCGAGAGTGTTAAGGTGGGGGGTGGAACCCAGGCCGAGCTGTTGCAGGATAGCGAAAGGTTGATGAGGACGGACGTGAGGCTTTGCAAAGATGTCGGCGATCTGAGCACCGATTGCCGATGAACGGGGAATGTTGACGATGAATGGCTGACCGTTGATGATGCAGTCGAGTGTACTACTTGGACGGCGTATGCTGAAAGAGACGATGGGCTCTGGGTCAAGGGTGACAGAAGTGAAGGACGACAAGGTCATCCCCCGTAGGTTAGTGAAATCGTCATCTTTTCCTTTAGTGGTCAAAATGACGACACTAGAGGGGACACCGCGCATGGCAGTCCTGTATGCGCTTTTCAGCTCCCCGAGACCCAGCTGGACAGATTCCTGAGGCTGCTTCAAGTTCGTAGATGAGAGCTTTGAGTCCTCGACGGAGGATCCCTTGGTCAGCTCGCCCGCTTGCTCTTCAGGAGCGGTATGAATGGTACGGATGAAGTACCTCGCCGCCTCTACATTGACACGTTTGCCGGTCACGGTAAGAAGGTGCATTCCAGGCTTCGGAGACTTCTGGCTCGGAAGGGCAAAAGTCAATGCGACGTCGAAAGTAGTCTGGATGCGGAGCAACAACTCGTCCCCCTCCTCCTTGAGTAAGTTGGCAGTCTCAGCAGGGAGCTCGAGAGAGAGCTCCAGAGGTCTCAAGGGTTTGGGCAGGTCAATCGATGTGAAGTTGATGTTGGTCAGATGATCCTCACCGTCGGGCCATTGACTCAAGGCATCGGCAAGAGGTGAGAGCAAGTCTCGCTTCGCAACGGGGACAGAAAGACGGACTTTGACGCGACCATTGTTTCTAATCTTCTCTGTGGGCTCAATGAAGGCGCCGAGCTCGGCTCGTAGCCTAGGCAAGAACGTGGCATGCGCTTGCCACTTCTTCACGCGAGAGTGGTGGATGTTGAGGAACTTTGTTGCAAGACCCGTGTCTGTTTCTCCCAACGCAGTCGGGCCTTCGGGATCTCGTGCCCATATTTTGCGAATGCGCACGTCGTGGCCGTCTTCCGCGATGATGGTGGTCGGAACGAAGCATCGTCGTTGTTGATGTGTAGTGTTGGCGAGCGTAGACCAAGCGTGAAAGACCTTGTAGAAGCGACCAGTCGCCGGGCCTCTGACCATTGTGGCCATGGTCATACAATAGCCCAAGGAAGCAGCGTTCTGGAGTCGACTTCGAGCTTCCCACAGCTCGAGAAGGAGCGGTGAGGGCGCGGGGGCGGAGCGGAACTTGATCGCGTCTTGGCTTGTCCGACTGCCCGCAATTTTGAGATGCATGAGCCGTACAATTCATGCAATCGCCATATATCGTCCGCATCTCATACGAACGTCCGCCGCCATGCTTCTCAACCAGACTCCTCGCGCGAGCCTGCGCATCGCTTTTGCCTCGACACAACAAGTCCGCCATGCTTCACTGATGCGCCGCCCCAAGCGACCATACACCTTCACCCAACTCGTCACTCTCTCCGACGGCAGCACCTTTGTCCAGCGCACCACTAGCCCGCAGCCCGTATACCGTAGCACAAAAGATGTGCGCAACAACCCACTCTGGAACCCCAGTAGTCAGAAGCTGCTGAATGTCGAGGAGGATGAGGCCGGTCGTTTGAAGAGATTCAGAGGCCGCTTCGGTCGTGGCTGGGATGCCGAGGCTGCAGCCGGTGCCGAAGAGGTGTGTTTCTCGACGTGCTATATGCAAAGAGGGATCAAGTCACTGACACAATCATCAGGTCAGAGACGGCGAAGAAGCTCTTACTCCAGAGGAATCAGAAGAGTCTCTTCTCGACCTCATCTCGAACTACGGCAACGAGGCCGACGCCCAGGGCGAAGCTGCAGGCAAGAAGGAAGAGGTCAAGTCAAGCGGCAAGGGCAAGGGTGGTCAGAAGTAATTTCTCCATTCTTCAAGACATGTTTGTGCTTTTGGTCGTCAATGCATAGCGGGCGTTCTGGGTTGTATGCTATATGTACAAAAAGCTGGGCTGGAAATGGAGGAGTCGGTATATCGATACCCCTCGGGTGTTTATTACAAGTACAGGATTTGTCTCGACAACGACGACAAATGTTGGGTATTTTTCTTCATATCAAAAACTTTTTTCCTACACTGATGCGCCTGCCTCGATCGCCTTTGTTTCGATCGCGTCTAGGCCTTCGGGTCGGAACGGCCATTCAATGTACGCTCTTGTGAGCGCGTTCAATAATTCGAACGTGATGTCTCTGGTCAAGAGCAGCTTCGGGTCCAATCTTCCACCCAAAAGAGCATCTTTGAACGCGGGAACTACGAGGAACTCACGAGCTCCTGGACCAAGCCTGTCGATGGATTCCACCAGTGGCACTGCTGAATGGGTGAAAAGCGATTTGGCCAGACCACGCCTGATCTGGTCGGATTCGGTAGTGCCCATCAAGTCATCCCCAAGCGCTTCCTGTCTTGGCTTCAAGTCAAGCAGTTGCATTGGGAAGCGTGGCCAGAATTCCTCTTCCTTGGCCACGATGGCCTCATAGGGTCGTCGGTCCCATGCCATCGCTGGCCTCGCTTTGCAAAGCGCGAATATCTCGCTGAGCATGATGGTTATTGTCTTGCGCTTTTGCGAGTTTCTAACAAGCTTCCCTAGCATGCCGGTAAGCTGATCGCTGGTGGCAAGAAGGCGCGACTCCAAGCCAGCTAGTGTGTCTTCAGTCATATTGGCCTTCTTTGCAGCAAAGTCTTGTTCAAGGGCAATTTGAACACCCCAGACATCCAGGTAAAGTCTGCAAAAGTGTTGCTCCATCTCTGTCAGCGCTGCTTGGCTAGTGCTTGTGAGTTTGCATTTAGGCTTCAAGTCCCGGATGATCTGGATGCCCTGTTTCTGAGGAAGCGTAGCAGTTTGTTCCAGTTTCCTGAGAGATTCCTCATGGCGTGCCATAGTCTGGACACTCTGTTTCTGAGGAAGCGCGGCAATTTGTTCCAGTTTCTTGAGATGGTCCTCATGGCGTGCCATAAGCTCTTGTATTGGTCCAGCCTCGGGTAGACGAACGGGGTTATACGCGTCCAGACTTTCATCATCGGCTTCTAAGGCTTTCTTGTGCAGTTCCGGCCGACGGTGTTCAGGAAGGGCCATGTTGTTCTCCTCCATACGTGCAAGCACTTTCCGTGCGCCCCAAAGATCAAGTTCATGCTGCCGCTGGCGAGCAAAGAGGATCCTTTTCATGGCATCGGTACGAGAGAGTTGAGAGCGGTCGCCATTGACGACTTCTGCCAAATCAAAGGCCGACTCGAGATTGATAGAGTAACCCAGTCTGGTCAGGATGGAATCAGGCATAACAGTTGCCTTTATCTCGTCGGGAGTCCAGAGTAGGGCGCGGACCAAGCCGTAGCGTTGGAACATGTTGTTCGTCTGAGCGAATTCGGCCATTTGAAGCAGTATCAGATTGGGGAAATGGACAGCGTTAGAAGTCTGGCGAACGCCACCGTAGCGACGGACCAGACTCCCGATAACGAGCAGCGAGTTGTTTGGTTCGCGCAGACGGGGATCGTTGGCAGGCAGGGGGTCTCTCTTTGGCAAGAGATGATCGTTGAAGATCTTGTCATATGTTTCAAAGTAGTCCTTTGGGTGAGCGCCCGATAGGGTGGTGTGACGGTAGGCAGAGTCCTTCTGTTCCAGCAGAGGATTGATGAAGTCGTCCAGATAACGCTCGTCTGGCTCCAGAAGGACATGGCGTCGTGGCTTGAGGTAATGGTGGATCTTCTGCGACCACAGACATGCGCCAGGGTGGATGTCGATGATGTCGCAGCCCTTGTACTTGTCGAGGTCTGGACCAAGGTAGTTGAGAATGTCGTCGCACAGTGCAGGGCTGACGACGTCGACAGTGTCTGGGTATTTGTCCTTGCCAGCGGGGCCAACGGGCTTGTGTCGACCGAGGGTTTTGGCCAGAGTGTCGCCTAGTGGAAAGTCCTGGTGAGGGTAGTAGGTGTAACGGTTTCGATATGAGGCGAGGTTCTTGTAGCGGGGAGTTTCCGACACGTCCTTTGCCCTCGGCTCGTCATTGGGAGCTTCATTGGGAGCTTCATCGGGTACAGAGGCCTTCTTTGGCTTCTTGACCTTTTTCAGTTGCGACACGGCAGCGGCTACCTGGGCCTGCTTCGACCTTGTGCCCTTTTTCTCTGCCGCCCTTGCGACTTTGGCAAGACCCGAAGCTATTGCAGCGGCCCGGGTTATGGGCGGGCTCATTGCTTGTCGCTGGATGATTGGCGAGGTCGCAAGCAGCGAGAAGCGACAGACCATCAACGTCTTTTTTGGACGCGAGAGGCTTCGTCATTGCTGCCCTGTTGTTCCCCCTCCACATGCCCCTCGATTCACGTCCTTGTCCTCTTGCCGACAACACATGCGCCAACCACTATCCCGCCTCTGCCCCACCTAGATATTACGCTGCATACCACTCTCACCCCAGACCAAGCATGAGTGCGCCCAAGAGCGTCGAGCAAATCGTGACCGCGGCGTCCAACTTCGACCATGCGGCCAACATCCCCCTCAACATGGCCCTGCGCACCGCCCAGAACATGACCAGCCAAGTGAGGTGATCCGAAAGACTCTGCTCAGGAGATGCGAGTCTATCTCTCCTTACAAAAGTCGCCCCGTCCTAATCTCTGAGCCCCCCAGGCCAACGACTACGAGCGCGATGGAAACCTACAAGACGCCTACCTATTCCTCTACCGCCATGCCGACTTCTTCTTCACCCACATCTCGAAACACCCGGATGCGAAGAAGCCAGACTTCAAGCCGCAGATGGCTCGCGCCCGCGACGACGTCAAGGCTGATCTGTCGCGCATGGAGGCCCTGAAGCCCGACATTACAAAGCGCTACCAAAAGTACCAGGACCTCGTCAAGAGGAGGACCGATTCAAAGTCACATCGAGAGCCAGCTCCCGCGCCGGAAGACTCGCTTGTGCTGAGTGCCGGTGAGCACAAGGACATAGCCCTACAACTGGCCAACCGCGAGCTACGGAGAAGGAGAAAGGACCCTCGCGACGACAACTCTGTCATGGACGACCTGAGCCGTGGAATACAGCATCTGGGCCGACGTATCGATGCTCCTCGACAATCTCGTCAATCTCACTCATCCTCACAAGCATCGTCGGCATACCACTACCCTGCAGTACCATCGACTCATGGCTCTGTTCCGCAGTCGTCAGCATCTCTTGCACCCAGTCGGCCTCCCAAGAATCACCTGTCCACCTACGGTGCACCCCCACCACTACCTTCAAAGACGGGCCAATCTGCTCCCCCTCTACCGCTCAAGGCAAACGCACCACCCCCACCGCCAAAACAAGACCTCTCCAACTCCCAATCCTACACGTTCCAACAAGCCGCCTACACCGAAAACGGCACCCCTCTCCGCACCCTCTTCCTCCCCACCGCCCTCCGCACCTCCTTCGTCGCCCTCGCCCACCCAAACACTTGCTCCAATCTCGAAACCTGCGGCATCCTCTGCGGCACCCTGATCTCAAACGCCCTCTTCATCTCCCACCTCGTCATCCCAGATCAAACAGCAACTTCTGACACTTGTGAAACCACCGATGTGGGAGAGACTGAATTGTTTGATCATGTAGATAATGAGGGCTTGATGGTTTGTGGTTGGATACATACACATCCCACCCAGACTTGTTTCTTGTCTTCGAGGGACTTGCATACTAGTGTGGGCTATCAGGTCATGTTGCCAGAAAGTGTTGCTATTGTTTGTGCGCCATCTAAATCTCCCGAGTAAGTTGTTGACTCTCGATTCCGATCCAGACTCTGATGAGTAGGATCATTACTGATCAGAGGAAACAGTCATGGTATCTTCCGTCTCACAGACCCCCCGGGCAAAGAAGCGATTCTGAATTGTCACAAGCCTGGTATTTTCCATCCTCACGACGAGGGAAATCTATACACGGATGCATTGAGACCTGGTCATGTTTCCGAATTGTCAGGCTTGCAGTTTCAAGTCGTGGATCTGAGGAAGAAGAAGTAAGACTGGGTATAGCAAGAGTATGTTACTTCAAAGGAAGATGGAAGATTATCGTATTCGTCTTTCAAAAATGTCCCGACAAAGATACACGCCTCCAAATCACACAGCCACAAACAAGACTGCATGATTACAAGAGGCAAAATTGTCGAATATCCCTCTTATCCACCAAACCCCCCTTCTTTCCTACTACCTCTGTGAGGTGTGTGGACGAGAGAAATGACTTGGTTTACCATGAAAGGCTTGGACTAGAGTGCATGTTTTGATGTTCCGCGTGGAATACTGAGCAAGGATCATGGCTCTTGAATCAATGCTCCACCTTGCAACGCGGTTTGTTTGTTTGTGTGTGTGTGTGTGTGTGTGTGTGTGTGTGTGTGTGTGTGTGTGTGTGTATACATGTCGCAATTACACGAGTTGAGAGGCAGAGGGGAAAAAGTGGTTCAGACCTTCTTTGGGTCCTGAGGTTATTGCTTTCGTGATTGAAAGAGAAGAAGAGCAAGAAAGAAACAAGTTGGGTATATCCATTCGTGCAGACGTCGATTCTGTCCCTCCTAAAACTCCCTTTTCATGTTGATGATTACTTTGATGCATGTTAGTCGTCTAACCGGCGAATCCAACTCTTTTCTTGGTCGCTGCTGGCGCGAAACCGTTGGTCCTGGTACCCATGTTATCGAGAAGACGATCCATGCCACCAAGATCCAGCTCTCCACGGTCTAGTAGTTGCTGGTCAAAGACGCTGGCACCATTACCTGCTCCGGCTGTTGCTTGTGCGAAAATTGACTTGGCAGGTGTCTGTGGGCGCATCGACTGGACTATGATAAGACGGTACTCGCCAGCGACGGCAAAGTCACGCTGTGATATGGCGCCCAGATTGAGTGCTGTAGAGCGAACAGGGAATTGTGTGACGCCATTGAGGATCTCACCAGAAAGGTCCAAGCCTTCAATGTGCGAAATTCCTGGTCCATAAAGAGATCCAATATCCTTACCGCTACTGTTGAGGCTACGCTGCCAGAGAGAGGCAAGGCTCGAGATGTGGTATGCGTCACTACCATACCACAAGACGATTGAATCATCAAGCGATCCATGGCTACCAGAAGTCGCGACTGCACACACGCCGCCCCTGGCTGTGGTCGTTGCTGACGCAGCAGACTTCGTAGCGCCAAAGAGAGATTCTTGTCGTTGCTGACGCGTATTGGGCGTTGATGGTGCAAGACCTTGAGTGGACCTAGACTTGAGTTCTGTTGCAGGCGCAGCATCTGCACTACCGATGAAGCCTTGGATAGCGAATGTGTTCATCTTTTTCTGTGTGACAGCGTCAATGTCCCACACTCCCCATTCACCACGATCCAACAGAACCAAAGCAGCCCTAGCACCAGAGATCCAAGCGACATCGACAATCTTTCTTCTTTGAGCAAGGCCAGGGAAATTGCTTGTGGCTCCCTTGGGCATTTGGAAGGCAGTGTTGAAAGCCGATATCCATGCACCCGTCGCGACAGGTGTGTCGGCCGTGGAAGCGCGAGATGACGGACGGCCTTTAGGTGCGAGTGGGTCGTAGATCTTCAAGGTCCCCTTGACATCGGCAACAAGAAGGCGCGAATGCTGGCGGGAGGGGTATTGAGCGGTGCTGAAGCGCAGACATTGTGAAGAGGAAGATAGAGGTACTGCGTGGAAAGGCACAACGGCTTTGGGGATTGTGCCGCCCGTCAAATCGTTGAAAGCGATGGGAATGCGGTAGAAGGTGAGAGTCTCGAGATGAGCCGAGGTCGATGAAGCGACAAGCAGATCAAGCCTTTCATTGTCTGCAGCGGACTGTTGCTGCGGTCGGTCGAGGTCCATGTGATCGCCGGCGACAGGCAAGGCGGAGCTGCTTGTCCACGTTAGGGCAATGTCTCTGGCCATAGCTGAAGAGGAAGCCGATGGGCTGAGTTCACAGATCTGAGCACCCAGGCGACCATTTCGTTTAGTGGTCGCTGATGGAGGGGTCAGAGGCAGTGTGATCAGACGCACTGACGCATCTGCGCAGGCCACGACCAGGACGATACGTTGCTTGACTATGAGGGGTATCTGTGTCTTTGATTGCAGCGTGGTAGAGGGCTGAGGGATGTTTGGCAGGGCCAGGTGTATGACCGGACTGCCAAAGGACAGTTTCAGCTCTTGGGCGAACGATGGGTACGGCTCGTCTTCGTCCAGCTCTTCATCTTCGGCCTCGTAACGCGGCTTGTCCTTGGCCGGGATGTCTTCGATGACTGTATCTTTGTGCATGTCTATGGGCAGGTTCCATTCCATGTGCTTTGTATGTGAGCCTGATATTTCAGTTACGCGCTCCGTGACGGCGCGCGAGGTAGCCGACAGTGGCCTGCCGCCTCTCCAAAGGATGTGAAGGCCGTCGTCATATCCGGACACGATAATGTCAGCACCTCGCGGGCTCTGAACAGGGTAGATTTTGGTGACGTTCAAACGGTGTGGGCATTCGTAGCTATGCACTTTTGTTAACATGCGTAGATGGACATAACAAGACGTGCGCATACTTGAGGTGCATCTGCCTGCCATGGCGAGAAACTCGTGGCTTCTGCAGTTTCGCAGACGAGTCATAATAAGATGTTGTCATTGTTGCTGCGAGAATTGGAAGAGGAAAGGTCGATGGTCAAGTTGCTGCTGCTTGGGCGAGGAAGCTGTTGACGCGCCGAGAGGAAAGTGCAACCGAGCCAGCGCGTCCACCATGAGAAACATTCTACACATGAACGCCAGAGTCCAACACTGCTGTCGGTCCATACCCATTCAATCGTCGACTGCAACATTCGCGGGAATCTATAACTCGTGGTCGAACTTCCACTACTGGCACAGACTGAAGTTTTGTCGACTTCACTCATCCTCCATCAACAATACACAACAAACATCTGCCTCCACCGCCTGACCAATGAACTTCCAATAAAACATCGATACATTCGACGATAATGTGTGCACTTTTCGCCACATCATATCTTGATTTATGGCCGACTTTGTCTCATTGGGCATCCACCGCCCCTCGGCTCTGCCCTACCTGATATCTGAATCTGTTCTTCCTGAGCCTCCCAATTCAGGGGACTATACCTGGAAAGTCTATCCAAATTCCTCGAACGATTCAGAAGATGAAGTCTTATATACTTCTAATTGCGTCGTCTGGTCACAAGATGGCCATGTCCGGAAGGTCTTCAACTTCGATTCTATGAAGCAACCCGTTGGTCACGCTCTGATCACACGCTTCCGCAACGATCTGCCTACCAAGGGTTCTGCCGAGACTACTGGTCCAGACAATGTCATCTCTTATGCGTCAACGGCATACGCTTCGAGATGGGGTACTAAGCCTCAGCGAGATCCAAGACATCTGCTGTCGTTGAGCAGTAACGAGCCACACAGCTTCAACCGCGCTCTTGTCATCGTCTTGAAAACTGAGATGCATATCCACTACCTCTCGGGCTCGACCCATGTAGTGAACGTGCCCTTCGATGTTGAAAAGGCATTTCCCGCTATTGATGGTCTGGTCATGCAGAGGAAGTCTACTGTATCTGCGAGAGGGCCACCGACGCCTACCATTCCTGCTCCACCACCAAACTCGTTTGCTTCTTCACAGCCGTATCTGTTCTCTCAGACCAGGTCTCCTGAGATAAGAGCCAATCGGTACCGTCCGAGCGTCCTGCCTCCAAGTCCATCAACACACTTCAATCTTGATGCTCTGTTCCAGGATCTTACCAAGGGCTCGGACTCGCAAATCATCGATGAGCTGCCTCGATTCTATTCATTGGAAAACCCACTGTCAGATTTAGCACCCGTTTCGCACGCCAGTGTTTGTCGCCAACCTCGCTTTCCTCGTCCCGGCGCTCCCAATGCTCCCATTGTGGAGTATGACATGCTCGACCCTGCGGAAGAGCTTGTTTATGTATCGTCACAGGACGAGCTTGCTGAAACTGCAGAATCTACTGACGCTCCCTTGTTCTTGATGGTCACAGTGAATAGAGAGCTAGGTCAGATCACGGTGTGGCAAGCATGGTACTTGCAGCCTCCTAAGCTTTCTGACCTTTTGTCCCAACGTGCAGCACATCGAGCAGCGAAGGCTAAGCGCCCCAGTTCTGTGATGACTAGCCGCACAGCAGGCGCTTCTACTCCTGCTTTGAAGCATCGCGATCATCGCGATAGGGTACGAGAAAGCTTTGCTGCGTCTACGAGATTATCTGTCGCTTCAACCACAAGACCTTCAAAAGATGATGAGGAGGAAGTTATGGCATCTCAAATGGACCCGGAATATCTGCTTAAGAAACCTTCTAGCGGTACCAGGCGAGTGAGCTCCATTCTCTCACGCGGTGATGTTGGTCACTCAGACCCTTCCATCAAACAGACCGCTCTCGGTGCTAGCTTTAGTGGTGCTGGACGTCGTTACCCTTCCATGGGGAGCTTTACTGATCGTGATCGCCGGAGTTTTGGCGCCAACCAAGTGCTCCGCAAGAGTCGCGCGTCGACACCAGGAAGTCTCTTCAGCAAAAGCATTGGACCGGACGATGCTACTGAGATCGAAAACAGTCGAAATCAAGATTACAATGACGAGTATGAGAGTGCCGAGCGACTGATTGGCGCAACCCACAAGTCCGCTGGTACAGAATCTGTGCTAGGCTCGTCGCCTGATGGGCTCCGGAAGGAGCTCGTTATACGCAAGCTAGATGTCTTCATGACAGATGTGTCGAATTTTGGGTCGGCTGCGATCGAGGACCTAATCAAAGTGTCTCCATTGATCCATCCTTCTCAGTCAGAGCAAAACAACTGTCTGATTTCGATCTACATCCTCGATAAGTCTTCAGGGTCTATGACGACAGTAAAATTGCGTGTACAGAAGAGGCACGAATCTGGATCCCAACCTGGCAGATACGATCTAGCGCGATATATGCCTATACCGTTTCTCTGCGACCGAAACATGACTCACAACATCACCGATATCACCAAGATTCAAGACGGAAGAGCCACAGCTATTGCCCACCTTTCAGCTACTTCACAAGAACTTGGCATCATCCCTGCGCGAGGGGTTACATGGTCATTGCCGATATCATCCCAAATGCGTACATCACACCCATCTCGTGTTGCAAGTATCCTGCAATCATCCAGCAGTGACAAGCAGGCCTCACAACCACTTCATTGGCCTTGTACACTACAGTACCCTGGAAACCAAGGCAAAGTCACGGTCGTCTCTTCAGATGGCTTCGAAAACCGCTTCCAGGTACGGCTGAGTCCTAGATCGACCGCCGTGCGCCACGTTCTCGAACTTTGCCAGTCAGTACTTCCAACAAAAGAGGGAGGCTCGATTGCTGCTATTTGGTGTAACATACATCACCGTTTTGCAAGCGAGGGAACACAACTTACCAGTGGACTCGATGTCGAGTGGGAAGCGTTGATCGTAGCCCTCTTTGCATTTGCGGCTGGCTCCATCGGAAGAGCCTTGCGAGGTAACCAGAGAAGTAAGTCTTCGACGGTGGATGGGTCACGACTCGGTACATACGGCAGCCAATTACGGTCTCGCAGTCTGGAATCGGATCTTGACAAGCTCACCTCGCCTGCATGGAACTGGCTCGAGAAGCCTACTACGAACGTAAAGCTTAGTGCCGTTACTCCAAGATCAAGACTCAGAACTCCCCGAAGCACACATAAACCCAAGAAGCACCCCTTCTCGCTGATAGAATACGAGACAATGGCCCGTCATCTATTGCACGACATCGCTGTGGATGAGTTGGACTGGTTAGTGTCCCCGGAAGCCGCTGATTCGCGTTATCTATGTTGCACCAAGATAATGCTGGTGCTGTACCTTTTTAGAGAAGAGCGCAAACTCAGCTCGCTTTCAGATGACGCGGGTAGGATCGTTGCTGGCTCTCTTTGTGCCATCATTGCCCAATTTGGGCAGTGGCTGTCACTTGACTCATGGTCTAACAGATCTGGCGCCTACCTTGAGATGGAAGGTGAGATTAGTGATTGGGACTTGTCCTCATCCATGATGAACACGTCCGTCAAAGCCTTACAAGATTCTTGCCCCCTGCCTCGGTCCGTTTTTGCTTGGGTCGAAAAGAGCTTCGTTCAGGGAGTAGCGAATCCCTTCTTGAGCCTGGAAACGATAGCCGCTTTGGGGTTGGAGTCACCGCTCACCACAACTTCAAAACTTACGAGCGAGATTTTGCCTCGACTCAGTTCTTTGCGATCGTTAGCAGCTCGTTTCCCGACCATCAAAACCACACCCAGCGCGTTGGTAGAGATGATGAAGCAGGTTAACCTTGGCCCCGGTGCCTTCGAAACTCTTCCAGAGGGAGTGCTTGCCCCACTCCGTGAGGCTATCACTCGTTGTCAGACATCACCCCCTACAACATGGTCTGCTGATCTTCTAGAATTCATTGCGCGGGAGGACCTGATCGGGCTGTCACAACTGAACAAGGACGCTAATCGTCCATCAAGTCGAGGAGCGCCTCCTAATGTTTTAGTCCCACACGACGTACAGACAATTTATAGTTCTGCCGATCGTGCTCCTCTCACGGCCAAAACGCACGAAGCAGAGAGGCACGCAGTGATCTCGCTCATTTTCTCCGAGGATCGCCGCTTTGTCGATGCTGCCCGGTTGATGAACCCGACTGCGGTCCAGATAGCTGAGTGTGCACCACAACCTGAATGGTCGGAGGTTGAGCATCTTGAGCAACAGAAACGGGTCATGCAGTGGGTTATGGTACGAACACTTGCACTTTCGCCAGGAGATGGTATGATTCACTTCGAAAGTCAGCGACCTCTTCTTTCGGAAAAGTTCCAAATCAAAGGCTTCAGCACATCTTGTCAGATGAAGCCGATGGACACCACCATCAGCGCCGATCGAAGTGGGTTCACTGAAGAGAAATTTGCATGGACTTTCTTCCATGCAGGTGTCTCGGCAGGACTGAGCATTTCGCGAAATGCTACGGGTATAGATACTTCGTGGATTGTCTTCAACAAACCTGCAGAACTCAGTAACCGACATGCCGGGTTTCTTCTGGCGCTCGGTATCAACGGCCATCTCAGGACTCTTGCCAAATGGCTTGCGTTCAAATATCTGACACCAAAACATAACATGACTTCTATCGGCCTCCTTTTGGGCTTGTCAGCGTCGTATCTTGGAACAATGGACACCCTTCTCACTCGAATGTTGTCTGTACACATCACAAGAATGCTGCCGCATGGAGCTGCCGAGCTTAACGTCTCGCCTAGTACGCAGACTGCCGGACTGATGGGTATCGGTTTAGTGTACTATGATACGCAGCATCGAAGAATGAGTGAGATCATGCTTTCCGAGGTCGAACATCGGGAAATCGAGGATCCCGGAAGTACAATGGAACAGCTGCGTGACGAATCTTACCGACTTGCTGCCGGCTTTGCCCTTGGATACATCAATATAGGAAAGGGTCGCGACTTGCGTGGTCTTCATGGTATGAACTTGCTAGAGCGGTTGCTGACGGTCGCTATTGGACCTCGACCAGTCGAGCTTGTTCATGTCGTTGACAAAGCCACTGCTGGTGCAGTCATCGCGATCACTTTGATCTACATGAAGACTGGTGATCGGTCGGTAGCTCGAAAGATAGACATTCCGGATACACTTGCCCAGCTCGAGCATTGTCGGCCAGACATGTTGCTTCTTCGTACTGTTGCGAGCCATCTTATCTTGTGGGACGAGATCACTGATGAGCCGGACTGGATCCGCAGGAACCTTCCTGTCGAGTATGCGAATCGCTATTACGGTCATGTTCCCAAACCTTCGATGAACATGAGCACCCTTCCTCAACTACGCAGTAAGGACGTTCCGGTGTTCAATATTCTGACTGGTCTTGCCTGGAGTCTAGCGTTGAGATTTGCGGGCAGTGGTAACCAACGAGCACGGGATCAGGTAATCTCGGTTCTCAAGGCGTTCATTGCAGTGACAAAGCAGGATACCTTCTTCTATGACGCGAAATTGGCCAGAGCGACAGTCAAGCGATGTATTGATGTGCTTACGCTTGCCATAGCAACCATCATGGCAGGCACTGGCGATCTGCAAAGCTTTAGATATCTGCGTTCATTGCATGGTCGAGTTGACTCAGAAACCACGTACGGCTCCCACCTGGCAGCTCATCTTGCAATCGGCACATTGTTCTTGGGCGGCGGTACATACACGTTCGGGACCTCTGACTTTGCGATCGCATCTCTGATGTGTGCGTTCTATCCTCTCTTCCCTAGCGATGTCTTGGACAACAGGGTACACTTGCAGGCTTTCAGACACTTCTGGGTCTTCGCGGCCGAGCCTCGCTGTATCGTGGTGCAAGACATTGACACTAAGCGGCCTATTCATGTCAAGCTCCGAGTCACCACGCGAAACGGAAAGCAGCAACAGATGACTTCCCCATGCTTGCTACCCGAATTGGGCACCATATCGCGTATCAGCACAGATGATCCAGCATACTGGCAGGTCACACTAGACTTTGCTGCGAACCCGAAACATCTTGCTACCTTCCGTCGCTCGCAAACGGTCTACGTGCGTCGTTGTCCGCCAGGTGAAGCTTCGAACAGTGTCTTTAGTACAACACTTTCGGCTCTCATAGACGCTCAATCTAGTCTCGGTGGTCGCCAGATGTGGGAGTGGATTATCAACCTTCCTGCATTTGAAGATTTTGATCAGGCGGACTTTGGTCTCATACTGCCTACTGATCCGCGCAGCGCTACTCATCTGGACGATAAATTGACAGCTGTAGATAGTAGGTTAGTGTTGAGCCGTAGTGTGGACTCGAGAAAGGCGGATGCTTTGTGGAGCTTGAGGTTGCTATTTGAATGGGCACAAGATGCCATGGACAATGGTGATGGCAGGTTGAGGTGGATAGGCAAGCACGTGGTCGATATGCTACAGGCAAGAGTTACAGAGAGTTCGAGCAGCTCATGAACAGAATAGCTCAAGCAAAGTTCGAATATTTGACCTCTGCCCGAATTCATAGCTATGCTCCTTTGAAACTTGATAGTCGGCAAAGTGAGAAATCTTCTTCTTGCGGTATGTATATGTACAGTGGAACTCTCTCGAGGAGGCTGACCAGGCGACCTTAGCTGGTTGCTGTCTACAGTAGTCATACGGTCGGGGTTGCATAGACCTCGACCAACATCCCTCGGTAGCTCGAGTGCTTGACCCGAAGTACGTCGATGCTGGGCGTGCATGGTATGATGCGGATGGTTTTCTCTCAGATTGTCGTCTGTGAGGCGTGTTCCCCTCTTTCTTGTTGGTCGAAAGCCTCCAGTCGTCAGATATGTCGTTGGTGATCTCCTGATTTCCAGTCGTCTTTCAGTCGCTGGGCTCAGCGGTCTTGCCCTCAGCCTTGTCCTTTCTGCGCATACCAACGTCCCAGTTGTAGACGCGTGCAGTAGCGACCTCGAGTGTCTGTTTCAAAGAACGTCAGCATCCCGTCCTTCCTCCAGGTAGAGACAAGCAAACTCACCGTAATTTGTTCTCTCAAGAAATCCATATCTTCCTCTGCATGTTCCAACCCACTCTTAGCCGCCTCCAACTTGCCCACCAACAACTCCTCCGCCTCCTCCATCGGATAAGCCAACATGACATTAGCCCCCAGCCACAAGTACACCTCATCAGTCTTTGGCACCTTGGCCTTTGCAAACAGTGTATCATTCAATTCAAAGAAACTCTCCAATTCCTCTGCATTTTCATCCCTGCTCTTCAAGAATCTGACCGTATCCAAGGTCTTTGAAATATCGGGAATCTTTTCGCGAAGACCGGTTGCGCGACGAGATGTGTTTACTTCCATGAATTGGTACTTTTGGATCATTTCGGTAAAGGACTTTAGGGTTGGCTCTACTTCTGCGCGGGTGGTGCAGTAGTCTGATACATTGTCGACGAAAGGGGCGTAGGGGATACCGCGGGGGTTTGTGGGTGCGTCGCTTTTCTTGCTGTATATTGAATACAATAGTTAGTCGGGTGCGTGTCTCAAGAGTGCAGTTTGTGGTGTGGGGGGTGAGATTGGTGATGCGCGAACGTTGTTGTGGTCGCCATATTTGCGATTTGTTGTTGACAGAATGTGGATTGATTAACGTTGTAGTCTCGATTTCTTGGAGCGCTCTTGCTTATTTGCGACCTTTGTTTCTGAGCGCATGTGAATGTTGCTTCGGGATGTGGAAGTTACGTCGTGTTTGGAAGCTGTTTGCTCTTCTCTTGCACAAGCAGATATGTACATTGTGCTTCCCGATTATGCCAGCATATCTTATGCACATGTACGTACCTGCGAGACGCTTACCTGCTCAGAGCACAGGCCATACCAGCCATCAACCTCATCTGCTTACATCAAGACTCCCATCCAAAAGTGATGATGCGTTCATGTCGGCTCCCTCAACCCGCCATGCTCCACCCCACTAGCATGCAACTCCAAGATCAAACATCCCTGTATGCATACAGTAGTCTTCTTCTATCTTTGTGTAACGACAGGGTGTAAATCAAGATATCAGGACCATAATATTGCATATACGATTGTCGTGACTATCGAAGGATCACGCTTGAGTATTGCTTACATGCAGCCGAAAAAGGTAAATCATCCGGGTGTTTTCTGCACAAGCACTCTCGTTCTGCTCTTGTTTTTCGGTTGCTCCTTCATGTTTTTTTACGCTTCATGGCTTTCTGTCTTCTTTGGGCGGTGGGATCCACAGTCGCCTTTCACATGCGTTCCGGCTTTAATCCAATGTGGACGGTCTAGGGCTTCGGCGCGGCCGTAGAAAGGAAAGTGGATACTGGCCGTGGTGGGAATGAGCTATCTGTCACTGCCGCTGGTACCCGGCTCCTACGTGAGTCCTTCTCCGGAGTCCCCAGGGTGGAGGGGGTGCCCGTGCAAGGCGTTCTGTTGTTGTCACTGCTGTCTGCTCTCAGCTCTTGCGATTCAGGCCATCTTAGGTACAGTATCATGTACTTTGTACCTGTTCCTCTCAGCCTTTGGGGTCCGATCAGCCACACCTCCCTCGCAGAACACGCCATTGATATAATGGTGGAGGATCTGGATCGCAGATAAGGGCTGTGATCATTGCAGTCTCACGGAGCTTGAAGGCCAATGTTGATCCAGCATCTCTGCCGCGGGTCTATCGGACCCCTGAGTAAGGTTTGCGACTATGGATGTGAATCCTTGGACACTTGGTATGTAGGGCAAGGGGTGGCGGTGGTCGTCCTTGACATGGTGCAAACGACAGGTGACAGTATTTGGCATGTAACCCATGTACTCGAGTACGAGTTCATGAAGCGGTTTGACAATATTAGTTACTGACGATCCCTGAGATGATCGGTTACCACAGCATATCTGCCGATCGATGGTCAACTGAAGAAATGACGAGAGCGCAAACATACTTGAAGTGCTGAGGTCAAGTCCATCACATTGAGTAGGGTAGTAAATCGTTTCCAGACAAGGGAAGTGATAAGGGAAGAGCGGCTTAGTGTAAGACATAGTCCAGCGGCGCAATAGCCTTACTTTTGGCAAAAGGAAAAGAACTACGCGAAGTAAATCGAGAAGGAACTACTCAAGACGAAGGGAAAGAGTCATCAACGGAGGAAAGAAGTCACTTGAAGAGTAGCGGATATGTTTGTAGTAAAGAACAATCGAATTGGAAACACTATGTATTGACAAAGATAAGAAAACCGGGATTGACCTCTCGCACTGTGTAGTGTGATCGTGAACCTCTCCAGGAGAACAGAAAGAGAAAAAAACAGGTTTATCCGTCTAGCGAGCCGACACCTGTATCGTCGCAAGCAGGTCGCAGAGAAACATAAGAATTGAAGACAGGAAACGAAGCCACAGGCGGCGAGAGAGTGAGAGAAGAGAACAAGAAAGACTAGACAGCCACAAGACTTTCACTCAGCCCAAGCAAAAACAATGTTAGTCACCTAGATATTACATCCTCTTCGTCACAGGATAGGGTGTCGGAGTCGCAGTCAACCTCAGCCCAAGGTGACCATCGCCTCTCAGCATCCAAGCCTGAGCACCCTCTCACTGCTTCTTTTTGTAGTTTGTGTTTGGTTCAGATCTTGAGACCGTCTTGAATAAGCTTGCCAAGTTCCTGTGCGTGAGGCTCCTTCATCATGGTGAAATGGTTGCCGCCCATGACACCGTACTTCATGTTGCTTCCACACAGCTGAGCCCAACCATTGTCGGTGAAGTCAGTGCGGTGGTTCAACAACCACTTCATGGGTGCAGGGTCCTCCTCCTCAGCTGGGGGAGGACGCGGGTCACCAGCGTTACCAGCAACACCATCACGGCACCAGATAGCGTAAGTCTTGATAGGCTTTATCGAAGGCTGAGGCTCGTAGTCAGATAGCGAACGGATGGCGGCAGTGAAGTGAGGAAGCAGCCACTTGGGAGTTTTGGATGCATCACCTGTACCAAGGAGACCGATCTCGTTGAAGAAGACGTGGAGACGCTGAGGCAGGGGTGCAAGATTGACAGGGCAGGGAGAGTCAAGGAGTAGTAAACGGTCGACCTCTTCGCCATTGGCAAGCAGAGCCTGAGCAACGGCGTAAGCGATGACACCTCCAGCGGACCATCCGCCGATGATGTATGGTCCCTGAGGCTGACGTCTCTTAATCTCAGCGAGATAGATGAGCGATACAGTCTCAATGCCGCAAGTCCAATCGGTAGGGTTCTTCATGAATGGGCAGTTGAGTCCGAAAGCGGCGACATCTGGGCCAATGTTGGGGATGCTGACATAAGATGTAGCAGAGCCAGAGCCATCGGGCAAGAAGAAGATCTTCTTGGTAGCAATCTTAGCATTGCCTTGGAGGAGGACTGATGTTGCGGCAGGGAACTTGGAGAGATCAGTAAGCCTGGCGTTGACTTTATCAAGTTGAGGCGAGGTCTGCTTTGTGCTCTTAGGTACAGAGGCAGCCTTAGCTTTGGGCTGCGGGCGCATACCGAGCGCGTTTTCAATGTCCAAAATGGTGGAGTTGGTCATGAGGAAAGTGGAGGGAAGATCGACGCCAGTCTTCTCGCGAAGTTCACTGAGAATGGTCAAGCTCATCAAAGAGTCCATGCCGAGCTCAGAAAGATCTGCCTCGTCAGTGAGTTCAGAGCTGTCGATGCCCATCTCCTGGACAATGATATGGCGGGCCAGGCTGACTTCGCCAACCTCAGAGTCAGGAATTTCGCGGATGGGTGAGTCAATGTCAGGCTTCCCAGCGTCACTGGCAGCAGTGCTGGGGGCAGAGCTGGCAGGAGTACTGAGGTCGTCCTCATACGGGGTAGCGATGTCAGAAGGCTCAGAATCGTCCTCAGAGTCATCTTCGACAGGACCGACATTGCCATCGAATTGAGAGAAGTACTTCTTCATCTCGCCAACAGTGGGATAGTCAGTGAAAAGTGTAGGGCTGATCTCCATGTCAAGGTCCTCTCTAAACTTGGCAGAGATAGTCAAAGACATGAGAGAATCAACTCCCAGGTTCTCAAAGGCGGCCTCTTCAACGAGTTCAGACTGCTCAACATCGGTCTCGGTAGCGATGATCTGCATGACACGGGACGTGATGGTAGAGCCCTGAGGCTTCTTGGTAACGGCCTTCTTCGGAGCCTTAGCAGCCTTGACGACAGGCTTGGGAGCTTGTGCCTTAGGTGCGACAGTCTTAGGAGCGGTAATTGCCTTGGGAGCAGCAGCAGCAGGAGCAGCGGTCTTAGTGGGCGTACCGACCTTCTGAGGAGGCAAGAAAACGTTCAGGACGCGACGAGGGATCTGTTGGAATTTCAGACCACCACAGACAGCAACAATCTCGTCTCCCTCCATGATGTAAACATCACCTTGGTAGACGTTGCCAGGCTTGGGAAGCATGCGAACGTAAGAGCGGTAGTTGCCCTCGGGAGTCATCTGTTTGGCGATTCTCATTGAACCCCAGCCATGGGAAATACAGACGTTGTTGTCGGAGTCAATCAAGTCGGTGGCATTGACGATGAATCCAGAGATATGGCACATGCTGTCGATCTGGTAAGGTGCTTGGTACCAATCACCATCTGCAGGACCATTTTGGAACTTGATAGAGGCAGTAGCCTCTGTGGTCTGGCTGTTGACAATGACTTCCTCCATGCCGCGGTATTTCTCGTTGTAGTTGACGAAGCACTTGAAGAGCTTGTAAGCCATACCACGCTGCATGACGTGTGCCTCCTGAGTCTTGGTCTTGGCCTTGAGTACATCGACCTGGGACTTGACCATGAAGTTGATGCGGTCCCACTCGTCGGTCCACGAGCTGATGTCCTCAAACTTGACGAGACAGTGCGCATGCTCCTGGATGAGCTTACCCTCGGGGGTGACGCTGCTGAACTTCAGACGAGCAACACCCTCATCAAGATCTGCCTTGGCCTCGAGCTGAATGTGCTGGCCCTCGGCAGGTTGCTCCATCTTCGCAATGAACGGCTTAGGCACTTCCATCTCGCAGACGTTCATACCTATCTTAGGTGCAGAAGGTCTGAGTTGCTTGTAGAGGTAGTCACAGACGGTCAATGCCATATCAGCGTATAAAGACGAGGGGCAGAGAGCAGTGTCGTTAACCTGATGGCCAATGACTGCTTGGAAGAGCTTGGGTTCTGCGACATTTGACTGAATGACGACAACACCGGAGTTGGCCTCGAACTCCTCGTGCACGACCTTCTGGCAGGAGGTCGAGAGACGCTTGGCAGGCTTCTCGACGACTGGGACAGCCTGTGGGGCGGCATCGATAGTCTTCTGAGCCTCGCGAACCTCACCCTTGGTCAGGGTCCAGTTGTTATGGTAATCGAGCCAATACTTCTTGTTGTCGAAAGAGTAGGTAGGTAGAGGAAGAAGCTCTTGAGCATCGTTGAACTCGCGGTGGTATTCGTCAAAGTTGATCTGGACGCCAGCGTTGAAGAGAGCGCAGACGCTGGTGGCGATGGTCTTCCAGGGATCCTCGTTGCGACGAAGTGAAGGAGCAGTGGTGGTAGCACCGACTGAAGCCTTGACCATGCCTGAGCATACGGGGTGAGCACCGACCTCGAGCCAAGCGGTCTTCTCGTCAAAGACCTTCTCCTTCTGACCACTAGCAAGAGCAGTCCAGAAGTTGACAGTCTCTCTGGCATGTCTAGCAAGGTAATCGGGACCGATAATACCCGCATCACGGATCAAGTCACCCGAGAGGGGAGAAAGGACTGGCACCAAAGGCTTGTTGAAGGTAGCAGAGGAAGCGACCTTCTTGAAGGACTCGAGAATAGGGTCAACCTGGGCGGAGTGGAAGGCGAAGGGGACGTTGAGCTTGGTAGCCTTGAAGCCACGAGCAGAGAGCGCATCATTAGCGGCGCCAACAACCTCACCACTGCCGCAAAGGACTGTCTCCTCAGGTCCATTGATGCATGCAATCTCGGTCATCTTAGGTCCGAGGACACTACGAATGGCCTCAGCACCACCCTTGACAGCAAGCATGCCGTGAGTGTGAGGGGTGCAGTCCTTGACAAGGAGCTCTGCTCGGCGACCAACGAGCATGATCATGTCGCTGGCGGAAATGACACCAGCGACGTGAAGAGCGGCATACTCGCCCAAGCTGTGACCGATGACAGCGGTGGGGGTGATACCCCAAGAAGCCCACATACGGGCAAGGGCGACCTGGATACAAGCCATACCCAGCTGAACCTTGACAGGAGAGAGAGTAGCAACATCAGTGCCGTCAAGCAGCTCGATGAAAGAAGGCAGACCTTGGATAACAGCCATGTTATCGAGCTGGTCGATATCATCGCGGAAAGGCTTCAGGTCCTGGTAGAGCTTCTGACCGAGAGCAGTGTACTGCGATCCCTGACCAGTGAAGCAGAACGCGGTCTTAGTAGGAACCATAGGGACGGGGTTGTAAGTATCCTTGAGCTGAGCCTGAAGGGTGTCGCTGACCTTAGCAATATCACTGATGGGGAAAGCGATGCGGTAGTTGTGCTGAATACGACGAGCAGTCGAGGTATAGGACAGGTCGGGCAGACTAGTCTCAGGGTTCTCGGCCAGGTAGCCTTGAAGGCGCAAAATGTTGCTCTTCAGAGCAGCGATAGAGCGGGCAGTGACGGTGACAGGAAGTGTACCTCTGGGGTCAACAGCCTTGGGCGCCTCGCGAATAGGTCCGTCCTCAAGCAGAATAGCGGTGTTACCACCGGCAGCAGAGAAATTGTTGAGGAAAATCTTACGCTTCTCGGCTCCATGACGAGGGAAGGCGGTATGTGTTTGAGGGATGTTGACATTACGATCCTTCAGATCTTTAGGGAAAGTCTTGTTGATTTCACCCTTGATGCCAACGTTGGCAGGAATGGCGTTCTTCTTCATCATCATCAAGACCTTGCAGAGGGAGTTGATACCGGAAGCAGCCTCACCGTGACCAATGTTGGCCTTGATGGCACCCAGGTACAGCTTCTGCTCAGGCTTACGTTGACGGTGACGAGGAGCGAAAACATTCGTGACCGAGGTCATCTCAATACCATCACCAGCCTGAGTACCAGTACCGTGCATTTCGACGTAGCTGATCTCGTGTGCATCGACTCCGGCGTTTGCAAGAACCTTCTTGTAGAGGAATTCCTGAGCACCTGCGTGAGGGTGAGTGATGGAGACTGCCTCAGCAGAGTGGTTGGTAGCAGCGCCAAGAATGCATCCAAGAATGTTGTCTTTGTCGGCGAGAGCGTCCTCGTATCTCTTGAGAACAACCGTTCCAACACCGTCACCACGACAGTAGCCATCGGCAGCATTGTCGTAGGTCTTGCAAGAACCAGTCTTGGACAAGAATTGACCCTTGGAGAGACCAGAGAAAATGTCGGGGTTGGTGAGGACGTTAAGACCACCGGCACAGGCAGTGTCACAGTCGCCAGCCCACAGAGAAGTGCAAGCAAGCTGGATGGCAGCCAGAGACGACGAGCAAGCAGTGTCGATCGAGTACGAAGGACCACTGAACTTGAAGTAGTAGTTGATGCGACCAGGAGCGAAGGCACGCACACCACCAGTGATGAAGTAAGTGTCAACGTTCTCGGAAGCATTGATCTCGCGCCAATCATCAGAAGTCTGACCATAGAAGGTACCAATGCGGTGGAGTTTGGTGGAGGGAGTGCGGTTGGGAACGTAACCAGATTGCTCAAGAGCCTCGTACGCAGTGACAAGAGCCAAACGGCCCATGGGATCAGTCTGTGCAGCCTCGCGAGGAGACATGTTGAAGAAGCGGGGGTCGAAAAGACCAGGCTCGTCGATGAAGCAACCGAAAGGAGTGTGCGATTTGTTCTTGCCCTTTCCGGAAGGGTCGCAGTGAGCATCGGCATCGAAACGATCGGCCGGGACCTTGCGGTGAACATCAAGACCCTTCTCGAGAAGCTCCCAAAGAGCCTCAGTGCTGGCAGCACTAGGGAAACGACCCGACATACCAACGATGGCAATCTTGTCGTTCTGAGTGCGGCCGTGGGTAGCGTCAGTGACGGCGGACTCCCAAGAAGAATGGTCTACGAGAGAGACCAAAGACTGACCACCAGCCTTGATGGCAGAGACAAGGCTGTTGGAGACATTACTAACACCAATACAGAAGACCTTGGCAGGGGCATTGGTGCTAGCAGTGATCTGGGAAACACTCTCCTCGAGAAGGCTGTTCCAGCTGACTGGGGCTCTGAGCATATCGTTCAAGGACAACTTGAAGAGCTCGTAGGTGTTCTCCGCGATGTGGCACATACCAGTCGAGCCGGAGTGAATCAAAGATCGAGGCTGGTAAGCCTGAAGGAACTTTGCAGACTCCTCACCAATGATGGCCTCGATATCAGCATTGCTGTACAGATGTTCGGCATGGTAAGGGGCGTAGACAGGAATCTTGACGCGGTTGTTCTTGCGAACAGCCTCAGACTCCTCGAAGAAACGCTTGGTTGTGGTAGGAGGACCGCTGATGGTGATGGCCATAGTGCTGACGGCACTGATGTAGGCATGACTGGTGATTGGAATACCGGCAGACTCGTGAAAGGCGTGGAGAGCATCCTTGGCGGTCTGCTCGTTGATGCCAGTAACGATGGTAGACCAGCTCTCCTTTGACATGAGATCCTGACCCAATGCAGTTCGAGCGCTGTTGACGCGAACACCAGTACGGAAGGCGACGCGAACAGTCTCGACACCGAGAGTGACAAGTTCGTCGAGAGTTCTGGCGGAAGCAACTGCAGCAGCGGCGAGAGAACCGGTGCAGAGAGCGAGAATACGTGTGTTGGCTGCAGGGGGGAGTTCGTTGGTGTTCTCGGAGAAGTAACCGATGTAGTGGCCAAGTTGAGCAATGGATACCATGACACTCTCGAGGTGAGGCAACTTCAACCCCTTCTCATAGTACAGATCTACCAAGTTGTTGAGGGTCATGAAATCCGGGATGGCATCGCGCTGAGGGCGGGAGAGTTGGGCGATTTCTCCACGCAGAGCAACAACGGTGCGTTCGAGGAAGTTGAGGACAAGAGCATTCTTGGTTCTCAAGACCACTTTGCGGAGCAGAGGGTATTGTTCAGCGGTCTGATCACCGAAAAGAAGGACGTTCGACATCTTGGTGAAGGTATACTGGCTTGCAGTGTGGGTATTGGGAGAGTAAATGGATTTGAGATCAGTGTAAAGGAAGAACGATGGATGAGCGAGTCGATATCCAAATGGATTGGCTGAGGTCGACGAAATGTGATGCTGCAGACGAATAAAGGCGAGCTTTGGACTGACAGAGACTGTGGCTGGGAGTGGTACTATGCAAAGAAACGAAATGTGGAATACTTGAGAGGTGGGCTGGACGTCTCGAAGTAAGAAGAGATGATGGACTGAATGATGAAAGGAAACACAGAGCTTGGGAATGAAGAGGGTATATATTGTCGACTCTTGCAGGGTGCTGGGGTGTTTTCGGAGGTAAAGCCAGTTGCATGGGATCGAGCGATTGTGTATGGAGACCACTAGTACCGGCAGCGGATCTTCGCGAAGCACTGATACTGCGAGGCTACAGTCACCACCTCACAGCCGCCGGGACGTGTACAGCTAGCCTCGATCCACGTTCCTGACGTGAGGAGAGTGATGTCGACGAGCAGCGGAATTCCGCTGAGGGGTCCACTCGTACGGTATGGGCACTAGCCAGCAGAATGCCATGCAGTCTCGCAGGAATCTCCGACCATACTATTGATAGGCGCAGGCAAGCGAGCCCGACTGAGTTCAGCGACTGGATAGCGTCAAGTCGAAACCAGATAAGAAACGTGAGACGATGCTGGGTTACAGCGATCTGAGGTGTGGAGAGCCGCAGCTCGAAGTCCGTATTCCCTTGCGTTGTTGCTCGAACCAGTAAGGTCGGCTTGACAGAAATAGAGAACGCTCAGCAAGGTTGCAGAACATGCAGCGAGTGAATCTTACACCACCAGGATGCCACTAATCTTGATGTTGGGTCCGGAAAATTATTGCCACGTCCGACATGCTTGGGGAACGTGCATGGCCGCGAAAGTCAAGCCGGTACACAGACAGATGTTGCCACCGGAGGTTCACTAGTCCATTATGTGATTTGGAAATGGAAGACACAGCTGAAGTGCATTGAAGTCGACAACCCTAATTCCGTGATTTGTTCGCCTACGATCATAGGATAGATGATCGCTGTTTTAGAAACCTCGCCCAGGAGCGGTGGTGTAGCTGAGGGCTGGAAGTACAGCACGGTCGACCGTGTCGCATCATCATGTCAGAAAGACCAAACTACTCTGGCAGCACCAGGCTGAGGAGAGGGTACACGGGTTGGATCTGCTATACGACAACACAACCATGGAAGCTGTAGAGAAACTTGAGGCGGCCATTGTTTGTGGGGTTTCTATGGATAGCCGATTTTGACAGTGCGCTGGTGTCCGGGACCGTGAAAGCATCATTCAATCCCGGCTTGCCGTAGCTTGGCACCCGGCAGCTTCTTCGCACGTTGCTCTGTCTCAACCGTGTCACAACATTTTGAGCGACACCAGGGTAATCATCGCCGTGCCTGACCAACAATCTGACTGGTATTGTCAGGTTGTGCTTGAAGAGCACATGTTGAGATATCCAGTCTCACATAAGACTGTCCGCGCGCTCTTCGCCTCATACTCGAGAAACACAGAAACATGTCGTTCCTAGCGAGCCCTGTGTATCCTGGCCATTGCTAAGCATTGCCAGAATATCTTGGTCCTTTGACCATCCTTGGTTTCATCAACTGCCATATCTGGACTTCGAGCATACGCCTGTATGATGCCTGCTTCGTCAGCATGCGCTGCGCAGGGCTATATCCAAACCATTATATAAACACATCTCTGTTTTTCCAGACCGCATATGCTGATCAAAGGTATGCATGCTCCGCTCTTACAAAATTCTGTCTCCACAATATCTATTCGTTGCGTCTGATACCCGCACTGTCCAAAGAACACTGGCCCGCGTTTCATTCATCGTGGCTCGTGCTCCAGGGTACTCACTTTTTCATACCACCACCTGTCAGGTGTTTCTTGGACTATTCTCAGCAACAAGACTTTTAAGCCTTAAGAGCTTTCTCACGACGCCGAAAGAAGCCGTTGGGAGAGCCGAGCTTCGTGGTCGATGCTTGAGACGAGATCGTCCCTGACAGACTGAACCCTCCGCGCTTGTAGTGAACACCCAGTCTTGCTTTGCAAGATTACAAGATTCTGTCACCAATTCGAGTGTCGTAATGTGTGCTTCGGTCTTGCATAGACAAGGTTCGTTCATGACGCTGAGATCAAGCCGCATGCAAGCAGCCGACATATGCATGGTTTCCAACGACACTGTAAGATTGACTTTGATGTCGATGGGAGTGGAATCGGCGACTAGCAGATCGCGGAATAGTTCAATAATCTGTTCGACATCGTCTTCGTTCATTGCTGCTTCTTTGGCTTTTGCCGGGTTGCCGGCCTATGCGTCAGAGTAAGTCAAATATCGCAGAGGCTCCAGATCATGCATATTCGACAAGGACATTTGCATGACAGCGTTTGCAGGGAAGAATGCCCGATGACACAAGACTGAGATTCTAAGCGTCATCATTTTGTACATGGGTCACTTATGTCTGCCACGAATCTCGACGCTGGAGCGACCCTGACACCTCGCTCGTTCCATTTTCAGTCTTCTGGTAAGCTGTTCACCCGAGCATCAGACAATCGGAGAGTCCAGTATGGCAGGGACTCGCCAATCATCCATGTATAGATAGTGCTAACGACAAGGCGGTCAGATGCTGTTCACCCAGATTGAACCAGCACGTGGCAGGTGACAAAATATGTTACATGGTCCTATCTGTCACGTCGTACAAGGTCATACCGCGGCATCATAGAGTAGTCCCTTTCACGAATTTACTGACGTGGTGCAACCTGAACGACCCGAAATATAGGAATGCGGGTTGTCTAATACTACCCTGGGATTCAGTCATTGGAGCAGACACGAGGCATGTTGTGCAACACACCCCACGAGCGCATCTGGAACAGTTGATGCCGTGTATGGTACTCTGGCACACGCGCACGCGCGTGTCTTGACCGAGCTCTGTGTAGAGAACATGACGGACGACCACTAGAGAACTGGCAGAGTCCAACTTGATGATCTCAAAAAGCGTCATCAATTGGAATCAGGCCCTTATTCCAAACTTGAACTCTGAGACGCGGCACTGCGGCGGCAGTGATGCACGCACGTACTCGCAGCTGCCATTTGTACTCCAGACTTATCACAGCTCAATATGTACCGCTGATATGCGCATAGATCAGCAAAGGATGGGTGATCCATCTCACCCGGACACATAGCCTCGAGTTGATCGCTGCTGTTATATTTGAGATGAACATATGTGTTTTCCCTCGCAAGGATCAGTCGACGACGCCCAGCTCGGAGGAATCACGAGTTTTACGAACACGAGCCAAGGAGAGGGGCAACGATCTGGAGACGCGAATACCACGAATGTGTCCCAATTCGATTGCCCCCTTCCAGTATTTGTAAGCTCCGACAGCAGGAGGAATTCGGGTATCTGTTGCCTACTAGACATGACAGCTGCCCGAGGGAAAGTTTCATGGGTCAAATACCAGATGTCCTGACTCAATAGGGGTGGTCTGTTGCTTATCAATAATTACTAGGCAAGGTACATGCATGTAGCCTTATGCACATGCGGATAAAACGATACGTTCTCTGATCCTTATTGAGTGGGATTCGTGGGCCAACTCAGCAAGATGTCAGCGACTCGCTGAGCCGTTCGTGGTCTTCATTAGGCTTGTTGTAAGCAGTCGATGGACTACCTGAAGCTTGGCCATTGGTAAGCCTCCGATATTGGATGAGGGCAAGAACCAGTGGACAGCTCATCGGAGGAATGTCGCGCAAGCAGGTTTGGCTTTTGGCTGAAGAGTGTCGTCTACCTCCGAACGGAGAATATCGCGTCCTTGCTCGTTGATGTACGATGGCTTCTTTCTGCAAACGCAAAAATATCTCTCCATGCATATTTCGAACATATATATATCAGCTAGATTTAGCGGGCCAATCGTTTACCAAGGGCCAATGCTCGGGGCTCTGTGAAACGTTGCGTGTTTGACTTTTGCGAAGCTCTCCGCAAAATCTTAACTTCTGTTGGAGCATTAAAAGACTAAATAGACACATATACTAGTGTTGATACATTCGCCGGAGGGAGATCAGCGCCGTGTACAGTTCTGATAGATCTATCATACCTGGTTGCCGTGAGCCGTTTTCGGCATGTATCGTGGTCTTGTAACGTCTTCTCGCGACTCAACACGTACGGTTTGCGGTTTGTGGGCAAGCCCAGGAACGCCCGCATAGGCTAGCATTTCTGGCACAGGCTCATATCCAAAAGTACTCCACAATCTCGGCTGAGCAAAGGTCTCGACTGTACACTACAACGCAAACACTTATAAACTTTGTGAATAGTGGAAGAATAATTGGACTGGCGGCTGATGCGGTATCTACTTTGGAACAAGATGCTGAGCTCCGAGCGGTTTGTTCTCGAACAACAGCGATAGCAAAGATGGCATTTTCCGAGTGAATGATTGTTGTCGGAGGATTTGCACTCAGCCTCGGTGGCTGGTCAGATCGAATACGGGAAAATGGTACTTGAGTACTCAGTACTGTGCTGGACTATACAGGGGAGAACCCTGTATGTGGAGAGCAAGGCAAATCCGTTGTCGTATAGACAAACGGTATCAAGCTCCGCGAGATAATCGGCGATCGGTATGCTTCTACCCCAGAGTCAATTTCAAGACCTTAGAGCCTCTCAAATCCGAGGTCTCAACCTGACACTGAAGCTTGCTTGCAACAACGTGCCGGTATCAACGTTAGAAGTGCTCAAGTCCGTCCACAGGGCAGTTTCAAAGTGTATCTTGGGAAGCTCCCGATAAGGCCTAGTCCAAAGCTTGGCAGCAGATCTCTTCGAAAACCTTGCACAACTCTGTGAAAGGGCATCCCGGCGCCTGAGGTTTGACTAGCTCCCAGATTGACGCTAACGCGACGTAGTGTCTACCTCGTCAGCATTGCAACTGGCGCGCGGAGGATAAACTTACTGCCATGTTCATTGTACTGTACAATTCGCATGTATTACGAAAATAGGTTCGTGCGGGATCGTCGGCTCACCAAGATGCTACGTATTGTAGGCCAGGAGTTCACAGCTCTCGCACGCAGATCGTCATTGCGCAGACGCATGATGTGCATCACCATTCCTCAGAATTCGGGCGCTCACCGCGTCATAATCATGAGGATGCGGGCCATTACAAGGTGGAAGTCGCAAGAGCTTCCAGGGGGCTGCAGGCAAGATCGAGCTGCAGGTTAGCTGCTTCGCTGCGAATGCCATGCTAGATCCAATCTCTCCGAGTGTTGCTCGGACTGTGGCTTGTCTGCCGCTGGAAAGAAGGCTCGCAAGAGATAGCTTTTTGGTTACGGCTCCGCTGTGCGACCTTAAGGCGAGCTCGCTTTCCAAACCTGACTTATGCTGACGCCATCATCTAGTGCAGGGCGGGCGATGATTCTCGACTCAACCATTGAGCAATATCTATATACAGATGAACGCGCCGAGCTTGGCGGGCGTATGCCATAAGCGGCATCGTTGTGCAGGGAGGTTTGGCCGTTTTGGGTCTGACCCTCTTGACATCCGATTGGCTCCAACTCTTACCGTGAAGCCTAGAGCGCTCAATCCGCCAGATGGGTTCCCCAGGGTGGGCAGGAGAATTTGGACGCGGGCTGACTCGTGCATGCGTTCGACGATAACGAGACGGTTGGCGTGCTCGTGGTGTGTGCCTCACAACTGGAGCCCATGCTTTTAGCCCGCATGAAACCATTCGAAACGTCGCCCATGATAGCTTGATTATGCACCAAATGCGTTCCGCCCCTGGGAACATCTGCCTCGCTTGGACGGTACTCTAGTCGACAAGTCATGATGTGTCAAGGATCCGCAAACCAGCCCCAAGCTTTATGCTCCTTCCTCAGCTGTTAATAATACCAGCAGTGTATCCTACTCAATCAGGCTGATCCAACACATTAGTAGCACCTCTTCTTCACATCTCTCGCTCTTCTTCTTTTCATATCATCCTTGATCTTCTCTATCTCTTCTCACTTTTCATCTCTCTTTCATCTTCTTTCCATCGCTTGTCTATGCCAGGATTGACAGTCTAAGTCACATCCCAACTTCACGATGGTTTTCTGCACATATTGTGGCCACTCGTTCACCAGAGACGAGCATCTCGAGAGACATATCCTCACACGTACGGCTGAGCACTGCATCTAGAAAACCCTTGCTAACAGTAACAGATACCAACGTTAAGCCTTTCAAGTGTTTCACCTGCCACATGTCGTTCGCCAGACGGTAAGCCACCCACTGCTTGGCAGGACATTTCAGAAGTAATGCTAATTGTACGTTCAGTGATCTGCTACAAAGGCACTACACCGTCCATGGCCGGGATCAAAATCAGGAAATCATCCCCGCCGCCAACGGCATGATGGCAAAGTCTGCTGGCAGAACACCGATTGCGTGCAGCAACTGCGCCAAAACAAAGACGAAGTGCGACAAGAAGTTTCCTTGCAGTCGTTGTGCAGGCCGCAACCTTCGATGCACCCTCCGCCCCACTCGTCGCTCGTCCAAGAATGCCAACCGCATGGGCTTGATCACAGCCGAAACCATCGCCAGTGGTGTTGCCAATGGCATCCTACCTCCAGATCAGACCGTGGCTGCCGAGGCCGCTCCTATGCCTATCGACTCTTCAAAATCGGCAGAAAAGCACCAGCATCAGAAACCTTCGAGCCCAGGCTCTGGCGTCCCCACAACAATTCCCGAAGAGAAGCACATGGGCGATTTGCATGCTCAATATTTCGAGCAACCAATGTCTAATGGTCACACCTCTCCCTCCCAACAAATCTCTCCTTTGACAACTCCAGGCTCGGGCTTCATGCAGGGGTCTATGCCTACCTACGACGACTTCATGAATGGCACCAAGGAGGATGATGCTAACCCTCGTTTCATGCTTGACTGGGGTCAGATGCCTATGCCCATGGGCTTCGAGGCTATGGCTCGTGCCGATCTTATGCTCGACCCTAGCATGGGTTTCGATCCAAACCAGCTGTCGTTGATGCCGGCCAATGAGACCATTCTTACTATCATGCCTGATATGGCTAATTTGGGAGGTCCTCTAATTTCTCCTATCGAGACACCAAAGGTCGAGCGCTCCTTTGCCGACATGGACCTTGGCCACTCCAACAACATGTTCTATGCCCACGCCAGGCACATGTCGACTGCCTCCTTGTCATCAAACGATGGCGAAGACATCCGGGCAGTCATCGCAGCTCAAGATGGCTGGAACGTGTTCAGATGCACACCTACTGTCCCTTCAAGTTCATGCCCCACGACCGCGAAGATGAATCTCGAGTGTCTCGAGCAGACTCTCAAGAACCACGAAGGCTGGAGCACTTGGGCTCCTACTTGGGACGAGGCTGATTTCGCTGGTGCTGAGAACTTGGCTGTCATGCAACTCCACGAGAGCACGCGCGATAAGCTCCTCGCGATTACTCAAACCTTCTTGCACAAGGCCCTTGAGACTCACAGAGAAGGTCAGCAAGGCGGCCAGTCTCCATTGTCGAATGGTGGCTCAAACTTCGTGCTTCTGCCGCCAGCAAGAGTACTCGAATATTTCCTTCGATCTTATGCCAACAGCTTCGAGAGATACTACTCATTGACGTCACGAGGCATTCTCGATGCAAACGAGCTGATGCATTGCTACAACGACAAAGCTTCATGTCTCTTACTACTCATGATGATTGCTCAGGGCGCAATGAACATCTCGTCTGTCGAGGCAAGATGGTTGGCTGGTGGTCTCACCGAAGCTTGTCGTATTTCGCTCTTTGACCTAATTGAGCGCAATATCACAATGGCTAGCGACCCAATTACTTTGCACTCTGCTCTCCTCTTCACCTCCCAGGCTGCTTGGAGTGGAGACAAATGGCAGATGGATATTGCCATGGGCCAGCGAAGCATGTACTTCCACATGCTACGACATTCCGGTCTTCTCGAGGGCAGAGCGTTCACGGCTCCTCAGATGATGGACCACCAAAACAGTGCCGACTCGCTCTGGACTGAGTGGATCCAGCGCGAGAGCCGGAGCAGACTTGTCTACTCATGGGTCATGGTCGATCAAGATCTTGCACTGTTCCACGACACCGCCCCACTCTTCTCCGTGACCGAGTTTGGTGCACCGATGCCTGACTCCGACCGCCTATGGCAGGCTAAGAGCGCCCCTGAATGGTCTCAAGCCTTTGAACAGGTACATGAGTTTGTGGGTGGTTACTCCTCGCTTGGCTCGGGCGCCCGTCCAATGTCATTGCATGATCTTTTCCGTCACTTTTTGGATGACGAGATGGCTTCTCTTGGCATCGGGATGACGCCACTCCAGATGAGATTACTCCTACATCCTCTTCAGTCTATGGTTTGCCATTACGGTCAGCTCATGAGCTGTTTCTCCGATTCACTTTCATCACGCAACAAGACTCGAGCTGTCACTGCATCGTCAACCAGATGCCGCTTGGAGGAGGTACAGTCACTACTTCAGCGATGGTACGACATGGCCGACCGTTACCTCAAGGTCAACCCTAGCTGCGCTGTTATGCAAGCCAACCTCGTCATGTTCCATCTCATCAGCTTGAACGCTGTGACCAACTTCCCTGAGGTCGAGCGTCTGGCGCGTCGTGAAGGCTTTGATGGTACCTACCAACAGCTGATATGGATTCACAAGCGATGCATCGCCGATGTTGAGGAAGCTGTCTTCCACTGTGGACAAGTCTTGCGCATCATACGGTCCATGCCTCGTGGTGTACGTCCTCCTTGGTGGGCCGGTGCTATCTACCGTGCTGCTCTTATCCTCTGGACCGACAGTCTGATCAACAAAGAGTCACCAGCGCCAACTGCGACCGGAGGATTCCCTTCACCGGGACCTACTTTCGCTATTGACGCTCTGCCGGCTGATCATCCAACCATCGTTCGATTCTTGAGCAAACGTGTGGGTCAACCCTTCCTCAGCAAGAGGAATGGTAGTCATCTACCAATGGACCATGGCGTCACAGTCCTTGCACATTCCATAGAGATCATGGATGAGGGAACTTCCAACAGATTTGTTGATGGTGTCCGCAATAAGCTTGACCGCTTGATGAGAAGCTAGTTGCTTCCAAATAATGTTTTACGACTCTTTCCTTACCTCTTAGTTCAAGATAGATGGCTGGGCACCATTGGTGTTGGCGGTACAATGCGTTGGTCTTTAATCTTGTCTCTATTATCTTCATTGCCAGTAGGGTGAGTCGCGATGTTAGCAACTCTTGGTTTTGTAATGTTTTTTCCCATTCTGTTTTTCTTTCTCCTAGTAGATCTCGATCCGACTCATACAACATTGATCTTCTTCAATATCACATCTTCCAAGCTCTTCTATCCCGTTTCGTGCGATAAAAGCTCCTGTCTTCCCCAGTTGTGTTCCAGTTGACCACAATCCAGAGCAAGCGTGGCAAGTCGATCCTCTTTGCTTTTCCCAATCATGCTTGGAAGCGCCCAGGTGCAAATACCAGATAAAGATCAAGTAAGAAGCCTGCGTATAATAGAAAATAAGCATCTCCAAGAAGATGAAATTGGGCGACTTTATGATCTTTCTGGTGACCGGACAAACCAACATTGTCCGGTGCATTGATCGTCAGATTCTCCTTCCTGCCTATGAGGCAGTATGACGACGGTGTTGGAAATAGCAGATCAAACTAACATAGTCCGGAGGTGCACTTCGGAGGTGAGGAGGTCTCGTGTCTGATGTGGTGATCCGAAGTCTGAAGATGGAACGCGTTATGCGATCTCACACCATAGCACTACGACTGCCTACACTCTGTTCAAAGAGCAACTGAGATCAGATCATGGTGGAAACAATACTGGTAGTGTATGTATAGCTTTGCTGTCTACACTCTCTGAAAAGGGTTGGAAGTGGTCGACGAGCTTACCACCATATTGCTGTTGAATCCCTCTATATCGGCGGACAAGATCCTTCCTGACTCGGCCCATCTCGGACGTTTCACAAAGCAACGGTCTAGCATCTATGAGTATCCGGCCGCAGAGAACCGGATAGTGCGCTTCAATGAGCTCCCCCAGAGTGGCCTTCAAGAAGATCTTCGCTTCCCCATACAGTCCCGCAAGCAGACCACCAGAGAATGCGACCACTGACTCAAAACAGGTTTCCCTGGTCTCTCTATTCGAGAGGCTATATGGTCGGTCATGGACTGTCTCGGCAGCTCTCAGCGTGTAGAATCCGGATGAAAGGTGCTCCAGAGAGTGCTGCAGCGGACTGAGCGGGCAGCCGATATCACTCCGGGGCTATGTGTGCACTGCATGATGCACGATGTGCACAATTTCCTCCTGGAGGATATGCAACACCGCAGAAGTCAGTATGACTGCTGACTGCAGTCCAGAGTTAAAGGCAGTGAAAGGCCGCGCAATTTTCGTCTGAATAGAACCAACTTCCAAGGCGGCTTCCAAGAGGACAAGAGCACGGGAAATGCAGTCATACCAAAGATGACAACACTTCTCCATGTGCCAAGCACAACTTGATGGGGAAGCTCAAACACTCCATGGCTTGCCACGAGCACGGTATCACGTTAGGCGATACCATATAATCTTCAATCCACCAAATGTGCTAGTGTTTACTTCGCCTGGGTGCGATCACCACGTTGCTGACGATTCAGTACATGTCGTGTTCTCAGCCAGCTCATTTGCGGAACAACTCAACGGTTCGACGAAGGATTGCTCGTGATTGCGCGAACATTGCAGCGATGGAGGTACCTTTGTCACCACAAAGGGAGAACAAGCGACTGCTGGAGGCTTACGGGCTCGGAGCGGCGGAGCTGAAGCTCAGGAATGCAGATACAAAGTCAGCAGGATGCCACAGTGTGGGGAATCGATAGCGTTCCGAAGCAGTCAATCGGCGGCCGCCGGTCAGAATGTGAACGCGATAAAGATGCAGGGCGAGCGGGCAGCGGATCAACAAGCATTCGATATTTGATGCAAGCAACGGAAGTGCCAGCGTCTACCAGCGTCTACACACCACCCTGCTCCAGAGGGGTCCTTCCTCCTCGACACCGAGCCGCCCCGAGGTTTGTGGTCCAAACAAACTTCGTATCGTCTTGGCAAACGTGGAAGGGCAGGATCGGGACTAGTCGTCTAGTGAGTTTTCCCCACAGATTGTGAAACCGAGAGCCGCCAACGCCGTCGCGCCTTCGTTCTCCGTAGCACGAAACAGCCTTCGACAATTCGGGCACTACTATCCGCCAGCCGTAGCCAGCCTTGAGCCAATCCGAATTGTTGAGCCGCACGACTATCCTCCGAGGGATCGCGGCTAAACTTGGGTATTCTGCAACCGCCCTAGGCATCATGTATTTCCGGAATGCTAAGTGCAACAAGAGGTGCAAGAGCTTGGCTCGTGAACGCCTTGCCAACCAAACAACTGACGACGAATATAGACGCGTCAAAAAGGTACTGGAAATGATCGATTTCGCTCTCTCAGATGGTTTCACAAGCTGTTGCAGTGGTGAGGTAGACGACTATCTTCGGAAGCATGGATGGTCTTCCACAGTTCGGCAACGATCGTCGCCATTATGCACCCAAGAGAAAAAGTCCGAACGTTAGGTGTCAAATGAGTCCGTGCTGAATACCATCCAATGGCTTCCCCAGCGCGAACAGTCTGTGGGTCTGCCTCCATGCTCGACTTTCTGCACGTACCCTGACCGGACATTGCTCGCGAGATGTGCCTCTCCGAAACTCACGCGGACGAACAAGAGCATGTTCGCTCTTCGCGTCTTTGGAGAGCCTGTCCGGTGCGAAGATCCCCTTGCACGTTTCCGCCTTGTCGCCCATTGAAGCCTAGCTACCTATCGATGAGGCTGGCACACTGCCATCTCCTACATTCTCTGTCCAGTGCTTGTATGAGCTATGGTGTCTACCAATCCCGAGTGGAGCCGTCATGTTCTATCAATGGGATATTCTCCGAACAAGGGCTCAACATCTCGGTGCTATCTTGAGAACGAAAGAGCGAGCATCAATGGTATATAGATCGCTGAACACAGCAGGCTAAGTCATTCTTTCTTCATCATCAATCACCATCTCATCCCATCCAATCCAATCCACTACCCACAAAAGCCACTCGCTTCTATCACCACTTTTACCCCTTTCACCAACCAACTCCAACATCCCAATCACAATGTCTGCTATTGAGACTTCTCGCCTCGACGGAAAGGTCGCCCTTGTCACCGGCTCTGGTAAGGCATTTTCCACTTCGCTCAAGTCTCACCAGCTTCTAACACATATCAAAAGGCCGTGGTATTGGCAAGTCTATGGCCATTGAACTCGGCAAGCGCGGTGCAAAGGTTGTTGTCAATTACGCCAACTCTGCCGATGCCGCCAACCAGGTTGTCGAGGAGATCAAGAAGAACGGCTCCGACGCCATCGCCATCAAGGCCAACGTCGGTGAGGTCTCGCAGACCATCAAGCTCTTCGACCAGGCTGTTGAGCACTTCGGTCAGCTCGACATTGTCTGCTCCAACTCTGGTGTCGTTTCCTTCGGTCATCTCAAGGATGTCACCGAGGAGGAGTTCGACCGCGTCTTCAAGATCAACACCCGTGGCCAGTTCTTCGTCGCCCGTGAGGCCTACAAGCATCTCTCCGTCGGCGGCCGCATCATCCTGATGGGCTCCATCACCGGTCAGGCCAAGGGTGTCCCCAAGCACACCGTCTACTCCGGCTCCAAGGGTGCCATCGAGACCTTTGTCCGCTGCATGGCCATCGATTGTGGTGACAAGCGCATCACTGTCAACGCTGTCGCTCCCGGTGGTATCAAGACCGACATGTACCACGCCGTCTGCCGCGAGTACATTCCCGATGGTGAGAACCTCTCCGACGACCAGGTCGACGAGTACGCCAAGACCTGGTCTCCCATGCAGCGTGTTGGTCAGCCCGTCGACATTGCCCGCGTCGTTTGCTTCCTCGCTTCCCAGGATGGCGAGTGGGTCAACGGCAAGGTCATTGGCATTGACGGTGCCGCCTGCATGTAAAGAGTTTCTTCCGACTCTTTTCCTCCCACAACCAACACATTTCTATGAGCACAGGATACAGTGCCTGGAGCACTTGGAAGTGATATAAACCAGTTTTCTTCTATTCTCAATATATCATGAGCGGATGGCGTTTTCAGTCTATAATACGATGATGAGAGAGTTCACGGGATGGACAGACAAAGCTATACTATCTTAGACAGCACCCTAAAAAAAATGGAGATCTCGGCATTCTTAAAATCATTTCGGTCGTTTCCTTCTGATCGTGTCGTCTCATTCTGCCAGAGTGGCCATCTCATGGCTATTTTGTAAACTTCCTCTTCTTATCAGGGCGTGTTTGGAGACGAAAAGCTCTTGATATGGATTGACGTACACCTTCCTCGAATCTCAATCCAGTGTTTGCCGCCAGTCCCGTGTAGCCTCTGCGATCTCCAACATGAATATAAGCCAAGTGACAGCATCCTACGTCTTTTCTGCGACATACGAGGTGCCCACTTGCTAGAACTCCTACCTTCAAGTACTCTCCCGTCTCCTACATGCCCTCCAGCAATCCCAACAGATCTCTCCTCTTCGCCTCCTTGATCCTTCTAACCCTCTTCCCTCCCTCCATCTTTCTCTCCTCTTTGTCAACTCCTCTCTTCCTCTTTTCCTCTGCCAATTTCCGACTCTCGTCTGTGTCTTTGACCCAGCATGCTATTTCTTGAGTATCGAGGAGGACGTTCGTGGACTGGGAGGGAGGTTGACGTCCTAGTTGGATGAGGGAGAGGGGGATGGTTATGGGCGAGGGTGAGAGGGGTGGTAACGGAGTAGGGCGAGATGGCGAGGATGAAGGAGCAGCGGGGGAGGAGACGAGAGAAGTCAAGAAGGTAGTGACAATGTCGAGGTAACTACGACCTAGAGGATGGGCTTCCAGAATGGTGTCGGTGTGGGCGTAAAAGGCTTTACTGTTGGTTACATCAGTATTCTGACCTCCTTATTGTGGTGAACGGATCAAGCGAACTCACCTCGTCATCTTCCACCCCTTTTCTTTTGCAACCTTCTTACCCTCCTTCGTCTTGATGCCACATCGACTCGTGACCACCATTTCCAGAGCAGGAAAATGCTCCAACTCCCCAAACACCCTTTCGCTCACGCCCAATTGGAATCTCAGAAACAGCATCTTGAGCCTAGGAAAGCCGTTGCTGTATCTTGCTTGTTTGTTCCAAAGCCTCGTTGTATCATCGTCAATCATGGATGTCTCCCGTGTCGAGGAAGGCGAGCCAACTATATGTAGAACGGCTAGATTTGAGAGAATGGACAGTATGGATAGAGAGGTGGATGAATCTGTGATTTTGTCGATGAGGGTGAGGGAGGTGAGGTAGACGAGAGAGGGAGAAGAGATTGCTGGGATAACTAGCGAGAGGGGGAGATGATGGTGAGTTATTGTCTTGTGGGTTCTTGCAGGTGGTTGGTCGGCGTCGATGTCTGGTGGAGGATGATCTTTGCAGATTGTTGTGAAGAGCTGCCATAGTCGAAGGCTTTGGAGATTGCTGTGAGGGACCTCATTAGTCTATGATCCCAAGGTTGTATCGTAAGTGACCATGCTCTTGGCACTAGTCATTATCTTGGGATAATTTTGTTGGTGGACAGAAAGGAGGGAGAGGGAAAGAGATATTGACCATCATCTCCACGAGATCGAAGTACGTGGCGACGACACCAGAGTCCCCGTGTCTATATGCGGCAGAGGATGTCATGTAGGACTGACAGCGATCTCCGACTCCATTTCGCAATCCAAGACTTGTTGTCGAGGTCAAATTTAAAAGCCGAGGGGACAACCCGGACCATATCAAATTAACCTCCATCAACGGAGACCAACATGAAGAGAGAAAACGAGCAGGAAATAGAAGCACTCACTGTTTCACAACCTCCCGCCAAACCCTCTCCCCCATCAATCCAACATCGCCCCCAAAATGCTCCTCACCAAACCCATCCACATGATTCAAAAAACATCTCAACGCCATATCCTGCAACGTCGAAACCCCCTCCTCACCTTCATTCTCCCATTCTTGAGGTGGAGGTCTTCCGATAGATTTGGATAGAAATTCATACAATTGTCGGTTTGTCGGTCGTGCTCTTATGATGGTTTCAGTGTATAAGAGGCCGGAGGTGGGGGAATGATGTCGTTTTGGACGTAGGGGATGAGTCGTTTGTTTTCCGGCCATTGTTGTGCGTGTGTGTGATTTTGTCAAGAGAGAGTCGGGAGTTACTGGTAGTGGGACGAGTTGTTGGTCGTGTAGGTGTTGTGTTGATGATGTGCATGGTCGGGTTGATCGTTCCGGATGAACATTTGCGCCTTGGAGTCCTTCTCAAATCGTTCTCATGTGTGATGTGCACAAAAGTCTGTGGGCGGTTAGAAGAGAAAAATTGATGTCGCGATAGCTGTCAATGGTTGTTTTTTGTTATGAGTATCAATCAGGTCGAGTCACAGCAGCATCCCGGTAATTTGCGCACAGCATCGACCGCGCGACCGCAATTGCAGACACGGCGAATTGGGGCATCACAGGAACAATTGGAAGACACGTGGTTGCATCAAAGTTCATACTTCTTCTAGAGTACAGTACTGTTCAAAAAAAAATGGTCGTCGCAATAAACCTAACGACTGCATACCCATCAAAATCCCTAATGCTGTCCTGATGAACGCCAGGGTGCCTATTTGGCACCACCTAGCTTTTTGTGACTTGCTATATTCTAAGCGAAGCACTTAAAGCTCATCGTGCTCACCCATGTCACCGTCGCTGTCCATGAGACCGTCCTTAAGGACGGCGGCAGCCTCTTCGGCCTTCTCAACAACTGCGTCCTTAACGGCACCGGCGACCTTAGCGGCGACACCCTCGGTGGCAGCCTCAGCTTGCTTGGGCATACCGGCAGTCTCGACATCAGCGCTCTCAGAGTCGGCGTCAATCTTGTGGCTACCGTTCTCGCGGATGAAGGTGGCGAGATCCTCAACAGTGCGGGCACCGCTGTACTCGATGGGCTCACCCTTGCCGTGGGCAGGGAAGAGCTTGATGGTAGGGAAGCCCTGGATCTCATCGGGGACGTCGTTGGCAGTGGCATCAACCTTGGCGATGGTGACCTTGTTGGAGAAGGGCTTGAACATCTCACCGAGCTCCTCGTACTTGGGAGCAAGAGACTTGCAGTGACCGCACCAGGGAGCGTAGAACTCGACGAGGACATCCTTGTCGGCGTTCATGACAATCTCATCGTAGTTCTTTGCGACAATAGTAGTGACGGGACCGTCGTTTTTCTCAGGAATGGGCTCGGACTTGATGCTGGGGTCGACCTTGCCGGCAACAAAGTCGTCAAGAAACTTGGTGATCTTCTTCTCTGAGAGGTCAGTGCCCTCGAAGGGGTACTTCTGGTTCTTTACGGTGTCCTGAATGGCAAATGCGGGCCACTTGCCAACCTCGAGGTTGAGGTTGCCAGCGTGCTGACCGAAGGCCTTTGCGTCGATGGTGGCAAAGTTGACCTTGCCCTTGTGCTTCTCGGCAACCGATTTGAGGGAGGCAGCGAGAGTCTCACGCTCCTCGGGGGTCTCGGCGAAGATGTAAGCGAGGGGAATACCGGCCTGAAGGATCTTTGTCAGTTGTGCATTCTCATGAAGATGACTGTCTGTTGGAACTCACAGCCATGTAGGTAGAGTAGGTCTCAGGGCCGACCTCGCCAATCAGGGGGACGCTAGCGGTGTTGGCGAAAGTGGTGATAGCATCCTTGGAGAACTTCTCGGTAAAGGTGTTCTTGCCCTCATCGAAGCTCTTGTACAGAACGATCGAGGGCTGAGTGACACCCTCAGCCTTGGCGAGGGCAGCGTCGCTGGTAGCACCGAAGAGGTAGTTGTCGCGGAGGCCGTTGGCGGCAGCGGTGAAAGTCTCGTTGGAAGCCTTGTCATCAGCGGCGAAGTAACCGACCAGGACAACCTTGTCAGCGGTCTTGAAGTCCTCAATGGTGGCCTTGTCGACGATTGAGACGGCGGGCAGGGACTGCTTGGTCATGTATGAGACGATTCTGCGGAATAGTTAGCCAGGCTTCCCAGTGGATCTGAATTGATCTAACGTACGCAGGAGCCTTGCGCTGACCGCTGTAGGGGGAAACATTGTCGAGGCCTCTGAAGACCTTGAGGGTAGGGTAGCCCTCGACACCGTGGTCCTTGCAGAGGTCGGCCTCCTCAGTGCAGTCGATCTTAGCGAGAGCAATGTTCTTCTCCTTGAGGGTGGTAGCGGCCTCCTCGTACTCGGGTGCAAGTGCCTTGCAGTGTCCGCACCAAGGGGCGAAGACTGTGAGCTACTGTTAGACTTGTAATGGTGGCACAGCGGTCCTTAGAGTGTTGCTTACACTCTGCGAGAACAAGGTCGTTCTCCTCAACGAAACCCTTGAATGTGTCCTGCTTGAGGTCGACAACGTCGGAAGCGGCGGCCAGGGCGGCTGCGCCGAGCAGACCTAGAGCTGCGAAGTTGCGCATTGTGATGTGATATGTGGAGAAGTGAGGGAGGGTGGAAACAGTTCAAAGACAAGCACGGGGTAGAAGAGTGCAATGTCTGTTGGATGCTTCGTGAGGACGTTCGAGTTCGAGAAAGTGCAAAGGAGACAGATCACCTTGAATGCTTGCTAAGCCGCGGAAGGGACCAACTGGCATCAGCGGAAGCTTCGTGAACCCCGCCTTCCTTCCAAAAATTGCCCCTGGTTTCAGCTCAGAAATAGACACTAAACTCCAATCTATCCAACACCTCCATATTGCCTTGGCTACTGCTGGTGATTCTGTTGACGCTTACTGACAAAGATGCCACCTAATTGCTGTTGCGGCCTAACAAGTCTTCAGTCTACGAGGGTAGTATGCTATTTGATAAGTAAGAAAGGGGTATCTGAATTAAAGAGCATTCTACGGGTCGTCATTCGATAAGCAGCATGCCGCGGCGATAAGAAGCGAACGAGGTCCAAGAGCCCAGAACACCATCAGCTCCACGAACAAAGACCATCACCACTTTCCCGAAACGTACATCGTCCCGATCTAGCAGTTCAGATACTACAAAATCGCTTGCACGCCTTTTAGGCAAGTTCCTGTACCCAAACCTCCATCTTACCCATCTCCGCTCCATCTTTCCCAGCCTGTTCTTTTGCAGTCATGACCAACATTTCTAAATCATCCTCATCACCCATGGTTACCATATCTCCCTCTTCATCTTTCATCTTCAATTTGAAGCTGTCTCTTCCTGCGTATCCGAACTTCTTGCGGATTTGTTCCACAAACATCTCGTAGGTGACGTTTGGTTGTATCATCACGTAGCGTGTATCTGTTGCAAACACCTTGACACGAATCTTGCATAGAGTTGGAACGGCAGCCGGTGGTGAGATAGCTGGAGTGATCTCATAGGGCAATGCATTCGATATGGTGGCTTGGAGAGCCTGGAGAGATTTGTCGATCGTGGTGTGCGCTCGAATATCTTTGACTTCCTCGGGTGTTTCGTCCTCTTCGGCAATGGAGCGAGGATACTCGCGTAATGACTGTCCTCCTGATCTGTTGCGCTGATGGTGATAGGCTGCTGGTTGTAGCTTTTCGGGCTCTGAGAGTGCTTGCTGGATAGCTGTGGATACCGTGTCTGGCGTGTAAACATCTGGTCGCAATACATGCGAGTCTTCGGTCGGTTGATGCGTGTCAGAATGTCTATTACGCTCCTGTACCCTCGGCGGACTCGAACGCGAAGGATGCGTGTCTCGAGCTGGAGGTCTCTCGGAGGCAGATCGCTTGGTTCCTAATCGTGGCTTCTCTATCACGAGACATGTTGTCGACGAGGACGCTTGTTCAAAAGCAGCCGCTCCCAGATCCAACTTGGCAGGCTTCGATATTGAAGATCTCCTCTGATGTAGTCCTGACGGTAGGCTTGCAGTACTTTCCGATGACTTTCGTTTTGCATTCGTCATCGTCGTCGAGGTCGCTCTCTCGGATTCTGGCGGTGGCGTTGGTGGGAATATGTTCCTATGAATTGGTGGCTCTGACTGCTGACGGGCACGACTCGACAGTCCTGGCCTCACTAAGTTTAGCGCTGCATATGACAACTTCTCATCTGGCCGATCATCCGCTGCGAAGCTGGCGGCAGTCAAGTTGCGTCGAGTGTCCAGGTAGACTTGGTTTGATCTGTCTTGAGCGCGAACGAGAGTCGATGTGCCCAGGTAGTTTTTCGATTTGATGTTCTTGACTTTCGCCTCATTAGGTCTGTAGACTATGCCCACAGGAATTGAGAAGACAGTATATCCCTGTGTATGGTTAGGATAAGGCATTTGATGGATATCTAGCGACTGGTAACTTACCTCGGCCTGTTCACGTATCGCTTCGTCGATGACATCGTGATCTGGAACAGCCTTCTCTTTGGAAGCATAGAATAGATCTTGGAGGCCAGCACTCCTTTGCTGAAGGTAAATGTAGCAAAGACCACGATTGAAAAGCGCTTCGCACGAATGAAGCTTGAACTTGAGTCCCAATTGGTCATAGTCAATCCAGCGGTTGCCACGAAGGTAAAGTAGTGTATCGTTGAAGTTTGCAAGAGCCTCCTCGAAGTCACCCAGAAGGAAGTTCGAGACGCCTTGCTGGAAGTATGCTATCGCCATGTACTGGTCGAAGTATACTGCTCGTTGATAGCATTGAACCTATCGATGAATTAGTACACCTGTGTTGACCAAGCAAGATTTTGGACTTACAGCTTGAGTATGCTCTCCTAATGTTGCGTGTATCACGGCGCAATTGAACAGTATCTTTGATGTGTCGGCAACAGTCATGAATGCTCGAAGGGCAGAATCAAACTCGTTGTTGTCATAATGCTCCAATGCTCGTACCCATGTCTCTATCTCCTAGATGCAAAGTCAGCATTGCAATTTGACGGTACGCAGACTCTTCCTACCTGTTTGAGTGACATGACTAGGCTGAGGCAAGACAGCCCAAAAGATGGTTGACGAAGACGTTACTACGATCCGCGCATGTAGATGATGGTCGAGAGACGCAAAGATTGTGACGATACCAGGGACACTACAGGTAGGAATACGCGCTTTTTTGATCACAAGTTGTAGACGATCTGTATGCAGTGCTTTGATAGATAAATGAGGAGAGACACAGACCTACTAAGGGTGGTCAGGGCATATAACATGCAGTTCTGTGCCGACCAGGAACAGTGTGCTACGTCGAAAAGCGTGGGGTACATTGGGCGCTTGAGCGGACGATCGCATTGGCTCGAGGGCTTCAAGCGACCAATCACGGAAACACCTGACGCACTTGGCGAAGATGCATATCATGCAGCTCGACTCGGTTGGTTGGCGGCGCTTAGAACATACATCCGAGCAGATTGTATTGTTTGGAAATGATAAGTCTAGGTTGCTGGCTTCAGCACGAGACGCTTGACTGGCTTCGAAAGCGAAGCGACTTTCGATCGTCTGTCACATCGTCGTATCAATTGGCATGATTTGAGTGCTCAACGTCCCGCGTTGGACATGGCTTCAGACTGTCACAGCGACGACGCGATCGGTGTGTTTCCAAATAGAGGTGTCCTGTCAACCCTAAGTGCATGCTGTGTTGGCATTATCATAACTCGTAATCCTCGGAACAAATCAGGACGGGCGTCCTCCAGGTAGATCCAATGCCGGCGTATGAACATGCGGGACTCTTCTTCGCTGAGAGCAGGTCAGAGCATGCCTTTCCCGACTTGTTCCGTCCGCTCTTCCCACACAGTCTTGCCCGAGCATGAGCAGACAGTTTTGTCATTGTCCCAGACTCCAGCACTTCTGGCAATGACGCCAACAAGAGTGTCAGGGTCCTCCTTGTCGAACTTGCCATCCTGCTGTCTAGAGACAACTATGCTGCGGCCAATCATCTCCCAGATCTGAATAGACTTGTCGAGGAAGACCGAGGCAATGCCACTCTTGTTGACCTCGACAGTACCAAAGACACCCCTGGCAGATTCAGGCTTACCCTCCTCTTTGGCGCGTAACATATCCCAAATGCCACCAGTCTTTTCGGCACCACGAGAGATGTCGCCAGTTTCACGTACGGTCGCGTGGTATGTGCCAGGAGAAAGGCCGCGGATGGAGAGATCGATGATGGTCATGTTGGAAGCAACTTGAACCATGCGGATCAAACCGCGTACCTGGTCCGTCACGGAAGAGGAGTGTGTTTCGAGGATGCAGACGGCAGCACTTTCGGACTTGCCCGAGCCTCGTAGGATGGCATCGCGACCAGTATCCTGTATGGCGGCGACAATGGCCGAAGGGGCGGCAGTGCCATTCACTGAGATGAGCTGGTTTGGAAGATCGGCCGAAACATTTTGAATGCCTTGAGCAATGTCAGAGAGGAAGGAGTTGGATGGAGGGGAAGATGAGCATTTACCGGGAAGCTTGTACAAGGACGTTGACACGTCTTTGACGCACGATTCACAGCTGAGAGGCACTGCGAAGGTGGTTTCGAACGGAGGAATCATGGCGCTATATGTATATCACCGGGTAGGTCTATGAGAGAATAGAAAGACAACATGATAGATGGTCTTCCTTCCATGACGAGCGAGAGATCCGCTTGCGCCTTCCGTGATTTCAAAGCCGCCGCGGCGTTCGGACGTTCCAACACTCGTTCGAATCTCTTGGCGTTTTGTCCGTCCATCAAGAACTAATTCGTCTGTCGCATCGAGACCATACCGCAGTCACGAGGCCTACTGCCGTTGCCATATCCCACAACACTCCTCGGACACCGATCTCGAATAGTATAGACTGCCATAGCTACGCCCGCGCGCTCCTGAACCCTCGCCGAACCAAAAACAAAACAGGGCCTCCGAGCCTTCAACACTAATTCACAATGTCGCAATATGTCGGAAAGGTACAGACCACAACCGAGGAGGAGAGAAGAAAGATTCAGAAGAATCAGGGCTGAGAAGATACAGACAAATCTCGCGTACTCGCGCGCATGGCACCTCGTCGATGTGGGCGCCGACTCTCGTCCCCTCGGCCGCATCGCTTCGCAAATCGCCATCACCCTCATGGGCAAGCACAAGCCTATCTGGGACCCTTCAACAGACTGCGGTGACTACGTTGTCGCTGTCGGTCTTCACGACTTGCACACCACCGGAAAGAAGCGCTTCCAGAAGAAGTACTACAGCCACACCACTCGTCCTGGTAGCTTGAAGGAGATTACCATGGACCGTATGATGGAGAAGTGGGGTGGTTCAGAGGTCTTGAGGAGAGCTGTCAGGGGCATGTTGCCCAAGAACAGACTGAGAGACGACCGTATGGCTAGACTGAAGAGTGAGTTTTCATCCTAGCAGGGCATCATGTCCACACGCGACTAACCCACGTCTACAGTGTTCGAGGGAGTCGCTCACCCCTACAAGCAAAACATCATCAAGGACTACACCCGTCCTTCAATAGCACAGCAGCCCGAAGTCAAGACTGCCTTCGCCAAGCAGAAGCACCAATAGTTGCATTGCATCCTTGTCTATCATTTCAGCAATCACTTTACTTTACGGCGTTCAAGGCAAAATTCTCCAATGGGTTATCAATTGGTCTGTCAAATTTTTTCTTCTTGTATCAGAATCATGTAAATATAACCACGCTGTATTGCCAGCCATCTTTTAACGCCCAAGCACAAAAACATATATTATATCATGTCATAAGTCCTTCCCTTCGCCAACTCGAGCGCCGGCAACCATCTAGAGCTTGGCCTTGGGCTCCTTTCTCGATACACGGCAGTGGATCAGACCGTTGGGGTCACTTTGAGGAGCATAGACTTCTGCGTCCTTGCCGTTGTTCTTCAAGCCCTTGAACCAGCTAAGGTCGATTTCGAAGTAGTGCTTGTTGGGCAGAGTGTACTCGATGTCGGTAGTATCAGGGGCAATGGCAAGAATCTGGTCGCACATGTTATACATGGTCGCTTGCACACTGGGGCTGTTTTCCTTTGCGAAAGTGTCGATGGTGATTTGTCTTGCGGCCTCGTAGCACTTGTTGAACTTGTCTTGCTCCTTGCGGACCTGCTCAACGTCCCTGAACTGCTTCCACTGCCATGAGTTCTGGACTTCTGTGCTGAGAATGCGGTCCCAGGTCTCGGGCAGTCTGGTGTACTCGTCTCTGTGGAAGCCGTAGAAGGCAGATCCGGTGCTCTTGAGTACCAGCAGACCGTCGATGCCTGACTTGATGGTGATGCCTGAGCCACGTCTTGCGACAACCTCGATGGTGCGCTTGTCGGTACCGTCGCGGAGGAAGGAGTGAGGGTGTGCTTCACCGTCAACAATCATGCGGCTCCAGCGGTGGACAACGATCTTGACGTGGGCAACGTGGATGTGGCTGTAGGTGTCGACGAAGTGCTGGCCAAGGATGGCAGCAAAGAGCTCTGGAGGGTCGACGGGGTTCTGCTTGGCGAGAACGTAGACGGTCTGCTTCTGAGTATCGGTTGCAACGACAGGTGAGTTGTCTGCTTTGGTGTAGCTACAGATAGTCAGTCTGGGTGGTCGATCACCTTGATGTTCTGTGCGACTTACGACTCCTCAATGTCACCCTCGAGAAGAGTGCAGACAGTCATTTCGGTGATGTGCTGCATGCCATTCTCTTCACGGCGAACCTTGAACAAGCGGACATTGTCCTTGCCATAGCGAGCATAGCTGAGTTGTGATTGAGACATTTCTGAATTTGGCTTGTGACGGCTTCAAGTATGCGTGGGGAAGTTGGAGGTAGAAATTGTTAGAGTCAAGAAAGGCAGGAAGAGATGTAGCGAAGGGACTAGGTTTTCAACTCGAGACACAAGACGACGGCGGATTAGGTAGATATACAACAGTGATAATGGATAGAGCTTATCTCGGGGTTTGCACGGCCGGCGCCGCGTCCAAGATGCGACGGGTCGACGCGACTTTGACAGGCGGAGGAGGCCGATACGCAAACAGGCAGGGTCCGACACAGGCAGAGTCAATTCCGAGCGCGGAGAGAATCAGGAGACGGTGATTGAATCACGAATACTTGCGCACAAGCAGAATATCAGACCGTGGTCAAGTCACGAGATATGTGGAGGGAAAGAAGATTGCTCATACGGACAAGCAAAAGAAGGTCGGGCGGGACAGACGGCGGGGCTTTGATGGTCGAGGTACGGAGAACGGATAAGCGAGGGGCGGAGTGGGAAGCTGCAACGAGCGACAACAGCCTGAGGTGCATGTGAAACGACGGCTTGGCAATTGAATCATTGTATCAACAGCGAGCCTGCCCCATAGCATCATCGCCGTCGCATACAGGGAGAGTTGGCTGTCTAGCATCTGCACCTCTGGACGGAGCCGATGCGCTCTCTGGACCTCGTAGCTGCCGCTGCCGGCTCTCAATACAGACCCATGACTAGACTGACGTGGTCGTGATATGCCGCCCATGACAAGGCCGACGGCGCATTCTGTGAGCGGCCACACCCAAGACCAGTCTCTCCTGCCGCCTCAGTTGAAGGACAACCGCTCGCACTCGGCTACGAGTCTGGTGTCCAAGACGCTCCCCCCGGGCAGCTTCTCTACCGAACTACGACCAACCGTCTCGCGAGTTGACAATGCTCGTGTCGACTTCTCCACCTACGATGCCGAACAAGCTGCCGCAACCAAGACGACCGAGCAACGTCTCGCCGACTACCGCGACAGAATCGAGAAGGAGACAAAGATCAAGATTGGCAGCGAGAACCTGCTCGAGGCTCTCAATACAAAGAATGCAAAACAGAGTCGAGACCAGCGGCGCTTGGTCGAGTCGGAGCTCAACACTTCCAATCGCAAGATTGCCCAGCTGAGACTGGATCTTGAGGCCGAGTTGCAACGTTCAAAGGAGTCTGCACTCAGTCCTGCTACTCGTCTTTCCTTTACTATACCACAAAGGTCGCCTTCCAACCTCACCTTGCTGCAAGGCACTGCCGAACCTGATGAATTGGATCCGGAGTCAGAATCACCGTCATATATCCTGGCCGAAATTCTGCAAGCTCTCGAGACTGAGGACATGAAGCCCGACTACTATGTGAGCCATGCGAATGAACTAGTGGGGCTGTTTAAGCGTCATCCTGCTCTCAAATATGATTTGGCCTGGTCTATATTTGGTCTACGTATGCAAATGATGCTCCTGAGCGACAGTCGAGAGGTTATTGCCGCAGGCTACCGCGTCTTGCGACATGCCATTACCGATCGCAAGTCATTGCAGACTATCCGAGCACATCACACAGACTTTCTTGTCATATTGTCCTTGGTGAAAGAAGCAAAGGCTATGGTAGAACGAGAGCAAGCCCTGAAGCTTGTTCGCGCCTTCCTCGATGTCAAAGACGGTGTTCACGAAGTAGCTCCAGCTGTTGTACGAATTATCGTCGCAATCGCTGAACATCCAGAAGATCGCCTAAGGTCCATATCGATTATGACTCTCGCAGAACTCCTGATACGTAGTCCTGATCTGGTTGTTGCTGCTGGCGGCATCGGTACTCTTGCCGACGCTATGGGCAATGGTGCTTACCAAGCTCCAGAAACACTGGCTGCTGTATTCTTACATTTACTTGACTTGCCTGCACGAAGAGGTCTATTGCGCTCAGGCTTCGAGCTGAGTTTGCCATTTGCAGCCTTCACCGAGCCGCCTACCTCAAGCGCACATGAGGACCGCATGAGATCGAGCGCGAAAGTGGTTGCAGCTCTGTTCAAGAGTTGGTCTGGCATCATGACCATTTCCTTACATGACTTCTTGCCAGCTCGCTCTGTGGTCTCTTCGCTTCTGATTGATGCTGTGGCCGTACGGTCCATCGTACTTGAACTCCTGTTCGACATACTGCGCATCAAACCTCCGTCTTGGTCTTCCTCCTTCTTAGCTGGAAGACGTCTGACTACTTATGGTCGCGTCACTAATCTTAAAGCGAATGATCATCACAAGCCTTCCAGCACTGATCCGAAAGAGGTCTCCAAGAGAATGAGTCTGATAGAACACTTTTCCGCAGTTGTCCTGACCATTCTCTTACGAGTCGGTCTACTACCAGCTTTGATGCATGCTGAACGCGACGCACCAAATCTTGCCCTGAAAAGGAAGACGACGTTGTTGATTGGCGAGGTGTTGAAGCTCGCAAATCAGTTACTACCCAGCGAATGGAGTGCTGAGCTTCAAGTCTTACCTGATCTGTTCCACCAAGCCACAGCTTTTGGCCAAGATGAGCGATCACAAGCTGTAGCGACGGTGTATCAAGTGGACAGTGTTAACCGCACACTGTATCGATCCATTGGGGGCGGACCTGGCGTCAAGTCTACGCGAGCCGATGAGTTTGAGCCAATCAAGTCTGCAGAGCAACCAAAAGTGCAGATGAGCGCCAATATGGATGAAGCACAATTCAGAGGATTGCTTACGGAATGTCAAGTCTTAAACACTGTGAACTACACAAAGTGGAGATGGGACCTGATTCAGCCCATGATCGAAGGTCCTCTGACAAATCCGCGCAGGCTGGATGAGGCTATGAAAGCGACCAAATTTGTCCATCGTCTGTTAGGTTTCCTTCGACCATTCAAATACAGATTCTCGGATGCCAAGAACACAAAACCAAACCAGCGCTATGTCAGAGCTGGCTGTGCGCTTGTCCGAACACTGTTGATGACACCGGAAGGTACAAAGTATCTGGCAGAAAATAAGATGGTGCGACAGATTGCAGAGTGTCTGGCTCAATTTGACCGTATGAGCGGTATTACATCTACCACTCCCCTCTTCTCGCCCGAAAGACTGGCAGATACGCTGGTTGGTGGGTACTTTGCCATTCTAGGTGTTCTCTGCAGCGACCAGAAAGGACTACAGTTGATGGAAAGATGGAAGATCATCAACATGTTCTACCACATCGTTGAACTTGAAGGTAGAGACGATCTTATCATGGCGCTTCTCACCAACCTCGACTATACTCTGGATAGTCATCCCAGGATCATTCTCTCCAAGGCGATGATATCGGGGTCTAGAGATGTTCGCATTGCCGCTACGAGGATCCTACGCAAGTACGCCATCAGACCACTAGATACGAGTCCGAAGTCAAGCGGCAACGGCGAATGTGCGGCCTGGGCCATCCGCTTACTAGTCACTCAACTCTATGATCCGGAGATTGAGGTGTGCGAGATCGCCATCAAAATCCTTGAGGAAGCCTGCAACGACAACAACTCTCTCGAATACGTCGTGAAATGCCGACCCGCACTAGACCATCTGGGCGAGATTGGTGCACCTCTCTTACTTCGCTTCCTCTCAACTTCAGTCGGATATCACTATCTCGACGGCCTGGACTACATTACAAAAGAGATGGACGATTGGTTCCTTGGCCGTAACGACACTTATGTGACTCTCGTAGAAGCGTCACTTGCTCGTGCCCTGGCAGACATCCCTGAGAAGGTAGTCTCGATGTTCGAAGAAACGCCCGAACCTCAAAACTTTGGTCTCGTGCCTCCACACTTCTATCGCGAACTTACACGCACAGCAGAAGGGTGCGAGCTACTCAAATCCAAAGGTCACTTCGAAGAATTTGTCGCTACGATACAAGACTTTGGCATGGAAGAGGAAGATGCCGAGACGATTGTCAAAGTCAAGGGATGTCTTTGGGCAGTCGGTAACGTGGGATCCATGGAGTTAGGTGCGCCATTCTTGGAACAATCAGACGTCACTCAACACATTATCGAGATCGCCGAAAAGAGTGAAGTCCTGACACTAAGGGGTACCGCATTTTTCGTGTTGGGTCTGATTTCTAGATCCCTGCACGGTCAAGAAATTCTCGCATCTTATCATTGGGATGGCACGGTGAACATGCTAGGAGAGTCATTAGGCTACTGTCTCCCCCTCGACTTTACAAAACTCTTCAACATTCGCCAATGGGGGCCCTCCCACCCCTCTCCCTCCTCTCTAACCTCCCCCCTCGGCATCCCCCACTCCACTCTCCCTCCTGCGCACACATACTCCCACCTCGCCAACCCGACCATATCACCCCAAAACGCAGAAATCCTCAAATCAGTAACGAAACTCGGCAACACGGTTCTCTCCAACAAAGCAGCCGCCGACCTCAACAATTTCAAGGTGAAAAAAGCCCCAGGACTCAAAAGTCCGAAATTGTTCCTCGAGGTTGTCAAAGTGTTGGAGGGGCATAGGTATAGATTGCCGGCTTGTAGATTTGTGTTGGATCTTTTTGATAGAGGGGTTCTGAGGCGGTTGGTGCTTGAGGAGGAGGAGAGTAGTGAGAGTGAAGAGAGTGAGGCCGAGGAGTTTGATGAGGCTTTTGGGGGTGGGGTTGGTGGGGTTTGATGCTTGCGAGATAGGGAGATCACGGGGAGCAATGAGGAAGGGGCAGGCATGATGGGATGGAGTTTTTTTTTACTTTCTCTTGGAGAATATTACACGATGATGGGCGCTATCATGGGCGTAGAGAAATTTCATGGCGGTTCTTGTTTGATCTTTTGGGGGGCGTTTTGTTACAAAAGAGATCTTTTCTACATTAATGAATCTCATCTTCGGTTCCTCTTGAAAGAAGCCTCAAGAATGACAAGCCGTCTTTCTGTATGTTCACTTGAGAGTTTTACCTGTTCAACGTCTTGACAGCTGGGACCGAAAAAACAGAAATGTGAGACTAACCCAGAAGCCAGGCATGCAAGAGTTTGCTTCAGGAACAACTGGACGAATGTGAAGATGAAAAACATGATCCATTAAGAATAGTGTCGTCCTAAGTGGACAGTTTGCATACTAATACATTTAGTCTAATCAAGGTCAGCACTGCTTGTCGCTGCTGCAGTGGGGTAAAAGTCCATCTTGCCACCATGTCCAATGACACCAATACGATCGTACAATGTCCTTGCGCGGACATATGGGTCAAGTTGCCAGTAGTTTTGCAGCAAGTCTTGTCTCAGCGCTGCTCTTTGCTCTCCCTTGTTCTCGCCCTTGGCCCAGTATACAGTTTCAGTCTGATACCTTTGCACCAGCTCCTTGCGCTGAGTCTCAATCTTTTCTTTTGTTGCAGTGTCCTTCATCTTGTCATTTTCGCCCTCTCTGGGAGCAACATATTCGTACTCCCAGTTTTCGTCACCACCGAGCTCTTTTGAAATTTGGCTCTTGGGAATGAAGGCGGAGAGTTCGTCCACGTTTGAACAAAAGTTGATTTTGGAAGCTACGACGGGGTCGAGCCAGCCGCGGATGATCTTCCAGATACCTTGGAAGACCCAAGGGGCTTTGTAGACGAGAACGCTACCCAGCGATTCTGGGTAGTTTGCTTCGAAGCACTTGATCATGAATTTGACGGGGGTGTAGTCCATGTTTGACATGGAGAAACCCGTCATGTCGAAAATGATGGTCTTGATACAAAGGTCAGCCAAGTGTCATTCACAAGTACATGTGTTCAATCCAACTTACGGCAGTGTCGATTGGGGGTCTGAGCATCATACGCGCAGTGTCGATGGTATAGACGGTAAATCTCTCGAGACTCTTTTCCGTTTGCTCGCCAGCGCGGTGCAGTCTAGCTCTGACAATGCAAACAGGTCTTCCCTCGGCATCGACACCGTGCAGGAAACTCTTGCCCATCTTCAGTTGTGTAAGGAAGTCCTCGGCATCTTTCTTTGTGGTTGCATCGGGAGAGGATTTGGCGTCAATGACAGCGCCGCCTTCGCCCTTGTAGACAATGTCGTCGTCAACGTGCATCTCTTGCGAGCGCCAATGCAGAGTCGCGATCATCATGATCAGGGCGGCCTGGACGTCCCATTTGCGGGCACGGAGGAATCTCAAGAGCAGAGCATCGGGATCGTCGTGCTTGACCATGCCCCAGAAGGCGGTGCGCAAAGACTCGGGGCTTTGGTTCTGGATGGCTTGACGGAACTCCTTTGCCTGGCCGTGCTTGTCGTTCTCGTCGTCGGTGTTGTCTGCAGAGTGGTCGACATCCTTGTTCTTACGCGAGAACATGGACAGCTTGGACTTCTTCTTTGTGTCGGCAGGTGCAGGGGTGGAAGCGGCGGAAGTGCTCTCGACGCTGGGACGGCCACCACTCGTGACACCAAAGACGTCGAGTGTCGCTAACCAGAGCTCGCGCAACTTTTCCTCCTCGGCTGGGGTGAGGCTACCCGGGCGTCCCGGGAGAGTGGTAGGAGCCATGTCTGTGTCCGGATCTTCTTCCAAGAGGGCGGTAGGAGAGGGTGTATCAGGGATTGAAGCCTTGTCAGACTTTTGAGTCGAGTAGTAGGTATCAGCAAGGTAGGCGACGGCGAAACCAGTAGAAATGGCAAAGAGAAGAGTGATTGGGTCTAAAGCACTTTCTCTAACTTGTAGACTTGGGCGCGTGGGGATATGATGGCGTTGGCGGGCAGACGGGCGGAACGGCGAGGATGTGTAAGCACGGGTGGCTTGCACTGACAGGCGACACGAACGCGAGGGGACGATGGTGGACGACGACGAGGAGAAGCGCACGAGGTTGAGGATGCGAGAAGGATGCATCTGTTGGACAATACGGATCAGAGGCTGAGCAAGACACGCCGAGATTGAATCTCCCTTAGGCCCCGGCTGCGTGCTCCACGCTGGTGACGACGTCACTTGTGTCATGCGACAGCTTTAGCTTTATTCAAGAACAGAGACTATTTTCACTCATCTTACTCGGCGCGACTTTATCGTCAATCTTGACATGCAATGCGATACAGAAGAGTGATGGCGTTACTCCGAAACTGCTAGTACTGCAGATCCAGTGTTCTGATTAAATTTGTGAAATAGTTTGACAATAAAACGAAGAACCATGTAATGTGAGAGCGGTATTCCGGAAGCCGCAGTGAACCGAAACGGGCTGAAAGTGCTTACAAGGCAGGAACGACCCGAGCATTTGGAAATGTGAGATCTGCCTACGAAGGTCTATTTGCTTTCCGCGCGACCTGCTCGCTCACACTTGCCTCACTACCAGCACTCGCGATAGGCTGCGACACGGCTTCTTCAATGTTCTTCTGTAAGCCCAACCCGGCAACACCTTTCTTTGGACTACCCACGATACTCTCACCAGCGGCCATGCTAGGCGGCTCTTGAGTCAACACCTTGCCGGTGAACTCTCCACTGGCCGAGCTAGGCGATAGCGTAGGGCCGTTGTTTGAAGAAGTGGACAGACGAGGAGAGTATGGTTCGTGGCTTCTTGTAGGACCTAGACCACGATGAACCTCAGTCGACGAACGCTTCTTCGTAGGACGAATTGTGCTGTCTGAGCCTTGTTTCTTCGTTGCGCCGCCCCCTCCTACCCAAGTCGCGCCTTCGCCCTCGCCTTGGTTGAAGTTGAGGAATCTTTGGACCTTGGCTGCATAACCCTCATCTTCGTCGTCATCATCATCGCTGCCCTCGAAGTAGATATCGTCCCATACTGCAGAGCCTTGAGGGTTAAGCTTGTGCTTGACAGCACCACTAGCACTCTCCTGAAGTGGCTTTAGTTCGTCGCGATCTTCACGCATGTCCGATGCACTTCTTTGGAGAGGCTTGAGCTCGTTTTGTCCTTTGACCTCTTCACCAGCTTCATGATCGGCTTGCGAGTAATCTTTGGCACGATCGATAGCTGGTTCGTCCTCATCTCTGGTGGTGGCTGTGAAAGTATCTCCGAAGTGTGTGTCGCAGAGATGCTTGACCACAGGCCAGCCATACGCGTTTGCAAACATTCTTCGTACAATCATGTTGTTGTGTGCATCAGGCTCCAGACGCACCAACACCTTTCGCCAAGATAGATCTTTGTGGTATGCTCGTGCAATCTTCTCCTCAACCTTCATGTTCCCCATATCGATCGAAGACGCATCATCACGAGATTGAGATGTGCTGAATGACGCAGAGTCCGTAGAGAAAGAGCGTCCAAGCCTACTGGGACGCTTCATCGGAGGCGGCGGAATGTCTTCGGGATGGTAGATTCTGTCATGGAAAATAGTGCGGTCGCGAGATGCCGGGTCGATAAGCCAAGAAGTCGATGGAATAGGGGGATGTAGGATATCGCTGGCTGCCTCGAAGATAGATGTGCTTGGCGGTGCTTGTGCATCGGGGTTAGTGTTCATCGATCCTCCACGAGTGGCTACCGGACGCTTGCTTGGCCTCATGGTTGGATTGTCGGTTGTACCTCTGCTGTTCCGGCGAACTCTTTGAGGCACATCTTGATCAAGCTTGTCGTCTTCAGACTCCGCACTAGCCTTGACGTCGATGGTCTGGCCACGACGCACAGCCTTGGTTGTTTTTGATGATTGGCGCACAGGTGTAGGTCGGAAATAGCTGAAGAATCCGCTCAGGAGTCCACCACTTTGTGTTTCCGGACTTGCTGAAGATTCCTCACTCGCATGGTCTTGAGCTCTCAAGAACTGATTTGTGCCAGGTTCTTTAGCAGCCGTAGTCGAGTCTCTATTGTCGTTTGTGGTCGCCTCGCTGGGTGGCTGAGGGACGTCGTTGCCTTGTCTGCCCAGCGGAGTGGGAGTATCGGCACCAGAGCCTTCATCATCATTGCCGACAGCACTTCCCATAGCAGAGTTCTTAAGCGCTTTGGGGAGTGCGTTGGCACCGGTAAGCTCAGCCCATCCGAACTCAGCCAATGTACCTATCAGACCGTTGTCGCGACGTGCTTTGTCTACTTTACCAAGGCCACCCCAATCGAGGAACAACAGACAACTAGTCCGCAGCGGTACGATACCATCGTTGACGACGTTCGAATATACAGTTCTGTTACGGAACATGCGTAGAACGGTGTGAGCAGGGCCGGTAGGAAGAATGCGTAACAGCGGCTTCGCTCCTGGGTCTTCTTGATGCTCTTCTTTCGAGCCGGCTCCAAATCCTCCCATCATAGCGTTCCAACCACTCTTCGCAATGTTCGGAGCCCGCCAAGTCAATCCGAGATCTTGTCCTGTACGTCCAACGAGACCAAAATCGAGGGCAAATTTCACGTACATAGGATTTTCGTTACTCAGTCCTAGCATAGGGGAAGCCATACAGATGAAGTTCGTCGGCTGGATCTGCTCAAAGAAGTGCGGCGCATGCTTCTGAATGTAAGCCACAGCATATGTCTGAATCAGACCACCAAGACTATGGCCAATGAAGCTTATACTTGTAAAGGTATAGGGAAGTTCGTCGGCCTGGCTGTCATCATGGTGAATGCTACTTCCTTGATGCGCAGGCTCGCCGTCTCTGGCGACCTTGGTAGCCTGAGATTTGAACTGATCCGTGAAAGATCTTGTCATGGACTTCTTGATCGGCTGAAAAGGTTGATCGGGGTAGGTAAAGTTCAACACATATTTTGCAAGACGCTTTCCGAGATACTGGATGCCTTTCTCGGTCTTGATGGCGTTCCCGCTAAAACCACGCACAATCACTTGCTCTTCGTCATCATCGCCGTCGTCTTCGAGATCCTCTTGGCCTCCTGAAAGAGGTGCAGTCGTGGCATCTTCGTTCGGCTTATCTTCGAAAGACTGACCAGGCTGTTCCGTCGATAGAGCAGATTCTTGTTGTGACTTCTTATAAGCAGCTTTCCTGTTCCTCGCGTCGATTCTCGCCTGCCTGACGGTAGCGTCTATGCTCTCTTTCATGTAAAGCATGTCGGCGCCAATGTTGCTATGCAGACCATGTGTAAGGACCACGAGATGTATCTTCTTCTTCTTTTTCGGAGGCGTGTCTCTGGTCTCTTCGGTGCTAGTCCTTGTATCTCTAGACTTGCGAACCGACTCTTTTGAGGAACGGGCATGTTTATGTTTGTCGTTGGTAGGAAGAGCAGGCTTGTCCCACAGGGCCTGAGTGTCTTCGACGACAAGCTTGACAGCGCGCGAATATACACCTTTTTGCTGGCCAGAGTGCGACCCCCTCCGTCTGTCTTTCTGCTGATCGTGAATCTGGCCGGGGGTGCCGTGGCCATGGCCAGCGACGGCGGCAAATCCAAGGTCTAAGCTTCTCTCGTCTCGACCGACCAAAAGCTCGAAATGCACTGCAGCCGTGTTGGAGAACAGGATTTGTGAGGCGATCTCGATGATCCATGTGACACTCGGCGGCTCTTTCTTGCTGTCGTTCCGATCGACATCTTGCGAATGGCGGTTTTGACGACCGGATGCAAATGTGTTTCCAGTCTCTCGGATGTCCTCGGGAACGGTCAGCTTGGTCGTCCAGCTCGAACCTGCTTTGAGTAGTGGCTCAAAGTCCGGCACTCCCTCCTTTTGCGGGTCCTCGACTTTGTGATTTGGGTTGAAGGAGGCTGGGTATGCCGCGACGTGCAGGTTGTATGGGCCATGGAGGTAAGCGGCGCGCAGAGGGATGGCCGAAGTGTTCTTGATCTTCAGGTGCAAGTGCGACGGACTGGGTAGGATACGATCGTTGCTCGGTGTGTACGTCAAGGTGAATCTAAAGACTCGTCAGAATCCCGTACGTCAACGCGTTTCGCAGTCAAGATCAAGGTCGCATGACATACCGCACCACTTCTCCCACCTTGACACTGCCAGCTTGGTGGATCAGCAACATTCTCGACGCGTCTGCAATGACAGACACTGTCTGCAGTGGTCAAGGCCTGTAGCCCGGGTCTATGTGATGGTACTAAACTATCAATGATGTCCACCTGACCCTCGTCTTATGATGCGATTGTCGAGCCCATGGCTTTGTTCGTTTACGGGATTTTTGCTAAGCACAAATCTACAGGCATCGACGGACAACAGAAAGATTGCTTTCTCACCTCCCTTTCGTCATAAGACCTGAAACCGTCATTACATGTTTTGATCCACGATCCGGGAGGCCGGTGAAGCTTTCTGCACAGCCACGATCTTCCGCGATCCGTCCTCGAGCATCTTTGACTGTTTTATACAGCCGATTACACTCGTATCTCTTGTCCACCCGGAAGATACTGTCGGTGAGCTTCAAAGGTCTATGATCAGATGTCGTGTGCTGCGATGGACCTGGGAGCCTTGGTCGCGTATCCCTCGTATCTAATGATCCAACCGCTCTCACGCGTCTGCGTATGTGCGTCGATATCTTTGCATTATCATGGCTACATATGTACATTAATCTTCGAGGTTCCGGGAAGAGATTGGAGTCAATGAGACGTCGTGTCTGTCTATTGAGAATGATACGTGTAGTGTAGTTTGAACGTGCTATCTTGCTAATGCAGAGTTTGGAACACCTCGCCGTGTTGCACCTCCGACGATGCAAACAGCAATAGTACCACTTTGTGCAGTCAAGTTCTACGGTACTCCGACTTTACACGGCCTGTTGGATACCATCGCAATCCTCATGCGTTTATTCTTGACGTCATGGCCGTGTTTGTTAGCACAAGGTAGAAGGCCTTGGTATGGAGAGTGGTGTTGTAGAGTGATATCTTGATGGATTGATGGTGAAAACACAAATTCGGTCATGTAACTCCACAACGAGGATATATGGTAGTTTTGTACAGAATGACACACGCAGAATAATCACCGCGAGCTGTGAAGTATACATTATGAGCGGTGACAATTATGTAGCGAGAAGAATGCCGTCGACGACCTGTAGATGGCTTGCTAGGAGGACGACCCTGTCTGTCGAAGCCCGTAGCGTTACGTCATATGATCAAGCAGAAATGCCTCCGAGCGCGATACCTATCTACATGTCCGAACCAAACAGGATGTATGACAATTTGGGTAGATATCTTTGCTTCTCGATAGCTATGTGTGCGACTCACCTTACTCCGAGCAGCACACGAAGAGGTAGCATGCAAGAAGGACCGGAAGCGGAAGACACGGGTGCCAAGAGAGATTATAAGAGATAAGGCAGAGGATAGCGATTACCCCGCCGCCGTGACGCCGTTTGGCAACGGGTCTCAGAGGCATCATCATAGCTTCAGTAATCGTGCCTTGGTCGCAGACGACTCGTGTACAAAGCCAAGCTCGGTGCCTGACCAGATTCGACGTGGCCATCAAAAACAAAAGAAGACGGGCAATTTTGTCTCAGCTGGGCTGACCGAGCTATTCATCGTCACACCTTTCTGAGCAGGCGTCACCTTTTCCTTTCTTCTTCCACACAAACTACATCACCTAAGCTTCACAGCAAGAGTCCGACCACCAGCCATTCACTATGTTTGGCTTCGTAGCTGATATTCTCACGTATGAGCGAACCTCTTGTATTGAGGAGTAGCGAGACTGACATGCACATGACAGCTCGGTGACATCGATCCTCTTTCCCATCTTCGCATCGTACAAGGCGCTGCGCAGCTCGGACCCAGCACAGCTAGCACCATGGCTCATGTACTGGACCACCCTCTCACTCGCCCTTGCTGCTGAGTCGTTCCTCTACCCTATCCTCAGCTGGGTACCCTTCTACTCCTGGATCCGTCTCGGCGCTCACCTCTACCTTGTACTGCCCGGCCAGCAAGGCAGTGTCTTTGTCTATCAAAACTACATCCATCCCTTCCTCTACGAGCACGAGCGCGAAATCGACCGCTTCATCACAAGCAGTCATGAAAAAGCAAAGTCAGCCGGTCTGCAATACCTCAAGCAGGGCATCGAGTGGGTCAAGGTCAACCTCCTCGGCATGCAACCTCGTCGTCCCACTCCTCCCGCCAGCCGACAAGTCAGCTACAGCCAAGCTCTGTACAACCGCTTCGTCATGCCCTCTGCTCGTCCCGAGGGTTACAGCGGCCCTGGATCTTCGCAATCTGCCCCCGGTGCCAACGATCTATTCTCCATGCTCGGCAGTGTGATGGCTCAAGCTGCTGGTCCTGGCGGCGCAACCCGCTCTCGCGATGCACAAGCCGAAGACCTCAGCGCCAGTGGTAATCTTGTACCTCCACACATGTCCGGCGACGAACGCAACGCCTACATCTCCACACAAAAGGACCGTCTACGCACTCTGCTCCAAGCCTTTGACCATGAAGCTTCTCGTGAACACACTCCTGTCAACCCTCCCTACCCCACAAATGATGGCCCTGGTCCCAAACTCCAGGACTACCTGAGACCTGCCGCTGAAGGCTTGCTCAATAGAAGTAGAAGCGAGACTGAATTCGAGGATCTGGGTTACGAGCATGTGCCTACGGGAGGTAACAAGCCTAGCCCCAGACTGCCCGAACGAAGCGCTAGTTGGAGCAAATGGGTCTGGGGTAACTACGGCGAGAAGGATTCTGCTGCTGGACAGAAGAAGAATGATTGATCCTTCCTTCTCGGCTGATAGGGTTGGATGAACGGGTGTTTTTTGTTGGGTACTCGTTTTTCGGGGATGGGACTGGGTGGAATGGTTGGGACAGGTATTCATCTTGATTATCTCTGTGGAATTCTAGGTTTCTTTGCTTTATTTGCTCTCCTACATGACATATTACAATCACCACACAATCATTTAAAAACTTGAATCTGAATCTGTGACATTTGATGAAGAGTGAGATGTATGGGTATGCGCCAAGAGGAGAACAGGTATATCGTAAAAGTACAGGTGCCAAAGAGGATTGAGCTTATACCTCCTCAACTAGGTTTCATATTCTCGAGATCGTTTTCGCGATTATCCGCTCGTGCTTCATCAAGCATCTTGTCGATACCTCTGTCCTTTAGTGCGCGCTATTAAATAAAATAACCATCAGCTGATAATCTCCTGGAGAAGCAGGACGGAAAGATAGGAGGGAGAGACTTACACTTAGACATTGCTTGTACTTTGCAAACAGAGGTTCGCATTCATCTGATGTTGCCGTGCCGCGGAGGTATTCTGTAGGGCTCGTGTCAGCTGTGATCATTTCACGCAGATTGTCTCGTGGATATCTGTCTTGAGCTTCTTTAACGACCGGTGAGTTGTATCCCTCAATCAGAGCTGACGAAAGAACAGCTGGAAAAAAGTAGCATGAAATACAAGAAGAGGCAAAGAGGAGAATGAGAAACATGTAGAGAAATAAGGAGAAACAGAAGAGGAAAGAGGTACAAGAAACTTACTTTCGCTATACCATTTTAAAAAGCAGCTGTCGTAGCGTCTAGAATAGAAAGAGTGATATTAGCTTGAAGTCCCTCCATCTTGACCAGATTCAATTCTTCCAAAAATTCTTGTCTTTGTGTTGTCGTCTGAGAAGATACTCACTCCTTGACCTCATTACACTCCGTCGCCAATGATGCCGACATGTCTTGTTTCTGTAGTATTCGTGTCCTGACCACGTGTATCGTCTTTGAAAGTTCGATAGATCCTCTTCGTATATCTTAATTGAGGGTTGATTGGTGAGTGAGCGTGTATATGGTTCGATGAGAAGAAAAGTTGTGCTGTGGTAGTCTGAGAAGACAATATTGCAGTTTATTAGAGATGGCAGAAGGTCCCTTGAAAATATGTGGCGTTGGATTGTGGCGTCGAAAGACTGCGCCGCAAAGACATTTGGAACATCTTTCGAGCAGCCATACCTCTGCGGCTGTTCACAAGCACAATAAGTTTTAGACTTGCAGAGGTATCACCGAGACACGTCACCCAGCTGACTCCCAGCGTCAAACACATTGGTAAGCTACAATTTTCAACAAGCACACATGCGCAAAAGAGCATATCAGAACTTCTAGAAGGAATTGGTCTCATGTCCATATACTCGTCAAATACCACCATTGTCTAACAATGGCTTGACTTGAACTTTACGCACTGTCTCATCTAACTTCATGTGATCAAACCCCCTGAACTTGAAATACAACATAAGAACGCCTAGCTTTGATCATGACACAAAAAAGGTGGTTGATCCCAGCCCCCAAATGTCTGTTCCCCTTTTCCCTTCATGCATAGCAAAGAAAAAAGAGGAATCTGAGGTATCGTGAAAGGAGAGATTGAAGAACTTTTTGCTGCTTTTTTTGCTTTCTGCTGCTGCCTGTTTTTACTTTCTCGTTCCGATTTCAGATTTACCTGGCAACGGCAGCACTGAGGACTTGGGTGCGGAAGAAGCCACCCTTGGTCCTCTCGATGACCTGCTGGTACACTGACTGTGGCGGGTGGTTCATAACCACGGTGCCCTCCTTGTAGTCGATCTTTGCGTCAACGCGAGTGTCGCGGATCAGGTTGACGATCCACTTCTCACCCTCGTCCTCGGACAGACCAAGACGCTTGGAAAGGTCCCTAGTAGAAAATGTCAGTAAACGATTCGATTTGAACAATCTATCAGGCGTTGCACATACTTGATATCTATTCTCTGGTGAATCTTGCAGTATGATTCTGAGATGAGATGTCTAGCGGCATCCTTGAAGGCATCGCTGGTAGCGACAAGGAAGAAATCGCCGCGCAGAACCTCGTCAGCCTCGGCGAGCTTCTTCTGGGCCTCCTCAAAGTCAAAGTCGACGTAGAGGGCCTTGACAAACTCGCAGACGGGGTCACTGTACTCGTAGGTCTCTTGTCTGACAATGCGGATCAGATCCTTGAGTTGCTTCTGGTACGAGTTCTGGCCGTTCTTGCCAGCGGGGCGGTTGCGGTTGGTGATGACAGCAGCGGCGAGGTAGCGCAAGATCCAGGGGCAGGCGGTCTGAATGGTGTTGATGTAGGTGGGGGAGAAGAAGAGGTCGGTGAGCTGGTCGCGGGCGGGCTCGTAGTTGAAGAAGGGGAAGAGCGACCAGTGGATCAACCAGCTGCGGTGCTCGAGTTGGGCCAGAGGGTTGCTGAACAGGCGTGTGTCGATGTTCTCGCGAACCTTTTGTACCTCCTCCATGGCGGATTCCCAGTTGGTGGTAAGGATGTCTGAGGCGAGTTTACCCCATGTTGCTGCCGAGACCTTGTCGTTATCGGTGCTCTGAGATGTGTGTTAGTGTATGGACGGGCTAGAGATTTCTGGAAAGTGGCGGCGTACAAGAATACGGAACTGGTAGAGCAGCTCAGACGCGCTGTTGTAGTCGCCGCAGCTGTACTGGAATTGACCAAACTCGTACAAAGCGTCGACCATCTCAGAGGTCACGCCGTGGTTCTCCTTGAGGTAGTTCAAGTTCTGGACCTTGTCGGAGCGCAAGTTGTTGACAACCTCGGTGTCGGCCAGCAGGTCCTGGATGTTTGAGCACTCCTCTTGCAGCTGCTCGCGCTTCTTGAGGACCTCTTCGCGCTTTTGAACGTACTCCTCCGGGCGCTCGTCCAGGTTGTTGATCTTGGCGAACAGGTCGCCGACAAAGTCGGTCATGTTGGTGTGCTTGAGGAGCTCGAACTTGAGCTTGGTGTGCTCGAGCGAGGGCTCGTCGACATCCTCCTGGTCCTCGAGGAATTGCAGAAGAGGGAAGACGAGATGGCGGTCGAGGTGGGGGATGAGCGTAGGCAGGATCGATTGCTGCTTAGCAGCGTCGGCGGTAGCGGCCATGATGTGTGATGCGCGGGGCGAGAAGGGTTGGGCGACGAGGTGGTGATTTGCGCTGGTCGCTGGTCGCTGGCTAGTCGTCGCTGCCGGTTTGACGAATTTCTCATTGCACTTCAGAACCGCCGATTCTCCGCACTTTATGCACGACTTGTGCCAGCATTGTGCCCAACTCTTGGCGGCCAAAGCATCGAGCAGCAACAGAAAAGTTGCCCTCCTCCACCACGAGCCTATACCGAACACACAACCATAATCATGTCGTTCATGCAACCCGTCATGCCTTTCTTACGCCCTCTGGCTCTCCCACGTTCCGTCGCCGTGCGCCAATGTCTGCGCTTCTCGACTTCCACAATCCGATCTGGTATGTCTCTTGCCTAGACCACCCACCTCCGACATGTCACTAATACGCCAACTCGCAGAAGTCTACACGCCCCCTTCCGTGGATCGCAATCTTGTCGCCTCGCGCACTGCCTCTCCCTCATATCCTCCCACCTCGCTCAAATCCATCCCGCGACCTCTCACATCACACGCCTCACACCGCACCTCGCAACCAACAAAGATCCGCAACTACCCCGACCGCGCACCCCAAAACGACGCTCCTGTCTCCGAGTCGCCTGCCCTCCCAGAGTCAGAAATCGCACCAAATCTCCCCTACTTCGTCACCAGGACACCCTCCAACGAACTGCCCATCTACACCTTGAGAAAGCGCGGCGGCAACATGCGATTGACCCGCGTCAAGAAGATTGACGGCAACATTGATGTCTTGCGCGATGCTCTGCAGGCGGAGTTGAATGTGCCCGATGCCGAGTGTGTCATCAACAGACTTACAAACCATGTCATGATCAAGGGATGGCACAAGCCGCGGATAGAGGCTTACCTCAAGGCTCGCAACTTCTAAATCAGAGGAAAGCGACTGCCTTTGTCTTTGCTTCTCCTGTATAACTTGTATCATATCACCTTCTGCAGCATTGGATCTATGCATGATCGAATTCTTTCAAACACCACATTCGCATCATCACAACCATTCCTTGGTCAGACTTCCTCGACTTTCTGCCGACCCCGCAGACGAATGTACGTAAATATCGTTCCATGTCGAGTGATCGACTACCGATATGTGTTTGGCATTTTGATGGGTGCATCGAGACTGAAATATCCAGATCCAGGAAGCAGCGCATAGGAAGCCGAGTTTGAAAGAGTGGAATCTTTTGTATAATGAATCTAAACTCGCGCCGCCTCAATCGGCTTTGGGGGAATATTGAACCTCAACTGGGCTCCCAAAAACGAACGCCTCGCTATGCCTGCCCTATGCCTTTGTTCAAATGCCATGTCCGTGATCAATATAAGAATGAATGCAACTTTCTCTCACTCTCCTCACTGTTCGGTGTCCTCCACATCCTCTACAGTCACTGCCCTACCCTTGCCCTTGTCTCTGGGCGGCTCTTCGGGTTCCGTCTGCTCAGTGCTGCCCTCGCCTTCAACATTGTCAAAGTTCCAGCTTGAGCTCTCTCCCCACCCAGGAGGATGAGTTGCTGGTACGCTGGGCTTGGATTGTGATGAAGCGTCCACTGAGACTTCAACAGGAGCCTCAACAGAAGCTGGCTCGGCAGTATCAATCAGATTGCTGACACTCGAAGGCTCTTGTTCAGCTTGGTCCAAAGTAGAAACACCCTGTAGGGCTGGCGGTACCGCAATGTCCCCATTGTGTTCAGCCGATCCGGCTTGTGTCATAAATTCATGTGTGCTTTGCTCGACCGATTGATTGGCAGCGATGTTCTCCAAGATGCTCGAGGCTACCTGTTGCTCTGCTCCTTCCTGCGGACTTACGACGTCGGGCGCCGGTACTACTACTGTAGGCGTAGGTGCTGGAGATTGTGTCTGTGTCTGTGGCATGGTCCCACCAAGCTGAGCAGTACCCTCGACTCTGTGAAGAGGCGCGAGCGTCCAGCCTTCAGGTAACACAAGACCGGGCGGTAGTCCCTCGTGTCCCTGCGTCATCGGTGCCTGTCCAGGGCCAGGTTGAAATGCCTGTGGTGGTGCAAATCCAGTGCCTGGACCCATCGTGTTGAAGGCTGGGAAGGGATTGGACGTTGCACCAGCTGATGGGCCAGGTGCGCCACCTCCGACTGGGTTGTTGCTGTGGTGGGCGCGCAGTCTTGCCAATTCTACTTCCAAAGCGCGCACCGTTGCGAGCTGAGCCTGTTCGACTTGCAAACGACGAGCTTCCTGCATCAATCGCTCCTCAACCTGAAGAAGTTGGATCTGAGTGTCCTGTGATCTGACTCCGGCCATTCCTCCAATTCCAGGAACTGCGCTGCCAGCAGCGTTACCATTGTCTTGTGCTCGTCTTTGATTCAGCGCATCTTGCACACGATTGGCGGGTCCATTGTACACTCCAATGCGGATCGGGCCAAGATTGAGCATCCGCAGTCTGGGCTGAGCTGGACGATTGACGTTGGCGTTACCTACATTAGGAACACCAGCTTGAGCATTACCACCTTGCTGTACGCCACCATTAGCAGCGCCACCAGCATTCTGGTTACCGGCACCTGGACGATCGGTAACGGAAGCGCCAGTAGGAATGACCGGGCGACGACACGTTGGACAGGCTTGCTGTCGCTCCAACCAAGCCTTGAGGCAGCGCAAATGAAGGATATGGCCACATGGCAGCTTCTTGGCGCGCATACCCTCGTTCGTGACACTAGGCCTGGGGGCCCCTGCAGCATCGGGCTGAACCCATGGCACCATGACTTCTCTGCAGACGATGCAGGTATTGTCGTTGGCCAACTCCTCGCTGGTAGCATCCGGGTAACGACTGTTCATATTCTGAGTGGCCTTGCGATAGTTGTTGTAGTCCTGGACGCGCTTGACGAAGGATGCAAAAGTCAAATAGACGTCGCGAATGATATGCATGGGCAGTCCCATGAAGGTCAAAGAGATGCCGAAGAAGACGGTGTAGACAATGAGCTTGATGAAATCTGTGGCTCGTTAGCTCTGACATGTTGAAGCAAAGTGGAATAGACTTACCTATAGCAAGCTCTAGACCAAACAGCCATCGGCGCTTCTCTTCCCAGCCCGGAACGTCGATCTCGTTCTCGTCGACATCCTCTTCGCTGGGCAAGGGAGGTAAGCTCTCGGGATCAGTGGACTCTTCGCGCTCTCGCTCGAGACGCTCTCTTTCGGTACGTATTTCAGCCCTCCTCTCGTCCATCTTGGCCTTTGTCTGTTGCTTGAGTATACGTGCTTCGAACAAAGATAGAAGGTAGCGCGACAAGGTGAAGAAAGAAAAGATCCAGAGGATGGCGAATTCGAAGGTAAAGATGACCATCATACCAGGGCGCGGATCGTCTCTAACGTTTGCGATGCAGTATCGAAGCATAGCTGCATTGAAGGCGAAAGATACGAGTAGCGATGAAGCGAGACGTATGTGGAACAGACGAGGGTTCTGTGGCGGTTGCTGCTCCAGGATATCGACACGACCTTCGCCGATCCAGCTCCAGACCTTGCCAGCCAGTAGAAGGACAAAGACAGCAAGCATCCAGCCTCCAACCTCGTCCCTAAGCGAGGGCATGGCCAGGAGTGTGTCGAGAACGGCATACCAGGCCTTCTCCGAGAGGTGCTCGATCTCGATGGGGCGGAGGGGCCCGTAGAAGAGACGCTGGAGGCCATAGATGAAGCTGCAGGCCGTAACCAGAGCGAGGTTCGTAAGAATCTAGGCGGTGACGCAGTCAGCGGGTGAGAAGGTGTTATAGATGGGGGCATCAGCTCACAAGAACACAGGCGTTGCTCTGTGACAGGTAGACGGTGGCCGAATAGAAATTGGGTCGCTGGTGGAAAGCCTTCAGTAAAGCACCGGCTGCCACCAGCGCGGACGTTCCAGCATAGGCAGCGAGCCTCATCGTGTATTGTCGTCGGGCAGGTCGAACATGCACATGCGAACACGTAAACTCTCCAGCAGCTCGACAAGGGCCGGGACGCAAACAAGCCGGCAATACCAAGTACGTCGTCACTGCCCGCCCCACACTTTCCTGTCGGTCCGACTTGCTCATCTCTTCCGACCACGGCGACCAGCCTCTTCTCTTGGACAAGCATGGCACATGATCCTCATTTCACTGAGTGCCGACAACAGCCGTTCATCTGTTTGATCGCAATCGCGGCACACAACATGCGAGATAAGATCAGTGTGGTATGGGCATCCTCAAATCTATCAGGCACTACTGTACGTGAACAGGTGCAAGAAGCATGCGCGATCGCCTCTGCAGATGCCAGCCGCGCATGAAGAGACACGCCGAACATGTTACTCTCCACGCGGGGCTCCCATGTCTATACAAGTCTTGTCCCGCGCTTCGCTACTTCTCCAAGGCTTTTGAACTCTATCATCACTATCAAGCGAGCTACGACCATCGACGTCTGCATCGTGGTACGTCTAAGCACCGTGCGTGTTTCTCTTTTCTAAAGGCTCTGTCGGCTATGTCGTCCCTTCCGAGTGACTACTGCTGCGCGATATTTGACTAAGCTTCACGATTTAAGGCAACTTACGAATCATTTTTCTTTTGCACACTCTCTCCAATTGTCGCGCAATTTGATCGCACCAATTCTGTATTCAGCATGGCATGCTCAAGAATCCGAACCCGCAAACAGTCTATTCAATACAAAGCACACATGTCTCTCATGCACACCGTACGGTCTCTTGACCATCTCGCAAATGTTGACCGCTGCTCAAGCATCGTCTGACAGAAAACCGCACGTTTGCTCTAGGACCATAGCTTTGCCGGTGGTGTGGGGCCCCAGATGAGCCTTTCTGTCGGTCCGACACTTTTGGTGGCTTGATGTCTTCGTGATCGGCGTCATGCCCTTGACAGAACGCCTAGAATCTGTTCTGGTGCAACTCAATTCTTTGCTTCGATATTTCTCTCCCGGCTCGTGCCCTGGATATCATGAACCCTGGAGATATATAAACAACGAGGCATCACCCCATGGTATCTCTCGTCAAGCAAGACTTCCCTCCCTCTCTTCCTTACTCTCTTATCTTTCCTTCGCCACAATGAAGAGCTCCCTTGCTCTTACTAGCCTGATGGGTGCCACTGCCCTTGGTCAGACATTGACTACCTCCATGATTGAGTCTATGGGCAACAACACACTTTTTACTCGTTGGCGTCCCCAAAACCACTTCATCGCTCCCGCCGGATGGATGAACGATCCTTGTGGTCTCATGTACGATCCTACCGAGGACCTTTACCATGCCTTCTACCAATGGCACCCTGAACACATCAATTGGGGCAACATTTCGTGGGGTCATGCAACCTCCAAGGACATGATCTCCTGGTCAGATGTTGGTGGCTGGGAGGGCACTGATGCTCTTGCTATGGGTCCTTCGGGCAATGGTAGCTACAACGGCCTCGGTATCTTCTCTGGTACTGCCCAGCCTGTCAACTTGACTGGTGGTGTCGATGGAACTCTCCTCGCCTTTTACACTTCTGTTTCCAAGCTTCCTACGAGTTGGAGTATTCCCTACCAGAATGGAACCGAGAGCCAAAGTCTTGCAATGTCCACCGATGGTGGCAAGACATGGCAGCAGTATGAGAACAACCCTGTTATCGAGGGCCCTCCTGGTGATTGGAACATCACTGGTTTCCGTGATCCCTTTTTCGAGCCTCTGCCCGCTCTCGATGCCATTCTCGGTGCCGATTCGCCTCGGTACTACGCCGTCTTTGGTAGTGGAATCAAGGGCGTCGGTCCTCGTATGCCTCTCTGGAGTGCACCTGCCTCAGACCTGACAAACTGGACTTTCCACGGCTCTCTTTTTGAGCCCGCCGCAAACACCTCCCTTGGCCCCGTACTATCTACTGGCTCTTACGGCTACAACTTCGAGGTCTCTGGCTTCTTCACTTTGCCCGATGAGGATGGCCACCTACACTACTTTGTCAACATGGGATCCGAGGGTGGTAATGTTTCGTTCCATGAGTCTGCTCACTGGGCTCTTTGGAACGAAGGTCACGTCACTCGCCGCGCTAACGGCTCTGCTCAGTTCACTCCTATCTCTGGAGGTGCTGGTGACTGGGGCAACCTTTACGCTCTTTCCAGCTTCAACGACACCAAGAATGACCGCCGTGTCCAGTACGGATGGGCACCTGAAGACATCACCGGTGGTGACGGTCTCTTCTCTGCCAAGCAGCAGGGCTTCCAGGGTGCTCTTTCTCTGCCTCGTGAGCTCTTCGTCCACACTGTCAAGAACGTCGTGAACATGGACGGTGTCCTCGGCGAGATGGGCAACTCTTACCTCACTCAAAATCTTGACGGCAGCTTCACTGCCCAGACTCTCGGTGTCAGACCTCTTGACGATGTCGTCACTGGTCTCCGCAATGGTTCTATCCAACACAGCTTCCCCGGTCGCACTTTCAATGGCAGTCACACTCTTGCTGCTAATGGAAGTGCTCACATGGAACTCAGTGCCGTTGTTTCCAGCGCCACTGGACCTTGCGGTGTCAGAGTCGGTGTCAGCCCTGACGGTCGTGAATACACCACCATCTACTACGAGCCCGCCAACAACACCATTGTCGTTGACCGTAGCCACTCTTCTCTGCTCGATGGCTTTGCCAACTCTTCCGTCATTGGCTACTTCTACCCTTACACCACTCAGAGCGAGTTTGGCAACGCTACACAAGAGGCTCTTGCTTGGGACATTTTCGTCGATGGCTCTCTGGTCGAGGTCTACGTCAACGAGCGTTTCGCTCTTACCACTAGAATCTACCCTAGCATGGAGAGCAGCACTGGTGTCGGTGTCTACGTTCCCAGCGGCTCCTCTGCCACTTTCGACAGCATTGACATGTGGTCGACTCTTTACAATGTCTTCCCCGAGAGACCTCTGAACTCTTCAAGCCAGCTTGTCTGGGACACTGTTGAGCAGACCAACAACCGCACTTGGTGGACTGGTAACTAAGCTGGAGTCGAAGAAGACCCGCACAATATAATGAACAGCTGTATAATCTGTAAAAACAAAAGTTGATGTCATCTCATGCTATATCAGACATACCCATCAACCCGTACTTGTTCGTCGCGCTACTACTTTCATCACATGTGCTTCCCTAGTGAGGCTCTAGGGTCATCGGTGGCCTTTCAATTGAGGATGTGACTGACCGTACATCACAGATGGTCTGATACGGGAGTGCTGTGCCGAAGTCGAATCCCTCTCGTAATAGGTTACAGCAAAAGCCTTGGGCACGCCCTAAGATTGTACTCGGGTCTTGCGATGATGAAAGAAGTGATCTCCTCGGACCGACAAAGCAAGCCAAGAGCCTACCGAGCCGAGCAAGCATCCACATTTTCTCCAGCCACCCCGAGTTTCCGCAACTTAGACCCCACTCTCACCCACAAGTGCCGTCACCGATCCTGGAGAACGATGTTTTCGGGAAGGTCTCAGCAAGCAAAATCGGCCCTTCTCTCGCATTGGCATCACGGCACCGGTCCTGGCGGATGTCGGGTGACGGTCTGTTTAGCCGGCCTTCAGGCAAGTACTACAAACAGTATCGTGATGTCCGAGAGTGATGGCGCAGCATTATAGGATCTACATGATGCCAATATAAATAGTAGGTAGGTCGCCGTGGTCAGAGGTAGGAATACAACCATCACAATGCTTCGCACTTCGACTGTCTTATCTTCTCTGCTCTGTATGGGCTCTGTCTTTGCACAGGATGCCTCTACGACCTCATTGATCGCACCAACAGGCACACCAGTCTCTGGTGATTATAGCGGTGCATTGAGACCGCAAGTGCATTTCTCGCCTCCTCAGGGCTTCATGGTATGCATGGAAAGAGATTGTGGGTATAGACATGTTGCTGACGTCGTTCTCTAGAATGATCCCAATGGTCTGTTCAAAGACGCTGACGGTGTTTACCATGTCTACTATCAGCGTATGTCCTCGCCATGAGCCGGTATGAGAGAGCTTTGCTAACAAGACACAAGTCAACCCGACCGAGTACATCGCTGGAAATCAGCATTGGGGTCATGCCACAACCACCGACGGTTATACCTTCGAAAATCAGCCTATTGCGCTCTTCCCTCCAAACAACGAGACTTTCGTGTTCAGTGGTTCTGCAGTGGTCGACGTGAACAACACCAGTGGTTACTTCCCTGGTCAGGACAATGGTGTAGTTGCCATATACACATTGTCCAATAGTACAGCTCAGAACCAGAACATCGCATTTTCCAAGGACGGTGGCTACAGCTTTGAGCCTTTTGAGGGCAACCCAGTCATCGATATTGGCTCGATTCAATTCCGTGATCCTCAGGTAAGTTGAAACAGGCACTAATATTCTGAATACTTGATTGACCAAATTCAGGTCTTCTGGCATCCTCAGACCGAGAGCTGGGTCATGGTTGTCGTTTATGCTGCCGAGTTCTCCGTCGGTATCTACACCTCGCCTAACCTCAAGAACTGGACTCATGCCTCGAATTTCTCCAACCATGGTCTTTTGGGTACACAATACGAGTGTCCCAACTTGGTCGAGATGCCTGTCGAAGACTCTGACGAGACTATGTGGCTCATGTTCCTCTCGATCAACCCTGGAGCCCCTCTTGGTGGCTCCGTCTCCCAGTACTTCCCGGGTTACTTCAACGGCACTCACTTCGAAGCTGTTGACCCCGTCGCTCGCATCTCCGACTTCGCCAAGGACAACTACGCCGGTCAATTCTTCTCTGGTATCCCTGGCACTGAGAGGCGTCTCAGTATCGACTGGGCCAGCAACTGGCAGTACACCAACGATGTTCCCACCGAGAGCGAAGGTTTCCGCAGCTTTATGACAGTTTTCCGTCAAAATCACTTGAAGAAGCTGCCTGGTGTTGGCTGGGACCTCGTCAGCTCGCCTTTCAACATAAGCTCTCAGTTCTCGCAAGTCCTTGCTTCCAACTCATCGTTGGGTAACAGCAGTATCTTGCTCGACTACTCAACTCTGCCTTCTGGTGCGCTCTACTTCGAAGCCAATGTCACCGGCTTGACACCAACAACCTTGTCTGGAGCTATCAACTTCATCATCAGTTCGTCTATCAGCGGCCAAAACATCCAAGGTGCCACCATTCCTGGTGGAGCTACCTGGGTATCGCGCAGAAACGCTGGCTGGGGTGCCGAGAATCCTTACTTCACCGACAAGTTTTCATCCAATGGTGTTTACAGTGGTAGCGAGAACGGCACTTGGACACTTAGTGGTGTCCTTGATCGCAGCATTCTAGAATTGTTTGTCAATGGCGGCGAGCAGAGTGCTACAGTCACTTTCTTCCCTGACTACCCGCTTGATACACTCAGAATCGGTGCCAGTGATATCCCTGAGGGTGCTGCTGTCAGTGTAGCCGTTTGGGGATTGAAGGATGCTTGGGCCAGCCAGGCAAACTCTGAGGGTATCGTCACCGGAAACACTACCACCTCATCTTAGTCACGCTATAGTCGTACATAAGAAATGTAATCGATGATCAACAACCTGAAATCAGTAATCTGCCAACTCCGATGAGTCTCGCCGTCATGAGTACAATACGATTTAGCATGCTCAAGCGTGTGTTGACGGCCATAAATTTGGAGTAATGTCTTAGATCGACTGAGGAATATTGCTTCATTCGTCCTGTCTGGCAAGATCTCTGGTCTAGAAAGTGAACACGGGTCCATCTAGCTCGGATCTCTGTGCCCTCATCGGCGCTCAGAGGGAGGAGTAACAGGTTCTAGACAATGATCGACTGGCCTGAAATAATTGAAGGCATAATGACCAGTGGTGAGAAGAGGAGTGAACAAACGCTATTCATACGAGCGCAGGCAAATTAGACGTAGACGAGAAGACGAGCTGGAGTCCATCCTGTGTACGCGGTCGTGATCTGGACGCCGTGATGGGTGAATTGGCCAAATGCAGGCCACACTTCAAGGCACCAAGGCAACAACGTAGACGACGACACCAACATCATGAACACAAGAAGTCCACGCGCAACAAGCGTAGAGAGCGATATAAATTAGCAAAAATCGGCAAACAGAAACCCCTGCGGAAGGCCTAGGCCCGCAGAGGAATAGAGAAATGGTATTTTCTTCATGATTTTGTCGTGTGAGGATTACTGGGACCTCTGGCCAGGTTCGAACAGGCGACGTGCGGTCACGAGCCATGTGGGAAGAGAAACACGAGCCCCTTCCCACCACACCAAGGCCGCCTGTATGAGGGAAACGCCGATTCTTATACTTATAATACCATTTTGATGTTTTGAATGAGATTGTTCCACTTTTGAGTGGGACTGTTAGGAGCGATTTCATCGTTCAATCCTGAGTATCTGAGCACGGAAACAGAGTCATCGATAGGCTCATGTATTCGTCCTACTTTGTACGATGTCTGACGAGAGCGCCTGATGATACGAGCTTCTCGACCGAATGCCACGATCCACGCACTGGCACGACTCTACTTCGCCCTCCACTGTCCCTTGCAATCAGAATCATGGAAACTTGAACTCGCCAAAGTAAGCGCAAAGAGCCTGGAACATATTAACAAAGTGCCGCATCACACGACACAGACTTGCAGCTCACCTTGCTCGATCCGTTTGTGCAATAGTGCACTACTTCAAGCTTCTTGTCATCGGGGGCATATTTGGCGAGTTGGTTCAAATCCGAGCTTCGTGGCAGAAAGAGGACGAAGTCTGGGACGTAGGCCGCGAATTTGTCATAGATGTGCTTGAGATTGTAAGGTTGCATGGTGCTGAGGTCGAAGATGTTATCATCGCTGTATTGCGGGCCTGTAAAGGGTCAACACTGGTGTTCTGAGAGCATAGAAACCAAGAAGCAGACATACCTCCCCATGGAGGACTGGCGAACACAATGGCATCCTTAGCCAACGACTTTAGACGTTTCTTCAAGACGTCGAAGCAGTCGCCTTCGATCCACCAGATTTTTGACGCCACACCATATACCTCGGCGTTGTGTCGTGCGCATGCGAGTGTTGCAGGGTCTTTCTCAATAGCGAAGACCTGCTTGAAGCGACCAGAAAGGGCGAAAGCAATGGCATTGCCACCAGCACCAGCAAACGCGTCTATGATGATCGATTTCGATTCAGGCCCACCAGTCTTGATGTGATCAGCTATACGGCTGTGAAATGTGTCAGCACACATGTTCTTTGTGCGCAAAGGAGCGAGATGTACTTGGCTATCGGCTCAGGTGTCACGCCAAACCAGACGTCGTCAGTCATCCAGATGCCTTCATCATAACGAGACCAGATATCGTAGCGTTGATGCCAGTATCTAGCAGATCGTCAATATTCTGGTCTGGCTCGAACTATAGATCACTAACTTTTGAATGTTCTCGGGCATTTCAGAAGATTCGTCATAGTGGTGCACGCCTTCTGGCATCAATTCGTCCTTGCCAGCCATCACTTCAGCCACAGTAGGAGAAGTTCGAGAATGCACGCGTTATTTCCTGAGTATGTTGTCGACCCTCGGATACGTGTGCACCCAGTCGATACTAGACTTCCAATAGAGTGTTTCGGCGTGAGGATGGAAAGAGAAAATTGATCAAGCTGCAAAGTCGAGATGCCGATGGACAAAGGCGCCGAGGTGTGGACCAGGTCTAAGTATCTGCGTCAATATTCTTCCTGGCTCAAATCGCCGCTCCTATATTCATCACAAATTATAATTTATTGTCGATGCTGCGGAAAGAGCAATGGTCGTTCTATCCATGGTCTGATATGACATCTTTGCAAACGGCAACTTTTGCCGAAGCGGAAGTCACATCCACGACCCTGCTTCAAGCATAACTTCCACTTTTACTTCCTTCAGAGACCTGCAACGACGCGATGATGACCTTAAGACAGTCCGTATGATATTACTTGTTGCAATTCGATCACTCACTTACAAATCCCTCTTTTCTGTTTGTCCCCTCTGTCTCGTTGCCTGCTAATTGTGGACTTGCCACTCTCATCACAGACATGTCAAACATGAACAAGGTGCTCGGTTTTGAGCGCATCAACGAGCGTGTAAAAAGACCCAATACTCTCATCAACTTCATCAAACCACTAGAAGGCGAAGATAAGGCGCTGGCGCAAGATTTCCTGGAACGAGTCGCTGCTATCTGCTATCCGATCATGAAAGAGAATCACATTGTTGTGATGGCACTGGAGGAGTATGCACCCAACTCCGAATTCATTGGACGCAACTTCAATGCCGGAGAGGTTATCCAATTGGTTCTTAAGGCTCCGCACACCAATCAATGGCTTCCCTTCAAACATGTTCAGATGGTCATGATGCACGAGCTGGCACACTGCAAGCAGATGAATCACTCTCGCGCTTTCTGGAAGGTCAGAAACACTTATGCCGATGAGCTGAAAGTGCTCTGGAATAAGGCATACACTGGAGAAGGTCTCTGGGGCAAAGGACAGTCTCTCATCACCGGACTATACATGACCAACCACATGCCGGAGGCTGCCAATGCACCAGCCAATCTATGTGGAGGTACGTTCAGATCGTCGGGCGGGCGGAAGAGAAGGAGGAAAGAGGACGTCCCTAAGATCACCTATGCCGAGCGTCAGCAACGCAGGATCGCAAAGAAATTTGGCGTCAATGGTGTTGCGCTGGGGGATGACGAGGGAGTCAGAGCTAAACTCGAAGCTGGTCAGAAGGGTGGTAAACCTGCTGTCAAGCCCAGAGTGGCCGGCAGCAAGCGTGGAAGAGAGCTCCGGGCAGCTGCAGCGCTGGCACGTTTCGAGACTGTGAAGAAGGAGACCATCAAGTCCGAGCTCAAAACCGAAACAATCAGTGACGACGACTACGAGACTGACTCTGACTACGAATACGCTCCCATTGAGAGGACCATGAACCCAGAAGACGGTAACATGGTCAGAGTGTGCGAGAACGAGGATGCCAACGATAAAGACGCCCAGCGCGAGTTTGATGAGCTGCGAGAGATTGATTTGGCCATGCCGAAGTTGCAGATCGCTCCATCCACACGGCAAGCGTCGAAGGGAAAATCCAAGCAGACTATCGTGTCAGACAACGAATCGACAGAGAGTGAGGAGGAACAGGACCTGGACACAAGACGCACATTTGTCAAACCACCAAGCAAGACACAATCAGCTCCGGACGACGCATCTACCGACAGCGAAGATGATATAAAAGACGTCACATCTTTAGTAGAGGAGACAAACAAGCTGAAAGAGGCTAGAAAAGGCAACAACGACAATGCCTCATCCACTCAAGACAGACCGAGCAGCAAGAAGTCACAGCCGCCAGCAGTCGACATTAAGGATGAATCGACAGCAAGCGAGGACGAGACTCATAGCGTCAAGGCTGCCGCAACAAAAACACCATCAGCACAATGCTCTTCTGTCACGATCTTCCGTGAAGCAACCATATCCGTACCCACATCCATAACATCAGAACCTGCAAAAACGGTCACACCAGCAGCACAAACCCCGTCATGCCCGATCTGCTCACTCGAAAACGAGCCCACATCAGCCCTCTGTGCAGCTTGCTCGCACGTCTTGAAGCCAGTCCTCATGCCAAATTGCTGGAAGTGCACAAGCGTGGACTGCCAGAGCGTCGGATACACGAATGTAGGAGATTATGGCTTGTGTGGACTCTGTGGATCAGCACGGCCGAGATGAGCATATGAACAGGGGGGAGATGAGGAGTAGCACGTATAGTTAGCTGTATTGCTTAGACGATAAGTCTTAATGCACAGGGAAGGAACCGAGTCTTGGTACAACAGATATATTAATCAAACAATTCCATTTAATGAGTACATGATCCAGCGACATGAGACAACACGTGCAAGAGGTGTGTTTGAATTTTTGCATCAAGTTTGTTCTCATACGAGGAAAGACGCAAAAAAATGTGGTATCAAAGGACGACAACAACTATATGAGGAGTGTTTTAAAACAACAAAAGAGAAAAAGACCAGACGCTGGGAAACAGTAAAAGGAAAACTACGCTATGAGGGGGAATAAGAGTTGTGTGTGCAACAAGGAAAAAAGACGACAAGATAATAATAAAAACAAGCCCAAATTTCGACAAAAACACCCAAAGCAGATTTTTCGTTCACAATCCCAAAGACATGACAGCGAGGTAAGAAGGTCGAGTGATCAGGCTTAGAGACCAGCAATCCTTGTCCTTATTGCTTCCACGTCGTCTCCGTTAACTCTGTCTGTTTGCGGTGGCATGGGTAGAGCTTTGTCGAGACTATATCTCTCGTCTTTGGGAGGTGTGAGCGGTCGTTCGCGTTGGTCGCGCAAGCTGTACTTATCGTCCTTCGGTGGTGTCAATGGACGACTGAAGTTGTTGACAGCGCGATTATGGTGTTCGAGCTCGATGGACCGCTTGGAGGAAGGAGGACCGTCTGTCTTCGGTGGTGTGGGCGGCGGCACCTCGCCGAGATTTTGGCTGGCAACTTCGGCGTTGTGTGCGGCGGCTTGAATACTGCCGTTGCGACCAGCAAAGGACTCTTTCGAGCGCTGAGGGGTGATTGTGTGGGTAGGTGTCCTTGAAGAGGGACTGCCGTTCTCAGCAGCCTCGCCAATGACAGGTAGAGTGATCATGTTTTCGTTCTCAGGGTGTGGGCTTCTAACTGCGCCGATGGCACGGTCTGGAATATCATCCTCGTTAGTACCGTGGCGTCTACTCTTCTCGGCCTGCTTCTCTGCCTTGCGCATGACCTTATCAGTGCCAGCAGGATTGTGGTCTTGAGTCTTGAGAATGTTGACCCCAGAGAGCTTGGGATCGTCAAGAGTGCCTTCGATGTTGTGAATAGCCGTGTTGAGTCTCTCGCTACCGTGCTCACACTCTTGCTGCTTCTCCGCCTCGGCACGTTCGCGTGTCTTGGTGATGCCTGAGATAAATCTGACGAAGCGATCACCATAGCGCTCAGGAGGTATGGCAGAAATCTGCGACTCCGGAGACGACAGTCCTTTCCAGAAGTGTTCGAAGCGTTTAATCATGGAATACTGTAATGGGTCAGTATACATATCCGTACGCATAAGCTCATCAACTTACATGTGTCAAGCAATCGATGATGCCAAGGTAGTATATTTCTTCGCCAGACATGTCATTCTCGTGAGTCGCTCTAAAACCTCCGTCGTCGCTGTAGAAGTAGGATTGCTTTCTGTGGCCACCTGCCATCTCGTCGGGCATCTTGTCCAGAATCTGGCCCATCGGTATGGGTTTTTCGTTCTTGATGAGTTCACGCAGTTCTTTTGCCTTTCGTGCATTTTCGAGCTTGCTAGGCGTACGCATCAGCATATTCGGCGGTTGGTCCTCGGGTTTATGACCTCCAGGTTGGAACACCTGCAATGTCTTGTCTCGCAGATTGTCCTCGTTGCCTCGTTGCAGATCATGAATACCGACCAGCATCGAGTAATCCATGATCTTCAGCTTCTGAAGAAGAGCGACGTCTTTCTGCATCTGTTCTACAAAAGCATCCTTCTTAGTCGGCCCAAATTCCAGATGGAGATTTCGTCGTAACCAGTTGAGATCCTTGAGTGTAGCCCTTGGGTTCTTTTCCAATTCTTCTTCTTTAAAGTCTCTGCCAATCGTACTGCCCTTCAAGTCGAACGTCCGGTGGATATCTCTGTGAGGTGGGAAGAGGTTGTTCATGACGACAAAATGGATCTTTCTACCGTATGGGATCTTCACTCTGTGAAGACCGTAGAATTGACTGAGAAGCGTGTTAGGATTCTCCTGGACGTGGGAATAATAATCTCTGAGTATTTTGCGAAGAAATTTGTGTTCGGCGTGATGAATAGTTTTGATGATGTATTTGTAGTCGCGTGAGAAATAGAAGAAACTGCCGGATTTGCCAGGAGAGCCAAGTTCGGATAAGATATATTTGGAGGTTAGAGACACAAGGTAGTCTGCGGGATCAAGACCAAAGTTGCTGCGTAGATGACGAAAGACCCAAGGGGCGTAGTCCTTGAACTTGAAGTCGTACTTTGCCGAGGGAGTGAGTTCGTTGCCGGTGATGTCGAATGAGAATTTGTGCTTTGCGTCAAAATCGGCGTCGGTCAAGTCCCTGTCAATCTTCGCGTTTGTCCTCGACACACAGAAGCGGATTCCAGTGAGCATGTTGTAAGCCGTTACCCAATTGACGTGGTTCTGATCGACTTTGGTACCAACGACAACACGTTCATCGTCTTCATCCCGTTTCCGCTTGCTTGCTCTCTTTTGCTTGATATGCTCAGCCCAACGAGCAGCATCATCGTCCTGGATAACCTCATCAAGATGTGCGTCTGACTGGATCGAACGAGTTGCCCGGCGGACAAGCTGAGAAGAACCCCTTCTCCTACTAGGAGTAGTGGGCGAGAAACGACCAGTAGCCGAGGCGGCGGTGCCATCAAGATTCGAGGGTGCTTGGCTGTCACGAGAAGTGCGACCAGCCACACTAGGGACCTCTAGAGTATGTCGGTGAACCAAGCGGCCTGGAGGTTGGGACGAGAGGGAGGCCATAGAGGACGAGGTTTGGGAGAAAGCCGGGGGAGAAGAAGCACGATGTGTTGAACGAGGAACGCGGAGCATACCCTCTGCAGCAGAAGGGCCAGCCTCACTCACAGGTGGTAGCACGGGGCTCGGCACGGTCTGAAGAGGCAGAGCAGACGAGGTTGGCGAAACGTCATCGGGCACGGCGAGAGCATGATGAGAAGGAGATCGAGCGACTCCATTGGGCTTCTGTGCAAAGTAGCCATCGTCTTCACGGGGGAGCGAGGACATGTCCAACGACTTCTTTTCATTGTCACTCTTGGAGGACAAGATTGAGGGCATGCTACCCTTTGACGAGACGGTCCTCCCACGTGTGCTGTGCGACTCGGATGATCTTCCGTTTGGGAGAGTAGATATAGCACTATCCGCACCGGTCGGCAGGCCGTTGAGCATGGGAGTGGTAGACTTGGACCATGCTCCAGGAAGAGAGTCGACAGCGGCGGTTTGTTGTTGTGTCGGGGCAGTTGATGATAAGGATTTGGCGGAGAAAGAATTATGGCGGTCGCGATCGTCGGGCAGGAAGGATGCCATGTCGACCTTCTTCATCAGATAGACGGCATTGAGCGGGGACGTGACCTTGCTCAATGTGTCCCCCTCTGGGACATTCAAGCGCGCGGATTGGGCCAGCGTTGCTGATGCGTCGAGCACAAGGGCCGTCGGGTGAGGCACGACAAAGCTGTACAAAGGCGGCAGTTGGGAATGGACAATGTCGGGAGTTGGAAGAATCAGAGTTGGGCCAGGGAGTCGAGCGGCATGCACAACAGGTGGATGGTCGAGGTGCCAGACGACGTTGTGTGCGAGACGATGCCCTCTCGGGCGCGCCTTCGAAAGGCCCCGGCCCTGTTTAACCACATCCAACTTTCTTGGCTCCGAGCTCAGCCCTACGCAACCCTTCGTATAGCGCGCGTATGGCCCCTCGGCCCTAACAACTTCCGCGTCCTTGTTGCTGCTAATTTCATTTCAACTCCGCCTTGGCAACCACCTTCTCCTGGAATATATCCACAACCTTCGTCATGTCAATCAATGTGTGCAAAGCTTGGATTTGTAAAAGAAGCGACTTCGTTTGCGATAAAATACTAATTCATATTTGCCCGTCGCTGGAACAGCGACCATGGTCATGATCCCCAAACGCCCCTACCTAATCCTTTGAACAGAACCCCTAGCAAAGCAAAATCATCGTAGTAGTCCCTGTGCTGGTATCTCATCAAGTGTTCCCTCACCCGTATCGCTACACCCGACGCCCTATATCACGCCCGTCAGAGGACCCTTTGTCCATCATAACAGAAGAAGAAATGTCAACGCTCCACTTAAGCAGCCTTCTTCTTAGGTGTGGCCTTCTTGGGTGCGGCCTTCTTCTTGCTGGCAGCTGCCTTGGTGGCGGTTGCTGAGGGTGCGGTGCTCTTGGTGACACGGCCAGACTTGGTCTTTCCGAGCACGACAGGGGCCTTCTCTTCGACAGCAGGAGCCTGGGACCACGTCAGTACACGCCATACGACCTTGATAAGGAATACATACACTCTTTCTGACCTTGGAGACGTTAGCCTTGGTCTTGGTTGCTTTGGCGGGTGCGGCGGCCTTCTTGGTGGCGGGCGCCTTGGGTGCGGCCTTGGTAGCGGCCTTCTTGGGTGCAGCAGCCTTCTTAGCAGGAGCCTCCTTTGCAGCAGTCTGGTCTACATCAGTAAAAGCGCTTTCGCGGGACGAACACCTTCGACTCACGGTCTTGGCCTTAGCAGCAGTCTTCGGTGCGGCCTTCGTGGCCTTGGCCTCAGTCTTCTTAGCGGCAGGAGGGGATCCAGCCTTTGCTTTGGCAATCTTCACGGGTCCGGAGGCACCTGTTACCAGTGAGAACCATGTTAAGCCAGCTACGATCTTGTCTCTGGTCCCAGGAAGGATCAAAAACGACGAGATGCTTACCCTTGGGGCGCTCGAAAACGCCAGACTCACTACCCTTGGCAAGAGCACGGTTGAACTGAGTGGTGAAGGCGGCCTCGGTCACACTGGAGAGGTTGTTGTTTGCCTGGACGTATTTCTTGAGAGCCTGACGACTGTAGGCGGACGGGTCAGCAATGAACATACGATGCGACAAGCAAGTAATGCAACGCGACTAACCTGCTTCCTTGGCGATCCTTAAGCTATTGCTCGAGAAGAACGCGTCAGTAATAGCTCCAGGAGAATAGAAAGATTGGCACCGGAATCTGGACGTGGTGTCGCGCATTGTCGCGAACCCGCCAGCCTCGTCTGCACGCGTGAACGACGTGATATACTGACATTGATAATGGCTTCCTTGATCATCTCTGCAATACAGCATCAGTACATTTTCGCGACACAGTCCAAATAAACGCGCCGGTGGCGCGACAACTCTGTGAGTCTATACATACCCTGGTAGCTAGCATGGACAGGCTCCTTGGCGGCAGCCTTCTTGGGGGCGGCGGTGGACTTCTTGGGAGGCATTTTGGTTTGTGTTGATGTTACTGGATAATGGAGCTGGTTCTGAAGATTCCAATGATGGGTCGAACGCGTGAATCGAAGTTGGTTGTATGTTTAAGATATCGTGATGGAAGTCGAGAGTGCGCGGAGGGGGGGTGCGGGGGCCATAGCGGTTTTAAAGTCCTGCGAAGATCACCAAAATCACGCTCAGCCCGCCGCGGTCTGGAAACCAGTGATCTCGAGGAAGTCGCACTCCACGACATCCAATCTTTCTTGATTTGTATTTGCAATTTGCTATATACTATATTAGCTGCCATACTTGGACGACATCGGAGTGCTTTACATTATAGGCATTCGTTTGACAGCATACAGTCTGGTTTGCGTCGAGAGCCCCGAATCTGAAGTCCAGGCCGCTAAACCGTGTTAAGCAGACATGGTCTACCGTTCCAGATCTCAGCAACGGGAAAGGCTGTGGTCCCCTCTCCGCATGACCTATCTTCGGAAAGTCATGATGTCGGCCTAGACTTACCACTGGTCAAGAGTGAGTGGATCTTACTGGCTGTCTATACACACTATCATCGAGGCTTGTTGTCGGCGTTCAAGTTCCTCGAGGGAAGCTCAAGCTCGAAGATCTATCCTTAGGTCCGTGCCTACAAGCGAGGCACCTTGATTGCACGTCAGGTCCTGGTGATCCCTAGACCCGGAGCTTCTCAGGGTAGGTTACTGTCCCAAACGCGTGCATATCGCGTGTTCATTCACATCGGATTGTTCTCAAGGGGACGGAACAATGATGTCGAGTCATGACAAGGCTACATCCTGCTGAAGCCTGGCAGACAGATGTTAAGATGATTCCTGGATCGGCCTCCACTGATGTTTCTTCAGTCTCCAACTACACCTTGCATTACAACAGCTTGGCTCTCGTGAAGAGGTGTGCTGTACTTGGAAGTGTCGATCGAGCACTGGATAAGATGGTATGGACATTTGCAGGGGTGATGTTTTTTTTTGTCGCGCCTCACAATACATTAGCCACATCGTCATCCAGCTTTCCGTAACTATTGTTTTCTTGGAGAGCATCAACAGCTCCATGTGTGTAGTGACCGTTGAACCATCACCGCATGATGCTCTTCGAGGCTCAAGAAGTAGACTTTCGCATTTTCGGCGAGAAAACGCGTACGTCCATGCTTCGTTTTTCCAAATGCATCATACGCGTCTTGAGTTCACGCGGGAAGAGTTTATGAGTTTCACGTCTCGTTATGCAGAAGTATTTGGCTAGGGTTCTGACGTTCGAACATGCCATGCGGTGATATGCCGGTCATGCTTTTCAGTTAATTTTACATGATGCTTCGCTTTTGAAATCTTCGTTACCCACTGGTAGACATAATCTACCTTCTGGGCATGCCTCTTCCTCTGCCACGCATCGCCCTTTGGGCAGCGCCAGGGGGAAGTTGTTGGCCAGGGGCCTGAGGAGCCTGCGATTCTTGGTTCTCTGTCGCTTCTGTTAGCGCGGATAAGATGGGGATTCTTGACTGGTTTATGCTTACTGATAGTCTCGTCAACGCTCAAGATCAAGCAACTGGCCTCAGTAGCGGCTTGAATGGCGTTGATCTTGACAAGACTGGGCTCCCAAACGAATGCGGCCATGTTGTCTCTGACACCCTCATTCTGGAAATCAACACCAGCCCAGAGGTTACCCTTTCTGTGCTCAACACGGAGTCTGTTCAAGATGTCGGTGGCGTCGAAACCTGCATTGTCGCAAAGCTGTCTAGGGATGACCTCAAGGGCCTTAGCGAAAGCCTTGATGATGCTTTGCTGCTTGTGGGGGATCTTGCTGTCGGCGTAAGTGTGAAGGTACTTGCTGATCTCCATCTCGCAAGCACCACCACCAGCAACAATGCTCTGGTTCTTGATGGCACGCTTGACGATCATGATGGCATCGTGCAGGCTGCGCTCGACCTCGGCAATGAATTGTTCAGCACCGCCACGGAGGACGAGGGTGCAGGTCTTTGCAGCCGGGCAACCCTCGAAGAAGTTGAATCTCTCTCCACCGATCTGGCGCTCCTCGAAGGTCTCGCAGGTGCCGAGATGGCTCTCGTGAATGTCGGAACAGGTAGACTGAATAGAGGCGCCAGTGGATTGGCAAACACGCTCCATGTCGTCGGCGGCTACGCGACCAGCACAGAAGATGTCGCGGTCGGCAAAGTACCTTTGGAGTAGTTAGCACATACAAATGATTTCAGTCCGGCAAGATTTACGTACTGTGTCGCAAGATCACCAATGGGCAGCTTGCTGAGCACGATCTTTGCGCCAGTCTTGTGAAGAGCCTCCATCTTGTTGTAGATAATCTGCCACTCAGCGTCGACAATGGCCTGGTATTCCGACACTTGCTCAACGCGGACCTCGGCGTTGTCCTTCTCACTCTTGAGCTCGAGCTCGACGTTTAGGCAGACAATCTTTGGGTTCTTGAAGGACTTGGGCTGTTGCTCGAAACCAGCGTAGGCGAAGGTCTTCTTGAAAGCGACACCGTTGACAAACAGGGAGTCTTGTAGGGCACCGCCAGTGATCTTCTTGATACCGATCAGTCTGTTGTTGAGGTCGTTTTGGTCGAGGGAGAGAACAGCGTCAACGACCACTGTATGATACATTAGCAGAAGACTCATAAGCGCATATTCTTAGCGACGTACTCTTTGTGAAGAAGTCGGCATTGCGGTGAATCAGCTTGCTGCTCATCGAGGTTGCGGCGAGTTTCCTCAGGGTCTCTCTCTGGTTGTTTTCCTGTGTGTCGACGGCGATTTCCTTGATCTTGTTGACGGCCATGGTGCTGGCTCTTCGCAGACCCTTGATGATGGTCTGACTGCTGACACCGTGCTCGACGTGCTCCTTGATCTCCTTGAGAATCTCTCCTGCCAGCACAACGACTGATGTGGTTCCGTCTCCAACTTCGGCGTCTTGCGAGCGGGCAATGTCGGTCAGAATGCGAGCGGCGGGATGAACGATGTCGAGTAGCTTCATAACGGTGGCACCGTCATTGGTGATGGTCTGCTTGCCATTCTCATCGACGAGCAGGAGATCACCTCCATAGGGGCCAAGGGTGGACTTGATGGTGGCTTGAACGGCGAGACAAGCGTTGATGTTGGAAACAATTTGACCTCGGCCTTGCGACTGATCGGTGCCTGGGTGGAAGCTAGTTAGCTGCTTGTTGCGCCTCGAAAGATATAGGGTGGAGCGCACCCTCTCTGAGGACAACGATAGTCGGTGTTTGACCACCGAACGACATTTTGCTGTGGTTTCCTGGAGTTCGAATGGGGTATTGTGTATGATCGAACTACTCCTGGGATCGGATATGTATTCAAAGGGGACAGATGACTTGATTATGGAGATTATGCGCTGGTCGATGTGTCTGGCAACTTTTCTCCAGCCAGCGGCATCAACAAATTGGTCCGAGCTTGCGGCGGCGGTCAATTCTCACTTCGAGAGAGCTTCCCAGCCGTTTGTACCCTTTCACATGCAACTCCGTGTCCAACCTACTTGACCATCCCGTCGACATCATGGTTTGAGAGATGTTTAATACAGTGACGATCTAGCTTAATTGAGTAGCGCCGGAATCTATGCTCCGGGACATCTCCTGACAGTCAAGTGATATGTCCTACCTGCGCCCAGGCTATCCAAGTCCAATGTTCCTTCTCTTGAAGCGTCTGGAGCTTGCACAACTTACTTCTCATGGACTGTAGTTTGGAGTGGTGGCATCAGAGCTCTGCAGTAGCCACAAATGTCAGCGGTTTCCATGTTCGAACTGACAGGTTTTCTGGCATTGAGGATCGACTTACCTTGAGATTCTGAGTTGGTCGTATCAATCCGTCTTTGTCCATCGTGGCTAGCATGTTCGTGACGAACCATGCTCCATCTAGGTCACGATAGAATCGTTCATTATGAGCCTCGCCAAGATACCCTTGTATCAACGCATCACCACCAAGGTGAAGCACGCCTTCTTCTCCTCGACGCAGCACACGTTTGTTGTCGACGTCGACGCCGCAGATCTTGACGAGGGCACCATTCTGGACCGTGCCGACACTGTCCAGAGTTCGGTCTGCTGGAAACATACTGCCCCAACCCAGCACTCCAAACCCTTCAGCCATTGTCAAGGATGATGTCACCCACTGAGGTTTCAAGACTTCCTTCGCTTGTTGCAACAGCTGTATGTCGATGATTTCCCCGTGTACTGACAGACTCTCGAGAGAGTCAAGCGCCCTCTGAGAAAGCGAAGGGTGCTTTATGAGCTTCTCGAGTTGCGGCGATGTACAAATCAGTCGCGAACCTCTGTAAAGGTCAACTGCAGCTAGAGTCATGCGTGCAGAGAACAAGGCTCCCGGAAACACGACGGCTGCACCCCTCTTCCATGCCACAATGACAGCTTCAAGAGTGGCGCTGCTTGACGGAGCGCACGTGATTACAAACTTCTTCTCTGGGATGATGTATTGATTGACCACAGCCGTCCTGACATTCTTGACAGACAGTGCGCATCCTCTGAACGGTTCTCTTGGACCCTCTCTGCTGAATAGCACTGCTGCGATGCGATTTTCGGGTATACGATGGTCTCCTAGATCCGGCCGACGTCGTCTGTCTTCTGGTATAAGTGCAAGAAGCAGTCCTGGAGGCCCGAAGTGGATCCAACCCCTAGGAAGGAAGTCGGCTTGTTTGTCACAAATTATCTTGAGGTTGATGCTTTCTGCATCTCCCGAATACAGTTCATCGAAGTTGTTTGCGTGGTCAGAATCGAATACTAGGACAGCGCTGGGCTTGAGCAGATGGAGAGGGTAATCATGTTCTGTTGAACTGTTCGTGTCCAGGCTAGTATAATCCACGGGCACGAAAGTCAAGTCGAGGATGACTGCAGTCCAGAAGCAGAGTGCCCACTCTGCGCAACTCGGGAGGAAAGCGATCACTGTGTCTCCTCTTTGCACTCCTTTTTCTTCAAACCAGAGCGCAAGATTTTGGGCAGCCCTCATCAGTTGGCGATATGTCCATGTCAGACAACCTGCGGTCGGTGTCTCTCCGACGATCTCTCTCAGATAACCCCAGGATTGATGTGTGCAGATCAGAGCGATGTTGTCCGGACCTTCATCGTGCCCTTCTTCGAGCTGCTGGAACATGAGATCAGGACCCATTTGGACACCCCAGCCACCATCGATGATGGAGAAGCGCTTGTCGCGTCTTTTGGTCGGCATGGCTAGTGGTCTGCGGCAAGCGATTGATCAGTAAATATAAGGCGGGCGCAAAGCAAAAGTGGTGCCCTTTATACACAAAGTGATGCGACTCTCTTACTAGGTATACCCAACACAGACCCCATCAAGCGCTAGCAATCAAGCGCGATACCGGCTGGCTTTGTGTGTCTCTTATCGCCGAAGTAAAGACGCTCAATTGCTAAAGACAAAGAACGATTGATGTTCTATAGCTTCATGAGACATCAAACTTTGCTTCCTCAATCGCTGCATATTAGACTGTGGGCTCACATATCTGCAGCAACGGAATAGAAACATGAGTTGCACAGAAGTGCTGCAGTCTCTGTAGATTCTGACGGTCAATGGAGCAGTAGAGCAAAAGTGCAAAGAAACCAGGCTGAGCCTAAGATACATCTGTTGACCAAATCTTCGATGCGATCATCCAGAGCGAGAGTTTGACCCCCTGGATTCCATTTATGCTCAGATTTGGAGAGGTTTGGCTTAATTTGATGTGGCTAGCCCATCAGGCTAGATGTCTGAGTTTCTTACAGGAGAGATGAAATCGTATCAACATACCACCTCATCAATCAGATTGCGAGCGAAGAGTCTGTCTCGTCAGCACCTCTGCTTCGGCTTTCTCGAGAGTGTTGCTGAAGCACTTCAAAGTGTCACATAGTATGGAAGGCCGATTCGTCGTACTCGGGTTCTCCTCCTGTCAGTTGCATAAAGTTTGATGGAGTCATGATTCAAAGCAAGAACGGAGTCACTGTCGGGCATGTCTTTCAGGGACCCTGTCACGACAACGTTGAACGATATCGCGGGATCCGGATGGAATTACCCAAGATCCACGCATCCGGTTGGTTTCATGATGTAGACAATGCTCTACAACCTGAGCAGCCAAAGAAGCATATTGAAGATGAAGTGCAGGGATTTCAAAATCAAGGCATTCTGGTACAGTTGATCTTTCGTTGATGATAATAGCGGGCAAGGATAGAATATCGTACAAAGTTTCATTATTTCCAATTCGTAATTCGTGCCAAATCTCTGCTGCAGTCCTGTAACTACAGGATCTACGCCTCCTTCTTGTCCACAGGCTCTGCTGTTGGATCCCTTTGCTCTTCTTGGGTAATGGTTCGATCAACCCAACCCTCTCCTCTCAACACACCCATAGCCTTGCGAATCATAGCACCTCTGACAGCGTTGGGCTTTGTCTCGTACAGCGCATCGATAAGTGCCAGACTGGCAGCAAAAAGCATGACATCTCCACCCTTGACACCCTTCCACCAGCCTCGCTTGACGCCAACCTTCCAGAACGAGTCCAGACTCATACGTGCAGAGTAGATGAAGCTGCTACGTTGACCTCTTCGCGCAACAAACGCCCAGAGACCGCCGATGAAGCCACTGAGGAACCAGCGTTGTGTTGCCAGGGTGGTACGAGGCAAGTAGGTTGCGAATAAACAAATGGTTCCCCACGCTGTGCCGATGGACCCGGTGATGAAGAGAGACATGCGGAGTATTCTTGCAGCTAGGCGGTTGAGCTGCTGCATAGGGTTTTGAATGAATGATTTGTAGGATAGGAGGGCGAAGACAGCGTAGATGACTGTAAAGAAGCGGGCGGTAGATGGGAAAGCAGCGATGAAGTATTTGACATATGTTCGCATGCATGATGGGTCGTGCGGATGTAGCAGAGCACATGAGGTATTGGTAATCGCAGGGTGTGCCGGGGCTGTGATGGGCGAAAGGTGAGATATGGAAGCAGGTAGATGTTGTTTGGCCGCTGGGAAGAGGATTGGAGAGACGAAGGATGGCCAGCGAAGGCGCGAGATTTCGGCCAGGCCATCGACAATATCGAAGGTGGCGGGCCAGGTCTTGTCGCTGGGATATGTAGACGGACATTGCTGAATGTACTCGGGACTGCGCTTCAAGATGAAGCTGCCGTAGTTTGTGGGAAAGCATTCGCGGTCGAAGATGAAGGCGTGCAAGAGCTGACCGCAAGCAAAGGGCATCAGCATCCAGCTGCCGACCCAGTCCGGCTTTCCTTTCTTGCCCCAGATGCCCTGTTCCTCGGCAGCATTGTAAGCGAACTCGATAGATCGACTAAAGACGTAGATGGCGACACTGATACGCAGTTGGGAGGCAGGACAGACGCCTAGGAAGAGACCAGACAATGCAGCGCCAACAGCCGGGGTGTATTTGGAAGTCAGACCAAGACTGATGCGAGGGTTACGGCGTCGGAAGGGACGAGCAGAAGGCTCTAGTAGCGAAGCACGGAGACGGAGGAAGAAGCGGTGCAGCAGACGATGGAACAGCAGGATCAAGGACAGCGAGGCCGACATGCGCAGGCGAGATGCTTTCGGGTTTGCATTTCCTGCACTTGTACTATACCGCGTTAGTCACTGACATGTAGCGAAGAGCATTGGGCCGGGTCCTACTTGGCTGGCCGGAGTCTGCGTGAAATGACATCCCATCCTTTGAGACCTAGATAAGCAGTGATAAAGACTCGCAGACTCGCTCGCACAGTCGAAACACTGTCATCGTGCTTGGTTTCCACAATCGCTTCGAATCGTCGTGGTGGAAGAGCTCGTTTCTGCACCGAAGGGGCGCGTGATGCGAGGTATTGGTGGAGGACTTCGTACTCTTTTGCGCTGATGGTATAGCGAAGCGCAGTGCGCGTGACAGGGTCCAAGTTCTGTCGGTTGATGCTTGATGCCGAAGAGGCTGCTGACGAAGATGGTGATTGCACCATCGTGTTCCGCGATCAAACTATATGCTTGGGCACTTCATCCAGGTCGACAGGAGGGTGACGGGGAGGTGCCGGATACATGTATTGACATACGGAAACAAGCTTCTGCTCCTAACATCACCGAAGGAGACGCGCCGGGGAAACAAGCCGAGGTTGACAACGATCCCACCCTTACCGACCTCCCTCAGGGGTACAACCATTTCTACGAAAGGAGAACTTCTCCGAGAAAGGCGAGCAATGTCACCCATGAATCGCAAAAGGCTCCAATCGTTGAGGAAACCGCTGCACGCCTTGCCGTTGTTATGCTATTGATCGCTGCTGCCAGTCACATGAAAGATGGCTGTCTGAGAATTATGTGATGCGCCCAGGCGCGCCATTTATGCTTTACAGTCCATGCTTGGCAATCTATGATGCCTGCATCATAGTCGCTGCCTGAAGCCTTCAAGAGACTTCTGTGTCATTCATCCACAAATTCCATCTTGCTCTCAGTCATTTCCCGCCCATGTCCATGGAGTCCGCGACTGTAAAACAGTCTGCCACCTCTCCGGCCTCCGGCGCTGTGCCCCTGTCGTGTACATTGTGTAGAAAACGTGAGTTGATCAGTCGAATTTGTTTATACACTCTTTTGACACAATCCAGGTAAGATCAAGTGTGACAAGCAGAATCCATGTTCGAACTGTGTATCATCGCAAAAAGAGTGTGTTCCGGTCGTTCGTGCCAGGTTGCCGCGTGGGAGAAATGGAGGTCGCAAAGGCATAAACACGGAACTACGAAATAGAATCAATCGCCTGGAAGGCCTTGTGCAATCTCTCAACTCTGGCTCGCTACCGGACAATGCGAATTATCAGTCCTCAGTTCCAAAAACGCGGACCAATAGCGAAACACAGGCATCAACTTTCTCTGGCCCATCAACCATCAAGCAACAAACATTAGACTCGCGCGAGGCTTCTCCAGACACAACAAGATTTCCATTGGGCTCGACGTTGTGGACTCGGTTGGCTCAAGAACTCGATGGACTCCAGACGGTACTTGACAACGAGGACGACGACGATGTTGACAACTATGAAGAAGTTGACTCTAGTCCGCCTTCTATGCCAACAGATAGCAGCGGTACTCCTAAAGACCTGCTTTTCACCTCACAGCTTGTCGAAACCCCCGCCGTTTCCGATGCACACATCGTCGAGTACCTCAAAATCTTCCGACGCAATGTTGATTATATCCTGAAGTTCGTCCACATACCTAGCTTCGAGAAGCTCTTGACAGCGAAGGAGCCGTATCTCGACCATTCTGCAGATAGCCCTGCCACTCAAGCACTGATGGCCAGCGCTTTCTATGCATGCATATGCAGCATCAGTAACTCACATTGCCTGAGTGCCTTCGACAGAAAAAAGGAAGACCTGAGGAATGAGTGGCAACATGTATCGTTTCAGTGTCTTTCAAAGGTTGAGATCGTCAAGAGGCCGAGCTTGGTGACCCTCCAGGCACTCTCAATATATATAGTAAGTCAGCAGCATACTACCGACTGGGACTTGGCTAACATACGGTCAGGCGGCGCTAAGGTCACATCAAGACGATCAGCAAAGTTGGATGTTGATATCCTTGGCGGTAAGAATGGCGCAAGCCCTACAACTGCACAGAGAGGAATCCTACAACAAGTTGTCATGGGGTCAAGCCGAGGTCCGCCGACGCACATGGTATACTTTAAAGGCGCTGGACTATCAAGCAGCTATGGATCGAGGAAGTGATCTGATGATTACGAACAATGGATGGACAACAAAGGCTCCTACGACTAACGTCGACTCGGATTTCCTGTTGGACTTACCTCCACCTCCGGCAAGCATCAGTCCTCAGCCGAACATGATGTTTTACACCATCCATTGCCACAGCAATTGGCTCCTGAGTTCATTGAACTGGGTTTTGCCTGGCGAAGCGGAGAAGGCCCCCACGCCGATACAGAGCGATTGGAAAGTGAGACAGGACGCCATTGCGGGTCTTCAGCGTAGGCTCGACGAGGACATCCTGGCGCGTATTCCGGAGGATGGTGTATTCCGCTACGCTTGCGTCAACTTTACAAAGGTCCTCGTTCGATGTGCCCAACTGTACGCAGTGCGACCACTACAGCGACATCCCGACTTGACTCTACCGCCGCCTGAGCATCTAAACATCTTACTCCTTGCCACGGAGGCACTCGAAGTCAAACGCGGCTTGCTGAGTGAGACCACAGAGCCATGGCACTGGGTCATTAAAGGCTTCGTAGACTGGCACGGTCTGGCTGTTCTGCTAGCAGAGTTGTGCAACCCTGACCAATACGACGCACAGCTTCTAGAGAGAGCATGGACTGTTGGCTTGATCTCGTTCGACGAACTTTCGGGCGAGATTGCCGAAGGCACCCAAGGGCCGTTGTGGCGACCGATAAAGAAGCTGATGCGAATCGCACAGAAAAAGCGCCTCGAAAGATCAACGAAATCGCCGGCTGTTGTTATGAATATGCCAGACCTTACTGGCAACTTCATGTACGACATGTCTGCATACACGACCCCTGCGATGAGCGCATTGGCTATGAACCCGGTCATTGATACCAGTCAAGGGTGGAACACGTCAACTCTCGATCCTCTGCAGACTTCGTGGTTCAATTGGCAGTCATTCACTGACGATTTAGCATTGGGCAACGGGTATGGCTGGGGNGCGATAGATTTTGATCCGGTCTTTGAGAATATGTGAGACTCGAGCCGTAATGTACTAGTATGCTGTATATCTCCACCTATATACACTCCTTTGGGATCTCGGCTTCTATCGTTGCTATGCGCGGTTTTCACAGTGACTGGTTGTATGCTGTGGAAGCGATTTCGCACATCTTCACATGCATAGAATTATGCACAAGCGCATAAATATCCGGCAGGCTGGAGGGCGACCCTGACGGTCTGTATAACGCCAAGTATCACGACTTCCATCGACCTGTTCGTCATGGCAGAAGTACTTAGAGATGTGTATGGATCAAACTCAGTAACATCCTCTATCTGTCTGTTGACTTCTTCGTGGTTTGCAACTCCTTGATTTGTCGTTGATTGGGAGAATATGTATAGCATGTCCCACCCACATTGCACAGCACCTTCCAGATGGAACACAAGAAAGCTAGAATTATAGAGGTAGAAACTGCGAACAGCGCTACATTAAAGCCATACTCTTATGTTCGTAACTGGCTATCATTACAGAGATCTGACGATTGCCCAACAGAGATCCAAGCTTGTAGTTGCTCTGATATACTGTTGTCGACACTGGGAGTGCTGGTTTGGGGTATCACCCTGACTCCATGCACAGATCATCAGGATGTGCGTGCGTCGCTCGAGGCATATCCAACTGCCCAATTCGGCAACTCATGCGAGCAATGCTCTAGTATACGAGATACGATCATGAACAAACATACGAGAGTCGAATGACAAAGTAAAAAGTTAGGCCGGGATAAAATAAGTCCATCTGTGCTTTTCTAGATTCCCTCTTCTAAGTCGGTGCTGCGTATACCTCCTCCAGCCAATTCATCTGTATAGCACTAACACTACGAGCATACGTCCTATTCGTGTACACGAATTCGTTATACAGAATAGCCTCAAGCTTCCTGCTATACAACACACTACTAGGATGAATAGCCACAGCCATATGCCCCTGAATTGTCCTGTAACTGCCATCAGGAACCAGTCTGGCCACATTGGCAGGGAAGCCGCGAAGGAAGCATTTCAGAATATTGTTGCCGGTGGACTCGGAGACGGTATCGAGATCGTCATCGGCAGCTGCCAGTTCCTCTTTCGTGATGAGTTTTGCTTGTTGACATTGTGCGCGGAGTTGTTTGCGGACGTCCATGACGTTTTGCATGGAGCGATGGGAAATTAGGTGTTGTTTCGCCCATTGCTTGCGATCGGTGCGCTCTGATGCGTATGCTTGTACAGCGCTGAGCAGAGTAAGGTGGTCTCCTTGGCGACGTGAGAGCTTGTTACGTGCTTCTCTGGCTTCGTCATTTGCGTCTTGATCCTTGATCTCGACGAAGATGTTTTCGGAATTGAAGCAGGCTACGATGTCGATCACGGGTAGTAGACATCCCATCTCAGGATCGGCGGCTGCGACGATTGTCCTGCCATGGGCTGGGGTTAGGGGCAGTCTTGCGATCTTGCGGCCCAAATCACTGATGTTCCCATCCTCGGGATTCAGCGCATCAAGCTGAAGGAGCAGCAGCAAAGCGCGCTCCATTGCCTCTCTCGACGGACGAGTCAAAAGCGGGAAGCTCATCACATCTTGAACACCTCTCGCTTTCATTGTAAGTACTGCGGAACTCAAATCGCATCGCAGAATCTCCGGAACAGCGTCCTTCTCCAATGCTTCGAAGTTTGGTTTTGTGTACAGGCGGATGCACTTTCCAGCAGCTTCTCTACCTGCACGACCTTGTCGCTGGATCGCAGAAGACTTTGAAATATCCTTGACGAGAAGCGAGTCCAGACCAAGACGATTACGGAACTGCTTGATCTTCGCCTTTCCACTATCAATGACGAACCGCACTCCGGGTACAGTGATGGATGTTTCGGCAATGTTGGTTGCCAGAATAACTTTACGTGTGTTCGGAGGAGCAGGTGAGAAGATAGCCTGTTGTTGAGCTTGGGAAAGAGCTGCGTATAATGGTAGCACAAGAAGTTTTGGTAGTCCAGAGTCTCTAGTGATGACATTTGGTATCATGTCTTCAATTGCTTGTTGAAGATTTGTGATTACATCTCCTCCAGTCAGGAAGACTAGAACATCTCCAGGCATAGGCTCCTTGCGATGAATCTGGAAAATTTGCAACAGAGCTGCTTCTGAGAAGTCTCGTGTCGGCTCGGAGAGGTACTCGGTTTGCACGGGATACATTCTGCCCTCCACAAAACATGTTGAAATCTTGCCTGAGCTAGAGGCAGATGGTACTTGCGGCTTCTCCACAGATGCATCATCCTTGTTCAAGCTCGTCGTATCGTTGACAGCGGGTATGTTGTCTTCAGCTCGAGGTTCGCCAAAGCCTTCGCTAAAGAAGTCCTTCAACTTCTCGGTGTCAGCTGTAGCACTCATGACAACTACCTTGAGAGGCTTTCCCTTTCGCTTCTTGGCAGCCTCACTAGTACCAGTGACGAGACCTCTCAGGAAACCTAGAAGTAAGTCTACGTTGACACTTCGCTCGTGAACTTCATCAACGACGACACAGCTGTATTCGACCAAGGCAGGGTCCCTCAACATCTCTTGCAGCAACATTCCCTCGGTGAGGAACTTGACTTTGTTGTTCTTGCCGACATTATCATCAAACCGCACGTTGTAACCAACTAGCGCCTGTGGGCTCTTTCCTAGAGGAGTGCCCATCTCTTCGGCGACACGGCGAGCAAGCGAGACAGCAGCGACACGACGAGGCTGAGTCACGGCGATTCGTCCAGTGCACCATGCAGAGGTATGGAGAAACTGGGGCACTTGAGTAGATTTACCACTACCAGTCTCACCAGCAAGGATCAGGACGTGATTTTCGAGGAGCGCATTGCGGATATTGGCAGCCTGCGACCAGATGGGCAGACTTTGGCGCACTTCGAGTAGATTCTTCTGTCGAGCGGCCAGTGGATTTTGCGGTCGGTTGTCTCTATACTCCTGCTTTTGCGACTCAACATTTGGCCCCTCGTCATCTTGTGCTCCGTTGGCGACCGTCTTCTGCGACTCGGCAATCTGCAGGTTCTTGAACTTGGGCTTCTCTGCCTTTTGCGACTTGCCGAGAAGCTGATTCTTTGCTTTGGACTGTGCCTTTAGTGACTCTGCAATTTGCAAGTTCTTGTATACTGGCTTTTTTGGTGCATCCTTCAGTGATTCGGCGAGTTGTAGGTTCTTGTATATTTGCGGAGGCTTGTCGCTTTGTACCTTCTTCTTGTTGCTGACGTCCTTCTCTTCTCTCTTGCGTTTCTGCCCGTGCGGCACACCTGCTTCATTTGTTGCGCTCATCTCGTCCGTTGCGGCGAGATATTGATTCTGAAGTTGTACCTGACAATCGCGATCTACCTAGATGGTCAAAGTTCCTGAAATTTCCCAAAATTTGTCAATAATCGACCTCGGCGTCATCTGCCAAGACCCATGCCAGCCCACGGCCAGCCTCCTCGCTGGCAGCCGCCAGAGAAATAAACGCGTCCAGGGTCTTCCATCGTCTCTTCGAACCTTCCTCTTTTGACCGCTGTCTCGCTTCGGCTGGGCTCGAAGCTTATAGCAGCCGCTGACGCGTCGCATCCTATCCTGATCGACTTTTGGGAGTCCTCCTCTCTTTCTTACGGCACGACCAACTTCCGACCGTCGTCGTCCCCGCACTTGTTCTGCCGTGTCCCAGCTAGCTCGATGGAAGTTGATCTTGATCTGGTCCCTACTCGTGTACCGGGCTCCACCTGACATCTTGGAAATGCTCGGAATCAGCAAACAACTGAGACCTCTCCAATAGTCGAGCTTGATATTTCTCAAAGGTTCTGAGCACATGCAGATGTCTCACTGTCCTTCAAGCTGAAGCAAGGAGTCATGAACTCGATCATACTATGCTGAGGGCTGGCAAATGTTCCTTCGATGTCCCTTCGATGTCCCTTGGCCGATGTGAGGGGTATATCCATATGGCTTCATGTCAGTGCCGAGGACCACACACTAAGCCACGCTCTCTCGCTTCGTAGTGTCTTTCGTAAGTCGTATCGAATATGAGCTCACGATTCAAACTCCGGAGCCCTCGGGTAAGCGGTATATAAGAGCTCAGCTCTCTGCCCACCTCTTTTGCTGTTCGTTCGTGTCGTTGTAGCTTTCGTTCGGTCAATTGAATCAGAATCGCAGAGTCTTGATCAAACATGGGTTCCATCTCTCATTTGACAGCAGCAGCAGTGCTTGCATTGTCAGCAACAGTGTCTGCTCAAAACTCGAGCTCGTGTGCTTCAATGCCAATCGTCGACCTTGGATATGCTCGTCAGCAAGCTACCTCATACAACGTGAGTCGAATACTCCTGCCTTTCTGAAACATAGGTTATTGACCTTGCACAAGGCAACCGGTGGATACTACTCTTTCTCCAATATTCGTTATGCAGCTCCCCCAGTCGGTGACCTTCGCTTTGCCGCTCCTCAAGCTCCTGCCGTAAACCGAAGCCAAGTTCAAACTGGAAGCGATAGCCGTACCTGCCCTCAGGCAAGCCCAGCGTGGGAAGCAATTGCTGCACAATTCATTCCTGCGTACCTGTTTGGAAAAACAAACTTCACCATGTCAGATTTCAACTTGACCACTTCAAGCAGTGCAGCTGCAGCAGACCCAAGTGAAAATGAGGACTGTCTGTTCCTTGATGTAGTGGTGCCGGAAGCCATTTTCAACTCCAACAAGCAACACCCAGTTCTGGTCTGGATCTACGGAGGAGGCTACACCGCTGGTTCCAAGACTGGCTCCGGAAGTCCCGCTGGTCTACTCGAGCGATCTCAAAATGACAATTCAAGTGGTGTCATCTACGTCGCCATGAACTATCGTCTCGGCGCCATGGGATGGCTGTCGGGGCCTACTTTCCAGGAAAACGCAACAGCGAACGCTGGTCTGCACGACCAGCGATTCGCCCTTGAATGGGTTCAGCAGAACATTCATCTGTTTGGAGGTATATCAGAAGATGTTTGTCATTGAAGCTTGAATTTTGTCTGACTTTAAAACAGGCGACCCTAAGAACGTGACAGTCTTTGGTGAGAGTGCGGGTGGTGGTTCGATTATGCACCAAATTACTGTAAGTACTATGCTACTCAATCCTAGACACATCCGTGATCTTATTCTGACTGTCATCTAGGCTTACGGCGGTCTCAAAGGACCTGCACCGTTCGCAGGCGCTGTGCCCCAATCTCCTGGATTTTTCCCTGTTGTCTCTCCAGCAGCTCAGGAAGGTGTCTACAATGACTTCCTTGCCCTACTGAATGTATCCAGCTTGGCTGAGGCACGTCAACTGCCTTCATCTGCCATCATTGCCGCAAACGCAAAACAGGTCGCTGGAGCACCTTACGGCCAATTTGTTTACGGACCTACCGTGGACGGCGACTTTGTGCCTGCTCTTCCAGGTCAACTGCTTGCTCGTGGCCAGTTCGACAAGAATGTATCCATGATGACCGGCCATAATACAAACGAAGGCCTTCTGTTCACCTCGCCCTTCATCAACAACAACTCGGCACTAAACGAATTCTTAACAATGGGCTTCCCTGCACTTAGCTACATGCCCGAGACCTTGAAATATATCACCGAGACTCTGTACCCACCAATCTTCGATGGTAGCCAGGCTCAAAACTACACCAACCAGATCGGTCGCGTGGAAGCGATTTTGTCCGAGGCAGTCTTCACTTGCAACGCTGTCTGGCTCAACAAGGCTTACAACAACGAAACTCACGCCTACCTCTTCAACGTACCTCCTTCTCTTCACGGTCAAGATATCGCGTACACCTACTATAATGGTAACGGCAGCGCAACAGCTGGAACTGGAGGAACAAGTCTGGGTGTCCAGAACGCGCCTGTTGCTCTTGCCATGCAAGAGTACATTACCGAGTTTGCAAAGACTGGAAACCCCAACGTGAGAGGTGCACCATTCTTCCCCATGTATGGAAGCAATGCAACCGTCCAGGCTCTAGGACCAAGAACTATTGCCCCCATGAGAGATCCTGCTGCCAGTGCGAGATGCGCTTGGTGGCAAAAGGGCTTATTCTACTGATGACTCTTGGAAGGAAAGTTGTACGTCAATAGTGGCCCAGGCTGTCGTACATAAACTATATTCTAATAGTAATTTCTACCATCTCTTGAAGTGTTGTCAATCTGGCTCTTCAAGTATCATCGAGCGTAGGCTTAGCGTATGCAGCGATTTTGCTTGACGAAGCAGGAATCCAGTCAGAACATCTTCTGAGACGTAGATCGATTCAAGCGTACATACTTTCAAGCCCTCCACCTGGAGTTCTGCCAGAATACCATCGACGTGGTAGGTTGATTCGGATCGAAGACATAACGTCTTCAGGAGATGGGTAGCCTTCAGGATATTTTGAAAGGTCGTGGTCAATGGTTTAGTGAGTGAGATGTGTAGGTGCTGTAAGTTCTCCAGTATCTGCTGATGTTCGGTGCTTTGAGTGGTCCACGCGTGCAAATTGATGTGGTGAATTGATAATGTGGCAATTGAATAGCGCCCGGCAATCTCGGCCGCGTTCATGATGCCATTGAATGTCAAAGCCGAATGGTGGTGGTTGCTCGCTCGGGCGAAGCTAGGTTGACCCGACTAAACAACTTGTATTTTCTCCTACTGCCTTCACTTCTCTTTCCATGCTCAGAAGTGAGGATAATGCTTTGCGGCCTTGGGCAATCGGTAAAAGCCAACTCAAGTGTATTACTCAGCATGATCGATCCCTTCCCGACCTGGTACGACTGGATATCGTAATGTGTTTGCCGAGGGGCTAGGATCTCTTGTTCTGAGAATTTGGCATCACTAAACGCGTCCCAGAGCTTCCTTGACGCATCACATAGCATCTCATGTGAAACCACTTGATTGGGATGGGCCGGCATGAAATCTGCCCAATGGGGAATGTGCCAATCATCGGGCAGATGGAGGAGCCAGTGGTCAAGGCTGCTGAAGACTCGAATAGGTGTAGGATGTATCTGCTGAACTTCGGATGTACCAGTAGCGTCCGAGCTCCGAAGTAATTATCAGGATGATTGAATATGAACAGTCTTGGAACGAAGTGCAGTGTCGCAGCAGACTCGGACTCCTTGGAGACAAGCCGGACTGGTTGGAGATGATGCGGGCTGAGGAAAGAGCAGAAATGCTGCTCGAGCTCAAGCGGTATTTTCTCCATGGACGAGAAGACTGTCCGCGCTGAATCGAAGATGGATCAGATGAAGCGATCTTCGAATACGTGATTGGGTTGAGGCTGGATGGATTGAGCCAAGAGGTATACGCATTTGCGGGTTACGGAAGTCTGAGATTTGACATCGAGGGCGCTCGATAGGAGGAAGTGACGGGCGCTTCATTGCCCCTGCCCTTCTGTTCGCCAGATTCTGCCATGCACATGATCGTGCCGAAGATGAGTCGAAGGCGCTGGTTCACAACTCACTTGTCACTCTGATTTGTCTTTCAAGGGAATGATTCAGTGCAGCAAGGAGCCGGAGTTTCTCGCGGCATCTATTTGGCACATTACGTCCTGGACTGCACAGAGACTGGTGTTTAGTTAGGGAAACCCAGCTCTCGCCATCTTCCTAGCTCTTCCGTCCCTTCTGTTCGACCCACGTGCTTCTTTTCGTTGTCTTGCAGCTTGCGTGTTGCTTTCGCTCGGAGGCCCTGCAGGATTGCCTCCACCTCTGCCACCTCTGCCACCTCTGCCTCGTCCTCTTCCTCCTCGACCGCGACCACCTCTACCCCCTCTTCCGCCATCCCCATTGTCTGAGTCCTCCGTGGCTTCACTGTCTCTGTAGGATGTCCTCTCCAGCTCCGGTTGCGCGCCACTGAAGGCAGAATACCTCGCCTCCAATCGTCTCAGACGTCTCGGATCACGACCGAGCATGACTGCCCAGCCTTCAATAGCCTCATCCTGCAGTTTGGTTTCGTTCTTGAGGGCTAGTCGAGCAGAGCTACGACGTACATCTGACGTACGCTCGAAAACTCCTTTGTCCATTCGCCATACGCGGAACAGTGCTTCTTCGCTCTCACCCTGGTTTCCTGTGTCCGTATCTCTTGAGTCTTCTCCATCCGGCCTAGCGGAGTCAACGTAGCCTCCCACATCAGCTTCATCGTATGTGTCGTCGCGTTCATCGTCGTCTGAGTCAAAGGCAGCCAACGCAGAAAGAATAGCGCTCTTGGCTGGTGCGGCGCTTCTGTCTTCCAACATAGTGTCCGCTGTGAGTTTCGCGTTTTTCCGTCCAAGATGTAGGCGTGAAGCATCCACCTCGAGTCTGTCAAACTCATCATCATCGAACACGTTGCGACGTTGCGGAGGTGGTGTGCTGCGCGGTACCAGGTGTTCAATCTTCTCTTGTTCTGTGAGTTGAGGGTCTGCTCTCGGAGAAGACAATTCTTCGGATCGATCAAGAGAAAGGAGGTGATCTGGCAGCGAATCATCTAGCAGGTGAGCAGTCACTTGCTCTACGTCTTCGTGATATTCGTCCAACAACCTGGCGACAAAACCTGAGCCAAGGTCTGGGAAGAGATCTTGGATTTGAGATATCAGGCTCATTCGATGAACATGATGCTCCCCCGAGAACGTGCCATGACCAAATTCATCCCCGGTCGCCTTTCCCTTTCCTTTGTTCGCCTTTCGTACTCGTTTGGGCCGCGAGATTGAGGGCGATTTGAATGCTGAAAGAGCATTCGCCAGGTTTTGTGCTCTTTCCGCGTTCTTTCCAGTAATGCTTGACCTCAACTTAGAGAGCAAAGAAGTATTTGTGACCAAATCTGCTAGGAGGGATGCTTGAGAGCCACCGGCTTGGTTCTTCAAGCCATAGAGATGGTCGAATAGAAGAGAATGGTTGGGTTTGTCGCCCTTTGTAAGAGAAAGAAGACCATAATATAGGATCGAGACAAAAGACTTGCGAAGCTCAGGGGAGCTCTGAGAGTATGCCGATGACATAGCATCCACAAGTTCAGAACTTGTCAAAATGATCGCACCAGCCTCATGAGAAGAGAAAAGGAGAGGAGCAATGCGTTTCACATCAGTCTCCGCTGCGTCAGGCCTTGATGACTCCAACTGCTTGATCGTCGGTGACAGGAAGTTCTGCAAGGACTGATCGAGATCAGGGTGCCTTGTCCGCCAGAGCTTCTGTAAAAGCAAGTCCAGACTTTGCGTCTTCATGTAAACATGGCTGAAGTCAGAAAGGAAATCCCATTGGAGTAGACGAGCTGGGGGTGCAGAAGTGGTCAAGAGGATCCTGTGAGTGAGAATAAAGCAAGTCCTTCGCAGATTACGCTCTTTCCCCTGACCATGTCCATGCTGTTGGCGTTCTTGCGCTGACACCTGGTAATATGATGTGAGAAAGGGGACCAAAGACTGTTCATTACGGGCTGCAGATTCGAATTCTGATTTTTCGAGACGCAAGTAGAGGGCTGACAGTGACAACCAGGCATCAAGACACGCTTCCCATTCTTCTGATACCAGGTCCTTGCGAACTGCTGCTGGTGGATATGAAGCAAGTGATGGCAAACTCATTGGAAGTCCTGGTATGATGGTCCTAGAACACAGACAGTGAAGGGTATCCCGGTCCGTCCAAGGCGGAAATTGTCGTGAGTGAAAGAGCGTGAAACGTGCAAGCAAGTCAACAAAAAGTTGAGACCGTGAGAGTTGATGACGATGGCAGTAAGTCCAAATCTGGTCCAAGCTCTATTACGGTCGACCTTTTAGGAAAGCGCGGTCTTGGCACTCGCGTTCCACCCCCACAGAACTTTCCAATGTGCAAAATCGGATTTCCTCTTCGATCACCATCTAAAAAGGCCAATCATCACTTAGCCGTGGACATTCTGCCCGAGTCTTGATTGCCATATCTGTCTTTTCTTTTGACCAGGTGAGAACATGTCACTGTGACCGGCGACACTTTGCGACATTCGACTAACAAGCTGCGACAGCACCAATCCATCACCAAAAATGTCGTTCCAGGACCCCAAGAAGACCGGCCAGGCCGATGCCCCCAAGATCCACAAGATCCGCATCACCCTTACCTCTCGCAAGGTTCAGTCCCTCGAGAAGGTCTGTACCGAGCTCATCGACCGCGCAAAGTCGAAGGATCTCCGTGTCAAGGGCCCCGTCCGCCTCCCCACCAAGAACCTCAAGATCACTACCCGTAAGACCCCTAACGGTGAGGGTTCCAAGACTTGGGACACCTTCGAGATGAGAATCCACAAGCGTCTCATCGAGTGAGTTCCATCCTTGCAGCACGAACGCCTTTGGATTGCACACTGACAAAGTCTCCAGCCTTAACGCCCCCACCGAGGTCGTCAAGCAGATCATCATCAACATCGAGGCCGGTGTTGAGGTTGAGGTCACCATTGCCGCTTAAATGCGTTGATGCTGTGTCACAACATAGTACCAGTCCCATCCGGCGCATAGTCAGGAGTCAAGTAAATACTGGGCTGTCCCTAGCGAACAAAATACAAGACGGTCAAAAACATTGCCAGCTATACCGTGTGTCGTGATATGTGTTTTGCCATTATGATCGTCTACCTGACTGCCTGCAACTGCATACCCAGCAAGCAGATGCATCCATGCAGAAAGTCCATTCTCCTATTCCCATGCTACTACTCTAGTGTACACAAAAGGGCCTAGATGGCCCGTAACATCATAGCTTACTTGTAGAAGTCGAACTTGTCGGCCTCTGATGCGCCCTTGACCTGGCTAGTGTAGGCGTCTTCGAGATCTTGCTGGATAATGTTGTAGCGGTTCTTTCTGACTGCTCTCAAGCCAGCCTCCTGCATGATGGCAGCGATGACGGCGCCACTGAGAGGGTCGTTGCGAACAATCAGACTGTCGAGATCGACTTCGGGGCTCAAGCTCATCTTGCTGGCGATGGTGCTGAAGATGAGTCTACGCTCACGTCTGTCGCGGAGGTTGGGGAATTCAATCTTTCTGTCCAGACGACCGGGACGGAGAAGGGCGGGATCCAGAGTATCGGCACGGTTGGTGGCCATGATGACCTTGACGTTGCTGGTCTGATCAAATCCATCCATCTGATTAAGCAGCTCAAGCAGAATACGCTGGACTTCTCTGTCCGCACCTGTTTGGGCATCGAAACGCTTTGTGGCAATGGCATCGATCTCATCGATGAAGATGATGCAAGGACTGTTCTCACGCGCCATGCGGAAGACATCTCTGACCATGCGAGGACCCTCACCAAGGTACTTCTGGACGAACTCGGAACCGACGACTCTGATGAAGGATGCGGTGGTACTGTTGGCGACAGCCTTTACCAGCATAGTCTTTCCAGTACCAGGGGGACCGTAGAGTAGAACACCGCGAGGAGGATCAATACCGATCTGGTGGTATAGGTCGAAATGTGTAAGAGGCAGCTCAACAGCTTCTCTGATCTCTTGCTTCTGCATGTCCAAACCTCCAACATCAGCGTAGGAAATATCCGGCTTCTCGTCTGCACCAAGCATGGCGATGGAAGAGTCTGCCTCTGGGGGAAGGATGTCGACGAGAGAGTTTGAGTGGCGGTGGAGAGCAACGGATGATGAGGGCTTGAGGAGTTCACGGTCGAGCGTTGAAAGAATGCGCACGACATAGTTGGACCCAGTCGAAGATTGTACGATGCCGGTGCTGGAAGTGGTTAGCTGGTGTTATTCTGTCTGAGACTGGTGGTGCGTACTTCTGATCGATGGCCTCCATGAATTGGCCGATGACGAGCGGCACACTCTGTATCCTCTTGATCTCCTCCTGTGCACGCACAAGCTCTCTCTTCAACGATCTTTGCTCATCCTTGATGTACTCTTCTTGCAGCTTGATGTACCTGACTAGCATTAGCTTAAGTGCAAACGCAAGGAGAGCTCAGAACGCACTCAAGCTGTCTCTGGAGTTTCTTGAATGTGGAATACTGGTCGTCAGAGTCCGCGCCGATGCCTTCCAGCGATTCGATGTTTGGGATGGATGACGAGAGCTGTTTCTTGTGCGGCGGCACTGTGTTTGCGTACGAGTCGACTGCGACGTCGGCCATGATGAGCTACTGTTTTGCTGTATACGTGATTCGGTACTGGAAGAGCGTCAAGACAAGGCGGAAGAGGCGATGGACGATGAAAGGATGCAAAGACGCAGCGAGTTGATGGTTTGTCACTTGCCTCAGCGACGTTCACATTGCTATCATCGTCACAACGGAGCTTACAACCTCCGACATGCATCCATGCTTGGCTCCTATCACGTGAGGACGCCAGCCAAATCTTGCCCTAGGGAAGGAACTAGGGCATTAGCCTCGACCTGCCTCCTCACTCGTCCATCGCGATTTCGCAGCAAACAAGAGCCTCTTGGGGTTCAGGCAAAGGCGTTGTCGCATCGTGGGAGATCTGGGAAGACACGCCACATCTGGGATTCCGAAGATCACGTTCCAACCTTCATGATGGACTTTCGATCATGGCCTTTGCATGTTGGATAGCTTGGCGAATGCCATCCGCCTACCTAATCTAGATAAGAGCGCGCTATACGAAGAGACAGTCAAGCAGCAGTCGAGCTACAGAAACATACGATCACCCTATTTAAATAGCCAAGAGCACCATCAGAATCTGGAGAGAAAGGAGGCCCCGCGTGCGAGAAAATTAATTGGGAATTGAGCCGCATCCGTTATGGCAATTGGCAGATGGGATTGAAACAGGTCAAACGGAGCCCCCTCCAGTGCTCCCGAGGCAACTTTGCGGGTTGGGTACTTGCAGCAGCTACTTTGGTTGTCGCTAAAAGTCGACTCCTTTCCCAAGCATGTAGTTCTCAGTCGGGTAGATGAGAAGGAGGATTCGGCAAGTGAATTTGGCCCTCGTGCAGCAACAATTCGCATGTAAAACCCAGCTTTCCGGTGCAAGTGCAGATCCGTGTCTGCCGGAACCAACCAAGCACCTAGGGGCGAGCGGTCGCACAAAAACAAATACCATCTTGCAGCCCTCGAGCTTGAAGGTGTCAGCTCGAACAGAAATAGTTGCCCTGCATAGCATCAGATTTTAAAGGAAGTCTGCAAGACACAGCGGCAGCAGGAGAGGCATCTTATATGACAACATAGTTGGACTAGCATCGTTGTCTGTGCGTAGCCACGACTTCGAACGTCTTGGTTCTTTCCACTCTTAGATTTGCTACACGAACCGTCGAGTCAAAGTCATCGCACGCCGCCTGTCCCATTCCCTCGGGATTCTTGCGAAACCCGACAATTGCCAGTCGGCCACATCTAAGCGACTCGCGACAGACGCGAAAACGCCCCTCGGCTGGCTCGCCTCGACCCCTCGACGTTCTTGACCGCGCCCGCGCGCAAAGCCCCAACTCGCTGGTGCCGCGACCTCGACACCACAGGCACCGGATGCCCTCCCGGACCCGTCAACTATGAGCGGCTACAATCTTTATGCCTCAGGGCATGGCCACCAAGGCGATGGCATGCAGCAGATGGAAATGTCGGCCAATGCACAAATGATGGGCCAAGGAGCCTCGATGGACGCCATGGCGGGACACTCCCTCGACGACATTGTCAGCCAAAATGCAAAACTCATGCGAAGACAAAGCATGCCTCAAAGCTTCCACTCGGCACAGCAGCAGCAACAGCAACAACAACAGCAGCAGCAGCAGCAAGCACAGGCGCAACCACAGCAGGCGCAGCCCATGGACACCGACGACCCAAGACGCATGTCTATGATGGAGTTTACCGGCACTTCGCCCACTGGTCCTCTGGAAGCATACCAATTCAGCCTTCAGAACCCGGACATGGTCGACGCCACAGCCTTCATGGCCGCGAGCCAATCTCACTCTCACCCGACGCTACAACGCAGACAATCTTCCACTGGCGGCGTCGGCGGCGGCGGAGACATGGCTCTCGACAATGGCTTTGCCCCGACGTCGTCCTTCATGCCCATGATGCCTCCCACTTCATCCTACCAATCGCCCGCAAACCTCTCGAATATGGACATGGACCTCAACAGCCCCTACATCAACACTCCTATGCACATGTCATCCCTCGGTTACAACAGTCCGAATATTGAACGTCAGATGCCCATGTACAGTCACAACTCCTACCATGGCATGATGAACTCCCCGCTCAACACTTCCGTACCCAACCACATGTACGCCCAATCTCCCGACGCTGGCGGAAACCCTAATCCTCCCAAAAGGCCATCCCTTGAGAACTCGCATAGCAGATCTTCAAACAGTCAGACCATGCAACCCTCACATCGGCACTCACGCCAGCCTACACCACAGCGACAGAACAGCAGCCGCCCCCAACAACCGCAAAGGCAGCCCTCTGGCTTTCCTGCGCAACCGCAAAATCCTCAGCCCGGTTCGCGTCAGGACGTAGGCATGGATCGAGGTCGACATGGAGATTCAGGAGTAGGTCCTCAACCTGATGCTTCAAGGTATAATCCAAATAACCAGAACTTCAATTGGCCCACACCTGAAGGTACGTTCTAATCCGAAATGCAATGTGGATCGATTCGAAGCTAATTCATATGCAGGTGGATGGCCATCCACAATGACTGGTAAACCTCATATGCATTCCCAATACAAAAATGCCTACTCTTCGACAGGTTTTGATATGCTTGGTGTCTTGGTAAGTCCCTCGCTTCTTCACATGGTTGTGTTCTGAGACTGACGCCCAAAAAGATGCGCGTCGCCACTCGATCGAATCCGGAGATTAACATAGGATCTGTTGACCTGTCGTGCGCTTTCGTCGTATGCGATGCAGAGAAGGACGATTTTGCAATCGTGTATTGCTCAGACAACTTCGAGCGACTCACTGGCTACACTAGGCATATGATTCTTGGTCGAAATTGCAGATTCCTGCAGTCACCGGACGGAAATGTCGAGGCTGGAGTGCGGCGCAAATATGTCGACGACGATTCAGTGCTTTACCTCAAAAACATGATCAACCTTCGACGAGAAGCACAGATATCTCTCATCAACTACCGACGAGGCGGCCAGCCCTTCATGAACCTACTAACAATGATCCCGATCTCATGGGACACTGATCAGGTCAAATTCTTTGTTGGCTTCCAGGTTGATCTAGTGGAGCAACCGAATGCTGTCACTGACAGAAATCCCGATGGCACCTATTCTATCAATTATCAAAGAGGCATGACCATGCCGCGATACGTCATGAACGCACCCGAGTCGACCGCCCACAGAGGAGAGCTTGGCCAAACGATACCGAGAGACGACGTTTCTGCTATCCTCAGCACAATAGGAAGTGGAGAGTCTGAATTCGCCAAACGGATGTGGGACAAGGTGCTTCTCGAAAACACAGACGACGTTATCCACGTTTTGTCTCTCAAGGGCCTATTCCAGTGGATCTCGCCCTCAGCATCAAGGGTACTCGAGTACGAGCCCGGAGAGATTATCGGCACGGCACTGTCATCAATCTGTCATCCTAGTGATATCGTACCGGTCACGAGAGACCTCAAGGACACTTCTACTGGAGCCTCAGTCAACGTTGTCTTCCGTATACGAAGGAAGAATAGTGGTTACATGTGGTTCGAAGGCCACGGATCGCTGCATACCGAGCAGGGCAAGGGCCGCAAATCCATCATCATGGTCGGAAGAGAACGACCAGTTTATGCACTCAGCAGAAACGAGCTGACTGGAAACAATGGTGTTGGTGAGAACGAACTCTGGACCAAGATGTCGACCTCAGGCATGTTCCTGTTCGTGTCATCGAATGTCAGACAGCTACTCGACCGCCAGCCAGACGAGCTTGTGGGTGTGAGCATCCAGTCTCTTATGAGAGCCGATTCCAAAGCGGAGTTCGGACGTGTTTTAGAGCATGCACGTACCGGCAAGAAAGCATCTGTCAGACACGAGATGATCAACCGCCGCGGACACGTCCTCCAATCGTTCACGACACTTTACCCTGGTGATGCTTCAGAAGGCCAGAAGCCTACATTCATCGTTGCACAAACACGTCTCGTCAAGCATCAAAGAGGCAATTCATCATCACGACCGGCTTTGAGTCAACGCGGGTCGGAGTCTGTGATATCAGGCAGATTCACGCCTGCCACGCCGATGCTTATGGGCGATAATACACCACAGTCACTGACCCAATATCAATCTACAGATGGCGCGGCCCCTACGTACGCAGGACAGAATGGACTTCTGCTCGGCCGCCAGGACGGTGCATTGGCTTCAGAAGATAATCTGTTCGATGAGCTAAAGACCACCAAGTCATCATCATGGCAGTATGAGATTAGACAACTGGAGAAGAAAAACCGTATGCTAGCGGAGGAAGTGCAGTCCTTGATGGCTTCGAAGAAGAAGCGAAAGAGAAGAAAGGGAGCTGGACAGATGCAGAAGGACTGTGCCAATTGTCATACCAAAGTCACACCGGAGTGGAGGAGAGGCCCAAGCGGACAACGAGATCTTTGCAACAGCTGTGGTCTGAGATGGGCCAAGCTGGTGAGTCAATCGGCAACAAATTCACGAGCAAGTGCGGATGGTTAACGACTCGAACAGAACGGCAGAGTATCACCTCGCACCAATTCACAGCACTCTGTGCACTCGACAACGTCTGAAAAGGCTTCGAAGAAGTCCAGGTCTCCGGCGCAGATACCTGGTGGTCATGTTAAACTTGAAGCAAGTACGCCTCATCAGCCGTCACTTGATGCACTTGCACAAAATGGCCAGAGCATGGGTGCTGCAAGCGGATACGTCAGCGTCACTTCTCCTCAACAACACCACGGACCCACTGGGCACTCGGCAAATATGGAAGGTGCCAGCAGAGTGCCCGAAAAGATTGAAGAAGAATGACAAACTGCAACTGCCCGACAGTTCTTCTTACCTCCGCACTCAGTCCCCGGTTTCAGTCTGATCTCCATCGCTCCACGCTAAGCTCGCTCACCTTCGCCCCGGCTTTTCATTTTTACTGTGTGTTTCAAGCTCGCCTCGTCTCATCACGATACCCTATTTTCCTCCTTCAGTTTCTCTTTTCTCGCAAGCACCCTTTCTTCACCCTTTCCATCGATACGTTCAGTCGACCCCAAAGATCTACAGATGGTGTTGGAGGATCAATCATTTTTGCTATCTCTTTCTCTCTCATCCTCGTCGACATCATCGTCGACATCATCGTCGACATATATTCTTCAACTAAACCTCATCTAGTACGATTTGTGCCCTTGATTTCCCGAGTTTTCCTCTTTGATATTCTCCGACGCGCGCAGCAACTGAGACGAAAGAATTTTTATTTTCACGAACACGAACTCTGCTGCTCGATTTCTTCTTTTTCTTTTCTTTCTACTTGTTCAAATTCTTTGTCAAGAGCCCCAGATGCACAACACCAACTACTTATCCTCTGCTTTTCGCTATATGCACGTACACGAGTCAGAAATTCCTGTATATATGGAATGGGGTTGGGTTCTTTTGGGAAATTTGAAGCCTTCTTCTTCGATCTATGTTTTCTTCTCCTGTGCTACAGTGACTAGATGTCCTTGATGTGTGCTAAGCCTTCAATCTTTCTACTTGGATTCTCATGCAGCCATGTGACCTTACATCATCCTAATCTTCTTACGCTCCTGGTGCTTCACGACACATAGCAAGTACAAATGATGGTCATTTGACAGAGGAAGAATAATGCTGGTGGTGGGACATGATGTGTTGACCTCTCAGAAAAAAGAAAATATATTGTTTTCTACAATAGAACAAAGAAAAGGAAAATGCAACAATCGCTGGGCGAAATATTTACTGGTCGTCGAGAACGTGGAGGTACTTCTTCTCCTCTCTCTTCTCACGCTCGGTCATGGGAGGCAAGTCGTAGTAGGATGAGCTACGGTATGCTTGCTGCAGAGGTTATTAGCGCCGTTAGAATTAAGAGGCGTAAAAAGCAGCAACTTACGAGGTAGTGGTATGTGAAGTTGGCAAGGTCAGTGGGCTCGATACCCAAATCCTTGAAAGTCTTTGCGTTAGGGTCGATGGTCTGGTCGATAAATTCACGGGCGACCGAGTCCTTGCTCATGGTAGAGAACCAGACGAGCTTGTTCATCAACTGTGCAATAGGAGTCATGATTTGGCGAGGGATGTTGATGTGACGTCTGCTCTTGAGAATCTCACGCTCGACGAGCTCCTTGATCTCGGCCATCTGGTATTGCTTGGGTCCGTAAAGCTCGTAGGTCTCGCCAGCGGTGGAGTCATCGTGGCACATCTTCTCGAGGGCCTCACCGACGTCGATAGCATGGACAGGCCAGAAGCGTTCCTCAAGGTTGTTTGATGTGAGAAGGTTTGAAGACTTTGCGAGGCGATGAAGCAGACGGTCCTCGAAGCCGAACAGAGGAGCAGGACGGACGATGGTTGTCTCTGGGAAGATGTTGCGGACAGCCTCCTCACCACGAGCCTTTGTGCGGTAGAACTCCGAGGGCGAGTCTTTGGAGACGGAGTGCGAGGAGACGTGAACAAAACGGTCAACATCGTACTTGGCGACGGCATCGGCGATACGGGTGGCACCCTCGACGTGGACATCCTCGAGGTCGAAGTTCTTGGTGGGATAGTCGCGACCGATCAAGTTGTAGACAATGTCGGAGTGGCGGACTGCCTCCTCGATCGAGGCAGTGTTACGGAGATCGCCTTCCTTTGGTGTTTGTCAGTCCATGTCGATGCAAGAGTATCGATGTAGAATGGGCGTACAAGGAAGACAACACGACCCAGGTCGCCGGAGACCTTGAGATGGCGCTTGGCCATCTCCTCACGGAAGGGGACGACAACGGTGCATCCGGCACGAGCTAGGAGCTGAGTTTAGCATTGGGGCAGTCGCAATTGGGTCGAGAGAGCGTGTACCGAGTCTGTTGACAATGTAGCGACCGAGGAAACCAGTGGCTCCGAAGACGGTAGCGGTATGACCTTGCGGGGAGTTAATCGAGGTAGTTCGTTTAGGGTGTTCAATTCGGCCAGGACAAACCTCCAAGAGAGGATCTATTGACACGTAGGGTCAGCAAGGAATTGACAGACGTGGGGACTTGACGAGTCGTACCTTCCACCGGAGATTCTGATGATGGGCTTGCCGGTTCTGGTGATGGCAATGTCCTGAAGGTTGCGCGACTGGACGCGCGACACCGGGGCCTTTGCGAGTTGGGTGCCGGATCTGGCGAGCTGCCTTTGCAGAGCCATGCTGCTCGCGATCTGGCTCATCTTTGCGTATGCTAGGGTATATATCGATTGTACGTCCCGAATGGTCAGCAATGCGAGGTACAGCCAAGCAAGTCCGCTCGGAGACTTCCGCGACTTCCTGTTCCCAAACGCTGCGCCGGCGGAAGGCGCTCGGACCTGTGATAGACAGCGTCACTTGTGAGCACCTTCCAGTTGCGTGAGCTTCAGACGAAGCAGAGCAATCATCCATCCGACATCCCGACTTTCATCAACACGATTCAACGCTTTCCGCGATCCCCCCGAAATCCTCTCGCTCTCGCTTCCTCTACAAGATCTCTCTCACAAACATGGAAATCGATACAATCCCCAACCTGCTGGCGGACCAGCGTGACGCCGCCCCCGAAGAGGTCCAGCACTACTTTCTCCAGTTCGAAGACCTATGGGAGCGCAAGCTTTGGCACGAGCTTACCAACGATCTCGTGCTGTACTTCCAAGACGCCCACAGTCAGAAGCAACGTTTGCCTCTGTACAACCACTTCATTAAGACTTTCGCCGAGAAGATCAACCAACTACAGCTCGTCACTCTCGGTCTGAGTACCGCCTCGCAATGCAAAGGTAGCTATCTCACCTGTCGCACTTGACTCTCGCGCTCCGTGCTGACCCATCAGACGACGATGAGCGTGTTAAGTTTCTTGCCAACCTCGCTTCGGGCGTCGACAAGCCCGCATCACAGGACGCTTTCGTCTACGCAAAGACCGCTGTAGCAAACGTCGAGCTGCGCCTGAAGAAGTACGAAGAAGCTCGCAAGGACCTAGACCAATGCGAGCAGATTCTCGACACATTTGACTCGGTGGAGTCTGTTGTCCACGCCTCCTTCTACCGCGTCAGCGCCGACTACCACCAAGCCAAGCACGAGTTCGCCGCCTACTACCGTACCACTCTGCTCTATCTCGCGTGTATCGAACTCGAATCTCTCTCCTTCGAAGATCGCCAACGCATCGCTTACGACCTCTCGATTGCTGCTCTCGTTTCAGAGTCTATCTACAACTTCGGTGAACTTCTCCTTCATCCTATCCTCGACACACTCAAGAACACCCAGCACGCTTGGTTGCGTGATCTGATCATCGCCTTCAACAAGGGCGACTTGGGCGCCTACGACGTCCTGGCTGCACACATGGGCAAGAACGACCTGCTCAAGGAGCACCAGAACTTCCTCTACCAAAAGATCAGCTTGTCCGCTCTTACCGAGACCGTCTTCCGCCGCCCACCCCACGACCGTGCCATGACTTTCTCCGAGATCGCTCAGCAGACAAAGGTCCAACCGAACGAGATCGAGCACCTCATCATGAAGGCACTCAGCTTGGGCCTTGTACGCGGAACTATCGATCAGGTCGCGGAGGTTGCCAGGATTACTTGGGTCCAGCCCAAGGTGTTGGACAAGGGTCAGATTGTTAACATGCGCGAAAGACTGCGTGCTTGGGATGACGGTGTCAACAAGCTCGGAAACTGGATCGAGAGCTCAGGCCAGGAGATCTGGGCCGCATGAGTCAACCAAAAGGGCAAAGGATAGATCATCTTCATGTGGCGCAATGGCGCATTATGATAAGGGGGTTACTGGCATTTGATGGCATATGACAATAATGCATTGCCCTTTGAAGCAGAGGAACCTGCTTGGGCCTCAAGCTGTACAATAGAATCGATTTCACGTTACAAGCTTGCACCCGTGTTTCTGAGATCGATACGGTTCAATTCTTCGTGCTCATGGAGTCTTTCTCAGCCAAGTGCACTACGCCTTCTCTTGCAACCATGATTCTTGTTCATATCTCAGTCTGACTCCATCTTCCATGCACCAGTATCAAAGCCTTGATGCTCGATTCATGATATTCCTTGAAACGCCTGACAGCTGAAATCACTACTCCTCAAATGAATTCATCTATCACAAAGTCAGCACTCCGTCGCATGTGGTTATATGAGGAAAACTCACCGCGCTAGCCAAACCAATCCACTCATTCACAACCCTGACATACACGTCTTCTTGAGCATCAGGCTGTACTTCATGGCCCCAGACTGTAATCTTGTCAAAAGATGCAATCTCCTGCACCACATTCGTTTCAGGTGTTGAGGATAGATCATCGTCTTCGTCGAGGGGTGTATTTGATGTGCCAGTGGGTGGGAGGATGATGTCTGTTTTCTGAATTATCGCGCCTGTCACGATAGTCAGTCTGGTTTTTGATCTGGATGTAGAGGAAAGAAAGAAGAAAAGGTAAACAAATGCTAAGCAAAAACATACCTCTGTAACCCTCTGGTAAATTCACAATTTTGCCATTCAACTTCCTGCCGCGAAAATATGCTGTGCTGCTTTCGCCGTCTGAGCTGGTTTCTGGTGTCCAGTGTCTTGTTGATGCATTGACGGGGCCATTGTGTTGGATTCTGCAGGGTAGCACGTTGGCCACGCATGGTGTGACGTTTTCTGATTTCTTGATGGCGAGCATATCGAATTTTGGTCTTTGCAATTTCAATGTTCAGATATCTGATGAGAACAGTGTTTAATCATGTGGTCTTTGGATGGGTGATTTTGTGCGAGTATAATTGGATTCCATTGATGTTCGGCATGACACGCGTTTCGTCGCGCCGTGCTCGCGTTTCCACTTTAGAAACAGCCAAGAGCTAATTCTTTGTAGCAGTCCGGCTCGCTTGCATTTTATTCATGCAAGCAATAATAAGTCCTCCTCGTATAAGAAGAGCAGAGCAAAAAGGGGCTGGAGAAAAAGAAGAAAAAAGGAACCCGAAACCAGAAACCCGAAACTCGTGAAGACCAATAGCGACTTCATCCCAAACTCCGACACTTTCCGCCAGAAAAGAGTAGTGCAGGTAGCAACACCTCATGATCGCTAACCCCTTTGGCCATGCTCCGAAAACTCCATTCTTCCTCTCCTTGTAGAACGACAATTCAAAGCAGTACATTCAGACAGTGCGCTTAGACCTGCTGCATACTAGCAGGAGTCAAAAAGACAGGCGCAGCAGGAGTCGTCTGAGGAAGTGTAGCCGCCTGGCGCTCGCGTTGCATTTTCTCGCTCTCCATCTTCTCCTTGTCGGCCTTGGTGATTCGCGGCTTGCGGGGAGCACTGGTGCCGCGACCTCGACCTCGACCTCTACCCGTTCCTGAGGCAGTCACTGTGGCTGCGGGGTCGGCGTTTTTCGCAGCGAGTTGCGCGTGAGTTACGCCTGTAGCACCTCCACGGCCGCGTCCACGACCGCGGCCTCTACCGCGGCCGGATGGCGCAGAGGTCTCGATTTGAGCCCTCTCTCCATCAGGGACGAGGGGACCAGAATAGACAAAGAAGCCGTCCTTAGCGACTGCTGCGCCTTCTTCCCATGCCAATTCTGTGTCGTCGATGAAGTCGTCTTCCTTGTCATAATCCTCCACCTTTCTACGGCGTTGGCGTTTCTTGGGCTCGTCTTCCCCTTTCTTTTCTTCCTCCATGCCGCCCATCTCGACGTTGCTGTCATTCTCAGCCTCGGAGTTGAGGTCAACGGAAATATCGTCACCAGTTCCAGGCTCCAGACGGTTAGCCGCAGCGGCGACTTGTAAGAGGCGTTCGCGGTGTGCTGCAGCGCGAGGGTTGATGGCATTCTTGCCGTACTTCTTCAGAATCTCCGAAGCAATGTTGACTGTGTTGTTTCCTGCTGGATTAAGAGGAATATCAATGTCAATGTTCACACCGTGGCGTTTGTGATCTTCAGTGACAGCCGATGGTCCTCCGAACAGGTCGCTGCCGGAAAGCAGACCGCTTCCCGTGGGAGCAGGTGGTGAAGCACGCTTGGCCTTTGGTGCGGGTGCGGCAGTGGGTTTAGCAATAGGCTTTTGATTCTCCTTCTCTTTTTCCTTGTCTGCTGATTTGATAGCCATGTGTGCGGGCTTTTTCTCATCGACAACGTCAATCTCCATGGCGTCCTCCATCACTACAGGAGCTGGGTGTGTTACTGGTGCGGGTGACTTGTTTGGTAGAGTGTTTGGCGTCATTTGAACTTCTGGTTGCCGGCTGATGATTGGAGGTGGAGGAGGCATGGCCGCAGAGACACTTGGTGACTTCATCTGCGCCGGCGCCGATGGGATTGTAGGAGGAGACATGAGTGTGTTATTATTGGGCGCAGGGGGATTCATTAGACTTGCAATTGCAGGTGATGCGCTTGCTCTGTGCGCACGGGGTGAGACTTGAAGTGAAGCAGTCGAAGTGTGAGCAGGAGTTGAGTAAGGGTCCGCAGTCATAGAAGCACGAATAGGGTCATATCTTTGACCACTTGAGGCGGGCCTTGTCAGAGCTGGAGCTGGGGACGATGCGACGATTGGCTTCTTTTCCTCACTCTTCATGATTTGCGCGGGCTGAATTTGCTGTGCAGTCGGCGTAGGAGGAAGAGGAGTTTGAAATTTACCAACCATGTCGCTGAGAGTTGGTTGACGACTAGCAGTGGGCGTGGAGCTTGCTGATACATCGGTCTTTTGTTTCTTGCGCGAACCAGCCGTCGGAGCATTGAGATCCTTGGACACACGAGGCTTGCGAGTCTTCTTCTCTTTGGCGGCCTCTTCTGCAGCCGCTGCCTTTTCTGTCGCCTTCTGTGCCCTCTCGGCGGCCTTCTTTGCCTTTTCGGCTTTCTCAGCCGACACTACCTCAGGATCTCTCCTCTTGCGTGTTTGCTTGACCTTCTTGTTAGGGTCATGTGATGCAGCCTTGGCGTTGCCATTTGTGGTATTTGTAGAAGCTGACGCAGCGGATTGTGGTTGTGGACGAGAAAGTTGGGGAAATGCAACATCTCCAGGACGCAAGAATTGAGGCTGCGCGGGCGCGACACTGATAGTATCGGAAAGCCCTTGTGGCGGAGAAGACATGGGCGAGGAGCCCCTGGAGCTTTGTCCATCACCGACCGCGGCCATGACGAACACTAAAAACGAAAAAGAATCGAAGGTGGTACAGCGGCTAAAAGGGGAACAAGTGATTTGACAAAGGCACCGGATCGGAAAATGCAGAATGCAAAATCAGACCAACAAGACCGCAATTGCAATTGCCAACAAAAGGGCGATATCTCTTAGCCGAAGAGATATGGTTGTGGTCAAACCACTCGAAGCTGGGCGGGAACCTTTGAAAGCGACCACCAAAGCCGACGACGTTTTGGAAATCGAAATTCGGACGACCTCCAGCGGGGCGAACAACGACGACAACAAGTTGACAGTCAAGTACGTTGATATGTATGGCAAAGACAATCGAAGCCTGGTATCTGATGCGATGCTTGATGGTTGATGATGATCGGTGAGAGACCACAAAAGATGAGCAAAGTTGGAAAAGAGAAGTTGCAGGCGTACAAGAAGCCACACACGACGAGTTGAAAAGAAAGAAAGAAGAAGGAGAAAGGGCGAGAGACAGAAAGTGGCCGATGATGGCTTCTTAGAAGCTCAGCGTGAGCCCAGGGTTTCCTGCGCTGCTGGCTGCGGGAACAAGTGGCCGAGAACGATCAAACGAACAAACCCAGCTAAGGCCAGTTATGATTTAGGCATGAGGGGCGCTAAAGAACGTGCTGTGACATCCGTAATTCGGGTTCTAGCTAATCCTCTCGGGGGTGAGGTGTGCCTATTACTCGTAGCCATACATATATTGCGGCCGTTAGGCACCTGTACGCTTGTGATAGGTTCTTGTTGTACCAGGCTGCCAGTTCATCCACTCTGACTTTCTTGCGATTCCATCTTCCGCCTCTTGGGTTGCCCACTTGAATACAGAAACTGCAAGTAGATCAGTCCCGAGCATCGAAAGCTTGGCTTGCTAGGATTGCCGAAGAGACATGTCAGTGAATGTCAGGCACTAGCATCTCCATCTCAAAATTGACATGTCAGACACTTCTATCTAGTCTGAGAACAATTATCTGAAGAGATTAAATGAGTTGAAGTCTACTATCATATACTGCGCGTATGCACGAACGTCGTTCAGGGTCTACCTACTTTAGTGAGAGTGTTAAGATGCTGCTCCGGATTTAAGAATAGGCACCCGGGAAATAAGTGGGGCTTCCCGCGGCTCGTGCATAACCAAACCGATCTCTGTTTTCCTAAAAGTGTTTGACAGCTCGAGATCGATGTAAACATAGACATCATGACACTTCGGGGACAGCATTTCAACATAGACGACTTTGACGCTGAAAATTCGCCCGAAGTCGCCAGTGCGCCACCCAAGGTCTTCAATCCATTCGACTTTGTCGCGGACGTCCAGGAACGCAAGCCAACAGCCGCGCCTACGCCTCCGCAACCACCCGCCTTCAAGAACTCCCAAGGCGGATTCCCTGCGCATCGTAAACGAGACGTACAGTCCAGATTCAAGAGGAAGATACAGCAAGATGCAGCTCCTGCTGCACCCCCGCCGCAACCTCGTAGTCACTCGAACGACCCGGGAAACGACGATGATGATTTCATGACTACCGAGAGGCGGCGCATAGACGAGGAGAATCGCCAAAGAATCGCAGAAATGTCGCCCGAGGAGATTGAAGAAGAGCGAAGAGAGCTGCTTTCGTCGTTGGATCCATCTCTGATTCAACGCCTACTGAGTCGCGCAACTATCGAGGAGGGCGGAAGCAATGAGGACTTCCCTGGACTGCAAGAGAAGATCGCGGAGACAAAACAGGAAGTCAAAACTCAACCTGATGTCGCGAAGCCTCGCAAAACCGTGAAGTTTGCTGAGGTGGAGGATGAACCAGCCAGCGCAGAGACTGAGCACGAAGTGCTGGAAGATACCAACGTGTCCACAAAACAACATAAGCACGATCATTCTGGTCACGAGGCGGCAGCGGAAGTTGGCCTTCCAACAGACTCCACCATCCACTTCCCGCGACCAAGTCAACCGCCGTCTCTAGACCCTTCCGACCCGAACTTTCTCGAAGACTTGCATGAAAAGTACTTTCCAGATCTGCCAGCCGATCCCGAGAAGTTGGAATGGATGATGTCTACACCATCAGATGCATACTCGGTTTCTCAGACATCTCTAGATCCCAAAGACATTAGATTTGCTTTCACTGGCGCGTTGATTCCTCCGAGTCTTGCAGCAGAGATTCCTGTCACAATGGGTCTGCACCACCATGGTAATGCCCCTGATGCTGCAGGCTACACGATACCTGAGCTGGCAATGTTGGCTAGATCCAGTGTACCTGCTCAGCGCTGCATCGCCTTCCAGACTCTTGGACGCGTCCTATACAGACTTGGCAAGGGTGAGTTTGGCGATCCCGGTGAGGAAGGTCAAGGTACGGTCGGTGCTAAGGACACACTCGGTGAATTGGCAAGAGGATTGTGGTTTGAAGTAAAGAAGGAGAGTGTGCTTGAGATATGCTTGGCCGAGAGCGACGGTAGAGGCGCTGCAGGAGGTAGGCACATGGGCGCAAAGTCCTACGCTACTGAGGCCGTCTGGCTCTGGCAGCAAGGTGGAGGACGTAGGTGGAAGGCAGAGTAAGACGCATACATTATCAACGAATTCACGAACCATAAGTTATCTGTACCATCTGCGTTGATCTCACCGTATCCTCACCTTGCTGTGTTACCTTGACAGATGTGTTGCGGGAAGAGAGAGTGATGGGATACGATGCCTATTGTGACATGAGTGTGTACAAAAATCAACAGGGTCACCCCGACACCATTCTGAGATGGGAAGAAAAACCGACTCCAGAGTCGTCTCTGCTACATCAATTCGACAGATTCACGAACCACGAAGATAGCGTATGTTTAGACGATCAGCCAGCAACCTAGAAGACAACGGACGTTTCGACCAATTGAGGATTGATCGTGCACCGAGTTCTACTCTTGACTCGAACGTCTGCATTGCCATGACTCGGAACGATCTCAAGATGTTGCCCGCGATATCTAAGTGAAATATAAAAATGTGTCAAGGTGAAGATTCGCGCGTTGGCAGGAAGCAAGCACGCAAGCGTCGACAGAAGGGGAAGGAACGGCCGACCACGGCGTTGAGAACGGGAGTGAAGCGACGACGCGCTGTGTGACTTGCTCGCTTCACCAACTTTCTTGAACTTACATTTCTTTATTCATTGACAACAGAAAAGAAAATGGCCGACGCAGTAGAGGAGCTCGAAAGAGAAGGTGGCAACCGCGCCGTCAAGGATCTATTCGCTGGTGCTGTCGGAGGTGTTGCACAAGTGTTGATTGGTGAGTAAACTTGGCGAATGGGGAGTCCTTACACGATGAACGAGATGGCAGATACAGAAAGAGCATGGAAACATGCTGAACCAGGAAAAATCTCGAGCCTTCTCGTGTGCTGCGACTTCGAGAGTTTGAAATCTGAGAAGAAGGGCCGGATTTGATTACAATTATGAATGAATGTTGTTTGCTGACACATTGAATTTATAGGACAACCTTTTGGTAAGATGCTGGAAACTCCTTGGGCAAAAGACTGGTGATTCTGATGATATTCAAAAGACATTGTCAAGGTTCGCCTGCAGACTACTACACAATACTCGGGTGCGGCAGATGCTGCATCAAAGATCTTGAAGAACGAGGGCGCAGCTGCGTTCTACAAGGGTACATTAACACCACTGATCGGTATTGGTGCATGTGTAAGTAATGATCTACCTATCCTCTCTGGCAATACACGCGAGAGATGAAACGAGGACCTAGAGTGAATCAGCAGAGCAATATTCTAACATCACCAAGGTATCCGTCCAATTCGGAGCCTTCCACTACGCCCGCCGTGCATTTGAGAGCCAGAATGCAGCAAAGGCCGGCGTACTCGAGAAGCCCCAACCCCTCTCATACGGCCAATACTACGCAGCTGGTGCCTTTGCAGGTATTGCCAATACACTAATGTCCTCTCCCATCGAACACATCCGTATCCGCCTCCAAACACAACCCCACGGTGCAGCACGCCTCTATAACGGACCCATCGACTGCGTAAAGAAGCTCTGCGCTCACGAAGGCGTACTCAAAGGTCTCTACCGCGGTACCGGCGTTACCTGGTTCCGTGAAGCTCAAGCCTATGGTGTCTGGTTCACAGCCTTTGAGTTCATGATGAACCAGGATGCCAAGCGTAACGGTATCGAGCGCAAGGAGATTCCCACCTGGAAGATTGCGCTGTATGGTGGTTTGGCTGGTGAGGCCCTTTGGTTGGGCAGCTACCCCTTCGACGTCATCAAGTCAAAGATGCAGAGTGATGGTTTCGGCGCTCAGCAAAAGTACAAGAGCATGCGTGATACTTTTGCTCAGACTTGGAGAGCTGAGGGCATGAGAGGCTTCTGGAGAGGTCTGGGCCCTACTCTGTTGAGAGCTATGCCCGTTTCTGCTGGAACCTTTGCTACGTAAGTGTTTTCTTCGATCTGCTCGGCGCCATATATGCTAACTTTCATCACAGCGTCGAATTGACCATGCGTATGATCAGCTAGATCCAGAAAAAATCTGTATTTGAGAATAACAAGAGCCAATCGAACAGAGCAAATCATTACTGGAAGAGTGATTTGTGAATTGAGTTCAATTTCAAAAATGGTATAATACAAAAAGAAGCGTTTGTAAATGATGAATTTTGCATACACACCAACTCAGATAAACGCCAGGCTTTTCTCCGTCCCAAAACCCAATCTATGCTTTACATGATACAGTTTGTACAAGAGGCGACTACGAAGTGCGTCTGAGAGCCAAGTCACCCTCGTCAAGCGCAGGCTTGCTCTTGGCTGCCTCGTCGAGCTTGCGTAGCACCTCGGTGTCCTCAGCAGACAGCTCCTCGCCGTACGCTTTTCTCTTGAGGGCGATCATTCTGCTAAGAGTAGGGTCGACAGCATTCTTGCGAATCTTGAGAGCGCCACGGTAACTACCACCCTCGTAGGGGTTCTGACCCTTGCCACCTTCCTGGGAGTGTAGCGCAGCAGCTTCCTGTTGAGTCATGGGCTCATCCATAATGCTCTGCGCCTCTTCTTCAAGCTCAGCTCCCATCTCTGGGTCAACCTGCTTGCTCTCAAAGTAAGATGGCTCGCCATCAGAAGGCAGGTCGAAGGCAGCACGGCTACGGCGCAGCTTCTCTCTCAGTTCGGCGAGCTCTGTCGACTCCGGAGCTTTACTGTCGGGAGAGTGCATGTCGAAAGCAGCACCAACAGCTTCCTGGTCGAAGTCTGCGAATTGGGCATATTCATATGCACTCATCATAGTCATGCCGACCTTCTCTTGAATCCTGACGTCCTCTTCGGCAGGAGCGGCCGAGGTAACAATACGTTGATCAGAATCTTGCTTGAAGGGGTCATTCTTGGCAAACGAGCGCTCGGCTGCGTGGGCAGCGGCGATTTGGTCAGCTGTTGGGGGGTTCAAGTTGTGGCTAGCTGCGTATGTGACATTGCCAGTGGCAGCCTTGCCCAGACGCCACTTCTTGCCGGACTCTGCAGCACGACCAAGGACACCTCCAATGAGGTTGATGGAACGGAGACTAGGGTTGGTCAGCGGTCAAGCACATATAGATGGAACCAGACAAACACACCTGTCATCGTTGGCTGGGATAGGGTAAGTGACCCAAGTAGGGTTTGCGTCAGTGTCGACAACACCAATAGTAGGGATGTTGTTGAGACCGCACTCGTGCAGCAGGACGTAGTTCTCGATGGGGTTCAAGCAGACGACCAAATCGGGCTTAAGAGCACCCTTTGCCTCGAGCTGCTCCTCGAAGCCCTTGATCTCCTTGTCGTTCTCGTCAACAACCCTCGTGCGACATCTGCCAAGAATTTGAGGGCCATTGGTAATGCTTCCAGGAATCCAGCGATCGAACAAATGACAGCCACCTGCCAGTTCAGCAGCCTTGACGACGATTCTCTCCTGGCCTTCACGGGTACCAACAAACAGGATCAAGCCGCCACGCTGAGCAACGCCACGGACGACGGCACATGCTCTGCGCAAGTGGGAGGCGGTCTGGTCGAGCGAGATAATATGAACACCCTGACGCACACCAAAGATGTAGCGGGCATTGGCGGGGTTCCAGAGCGAGGTGGAATGCCCCAGATGTGTTTGCGAGGCAAGGAGGAGTTCGAGCGAGATGTCTTCGGGCGTCGGGGGTTTTGTGATTTGGGTATGCGGCTGGTATTTGGGAGCAACGACGGAACCGATGGAGTTTGTGACTTCCTGGTGATGCTTGAAGGCGCGATAGTCTCTCGCAATCTGGTCGCCGTCCACGGGAGGCTGAACGCGCGAGGAGAACGAGTACGAGTCGGGATCAATGGATTGCTGGGGGTGTTGCAGGTGAGTGGCCGACGAGTGAAGGCATCGGACAGGCCTGGCCACCGCTCTGTGGCCTAGTTGAACGTGAGCAAATTGATACTATAGCAGGAGTGAGACGATGTACATACCCTGCCGTAAAGCTATTGGTCGCAGAATCATGGGAGAATGCTGGCTAAGGAGCGGAGAATGGACGACTGGATGCTTGTCCGAACATTTCGAGATGCGCAACGGAAACTACGATGGACAGGGCTTGGCGTCGCAACGCTGCTGCTGCCGCTGCCGCTGCCGCAGTGCTGACCATGGATGGCACTTTCCTCTTTCTGCTTCAACAATCGAACATTCAATCAGTCAATTGCGGAATTGCCAGGCGCCTTCCATGCCATGTCGACTCCAGCCATACATCTGGATTTCCGATGATGCTCTTGCTACCGCCTATCGTCGGTTCGCCAACACTTGTCTAGTGACCAACAGCCACACGAATACCAGACGCCATGGCAGCAACGTCCCAGGTCCATTAGAGGCCCGTCGTCGCGCTGCCAGGAGACGTATGACTGGTCTCGGAATGGCCAGCCCTTCTCCTGCGTCCATGCCCGACTTTGGCGCTCTTTTTGGCTCTGGAGCTGTCGATACCACTTCTTTGTGGCCTCCTCCGAATACCACAGAATCGCGGGTCTCCGCTCCACCTCATCATGCTTCTCCTGCACCTCCCACCCAATGGCAAATACCTTTCAACTCCCGCTCAACTCGTAGACGGCGTAATGCTTCACCGCCGCCGACACCACCATCACCACAACGTTCGCTGCCTCGTCGAGCACACTCTCTGGAAGAACTCATGATTCTGTTGGAATCATGCGACAGCTTGGATGCCCTCAAGCGAGAGCATGCCCGTCTGTATCCCGATTGCCATCTTTCCACAACCTTCAGCAAAGCCGCTTTCCTCTGTCTGCTTCGACAATCAACGCCCGATCAAGTTCTGGCCTTTCTGCAGAGCGACCTGGACCACGAGGAATCCCACAACACTCATGCATACCTTGCCCACCTCTTCGCCATTCAGTCTCACCCCGAAGTAGTCATAGAGTGTGTAGCTCTTGTTTGCGACAAGGTTGCATTGAGCTCCATACCTATGAGTGAGTTGTCAGATTTTCTTGCCGAACTGAGACACAGAGATGATGCCCAATCGCTCTTCGAGGCCAATGCCATGCTTCACAACTCACTTGTGGACGCTTATGCTCCAGGCAGTCCTCCAAGCAACCTCATCAAAAAAATCCTTAAGAACTTATTTTCCTTGCCTCCCTCGCCAGATATTCTCAAACTGGTTGCTGAAATTCTACCACTCGTTGGCCTTGACGGTTTTCGGCCCATGGCAACATATCTCAAGAAGGCTCTCGTCTCTGAAACCACGCAGCCTACGCCTTCGACTCAATTGGTACCTATCTTGAGCATTATACCATCCGAACACTTCGACCGCATCGTCTTTTTTGCTACCAAGAACTTTGTATGGGACTTGGATACCTCAACCCTTGCACATGTACGTAAAGACTGCACCGATAGACTTGTCCGCTGGCTTGGAGTTCTCTACGCCTTCCGTGCCTCAATGGTCGAGTCCTCTTCGTTGTTTAGTAGTCTCCTTTATCCATTCCTGGCCTCGAGGTTCACTATTTCTGAGCTTGGTGCTCACTTTCGGTGCCTCCATGCTGCAGACGCCGCTACCATTGTATTACACTATTGGATCAAACCTTCGATACTCGAGGTTCCGGATCCTGATCTGGACCATGGTGTCGACGAAAATCCAGCACCTTTACCGCCACCGCAATCAGCACCTGCACTGCTACTGCAACCACCACCAACCGTGCAAAGTCGACATGGGTCCAAACTCGATGAGCCATTCAGAACTTTTGGTTTGACATATACCGTGTCTCGGTCTCCCGAACAGTCGCGTACCCACTGCGCAAGCCCATCGGAGCGTCAAGCAGTCTTCGATTTGATCGCATCGACACTCGAAGAATGCTGCAAAGTGGGAGGTCATGGGGTCAACCATAGTCGTGGAGGGCCCTGGGTTCAACTATTCAAGCTGTTGAGCCAGAACAAAATCGAATACGCAGGCTGGCTAGATGAGTTGTTTCAAGCGCTGAAGCCTCACAAGTCACCTGTATGGATATATTATTTCTTCGCAAAGCTCGTCAGAAACAGAGTTTATATCCCATATCCTGTGGCCATCGATCTCATACGTTATTTTATCGACATTGAGAAGACAAACTGGGCCTTGAAGGTATTTAGGCGACCAGAAGCCCATCAATGGCTTTCAGACGTCCCCGAGTTGCTCTTTGCTCTTGTTGAAACCAGACCGATCAGCTCGGGGCTCGTATTTGATGTACTGAACCGACCAGATTACCAAAACTCACTGCCAATGAATTTGCGCTCGGTCGAGAATAATTCTTTATCAGAAGGAACGGTACAATTAGTGCATCATGTTGCATATGCCATGGCCAAGTCAGAGCTGTTGACTTCAAGAGCAGCGTTCAGACGGGTACACGATTGCTACAATTACCTGAAAGATCGGGGAGCTCCTGTCTCAAGCATCATGTCTCGAGCTCTTGTTCATGCTGGCGTGACACGTCCTCTTCGAGATGGCAACTGGCTTAGCACGAACAAGTTCCAATGGATTCTTCGTATCGTTCGTGATCTTGAAGGCGATGAAGTCGCGGATAGTCTCGACGAAGCGGCTTTCAAACTTAGGACTGAGAATTTGGAGTTGGCTAGTATGAAGCCATTAGATGTCATGGAAAGGGAAGCTGATGCGATCGCCTGGGAGTATCGGAAGCAGTTTCGTAACCCATCTCTTCGACGGAGGAAGACCACACCGCCGTATAAGCCCGCAGCTCCTAAGAAGACTCGATTCCAATCTAAGAAGGATTGGGAGACGGGTGTTGATGTAACAACGTTGGGAATACCCATGGAAGTTTAGACGAGAGCAAATCTCGTGTCGATAGTATCAAAAGTTAATATCGAGTCAGACAGAGGCTCTTGCTGATAGTCTCAACTAGCAGCAGAAGTCTTGTGCATTTGTACAGCTACATGTGTCGCAGTATATGTTGGAAGAACAACGTCGTCCTCTGCTCTGGTGTACTGCTCCACTCAGTCACAACGCAGAATGATAGCAAGCTGTGGAGATGTACGATCAGCTCGCATACGAAGAAGGTACGGACAGAGGATAAACGTGACGTCAGCCCTCAAGGGCAGTGACTCTCTTCTAGAAGCCATCGTGCATCTCTACAGTTCACCATCCTTATGTGTGCGCCTGTATGTGAGGAGGGATGTCAACATAGATAGTATTGACAGTCCACACAGGTTAGATATTGAGTCTGAAATATCAAGTCTCTGTGGACGTTGCTCTGCTGATCAGCCGCTTCGCGCAGTTCGACAGCTTGCAGCATTTTGCTTATGCCTTTGTGAGACGGTGTGAAGTGACCGTGTGTGGCACAAGTAATGCTCATAGAGTTGGGGATCAAGTAAATCATGTCGACTCTCATTGAACCTTGCCATGTTTGTACATAGCTTCAGACCTCTATACAGCTACATGTGGGACAGAGTTTGGGATATGAGAAAGGGGGATGTTGTTTTCATCTCTGCTATTCTGGCTTTCTGTGATAGAGATGTGGTAATCTACACGCTACGTGCATGGTTGGCGAAAGTATGTTACTCTCCTTGGAACTCTTAGTGTATCTGCGGTCAATTGTTGATCAGGTAGTGCTCGTGTATAACGCCGGATCAATGGGTATGTCTTCGGATAGGTTGCGTGACTCATTTGAGGACGGAGTCTCGAATTGATCAACTAGATACAATCAGTTTTGCGTTTCAGAACGAGCATGCCTGATATGCGTACTGTGTTCTTCTCCACGGCTCATCACTTCAATCTGCTCTCCACCTCCTGACTCGTTGGGAGTTACATGCTCCGCACCCTGAGCAGCACGTTCTCTGGCTTGCATCTGTAGTTGCTCATGATCCCGGCGAGAACGTTCCATGATCGTTTTCGCCTCAGCAAGCAGTGCAGAAGCACTGATGCCTGCGCGACCGGACAACTGAATACCTCTCACAACTATACGAACGGCGTGTTCTGAATGCTAGACAAAGTTGTCGTTGCCACAAGCTAGAACTATGTGGGCGAGGACGCGGTATAGCAGAGGAAGATCGGTGTGGGAGATCAGATATCGGGCGATTGTCTCTGCTTGGGCGGTACTTGTTTCGTTGCCCGCCGTGTAGAGTGTGCACATTCGATCAAATCGTGCGCGATGGATAGAATTGATGTTTGGTATAGACATGATGGCGATGATTCTTTGTCCATGACACCGATGGGCACCGGTATATCGCCAGTCCTGAGACTGAAGATTTAGGTCCCAACCATTCAACCATCAGAAGCAAGATCGTTGCCTTCCAGGTCATGGGAGAGAGAGGCTAGTCGAAGCCTTACCTGTCAGACATTAAGCTGGTAGATGACTAGAGATGGACTGCAGACTTGTTGCAGCTCTCCACACGGCTTAAATGTGTGATGACATGTATGTAGCGCGTGCAGACCTGGGTCTGAATTGAGCCGTCCGACATATCTATAGTCTTGCAGGAGCATCGTACACTGTGCTTTTGAGTGGTCGTAGTCGTCCTACTGGCCTCTATTAGATGCCCAGCCTTAGCTGGTCATTTCATCGGTTAGCTGTACGGAGCAGACCGGAGCCATCTAGTATCGTCCTAGTCGTAGCGAACGATGTAATCAGGGACATTGGGACAAAAGCGCTTGCCAGAGGATTCGCTACAGTCAACTGACACTGCGCAACCACTGTTCCGTTGAGGGAAGAAGAAGACAAAAAGAATGACGACGCCCATGTGGTTCGAACACATGCCTCCGAAGAGATTAGATTACTGAATAGATTCAAGTCTAACGCCTTAGACCACTCGGCCAGAGCGCCATAGATTATGGGAGAGAATTTTTCATAAGGCTCATAATGTCGATCTTCAACGGAAGCTAGGGGACGAAGACAGGCCTGCCGGAGGCAGCACTCTGGAAGCGAATAGCTTGGTGGCGTGCCATCCGGATCGAATCATCAGGACCGCAGGGCGGTGGATGTGTGTCCAGAAGTGACGAAATATCAAGGGACTCGACGAAGACAGGTGGTCGGCCCCTATATGGAACGAGTAGTGGTATCCTGTGGACAAGATAAAGATATCTTCTGGAAGGAGCGAAAAGGCACATAGCAGCAGCAAAAAGCAGAGCCGCATGTCGGAGGTTGCGGAGGAGTTCTTGGCAAGAAGCACTAACCCTCCTTTCTAGCCCCACGGAGACCAGCCGGAGTTAAAGACAGCCGAGTGTCGGGTGAATGTTGTGTCGCATGCGATTCTGAGCTGCGGCGAGCCAAATACCATCATAGCAGCATCTCACGGATCGCAGGTGATGTAGCGATAGTAGGGCCGCCATGGAGAACAAATCACAATCCCCAGTGCTCACCAAAAAGTACTCTCTCGCCGACATACGCTTCCCTTCTCCAGGCTCGGTATCCACTCATGGTTGCGGTATGACGATCCCCCGAATCACGTTGTTGCGGCATATCTAACATTGTCCAGATCATGTTAAAAGTCAACTGGAGGCCTCGCAGCCGGATCTCCTCAAGCGGTATACCACTTTGATGCAAACAGTGCACAAGAACGGTGCAATCGGACCCCATCTCTCAAAGTCGTCAGCCATCTCTCTACGACCAACCTACCTCTGTTTGGAGTGTTCAAGTGTCTTTCCGTCAGAACAACGTGGCCAGCACGACAAGAAGCACTTTCTCTGTAAGAGCCCACATATGACAAGGAGGGAAACGTCCTGACAGCAGCATAGGTGTGGAATCGAGCAAGGGCAACATCTACTGTCGAGAATGCGACGACTTTGTATATGATAATGCTCTGGAGGAGATACGCACTCAACAAGGCACGTGTGAAGGAGATGGTCGCAAGACGTGTACTAACTACTCTCAAGGCAAGAAGCGCAAGCACGCCGTGTTCATGTCCGATGTCGACAGCAAGATCCTCGCCGCAAACGCAGCAGCGACGCCCTGCCGAGCCAAAGGTCTTCGCGGCCTCTATAACATGGGTCAAACATGCTTCATGTCGGTCGTCCTCCAATCTCTGATCCACAACCCCTTCATCCGCTCCTTCTACCTCTCCGTCGGCCACCGCTCCCTCGACTGCGAGCGCGAAGCATGCACCTCGTGTGCTCTAGACGATATCATCACCGAGTTCCACAGTACAGAAAAGGCGGAAGGCTATGGTGCGGTTGCCATGCTACAAGGCAGTTGGAAGGGCGGCGGTAATTTGGCCGGCTACCAACAACAGGATGCTCATGAATACCTGCAATTCATCCTGAACTCGCTCCACACCACAAATCTCGAAGAGGACGAAAAGGAAGAGAAAGCCGAAGACTGCAACTGCGTTATTCATAAAGCCTTCTGCGGTCTGATGCGTAGCACTGTGGTGTGCTCAAAGTGCAAGAATGTCACAGCTGCGCTTGATCCGTTCATGGACCTCTCACTCGATCTCAAAAGTCCCGGACCGAAGAAGAAGAAAAATGAAGCACCTGTGGCACCCCAGGCTGTCGATTTGACCGAGTGTCTAGATCGCTTTACGAGTCCAGAAGTGTTGCAGGCTTCAGATTATCGCTGTCGAGAATGCGACAGCCAACAAAGCGCCACCAAACGACTTGCTCTCTCACGTCTCCCACCAGTACTTCCAATACACTTGAAACGCTTCTCACATTCAAAAACCTCCTCTACTTCGATCAAGCTTGACGCAAAGGTACATTTCCCAAACGTTCTTGATTTGCAACCTTATGTCAGTCGTGCTCGCCCCAAGAAGGGCGGCAGCGAGATAAACGGAACCAAGAATGGCGCAGACGCCGAGAAGGGCACATCTCCAAGACCTTTGTACGAGCTCAGCAGTGTCATTGTGCACAAGGGCAAAATGGATAGTGGACATTACGTGAGCTATGCCAAAGAGGGCGACGAGTGGTTCCTGTTCGACGACAGTAAAGTCGTATTGGTTGAGGAAAAGGAAGTCCTGGCAGCAGAAGCGTATATGCTCTTCTACATTGTCCAAGAGATTGAAGTTTGAGTTACCAGGCACATTTAGCGGCGTGAGGGGTAATATATCTACGGATACATTCCAATTCTTAGCATGCTAGCAAGCAGGAAGGCGTTGTGGCGGAGTTATTGGAATATCGGCAAATCAGCAGATGTACAGACGCGACATGCCGAATGAGATATTAATATCATAATGCAGGTTTCGACTGCAAGAACCATTCTCCCTCGTCCTTGTGCACTCTGCCTTCCTTGTTGAGCTTCTCCAGCACCTGCAACACACCCCTTTCTGCTGGTGCATGCAGATTCTCAGGATACCCCTTGTAGACCACTCTGACCAAGTCCATCGACTGCCATCCTTTCTTGCCCTTTTCGGTCTCTCGTCCCAGAACATCGACAATTTGACTTTCTCTTTCCTGTCGATGACGAACGTACTCCTGGATCTTTGCCTTGCCATCCTTGATCACAGGCCCATGACCCGGATAAGCCTGACCTGAAAACTCATTTTGCATCTTCTGCAAACTATCCATATACGCTGCCAGGTCTTCGAACACAGCTGTGCCCTGACCCAATACATTGTCTCCAGTAAACATTGCGTCTTCCTCTTCAAGGATCAAAGCCATGTGATCAGTTGTATGGCCGGGGCAATGGAATGTTCGCAATGTGGCTCCCTCTGTCTTGAAGATCTGACCATGAATGATCTCTTGTTGATTTACCTCGGGCTGGTTTTTGTAGATCGGTGTTGATGGGTAGAGGGAAAGAAGGTCTGGGATACCTCCTACATGATCGGGATGCCAGTGTGTTAGGATCACTTTGTCGATGGAGGCTTTTTCTTGCTCCAAGGTTGTTCTTAGAGAGCTCAACCAGGATGGCTTTCCTTCTCCTGTGTCGATTAGAAGGCGTTTTGGTCCTTGGCCTACTAGGTAGGTGTTTGTTCCTTTGATGCCATCAGTGTTGTCATGTGACAAAGTATGGTCAATAAGTAGTACCTTGGAGAGTGAACTGCAAACTGTCAGTATATCAACACAGTGACGGCATCATCTTGTTGGAGACCCACCTTTCCTGGGTTTCCGCCGAGTATTCTTATTACTCGCGAGCTGATCCGCTCAATCTCTGGTAGATGTACTAGGCTCGATGCCATGGTGAATGAGTCGCGAACGAATTGCCGATTGAATGAGTCGATGTGGATGATGTATTGCTTTGCGCCTATAAGCGAATTTGAGTTGAGTAGTCGGACTGGTGATTTATTCAAAAGCTGATGTTTGATTAATCATCTGTTTGATGCAATGAGGCAGTCTGGTTGTCGAACCTCGGCTCTGCGACCACAAACTAGGGCTGTTTGGCGTTGGCGGAGCTTGCAATCTGGACAGGGTGCCCTTTTGTCTCCGAGCCGAGACGATCCTATTTGAGCACATTCTGTTGCTTAGGGAAAAATAAATTATGCGAAAGACCCCTTCGAGAATTTTTCGTTCATCTTGTACCATTCAAATATATCTTTATATACACATATTTTTAAGCGAAGATGGGACTTACTGATGATTTTGACGAGGATGACCGTCCGTGAGTTTTAGGAGAGATGGTTTTCTGATGGTCTATGTACTAATATGGTGGACAGTCAATTGGATGCCTCGACCATGGCCCTTCTACAGGAGTTCTATACCGAGAGAGATGAGCGGGAAAAGCAGTTCGAGGACCTGAAGGCAAAGGCCGAAGACGAATTTGACTGTTCGAAGCCGCTGTCTATGGACTTGTTCACAGAGAGCTGGCAAGACAGTCAGTTCTGGTACAAGGACGAGACGGCAACTGTTCTGGCCGAGCAACTGTTGGATGGTGTCACAGAAGACAGCAAAATTGCTGTCGTTTCTGCACCAAGTGTTTATATCCAATTGAGGAACCTCCTTGTAAGTGCGTCAAGAGAGAAGATATGAAATGGAACTAATCAGGGCAGAATGATCGTGAGAGATATCCGATACGACCAAAGTTGATGCTTCTCGAATTCGACGAGAGATTTGGTGTCTTCAAGGACGACTTTTCGTTCTACGACTACAAGCAACCGTTCAAGTTGGACCGTAAGACTGCTGCGTTGTAAAGAAGTGATTAAAGTCTGACACGAGTATAGCCAGCCTCAAGGGCGCATTCGACAGGATCATCTGTGACCCACCGTTCTTGAACGAGGACTGTCAATCGAAGGGTAATCCTCCTCTGCTGTAACTCCTGGAGATTCTCGCTGATCAAATGTGTCAAACAGCTGCACTCACTGTCCGCTGGCTGGCCAAGACATGGGAGGCTCCTCTCAAACTTGTACAATGCACTGGTGAGCGTATGGAATCATTGGCGCACAAATTGTACGGCAAAGCTGGTATGCGTACCACAACCTTCCGTCCGGAACATTCAAAGGGCCTGAGCAACGAGTTCAGATGCTACGCCAACTTTGAGTGTGATGCCTGGAAGTTCGAGCCCAAAGTGTGAGTGGGGTTACGACTGGATTGTCATGAGTGACAAAAGACTAGTGAGATTTGGAGGATGATTTAGAAGTAGATAATACATGCATCATGCAGAAACACGGCCGCAGTCAGGCTGACAGGCGATTTAGACAGGTTTGGGACGCAGTAAATCTGAATCAGGGTCGAGAGCCAGGGTTACGTCAGAGCTTGGAGCTTCACCCCGCAGTCGTCACTTTCGGTCGGCATTCGGACGAGTGCAAGTGAACGAGGGGTCCTCGACTTCTTGATCTACCAGGGCATTGCACTGTTGCACCTTCCTTGAATTGTACATACCAAAGCTCGATCTTCACATAACACATCAACCATGGCCGCTGCCTGTATCTTCTGCAAGATCATCAAGGGTACCGTAACATCCATTCTCAAGGCTTCAAGTGACCACAACATCTGACACTACGGCAATCACACAGGCGAGATCCCTTCGATGAAGCTCTTCGAGAGCGAAAAGGTCTTTGCCTTCCTCGACATCAACCCTCTCAGTTACGGCCACGCTGTTCGTGCCTCCAGAACCACCCTCTACTCAAGCACCTCTGTCTAACAACCAGCAGCTCGTCATCCCCAAGTACCACGGCGCAAAACTCCACGACATTCCCGACGACCAACTCACCGAGATCCTTCCTGTCGCAAAGAAGATCGCTCAAGCAATTGGAGCCGGCGACTACAACATTCTGCAAAACAATGGACGCATCGCACATCAAGTTGTGGATCACGTTCACTTCCACATGATCCCCAAGCCGAATGAGCAGGAGGGTCTCGGCATCAAATGGCCTCAGCAGCAAGGTAACCAGGAAAAGCTCAAGAAGCTTAGAGAGGAGATCATGTCGAAGATGTAGAGAGAGGATAGGGAAGAACACTGGGACGAAACACGATTGGAGAGATGAACCAACTTGGAACGAATGACGATAGTGCTCGGCTCATGACTATAGAGCAGCAAGACCATGTTGGCAAATGACAAACACTTGGAATTGCGTATTCTTACTTTTGGATTGCCTCGGACTCGCAAGTCTCAAGTTCTGTAATCACGCTATGAAACCACTACACAGGGCAAGTCCTCCGCATACCCAAGCAGGCCACCATAAGACCCACACTGTGACCCCTGTCCACACTCTCTCCACTCTCCATGCCCACGCAGCGGCCGCAATTACCTCATCGAAGCTCTTGCCTGTTACAAGTCCGAGAACGTGCAGTGCAGCTGGAGGTGATGTTGCAATCATAACAATCACTGACAAGACTCCCAGAAGCACCTTCACTGCGATTGGCCAAGTTCGCGGCGGCGAGAATGGTCGTACAAAGGATAGAGGAGATGCGAGAAGACCAACGAAGAGAGCCTGTGAAAAGTTGAGGGTTGCAAGTGTAGACAGTGCGGCTCCTAGCAGAAGCAGAGAGAAGCATTGAATCAAGGTATACGTCTGAGGCGGAAGGTTGAGAGTATGGCGAAGTGCAAAGGCCAGAATGGCGGGCATTGTGATGGTTGGCGTCATGAGAGCTGCGAGCATGGTGAGGGATGCCTGGTGGTGTGTCAGCGGACATCTACTAGAAAGCCAACAGACTTTACATACCTTGTCCGGAATTTGGTTCAGGACATAGAATGGCACAAGACCAAGAGCATGAATGCCGAGGACGATCGCTAGAGGGCTGAAAAGATCTCTCTGAACCACCTCAAGGTCTGCAGAAGGTACCAACGCCACGCTCGCGCCATCCTTGACAAGAGTCATGTCAGGCTTCTTCTCGCTTTTAGGCGAAGCTGGACTGAGGCTTTGCGCTTTTGGCTGACCACTCCGTACCCAAAGTAAAATGCAAGTGATAGTAAAGTTTACAGCGATGAGCATAGCACTTGGCAGGTAAGTACCGATACTCACGAAGCGGTTAGCTTGCATGAGCAGATAGAAGAAGAAGCTTTGATGCAGATGCTCCAGAAGGTTGTTTACACTGCGGAAGAGACTTTCGACCGCTCTTCCGAGCGAGACTTCGTCATGCCAGCCATCACCAACTGTTTGTAAGGTGATGGCGTCGATGTGATAAGGCATGAAGACGCTGTGAGGACCGCTTGAATGGCCTACAGCTTGGTTCATCATACCTCTGAGCATCGTGTCAAGACGCTCGCGGTAGCTATCCTTGTGATCCCACATACGCTGAATAGTACAGGTGATGCCCAGTTGACCCTGAGCAATGTTGACAGCAGTGTTGACGAGATCGAGATTGGGTAGTTGGCCGTTGATGCCGTCATACACAACGTGAAGCTTCTCAAAGCGATGACCCCATGGACCAGCAGGGTAGTCGATAGCAATGGCAGCTTGAAGGGCACCAGCCTTGATGTTCAGAGCCTCCACAGCGGTCGTGTCATGGGTGTCATGGTAGGCATCGACCCAGGCATGCGGGCCGTAGGTGCTATCTGAAGGGATCAAGACGATGATATCCTTTGACCAGATAGACCATCTCTTGAAGTATCTCGCTAGAGTCAACAGCAGAGCGACACCGCTGTAGTTGATCTTGTCATCCATGTTTTTCCAAGCAGCGATCAGGACCATTGCCTCGGTGGCATCTGCTCTAGGGCCCTGTAACAAGGCATAGACATTCTGACCAGTCTTGTTCTGACCCGAGATGGAATAGGAGAAGTTCTGCACATCGGGCTTCAGTCCGTTGGCAGCAAGCAAATGGTACAGCTTTTGAGAGCGGTCCTCGGGGGACAGCTTGTCCATCTCGGCGACTTCCTGCCTGTATGCGCGGAAGACATTGTGTTCACTGCCACCAAAGTAGGTGTGAACCTGGCCGGGAAGGATGGCATTCTCGGAGACATAGGTGCGGCGGGAATATTCGTCGAGGGGGAGCAGCAACAGCCAGGCGACGCCAATGACGATGCACAGAAGCGACAGGTACGGCGGGATGCGGCCAAGATGGCGATTGTGTCGGAGACTGAGCAGTCCCGCTTCAGACAAGACTCGTGTTATTATGCATTCATGTGAGTGTGTTCGGGCAGGCCATCTTACACAGTAGAGCTGCCATGGCTTTGATCGGACGAGCTTCAGGAGGTGGTCGCGGGCAAGAGGGTCGACAATGGCAATGGCCGACATGTTTTCGAGGGGGGAGCGTTTGCGACTCTGCACGTCTCCGTCCGTCAACGCGACTGACTTGACACCGTCCTCTCCTGATCCCGCATACCTGACCGCCCTCCTGCTCGCCCTGCACTTGCTAACGATGCCGTCGCTGTCGCTGCCCCAGTTCGACGCACGTCGCGTGCGCTCATATCTCTTCCGCCTGCCCCTGTGTACGCGTGCGCTCTTGCTCGTCATAGTCGCTTTCTGGATCGCTACCCTTCGATTTGATCGCTTTCCGCCATGGGCCGCTTTGATCCCTTCTGAGATGAATCTGCAATCAAGTATCTACTCTTCTGCCATGTGAGATTGGTCTCTTGTCTGACTGCTGTCCTAGTGTACCGATTGAATACTTTCCCCTTGCTGCACGTTGGCTTCATCCACATGATCGTCAACATATTCGCTCTGACGCCGCTTCTCGAGCGCTTCGAGGCAGAGAATGGCTCTCTTCCTACTCTGCTCCTCTTCACAGGCCGTTCGTCTACCACCTGCTTCTTCACCGTCCTCACGGCTGACATACCTCCTAGCATTCGGTCTTCTCCCTGGAGGAAGCTACACACTGATTGAGCGCTTCATCTTCAGAGGCAACACGACCGTTCAAGGCGCAAGGTAAGCCTCTCTTTGACCTACCCGGACCTTGCCTATTCTGATTGCATCTACAGCATATGGGTCTTCCTTCTCCTCGCTTCCGAGTCCATCAAGACCTACAAGCAGAACCCCAACTTTGCTCTTGGTCCCTACAACATCCCTACCTGGACCGCTCCCTTGATCCTGAATCTCTTCGTCTCGGTCCTCATTCCCAACACCAGCTTCCTTGGCCACCTATGTGGTCTTGCCGTTGGATACCTCTGGGGCTTGGGTTACGTCAAGTTCCTCGTGCCCAACGAAAAGATCCTGAGATGGATCGAGGGCAAGCTCAACCTTCTTGGTCGCCTACCCCATTACGTATCAGTCGACCAGAAGACATATGGTAGATACGGTGTGCTTCCCACGACTGCATCGCCCAGACCGGTCCCAACTCTCGCTCCTGTTGGAACTACTCAGAGACTCGGTCCCTGATTGCATTCTGCAAATAAAAAGCTAGCTATATCTCTTCAATCTTCCAACTTCGGCACCACTCTCTTCAGCCATTTACTCAGATCCTGCAAGACGGCAGGTGAAAGCGCATGCGCCAACCCCTCATACTCCTTGATCTCCAACGCTCCATCGTCTACGCCCAGCTCCTTCAATTTGTTCAAGCCTTCGACCCATTTGCTACGTGGAATTAACCTGTCGGAGACTCCGCGTGCTAGAAACATAGGCACGTGTCCGACAACGTGTGGTAGCCCTCCCTCGGTGCGTAGCTTCTGGATTGTCTCAGGCAGGGGCAAGTAACCCATCAGACCAACGATACCAGCAAGCTTACCAGAATGACGAGAAGTCAGCTCGGTGAGAAGTGCGAGAGCACAGCCTTGAGAGAAGCCTCCGAGGACTATACGATTGGGTGGTATGCCTCTCGTTGTCAGGTCGTCAATGAGCGATTCGACATATTTGACACTCTTCCGCAGACCCTCTTCATCCTCCTCAGGGGCGAGTTCTGGACGACCAGCAGGAGCCGGTGTCAAGGAAGAGGGTATGTACCAAGCATTCTGCCTAGCGTCCATGTTATGTGGCGCATTCGGGAAGATCCATTGCATATAAGGTAGCTTGTTTCCTTCGTGGAACTGTGTGGCTATGTCTGCAGGCTACGTCAGTGCTTGTTTGTGTAACGTTCGAGGAGGTCCGGAACATACTCTCCCAACCCATGGCATCATCGTCGAGACCATGAAGGAAGATTATGGCAGCACCATGAGCGGGGTCGCTGGCAGGCTGAGGAGCTGGTTTGATGAGGGGGGTTTGTTGGTCTTGCATATTGATGTGATTTGGGGAGGACAGTCGAGAACGGAAAGGCAAAGTCAAGGCAGAAAGCATCTTATACGAAGAGTATGACTTCAGAATCCAAAGTTTCACGACCCATCTCCTCTCGCCCGCCCGTCGTGTGACGGTAGCACAGTACGGGATGACCCCCAGGGACAGTCAAATGTGGGGTCGAACGGGGGTGGGCTCCGAAAGACATCCGAGCATGACGAAACCTTCGATTCTTAACGCTCGTCACACTCGCAATGCCACATATCGAAGAGCTACCGACGACGGCAAAGGCAGCCGCTCCAGGATGGAGTTATGTCGTCGATACTGGATACGACCCTTCGAAAGCCGCCATCAACCCTTCAAGTCGCAAACGCGTGCGCGCGACCGCTGCAGGCCTCAGTCAAGGCGATCTTACCGTCCGCCAGCAAACTGCCATCCAACGACATCTGGATGAGCTCGACAAGGACAGCCACAAGCCTGTCAACATCGCTCCACCAAAATCCAATCGCCGCCAGACTCAGAACACGCGACGAATCTTGGCTTCAGGAAAGGACTTTTCGCATTACTTGGACCAGGACGAGGCTGCATTGGCTCTGAAGCAACACCATGGTCCGGAAGTAGACGTAGAACCTCCCAAGCCAGCTCAAAGAGCGAGCAAGACACCTATCGCTAGACGCAAGTTACAACCAGCTCCTGCTGCTGCAGAAGCTAGTCCTGCTCCGACCACTGCTGCTTCCAATGCTGCTTCCACCGCTCCTTCCGCGCCTCTGATACCGTCTTTCCTCAAGCCGTATCTTGTGGACTCGTCCACCGATTCACAAAAGCTCCAGCACGATTCGCTGTTATCGCCGCCTGCTCCACTTACAGCTACCACGGCCGAACTCGAGGCTCTGCTCTCAGCTCCACAACTTTCATACAATGCTGCGCGTTCTGCCCCAAGTCCAGCTACTGCTCCGCCGCAGAGAGTGTTTTGCGAGATTTGCGGATACTGGGGCCGTGTCAAATGTCTAAAGTGCGGCTCTCGTGTTTGCGGGCTCGAGTGCAAGAGCGCTCACGATGAGAGCAGATGCATTCGCTTTTGAGCTTGTTTTGCTATTCTCTTCTTACCATGATACCCTTTTTCGCTCGTATACAATTACACAAGTTCCGGTCACCGAGAACCTGCTTCCTAGACGCTTTGAGTCGTTCGACCAAATGAAGAAACCACGATGCTCGCACGCTGCTGGCCCATGCAGAAGGCGCAGATCTGTATCAAAGACAATTTACTTGATCCTCTGTTCCAAAGGTTCTGACATGGTCCACGTGCCAGGTCAACCCCAGATCGTAACCCCGCAAGCCTTGTTCCTTGTTGCGATACTTGGACAGCCAGTCAGACGCCCGCACGATTTTAGCGATATGCACGTTGCTACGCATTCGCTTAGAACCGTGCGACATATTTGAGATGACCATCACAGTTGTAGCAAGCTTGAGGATAGGTTGTGCAAAATATCTCACGGCCGCCTCGTCGATGCCCCCACATGATCACCTCCTGGGATGAGCAAAACAGATTGTACGCCTTACAATTACCAATACTTGGGCGCTCTAGAGCCGCAGCCTTTGTCCATCCGCGTCGCACGGGTATAGAGCTTCCGGCCTCTGTCTCGAATCTCTCGACATGATTCCTATAACACAATTCTTCAGGCTCCTGTGCTTCATAATTGCGTTCGAATATGCATCACAAATCTTTACCACAGCTCCTTGCCTGTTTGCTCTTCGTCTGGACATGCGGATTTTTAGTCGCCAGTGGCCAAAGCACTACTCAGCCTTCTCTTGCTCAGATCACAAGTGCACTTGCTGCCGGCCATGGAACTGGTGGTGATAGTTCACTGGGTGATTTGTTAGCAGAAGCTGGCAATACTCTGGAAACTATCATTACAGATATCATTGCTCAACTCGCAAAATGGACAACTTTTATCCTCTTTCCTGAGCGTTACTCCTCATATGGACGCTCACCTCCTGCTTATCCATCGCCACAAGTTCAAGGAAGTGGAGAATGGTCGCAAGCATACAGTCAAGCGGCAGCCTTAGTTGCTCAGATGACTGTTCAGAAAAAAGCAAACATTACACTAGGCTCTTCAGAAACTCACGGTTGCTGTGGTTTCACTGGTAGTGTTCCTCGCCTTGGTTTCCCTGGCATATGTTTGAACGATGCCGAGAGCGGTGTTCGTACTGCTAGCAAGATCAATGGCTATCCTGCTCAACTTCATATCGGAGCTTCTTGGAACAGATCTCTAGCTTATGATCGCGCACACTATATTGGTCAAGAGTTCAAGACCAAGGGTGTCAATGTGCTTCTTGGTCCTGTGGCAGGTCCGCTGGGCAGGATTGCGACTGGCGGGAGAAATTGGGAAGGCTTCTCGAACGATCCATATCTAGCTGGGGCCTTGATCGCGCCGACCATCGAGGGTATGCAGCGGCCAGTCATTGCTTGTGTCAAGCACTTTATCGCCAATGAGCAGGAGACCAATCGTAGTCCATTCTTGCAAGGATTTGTCAGCGGCTTGATCAACTTGAACAATTCTGTCTCGTCGAACTTGGACGACAGGACCATGCACGAGTTGTATTTATGGCCCTTTTGTGACGCCGTCAAGGCTGGGGCCGGCTCTACCATGTGCTCTTATCAGAGGGTGAATAATAGCTATGCGGTAAGTCCAGCCGCGTCGGTACATATCTATAGGTCACTAAACATCGTCAGTGCCAAAACAGCAAGACTATGAACGGTCTGCTCAAGACCGAGTTGGGCTTCGAGGGCTTCGTGTAAGCGACCGGTACGCACAGCATATGGGTGTTGCTAGTGTGAATGCAGGCCTAGATATGGTCATGCCAAGTTCCATGTACCTGGACGTCAATGGTTTTGCTACTGCCGTCAAGAATGGATCCGTCAACAGTACTCGGCTAGATGACATGGCCACCCGCATACTCGCAACCTGATATCGATTTGCCAAACTACCAAATCCGGGACTGAATGATGTGGACGCACGTCAGGTGGCAGCAGAAGCGACGCTGTTCCAGGGTGCAGTCGAAGGTCATGTGCTGGTCAAGAATATCAATAACGCGCTCCCACTCCAGAAGCCGATTGTCTTGTCATTTTTCGGATATGATGCTCCCGGCGGATTGAACACATCCGACGCTGACCTGACACTGTACCAAAACGGAAAGGCCAATACGCGAGCATTCACAAATGGAAAGCCCTATACTGGGTTGGATGATCTGATCAACTCGGCTCAAGTCCTTCCGGCCGGCTTCTCTGGTTCCGAGGTAGCCCTAAATGGAACAATGCGTACTGGCGGATCTGGTGCCATTACACCTGCAGCTTCGATATCACCTGAGGATGCATTCCGCAGTCAAGCTGCCATCGATGGTACTGTGCTGTACACAGACTTCACCCCGCAGAATCCTACAATCAGAGATTCCAGGAGTCCGTGCTTGGCGTTTGTCAACTCTCAGTCCAGCGAGAGCTGGGATCGTAGCAAACTTGCAGACGTCTACTCTGATACGCTGGTCACCAATGTTGCTTCTCAATGCATGAACACGATGGTCATCATCCATAGTGCAGGCGTCCGTCTCGTTGACAGGTGGATCGACCATCCTAACATCACGGCCGTCATTTATGCCAATCTGCCAGGACAATACAGTGGAAACTCGTTGACAGAGATCATGTACGGGCGGCAGTCACCATCTGGACGTCTCCCTTTCACTGTCGCCAAGAACGAGTCTGATTATGGCAGTCTTCTGAGGCCGACCCTGCCCGACCGGACGAATCCTCAATACTCACAGTCTGACTTCACAGAAGGTCTCTTTATCGATTACAAACGGTTTAACCAGCAGAAAATCACGCCTTGATTTGCGTTTGGACATGGTCTAACGTACTCGAACTTCAGCTACTCGTCTTTGCAGATCTCGATTAGTGCGAGTGCCATAAGGTCAGCAGCACCTCCAATATCCACGAGTGATATTGCTTCCGAGGGCGGCACAACCTTCCTGTATGACAACATCGCTACGGTCTCCGTCTCCGTCGGGAACACTGGCAGCGTTGTGGCCGCTGAGGTCGCTCAGCTATACTTGGGCATACCTGGTAGTGGTGTTCCTAAAGTTCTTCGTGGCTTCGAGAAGCAATTGATACAGCCAGGTACAAGTGTGACTATGGTTTTCTCCTTGAGAAGGAGAGATCTCAGTATCTGGAATGTGATCAGACAGCAATGGATGTTACCTTCTGGTAACTTCAACGTCATGGTTGGCAAGAGCGTGTTGGATATTCAGGTGCAAGGCACTCTGACACTGTAAGAAGTAACCAGCATAGTGTAACTTTCCACGAGCGTTTCCGGCCGTGCATTATGTCTTCTTCTCCAGAACTGCGTGCTGTTGAGGTAGCTTTCATTGCGTCTTTGTGGCTCATGACGATGATCGAGAGCCAGGAGACAAAGTTCAGGACCGTCGTTGTGCAGATGACCCTGACGGTGTTTTGTCAGAACCTCCAATGACAATACGTTTGCGCATATTGGTAGAAATCATCTTCAATGCAGGGAGAGCACGTTGGAAAGTATCTCATGATGCAATTCAACTCTCAAGCTACTCGGGTGGCTGCTGCGCCCATCTCGTTCCCTTCATGCTTTGACATACGAAAGTAAAAAAGAAGGTATTTGGGACTGTTTCAGATGCAATGTTTATTCAGACATCCACTTGCCTTTCAGCTCTTACTTCCAACTCGGCCGAGTTCGTCCATTAGTCTAGATTTCTCACAAGCAAACGGTGACAGCGAAAAGGTTCATGGATGAGTGGGCCGCCGTGGTTTATTCCTTCGAGCAAAACGGCACGAGAGAGGGGTCTTGCGGATGATACTCCTCCGCTACATCTTTCCCTTTATTTTGAGTAGCGTAGAGACAGAGCACAGCACACTTGTGGCGTTAGAATTCGCTTCCTCAAACTCTCAGAGGAGGAACTCCGCGGAAGCCACAGCTGTTCGAATGATTGGGGTTTGGGTTGTCGGCTCCATACCGTTGTGCACATGGACATTGGCGTCGCGGGGGCCCCTCTCATCTGCGCGAAATTTCGTCTGGGCCTTCTTGCTTGGATATCAGCAGGTCAGCGCTAGGAGGTTGCTCCTCGGCGACAGTGGCAGGTCAAGAGAAGCACTGCGTGTATGCGCGTGTACTTCTTAGAGGTAGGAGACGCCGATGATACCAGTGAAGAGGATAGGTAGTCCGAAGTATCCGGCTTAGCAGGCTGGGCCTCTTTTTGTAGCCCACTTCCCGAACATGCCTATCAATCCGTTGCATGCAACAACCGCCATATGTCTCTCGGCGATTGGCGAAGAGAGAAGTCCTCTCATACGACCTCCGAGCCGTTCTTTGCAAGTCGGCTAGATAGTCACGGCCAATGCGGTTACCTCACATTGACTGTGCTTTCACAATCCGGATGTCTTGATCATTCTTGGCTTGCAGCTTTGGTGCTTACGATGGGCGTCCTTGGCCTTGTCGATATTCGTACACATCCACGTCCGGAAGCTAGACGGAAAAAAGACACCGCTCGCCAAGAATAAAAAAGATACATGAAGAGATTGAGAGGAAGACGCGATCCACCCTGCAGCAAATCCCTGAGACCAGCGACCGAAAGCTCTGCGAATCAAGCTTTCACCAGCCACGATTGATTGTGGCATACCCACCCTCGAAAGCGAGTGAATGCGCAAAGATATTTGCCATCGCATCCAATGTCCTTGAGATCGTTGATCAGAACTGCCGTGATGCTCCGACTTGTGCCTTTCCCTTGCAGATGCGAAGAAAATGGAGAGAAAATGTGAAAAAGGACGCGCAATCACGCGTCATACCTCAGAGATGCTCATCTAACCTGCGGCCGCTAGCCGTAAAATGCTGCACACAAAGATAGAAGACGACCAAATCTCGCCAAGCATTGACATGACTTTTCAGAAGGGGTCCTACCATTGACGGGAGCCCCGTACATCGTTTCTATAGTGGTGTCGGTCTGTGACAGCAGCTAGCGAAGCTGCTTTGACCTTGTCAGCATCCCTCAAGTCAAGACGTGGATGTAGGAGAATCAGATAGAGGGCGTGTGTCATAGCGAAAGCTCGAGGCTCATGGCGCTCGTTTGACAGTTGAAGGAAGATGTCAACATTCCGTGACGTCTCATCGGGCCTCCCATCGATCTGAGAATGAAGAGGAGGTGACTTCGTATGAGCGTTCGAGCTCGCTCTCAATCATGCCACAGAACGAGGTCGGAAAGCCACAAGCAAAGACGTCGGGATCAATACCGTATGCATGTATACCGTTGACTGGAGTGCAGTAGGCAAAAGTCTCCACCTAAACATAGCATCCCCGACATCAATTCATACCCACTCTTTCCCCCTTGACCATGCCTCGAAGCGGCGTTTGCAAAGACAAGTGAACAACTCGACGTGTCGCATAACATCCCGATCCTCAAGTCACCATTGGCTTTCCCTTCGATCTTTCCGTCTCCAAGCGAAACGCAGGTTGACTCGAAGTCCATTCATCCTTCACATGCACAGGACACTTCGGGTCGATAAGATGAACATCGAAATCTCCCTTCTCGGCCACGCCGGAGCAGAGCGAAAAAGGCTCGCAAACGGATCAACCTCAATAGCGGGATTGCGAGTCCTCAATGTCTTGGTCAACACACCGCGATCCTCCCAGTTGGCAAACGAAAGGGATCAAACATAGCAATTAGGATAGAGGATCCTCTACGTCTCGAAAGACGACCCATCGTCTATGATGTGATGGCTACTACTGGCGGCGAGATAGAGTGTTATGTGACGTCCCATGACTCGGTCATGACCTGCCGAGTCAAGCAAGTTGATGAACCGACCTCTTGGTAAAGGCTCGGCGGAGGTGGAGCGCGCGGCCGGGAAACGGCGGTCAATCAGCGCACCTGCCGGGACGCGCCCAAACTCATAGTCTGACGCCTCGTCTCGGCGCACCGCCACACGTACTCAACGATCTTTTGACAACGGCGCAGGAAAAAGCGATCGAAGATTCAAGGTAGCAGTGGCGTTAGTATACGTCGCGCCCCGTTAGCCAACGGTAAAGAGGACGGATCAGCGTACTAGTATCCGTTTGACCTGGCTCCTCACAAGTCGACTCGAACACAGGCAGTGAGCATAGGCAGATAGCAAGTACAATTGTGAATAAATACGGCCGTAGATTGCGGACCGTATGGACTAAGAAACTAAGAGGTTGCAATTCGGGAAAGACCATTTCCAATGACCAGAGTGACGGTCGGGTATTGTGTGCTGATAACCATTTGCGACAAAGGAGACAAGGGGAGAAATGAAAAACAGCCAAAGGGGAGAAGAGCAAAGAAGGGTATATCGAAACAGACAGTCAGACCCTTGAGCACCCAAAATCAGGCCCAGACATTCCAGAAAGCGCTCAATCACTGTGTACATTGAACGAACAAATCGTGCTTGTCTGTGTGCGCCTGAAGAAAGCAAAGGAAAGAGTAACAAAAACATTAGTAGTCGCAACAGGGGAAATAGCGAACAATGAAAACCAACAAGTCTTTCTTGCTGGAGGAGGGTATCGACTGAATCAACACAAGGAAAAGTCCAATGGCGAGAAAGGACATGGGGTATCTCAGATCGCCTGATCGCTGATCGAAGGCGGTTTTGATTATCCTTCAGTCTCCAGGACCCAGGTGGCAGGTTGATTCATGATGGGTCGTTATCGGCAAAGTTGGTGGCAGTCGGAGCTTTAGTAAACCAGCCTGAGCTCGTAGCCTGAGGAAGGCGATCTGGGTTGCCACTGGTTCTGTTGCATGTCGACCGTAGCGAACTCGACCTTCATATCTTGACCTTCGGGCAATTCACGAATTGCCTCATCATCCATCAGAATCTGAATTCCTTTTTGGTTGACGCGCACTGTTCGGACAATCTTCTGAGGCTCGATACTGAACTTTGCTGCGGCTGCACTGACAAACTCATTGAGGTTCCTCTGCAAAAGGTAAATTGCGCGGTAGTAGTCATCATCGGTTGCCTTGCCCTGACCGCGGGACTGTAGATAGAAGCAAGCCACTAATTCAGGTCAGTAAGTTTGTCTAACGTTGAAACCGGATCGTGAACGTACGAGGCTTGTTAGCGCGCTCGGGTGGAGGTTGATAAGCAGAATCTACGCCGATTGCCTCAAACCATCCGGCGAAAGTACCACCAGTGGGCGAATGCGCTTGCATCTTGACAGGCTGATCAGGTGGACTGGCCAAATGCTGGGGGTTTGAAGACTTGAGATCCATAGTTGCGACTTGTGAGTTGCTGCGATCCCATTCGTTGGAGTTGACGCGGGAAGGTGGTCCAAAAGCGCTTGGGCGGCGGAAGTTTGAAGGTAGCGATTGGTTGCTAGGAGTAGGCGAAACCATGGCGGAGCTGGCCTTGTTACTCTGATCATCCCACATGTTTGTGTCGTTGGTATCGACCCGAGTAAGGCCCTGAGTATCGCCAGTCAGGCTCACCGGGTGAAGATCTGGGTCGTCTTCCTCGGCGCCTCTCAAAAACAGAACACTGATGGGTCGGGTGGAACCAAACATGTCTTGCAGTCCGATAAGCTTCATTTGCAGGTCTTCTTCGGCAGAAGATCTTCCGGTCGAGGCTGTAGATGACATAGACCAAGTTCTCTTGTGCTTGGGAACCTTGCCAGGTCGTTGAGGCATCGCATTGACCTTTGAGATGGAGCCACTTCTCTTGCGCTTGCTCGAATCTCTCATACCGGACTCGATTTGAGAGATTTGCTGATTGAGTTTGTCGATCATCTTTTTGACGTGCGCAACATCGTTGGAAAGCTTGCGCTCAGCTCCGTGGTCGCGGAAAAGCTTGACTTTGCAGTAACATACTTCGTGGGTAGGTTGCTGAGATGGCGACATGGAGTCGAGCAACAACTCGGTCTTTGTGCACAGACGGACCGGAATACCCTTCACACCCTTGGAATGGCTGAAGTCGGTGGAGAGGAAGTTGAAGCGAACCGAGATGGGACACTCGATTCCTTGGGCATTAGGAGATGGGCTCCATGTCACGCAAAAGCCATCGAACGAGGACGACTCGAGCTCCAGCTTTGGTCGGTTGAGATCGTTCGATTGGTTTTGGTCCACGAATTCGACAGCTTGGAGGCGGCCGCCGCGTTGATGGGCTTCGTTGGTGCCTCTACCTTCTTTCCAGAGCTGCCAGCAGGCTCCAGGGCGCTGTCTTTGAGAGTCATCCTCGAAGGAAACGCGAACGAAAGTGCGGTATTTGAGTTGGCCAACAACCGAGTGCTGAGGAGCAGTGTCGTGGACATTGAGCGTGTAGGCCTGTCCCTTGTTAAGGTAAGTAACCGGGATCTCGTCGGCCGATCTGACCATGGCGGTCGGAGCATTGAGAGTGACGCGGTAACGGAAGCTGCAAAGAAGGTCAGTAAGAGAGGCAGGATGGAAGTGGCCGAGGACTGACTTCTCGCTCGACGGATGTTGGGGCATGGCGACGAGTGCAGCGTTGCTGAGGTGCGGCGGGAACATTTGCTCTATTTGAGGTTGATTGGACATTTCGACGTCGAGGTTCATGTCACCACACATGGGTGAATCGGCTGCTTGACTGTCGAGTTGGTCGAAAACGGGCATTTGATGTTGGAAGTTGTGGGGAGGGAAAGCAGGCTGGTGATGCATTTGGAATGGGGGAGCAGGATTTCCAAATGGGTTCATGTGATTGTGATGGTGATGCTGCATAGCATGTGCAAATGAATGCATGTGCGCCAGCTGAGGAGCGTGAAGGGCCGACGTGTCCGAGGTTGGCATAGACAGCGGAGTGTTCAGGCCCATACCAAAGCCAGGCGTGTGGAGGTCACCAGCTTGCGGGTGGTAGAGAGTGTTCGTACCGCCAGGCGTGGGTGTGTAGTAGCCTGACATCTGGTTTGCGAACGTGTTGAACGAGGAGCTGTTGGGGTCCAGCACCGAGGGGGTGAGGCCGGTGCTACCAAAGTTCCATTGTTCCGTCGAGGATGCCCGAGGAGTAGGGTCGGCATCCTTGATGTTGTGGTGCTCGGCGAATTGGCTGTAGTCGCAATGCAATGGTCAGTCTGAGCACTGCAAGAGTGGTGGTGCTTGTCTTGATTGACAAAGATAGAGTAGGGGCTGTTTGGGTGAGCGGGAAGGTGGAGAGGGACATACCGAGGGTTCAACGTCGCGACGTCGAGAGCATCCAGCGACGGACCATTCGACTGAGCGGCCGACGAGGTGGGTGGGTTGGGGTTGAACTTGATGGCCTCGAGGTATGGCTTGAAGCTCTTTTGCAATTCAATGCTCGGCTTTTGCGAGCTTTGTCTGCAGCAGCAATAACAAATCATGTCAGCCACGGATGCGCGCCCAAGGTCAGCCAGCTGTGGCAGTGTGGCTCGCTCTTACCTATGCTCGAACATGGTTGCCGGGCGCTCACCATGCAATGTCTCGATGTTGATTTGTGTTGGGGGCGCCGATATTGCGAGCGCGTGGTGAAGAAGGTGTTTATGAGAAAGGTGAAGGTCGACTCTTGAGGATAGGTTCGTCACCAGGTGAGTCGATGAAACAGCGTGCAATAAGGGAAAGGCGCAACCACAAGCCACAGGATGTCCGCACCGTTTTAACTGCAGGCTGAATTGTGGCCCGACCAAAACTTACGCTACCAACATGGAAGCGACACTCAGCCTGTCCCGTGCGTTACCGATTCTCTTCGCTTGCGCTTGCTTGCCCGTGAGCCATCATCGCTCGATAGCTGTCGTCTGCCATGCCCCATGTGTCTCGCGATGCTTCCTCTCACTTTTCGCCCTGCCAGTGAAGATCATCTTTCTGTGCCGCGCCACATCAAGTCAGCCACATGGCTGTGCAATCCTGTTGTCAACCTTTCGCCTGGTGCTACGGTTTTTGTTTTTGCTTCGGATCGCTTGTCGCTCACACATGCACGCTTGCAAAAGCGGAAAGCGTGCCCACAGTGTGTGGCTGGAAACGCATCCCCGCAAACGCTGCAGCGCTGACTCGAGCCCTTCACGGCAATCTTCGATCTCGTCCTCAGCAGCACGAACTGTGGCTCGATCATCCTTTCTTCCAAAAACTCGAGCGTTGTCTCCGATGTCACCAGCTCCGAAGCTTACGTTGCAGCCCAGGCCAGCAAATCCGACTAGCACGCTTTTGAGAATTGCCGACTCGACCCTTTCTCACGCCCCCCTTTTGCCCTTTCTGATACGCAGACTGCCGCTGTCGCATCTCGCAAGCAGTTGCGGGTAAGGCAGACTGCTGACCTTTCTATTGCTGCTGTGACGTAGAGCGACCTCCCTGACCGGTGCCCGAGACCACCACACGCGGGTCTACGCATACAATCTTCCCCGAGTGCTGTTGTCACTACACTGCATGCTTTTCAATCTCACCCTGCATCAGAGGCGGATTGCGTCTACGATGGTAATTCGCCGATACAGCCACAGCTGCTTTCGTTCCTTGACATACGATGCTGCCGCTCTATCATCGATACCATGCCCTACTTCTTCTAGAACACACTTTTCTCTGCCGTCTCTCTTCTCCAAGCAATTTCCCTTTTGCAACACCAACCGAAATTGAGATGTGCTTGCTGCTGGTTCATTATTGGGACTTTGGTAAGCCACTAACATCATGCGCTGAGCGAACCTTATATCGCGTCGAGCCATCCTATTATTACCACTAACACCCATAATGTAATTGCGCATGGCCCCTCCAGGGTTGACACACAGCGAGAAAAGAGAGGGCACGTCCTGCCGTATCAGACGAGACGTCAAAGAGTGCAAGCGTTCGTCATGGAGCTAAAAGGAGACTCCACTTTCAACCGTCAAGGACGTTCGCTCAAACGGCGCCTCTCGCGCTTGGCCTCGTCTCTCGCGAAAGCCACCCAAGCACCACACGAGGGCAACAGCTCTCGAGGCATCGATCAGCGAACGAGGGGCCCGTAGCAATTCCGAAGCTTGTGATCCGCCGATCTCTTCCCCTCTTTGTCCGTCGGTCTGCCACAATCCAGTGGCGGTGGACAGCGAAGCAACACGGGATATCCACTTTCCCGGAAGACTTTTGATCTTCGACGCAACTCGGAGATCTCGCGATGTCCAGTGACCAGAGTCCGTGGCTGCTTGCTGTCTCTTGTTCAGTAATCGACGACTTGGACTCCAAATTTGACTTTCCAAACGAACCACCTAGCGCCGCGAAACCGAACGTGGCTCTCTGGGAACGGGTAGCCGTCCATTGGTAGCCATTGTTCTCCTTCGGATTACAGCTTGCGCCACATCTGCCACACCTGCCACACTCGGTCAACGCTACCCAGCCGCTTGAGACGGTGCTGACCCCTCTTCTGTGAGAGACCACAGAAGAGACTCTGGCAGCTGTGGCAGGTGAGCTGTGGCTGTGTGGCTGAGCCGCTGTCATCCTGTCACGCCTTGAACCATGTCGGCCGCGGTCCAGGCTCCATCCTTCCAAACTCTCTCTTTTGATTCGATGTGAGCTCTCTGCGGGAGATTTGCTGCACCCAATCTGGCGCGGGAAGTTCGGTATGAGGGGGGGCTTTGTGGCTGCCATCAAATATGCCGCAGGCTGGTTCTCAACCCATGGAGACAATCTCCCGTATTCTGTGGCATTCTGTGGCATTTTGTCTGATTGCATTTGCCCTCTTCGACTGCACTCGACAATCCACGTATGGCGTTGTTCATCTGTGGCTGGTGCCTGATGTGAAGAAGGGAAAGTATGGACGATCTACAACTGCGCGTGAGACGAAACAGTGTCTCTTCCCCTGACCGTGGATTTGGAAGCAGACAGTCGCGCGCGCATCACTGACTTTTACCGAGGGACCATTTGCATTTACCGCTACATCATCTGAGGAAGGTCATTGTATCACTATATCTGTTGCCAAAGCCGTCTTCAGACGTGCCCGCTTGAGGCATGTCTGAATGGTCGAACCGCCAATTGGCGATTGTGGAGATTTGAGGTCTGTTCAGAGGAGAAAAGGCGCGTGAACGTGTGCCCTCCGTGCCAGTGCCGTCATGTGGAGAACAATAATGGTAATCTGACGCGGCAAGAGTAGAAATGCAGGGTGTAGATTGTCAATAGAGATATATTACATCGGTAGTACCATGCCACTGTCATACCGCTGCACTGTGAGCCCAGCTTCCATTAAAGTGCTCTGGAGCGTCGCTCCGAGCATACTGCACCTGCAATTCCAACCTGCAGCACAAAGGTACTGTTCTCTCTGTACGCGTAATCCCCTCCCCCTAGGTAAGAAGCGTTTCGAGACATCCAGTAAGCTTCATGGACACAATCAGTCTCTACGTACGGTAGATCAGCGACCGCAAATCAACGCGATCACTGGCACCTTGGCAGGGCAATTGGAAAGTAGACTGTGTGTTACATGTTCTATTGGCCAGCACCGTCGGCGACTCAAAGCCAGCCACGCTCATGATTGATGGAAGCATGGCGCAGCCGCATCTTGCGCCAGCAATTCTTCCACTGCATATGCCCCGCCATTCCTACCTCACCACATGACCTCCGGTGCACATGGCTACACACCCTATCCACAACCATAATCATCCGTCATACTCTCAAGGTTGGAGCGTTGTGATCTAGGCATCCTACTGCCAGGATTGTGCAATCTTGCCTCATGTGTTGGCGTAATACGACCCACGCAATTATGTCGATGGCTTTGGCGAGTCTGAAGGAGTAGCAGTGCGAGTGGAAGCAACCGCCGTATTGTTATCTTGCATGCTACCGTAGCGTCGAACATCACCACTACCTCCGACACTTTCCCTCGATGACAGATGGGGACTGTCCAAGGGAACACTGGATCTTGATGTTCCTCTGCTGTGATTCGAGTCACCGTCAGGGCACCTGATGGCAGTAAGGAAGCTCGAAGATGAATCTTCCCTTCTTGGTCTTGCCAAAGACGAAACAGAACTAGGACTCGGGATCTTAGATAGGCTTGGAAACTCTACTACAGGCGTCAATACTGGCGAAGGTAAGATGCGCTCGGTAGCGAGCGTGTCTGGTGCTTGGAGCGAGGATAGAGATGGCCTTTGCCGTGCACGATGGTCGACAGAGACACATCTTTGAAGGGGAGAGCTGGCTGCATGCTGTGTCTTGACTTGAGTGCAACGAGAGTCGTCATCATCGTATTCGAAAGAGAACCTGCGTGTCTGCTCCAGGTGCAGCGATTCTGGACGAGTGCTGTCTGCATCGAGAGATGTTTTACGGAAGCTAAGATCGTCGCTTGGAAGAGAATCGTTTTCGATGCCAGCATGTTGTTGGGACAAAAGTTGATCATCATTCGAAGCGGAAGCTGCGTCCTGATCGTCGACCATCTCTGCGTATCGTTGATAAGCCGAGTAGGATTCAGATGAGTCGGTGTCAGAAAGTGAAGGTCGCCCGGCCAGAATTTCGAACATCGAGGCTTGGGAGAGGCTGGTAAAGTCATGAGGGCTCGGAGGAGAGTCGAAATCACTGTAGTGGCAGGTCGTCGAGAGCTTGTGTGACAGTAGAGTCATCTTCTGCGATGGAGACACCGTACGATTACGAAGAGGCACTGATAGCATGGTAAGTCCTTGTCCCAGTCGGGCGGAAGATCTGACGTACCTCTTTGCGCCTTTCTAGCGGCTTCCTCCTTTCCTCTGTCTTCGACTCTTGTTCTTTCTAGGAATTCGAAGACTGTCTCTCGGGGATCGTCCCTGTCTGTGTTGGTGCCAGATGCTGTACGTCGTCTATGCTCTCTGCGTAGTAGGCTGCCTTGCCTAGCGCGCATGACGCCAGCAACCCCTTCACTATCTCTAAAGATGATCAATTCGAGTCTTTTGACTTCGGCCTTGTATTCTTCTCTTTCTAACTGCCATCGTTGTCTTTCGAGATCCAAATCATGATGTGACGCAAACCGAGTCTCCACTTCGTACTTCAGCTTGCGGCTAAGAGAGGCGTTCTCGTCGCGCAGGTTGCGAAATCCTTCAAAGATTCCAAGCAGAGGTGAGTTGTATTTGATGTCTAGAGAGCGATAAGGCTCTGCCATCAAGGTACGCATCATCGAGTCCATGATCTGGTCAACATCCGGTTCGCAACCTTCAAGCCAAGTCGGACATGGCTCTGAGATTGTGTCTTTGAGAGAGGTACGTTGGTCCGCAGACCATATGGACGATCTCGCGTTGCCAGTGGAGAGACAACGGTGGGAGAAGTAAGAGCTGATTTTGGGTCGCACCTTCTTGTGAGTAGAGCCAAAGCCGCTGGTGATGGTTGGCTCTGTCTCATCTTGCTCGCCTACCGGCATGAGCGCATGAGGAAAGCCAGGTTGGATCCTTCTGCGCCATTGATGAATGTCCGCCATGTTGTTGGTGTGCTGTGGAACAATCTGGTGGAAGCAGCGATAGACGCTCGCGCAAAAGCTATATGGTAGCGAATGTTGTGATGTTGTTGCAGTGTTGATCTGAGCAAAGCAAGTCTTCCCAGGCGGAAGCCGCGACCACTTACCTCACTGCCTGAGACGGCCGCATCTACGTTTTACAGAAGGCACATACTGATGGAAGGATCGATGGAGTGAAACTGTGTTTTTTCTGCGGAATCGAAGATAGGTAAGATTGGTCACATAAATAAGAGAGATGCTAAAAATGAGAGATGTGACCCCAACTCCATGCACATGTACCCGATGGAATACAGGTCAAGTGTTTGGTAATGGTGGGGTCTTTGATATTGGCACGATGGAAAATCCTTCAGCAAATTCTGCATGGAGATCGCGAGTTGCTGTACACACTTATGCCGTGTTGTTTTGTTTGGGGAAGGGTCACAGAGGAAGACGAGAGTAGACGGGAAAGGTAGAGGTGGACCAGGGTGACAGGGTGACAGGGCGACGAGACCGAGAGGCATTTTGCACAACCAGATTCATGGCATTTGTCGCAAGGAGTCATTTCGCGCTCCTTCTAGCAAAGCTTCCAACCCATAACACAGGACGCCGATTTTTGACTTTCGTGATGTGGTTGATGCGTTTATGCGGACTCTCTCTTGCCGTCCTTGACCTCCTTCTGCAGAGGCTGTTAGTATGGCGTCGGACTGGCGATGGAGGTTGCGCCACGTACCAGGGCTCTCATGGTGCCGTGAAGAGCATGTCTGTGGTTGCGTCTGAACTTGGGGTCGGTACCCTTGAGGGAAGGGTATCTGTGGGTCTTGGGCTTCTTGATACTGCGGGTGTCGTCATGTTAGTCGGTCGTTCTCATCGGGCTGGTTGATGGCGGAGCTGGCGGTCGAGAGGTGGTATAGAGGATGTCGCTGCGTACCCGTTCTTGTGGGCCTTCTTGGCCTGGTTGTGCTGCGACGAGTTCTTGGACTCTGGAGAATTTTGTCAGCATTCCATCAGCGTCTTTGACAATATGCGAGCGCAACTTACTGGCCATTGCGACGTCTGGAAGTGAATAACTTGTCGAGGTGTCTGGTTCTCCAAGTTCTGCGCACTGTGAAGTTGCCCAATTCTGCGCACACCGCTAAGCGAGTGGCCTTGGCAGCGCACGGACCCGACTCTGCTCGCTCTTCCAACCTCACTTGTCGACCATTTCTTAGTCAATACAACATGATGACAGTAAACACTCTTATCTGGAGGAAGTGTCTGTAGCGACAGAGCTGCAACAAATTGCCTCTTGTCTCAAACCTACAGTGCAATGTCGCGATCACGAAGCACTATCTTATGAACAGTCTCATGTGCTTCAATCGTCTAAGGGCACAAGCTTGACGACCAGTGGCTCCTCTTCCATTCTCATCTTCAAGACTGGTCCACACTCTTATTCTCTGTTCTAATTGAGAGGAACCTTTTCGGAAGCATCGCACGTTTAGCTTATACCGTTAGTCCGACGTACCGAATCTGAACATTCATGACACCTTGGCCGAACCGTGAAGACGTCATACCATTAGCCCTTGGCCTGTGGACCGGATCCAGCTTGAGACACCAATAGGGAGAATACAGCTCATAATTTCGTCGGCGGCTCAGGCGGTATGGCTAAGTCCGGTGGAACTCGGTCGTGAGGATACGCAATTCATGTACCGGGTCGAAAGGTGTTCTGCGAGAGCACAGTGTGCTAAACATCTCTATGAGAAACTCGATGAAGGTAAGGTTCACGGTCTCAAGCACAACGCCGAACCACTTGATTTCTCAGTGATCTGAAAGTGGTCAAATTATAGAACATAAAAGACTCATTCGGGATATATGGTTAATGAGAAAGAAAAATCAATACGCCCAAGAGTACAAGGTATAAACAACGAAGACCACTTCTCCACTTCTCTCTGTGAGTCACTCTGTATGTGATGTCTCCTCTACCGCCCCGGTCCGGATGTTCGTGACCGGCTCATGATTTTGTGAAACATAGCTGTCCTAGCCGTGACTATTCATGCATCATTTAGTTCTTGGCGTTCTTGGCCATGGTGTTGAGGGCAGAGCCGTTCTTGAACCACTCGATCTGGCCCTCGTTGAAGGTGTGCGAAAGCTTGATCTCGTATGACTCGCCGTTCTTGGGGTGGACCTTCATGGTCATGGGCTTGCCAACGGCGAGCTCAGTGCAGAGAAGGTCAACCTTGTCATCGGGGTTGAGCTTGTCGTAGTCGGCAGGCTCGGAGAAGGTGAGAGGAAGCATACCCTGCTTCTTCAAGTTGGTCTCGTGCTGGAGCTCATGTAAGTAATTTGGTTTTCGTGCAATGAAAGAACATGGTACTTACGATACGGGCGAACGAACGGACAATGATGGCGAGACCACCAAGGTGACGGGGCTCGAGAGCGGCGTGCTCACGGGATGAACCCTCACCGTAGTTCCAGTCACCAACGACGACCCAGCGGATACCCTTGGACTTGTAGTCACGGGCGACACCGGGAACGGTGCCGAACTCACCGTTGGTGTAGTTCTCAATGTTGTTGGCTTCGCCGTTGGCGGAGTTGATGGCACCGATCAACATGTTGTTGGAGATGTTGTCCAAGTGACCACGGTACTTCAACCAGGGACCGGCCATGGAGATGTGGTCAGTGGTGGTCTTGCCCTGAGCCTTGATCAGGATGGGAAGGTCGGTGGCGTCCTTGCCGTCCCAAGCGTTGAAGGGCTCGAGGATCTGGAGACGGTCAGAGGTGGGAGAGACGGCAACGTTGACCTGAGTGCGGTCCTGGGGAGGAGCTTGGTAGGTGTCCATTCCCGGATCGTAGCCGTTGGCGGGCAGGCCGTCACCGGTAGGGGCCTTGAGCTTGAACTCGTTGCCATCCTTGTCCTTGAGGGAGTCGGTGAGGGGGTTGAAGTTGAGGGTACCGGCGATGGTCATGGCCACGACAAGATCGGGGGAGGTGACGAAAGCGTGGGTGGCGGGGTTGGCATCGTTACGGGAAGTGAAGTTACGGTTGTAAGAAGAGACGATGGAGTTGGCCTCGCCCTTCTTGACGTCGCGACGGTCCCATTGACCAATGCAAGGACCGCAAGCGTTGGCAAGAACCATACCACCGAACTCCTCGAAGGTCTGAAGCTGACCGTCACGCTCAATGGTGGCGCGGATCTGCTCAGAACCGGGGGTGACGGTGAAGAGGGCCTTGGCCTTGATACCGTGGTCGAGAGCATCACGGGCGATGGAAGCGGCACGCGACATATCCTCGTAAGAGGAGTTGGTGCAAGAGCCGATAAGACCGACCTTCATCTCCTCGGGCCAGCCGTTGGCCTTGACGACCTCCTTGAACTTGCTGATGGGAGTGGCAAGATCGGGGGTGAAGGGACCGTTGATGTGAGGCTCGAGCTCGGAGAGGTTGATCTCAATGAGCTGGTCGTACTCGGCACCCTCGTCCTGCTTGAGCTCCTTGGCGTATGTGCGCGAGAAGTCACCAATCTGCTTGCGCTTGGTGGCGTTCAGGTAGTCGTACATGCGGTCGTTGAAGGGGAAGAGCGAGGTGGTGGCACCAATTTCGGCACCCACTACAGAAAATGTCAGTACGCTGTCAAATGTTTATGGATTGGGGCTGCACGACTGTTGCATATTGTGCCTAGGAGAGAGTTAGCAATGATTCAACAACATAGGTGAATGGGGGAACACGAACTCATGCCAGTGGCGGAGATGGAGTCGACACCGGGTCCGAAGTACTCAACGATTGCACCGGTACCACCCTTGACAGTAAGGATACCAGCAACCTTGAGGATAATGTCTGTTACGAAAGTCAACATGAGCTTCGGAAAAGATCACGATAAGGAATGGACGAACCCTTAGGAGAAGCCCAGCCAGAGAGCTCGCCAGTAAGCTTGACACCAATAACCTTGGGGGCCTTGAGCTCCCAGGGGAGGTTGGCCATGACATCGACGGCATCAGCGCCACCGACACCAATGGCGGCCATACCGAGACCACCGGCGTTGGGAGTGTGAGAGTCAGTACCGATCATGAGACCACCGGGGAAAGCGTAGTTCTCGAGGATGATCTGGTGAATGATACCAGATCCGGGTCTCCAGAAACCGATGTTGTACTTGGCGCAAGCGGTGGACAGGAAGTCGTAGACCTCCTTATTGATGTCCTGTGCACGGGCAAGATCCTTCTCACCACCAATCTGGGCCTCGATCAAGTGATCGCAGTGGACGGTGGAGGGAGTAGCAACCGAGGGCATGCCAGCGGACATGAACTGGAGAATGGCCATCTGGGCAGTGGCGTCCTGGCAAGCAACACGGTCGGGACGGAGCTTGAGGTAGGAGACACCACGCTCGATGTCCTGCTCATGAGGGTTGTCAAGATGCGAGTAGAGAATCTTCTCAGCGTAGGTCAAAGGACGGTTGTTCATACGCTGGCGGACAATGCTCAGGTTCTCGCTCATCTTGGCGTAGTTGATGTAGTTTCCGGTCTCCCAGTTGGTCATCTCGACCTTCTTGGAGAGAGGCGAGTCGCCGACGGTCGCGAAGGCGCGACGGCCCAGCTGTGGAGCTTGTCAATACCATGTTTCTAGATGGGAAACAAGCTGTGAAAAGGACTTACCAGCTTGCGCGCTGCCAAACGAGCGGACTGCATTGTGATAAGTCAACGGCGGGGGAGCTATTGACAGTGACCTAGGTGCCTATGCGGCTAAAAGAAGGACACGGGGGGTGGGGAGAGGTGGTGAAGCGGAGAGGTGTTGATGGGAAGAGAAGACGGTAGAGTTATTTAAGAGAAGATACCGCAACGAGTTATCCCTTGGCCCTGGCCCAGTGGCCCTCGGTCAAAGAGCGACAGAACTCATCAAAGCTGTCCTCATTGGCTGGAGCGCACGAGCCAGCCTGCTCGATTTACACACCCCCGCCGCCTCTGTGCTTTTTCGCTTCCGTCCAGCTTGCTTGCTTGTCCTCTTGATGGAAGCTAATTCGCTGCGTACGTCTTTCTTACATCAGATTGCCAGTGAATAGCTATCGACTGATCGTGATCTGTGTTTCTCCCATGCAAAATAGTCTGATGTGAGGCTCATGAAGGGGCTGCCATGCTTAGCATGCGAAACAACAGGAGCTGCCGCGTGCGGCTTCCCACGTAGCCGTGCCGGTAAACATCGGACTGCTCCGCCTATTTATTGGTTGGCGGGTGTCTCCAAATCGGTCTCGCTGATTGTTCGGTCGGGGACATTCGAACTCGGCCGGCTCGATCGGCTGCAAGCAATTCTTTCAGAAAGTTGGAGCCGACCTCCTCACATGTGAAAGTCTAGAATTCGTGGTACTGAACGGATGGTGTTTGTCTATACAGCGTACTGTCGAATCAACAAATATTGATGGTCAGCTTCTGGCCATCAGAATGAGTGACAGTGCTGCTTGAGACATGTCGAAGAGACGGTAGTCGAGTACAGACAGCAGATGTCACGATATCAACTTCGAGCGCAGCAGCGGACATTCTCCAGATCGTAGCCAGATTGATGAGGCAGAAAAGTAAGTGCTTGGCACGCGCCGACTAAAAAATTCCATGCGGTTAGTGCAACCATCTCTCGCAAAAGTCCTGTAACCAATAACTTTGCGGGACCACGGCAACTGAGACTGCTACTCCACCACCTCGAACATAGTTACTCGACCACACAAATTTCACCTACCGAAGAAGTCATCATGCCCGCCATCCGTGGTCAAGATTCCAAGAAGAAGACTCGCCGTCATACGCGCGATCTCGACCAGATTCACGACGATATCCACAAGGAAAAGCATCTGGACAAGTACAAGAGCACAAAGCATACTGAAGATCTCCCTGGTCTCGGACAGTTCTACTGTGTCGAATGCGCTAAATGGTTCGAGTCTGAGGCCAATCTGACTGCTCACTCCAAGGGCAAGGTTCACAAGCGCAGGTAAGCCTTCATCCCAACTTGCCCAAGTCTTGTGCCAATCTGACCTGTCTCGCAGAGTTCGCCAGCTCAAGGAAGAGCCCTACTCGCAGAAAGAGGCCGAAGCTGCCGCTGGCCTTACCTGGACTGACAACGGCAAGCGCAAGGAGGAGGACCATGAGCTTGAGATGGCCGAGGCCACCTGAACAATTACGTTGTTGGACACCTGCTGCACCAACATATCACCACCACCAGGTGCTTTGTGGGAGTGATGATCGGTTCCATCACCGCTCGCCAGATAATCGCAACCACGCCGTGCCATCTAGATAAGAGTTGCGGATCACAAGCGCAACAGCGAACGCTCTGGCTTTCGTAAACAACAGCCATAGATTTCATCCGGGCCAACACAGAACATTGGTCCTGCAGAAGTATGCTTTACGCATCCTGGACCTCGGGCAATCCCGGTTAGAGATGAACAGCACAGCCGACGCTTCGGAAGAGTGGTTCTGGTCCGCGGATGCAGAGAACCCGTGGGAAGCCATATGCCGTTGACATTGAAATCAGGCGGAGGGCCTGGAAATAGAGTCGATTAATCGTATATCATAATTGTGACTCTGTCGTTACGATGGCTACAATCGACGAATCAAACATCTTCAATTCTACCAATCTGCACCAGTGACTCATATTTTGATTGTTTACAAGTGCCTCATTATGGATTGTGATAAAATCTGCAGTGAAGAGCGAATGATATACCTCTGTCGGTTGTGATGCTGACTCGATGTCTGCCTAAAGGCGGTTTGCTGCCTGAGGTCTAGCGACTACAAATTCTGTGATGAGTGCACCCCAAACCATGAATACCAAACCATAAATCAAACAATATCGCAAAACACCATCATCATGTCATTCAACACAGTCGAACTCTATGGCGGTGCTATGACCGTTGAACTTCCCTCCAACTTCTCAGACGTCAGGTAAGAGGCATTCGCACAGCAAGCGCCACCATGTACTAAAACCCCATGCAGCAACATTAGACAAATCCCAGACAACCAAGAAGTCTACTTGGATAATGATGGTCTCACTAGCATCGTCTTCGACATCTTGGAGCGTGTCGACAAGCCGGATCTGGATGCTCTAAGGTACCATCTTGAGGACATCGTTGAGGATGATGTCGATGCGACAAAACTCTGGACTTCAAACTCTGCAGTCTTCAGCAAACTACCGTGAGTCTCCTTCTTGCGCTATGTGCATTCTTCTGTTACAGCCAAGTTATCAATTTCCTATGTCTTCGAAATTCACGGATTATGATTGTTGCTTTCGCTGCCAATATTAATATCTTGCTAACGTTGTATGCCTCGTCAAAGATCACAAACGACTGCCTACACAATCTTCGCTACCAACACACCTTCCGCAGAAGCTGTAGCTCGTGGCAAAGCCCCCGATTTCACAGGCATACTGCTCACGCTCATCCGTCTTGAGCGCCAACAGACCGATCTTGTCATCTGCGTCAACGTCCCACACGTAGGCGGCGAGTACAACAAAGACGAAGTCGACCCCTCTGCTGGAAAGCAAGGTCCCCTGCTAGATGCAGCAACCTCATTCCGCGATCGCATCTTGCAAACTTTCGAAATCAAGGATTGGGATCTCTTCGTTCAAGAGTGATCAAATCGATAGAGTACCAGTGATGCAGTGATTTGTACACTGTATGCTGAAAACGGTTTATAGAAATAGTCGTTATGAACAGAAAGGAAAGGGGTATCATGCAATGCAAAAGAAAGAGCCAGGACAATCATTCACCCATCACATCAATCACTATCCAAAGTCACCACCTCCAACACCTTCGCTACACCATCGACTCCTCCCAGCGGTGTCGCGACATTCGACTCGCTTTTCGCCTTTTGGTCTCTGTACTTCTGGCCCAAGGCTGCCATGATCTCCTTGTGAGGCGCTCCTGCCATTTCCTGCTTCAAGACTGCAAAGTTGGCCTTGACGAAAGCTGCGTAGCTGGTCGGTCCTGCCTGCTTTCTCGGTACTGGTTTCGTCTGAGCAAGCTTGCCACGACATACACCACACGAGTGACGAGCCGGGTCAATGCTCTTGGAGTGACGCTTGAACTCATGGCTGCACATCTCGTTTACGCATGTCCAAATGTACTTGTAGTCGATGTGATACGAATGCTTTGTCGTCACTTCAACTCCACGGTGACCGAATGCCTCACTACACTTCTGACCCCACGCTTTGAACTGCTGGCCGTGCGGCTGATCCTTAATACCGCTGACCATGAAGTTGGCAAGATGGCAGAATTCGTGAGCCACAACGTTCAGGAGGCGTTCTTCGTTGTCAATGACTTTTTCTGCCAACTCGATCGAGGCGTGGTGTTTCTGGGTGATCGTTGTCGTGCCATCGAGATTTCTATGCTTGGTGGTCTCGCGCTTCCAGTTTGCACGACCGGCCGTTGAGTTGAGTGTCTTGCTCCAGATAAACTTCACACCGCCAGTCAATGCAGCCAGTTCTCCGATCTTGTCTTCTGTAATCTTGTGATCGAGTTGGGCGAAGAAGTCTTCAACCAGCTTGTGTTTCTTGGTTTCAAAATCCTTCTTCGCGTCGATCTCAGCGCGAGTCTTCTTGGTGGGGCTGGTCGTCTTCTTTGGCGAGGACGAAGGAGAATCCGAGTCCTCAGGCAGCGCCTTGCGGTTCTTCTTGGGAGACATCAGGGGCTTTTGAGGAGAGTACTCGTCGTTCCAGGCGTTTACTGCGTGAACGTTCCAAAAGTCTCCGAAGTGTGGCGCGTGGGGAGGTGTAGGGATTCGTTGTTTCTTCTTTGAGGGAGACACAAGACGAGATTTTGTTGGTGAGACTGGCGGAGGGGTTGCTGGCCTTTCCAGCATAATAGGCCGTACTGCTCGCGGAGGGGAGCTATCTTGTGTCAGTGAAATTCGGTTACAATCTCTCCTGAGCGAACTCACAATTTGAGAATCGCGAGGCCATCATTCTCCTTGTCAGAACCGTCGAGATCAAGCTGTAGAAGCTTCTGGGTGAGGTCGTCCGAAGTCTTCGTAGTGAAACCCTCTTTTGAAGGCTTCTGCAGCTGCTTGCTTGGGGGAGTATGGAAAACATCCTCATCCGACTCACTCGACTCAAGATCTGGACTTCTCCTCCCAGCCACAAGTCTTCTCGTCGGCTTGTTTGCAGCTCTTGGGAGGACTACAGGAACTTCATCCTCTTTCTCGCTGTCGCAATATATGCTCTCCTCTACATCTTGCTCTTCGACTTCTTCCTGACTCTGTTCTGATTCCGACTCCGAATCTTCGATACGCGGCAGGCGATACGATGCGATTTTCGCATTCCTGTGTGGTGTAGCTCTCTGCTTTGGCTCTTTGCGTATCTCTTCCGTCTTCCTTGGCAGAGGTTGTGCGCGAACTCGTGGTTGTGACTTGGGCTCTGATGCTAGCTTTCTGGCCTCGGGGGCCGATCTCAACTCTGTGAGTGCTTGGCTGGATGTCTTTGCTCTTGACAAGCTCTTTGTGGGTGCATTTGTTTTCTTTGTTGAGTCGCTTGTGCATGTTTGCGTCTTTCCGGCGATTTTGCGAGGAGCTGTAGTCTTCGCTGACTTGGGTTTCGGCATATTCATCGTGGATAGTCCCTTGACGTGTCTGTTGATGAGCTCATCCAGTTCCGGGAGATCACTGTCGCTGTCGTCCGTATAGTGTGAGGGTGCCATCTTGATCGTCGTCTTGAGTGCCATCTTTTCGTCGTTTGGTTCCGTATCAATGAGAGCAACCAAGAGAAAGAGAAGGATGTTTACAAGCTCCTGTTGTCACGACAACGCTTCAAAATCGGGGCTCCACTCTGAGCTTGAGCTTGCTCCGACTGCGTCCACTACCCGGTCTGGAGACATGTTACTTACGCTTTGCTCACCGCATGATTGGACAACGTCACTGTGTGAAGTCGGTGGTAACTCTCGTAGCCGACCGTCTCAAGGATCTGTGATCGTCGCTCAGCTAATTCCGACATGACTCTCCGTCTGATTTGGTCGAAAAAAACCTTAGTTACCACCATCACCCTGGCTGTCCACGTGTCCAGCATGCAGGAAGTCAATCTATCTGAAATCGTAGGCTCTCGGCGTCGTGATAGAAACAGGAAATTGCCCCAGAATAGTGTCAGGTCTATCGAGTCCGAGACCCATGGCATGGCGCTGCGAATACGAGGCCCAAAAGGTCGATTGACGCTGTACGCTTGCTTGGTGTGAGGGAGCCCTGGGGACGCACATGTTGACTCATCGCAGATCATGGTGCAACAAACAACTCAAGATAGATGAAAGCCGCTCGTAGCGGTATACGTCATTGTCCTTTATCGCCATGCCATGCCATGTAATCGCAGCAAATGCAGGGGTATCAATCCAAAATCAAAGCAGCGCCTCCTTCCAAATAGCAGTCCTACGCCCAGAAATGCCCAATGCCTCGTCCCATATTGTTACCCACCTATTGTACTCCGAGATGTTGAAGCTTCTCATCCAATGGATGAGCCAAGCAAGCTTGCCCGCCGGTCTGTAATTAATATAGACAACGCCGGCGGCCAATTCATCTCTCCCACACAGTGACCTATTTCCCGATGCATACATTAAGTCGACCACATTGTATCGTAATTCGTGAATGAGACTTTGCAGCACTCATTTGACAAGCTTGCGACGGTGAATGCGGCGTACGTGATCTCTCTGTATAGATTGTTAGTGCTTGTAACCGAAGCCTTTCTTGTGCAGAACTTACCATGTTGTCCACTCTGCTGAACACTCTACTGCAGCCGTCCCATTCGCAAACGATCTTGGGATCATGCTTAGCCTCATGGCGTGCTCGGTCTTTCTCGCTTGAGAAACCTCCCTCGCTAGCGGATCGGCAGCCGATATGGCGACAGAAGAGGGTCTTCGTGTGTCTGCGATAATGCTTGCGCAGATCGCAACCTCGGCGGAAGACGGACTTGGATGTGCATCCAGGGTAAGCACATCTCCACGTGCCGTCCTCGCTGGGAGCGCCGTACTTGGACATCTCTCCAGCGTTGGGCGAGGAGGAGCGAGATGGGTTGCTTCTAGGGCAGCTCACCCATGAAGAGCTTGTGTCTGATCTGAACGAGGGTGCTCTTGAGACTGGTCGGCTCAAACATGTCTGCTCGATGGAGGGAAGGAGAGAAGGACTCGAGCGGACGACGCCAAAGTTGTAGGGATCCTTGTAGTCCATAAAGACAGGCTGGTAAGGGTATGAGTCTGGCCATGTGGGTGTGCATTGTCCAGAGAGATGTTCATGCTGAGTCGGAAGCATGGGTTGCATGGATCGGAACAGAGGTGATTGGCAGGTGTTGAACATAGGCTGATACTCCTCTGGGTAGCAGTGGTCGATGATCTGGTTGTCCGGACTCGAGCAGAGTAGTACTGGTGAGCCAAAGGACTCTGTGTATTGTTGGTGGACAAGTCGGTTGGGGTAGTTGAAGCCGTCCATGGTAAAGGTCGCTGATGTCTTTGATGTGAAGTCTGGTGAATGATCGTCAAGGTTAAGGGTAGAGACTGGGTATATATACACGAGATGCGAAGGATGCTACGGTGAAGGAAACCATAGTGGGGGGCCAGCATGGCTCATTTGGGTGCCCGGGAGCGTAAAGCTGTCCCGATGGACCGATCCTACCTGTGGAAGGCTGGGTTTCAGATGCAAGGAACATTACCATGACATGGACCAGTGGTTAGCCAAGCACGTACCTCTGATGCTGATTCGCGCGCGTAAAGGTACTGCAATGCATGGAAGGATGGATAACCTCCGGTGTAAGCAAGCAAAGCCGCGACAGCCCTACAAGACTTGGCTAGATGGACACACACATGATGCGCGGGCCGTGATTAAAGTGACCGAACGGATCGTATGGTGTTCCAAAACATAAGCCAGCGATTGACCAGGGTCTGAAGTGAAATGACTCGGGAATGGTTTAGTCCCAAACTCAAGAGTTCGCGGACAACTGCATGACATGGTAGAGCTGGTCTTGACGCGCAACGCCGTACCAGAATTGCCCAAGAACCCCACTACGATCTGTGAACGACTTGTCTGCTGCCAGTACATTTTCTGGAAGCTGGAGCCAGTGCCCACTCGGACCCAGTTCGTTGGGCGTCATTGAGAGCTTGGTAATCTTGCAGGTAAACAACAATGGCGGTCTAAGAATAAACACAGCCTCTCTGCGCCGTGGGGGCACAGTTGTTTGGGACCGATCAGATATAGAAGTTGTGGTGCAGAACTCACATACTTTTGCAGGCGCCACAGCTTCGTGTACAGATCGAAGGATTCGTCGATATCACGGCGGATCTCTGGGTTGTGTCAGCAGTGCACCTTTTGCTGCATCCGGTATGAGATAAAGAGGACGGTGCAGCCTCTTGGTCTGCCAGCATGGAACACTCTCGAGTACCGGACGTTTGGTGCTGGTTTCGCCCCGAGGTTGGTCATCCGCACACCAGGACATTAAGGACGGAATCATGACGCGCAAAACCTTCGACGAGTCTTCCATTTGTTCCATGATGGCGTGCTAAGTTGGACACTTGTTGATCCTCGCGTTGTTCCACGGGAGATTAGTTCCTGCCAAGCAGGCTTCAGCCTTACCCCGTGCTCTCCTTGACCGCATGCGCTGACAATCAAGGAAGTCCATCTGTTTGACGCCATTACATTCTTGACCGCTCATCAACACGGAGCCGTGCAAATCCAGCGATCAGTCTTCTATGCGTTGCTATATTCCAAACATCGTCATAGCCATCAAATCTATGGCGCAGTCTCATCTACATCGTGAAATGCAGCAAGTGTCCGCATTTGGCAGAGATCAAGATATGATCTCAATTTGGCAGACGCGTTCTTCATGTTCTCAACCTTCTTGACGTCGTTCAAAGATTGTAAGCGAACTTGAGCAGGCGGCACGACCTTCCACGTAGGGACCGAGCCCGCTGGCTGTCATTTCCAGTCTACCACACACCAAGCACACAGTCAACCGCTTCCGAGATTTGACAAGACGTCACGCCCCGGTTGAAGGCAGTTGACTCAGCAAACCCTCTGATGCAAGTCGTAATTAGTCGTCTCTCTAGATGCGAGTTCTGCTAGGTAAGTCCGTCCGTGGACCTGTCTCGCACTCTTCGGCAGACTTAAGCTCGCTCTCGACCCGGTCTTTGCGACTTAAAAATTACCACCTTCGGATATCTGTGCTCAATGACCCACTGTTTGTTGATTACTAGATCTCTGGGACCGGCGTGAAGCTTATTGGAGCGTTCCATACTCTGACCGAAGATTCGTGCTTGATATGTTGGTAGCACACCACATGACTCTGAACTGGTAGCTGCGACCACCGTCATACGAGCGTCCATTCGGACGGGTCGGTTGATTCTCGATACACTCTGATCTGACCTTGCAACAACCTTTGGGGGCCGGGGACAACAATCGGAGGTATTGAACGGTTAGTGCGATGCTGCTCCTGAAGCTGGCCTTCTTCTGTTTATCGTGCTGTCAGATTGCAGAGTCTTTTTACAGTTGAGTGTATCAACATCGGAGATGCTTAGATCTGAGTAACCTGGGCTCTGGTTAGACGACTCCAGACCTTGCTGATGGTGATCGAAGTGCACCATGCGTTTCGTCATGATCAATATGGTTTCTAGGTCATCACACGCATTTGTACAATCTTCTCGAACCTCTTCACTTCCATTGACGGTACCTGAACATCAAGAGTCAATCGACTTTACTGTGACTAGTCCCCACCTCATGACCTGCACCCGAATTTTCGCTTCGAGCCTTGGCCATCACAATCACTAAAGCGCACTCGCAAACCCTCTCGATAGATATGCTCTGGAGTTCCAATCGACCTTGCCACTACTCAGTCTCGCTGCACGCCTGCCGCGCCCTTCCTTGATATCACCATCGAGAATTTGTCACTGTCAGACCCCGCAACTTGAAGTAAGTCACCCATCCTTTGTCCTTGCCATGTCATGTATCCTCGCGCGTGCCCCTGCCATGTTCCCCCATTGTTTCCTTTCTGTTTGGGGCACATCCCGACTTCTCGTCACCCCGCAAGTGCATCACCTTGGACAAATCGACTTGGAGTTGGTTTGCTCAGGTACCCGGCGCCTTCTCCTACCTGCCTTGACCAGATGAGAGCCTGCAGTATAGCACTACGAGCCCAAACTGTGTGTCTTCGCCAGCACTCGGGCCTTCAACTTCCTCTACCTTCACAATTGGATTGTGTCGACTGAATATCAGCGACGATGCTCTCTCACCGACTTTCTATCGCTCCCACGTACTCGCCATGACCCTCCGAGCTCGACTCTGTTGCAAGAATGCGAGGCTGGTGAGAAGCACAACCGCACTGAAGAACACCTTTTCGTCGATGCATGCACAATTCGGTCTCATACAGGAGCCAAACATACGAGTCGGGCGCGCGTCCCTCCATCAAAAGGGACAAGACCAGCAGTCAATGCAGAAGTCGACATCATTCCTCCGGCACTCATTCCCAATCTTCCACCCCGTCGTCCTAACACATTACCCCTCCTTTCATAAATCCATAAGCCTTGCCTTTTTCTTTCTCTACAACCTGAACGCATCACTCACACAACCACGCGCAGTATTACTGACGACTGGCCTTGACCAAAATCTCGGCGTATCCTACACCAAGTAAGATCATCAAGAGGTTAGTGACCTCCATTGGGCTCTTCCACAAGTCCGCCACTTGATACTGATACATGAGAAGCCAGATCAATCGACAAACATTCACTTTCACCCAACCAAAACTCAACACTCAACACTCAACACTCATCATGTCGTCACCTTGCCCTACCGTGAAACGTCCTACTATCATCCGTCGCCAGTTCGAGGAGCTTCACCCCAGAGATCGCAAAGTCAAGACCAACCGCAGAGACCGCATCCAGGCCAACTGGGGTTGCGACATCGGCCTGGTCATCCCTCAGCCCATCCGCCCTCGTATCGAGCTGAAGAAGGGAGCCAAGGTTCGCGTCGGAGACCTGGTTGGTGACGAAGAGATTTGGTGGAACTGGAGCGTTGAGGTTCTTCGCAGCCTTGAGGAGCTGTCAACCATGTTGGCTGGCAACCTTCCGATGGCCCAGGAGCTCTTGCTTACCGAGGTCCACAAGCGTCAGAAAGATGCCACGAATCCCCAGAGGAAGGTTGCTGAACTCTTGCTCGGCGACGTCCAACGTATCGCTGAACGTGTGAAGATTGAACAGGCCAAGGAGGCGGCCATGACTGGTAGCGGACAGCAGGACCTTGACATCAAGAACTCCCAGGAGACCCCTCGCGAGCACGGCGCAGGTGCCAAGGAGGAGAAAGAGGAGGCTAAGGCTCAAGTCCAGGCCCAGGTCAGGGCCCAGGCTCAGTACCGCGAGCCCAGCGAGACGGGCTCCTCTTCCAACATCATGGCTTCGCCTCATGTCAAGCATGCCTACGACCGCAGACACATCCGTCAATCCAACAGCAGCATGAACAACATGGAGCTTTCCACCCTCTCCACCCCCCGTACTCACCGCTTTGGCCCTCGCCAGAATCTCAGCACTCAACAAAGCAGTGTCGGCTTGGAAATTGATGTCGCCGAGATACGCGTTCGTGCCAAACAGCTGAGAGCCCAGGCTATGCGCCTTGAGGCCGAGGCCATGGAGCTCCAGCATGAGGCCAACATGGCCAGACAGGCTCTCAACAGCTTGTGAAGCCGCAGAATGACACGGGGTCAACGCGCGATACGTCTGAGCCTTGCCCCAGACATCGAATGTGATGAGGGTGCATCGTCGATTGCTCAAGATACTGACGCAATGGCGTGATGATGATAATGATCGAAGACGCTATCTGGGCTCGTAGCCTGCAGATGGAATGACTGTTACTGTTTCGAGGATTTGGGCATAATCAGGGAAGATTGAGACAAAAACGGACAGAATGCAAAGCCAATAGCAACTTCGGAATGAGCGAGCCAGAAAATTAATTATCAGCGATCGAACCTTGGAATTGATCTCCCTGAACGTTCTGTGCATGTTAGCAGGACCAATCTCCCAGCTATGAGCGTGTGGCAGACTTGGTAGCTGGAGAAATGCATAGTGCTTTTGCATAATGAAGCTAGGGGCGGCACTGAAGGTGACCTTCTTGAACGCTCTGAGCCATGATCTCTATCAATATTGGACTCATCCTGCATCTTGCCAGTCAACCATCAAACTGCAATACCTCTGATTACATGATGATCGGTTTAGGCAGCAGCGACAGCAAGGCCCTTGAACCCCTGTTGTCAAGAGTAGATCCAGTGAGAGAGGTGGTCGTCGGATCCTTAATTGCCAGACGACGACGTGTCGCGGTGTTTGGTGTAGATACATCAGTCCAAGACAAAAGCTCAAGCGATGGATGACCGAATGTTTCCTATCGCCTGGAGCGGAAGTCCCACATGCACACACATCTTTAAGCTCGAACACACAGCTGGGAGGCAGTAACAATTTTGGTTCATCCCGTCTTCTTCGCTAAGTCAACGGGCCGGAACCCATTGTCTAGAGGCACGACAACTTCATGCGAAGCTGAGGAGTTGACTGAGATTCGTGTTTTTGGTGAATTTGGAAGCTCTCCTTTGACCGACCCTGTCAGTAGAAAAGATTCGTAACTCCTGTTGGTGGACGATTTAACCTTTCTGAGGTCCGAGAGCTCCAAACAAGAGTTCGGCCAAGGAGCACCCTATGTGTAACGTAGATTCTGGATCAGTCAGCATAGTATGGGCCGAGGGGATTTTGTGTGGCCCAATGGTCTGACCCGAGGTTAGATGCCATCCGCGTGTGCCTGCATCTATCGGATCAAAGTCTATGGTTGTGATGGTAAACAATCATTTACATGATGGACGTTGATCAACGGTTTGCACTTGGCGTGGAGGATCGTTCAGGTCGGAAGCGAGCCGGGAACAACAGGCGGAGAGGGTCAGGTTGAAACAGGACAGCGATATGGAAGAAACAGATAGACAACGATATGGAATGCAGAGTGTCTGGTGTAACAGCGATATATTGGATGGCGTAGGGCTATTGGTGGCAGAGTGCCTGCGGGTATATTAAGTTACGCCTCGAGGGCAAGCAACTGCAGCAGCTCGTGCGGTCGAACACCATGGCGCAGCAAGAGGGACGGTGAGAGGGTAGCAATATACACAACACAACGAGGCGATATAACGCACAAGAAAATGGACTAGATGATGGAATCGAAAGAGTGGAACAGAAAAATTGAACAAATCCAGAAGACGAGTAGCTAGCGAGAGTGGCAGATTTAGCGCCAGAGCAAGACCCTTTGACATTCTGGAAACCAGAATCAGGAGTCTGACAGAGCAACGCAACGTTTGGCCTTTGTCCGTCCCTCTTTCTTCCAAGCCGGCCAACACGACATCGTCGCTTCTGTCCTGATCCTCCCCTTTGCCTTGTCTGCGCTCGGTAGCCGCGTCGAGGACAAAGCTACGACCCACCGTCGGAGACCTTTGAGGACAGCAGGAACTGCAGGTTCTCCGTCAGTTAATATTTCTTATTAGCTACTACCGCCATCACCACCTTACATTCCTTTTCGCTTCTCGCAATAATGTCGTCCAACCACAGCATCGGCAATCGCAACAGCACGCCGGACGCCTCGAGTTCTACTCTGCGCCCGCCGTCGTCTCGCGGTATGAACCCCGGGCACCACCTGCGCGCCTCGGCCGACATGGGTGCCTTCTCCACCTCGTCTCCCCTGGCATCGCGCGGCATCCGACCCGCCAGCGAGGTCTACTTCAGCGGTGTTGGTCTCGGTAGTCAGGACGATGCTGCCGACAAGGCTGCCCAGCAATGGATCGCCGACATCGACCAGTATGAAACAACTCTCGAGGACATGGCCGCCGCTACCCTGGACCAGGACTTCAAGGACGAGCTCAGTGCTATTGAGCAGTGGTTCCGCGTGCTCAGCGAGCCTGAGCGCACTGCCGCCCTCTACGCACTGCTGCAGCAGACGACCCAGGTGCAGATTCGCTTCTTTATCCAGGTCCTGCAGCAGATGGCCAAAAGCCATCCCATGTCTGGCGTTCTGTCTCCTGCCAACTTTGGCGAAAAGGGTACGTTCCAACGTCCTTTGATTGATCGCGTGCCTGACTAATGCCACCTCACAGACCCCATGTCCACCCGCCTCAACGACGCCATGAGCAGACTCAACATCGAGGGCACGAGATCATCCTTCGGCTTCGGTGGTAAGCCCCCACCCTCGCCTGGAGCAAAGCGCAACTCGGGACTCGACCCAAGCACCATCAACTCGCTGTTCCCTGATGCCGCCGCCGCCATTGCCAAGCAGAAGGCCGACTTCAAGGAGCACACCGGAAACACCCCTACCTCGAGTCGTGTCGGTGACCGCTCATCCCTTCTCTTCGATGACAAGAAAGACGCCCCCGTACCACTGTCCCCCTCGCCCTGGAACAACAGCCGCAACGAGAACCAGCCTCCCATCACCAGACCCCGTTCTTCGCAGGGTCAACAACCTATGGGCCAGTTCAGTCAGCCTCTGCGCTCGCCCCGTCCTTTCCAACTGACAGGCGACACCAACCTCCAGAACACCACTGTCTCCGCACCCAACCAGGATCCTGCTATGAACATTCTCTCGCCTTACAACCCCAACAACAGCTGGGCTTCGATGGTCAACACTCCCATGATTCCCAACTTCAACACTCAGCAGCAAAACACCGCGCACGCCGACATGATTGCCAATGCGACTGCCATGAAGCTGGCTGCTCTCTCTACCGTCAACAACCGTATTCAGCTCGACGATGTCAAGAAGTTCCGCCGCGCACGCTCTTCTGAGGGCCAGCCTCAATTCCAACACCCGCACCAGGCACAGCAAAACATGAACATCCTGATGACCAATGAACTTGGTCAGGTCTTGTCTCCTCAACAGGCTGCCGCTCTGCAGGCTCAGCAGCTTGCTGCCCTTCATGGAGGTCGCTCTCGCCCCAGTTCCCCTGGTATCGCCATCTCTGGTCCTCCCGGCTCAAACATGAACAACCTGCCCATGACTCAAAACAATGGTTTCCTTTCTACTTATGATGCTGGCATGCTGAGCGCAAACATGAACATGCTCAACATGGGCAACTTTGGTATGGGCGGACATGAAGGATATCTCTCCGATCACTCAGAGGCTCGTGGCAGATCACCTCGTGGTAGACGCGGTAGCTCTAAGCCCCCAGAGGATCCCACTGACCTTCAACTCTTGAGCGACATCCCTAGTTGGTTGCGTAGTCTGAGACTGCACAAATACACTGACCAACTCAAAGACATGCGTTGGCAAGATCTTGTTGAACTCGATGACGACGCTCTTGATAAGAAGGGCGTCAACGCTCTTGGTGCTAGAAGAAAGCTTCTCAAGGTAAAGATACATACCGTTCAACTTGCGCTGTATGTTACACGAGCACTAACTATTCTTAGGTTTTCGAGACAGTCAGAGAGGCCCAAGCTGAAGGAAAGCTTTAGAATATTCACCTTCAAAAAATTAGCGCTCACTGGATTTCTGCCTATCAGCATGGCCAGCCCACCATAACCCTCTACATCGGCTTACTTGATGTAAGAGCCTCTATTCACAGGCTTGTAAGAAAGTCTTTTTGTTTTCCCCGGTCCACTTAAAACTCCGTAACAGATAACTCGCCATCTTCGTCATCGGCGTCTAATAATGCAAAGTCAAACGAATCTCGTTTCAAAGGAACCCTATTGTCGTCTTCTCTGTCCAACCAACTCTGTCTTTGTGTGAAAGGTGAAGGTAATAGAACGCGCTTCCTTGTTCTATTGCGATGCCCATTGTTACCATTGTGTCTTGCTTTATTGACTCGAGCAGCCCTGCTGTTTCTCCTTTATTCCAGGCTTTCATGTCATTGTCCTTGTATTAAGATTTTTATTTGCTATATCATCAGCATCTACCGCGCTTGCATTGCTTGGAAACTACCCTAACGAAAACGAAAAATACATCCACCATGTCCTTTACCAAACTCACTATGTCCTTTACCAAACTTTCTATCGCCGCCTTGGCCGCGACTGCAACTCTCAGTAACGCCTATCAACTTGTCGAGCAACACAAAGGCGCAACCTTCTTCGATGCCTTCGAATTCTTCACTGATTCCGACCCAACGCACGGCTCAGTCTCCTACAAGTCGAGACTCGAGTCTGCACCCAACAAGCTCATTGGCATTGTGCTGGACGAAAACAATAGTTCGGCAGCCTATATTGGAGTCGATAGCAAGAACACCACCGCCAATAGACCCTCTGTTCGTTTGACCAGCAAGGCCTCATACAACCACGCATTGGTCTTGGCTGATATCGCTCATATGCCCTCTGGTTGCGGCGTATGGCCGGCTCTATGGATGACTGGTCCTGATTGGCCCAACTCTGGAGAGATCGACATCATAGAGCAAGTCAATGGTCATGATTACAACACTGCCACTCTCCATACATCTGCCAATTGTGCCATCACTGGTAGCCACATCAACAGCGGACACTCTGATCTGTTCAGCGGAACACTCGAAACGCCTGATTGTAATGTCAATTCACCTGCTCAGAGCAAGAATGCCGGTTGCGGCATTCGTGCTCCCTCAAACGACACGTACACAGTCGATAACGAGAGCTGTGTCCACTCCACCTCCGGTGACGGCTTCAACTCTCAACTCGGCGGTTTATACGCCACCCTCTGGACATCTGCCGGTGTCAGCATCTACTTCTTCCCTCGCGAATACATCCCCGCCGACATCACCGCCGGCCACCCCGAACCCAGTACCTGGACCTCCAAACCTCAAGCCGTCTTCTCTGGTAACGGCTGCAACTTTGACTCTCACCTCAAGGACCTTCAACTTGTCATCAACACAGACTTCTGTGGAGATTGGGCTGGTAACACCTGGGAAGCCGACGGTTGTGCCGCTAAGACTGGAGTGAGCATTTGTGCTGAATATGTTCAGATTAATCCTAAAGCCTTTGAGACTGCCTACTGGCTCTTCAATTCTATTAGCATTTACTCAAATGAGACTGCTAGTGGGAATTGAACTGTCTGGAGGTGTCTCGGTTGGATTCGGCTATTCATGAATAGCGAGTATACGGATTGACAGCTCATGAATGGGTGGTTTGCTGTTGTTCGAGACAGGATGCTGGTTCATCTCTGTCTACTGGATTTGCATCTTGCATTGCGTTAGTGTTGAGTTTGGGTCAAATTCTTTTTCTCTTTACTATCTATGTCGAATATTAAATTCCATGATTTAACTGCTTGTATTATTTTCTCTTCTGAATTTGTGTTTGTGCCCTCATGTGATTGTTGTACTCGAATAGCTGTTGATAAAGCTGCATAATAATGTTGATCTATTGATAGTATGGTCTCCGAGACTTCTGTGATGAAAATGTCTCTCGAGTCAACAAAGAGAAGACGCGAACAAAGCAAATGTGTCTCACGTCCGACTGTCCTATCCTCTCCGTCAAGTGTGATGCCACACGTGTAGTCAAGTAGACTGGTCTCGGAAGCGACATCCGCGCAACTGTCTCGATAAATGTGTCTTATTCGCACCAAGTATAGAAGAATCTGAGCATTTTCACTCGAGAAGTCGCAGGAGATGCACAAATGTCTTGGGCTATACAACTATATAGGAGGAGGCATGTACATTAGTCGGAATCTCTCACATTTGATATCCACAAACCCAGAACAACGATAACTAGAAGCCTCACCGATCTCGAAATTATCATGGAGTCCCTCGTGTCAGCACACGGCCACAAGGAGGATCTAAACGACAAGGCGAGCTGGCAAAGGGAGATTATGCGATGGTCTCTGAAACATGCAGTACACTGCGCACCCTCGACCTTGGACGACTCTGTGAAAATGCAGTACAATGCGGATGTGACCATATCACGACTCGGCTTCAACATCCATCAACAACCAGAGACCAGTGACATGTTGGCACAACAAATCTACCGATGGCGTTGGGAAGTTGAAAACGTGCAAGCTTGCGGACCACAGCTGCGCTTGCCATATCATCCCATTCGCGCAGCATGGTTGTGGATGGAAGAGTATGGAGCTGAGTTGTGGCCTGCAGATGCCCACAAACGAGGACATCTCTATCCATCAACCACTTTCGTCTACCTCCGCGATCGATCCGGATATGTTGACCTGGAGCCTGATCAACGTCTGGACATTGACGAAAACATTGCCGAGTTCTGTTTCAGCAAAGGTACATTGCATCCGTACAATGACATGTTCCAGAAGGTGTTGCAGTACTTTGCCGGTATGCAATCTGGTCTCTGGCGTCATGTTGACAAGTCAATCTGCAGAGCTCGTACTGCAGCAGAATTGATGGTAGACTTTTTGGGATCAGAGCCTTGGATACCAGAGCAGAGGGGATTCATTCCGCTGTACTATGTCGAGGAAGACTCTGAGAGCTGTAGCAGTGATGACAGCACACTCAGCTCCATGCGTGACGGCAATTCTCAGGCAAGTGGCGTTCGGCTCTCATCAGGATTAGAGCCGCGTACCACAGCCTCGGAACTGCAAATTGGAAGCCAGTCCGTTCAACACACTCCTGAGAGTTTTATGAACGATATGGAAGGCCGATGGTTTGATCGCTAGAATCTCCCTATTTCTTCTGAGCAGCTTCAGCCTTTTCGAGATTACTGACGCGAGTCTTGTATTCACGCGGTGTCTCGACCTTCTCGCTCTTTTGGCCAATCAACTTGCCAATCAAGCCGGGCTTGGTGTGTCTCCACATGCCAATCTGTTTCCTTTGTGCCTTTTCCATAGCCCTGCGGTATTTGTCCTCTTTGTTACCAAACTCGCTTCCAAACTTTGCTTCGTAGACTGTAGCCATGCCATTCTTGATCATTTCCAGACCGACGTCTGTCTTCCAAAAGCCCCATTTCCAGTATGATACACTTGCGACGACTCTTTGATACTGATCCAGGCGGAAGATGTACGCTCTGACGTAGCGTTTGTGGAGCAGAGTCCTTAGCCACTCGAGGGCTTCTTTTCCGAATGGCTGCTCTTTGTTGCCGAAATGCGCCGTCTCAGGGGCATCAACGCCGGCTATGCGGACATGAATGGTCTTGTCTTTGAATTCTTTGGCAGCCCAATCTTGAATCTTTCTCGAGGGAAGCCAGCCCCAGCCCGTCATGCGGCCTCCTGGAGTGTGGAAGAGGCGGAAGTTGTCGCCGTCTCCAACGCGACTGACATAGCCATAGAGATTGCGCTTGTGGAAATATGAGGGAGTGATGTACTGGGCTTCAGGAACACGGCGGAGGTGTCGACGGTAGATGCGGATCAATGCGAGAGTGGAAACTGTTAGGATGGCGGTAGGGAGGATTGTGCGGGGCGAGGAATAGTGTGACCAGTCTGTGGCATTGAGAGAGTCGGACCAAGCGACGGGCTCCTTTTCCTTCTCATCAGACGAGCGCCATTTGAGCCAGTCTGGCCACTGCATGTTTGGCACGACTTTTTGTGTTTGGGAGTCGGAACAGGCTTTGGAGTGAATTGTGGAGTTTGCATGTGAAGAGCACGCATCCGAGCTTTGACGCTAGAGCTGCATCAGGCAACCACCAAGGTGGGCGCGTCGAGCCTTGTCTTTTTCCATGATGGGATGCGTGGAATACTCAAGTAAGACGGGGGCGCCTTGGAGAGCACAGTCGGGTTGATGGTGGTTCGGATTTGTCGTTGTATCTAGCTTGATGGCGACGGAGATACAGAAAGCAAGACCGGGGATATCGGCTGAGGATGTGGTGACGCAGGGGGATCCCCAATCACCCCGCATTGAGCAACGATCGATGGTTCGTCTGATCAGATGCAGGTGCGGAGACGACGAATGGTACCTGCCCGCTCAAGACCTGCTGTCTGCTGTCTGCTGTCTGCTCTTTCCAATTTCCAAGCTCTCAGCCTCTACACATCCAACTCACAATGGGCGGCGGTTCTCATCCCAGCATGGCCCCAGCCTCCACCTACCCTCGTCTGGCTGCGAAGCCTGTGGGCAAGCAGGTACACAGCTCTTATCTCCGCTCGAGCTTCCACATGCTAACCGCCATCCGCTCTTAGATCCACAAGATCTACATGGACAGGCTGAGGCAGTTCACAGACAACAGCCAATACAGAAGACAAGGCTTGCTACCGTGAGCTTCATCACTGCCTTACCAAGTCGAGATGCTGACCTCAAAGCAGAAAGATCGAGCCAGAACGGGCATCTGGCCACCCTCACATCCAGCTCGAAGTCTACTCTCCCCCAGACCTGTCTCGTCCTACCTTCAAAGATGCAACCTCGCATGCTTTCAGACCTACCAAGGTCGGCGGATCATTCGGCCCTAGTTGGTCCACACACTGGTTCCGCGTTCGCCTCACCGTCCCCTCCTATCTCGCCGACAAGGACCATCTAGAACTGCATTGGGATGCGAACAATGAAGGTCTCATCTGGAATGAGAAGGGAGAGCCTCTACAAGGCCTCACAGGAGGAGGCGAGCGTATTGAGTGGATCTTGCCAAAGTCGTTCCGTGACGGCAAAGAGCACCTTTTCTATATCGAGATGGCTTGCAACGGCATGTTCGGAAACGCTCCTGGAGGGGACAGTATCCAGCCACCTCGTCCAGACAGATACTTCCAGCTGCAGCAAGCAGACATTGTGGCCATCAACCTGGAAGCTCGAGCTCTGTACATTGATTATTGGATCATTGGAGACGCGGCTAGGGAGTTCCCGGAAGACTCCTGGGAAGCTCATGAAGCACTCCAAATCTGCAACTCTATCATGGACACCTTTATCGCTGCTAATGGAAGCTCTGACTCCATCGCTGAGTGCAGGAAGATCGCAAAGAAGTATATAGGAGACGTCAACTCCTCAAAGGTATACGACACAGACGAAACTGCTTTGATTACCGCCATCGGTAACTGCCACATTGATACCTGCTGGCTCTGGCCATGGGCAGAGACTAAGCGCAAGGTGGCCCGATCATGGTCTAACCAATGTAACCTATTGGAAAGATACCCCGAGCATCGCTTCGTCGCATCGCAAGCCCAGCAGTTCAAATGGCTCGAGAATCTGTATCCCTCCGTCTTCGATCGTGTTAAGAGCAAGGTCAAGGAGGGCACCTTCCAGCCCATCGGCGGATCATGGGTCGAGCATGATACGAATATGCCCAGTGGAGAGTCATTGGTCCGCCAATTCATCTACGGCCAACGCTACTTTGAGAGCAGATTCGGTTCAAGGTGCACCACATTCTGGCTCCCCGACACGTTCGGCTACTCGACCCAACTCCCTCAGATCTGCCGGCTCGCCGGCATGACGAGGTTCTTCACGCAGAAGCTCAGCTGGAACAATATCAACAACTTCCCGCACACTACCTTCAACTGGGTCGCACTTGACGGCAGCCAGGTCCTATGTCATATGACACCTGCTGAGACTTATACCGCCGAGGCGCACTTTGGCGACGTGAGGCGCAGTATTACGCAGCACAAATCTCTCGACCAAGACGCGACCTCGCTTCTCGCGTTTGGAAAGGGCGATGGAGGCGGCGGTCCGACATGGCAGCATCTTGAGAAGCTCAGAAGATGCCGTGGCATCAGTGACAAGACCGGTCTCTTGCCTCGTGTCAAGATGGGCGACTCTGTCGATGACTTCTTTGCCCGTCTTGAGAAGAGAGTCGAAGAAGGACTTGAGCTCGTAACCTGGTATGGCGAGTTGTACTTCGAACTTCACAGAGGCACATACACCACTCAGGCTAACAACAAGCGTAATAACCGCAAGTCCGAAATCATGCTTCACGACATCGAGTACCTTGCTACGCTGGCCAGTATTCAGGATGTCATCTCCAAGGATGGCAAGAAGTATAAATACCCTAAAGAGGACATTGACGACATGTGGGAGAATGTCCTCTTGTGCCAATTCCACGACTGCTTGCCCGGAAGCTGTATCGAGATGTGTTACGACGACTCTGATGAGGTAAGTTGGCTAAGCGGCCTAGACAGTACATGACTAACATCACGAAGCTGTACGCGAAGGTGTTCAAGACTGGTCACAAGGCCTTGACCGAAGCTCTACACGCTCTCGGATTTGACGACAAGGTGTCCCATGATAACGAGCTTGTTGCGTTAAACACTCTTGGATGGAATCGTAATGAAGTCAGCTCCCTCCCATCCCCTGATCCGACGACTCGCTACGGTCTGCTCCAGGGCGAGACCGGTGTCAACTCCATTATGGATATGGTACAGGAGTCTGGCTTCGTTGAAGTGAAAGAGGTCGGGAAGGACACCTTCCACTTCATCAACAGCCAGTACTTTGTCGAGATTGCTAACGGCGTCATCACACACTTGTACGACAAAGAAGCTCATCGCGACATTGTGCCCAAGGGCCAGAAGGCGAACCAATTGGTCCTCTTCGACGACAAGCCACTCTACTGGCAGGCATGGGACGTGGAAGTCTACCACCTCAATTCGAGAAAGGAGCTCCACGCAACAAGTTCGTCAATGATTGTCGAGTCTGGTCCTCACCGCGTTGCAGTCAAGACGACAACGAAGATCTCCGAGATATCATCAATCACGATGACAATCTCGCTCACTTCCGCACCGCCAGGAGGTCGCTCTTACATCGAGACCGAAGCAGAAGTCGATTGGCACGAGGATATGAAGTTCTTGAAGGTCGAGTTCCCGACCACCATCACGAACACCGAAGCCTCCTACGAGACTCAATACGGTATTGTCCGCCGTCCAACTCATTACAACACCACATGGGACATGGCCAAGTTCGAGGTGTGCTGTCACAAATGGGCCGATTTGTCCGAGAATGGCTACGGCGTCAGTATCCTGAACGAGTCCAAGTACGGTTTCGCAACTTGTGGCAGCTTGATGCGTTTATCCCTGCTTCGTGCACCCAAGGCTCCTGACGCGCATGCCGATATGGGCAAGCACAAGATCCGCTGGGCCATCCTTCCTCACAAAGGCCCTCTTGACCATCGCACAATTCGTGCTGGCTTTGAGTTCAACAACCCAATGGCGGTCTACTCGCACCCCAAGGTCTCAGATGTCAAGGGCCTGATGAGCTCATTCAAGCTGTCTGCCGATAGCGACTCTGGTCTGGTTCTCGACACCATCAAGCGCGGTGAGGACGATGAGGATGTCAGCCGTGGCGATCTTCCTAAGCGCAAAGGTAGAAATGTGATCGTTCGCGTCTACGACAGTCTGGGAGGAAGATGCCGCGGTACTATTGAAACCGGCCAGATCCCCATTGCCAAAGTGTGGAAGTGTAATGTCTTGGAGGATGACATTGAGGAAGCTCATCTCACCAAAGGTGGCTTCGACATTGAGCTCAGGGCTTTCGAAGTAGCCACTTACAGGCTGCTTCTGCAGTGATGATTGATACGAGGCAGGAGGCATGAACTAGTCGTGGTATATTCTAGATGACATGAATTCATAACATCTGCTTAGCAGACTATTCTCTAGTATCCTCTCTTCCTATTTACCACGTTGATGAACTTTTCGCCCTTTTGCTTGTGCTCTAGCTGTAGTTCGAGAATCTGGAATGCTCGGTCGACGTATGCCTCGCCGTTGCCGCTGATGTGGGGTGTGACGATGACGTTGTCCAGGTGCCAAAGCTCGCTGTCTGAAGGCAAGGGCTCCGGGTCAGTGACATCCAGAGCAGCTCCGGCGAGAGTACCATCCTTGAGAGCTTCGATCAGTGCAGGCTGATCAATGATCGGGCCTCTTGCAATGTTGGCAACAAAGGCAGGCTTCTTGCCGTCTTGACTGAGGATCTTGAACTCCTCCTTCGACAAGAAGTGGGTGGTCTCCTTGGTGAGTGGTACGGAGATCAGTAGCAGATCAATATCTTGCTTGAGGAAGTTGTGCAGAGACTCCTTGTCTAGACCAGAGTACCATGCTGAAGGGAGCTCACCATCAGGATCACCGGTTCCAGGAACGATGTAGCCAACATCTTTCTTTTTCTCTGGTGTGTCCTTGGGAGACGCCGTATATGCAATGATGTCCATACCTGATGATGTCGTCAGCTTGTAATCGATTCGTGCATGAAACCACTTACCCATGGCTTTGGCGACTCTACCGACTTGACGCCCAATGCTTCCGTATCCAAGTACGCCAACACGCATGCCCACGGAATCTCTGACTTTGTACGAAGGGTCCTTTCCCCATTTACGCTGCTTCTGTGCTTCGTAAAGCTGAGCGTACTTGTGGGTGTGGATTAGATGCGTCATGATAACCCATTCGGCAATCTGCGGGCCATGAACACCCGATGCAGTTGCGATAGGGATGTCAGTGTCGGTGTAGATGGGATGGCTTGCCAGCTGGTTGGATCCAGCCGAGAATAGTTGAATGAAGTCGAGTAAAGGTGCATCCGATGGTTGTGGTGGTAGGGAGAACAGTGTCAACAGTACTGTTGCCTCTCGCCAAAGCTCTTGAGATAAGAGTCAGTATGGATGGCATTGGATTATCGATTTGAGGAGTTTAGGTGTACCTTTGGGCACTTCTTTGTCCAAAACAGAACGATCCTTGGTGTGAGACACATTTTTGTATGTTATCTTCAGATGAGGGAACTTCTTCTGCAGCTTCTCAATGGCTGCAGTAGGCTCCGGCAAAGGCAGTGTGACCAAGACGGCCTCCTTGTGTTCTCCTCCACCCATGATAGTATTTAAGCTTGCGATAGCGACGGTTTGTTGTAGAAAGAGTAGATGGAATTGAAACAGAGTTTCAAAAGATGTATAGATGTTAAAAGGTCAATTATTAATGCGTGCTAGGTGATAACATAAAGGGCGATGATGACGTGCGGCGTTTGCACCTTCCCAGACGGGCGACGCGGAGGAGCTCCTCTTTCTGCGTCGCGACGAGAGACTGTACCAACTGCAAGCAACGCGTCACTGTAGCTCGAAGACCATTAATGTCGCGATTTCTTCGACACTCTCATGCTCCCTCGCCCTATCGACGTGAACCACGGCCGCGACAGGCTTATTCAAATTCTCTGTACGCCGGCAGCTCTCGAGACAAGGACCCACAAATGACCTCACAATGTCTTGCACGATCTGTCTTACCGACACTTCTGTCAAGATGTGCATGAGTCAGTCGACATACTTTGGCCATTTGTCCATTCTCCTTCTCCGTGCTATTCTGGAATAAAACCCAGTCGAACTCGGCCATGCGAATAGCAAAACGTTGTGCGGGCCGCCGGCGTCGATTTCGATACTTCGACGTTGGATTGGCTCGGGTCACTCGACGTCGAGGTCCATGTTGCCGACCCATGTTCCACACTCAGCTTGTGTCTATATCCTGAGCAATACTATCAAAGAGGTCGCCTGAGTAATGCAACCACTTGTCAAGGTTTAGTATACTACCTCTAGGTGTGGGACCCGCTGTCGTAGACACCCAACTCTGATAATTTTTGGTTCTGTAAGTCACCTCGAGGCTGGACCGTTGTCAATCTCCAAGAAACTCCGGAGCGGCAGTTGAGCATCGTATGGTTTCAACGTTCGACTGTACAACGTTTCTGTTGATGTTCTATATGACTGAGGCTAGGTCCCTGTTCATGCTGATCAGAACCACAGTACGGAATGGGCTTGTTCCTCTCAAAATCATAGTTGCCATTTGCTCGATCAATACCCAAAACCACTTCTGGACGATTGGTGACACTTTGACAACTCGAGCCATAGAGGCTTCGGCACCCTCCCAGTCTTCAAGATGGTCAACATGCTTGCTCTTGTTATCGCTTGTCTCTCGCTCGCATGGATATCTGTCGCTGTGCGATTCTGGGTCAAAATCTTTGTGATTGGCCGCGTTCGGTGGGATGATTGGATCTTGCTTATGGCAGTCGTATGTCTATTGCTCGTGTCGTAGCGACGTGTGCTCACAGTGTCTAGGTCTTGTTTAGTGGTCAGTGTGGTTGCGTCCTGACCATGACCACCGCCACTCCCAGCTCGAACCTCGTCTCTTACATGTTCATTGCTTCATACAACCTCTCGATCTTGACGTCAGTTTGCGTCAAAACTTCTTTTGCGCTCTCCTTGAACCGTTTCTTCGGCGAACGATGGCAGCGCCTACTCGTCACATGCTTGACGCTCACCTACTACTTATTCGCGACGACTGAAATCTTCCTCGATCTCTTCTTCTGTGGACCACCTTCGAACTTGACTGGCAAAGATAGTCTGCGACAATGCAAGCACTGGTCAGACATGTTGGTCTGGTGGCTATGTGCTACAATTTTCAACTCCGTTGCATGCTGGATATATATATTGCTTCCGGCTGCAGTCGTCTGGACGTCCAACCTTAGTCTCAAGGTCAAGTTCGCGATCTCACTCATCACCATGGTGGGCGTTGTGAGCGGTACGGCTACTATCTTGCGTGTACTGGGATCTGGCAGTTTTACGAAGCTGAGGGAGTTCAACCCAACCAATATTACAGTCATTGCATGCGCTGTACTCGAGATGGCATTTTCGATCATTGCCACGTCTATGACAAACTCAACTCAACTCCCAGTCATGCTGGCTCGAAGCAAGAGTCGCGCTGTCGGGATGACGACTGTTGATGAAACATGCCTTAAGGGCACAACTCCCGATATGAGCAAGCTCCCACCTATCATCAATCAGCAGAAGTGTGGCGCCGATGCATCCTGGGACTTCGCGCAGACACTGGAAGGAGACACTCTTGCTAGTATAGGAGCGCATTCGTTGCATGTGCCTAAAAGCAAGACCAAAGGTTCCTGTTGGTCGCAAACCTTTGACGCGCCCAAGATTCCTGCGCCTGCCAGACTCACTCTTCTCATTGACGACATCAGCGATGATGAGGATGATTGTGGAATGATGACCATGAGTGTGGGATGAATGGAGAATCTCAGGTGGTCAAACGAAACTTTACGAATTTATAGATTGATTTTCTTATGAACAAACAGCACATTTTCCAATTCCCTGTCATTGTTCGGCAAGTTCGGTGCATGTTCAAGGTGCAGACGTCGCTACGTCAGAGCAACTCAATTGAGATGTCTCCGACGCGCCCCGGCTTCAACGGCTATACCACACAACCCCTGAACTCGATTGACCCTCGATCGATATGCCAGAAGTTATTCCACCCTCCAGTACAACATCATGACTCGATTGGAAGTGATATCGGGCATCGTTTTACGTGCCGGAGCGTGGTAATACCGCCTGTAGAGGTCTCGAGGCTAGAGGTCCGTGGGCTTCCATCTTGGAATCCCGCAAAAATCCGTCGCTCGTGACTTTCCTAGAACTAAACAGAAGCTCAGCCATGTGATCCGAGCTGCTAGTAAGCAGCGCTCGACCAATCTTTACCATATAGCAAGCAATCGAGAGCTGTTTCCTCCTCTTCCTCCTCCTTCTCTCATCCACCCACATCCCAGCTGAGTACTCCCCCTTTCCCAATCCTCTTCCCTGTTTACCACTGCACTCCGACACTACACGTTCGGCCTTCCGGCAAAGGGACAGTTTTCCACAAGAGTTCCGCGACCTTTGGGTCAGCGTTTGATCTCGGAGCTGTCCTGAGCTTGGTGGGAAGGCTGAAGCTTGCGCTCCCTTATCGTTTCATGTCTCTTTACTTTTCTTACCGTCTATGCTGATTCTGAGTTGGAAGTGTAGGTAGTTTTTCAGGTATACCTTCTGTGGTCCGATCCCATGGTTGGTATGTCCCACTTGTTTTCAATGGGTTTCTGGCATTTGTTTGCTGGGGCTTGTAGAAGAGATGTGATGATGGCTTATGGCTGCCTAGTCTGTTGGAAGGAGACACTCTTCGAGATATCTTCTATAGTTTGCGCCTTTAGTTCGATTATCCCCATTTGCTCAGTGTGCCTCTAGCATTGCTACGCTGAGGCTGGCAGATGCATTGAGGTGATGCGGATGGCTGTCTGTTCTGCTGGAAGCGCATGGAAAGTGCTGGTGCCTGGAATCTGTTCCGGTAATTCTCGTGGGTAAGGGGTTTAGTGGGTCTTGTTAGGGAAAGACCATGAGATTGAGGTAGTTTGTCGAGATGCCGGTGTTTCCCCTGAAGCTGCCATATCTTCCAGTTGACAGACCTGTTTCCCCTTTCTTCCTCCATCCTCCTCCTCTTCCTCCTCCTCCTCCTACTCCTCCTCCTCCTCCTCCTCCTTCTCGCCAACCCGACCCCTCTCCTTACCCAACGCTGTGCGCCTTCCAGCCTTTGGTAAGAAGTCCAGGTGAGTACCGCAGTCTCCATTTCCCTTTCCCTCTTTTCCTTTCCTGCACTCCGACACTACACCTTTGACTCCCGGCAAAGGGATCTGCAGGAGCCTGGGAAGCGGCGTTTCAACACGCACTTCCCTTTGAGCGCGTCAAGAACGGTAAGACAGTCTCGTTCAGGCTTACCCACCTCGCCTAGAGACACGCGTTCGGGCTCCTGATCTCCTCCTGAGCTGATGCGGGATGTTGATGCTTGCGCTCCCTTTTCGCTCCATGTCACTCTTTGCTTTTATTGATGATAGTCTTCGCTGATCTGAGTTATAGATGTAGAGGACTGTGGGCTTTCGAGCTCATGGTGTGCCGTCGTTGGTACCAGATTTTTTTTTCAATGTGTCTTTGGCCTTTGAGGCCGGAGCTCGTAGAAGAAACGTCAAGGGGTCTTTTTCGTGTCCATGGTATAAGCAGCATTGTCCTGCGATGTGTCGCATAGTACAAGGCTGTCGACGTCGTCGCATTTTTTTCGTCGTCGACCATTGCGACAGTAGTAGTAGTCGTCGTGGTCGTATTTATCCTCGTCTTCTCATGAAGCGGCCTTCCATTATCGTCGTCGTTGCCGGTTGTGGTCGCTCACCGTCGAGTCCCTGTCGCCCCACTCATGCCTGGGTTCGACATGCGCCGACGTCTTGATCACTCGTTGCCGCTCCCGGTCGCTTCGTCTTCGCCGCTCGCCGCTCGCTGCTCTTGCTAACCTTTGTCAGTATCGGAAATGGTCGACATCGTTACACTCCACCACCGAGTCTTCGTCGCCACTATCGTCGCAAGTCGATACTACGGCCCCCATGAGCTTTGTCGCTCATCGTCACTGCGGTCGCCTTCTCCTATAGCCCATCAGCAACCATGACGTTTGCTACTGCCCGCCATCTCGCTACCAGGGACAACCCTCGGTACTCGGAAGAGCACGTTTACAAGAGGTCGGAGAGTCAATGACACACATAGCAGGAGCATCGAGCGGCGCAGGACAACAGGACAGCAACAGCATGGAGACGCAAAGAAAGAGCATAGCAAGAACACAAGAACATCAGAGATGCAAGGCGAGAAGAACGGCAACGACTATAAAGCTACATCACAACACACATGGACAAGATGCAGTTGGTACAAGTAGCTTTTGATATTCTTTCTGCATTCTGTAACGAAAAAGGGGGGGGGGGGGGGGGGGGGGGGGGGGATATGCGGATGATGAATAGTCATCCAAAGAAAGAGCGCAGCAACCAAACAAGAGACGAAGAAGAATATATGGACCCAGCTCATCTGAAGAAGCGACCGAGCACGGCACCGCCGAGATTGCTCGCCATACCGCTGGCAGAAAAGGCACCGGTTGCGATGTTGGTAGCCTGGCTGAACTTGTCGCAGCGAGAAAAGGCGAGGGTATTCGTGACGGCGAGGACGATGGCAATGACTAGACTCGGGATTAGTCACACAGTCCATCGAGGAGGAGGAGGAGGAGGAGGAGGAGGAGGAAAACATCTCCAACATACCAACCAGACTGAGCCAAATAAACTCAAACTTGAAAATGGCAACAAAGCCCAAAGCCACCCAACTAACGGGTTGCGAGTACAACGCCAGCCAAAAGAACCTCTTGTCGGTAGCGTTGATCTGGCGAGACTCTGGATCCGCAGACTCAAAGACCCAGTTCCCATCTCCTGATTGCGCGTTGACTTCATTCCACCAGCGGAGACCGACCAATCTTCTACCGGCAATGTTCTTGAGATAGTAGAAATCCATGGCGAGCAAGACGATGGTGACGATGAAGACGAGGACGTAGTTTTTGATGAAGAGGAGGCCGAAGAGGTAGACCAGGAGACTTGCTGTGGAAATGGCACATGACGCATTAGCTTTACGATGGTTGTAGACGGGGTGTTGGTGTTGGTCTGGTCTTACCAATGCGGAAGCCGAGAAAGCAGAGCAGAGTGATGGGATGCGAACTTAGTCGCCAGCTCAAAGAGCCTTGCGGTGGGGGATCCATGACGATTTGGCGTGGGTTGACGAACAGAGATGGGTTGCGACAATGAAATGGTATGTGCTGGAGGCAGCTGGCCAGCGGACAGCTCTACACTTTCCCAGGGCCCAGGGGACGCGTCGTTGATTGCGAGTCGTGCTCAGGAGGCTTGCTGTTCTCCCACGACTCGATCTCTTGTGGGGAAAGCTCCGGATAACGAGTCCCGTCCCTCGGTCATGTCCGAGCCCCCACCATGATGGCATACTTCGAGGTCCGTCTTCCTCTTGCATCTTCTCGCACAACATTGTACACGACATGGCGGCCTCTCCAATTGTACGTCGGGCGCTTCTCTATGGTATGAAGACGCGTCACATTCTGCTCTGTTAGCTAAGACATGCTACAGTGCCCGGCTCGTCAACGCGCTTCCTCGAAAAGTCACGAGGCGTGGCCGTCGATACAATCTGCTACGATCTAGAAGACTCGGTCACTCCAGGAAAGAAGGCAGAAGCACGCTCAAACCTACAATCCATTCTATCTCGAGAGCGAGTATCTGGGATCAGAGAGCAAGCCGTACGCATAAACTCGGTCGACAGTGGCTACGCCCTCGACGACCTGACCCAAGTCCTCAAAGCACCCAATCTCGACGCTCTTGTCATCCCAAAAGTCAACAGTGCCTCCGACCTGCATTTCGTCACTGATGTTATCCGTCACGCCCTTCCTGATCGACATGGTCCTGATGCCAAATCTCCCATCCGCTTGATCGCTTTGATCGAGTCGGCACGAGCAGTCATGCATCTGTCTGCCATCTGCAAAGCCTCGCCATACCTGAGTGGTCTCATCTTTGCTGCAGAGGACTTTGCACTCGATCTTAGCATCACGCGTACACCAGACTTGAACGAGTTCTTGTATGCGCGTTCGGCCATTGCGACAGCAGCCAGAGCATTCAATCTGCCTTCGACAATAGATCTGGTCACAACCTCGTTCCGCGGCAACGAGGGCCAGCAGGTACTCAAAGAGGAGAGTGAGGGCGGTAAGAGGATGGGATACAATGGAAAGCAATGCATCCATCCTAGTCAAGTCGACTTGGTCCAGAACATCTTCAGCCCTAGCCAGGCAGAGGTGGATTATGCCGTTAGGGTGGTGATAGCAGACGGCAAAGCAGATGCCCAAGGTCGCGGAGCTTGGACGCTGGACGGTAAAATGATTGACGTGCCAGTGGTCGGCAAGGCCAAAGCACTGGTCAAGAAGGCAGAGCTCTGTGGAGTCGACGTCGCATCTGTTAGAGAGAAGTTCAAAGACCAAGAACCAGAGTAATCAAGATCGCTTCGTGTTCAAGAGGCGTCTTTGGCGTATGCGAGTGCTCTGTGACCTCTTTCCTGACCAGGTCCGTTTCCGTGGCCATCACGCCAGCATTCTTGGCAGTATAGATCACCATCACAGCCCATGCATTTTACTGTAGCATCTTCATTGCAGATGCAGCACCAGCTCTCCATGTCTTCATCCGTGTACTTGGGCAGGTTTGACTTGACATTCTTCTGAATCTTGACAGCCTTCTTGGCCGGATTGAACGAGGGTACTCCAGGTAGCGACAGAGATGCAAATCGAGCAGAAAGTGCATCGTCTATGTTGTTGTCCTGGTCAGGGGCAGGCGAGGATGGTAGCTCGGTGGGTGCTGATGGCAGAAAGAGTCTGTCGTTGTCGCCCTCTTTCTCCTCATCTTCTTCCTCTTCCTCGTCTTCAGGGCCACCGTACTTCTTGTCAATGGCAAGTTCGGCGAGAACACGTTGAACGTAATCGTCGGCCTCTTCGTCGTCTCTCTTGTCCTCGTCGCGCTCTTCCTCCTCATCATTCTCGTCATTATCGTCTTCATACTCTGGCTTTACAACTCCAACTTCGATATCCAACTCTTTGCCCTCCTCTCTATTGCTCTCCTCAACGGGCAAAGCACTCTTAGCCTCAGCCATCAAATCTCGAATCCGCTCGCCCTCATCACGCTGAACGGACCATTGTTCCTCAGGCCCAAGATCCTGCAACAACTCCTCAATAGTCCTATCATCTTCCTCGTTATGTTCTGTATCTTCCGACTCGTGGAATGGTGATGCGACGGCACTGTTGGGCGTCAAGCTGCGGAACCTCGCTGTCAGGTCAGAGTCTGTGTTTCTTTGCGGTGTTGCTGGGAGATCGAGGGGAGAGGTCTTGGATAGTGTGACTGGTGACTTTCGGAGTGCGTTTAGCCTTGCTAGGAGGGCGTCGTCTGAGTCGGGCATGTTTGTTGTGTGGTCTTGGATGTTGGTGGAGCTTCGAGGCCGATGATGTGGGTTCATCACGTCATTCGTCATTTGTGTGACCCTGACCACCAACCGACCCGACACCTCTGGGTCCATTAATGCGACCACATTGATCAAGTTATGAAGATTGACTGGATTCCAGAGGTTGAGATGCAGATTGTCTTCTTTAGTAGTCTACAAGGTCGCCAATTAGCAATCGTTGGTACTTGTCCACGACTTCTCTCGTCTTCATCAAAACACTAGCTGCTAGCATGCGGATCCTCTCCCCTTCCTCGTCACCTCCACCAACTCTGTCAAAGACAAGCTCGACCCATTCTTGTGTCTCGATCAACTGCTTCGAGTGCTCTTCCGCCAGCCTGCGCTTATCTTCATTCATGTCCAAAAGTGTCAGAGTCGCAAAGAGAACAGCTTCCAAAACACTGACATCAGCCAATGCTTTCGTCCTTACACTCAAGATCAGCTCCCAAAACTCTGCCGTCATCTGAGGAAGACAGATAGTCCCAGTTCCTGACGCATGCAAGATGAGTGCAAGTGTCTTGAGATATGTGCTCAGCAAGAAAGGCTGGAAATGCACACTCTCCGACCCATACGCCTGCAGGTTCTGCCACCAGCGGCCAGTCAGAGGGAAGAAGAAACGTTCTGCGACCATCTTGGCCAATGCGTTAGGGATCGTCTTCTTCCTCTTCTTTTCGACTTCCATACGTGAAGAGAATGTTCTGACTTTCAGGATGTTAGGTCCGGACATTTTGTCTGCTGCATCGAGTGCCATTGGTTGAATCATGGATCTTTCCAATTTTGACGCGATTAGAGCGACGGGTGCATTTCTCTCGGCAGCATACATTTTGTGCAGTCTCTCCGGGAGCTGCTTACTGGGGAAGGATGTTGCTGCCATTGTAGGGTTCAGCTCTTCATCCTCGTCCTTGTAGCCGGCCAGCTCTCGCGCGCCCAATCCTAGGACACTCAGTATTGTCGTGCGCTGACTCAGAGAGTAGTCTCCATCGAAGACTTGACGCGCGAACCATGGGGCCATTTGCGCTGGACTCGCTACCAGGACTGCGATAAGTGCCTGTAATCGAAGCTCCAGGAAGTTGTCCATGTCGAAGGTGTCGCCGAGTCCGACCAAGATCGTTGCGAGCTCCAGGGCATGGTCACTAACCTCTTTGCCGAATGAGGTCTTGCGACGGATCAGTGCAGCAGCACTGTTCAGTGCCAGACTGTGTTTGTCGTAATTCTCCGAATCGTTCAGTCCGGCCATTAGATCCCGGATGTAGACAGGAGCTTTTGGCTTGTCACGATTGATCATGGTGGGGTCATCATCCTCGTCCTCAGGATCAGAGTCTGGTTTGGCGTAAGGTATAAGATCGTCGTCTTCGTCTGAATCATCCAAGACTTCCATGATCCTGGGTCCTTGCAACTCCTCCTGGATAAGAGGTTTGGCCTTCGGTTTGGGCGGAGCCGGTGCCTTTGTCGACCGAGGTTTCGTTGTATCGAGATTCTTGTCTGATGTCTCTGTTTTGTTGATGCTAAATACCTCCTTGATATCGGTGTAGCTGCCAACTTCATCGTTCACCTTGACCAATCTCTGATACCACTTTCCTTCTGCCGTCTTCAAGTCGTCAATGTCGAAGTCCATCTTAGATCCTGGTTTGTCCACCAGGTCTGAGATAGCCATGCCGACAATCATGCCAAGGAAACGAGCCCTTGGTGAGGATGAGTTTAAGCGATTGGACATGCCGTTGAGATGGGCGCTTGAGCGAGCCATGATGAAGAGAGACATTGGCTGTGCTCTATGGGCATAGCCTGCAACCAGAAGCAGAATTTGGGCACAAGCTTCTTGCTGCAGGATGGGCGAATGCTTGATGAACAAGTTGTCGCCGAATCGTTTCATGGTCTTCTCCACAAGATCTTGGACGGGATCTTCGAGCATGTTTGATGTTCCTTTGCTTGCATGAGCGAACGCGGAAACAGTGGCTCGTCGCAAAGCGAATGTTTCCGAAGCGTTTTGGACTGGGTCAGACAGCCATGTCTCGAGGTGTGTTCTCATAGCCTCGTTGTCTCCGATCAAACTTGAGATGGCAGCAGAGGTCGCGGCAATTGCAGAGGGCGTCTCTGTGAGGTTGTCATCAAAGTCTGGAAGTGCCACAAGAGAAAGAGATCGGTTTGACAAGACTTTGAAAGTCGAGTTCAGAAACTGCTTTTGCTCGTGTACTTGCAAGCTCTGTAGCAACAACTGCAACACAGGACCTGTATCTGGCGAAGAGAAAGAAGACTGTGCGTGAATCTCTTCTACGACTCGAACTAAAACACGTTCAGTGACCTTGTAACCACGTAGATCGAAGACCTCCTACCTGGATAGCCAATACCGAGAGCCTTGCCGCAAAGTTGAGCCGCAGCTTTGGACGTATGATTTATCTTCGTCGTGTTGCGCATCATCGTGGAAACATTGCGACCCAGCCATGCAGAGTACTTCGGACCGTCCACAAGCCATGAAGGCTCATATTCACCTCCAACAGTTTTGATTGCGTCTTCTGCTTCTGCCGTAGTCGCGAGGATCTTTCCAGTTCCTACCAATGTCAAAAACTCTTTCCACAGAAGCACCCGTTTCGCCTGGCTCTCAACAAGTCTGTCGATGTCAGAGTATACGTCTTGAGCTAGGCTGTCCGAGCTCAGCAGTTGCGAAAACACAGAGATCGTGTCCGACAATGGTCTTGCTGATTCAGCTCGCTTCACGCCTTGCTGTGTCGATCGGTGCTGTGAGATCAGAAGACGAAGCTTTGCGAGTGCAGCACCAATACCAGCTACGCTTCTCAAACAGTCTATGAGCAGAAGATCCGTTTGATCGTCACTACCCCAGAAGTCCGAAAGAGTTGTGTTTATAAGTTCGGTGACTACTTTGGCAGAAGCAGGCGTAGGAGTTCTTATGTCGAACCCAGCAGACTTCTGAGATCCATGATTCAGGAACAAAAGAAGGTCTTTCAGATCATCCTCAGCTGGACTTGAACGTAGAATCTGTAGCACTTCCTCTACCGAAGTTGGCGAGTTGCGTACGGTGCGAATTCTAGGTCTATTTGGAAGAGCCTCTGCGATATTGGAACTCTCGGCATTCGGTTTTGACCTGAGGGAGATGCTTGACACAGCCGTCAAAAAGTCACCCATGGTCAGTATTTGTTTGCGACCTCTCTTGACGGTTTACGAATAGTCAAGACAGAGAGGACTTCAGCATGACAAGTCTAAGCGAGCGCGTGGACCGTGCATCGTGGCTTAACTCCGCTGTCGCCGCAGCGCATGCGATGACATCTTCAGCCTGTCAAGCATCTCAAACGGACGACTTGCAAGCTCAACTCAATCATCTCAGTCTAGCCATGGCTACGGAAAGTGTACCACAGGTAGCTCTTACCCAAGACGCTTCTGAAGATCGCGCAAGATGGTATGCTGGATCTCAGTCCCAAGACTTCTTCAAGACTGACTTTCTATAGGAAGCATCTCGACACAATCCTCTCTCGCAGAGGCGCGTTCACCGACCCGGACGATTTCATACCTGGAGATCGTGTCATTCAGAGTCTCGAAGCAGCAAAGGTTTTGTAAGTCAGGTGCTACTTCATGATAAGATCATCGAAGCTAACTTACGCCAGAGTCATGTTCGTACCCTCCCAATCCTATCTCGCAAACATAGCTGACTCCAAGTAGTGGAGCTGGTGGCCTTGGATGTGAGATCCTCAAGAATCTGGCCCTTTCTGGATTCAAGAACATCGATGTCATCGATATGGGTACGCCGAGCCCTTTTCATTTACATGCGCCATACTGAACGACGACACAGACACGATCGATGTATCCAACCTCAACCGTCAGTTCTTGTTCCGCCAGTCAGATGTGGGAAGTTACAAGGCCGAAGTGGCCGCTCGATTCGTCGAGAAGCGCGTCAAGGGCGTCAAGATCAACCCATACTGCGGCAAGATTCAGGACAAGGACGAGGACTATTACCTGAAGTTCAACATTATCGTCTGTGGGCTGGACAGCATTGAAGCAAGAAGATGGATCAACGCCACATTGGTCGGTATGGTGGACGAGGACAACGTCGACAGCCTGAAGCCCTTGATCGATGGCGGCACTGAAGGCTTCCGAGGCCAGTCCAGAGTCATCCTGCCTACCGTCACAAGCTGCATTGAGTGCCAGCTGGACATGCATGCTCCTCGTGCTGCCGTTCCTTTGTGTACGCTGGCTACCATCCCTCGCCAGCCTCAGCACTGTATCGAGTGGGCCCATCTGATCGCTTGGGAAGAAGAGCGTAAAGGTAAGCTTGTCAGCGTTGTACACGCAATGTACGTCTCTGACTCTACCTAGACATCACACTCGACACTGACGACACGGAGCACATCTCGTGGCTATTCGCAAAGGCCTTGAAGCGCGCACAAGAGTTCAATATTCCAGGAGTCACCTACTCAATGACCCAAGGCGTTGTCAAGAACATTATCCCGGCCATCGCTTCGACCAACGCCATCGTCGCTGCCTCATGCTGCAATGAAGCCTTCAAGATCGCGACAGGCACAAATCCTTTCTTGGGAAATCCCGGCGCAAACAATTACATGATGTACAGTGGTGACGACAGCATCTACACGTACACATTCGAGCATGAGAAGAAGGACGATTGCCCTGTCTGCGGCAACCTGGCCAAGGAAATATCGGTCAAGAGAGAATGGACATTGCAGGACTTCCTGGAGCACCTGGCCGAAAGACCGGAAGCACAGCTCAAGAAGCCATCGATCAGAACGGAAGAAAAGTCACTCTACTACTCGGCACCTCCTAGTCTCGAAGAGCAGACTCGACCAAACTTGAAGCGCAAGCTGGATGAGCTCTTGTCTGACGGGCAGGAAGTGGGTGTCAGCGACCCTGCATTCACCATCGACTTCAAGTTCAAGATCCGCTTCAGCTGAAGGAAGCTTAGACAGCCGCGCAGGAAGTGGCGGCGTTCATGAGGATCTTTCTATAAATGAAGGGATGAAGCATAGCGAAGGCGTTCAAGGGACAAACATGGCTCAGAGGCAAAGGACAGCGATTCGCGTAGATGATTCGATATTTTCGACTTGGATGTACAAAAACCGATCAAGCAGATCATCAGAAGGTGATGGGAATAAGCGGGGCATATCAAATAGGACCGTTGGAGGATGAGTGGAGGGCAAGTTTGGCGGGGCTGACGACGCCGAGGTCGAGGACGGGCAGTGTCTGGAGCTACGCGTCGTCAAAAGGGGCCAGACAGTTTGCTCTGTCAATTTAGTCGGTTCGAGAGAGAGGGAGAGAAGTTGAAACTCGCAACAATGAGTTTGGAGCTGGCAATACCATGAGCTATCAGTATGCAACGTCTTATTCGACGTCCAAAGATGAAAAGCCCTTGACCAAGATGTGGCAGCGTCTCGTGCGACAGTCGCAGTATGACGCCAAAGGGAAACCGAGGACCAGACTGGCAATCCTCCGCAGACGCCTGTTGACCATACCGACCGCTGTCTTCTTGCTGTGCTTCTTTGTCTTGCTATGGGGAGAGCGTAGCAGTTTCAGCAGTAGCATCGATGCTTGCAAGTGGGACAAGTGGGAAACTTGGGTATGTCATGGTCACCTCAGCTCTTTCGCTATACACTGATGGACTAATGCGATTCCAGCCCTCAGATGCACAACCTCATCGCATTGCCCTGATCGCCGACCCTCAACTTGTCGACCCGCACACGTATCCTGGCCGACCGTGGCCGCTGTCTTCGCTCACCATCGCCGCGACCGACAAGTACATCAAACGATCCTACTACCTCTTGCAACGCCAAATCGATCCCGATACCACCTTGTTCCTAGGCGATCTGTTTGACGGAGGACGAGAGTGGTCTACACATTTCGAAGGCTTCCAAGCATCGGAGAAGCAATGGAAGAAATACGGCGACAAGTACTGGCTGAACGAGTACAATCGCTTTGGCAAAATCTTCTTTGCGCAGGACCAGGTTACTGGAGGACTGCCTGCTCACAAGGTCAAGAAGTTTGTTGCCAGTCTCCCGGGAAACCATGACTTGGGCTTTGGCAATGGCGTACAAGTGCCCGTCCGGAATCGCTACCAAGCTTACTTCGGTGAGGGTGACCGGATCGACATTGTAGGCAATCACACCTTTGTCAGCATTGATGCTGTGAGTCTGAGTGCAATGGGTCAACCAGACAGCTCGCCCGAACTCTGGAACTCGACCATGCAGTTCCTCGATAATGCGCAACACCTGAAACACAAGGCTGTGCGTGCAGAGCTCAACGAACACCAAGGTCTGATATCACACAAAAGATGGGCACATGAAGTCACATCGCCTCTGGACCTAGGCCGCCAGTCTACGAAAGAGGAGCTTGCAAAGGAGCTGAAGCCCGAGTTTCCTACCATCCTCCTCAGCCACGTACCCCTGTATCGACCCGAGGGCACTCCCTGTGGGCCGCTTCGTGAGAAGTTCCCTCCGACCAAGCCAGATCTCAAGCACGACAAGCCCAACGCCATCCGTATCGCTGGAGGCTACCAGTACCAAAACGTCCTGACCCAAGAACTTTCAACCACGGTCGCTGAGAAGATCGGTAACATTGGTCATGCTTTCTCAGGTGACGATCATGATTACTGTGAAGTACTGCATCCAGATTACGCCTCGAGGCACAACAGAGGCATCCGCGAAATCACAGTCAAGAGCATAAGCTGGGCCATGGGCGTCCGCAAGCCAGGCTTCCAACTAGTCAGTCTCTGGAACCCAGTCGACACGAACGGTGAATCTCTCCGCGACGGCCCAACACTGCAAACGCATCTCTGCCTCTTACCAGATCAACTAAGCATCTTCATCCGCTACGGCATCCTCGCAGCCTTTTCCATCATCGCACTCGCCATGAACACTCTAGTCCAAGTCAGAAATGAAGAAGCCGCGGCTTCACTAACAGCAACCCACACCCTCCCAACCTCCGAACCTTCCAAATCGACCTCCAAGTCACGCTCTCGCGCCCCTTCGGGAGCTACAAACTCAATGTCGTCCTCCGAGCACTCCAATAGCAACAGCACCCTCTCCGCCCGCACTAACAACGCACGCACCCGCAGTGTCAGCCCTGCAATGGGCTATGGCCTCCCCACCGCTCGCCCTGGAGCCTCGTTGATCGAAAAAGCAGGATATTATGGCAATAATCCTGAATACCAAATGTATAACAAGGAGGAGGTGTTTGACGAGAGTGACGACTGGGGTAATCCTATTTTCAGAAAGCCGCCGAGACCAAAGGTGCCAAAGACCTTTAGGAGGAAGTTGGTTGACAGGTTTGGGAGGGACTTTGCTTGGGCTGGGGGTCCGGCTTTTGTCTTGTATTATTGGCTCTTGACAAGAGGTTGAGTTGGTACATATTTTCATATCATCACTTTTCGCTTTTGAACACCATTCCAACGATGGAACTTGTCGAGTTGGATGTGATATGACTGGAGGCAAGATCAGATGTTGGAGGAGTACGAAAATAATGCATTCGATCGAAAAGACAAGAGAAGCCCGTAGGCAACTTCAACAGAAAAACAATGACTAACAACCATCCATCCCTCGATCGTAAAAAATCATTCAAAAAACGCCCTCTTCCTCTCCAAGAAAGAAAATACGAAACAAGACCTCTTCTTCTTCTTCCTTTCGTGCCTTCTCACTCTTGTGTGCTTATTTACAAAAAGCCCTTGCTAAGGCTGCTTATCCTCTGTGGCACTTCAAGAGAAGGCGGCAAAGGACCAATCGAGCTTCCTCTCCTACTACCACCCCCAGCATCGCTATATGCAGCAAATGCACTCCTTCTTACACTCCCCCTCTCAATCTGCAGCCCTTTGATCCCCTCCAGTTCTCTCTCAAGTCTTAATCTTGTCTCTCTTTCCTCGCGTAGCTCTCTCTCGGCACGTTTGGCAGCGAGTTGGTTGGATGAGTCTGAAGCTTGGAGTTCGTCGATTGTGGCGAGTAAGTTCCCGATCTTGTCGCGGGACTTGTTGACGTCGTCGGTGAGGAGGGAGACACTCTTGTCGCGACGCTCGATTTGAGATTGCAGGTCGCGGACAGTGCGCTCGACATTACGGACGCTGCGGGCTTCCGTATTGCGTGTGTGTTCGAGGTCGTCGAGTTGACTTTCGAGCTCGTGAATGCGGCCATTGAGGAAGCGGACGTCCTGACTGACGCTTGAGTAGCCCTTTGTCTCGAGGTCGATGCACTTGAGCTGGAGGTCTTTCATGGTCTTCTCCAGTGCTGCCTTTTCCTTGTGTAAGGTGACATTGTTCTCGCGTTCAGTGACAATATCCTTTTGAATCTCCTGGGCGAGTGCTTCGGCTCTTCTCATCTTGCCGACTGCAGCAGCGGCGACATCTTCCTGGTGAGCAAGTGTCGACTTGAGCTCGAGCAATTCGCGATCTGCAGATGCTGCGTTACGCTTAGATGGCGATCCGTTTTGAGATAGATCTTCCAAACGATCGGCAGCCTCACTAAGACGTGCCTCGAGCCCCTTCTTTTCCTTGATGAGCATGTCTCTCTCAGCCACGACATCATCAACGCCAGTGCGAAGACTGCGAACTTGGCTGAGCAGATCAACGATCTTGCTCTGAGCCTCGTTGTGCGCATTGACGGCCTCATCACGAGAGTTCGACAAGTCCTGTAGAGCAACATCCAGGCGCGACTTTTCCTTTGCCCAGGTGGAGCTGTTCAAAACTTCGTCGTCCCACTTGTTGCGCAACTCTTCAAGTTCATCACGAAGACGTCCGTTCTCTCCGCGAACATGAATCACATTCTCGCGCTCAATCTCTAGCTCGTTGCTAACGGCGGTCAGTTCTGATTGGTACTTCTTGCGAGTCTGCTCCATTGATGACTCCTTGTCTTCAATGTCCATCGCGCGCTGAGATCTGTAGTCTTCGAGCTCGTTCTGTAGTCGCTTTCGGGCTTGAAGCGCACCATCCAGGTCGGCGGAGAGATCCTCGATCTTTTCCTCGTACTGCTGGGACTGACGCTGTAGATCCTCGACTAGAGAGTCCATGTGCTTGCGCTCCGACATGATAGTTGCACATTGATCTTCAACCTCCCTGGCCTGAGTCTTTGCGAATTGCTCTGCCCGTGTTGCTTTGAGGACGGCGATCTCAGCCTGCTCGAGCTTACCGAAATACTCGTCAGCTCTGGCACGGTAGAGGTTGAGACTGGAAGATACATCAAGCAGCTTGGATGTCTCAGCATCAAGTCTGATCTGCATATCCGAAAACTCCTCGAGCAGCTGCTGATGCCCTGCAGCTTCTTGTTCTCTCTCATAAGACAGGTCATCAAGCTCTGATCTCAGATCGCGAAGCTCTACATCAGACGAAACCTTGCTCTGCTTGATCTCGTCAAATGCGGTCTTTGCCTCCGCGAGCTCGGATATAGCTACGTTGTGAGAGGCAAGCAAAGACTTGCGCGACTGCTCTTGGGAGTTGATAAGGTCGAACAACTCTTCATGAGACTTGGTCTGCACTTCCGAAAGCGACAGCTGGCCAAGACGAATACTGTTCTCCAGAGCAGACACTTTCCTAGCGGAGTCATCAAGCATGCCATGCAGTCTGCTGTTCTCAAGAGAAAGCTTTTGCACTCTACGAAGCGAGGGGCTTTCGTCTTGTAGACCATGCTTCGAAGGACTTCGTTCGATTTGAGCTTCCAGATGTTTGTTATGCATCTCAGACATCTGCAGCTGAGTTTGAACCATCTCAAGCTCTGCTGCAAGATCCATGCGGTTGTTGAATGCAGCAGTATCGTTTGTGCGATCTGAACGTGCAGAGTCAGTCGTGTAGTTGCTCAGATGGCGTTGGTTGGAAGGTGTGTGCACTGGAGAGAAGGGCTTTCTAGACTCCCAATCTCTGCGCATCGGGACAGGCGAGGCACGAGCATTGACTTGACTCGAGTTCATCTCCTCAAGCAAAACGCGCTTAGCGTTAGCATGCTTGTAATCGTTCTCCTGCATCTCGTCTTGGTGATGGGTACGTAAGCCGTTCAATTGTGCTTCAGCGCGCGAGAACTTCTCATTCGCGATTCGAAGAGCCTGTTGAGATGCTTCCAATTTCTTCGCCAGATCGACAGTGCGAGCCATATCTGGTTTCGAGCCGTCGACGTTGGAAGGCAGATCTTTGGTGTCGGGGTCAAAAATCTTCTGGAGTAGCGTGAGTTGTTCACGACACTCAGCGAGCTCACTGTTAGCCGACTCAAGACTGGACTGTACGGCACGAGTGTTTGTTTGAGCCTGGCTACGCAATTGTCGTTCAGTCTCGAGCTTGCGATTCGCTTCAGCGAGCTGGAGATTCACACTTGAGGAGGCTTGCTCCGCATTCCTGGTAGTGCGGTGCTCTCTAGTGATTTCGTGGTTGAGGTCCTCCAGACTCAGAGTGAGCTTCTCCTTTTGTTTCTCCAAGGAGTTGATGGTCAAGTGTGCATCCTCAAGTTGACGCATGAGTTTCTTCGCGTTCTCTTCAGCGTTTGCCTTCTCGGCGTTGAGCTGATTGATTTTCGATCGTTGCGTATCGACAGCACGAGAATTCGATCGGGCGATGTCAAGATTCTTTTGCTGAAGCTTGTTCAGTAGAGCACGGTTGTCGTTCTCAGATGCTGCCAGACGTCCTTTGGTCGTGACAAGTTCTCGTTCGAGTCGTTCTTTGTGTTGATCTTGGTGCAACCGGAACGAATCATTGCCAGAGATGAACTCCTTTAACCTTTGCACTTCTAACGCCATCTGGCTCTTGTCTACCTCCAAGTCTTCGACTTGCCTTTCCATGTTCTGCAGATCGCGTCGAAGGAGGGCTTGTCGCTCGGCAGCCTGTCGAGTAATATTGCGCTCGACTGTGGCTTCAGCTTCGATCTTGGACTCCTGGAGTTCGAGGAATTGCTTCCTCAAGTTCTGCAGCTCGGATTGGTAGTCTTTGCGCTCTTTCTCCACCGCGGCCCGGATTTCGTTCGCTCTGCGTGTGACATCCGACTGGGCATACATTTCTTTCTCGATAGTGACCTTGGAGTCATTGAGGGCATCAAACTCTCGTTTCAGACTTTCGTACTCACTCTGAGCGATCTTCTTGATGTCGTCACGCGACTGACGTTCGCGACTTAGATCGGTCTGTACTGCAAAGAGTTCGCTCTTGAGATCCTCGATCTGGTTCTGCAACATCTCAGCTTGAGTATCTGCTGATGTCTTGTCGTCCAGAGCCCTCTTTGCATCTGCAATCTCGCGCTCAAGCTGGACTTTCTGCGAGGTCATGGCCTCCATCTCGGCCAAAGTGCCTCGTAGCTGACCCTGGATGTTGTTGTGTTGACTTGTTAGAGCGTGTTTCTCCTCCTCAAATCGTTTGCGGTCGTCTTGGAATCTCCTGAGATCAGTTTTGAGGATAGCAAGTTCGCTGTCTTTGCGTCGAATCAAGTCCTCATAGCTGCTCGAAGTAGAGGCTAGGTCTGACATCTGCTGGCGAATCGTGCGATTCTCGTCAACAAGGCTCTTGATCTTCTGTTTCGACTCCTGAGCATCCCTGGTGACAGTTGAGAGCTTGAGATCAAGTTCATGATCATTCTCGAGCATCTTTGTTTCCATATCCTGAAGCTTACGCTCCTTGAGGCTCACGTGGCTTTGGAGCATCTTAATCTCCTGACCAAGTTTCTCTTCCAATTCGGTCGTCTGGGAACGAGATGACTCGACTTCGACAAGCTGGGCGTCCAAGGCTGAAATACGGGAGCTCAACTCGGTCTTCTCGTCTTCCAGTCTGGTGATAATTAAGGTTGCCTGCTCCACTTGATGATGCCATTCGTCAGCCTGCTCTTCCGCCCTCTTCTTGGCTTCTATGAGTGCTTCCAGTTGATCTTCCAGCTTCTCTTGATCCTCGAGTGCATCTTGGAGTTTCTCGCTCAGCTCAGATTCCCGATCTTGCAATCTCTTGAAGATGTCCTCCTTGTCGAGCGCCAGTGATCTTTCACTTTCGAGGGTCTGTTGGATTTTCTGAATCTCTGATTCGGCGCGTCGGCGTTCATCTTCAATTCTGAGTCGGTTTTCCTCGTCTTGTCTCATCCTCTCCTGTAGCTTCTGAATCTCTTCTTCGCGCTTCTTGACCTCGTTGGACTGGCGGGTAGCTCCAAGCAAAGGTCTCATCGTTACGAACAGACCCCACCATGGGTTGGCTTGCATTTGCTGGTAGGCCTTGAAATTACTTTGAATGATACGGGTGGCCTCGGCGCGGTAGAGTCTCTTGTTTGCGATACGTCTCTGGATGTAACCGCGAGCGACGGATTGAAACCTCTCCATAATTTCTCTGATCAGGGCATCACGTTGTTCTTCCAGCTCGGCAAGGACTCCGGCCCTGAAGAACACTTTTGTGAGACCGACACGGTACCAGGACGGGTCCAGATTAAGCTTCTCGAGTATCAATTTAGCTGCCACTTGACCTTCCAGTGGGCTCTTGGGCATCTTTGTACAGAGAACCTCATAACGAGAGCGGAACTCGGCAAAAGGCAGTCTGTTTGGGAATCCTGTTCTGGCGATACGGATACCTTCGAGAACACCGTTGCAGCGGAGTTGGTCGAGAACGAGCGGCGCGCTGAATTGTTTTGGACGCTTCTTGTGATTGGGTAGGATACATCTGACGAAGTGGGGATGAGTTGAGTGCAGTTGATTCATAAGCGTGGACAGGTTCTCTTTGTGTTTTTGCGCAACCGTTCGGAAGAGGCCCTTCTTGACACGATTTCTGGTTGCACCCGCTTCTTCGTCATTTTCCTGGCAATCGGCGAACAGCTGAGAAACGTGCTTATTCGTAGAAGCAGCAAGGAGTCGAGTCACATTGTCGTTCATAGGGTCTTTGTTCTTTTCTAGCCAACCTTCGGTAGAGTACTCCACATCAGCGGCGTAATGCGTCAATGTGAATCCCTGTTTCAGAAGTGAACGGCGATACTTGGACGACTTGCGGTCCCACAGAGTGTTCAGCTTTTCCGTGAAAGACTTGTCTGTGGCCTTGGGCATGACCGAATCTTCGTCTAGGCAGGAGAAGATACCAATAGGGTTGGTCACCTCGATAAGCTCAATTGTGGGCTGTAAATCCTTGCCAAAATCAATAAACTTCCACTCAATTTGCTCGCGGGCATATTCTTCCTGCTCCAAAACGAACATGTGGTGGTTGAAGAACTGTTGCAATTTTTCGTTGGTGTAGTTGATGCACAGCTGCTCGAAGCTGTTTTCCTCAAAGATTTCGAATCCAGCAATATCCAGAACACCGATAAAGTATGTGTCGTCCATGCCAGATCCAGATCTAGCTAGCTGCTTGTTGATACGATCTACAAGGCTACCGAAGCCACGCTCGTAAATACCCTTGGCCAGGGCATCGATTGCCAGGCGGACCTGTTCTGGCGTTTGTACTTTCTTGACCCACTCTCTGCCGGCTTTGACACGAGGATGTAGTAAGCCTTCGACGAAAGGCTCGACAGGAATGCCGACCAAGCGGCAGAACTTCTCGACGCTCTCCATCGCATTCGCAGCCAAGGACGCTTGGTCTGCCCGCATGCTTTCTTTTGCGACAGTAATGTTACCCAGATGAAGAATGGCAGCGATGGTCCGTAAGATGGATTTCTGATCCTGGTCATCGAAGCCCATAACGTGGAAGGCTTCTATCAACATGTTCCATTCTTCCTTGTCCGAAACGCCAGAGATAACATCGTTACCCTGCTTGGTGTACTCGAAGTGTTCGAGCTCCATGCCTTCCAGCAGAAATTCGCGCCGAGTGGCATCATCAACACCGCAAAGGAGTTGGTAGAAAATGTGGTAGCTTCGTTCTTGCGAATTCAAGCGTACTACTCTGCTCTTTTCAAGGAGATACCAGTCGATGAAAGCACCGGCTATTTGGCCGGCTCTAGTGAACTCGATGCGAATGAACTTTCCAAAACGCGACGAATTGTTGTTTCGAACAGTCTGAGCATTACCAAAAGCCTCGAGAATAGGATTGGCTCGCAGTATTTGCTCGGACAGATTGGAGAGTTGTCTCGTTGTGTTTTTAGCGCGAGGAGTGTCTGATGTGGCCACGGCGGCGAGGTACTGAATGACCTTCTTTGTGTTTTCCGTCTTTCCTGCACCAGACTCACCCGTGACGAGAATACTCTGGTTGGTACCCTCGTCGACGAGATTCCTGAAAGCTTCGTCGGCCATGGCGAAGATGTGTGGTTTGGTGTCCTCGCGACTTCTGCCCTTGTACATGTTGACATAGTCGCGACCGTAGATGGGGAGGGGGCAGTATGGATTGATCGTGACCAAGAACAAGCCGGAGTAGGTGTAGATGAGGTCTGCCTGGTAGCGCATGTGCAGATTGTGCACGACCGAGGCTTCGTTCAGGTGGGTGAGCTCAGCCATGTCGTCGGCTTTGTCGAACTTAGCAGGGTTGACTTTGTCGACAGACTCCGAGTCCACATCACGTTGCTTGAGCTGGTCAGTTGTGGTTACTCAGACAAGGTGAAGTATGGCAGAACGTACGCTTCCATCGTCACACTGAACCCGCAGCAGACCATCGGCCAGGTCCTCGACAACCCAGCCTCGGACGAAGGCCTGTTCGGCATCCTTAACCCAAACATAACGCTTGCCTGAGAAGTCGTTTTCGCCCTCTATGCCTCCAACTTTTTCTTCTGCTCCATCCAGACCTTCTGCTTTGATGAACTTTGGAGCAAATGTGCCCGTCGGAGGGGGACGTATTGAGCCTCTTCGGGAGAGACCGCGCTCTAGAGAGCCAAAGCCGAGCTCTGCAAAAGACTGGTGACGCGCGTGTCCATTGGTCGTTGGCGGTGACATCGAAGGCGGCAAGACAGACGAACGAGACCGGGCGTGTCCTGGTGCTGGGCCTGGAGAGGGAGTGCCGTTGGCGACGGTCTGAGAAGCGTCTCGCCAGCGCTGGCTCCCCGTAGGAGTGGCTATAGCCATATGTGAAAGATTCGCTGTTGGGTTAGTATGCTGCAATTCGAATGGTGATTAAGAGGGTCGCATGTAGGCGTATGAATCGAGCAATGATGACTTCTTAAGACGACATTTCCAGCGGGTAAAATGTTATATACAGACGAAGGCTGCTGGCGACGAAGATCCACTGAAAGGGTGAATTAGAGCGTTGGTCGCAAGTTGCAACGGAGAGTTCTGTTGTCCTTGGGCACATCACACATGCAGGTGTTTATCAACAAAGCGCCTGTTTATCGCTAGCGTCACGGCCCGCCTCGATTTCGTTTCAACCCGCAACGCTGTTTCGTCAAACTCCGTCCACCGACCACCGCGAAAGCTTGGAGAATACTGTTGCATTGCGCCTGCTCGCTAGACACTTTACATTCACCTCGTGACAATTCGCCGTCTCGTCGTTTGTACAGGCAGTAATTCACTTGCTCTTACTGCATAGATCTTGGCTTGTGGCGCATCTGGATACATTCGTCCGTTGAACGCGTCCAGCTAGCACATATCTTGCCCTTGCGTGAGCAACATCGCATCGCGCTTTCCACACTTGACCATACGCACTTGCCTCACACGCGACGACGTGTTTGCGCACACAAACACCATGGCGCACTTTCCTCCGTGGCCTCCTGCCGCCGGCTCTCCTTCTGCGCATCCCTCAAACTATCCACCCCCTCCTCTGCCGCCTCCTCCTCCATCGACTGCAGGACAGACCATGGCTCTACCACCAGAGCTGCAGGCTCTGAACATCACTCCTCAGCAAATGGCTGCATTGTTAACTCACCTTCAAGCCGGCACTTTTCCCTTTCCTCCACCGCCTCCACCGCCGCCGCAATCTTTCCAGCCGGCTGCTCCGTTCGCACCTGTGCCATTCCCACCGGCTCAATTGCAGCCCTCTGTTAGTCAAAATGTGCCAACACCGAGCGCTGTCCCTTCCCACATGGATGTCGACCGCGAAGAGGGAGAACTTAGCGATGCATCCCAGCGCATCAGTCGTGCGACAGGTTCCAAGAAACGCAAACCACGCGCCTCTCAATCGGCTCACCGCGCTGCTCCCCAGTCCAACACACTGGCTGCTCCCACAAACCCCAACTCTGATGTAAGTCAGTCTTCTTTGCAACAGAAAAAGGGGGCTGTCCTACCTTTCATTGCCGCTTTGCACCAAGAAGGATTTACTTTTGACGAATTCGTTCGTGAGGGCTTCGAGGAGAATCTGCTTCGTCAAGTCTACCAAGATTTGCGCATACCCGTTGCTCCAGTACGAGATTCTAGTGTACGGGTACCACCCACGGAACCTGTAGTTACCAAGACAACAAGTGTAGCGTCTGCTCAGCCTTCTGCTGTGGTCTCTATGAAGGAGATCAAGCCTGCTGTTCTTGTCAAGCAAGCCGCGCCCATGAGTCGTCAGGACTATCTGGCACGTTTGCAAGCCGCGAAGAACAAGAAGGCCGAAGCCACGACTCCCAAGCAACCTACACAGTCTACGACGTCCGTAACGCCCCCTGCGGCCAAACCCGAGGCCGCAGCACTTCCCATCGTGATTCCTGCTCAAGCACCACCCAAAGTTGAGGACGCGCAGATTGCTACCTCTTCCCCAGCCCCGACGAGCAGCAAGCAATCTCAAACTACAGAGCTCATTCGTAAGAAGATGGAGGCCTTGAAAGCAACTCAGCGTCGCTTGGCCAACAGCAATGCTCCTCCTTCTTCCGCACCAGGATCACTACCTGCAACACATACTGCCTCTACATCGACACCGCCCATAAATTCCTTCCCTGGAATCCCTTCGGCACCGCCTCACTCCGCAACCACAAACTTGCTTCCTGGGATTCCTGGCTTGCGCATGTCGACTTCTGTGGCTAGATCACCGCAGCCGCAACCTCAACTCCAAGTCCCGCCTGCGGTTTTCACTGCCACGCCCACCTCTAGCGCATCGACAACTTCTTCGAAAGATTCGACACCCCAGCCTCCTGTCGCTACATCCGTACCTGTCACCAGGAAACGCCCTGTCGCATCCGACCTTAACGAGGCACATAACGTCGCTGACCATCGTCCGTTCAAGAGACCATTCGGGCAAAGCAGACAAAACAGTTTCGATGCGGGAATGATCATTGAGGTTAGCGATGATGAAGACACGTCTGATGAAGATGATGAGCTGAGCAGTGCAAAGCCTTTGATCAAAGCCAGCGCGAATCTCACCGGCCAACGTGATAAGAACATTCGTGACCTGCCACCCTTACGAGACTTCCCACAGCGTTCGGCAGCCTTCAACAAACCGCCGGGCGTCTTCACGCCCCCGCTGGGAACTCCTGGTGTATCAAGCGATGCTGAGGAGCTAAGGAGAAAAGAACTGGAGATCACATCTCTTAACCAGAGAATTCAAGAGTATGAGAAACGCAAAGCCGCACTCAAGGCAAAAAATCCTCTCACGCAGAGTCAGCCTCAGACCCCGTCTCGGGTAATTGTGAAGACAGAAAAGGCCGCTGCGGCATCGCATGCACCTGCGTCAGGCACAAGCTGGTCTAAGGAACCTGCGGATCGACGCACTGAGCTCAAGGCTACTCTGACTGCACGCAATGCCGACATTGTCGACCAAAAGGCTAGAATCCTCGAGATGCAGAAACAGATGGCCGACATGCAGCGGCAGTACGATCAAGACATGGCAAATCAACAGAAACTTCGTGAAGAACTCGAAGGTCTGGATGTCAATACAGACGGAATGACACAATCCGAAATGGAGGCTAAGAAACAGGAGATCGACGACCTCCACGACTTGGAGGCTGCTGAGCTTGCGGCCAACGACGTCGCTGCAGACAATGGCACAGATGTGTCCATGAGTGAAGGCGACTCTGATAGCTCCATCGACGACATTGTTCCCGGAACTCAAGTGGCTGTAGCTGTAGAACGTTCGGCAAGGGACAGAGACGCGACAACATCCAGCCCCGGTCGTGCGCGAGTCCTTGACGACATCCGCGCTGATCGCGCTAAAGCAGAGCAGGCCCATAATGAAGCTTCGAATTCCGATTCTGACTCCGACTCTGGCTCTAGTATGTCTGAGAGCTCGGAATCTGAAGATGATGGAGAAGAAGAAGGTGATGAGCAAGCAAAGTCCACAAGCAAGGTCGCAACAGATGTTTCTGACAGTGCCGGGTCTGACGGTGGAGGTTTGGAAGACTCTAGTAAGTCTTTCAACGATGAATTCGCAGCCGCTGGACCCCACGATGAGCCCGTATGGCTTTTTGTCAGGAATGTACCACAAACGGCAACCAAGGCTCTTCTCTCCTCTTTCTTTGGAGCCTTTGATGTGTAAGTTGTGCATCTCCCGTGTCGTATACATGCTAACACAGAGTCTTCTCAGCGAGCGCGCACATCTCCCAAAGCAACCCACAAATGGTCGAGGCACAGGCTTTGGCTACGTCAAGCTTCCTCTATCGCAAGCTGTCACTGCAATTGACCAGCTCAGTGGACAGCACATAGAGGGACGTAAAGTCTCTGTTCAGATCACGAAGTTTGAGCCAAAGTTGTCGCCCTCGCCATCACCCCAACCGAGTTCTGCTTCCTCCGAGAGCAGCAGTGACGACGAAATGGATATTTCCACAGGCTCCGACTCCGACTCTGAGGACAGCGAAGACGGGATGAGCAACGCTGCAGCGACATCCACCGAGCCACAAGAAACCGTTCCTACCGGTACATTACCAAACGGGGAACTCGCTTCTGATTCGTCAAGCAATGAAGATGAGGACGAAGATCGAATGGACCTTGAGTCATCAGATGCATCATCTGAAGAGTATTCTCCAGAGCCTGCTGCTGTTTCTGTTTCATCCCTGCCTCAGTCGCAATCCAGTAATATCAGCAGACCAACCCTTGCTGACGATTTAGCCCCTGAACTGCAGCCTGCCGTCAAGCAACAAGTTGATGTACATGAAGCGGTATGTTCAATGCACTGAAATTAGCGTATGCTGACAATCTTGCAGGTCAGCACGGCACCCTCGAACGGGACAGCCTTCAAGCCATACGAGAGTCTTCTTAAGAACTTCAAGGGATATCGTTTTCATCCCGACTACCCTCGTGATGTCCAGGGTGGATATCGTTCGTTGACCTACAGTCATCAGATTGACCCCAACAAAGAGCTCTGCCGTTACGAAGTTGCTTCAGGTGTTTGCAATGATGACTCTTGCGAATACCAGCATTTCCGCGACATGGCTGTGTCCGGTGCGTCCGAGGGCGCGACCTCCTAAATTTCTTTTGTTCATGCATTCTTCCATTCTTCCGACTTGTTACCACAGCCGGCGGCCATGCTTGCTCGGCACGTATGGTCTACAACACTCCTACGACGTATTCTGATTCTATATGGTGCGGTAGCTGACTTAGGACACTGACGTTGCAGATGACGCTCTTCTCGTCCAACTGGGTATGAACGGCAATCCCGCCAAAGTCGCAGAATACAGACAAGGCTTGAGGGATATTTTACAGCAAATGAGAGATGAAGGCAATCTCGAAACTGAAGCTGTGGCTGCACGCGTCGCCCAGCACCGAAGAGATTTTGCTCAAGATCCTTCTAACATTCTTGATTTGATGTGAATCGACAATTCAAGTCAGGATTTTGGTCTGTATTCTTGCGTCGCCTTCTTGCGTAAATCGCAAGTGTGACCAGCATATTACAACACAAGCACGACTGCATGCAGCGGTCGCCACTACCTGCCAGTGCCTGACAATTCGTCAGATTCGTACGTGCAAAGAGCGTTTACGACAAGATCGAAAAGGAGTCAGCAGTTCTGAATATTCGTAGACTTTTATCTTATCAAGGATGAAAGCAAGACAGAAAACCGCGGAAAAGCCATCTAGGTGCAGAAGCCGAGCGGAGATGCACAACCGGGTGACGTCGGCTAAGCGCATGGGGCGGACGTGCCTCGCAGCCTCTCTGCCAAAGGCCGTCTACCGGCTGAAATGATGGTCGGGAACAGTGGCCCGACATTGGATGAGCCCAGTAGAAGGGTCCAGCCAAATTCTCAGATAGAAACAAAGGCAAGGCCTTTGAGCGGAACGAAGCATTCCTTTCAGAAATTGTCCAATTACTCGCGAGTACTGTGCTACGTGATGAACAGGACCGTCGTCATCATGCGATGATGTCGGTCACCGCTCCCCCTCGCTCGGCGTTACGATGGCCAAAGAAGCTCGAGCAAGACGTGCTACAGCAACCGTTTTGTGAGTCAGGCAAGCGGTCCCGGCGGGCGATCGAAGGAAACGCGAGACGCAAACCCAAGTTTCGGAGCACTCGGCGAATTTAGCCTACCCACGTGAAGGCTCGGAAGAACTGGAACGAAGGCAGAAGTGACGGAACTACGGTGGCGGGTGCTTTCAGTTAGGAGGGACCCTTGCCCTGCCTGCGGCCCTTTGGGTGAGCTGAGTCGGATTGACATAAGCGCGGGGCTCGCTGGGTGCTTTTATTTCTCCCAACAACAATTGAAACTTGGTCTTCTTTCCTACTCTCCTACACACATCTCCGTTTCTCTAACACATCTCAATCCTCCTCACATACAATTCATCATGTCCAGCTCTCTCGACCAGCTCAAGGCTTCCGGCACCGTATGTTTTCAGCTTGCGACCTCTTTGGAGGGGTCAAATGCCGACATAATGCTAACACATCTTTCAGGTTGTCGTGTGCGACTCTGGTGACTTTGCTACAATTGACAAGTACAAGCCTCAGGATGCCACCACCAACCCCTCCCTGATCCTGGCAGCCTCTAAGAAGGCTGAGTATGCCAAGCTTATTGACAACGCTGTCACCTATGGAAAGGAGCACGCCGATGGCAAGAGCATCGACGACCAGGTTGATGCCGTCCTCGACGCTCTCCTCGTCCAGTTCGGTAAGGAGATTCTTCAGATCGTTCCCGGTAAGGTCTCCACCGAGGTCGACGCCAGATTCTCCTTCGACACTGAGGCCAGTGTCAAGAAGGCTCTCCGCATCATCGAGGTACGTCACAGCAAAGCGCAAGCACGCTTGCCCGGGTTTAATTGACTTTCGCACTAGCTTTACAAGGAGGCCGGTATCGAGAAGGACCGCATTCTCATCAAGATTGCCTCGACCTACGAGGGTATCAAGGCTGCCCACATCTTGCAGTCAAAGTACGACATCAACACCAACTTGACCTTGATGTTCTCGCTCCCCCAGGCTATCGCTGCCGCTGAGGCTGGCGCTTTCCTTATCTCTCCCTTCGTTGGCCGTATCCTTGACTGGTACAAGGCCAACCACAAGAAGGAGTACAAGAAGGAGGAGGACCCTGGTGTCAAGTCCGTCGTCGAGATCTACAACTACTACAAGAAGTTCGGCTACAAGACTATTGTCATGGGTGCTTCTTTCAGAAACGTTGGCGAGATCACCGAGCTCGCTGGTTGCGACTACCTTACCATCTCCGTGAGTTATCACCATTTGGACATGGCTCAAGTTTCAAGCTCTAACACATTTCCCAGCCCAACCTCCTCGAGGAGATGTACAACAGCAAGGACGAAGTCCCTCAGAAGCTCAACGCTTCTGACGCTACCAAGCTCGACCTCGAGAAGAAGTCGTACCTCAACAACGAAGCCCTCTTCCGCTTCGACTTCAACGAGGACCCCATGGCCGTTCACAAGCTTAGCGAGGGTATCAGCAAGTTCGCTGCCGACGCTGTCACCCTCAAGGACATCCTCAAGGAGAAGCTCCAGAAGGCCTAAATGTCTTAATTTGACGATTGGCGGAAATGTGCATATGATGACTGCTGCATGACTTTTCTTTTTTACGTACAACAAAAAATAAAATACCCCTGTTGTCGCCTTTATCAATTATACGTTTCTTTCACTTTGACATTGTTGAACATGTTTCTATTGAACTCCTCCACATCACTCCGATCTTCACGGGAAATTTCATTTGTTTTGTTTGGGCTGACGTACCTGCCTGATATCAGAAGCCGAGCGAAACGTGAGGAATAATCATCGGAGTTTAGACCCGTAAACTGCGAGCACCACCCTCCGGAGCGGGGCAGCTTGGCAATCACTCATTGACACTTCGAGCACGACATCCAGCTATCTTCAACTTCTATCCCCAACTCTAACACAAAACCAAAAAACAAAGCTTCAAATCAATCAAAATGGTCAAAGCAGGTATGTTCAGGCTTCCAAAAGACGTTACCATCGCCACCGGGTCTGTTTCGAGCTGGAAGAGGCAAAAGTGGGGTCGGACGGCGAGGACGGACAGGTTCCACGTACATCCTGTCCACCAAGGTGTCCTTGAAGCCAACGGCTATCCGATCGTCTCGAGGGTAGCGATGGAACGTCATCCTGGGATGCGTACATCTGCTACCTCGGATTCGATAGCTACCCAGCTCAACAGACTCGGACCTCGAACACATTGTCTAGCTGCAAAGTTGGAGTAGGTACGGGATGGAAGCTAACGGTATGACCTGTAGTTGCTGTTCTCCGTGGAGACTCCAAGGTCTCCGGTACCGTTACCTTCGAGCAGGCCTCTGAGGGTGCCGAGACCACCATCTCTTGGGACATCACCGGCCACGACGCCAACGCCGAGCGTGGCATGCACGTTCACGCCTTTGGTGACAACACCAACGGCTGCACTTCCGCCGGCCCTCACTGTGAGTAATAACACGGATAGTGCGAGAAAGAGCCAGACATTCACACATTGGCAGTCAACCCTCACGGCAAGACTCACGGTGCTCCCGAGGATGAGGAGCGCCACGTTGGTGACTTGGGCAACTTCAAGACCGACGGCCAGGGCAATGCTAAGGGATCCGTCAGCGACAAGCTCATCAAGCTGATCGGTCCTGAGAGCGTGCTCGGTCGCACCATTGTTGTCCACGCCGGTACCGACGACCTCGGCAAGGGCGGCCACGAGGAGAGCAAGAAGACTGGTAACGCCGGTCCTCGCCCTGCTTGCGGTAAGCTATATTTATGTCACGAGTTTCCTGCTTGCAACCGTACTGATTTTCCACATAGGTGTCATCGGTATCGCTTCGTAAGCTGACCACTTATAATGTCTTGAAGATGAGGAATGAGTAGTAGTAGTATTGGTATTGCTGTCTTAGGACATGCCTTTAAATTGTATAGTTGACGACCAAATCGGAGAAACTATGACCAAGAAAGTCGGCACGTTCGTCCTCATCTGTGACTTGCTTGTGTAGCACACCATACAGTAGTGGACATGCATCTGCTTCCTGTCGTGTATGTATACGACACGTTTGGTGTACTCGAAGCCACGCAACAACAGACCAAGACTCTGCATGATGTCCATTTCTAGCTTTACCAGATCACTCGACGCCTTTTCCACCGGAAATCAATGTAACGACGAGAAGCGAAGGGTGAAGATGAAGGGGCGTAAAGCACTTCATTAGCGGTGCATTGACATTTTGTGTCGAAGCTCTCTCACCCCACATCGCCAGCTGGTCTCTCTGTTTCTCGTCCTTCTCCTTGAGCCCTTGGAGTCTCTACTCGAATATATCATTGCTTTTTGTTTCCAGAGCAATTGCTTCATCTTGCACAACTACTCTTCTACCCGAGTCCTTTGCAACAATCAGCATTGACTTGTTTTATAGATTGCATTTCGCAGTTGCAGTCACCCCACCGGTGAGCACGAGACCCCTCAGGACCCCTCCCATACTTGCCACCCAATTCTTTTCAAGAGACAGCAGCTGATTCAATTGTCTGGCAGCCCGAGTTTCCCTATCTCCGCTATCTATCGTCAACAATTCAATCATGGCTCTTATGGAAGCTAAGGTCAAGAGTGTGCTCTCTGGCGACACACTTGTTCTACACAACATCAAGAATCCTTCTCAAGAACGTACCCTGAGCTTGGCTTTTGTCAGTGCTCCCAGGATACGCAGAGAAGGCGACGAACCTGGTGCTTTCGAGTCCAGAGACTTTGTCCGCAAGCTCTGTGTCGGCAAGGTCGTCCGTTTCAGCGTCCTCTACAACGTCCCTACGCCTTCACCTCGCGACTACGGTGTCATTATCCTGCAAAGCGGAAAGCATCTACTCGATCTTGTCGTACGCGAGGGTTTGGTCAAGCTCAGAGATGACGCCGGAAAGAAGGAGGACACACCACAAGGCACCGAGCTGCTCGAGAGGTTGCAAGCTCTTGAAAGCCACGCCAAGGTCGATGAGAAGGGCCTCTGGAATCCCAGCCAACAACACATTGACAACGTCCACGACCTTTCCGACCCTCGAGCATTCTCCGAGGCTTACAAAGGCCAACCCATTGATGCCATCGTCGAGCGTGTCATCAGTGCTGACCGTTATATCTGCCGTCTGTTGGTGGAGCCCACAAAGCACACCCAGACTGTCATCCTGCTCGCTGGTGTCCGCGCTCCTGCCACCAAGCGCATCAATCCATCAGATCAATCAGAGCAAGCTGCAGAGCCGTTCGGTGCCGAAGCTCACCACTTCGTCGAGGAGAGACTCCTGCAGCGTGGTGTTCAAGTCCGCATCCTTGGTCTCTCTCCCAACAACCTCTTGGTCGGAGAAGTCAGACATCCAATGGGTAGCATCGCTGAATTCCTCCTGAAGGCTGGTCTCGCTCGCTGCACCGATCATCACTCAACATGGCTTGGTCCTGAAATGGCCAAGTTGAGACAGGCCGAACGTCACGCCCGGGATAACAAGCTGGGTCTGTTCGAGGGCCACGTCTCGCAAAGGTCGGCCGGTACAGGCCAGATCGAAGCCACTGTCAGTCGCGTCTTCTCTGCCGATACACTCTACCTGCGAAACAAGGCCGGTGCCGAAAAGCGTGTCAACCTCAGCAGTGTCAGGCAGCCTAAGCCATCGGATCCCAAGCAGTCACCGTTTGGCGCCGAGGCCAAGGAGTTCCTACGTAAGCGTCTGATCGGAAAGCACGTCAAGGTCACCATCGATGGCAAGAGACCAGCCACCGAAGGCTTCGATGAGCGCGAGATGGCCACCGTCACTATGAACGATGAGAATGTGGGTCTTCAGCTTGTTGAACAAGGTTACGCCTCGGTAATTAGACACCGTATGGACGACACTGACCGCTCGCCTATCTACGACGAGCTTCTGACTGCCGAGGAAGCAGCACAAAGTGCTGGAAAGGGCATGTGGAACCCTAAGCCTCCCAAGAAGACTGAATACGTCGACTACAGCGCCTCTGTTGACCAGGCTAAGCGACAACTTACTCTCCTGTCTCGCCAAAGAAAGGTCCCCGCTGTTGTTGACTTCGTCAAGAGCGGAAGCAGATTCACTGTCTTGGTGCCTCGCGAGAACGCTAAACTTACTTTCGTCCTGTCTGGCATCACCGCACCTCGCTCAGCTCGCAACCCTTCCGAGAAGGGCGAACCTTTTGGTCAGGAAGCACACGAGTTTGCAAACAGAAGGTGTCAGCAGCGTGACGTCGAGATTGATGTTGAAGGCACCGATAAGGTCGGAGGCTTCATTGGTCAGCTATACGTCAACCGTGAGAGCTTTGCGAAGCTTCTGGTCGAGGAGGGCCTTGCTTCAGTCCATGCCTACAGCGCAGAGAAGTCTGGTAACGCAGGTGAGCTCTTCGCTGCTGAGCAAAGGGCAAAGGAGGCCCGACGTGGAATGTGGCACGACTGGGACCCTTCGAAGGACGCTGTTGAGAACGGCGAAGAGTACGATGCTTCTGCAGGCGCCGTTGGCCTGAACGGCGATGCTCCCGTCGAGCGCCGCAAGGACTACCGTGACGTTGTCGTGACTAACGTCGACCCTACCAATGGACGCATCAAGATCCAAGAAGTCGGAACTGGCACAGCTGCCTGTGAGTTTTGCTCTTTTCCTCTGATCACGAATAATGCGCTGACCCCCTCACAGTGACCGATCTCATGAACTCATTCCGCTCCTTCCATATCTCGTCCTCCGCAAACAAGCCTCTCGAACAAGCTCCCAAGGCCGGTGACTTTGTCTCTGCCAGATTCAGCGAAGACAATGAGTGGTACCGCGCCCGCATTCGCCGCAACGACCGCGAGAACAAGACCGCCGAGGTCGTCTACATTGATTACGGTAACAGCGAAAACATTCCCTGGTCGCGCCTCCGCTCTCTCGATCCGACTCGCTTCGGTATCCAGAAGCTCCGCGCACAAGCCCTCGACGCCGCCTTCTCCTTCCTACAATTCCCCACCGCCCCTGAATACCTCCGCGAGGCCGTCAACATCATCAGCGACTCCACAGCCGACCGCCAATTGGTTGCCAACGTCGACTACGTTGATTCTCGCGAGGGTACACTTTACGTCACGCTGTTCGATCCTAAGCAGAGTGACAGCTTGAACGAGAGCGTCAACGCCGACATTATCAGTGAAGGTTTCGCCATGGTTCCCAAGAAGCTCAAGGCTTGGGAGAGAAGCGCTGGAGACATTATCGCTGACCTTCAATCTCGCGAGATTGAGGCAAAGACCGAGAGACGTGGTCAATGGGAGTACGGTGATTTGACCGAGGATTAGATGTTTCTCTTTTCTTTCTCTTCACATCTCAGAGTTCAGGTTTAGAAAAATTATCTCTTGCACTTTCGGTCTTTGGTTAATGAAAGGTGGACACGGAAGGAACAAGAAAACGCAGGCATAGCATTTTGTTCATATCAGATAAAAAGAAATAGTCAGGTTATTGCATTTTCATCATATTGTGCTTATGCCTTGCTTTTCTTTTATTGGTTCCTCTACAGTATGTGTACGGTGAAGGGGGCCTGTTTTGATCGACCTGACGAATGATGACGTTTATATCAATGATTCGTGGAAAGTCGAAAGCACCTTGCCAGAGTCTACAGGCTTGACAGTAAGACAATGGTGTTGGAGTTTTGTGACAAAGAAGAATTGATGTGAGCGAGATTGTGTCAAATACGCGACAACCACTATTCGTAGACAATCCAATAAACTAGACTAAAAATTACCACTCTTCAAAATTAGCCGTCTGCATGTTCGCGTATTCATCGAGTCTACCATCTCACGAGCCTTCTGTCAACATGACTTGGCAGTGTGATATATAAGGGACTATGTGGCAGATTGCTATGGCGGAACCGGATGTGGACAATTGTAAGCAGGGTCGTACTAGCAGCATCATCACTTGGCCATCACAAGGGTCTCAAAGCCATCACATCATTTATCAATCACGCTATGTATTTCCGTAGAGATGAACTGCCAACTCTATAGTCTACTTTTACTTGTTCAGCATAAAGCGCTACCAAGTTCCATCAATAGCGAATGTGTTGTCCAAACTGTTTAGCTAATTGTCCAAACGTTTTATTTTATGCTCGACTTTTGAACACTTCCAAGATAATCTTCAGTACAATCTTCTACCTGCTTCCTCTTCACACCAGATCATCTATGAGGTAATGTTGTAACCGATGCCCAAACCGACAGGGCAGTTGGGCACATCGGCCTGCCATTCAGCAGTCATCTGAGCATACTTGGGCAAGTACGAGTTGGTCGTGAAGTTCTATTCGGCTTGGTCAGCTGTCTGAATACTACATCCAAGCAATGGATAAAACTTACCTTTGGTAAGTAGTAGGTGACCTCTTCATCGGTGTAGTCTCCACCCAAGCCATTCAGAGCCTTGACGACACTACCGGCAACATAGTCCAAGAAGATAAGGTCGACTGTTGCGTTGGCGTCAAGAGTGCCGTTGGCGGGAAGACTGCCGTTGGCCTGGAAGAAGTTGGGAACAGAATAATAAGGGATCTTGGAGTGGATGGTATCGTCTCCATCAGTACCGAAGTCGTCAGTGGTGACATAGCCAGGGGTAGTGGTGGTTTGACGTCTAATGATACGACCGCCGGGATAAGAACGCTTAGTGACCAGGTGGTCATGGGTCATAGGGGGATCGATACAGCTGTCGAGTGCAGGGTTCATCTGAGTGAAGCCAAAGTCTTCGGTAGATAGCGATCTCTTGGAAGGGTAGTTGCCGCTCTCCAAGGCCGCGAGAACTTGACTGGCCAGGTGGTAAGGGACATCTGGGAGGTAGTTGAAGGCATCGGTGAATGGTGAAACAACTGTCACAACATGATTAGCAAGAATTTCCAAACTCATGCGTATCAACACTTACTGAAGCTAGAATCATAATCAAAGGCTCCCTCGGCTAGATCGAATCTGATATGACCTTGAGAAATTGGTCAATAAGCTGTCTCACACTATGATCCGTTTTGAAACATACCACTGTTGGTAATGATGAGGCGTGGCTTATCGGCACGTTCTTTCGTGATGATGGTAGCGGAGAGAGCTGTGGAAAGCAATGAGTAGATGGAGCCCTCAGACATGAATGGGGCGCACGAAAGACACCAAGTCTGAGGCGCACAGCCGTAAATACTAGTAAGGTTCAACTCCTTGCGAGTAGCTGTGATATTCTTGGTCACAGCCACGCCCTTTGTGGTATCGAAAGCCTTGGCCTGACTGCCTTCAGCGTGGTACTCGAAGGTAACACGATTCCTATCGGGATTAGTCGATGCGATATACGTAACAACAGGCTTCAAAACTTACCAGTCCATGTAGCGACGGAAGAAGGTCATGTTTGAAGCGCTGGTAGAGGAAGAAAGACTAGCAGAAGCCGAGGCCGAGCCCACCTTCTTGCCCTTCATCGTAGGATTGGGTACGCCTTTGGGATTGGCCTTGCCGCGTGAATTGATACCACTGACAGCCAGCCAGCCCAAAGTCTCGCAGTATCTTCCACTCTCCATGCCAACAGACTTGTCATCGTAGACCGCGAAGTCACGGATGTGAGTGTGGCCACCAAACATCTGGATTGGGATATCGGGCTTGATGGTACGGATTGCTTGATAAACAGTCTGGAGAGTGTTGCTGCTGCTCTTGCGGCTGACAGGGTTGTGACCAATAACAACGAACGCATCAACATTCTTGTGGTTGACAGCGTTTAGGAACCAAGACTCTTTGACCATGTCGGCAGCCTTAGTAATAACAGAAGCGTTCGAGTTGCCTGTGAAGTCGAAAAGTACACCGAAAGCCATGATCCTAAGACCTGTATAGCCGGGTCAGTGTCTGCTGGACTCAGCCATCGATGAAACTCACCCCTCTCGGTTCTGAAGTATCTGTACTTCTTGCCAATGTATTCAAGCTCACCAGTGCTTGGATTCCTGATTTGGACGTTGCTTGTCAAGTACTTCTCTCCGTACGCTTTGGCAAACTGGTTGAAAGTTTCATAAGCAATTTCGGAGACATAGAGCTCATGATTTCCGATAGTAAGCAAGTCGTAGTCAAGCTGCTCGAAGATCGGATTCGACAGCTCTCCGTTGACTCCACCATAGGTAGCAACACCAGTGGCATCACTAAGGCCTGCACCGTCGTGTAGATCCTAGGGTTCTATAAGTAAAGCTCGCCAAAACACCTAATAGAACTTACACCAGTGTCGACGACGAGAAGGTCAACATCCAAATCTCTCGCCTTCTGTCTCATCTGCTTGACGAAAGAGACATAGTCACCCCAGTCTGCACCGTAGTTTTGCTCTCTGATGTGTCCCTCGAGCCAACCTTCGTCGAAATGAGCAAGTAGATCAATGAGCCAGAGATGGAAGGACCTTCTCACCGTGAGTGTCTGTGGTGTGAAGGAAGTTGAGCTGACCCCAGGCCAATGGCCCACGCGGAGAGCTTGTCGAGTTTTGTGCATCTGGCTGCATACGTCTGACATGTCTTGTCATGACTACATCTTGCTCAGGATGCTCGCAGGTCTCACAGCCCAGGACCGGAGTAGCAAGAGTGAGGAGGGCAGAAGCCCAGATCGTGTTTGTGAAACGCATGGGGAGAGTTCAATGAATGACTGTGGTGATACCAATGAATGCGCTTGACGGTATAAGAGAGTAATAAAGCTATCCTCGAAACTGCTTATCAGAACACAAGCATTACTATCAGACAAGCACTGTAAGAGAAGGCGCCGACCGCTTGATTCTAATCTATTTTCAGGAGGGCTCCTATCGTCCTTTTTAAAAACCACAGACGCGTCTCGCCGACATACTTTTTGCCCTCTTGCACAGACGCGATATGCAAGCGACGGCTGCTACATGACGGGGATCTCCTCTTTTGCTTATCGTCGACCATTGATAAACCCACGTGCCTGCAGTAAAGAGCGGCAGGCTGGAGTTGATGATGACAAGCGTGTGAGTTTCCGTCTGGAACGCCTATCCTGACGCCGAGCCGTCTCTAGCGTGTTCACGCGAGGGGGGCCAAGGCAAAAGGGTGTCGTGTATCAGATTCAAGTGTTCGTTACCTACTCACGGCTGAACACAACAAGAAAGAGCTGCCCGCCGTGCCTGCCTTCTTAGTACTAGTCGCGCTTATCTCATTAATCAGACGCCCTCACTCGACTCGCGAGAGGGGGCACGGACGATAAACGCGAAGCGTTGTTCAAAATTCAACCTCACGTGACTGCTTGAGTCATGGCAGAGCGTCTGATCAATGAGATAAAGTCGCGCCGGTGTCGACCGCGTCTCTTCTCGAGATGTACCTGCGCCCATGGCCTTCTGTCCTCAGTCGTGCTAATTCGATTTTACACGATTTGAAAGTGGGATAATTATCTTCGGGTCTGTAAGATATCATCCAAGTTATGTGGTGGTATGGCTCCGGGGCCGGTGCCTCGAAAGCTAATAGTACATCCTCAAGGATAATGTCACCTCACAAAACATGCTCGCAGTACATACATCTGGAACTACACTTCATGGCTTTTTCACTCCGGAGCGTTGGGTATCGAGCCGCTTGACAGCGCAGGTCGGCTTACCATGTCAGTTCTTATGTCAAATCGCCTCTACACCTGCAGTAGTTTTGTCAAATCAGGTATTACAATGTCAGATCGCTTGAGCATACAACTGTTGCTTGTCGACCTTTGCGACTTCAAGTCAGGTCGCTTCGCCGACACAACAACCTCAGGTCGGTTTTTGAATCTCTACGTCAAGTTGCTACACAGCACGCATAGGCGTTCCGCTTTATTCCTTACGACTCAAAGGCAAGTCAGTTCACCACGTAAGAAACATGTTGTCAATCGATACTCTAGTTCCTCTTCCAAGCCACTTACTCCGATGCGGCGTGCTTTGTCTTCTTTTCTGCTTGCACTTCTACCACATGAGAAAGACTCTCGTCAGTTAGCATCATCTTCCCTTGCCCACTTAAACTTTACTAAGATACTCTGCTTTGTCCTTCTTTCTAGCTTCTTTCACTTTCATCCTGTGTTGACTTTCGACCTTCGGTTCTTTCAGTCAAACTTCAAGTGTACAAGAAACGTTTGACCAGACAAAACTCAAAGACAGCGCATCTAACCGCAGTTCTGCTATTTGAGGACCAAGCCGGTCAGAAGAACTTCAAGTCCTTTCTACAATCTATAACTATGGTCGCCTCACCGTGAGCTGGGCTAGTCCTGCCACATTACAACTGGAAGCCAGTTCACTTTGTGCGGTGGAGACATCTCTCGTCGGGAATCGCAACTTCAAACCAGGTCGCTTTACCGCAAGCAGTAGTATTTCGATTCACCGCAAGGGGCACTCTCTCATCAGTTGTTGCTACTCAAACTCCTGCTATTCTACCGCGCAACCCGACGTCTGTTTATCACCTCATCAGGTGTTGTAGTCTAGAACCAGTTCAATTTACCGCGCACTTTGACAACTCGTCAATTGCAACTCGGGTTCAAGTTGCTCTATGGTAGACTCTCAGTATTTCACCAGTTGTTCCGGCTCAAAATCAGGTCGCTCTACCGCATGCGATAGTACCTCATCAACCTTTACATTCAGACTCAGGTTCCTTCACCGCGGACTTTCCCCTTTTTTCATTGTCTCGTCAGTTGTTGCGGCCCAAATTTCAGGTCGCTTCACCGCAGGCTTAGAAACCTCGTCAATTGTCGCACCTCAAACTCAAGCCGCTTCACCGCGGACTTTCCACCTTCTCGTCAGTGTCTCGTCAGTTTTTGCGGGCTAGAACTGGTTTGCTTCACCGCGGACTTTGAGAATTCGCCAGTAGCTATGAGCTTTCCGTTCTGAGACCTTCCACTCCAACTCTTCCGTCTTTGACTTTTAACCTTTGACTTTGATCTTTGATCTTGCATCCTTGAACGTCTAAACTTCGTCTTCAACGATCTCTTCAACCTGTACCACGCCCAGTTGACGATCTCTTGCCCGCCAGTCTTCAACATCCAGTTGACGATCTCTCGTCCATCCATATTCAACATCCAGGTGACGTTCTCTCAACCATCACAACAACTGCCGATCTCTCGTCCGCCAATTTTCAACATACAAGCGGACGACCTTTCCGCTCTCACAACAAGTGACGCTCTCTCGTCCGCCAATTTTCAACATACAAGCGGACGATCTCTCCGCTCTCACGACAATTGACTCTGTCGATCTTGATAATATTCGGTTGACGATCTCAGGCCCTCGACCTTAACAACATCCAAGTAACGATCTCAAACATCAATCAACATGTCTTTCCTCGTTGAGACTCCTGGAGCCGACACCGTCATCGTCGTGTCGGCTGATCGCAGATTCAAGCTGCACTCTGCCCAGCTCATGCAGTGCAGCACTCTCTTCAGCGAACTGCTTCAGGCCGGTGGGCCTCCTGTCCTTCCCCGTGAAGCACTCAAGGCCGGTGTTCGCTACATGGTCTGTCTCCAGGACCACGATGACGCAACCAACAAACACATCACTCCTACCTTCAGACGCATCCAAGTGAACAAGGATGGCAAGCCTACCAAGGGCTACTCTCAGATATATGAGAGCGACAGGAGCACTCGCTTCCGTCCCAGCATCTTCTCCGATTACGAGAGATTGATTCGTGTCTTTGCCAACCAGCCAATCGCCTTGAACGACAAGAGCGTTGAGACCTTGCTTCCCGATGCCATCGGCCTCATCGAAGTCGCTGAAAAGCTAGGCTCTGTAAGTATCGCGCTGTAATGATCGGAATCTATACTCATCATGGGATAGGTGTCAATGATCGCAAAGCTCATCGAGATCAGTCTGCTGGCCAAGGGTCAGGATTTCTTCAAGGCTGTCTCTGTCAGCCCTGTCGTCTGGATTGACGTTGCATTCCGCATTCAGTCAAAGATGCTCTTCAAGGAAGCCCTCATCCACCTGACTGGCAAGTACAATGCCCTGTCGCTCACGCCTCCTGACGACTCGGTCCTCAGAAAAAACCCCAGAGCTCGCTCTGTCCTCGATCAGCTGAAGCCCGAAATCCGGAACTTGCTCGAGCGCAAGCACGAAGAGCTGAAGAAACGCTGTCAAGCTGTTGAAATCGGCGTCAGCATCCACTACCCATCGGGCATCCAGAAGTCTGCCGTGAGTGGCCTGGCAAGCCGCGACGGCACAGGAAGAGCAAATTACGCACGTGACGTCTTCACCTGGATTTCGGTCACACTCTACCGCCACTGGTGGGGCCAGACCATGGCTAGTGTCGGTCATATTCCGTTCCCATTTCCAATGTCCACTACTAACTTGTAGCAGGATGCCAACCACAACAACCGCTTTGGCGGCCATGACATCTACGTCAAGCTCCACCAAGGTGGCCAAGCCTATCTCACTCGCGAGATCACTGTCGGCTTCAACAAGCACTTCCCTATGAGCGGCAAGGGCCAGGCCGTTATCGAGAACAATCTCGACATCATCAAAGCCGGAGTCGTACCCATTGTGGCCCCGTTGATGAAGAATGAGAGTCAGCTTGATCTGGTCAACAGTCCTATCAAGTGGCTGACTTGCACCAAGGTCAAGAGTGCAGACTACATCTGGGAGCCTGAGCCTGAGTCTGAGTTTGAGTCTGAGGAGGAGGTAGAGGAGGAGGTAGAGGAGGAGGAATACTTCCAACCTCGTGATAAAGGCAAGGGAAAGAGACCTGCTGACGAGGCTTTCGAGGAGGGAGAAGATGAAGCCGATGACGAAGACGAGGAAGACGATGTGGAAGCTTGAACTTCTTAGAACGAGATCGGATCAGGTGGACGAAACTTCCGCCAATGACGAACCGCTGGACAGAATGATGCTCATGTGATCAGGATAACGGCGGATCGATCAGATTGAGACTTACACACACAGGCAAGACTTATTATGCTTGCAGGTGCAGAAAGACGACTGCAATAGGAAACATTGGCGCCTTAAACGGAAGGCTAAATATGCTTTAGAATTAGCATCAAATGAGAACCTCTCCATGAGCATGCTCTATATTTCGACTACGGATCAGTGATTTTGATATGGCGGCAATGAAGAGTAGCAGATCTGGCACAAAACAGGATTCTGGCAGGTGCACAATAAGATTGAATTGAAATAGCCTCTGGCTGGTATTTTTGCATTCGTAACGGGATGACTGCTGAAGAGAGAAAAGCCAAGCGATCGCTACAGGTCCGGTGGAGAAGTTTCCCTATCTCGGATGTCGATGTTGGAAGGGTGTAATGCCGGCGCAAGTGGTGGGTTTCGTGGCCGCAAATGTACATTGATCGGAGAGCTTGGCGAGTGTGTAGAAGGTGGATATATAAGATGGTTGCGAAGTGCTTAGTCTTCGTAGCCGGAAGGAGGACTGCGAGGGCCCTTGGGTACTGAGGAGGACGCATTAGTCGATTGTCCGGCGCGCAATTGATCGAAAGAACAGCTCCGTGGACAGAAAAGGCTCGCACGAGAACAGCAGCTGGAGGGGACTCACTCGGGTAGGTCAAAGGAATCTGAGCACGAGGGCCGTCACCGACGCGGGCGCGGATGGGAGGGACGACGAGAGCCATGACGGGACCGACGCTGCCGACGACAATGGACCAGAAGATGGCGGGCTTGTTGCGGGCAGCCCACTTGATGTAGAGACCAGGGGTCGACCAGAATTGTACGGGAGCCATTGTGAGATGAGATGTGTGGAAATGACGGTATACACTCGGTCGTTGTCGATTGCTTGCTTCGCTCATGCGCGCCGGCGGAGGTGGTCATTGCGCATCATTGCAAGGACCATGGACGGGCTCCGGTCTTGGCGGCCTCTCCGCATTGCATTGCGTTGCGTCGTCGCGCGTTTATCGAGGACAGCTGGAGCTTCGTTCTTGCCGTTCTCTCGCTTTCAATTGAGATATAGCAACCATGAAGAGTTTCTTGTCGTTACTGCTGCTGGGCCTTGTCAGCTTGGTCCAGGCTCTGAGCTCTACAGGCAACCGTCTGCTGGTCGTGCTCGAGGATTCCTCGGACAAGTCAAAGTACTCGTCCTTCTTCGGTGATCTTGAGTGTAAGTTGTTGTGTCATTGCTACAGTTCTGCAAAAGAGCTGGACTGATCGAATCGAAACCAGCCCGTGGATACAGCGTCACATACGATTCACCAAAGTCAAAGAGCCTCTCGCTTTTCAAGCACGGCAACCTCGCATACGACCATCTTGTCCTCCTGCCTCCCAAGTCAAAGGGCTTCGGTCCTCAGTTGACTCCCAACATCCTGGTCGACTACGTCAACAACAACGGAAACGTCTTGCTTGCTCTCACTGCCGATCAGCCCATCCCTGCTGCCGTCGCTTCTCTCCTTCTCGAATTCGATGTCACCCTTCCCCCAGAGCGTAGCGCTCTCGTTGTCGACCACATCAACTACGACACAAAGTCGGCTGCCGACAAGCACGATGTCCTGCTTATCCCTGCACCCAAGACCCTGAAGGCAGGTGTCAAGAACTATTTTGGCGTTGACGGTACCCTTGCTGTCCCCCGCGCTGTTGGTCAGCTTCTCGGCAACGCCAGCCCTCTGCTCTCTCCCATTCTGCGTGCTCCCGAGACCGCGTACTCGTACAACCCCAAAGAGGAGGATGCTCTTGAGGATGTCTTTGCCTCTGGCGCTCAGCTGTCTCTCGTGTCCGCCTTCCAGGCCAGAAACTCGGCCCGCTTCACTGTACTCGGGTCCGCCGAGATGCTGCAGGATACTTGGTTCAACGCCCAGGTCAAGTCTCCTCGCGCTCCCGAGACCACCGGTACTGCCAACAAGGCTTTCGCCGGGAAGCTGTCTGCCTGGACCTTCCAGGAGATTGGTGTACTCAAGGTGGGCAAGGTCCAGCACTACCTTAACGAGGGCAAGGTCAAGGACCCTACCAACCTGAGCGTTTCCGACTTCCCTGAGATCAACCCTGTCATGTACAGAATCAAGAACGATGTCGTAAGTGGAACATTCCTTGAGGCCTCCCAGCTCATTACTGACTAGCATTTAGCATTACTCCATTGAACTGTCAGAGTACGATGGCGACCGTCTGGTTCCCTTCGTTCCTTCTTCCGAGGACTCCCTGCAACTCGAGTTCAGCATGCTGTCACCCTTCCACCGTGTGACACTAAAGCCTACTTCCAAGACTGCCACTAGCACCATTTTCAGCACCACCTTCACCGTGCCCGATCAGCACGGCATCTTCAACTTCATCGTCAACTACAAGCGTCCTTTCCTCAGCAGTGTCTACGAGAAGCGCACTGTCACTGTCCGCCACTTTGCTCATGACGAGTGGCCGCGCAGTTTTGTCATTAGCGGCGCTTACCCCTGGATTGCTGGTATTGGTGTCACGGCCACTGGTTGGCTGATCTTTGTCGCCGTCTGGCTCTACAGCAAGCCTGATGAGTCCAAGGCCAAGAAGACGCAATAGTCGCGCATTACTGTATGCATAGAATATCTATCTAGACGAGAAAAGTGATTTCTTCAACTTCTAAATGTTTTTGCCATGGAGAGCATACTACAGTCTCCAGTCTTTCATCATTCGACGAGACCTTGAGCAATGTAAAGTCTGTTGATCGTGATTGAAAGACGTTGGTTTGTCATGGAAGTAAGTTCATCAATGAGCTCCATTGACTGCGGCAGCGTTCCGCGGACTCGCAGCTCACGGCATCCATTTGTCAACTCCCGTGGATGCTCTATTAGAAATCATCCTTGGACAACATTATTGTTATTATTCTCGAGTTGTCGCCTCGCACTTTCAACCGAACCTTGTGAATAAGTCCGTTAGCACTAACCATTGATTGTATTACAATGCTGACCCCCCTCAGGTCGCTTTTCTTAGTCACCTCTCTCTCTCCATCCTGTTATAACTCTTGACTGAACATATGCTCAGTCGTTTGACACACGCTTCCAGAATACCAAACCCTCCTTCTCAGTCTACACTCCGAACTATGGCAACCAGCATCTCAAAGTCTGTCCATGCTGGACCCGATGATAGCTGGCATGGCATTATTGACAAGTCGTCCGGCAACCCGTTCCAGCCAGAGAAAGGCCGCTATCACATGTATATTGGTCTATTCTGTCCATTTGCTCACAGAGCCAATTTGGTGCGTCATTTGAAGGGTCTTGAGGACATCATCGATATCAGTATCGTCAAGCCTTACCCTAAAGGCGATGACAAGGGTTGGCCAGGCTGGCAGTTTCCCGAGTCGGATGTTGCATATCCAAATGCAACTGTGGACAAGCTCTTTGGCTCCAAGTATCTGCATGAGGTATACTTCAAGGCGGACCAGGAGTATAAGGGTCGCTACACTGTGCCTCTGCTGTGGGACAAGAAGACTAATACTGCAGTCAATAACGTACGATCTGATTGACCTCCTGATTGAAAGCTTCCAACTCGCTGACAGCCATAATAGGAATCAGCTGAACAGTTGCGCTGGCTCCAGACCTCATTCGACGATCTGGTCTCGCCCGAGAAGGCAAAGCTAACTCTTTATCCGGAGCACTTACGGCAAAGAATTGACAAGATAGCTGAATGGATGCAAACCGATCTCAACACTGGTGTATACAAGGCCGGCTTCGCTCTTGATCAAGAGACATACGAAAAGAACATTCCTCCAGTATTTGGTGCACTGAACAAGTTGGAAAAGCTACTTCACGATGGCAAGGGTCCCTACGTTCTCGGCAAAGAGCTGACTGAGCTGGACGTTCGACTTTACGCCACTTTGATCCGCTTCGACACTGTATATGTGCAACACTTCGTGAGTACAATAGACCATGATTTGAAGAAGAGATACTGAGTTGCAACAGAAATGTAATCTTGGCACCATACGCCACGACTACCCGGTCTTGAACAACTGGCTCAAGGGCATGTACTGGAACCATGAAGAGTTCAGAAACACCACAGATTTCAAGCACATCAAGGAGAACTATACGAAAAGTCACTACGACATAAATCCTAAGGCCATTACGCCGTTGGGTCCTTGGCCTCATGTTGAGAAAGAGTACGAAGAGGACTGGAGTAAGTTGTCGCCAGGTAGCATTGACATGCCGGAGGTCTTGGAGCACGAGAAGCAGCTGGAAGTATGAAGTCGTCTTTCAGCTTGCTGTCTCGAATACTGGCAGGTAGAGACTGTATTTGTTTCAATGCGACTGGCAGATAATATGCTTTGAAGTTCTGAGATTGCCGTGCGATTCGTATCTAATCATTCGGAATCAATGATTGATTGCTGTTGTCGAGGACCACGTTGCGTGACCTCGTCGTCGTTGTCTCACAGAGCCTTGACACAAAACCTGTCTCGGATCGTGTTGTGCCAAAAGTCTTGGCCCACACGCAAACATCCGACTAGCCAACCATCGCTGAGCAAACGAAAGCATTCAAAGTTCCAAGAACATAAACGCATCTCACATAATTTCACGATTCCTATCATATCTTGACGCAACAAATTTCTGGTCGCTGCTGAGAAGTCGATCAAAAGATCTTCCATCACTACTTACTTCACCCGCCAATAGCACCACGATGCAGAACTTTGCCATCGAGGTGCAGGGTGAAGCCAATCCTTTAACCGAGCATACATTACTGCAGGTCTTGAGTTCTGCTGCATCGGCAGACCCTCAGCAAGTCCGAACAGGTGCCAATCAGCTCGCAAGATGGGAGAAAACCGCTGGGTTTTATAAGCACCTACAAAGTGTGTTCATCAACACATCATTGCCATTTGAAGTCCGATACTTGGCCATCATCCAGCTCAAGAATGGTATCGAGAAATACTGGCGGAAGACAGCGGCAAAGTGAGTAACTCCTTCCAAACATCTGATTTTTCTGTTATTGTTTGCTTTGGCTTTGGATGCTCATGGCCTCGAGTTCTCTTGCGCACACTGACCATATCCAGTGCTGTTTCACCAGACGACCGAGCAGTGATCAGGTCTCGCCTTCTGGAGAGTGGAATCGAAGAACACGACCATCGTTTGGCTCTGCAGAACGCAATTGTCGTTGCAAAAGTTTCCCGATTCGAGTACCCCAATGACTGGTACGTGATACACTGTTTTCCTGCTCGATGCGATACTGACTGTTGATCAGGCCCGATGTGATTAGCACGTTGATAAGTGTGCTGCGGAGATCAAACGAACCCACTGCTAATCCAATTCACCTTTCTCGCACGCTGCTCATCTTTCTCCATATCATCAAGGAGCTCTCCACTGCTCGCCTTCAGAAATCTAGAGTAGCTTTGCAAGCTGCGACGCCGGAGATTGTCCAGATTCTGGGACAGATTTATCTTGAAAAGGTTCAATCATGGCAACGATCTCTGACAAACAGTGTTGGTGAACAAGATGCATTGCAACAGACAATGCAAGCCAGCCTCCTAGCCATCAAGACGCTACGCAGATTGCTAGTCACTGGCTACGAGTTTCCCAACAGAGAGTCAGACGTGTTCCAGTTCTGGCAACTCACTTACGCCCAGGTCGGTGCTTTTATGAATATCATCTCATCACAAGGTGCTACCCTTCCAGAAGAGCTAGGTGTACCACTCGAGAAACATCTGCTTCAACTGTCAAAGCTACATCTCGAGATGGCAACGGCACACCCTGCTGCCTTTGCGCTCCTACCGAATTCTCTCGATCTTGTTCGTTCTTACTGGGTTCTTATCAAGCAATTCGGAGAGACTTTTGGATCTCGTCTGGATCTCGGTACATCCAATGGAGAACAAGATGAGCAGAAACCATTCCAAGAGAAGGTGTCCCTTTCCGGTCTCAAGCTCGTCCGTGCTTGCATCAAGATGGCCTTCAATCCGACGCAATCGTTCAAGTACAAACGTCCTGAAGACAAAATCGAGAAGGCAGAGGCAATCGCTGTCATCAAGGAGCAGCTGTTGACAGACACATTTGTTACTGAGATCATGGAGACTGTTGTCACCAAATATTTCGTTTTCCGACAAGGTGAACTACAAGAGTGGAATGATGACCCAGAGGATTGGGAGCAAAGTCTGGAGGGTGAAAGCGAAGGGTGGGAATTCAGTGTCCGACCCTGTTCTGAGAAATTGTTCCTGGACCTTGCTCTCAATTACCGGAACTTGCTGATCCAACCGCTGCTTAACGTCTTTTACGCCGTCGCAAGTAAGTCACTACACCAGCCATGCAACATGAAACGTCACATTGCTAGAACTGTGTACTGACTTGTCGCAGCGCCTGATAATGAGGATGTTCTTTTCAAGGACTCGGTTTATTCAGCAATTGGCTTGGCTGCTGCAGTCGTGCAACAGCACCTCGACTTTGACTCGTTCCTCTCGAACACGATCGTTGTCGAAGTCCAGAAGCAGAAGCCAGGTTTCAATATTCTTCGTCGCCGCATTGCTATCCTCCTTGGTCAATGGATCACAGTCAAGGTGTCAGCAGAGAACAGACCGCTAGTATACAAGATCTTCCAGCATCTGCTCGACCCGAGCGACTCTTGCAATGACCAGGTTGTCAGAATTACTGCCGGACGACAATTCAAGAACATAGTGGACGATTGGGAGTTCAGTCCAGAGCAGTTCCTGCCCTATATTCAAACTACGATGACACAGTTGTTGAATCTCATCCAGGAGGTCGATAACATGGAGACGAAGATGGCGTTGCTCAACACAATCAGTGTGTTGGTTGAGCGACTAGAACACCACGTAGGTTGAGCATCCTGCACACCCCCATCCTCATGACTAACGAGTTCCAGATCACACCTTATGCGCAAACGATCATAAGCATCCTACCAAATCTTTGGGAGCAGTCAGGAGACGTGCATCTAATGAAGCAAGCTATTCTGACGATTCTCTCTCGTCTCGTCTCATCTATGAAGGCTGACTCCGTGCCATTCCACAACCTCGTTCTGCCCATCATCAAAGGTGCTGTGGAGCCAGGATCCGATACACAGGTCTACCTGCTCGACGATGCTTTGGACCTCTGGCAGAACATTCTGATCCAAACACCTGCTCCAGCTTCATCCGAACTTCTGCAGTTAGCACCACATCTTTTCTCCATCTTTGAGTTCGGCTCGGAAAATCTTCGTACAGCTCTCGACATAACTTCGTCATACTTCCTTCTTGCACCGGCAGAAATGCTCTCGGACGAGATGCGAAAGCCGCTGATGGCGTCTCTATCGAACCTCGTTGGCTACGTCAAGGCAGATGCAAGTGGGACTGTCAACAATCTCGTCGAGCTCATCATCAGGTCAGCTGAGCGTATTGGTGGCGAATCTGCCATCAGCACTATTGCTGGCGACCTCATCGAATCAGACTTTCTTCGCAAACAACTCAGAGGCCTTCACGGTAGTTGGGTCGCCCATTGCACTACCGGCCCCCTGGCAAAAGACCCACCTGTCGACGGCATCGTCGAGACAGACTATCTCTCCGTGCTTGCACGCCTTGCTATGGGTTCGGAGAGCTTATTCCTACAAGCAGTGCAGGCTGCCGCACCTCCAATCCCACTTAGTGATGTCGACAACCAGCCTTCTTTGAGTGAAACAATGAAGTGGCTTCTCGAAGAATGGTTCAGCCACTTTGAGAACATCGGCGATCCATCACGTCGCAAATTGATGTGTCTCGCCCTCACAAAACTACTCTCCACCTCCCAACCGTTCATTTTCGGCTCTCTCCAATCTCTAATGACACTCTGGACTGATATGGTCATCGAGATCCGCGAAGAAGATGGCCCAACAGATTCCGACACTCTGGTCTACAACAGCATCGATGAGTTGAGAAATACTGACCCTGACGTCCTTGAAGCACCGGAAGATGAGAGACGTCGTGCATTGACATTTGCAGATCCAGTACATAATGTTCGTACTACACAGTGGATCAAGCATTACTTGCAGATGGCCATTGAAGCTGCAGGTGGTTATGAGGCTTTCCAGAGCGAGTGGCTGGTTAACGTTGACAAGGATGTCATCGCCGCGTTTGGCAAGTTGGGCATCATGTAAAAAGAAAACGAGGAGGTAGAAGCATTTCCGGTGCAAGGGGAAGAAGAAAGCAAAGGAGATAGATTATCCAAAGCATAGTACAAGCTGCGCAGCCTACCACTAGCATTCAAATCCACTTTTTCGGAACGCGAAAACCAGGACTCGATGAGAGAAATTTGTGACAGGGGAAGGGAGTCGCCGAACCGGATTATGGCGGGACGGAGAGGGGAGGTACAGAGGGGACGACAGATTGGAATCGATGATGAAGACATGGGAAGTGACAAAGGAAGGTCTTTCTTCTTGGTGAAGGTAGTAAGTGCAAGAAATATTCGTACAGCACAAATCAAGCAAACATCCATGAATAGAAACAAGTAATTCCGCCGAATGACCAGGCTCGTTGAGAAAAATCTATCACACACATCAGCAAAATTCCCCATCCCCCTTCTGACTAACACAACCTCGCCATCCATATTCTGAGTAATCGCCAGAAACCCCTCCTTTACACGAGCCAAAGCAGCAAGAGCAAAATGTCCTGCATTAGGCTCTGCTGCTAATTATCTCTGCTTGTCGATGACGATGATACTGCCATACTAGGATTGGATCGCGCTCGAAGCGGCTTTTCGTGGACAGGTCTCGAACGAGATGGCCGTGGAAGATTGAACTTGCTTGGTAGGTTTGTATACCGGAGCTGGCGGAGAGACCGGCACCGAGGGGGGCGAGCACGGAAGTCGAGTTTTAGAGATGGGACGAGAAATTGTCGCAGTAGTTGGTCCAGGATTGGAGTCTGTCTTGTTCTTGTTGTGTCATTGCTTGGATGGAGAGTGATGGGTTAAGCTGCTGGTGTTTATGATGGGCTCAAGAATAATTAAGCGCCGGCCTCGTTGTCCAATGAGCAGTAGTCTCTCACGTGAGGCTTCTCTGATAGAAGTGATCAAGGGAACCTCAGCTTTGGTCATGGATGTTCGTTGTCATACATTCGTACATAAATAGAAGTAGAGTCGCGCTATGTAGCTTCTCGTTCAATGCTAGTCCCAGATGCTCCATGCCATGCTCAAAATCTGCCTGCATTCAGCAGCTCCCATGATGACCGGAGGACAGAAAGACCACCTTGTTGCGTCTCTACTGTACGGCCTCTACCACGATCATTGATGTCTGTCGTAACAACGTCTCTGATTCTCTGCTCTGACTTCAAGCCAATTCCAGAAACGGTTTTCGAGTCCAGTGACGATGCCCAATTCGGCCCCGACAAGATCGTCGCATCGTTCCTATAATCGGCCGCACTAGAGGAAAGACTCTTAGGATAATCCCTAGAGGTATATCTATGGCCCCACCATGTTCCAAAAAGGCCAGAGTCGTTCTTTGTGCTCAGAGCGGCTTCGGCATTGTGTGCGACCCAAATTCCGACAGTCCTGCAGAACGAGGTGTGAGTCTTCCTAAGCGTCTTGCTGGCTCCATAAGTTTTGCCAGGGAGAACAGCTTCTTGAGGCAGAGCGTTGCAGAATTGGGTGAGGTGTTGGAAGAAGATACCCTTGAATGTTTGAGAGTCTTGGCTGCATGATCCGCTTCGATCGCAAAGTTCTTCCAGGATACCGTACTGACCAAGACCAGCCCAGCCGGGTGACCTGTAGATCGGCGAGTGTCTTTCTCCTGCCCAGTACCAACCAGTGGATGCCATGACATTTCGTATCAGGTCATATCCATCTTCCAGGTAGCTCGAGTTGCCAGTTGCTTCCCACAAGCCTCTCAAGCCAGATAGTACGACACCTTGATTGTACGTGTACACCATCTCATTGCGCTCGTCACATTTACCTGTGCCAACACCACCATTTTGGCCATAGCCTTTGATGTGATAGCCGTCAACGTATAGTCCATGATCGTTAGTCATGTTGCTTCTCTTGAGCCAGTAATATCCGTCGACCGCAGCCTTGAGATATTTAGGATCATGTGGTCGTCCTGGCATTGACTCAAAAGCCTCTGAGTCGGAAGCCACGAAAGGAAAGTCGATGGCGTCTCCAGGAGAGGAAAGATACATGGCGATCGAAGCTGATATGAACAGTTGGTTCGTGATCGTGTTCTTGTACGGCAATAGTCTTGGGTTCCAAAGCATGCCTCCGCCACACAAGTCAGTGTCCCAACCCTTGGAAGCGAGATCCCAGAAGAGTCGCGCACGGTGACTGAAAGCAGGGATAAACTGGGTACCATGCCAGAACGGGTCCGTACTGTTGCGATATTCGATTGTCCTGATGCTCTCGAGCCAGCCCAAGACCACCCATAGGATGTCATCATAAGCTTCGTTGCGAATGCTGAAGGCATCCTCTCCGAAGTAGTACGCTGCGTTGTGGGAGAAGTATTTGTTGATGGTTTTTGAGTAGTCATCCCCTTCAGTCTCGTTGCTTGCTCGAGCAATACTCCCTATAGCCGAAGACACGATAGTATTTGTAACTGCTCCGGTCCAGTCTATAGCGGAAGGCCATGTTCCAATCCATAGCTCAAAGAAGTTGGATTGCATAACATCCAGAGCATCTATCACATGTCTAAAGATGTCATTTCCGGTCGTGAGTTCACTCCCGGATCCGCCAGATATGGAAGGTCCGGAGTCAATGGCTTGTTGTTGTCGAGAACCAAGTACTGCTCCTTCTGGGCTCCATGGTTGTGACGAGACAACAGCACTGGATGCAAGGATGATAGATGCGGGCAGAAGATATCTAAGGACCATGGCACGTGCTCGCTCCGTCGTAGGAGACGGTTTGACGACACTCGGCGATGACCCATTCGAGGATGCATGCAGGAACAGACAGTTAATATATGCAGGGGAAACAAGATAAGAAGACGAAGAGGACGCGAACAAGGTGGCTTGGAGTCGACCGCTATGCCAAGGCGCGGCCTGGCCTCATGATCGCCCTTAGCCGTCGTCGGGCTCATGCTCATGACTGGGCAGTATTATGGAACAAAGAAGAAACATGAGCAGCGGACGGGCTTCTATGAGCGCGCAGAGTCAAGGCGGTCTACTGGCAGATTAACGGAGCCAATGATCTCAACGCGTACAGGAAATGATGATCGCGTGCTTCCTTCAGATGCTCGAAAGTTTGGGCATGTGCATGACTTAGGTAGCAGGAGACAGACTCAGCTGTGCCGATACTGAGTATGCTCACATCACGTTATAATGCGGAAGAGGTCGCGGTCGGACAAGATGAGTTTCTCGAGTCTTGTGTTGGAAGTCGACCTTGTTCAAGATATTGACGGCGGAGGGAGCTTAACAGGTGAGTTGTCGGTCGGCAATGGATCGGCCGCGGCGAGCCTCGGCAAGTTGGAGGTGTATTCATATGCTTGCCCGGGGTCGCTCCTTCGTGATCTGATGTCGTATAGTCAATCATTTCACATCAACAATGCCCAATCCGTTATCGCCATGACCTCCCCCGACTTTGCAGCGGCTCAGGCGCGAGTACTCGCACGTCGCGCAGCTGCCGCTCGTCCAGTCGCACCGCCTTCCCCACCAAGCCTGCCACCTGCCCTGCTGAAACTCCCTCCTGGGCTACGCTCGCTCGCTTCGACTGGCCTCACCACCTGGTCCACGCTTAGAAACAACGCTCCTCACGCGCCTACACCATACTTCCGCGTCGGTCAGGTCGATGCAGAGTTGCTCGACGAGGAACTCCTACAACTACTGCGTAGTCAAGTTGGTGATGCGCTGAAATACTTTGGTGGTCACATTGCAGATGACTGGTCGACTGAGGTCGGTGCCATCCTCCGGACCATACTATGGAAGCTCAGTATTTGGAATCGCGGTACAAGCTATGGTGCAAGTTTGCAAGGCCTCAAGTACGTCGACGCAAGGACACAATCTTCGAGCATCCACGCTGGTGCCGGTCAAGATCCTACAAGATGGCAGAAGGCTGCATACGGTCTCATCACAGTCGGAGGTCGCTACTCCTGGCAGAAGCTAGAAGATTGGCTCCTCGAAAGAGAAGGTGGCTACGATGAGCCCTCGCCGCTTGTCAAAAGGCTGAGCAAGCTCACTGGATGGATTGGCATGACACATGAAATGGCAGCTCTGGCATCCTTTCTGGTCTTTTTGTTCAATGGCAAATACAGGACACTCGCAGATCGACTGCTAAGACTACGACTCGCCCCAGCCTCTGCGCGGACAAGTAGGGAAGTCAGCTTTGAGTACTTGAACCGCCAATTGGTTTGGCATGCTTTCACCGAGTTCCTATTGTTCCTGCTTCCCCTCGTAGGTATTGGCCGGTGGAGACGCATATTATCAAGAGCATGGAGGAAAACAAAATCAATGTTTACTCAAAAGACCGACGAGGAAGATGCTACAGCAGGAGGCGAGCTTGGCTTCCTGCCAGAACGCACATGTGCCATATGCTATCGCGATCAGAATGTTGTCGGCCGTGGTTCAGAAGCAGAAGTACTCGCACAATCAGGCAACATTGGTGGAGGTGTCATTGGCAGTGCCCAAACTGATGTCACCAATCCATATGAAGCAACGCCTTGCGGATGCGTATACTGCTTTGTTTGTCTAGCTCAACGTATTGAGGCTGAAGAAGGTGAAGGTTGGACGTGTCTGCGTTGTGGAGAAGTCGTCAAGGAGTGCAAACCTTGGAACGGGGATGTTTTAGAAGACGTCAAAGAAGAGACGACGAGCATGCCGACGGATAGTCAGCCAAAGCCTCCGAGGAGGAAAAGTGTTGGCTTCGTCGATGACGAGAGGGAGCATGAAGCCACAATCGAGGATATCGATCCGATGCCTATCGATGACCGCGACGAGCAAGTGCAAGATGAGGATGACACGAGGACAATTGATTCAGTCTCATGGGTTGACGGCGAGTCCGAGATGGACTTTGGAGACGAAGCGGTTTATGACTGATCTGACCACCTCACTAGACAATAACGACCATTTCCATACAGGCAAGATCATTGAACAACAATTTTTTATTCCCGAGCGATCCGTAGAACTATGTTCAGCGGGCCGACGTGACAATCGCAAACGTCAACTTGACTGTTACCCCACCATAGCGTGTTCCTACGTCACCCAAACGATATACTTTGGTCACCTCAATTCAAGAGCTTCAGCAACTTCTTCCAGGTCTTCTACTTTCGATTCTACTCGCACGAAGTCTTTGGGTTGTTCGACATGGCCAACACAACAGATAATGTATCGTCCGAAGGACTGGACATCAAGAAGGTACGCAATCAATGGATGCAAGACATGTCCATGAAAGCAAGGTATTGATCTTGGAGCAGATAGCTGTGATCGGCAGCGGCAGTATGGGCGGAGGCATGGCCCTTCTGTTCGCTGAGAAGGGCTGCAATGTATCACTTCAGGATCCCTCAAACGAGGCAATGGATGGTATCATGGACCAAGCCAAAGAGGAAGGCTTCGGCGACCGCATCAGCAAGCACAGCGACTACAAGTCACTGTGCTCGTCTCTTGACTCTCCCAAGGTCTTCGTCTTCAGTCTGCCTCATGGTAGTGTAGGAGACGGTGTGCTTGGCGGTCTCATGCCTTACCTCGAAAAGGGAGACATCATCATCGATTGCGGTAACGAGCATTGGAAGAATACGGAAAGACGACAGGGCAAGTGTGTTACCAGAGGTATCAGATATGTTGGCTGTGGTGTCTCTGGAGGATACCAAGCTGCTCGTCGGTATGTTGAAATGGTTCGCCAGTGGAATTAGATCTAACGAAGGTATAGTGGTCCATCTATGTGTCCAGGAGCTGACGACCAGACCCTGGACCTGGTTCTCCCTTTTCTGCGTAAAGTCGCGGCAAAGGACCCCAAGGGTAACCCATGTGTGGGTCGAGCGGGTACTGGAGGCGCCGGTCATTATGTTAAAATGATCCACAACGGAATTGAACACGGCATGATGAGCGCCATTTCTGAGGCATGGGGCATCATGAAGACAGGTCTTTCTATGTCTGAGGATGAGATTGGCGATGTTTTCGAGAAGTGGAACAGCGAAGGCGAACTGGCAAGTTGGCATACATCATGCGTTGTGAACATGTGCTTACTTCTAACAGCAAGGTACCTTCTTGGTCAAGATTGGCGCCGACATTTGCAGAACCAAGGATCCAAAGAATGGCGAGCGTGTCCTAGAGACTGTCGAAGACAAAGTCGTCCAGGACGTCACTGGCGAAGAAGGTACCGGTATCTGGTCAAATGAGGAAGCCGTGGAAGAGCACATTCCTGCACCCACGCTCAGTGCAGCCCATTACTTCCGATTGGCTTCAGCCGACCGCGCCCAGCGTACTCGCGCGCAAGAGGCATTCGGCGGGGACTTTCCAGCACAGAAGCTTGACGTCAAGGATAAGGCTGCATTCCTGGAGGACCTTCGTGTGGCGACATACACGGCATGTCTTGCTGCATACGTCCAGGGTATCAACGTCATCGACCGCAAGAACAAGGAAGTCCACTGGAACATTAACTTCGCGGAAGTTCTGCAAATCTGGCGCGCTGGCTGCATCATTCAGGCCGACTACATCGCTTCCGTGCTTGAGCCCATCTTTGCCGAGTTCCGCGAAAAGGACACCATGAACTTGTTGTTCGAGAAGACGGTCGCCAATGACCTCAAGAAGGGGCAACCTGCACTGAAGCGTGTCGTCGTAGAAGCAGTGATTGGCGACCATGTGATTCCTGCCATCTCTACTTCCTTGGATTACATCAAGTACCAAACTGGCTTGGAACTGCCAACACAGTTCTACGAGGCCGAACTGGACTACTTTGGCAAGCACATGTATGACAAGAAGGGCGAAGATCCAAAGGGTGCTCCGACCACAGGAAAATACCACTTTGAATGGAAGAGAGCTTGAGGGGATATAATGGGACGATTGGTGGTATGAGGAATGATTTAAATATGTACCAAAATAGTAATGACGTGACATGAGCACATCCGTCTTGATACGTCACAAACTGACTATGTGAAGTGGCTTTCAATACCTAACAAACTTTGTTAGCTGTTGCTCTGACCGGGTTTGGTGTATGAAGTGCAGAGATGGGGGTAAATTTCAGATTCCCGATTATAAGCAGCGACGAAGGTATATGTCGATACCAGCGTACCTTTTCCGGCTCTTCCTAAAGATGTATGGGTAAAGAATAACTCATCATTGTAGAGGTGTGTTGTGTGCATTGCTAGATGAAGCAGAAGAAAGACAGACAAAACTTACGATACCAAGAATCCAGATGACCATGTCAAGTTGCAATCATGGCCCATCTGGCGCGCATTACAGCGTGTTGCAAAGGTCAGAGGAAAAGGACGCGGAAGAAATTTTGGGACGTACGGCCATAGGGCTGAAGGCGGTCGGAACCGGTCAATGCTTGGGCCCGACGGGACTGCGGCCCTCTGGTGACGATCACGGATGCTCCTGATTATCAACAGGCAGAAAGTCTGAAGAAGCCACCTCTCTGAAATTAACGCCGCGCTGTGCTTAGATATCGTGTCTTTACTTGGACGTGTGCTTTGTGTCTGTTTATATGGTCCACCTGGCACTTTTGACGCAAAGACACACCTTCTTTGTTCCCATATTCCGCAGCCGTAATTCTTTCAAAGTGCCAACGGCCAAGAATGCGCTGATCGCCTTCGATTGACCACTTTGGTATGCGACTTTCACCGTCTCAACACACGCTCCTTGCTAAGTCTGGTAGAACAAAAAAAATATAGCCCGACATAATGCGTAAATCAGCTGCTGGATCTTTCTTCCTGGCAGTTTTCACACTGCTGGGCTCATCACATGCCGCATCTTCCAATCCAGCCATCTGCCCTGTAAGTCGCTCTACCTGGATCCCGTCTTCTCATACGAGCAAAAGCTGACTCAATTTTCCAGGTTGAGCCTGGTGCTACAGTCTCAGATGCCTGTGCTTCATACGGCGACCTCGACACTCTCAATACCCGCCTGAACCCCGCTCTCCGCGAACTCGTAACAGAGACCGACTTCTTCTCCTACTATCGCTTGAATCTGTACAACAAGAAGTGCCCCTTCTGGTCTGACGATGAAGGTCTCTGTGGCAACATTGCATGCGCCGTCACTACACTCGAAAACGAAGAGGACATTCCGGAGATCTGGAGAGCTGAAGAGCTTAGTAGACTGGAAGGCCCCAAAGCACATCATCCTGGAAAGAAAGAGCAAAAAGAATTAGACAGACCCCTGCACGGCGAGCTCGGCGAGAATGTGGGCGAAAGCTGCGTCGTGGAGTATGACGATGAATGCGACGAAAGAGACTACTGTGTGCCTGAAGATGAAAGCGCAAGTGCCAAGGGCGATTATGTGAGCTTGCTGGACAACCCGGAGCGATTCACTGGCTACGCCGGCGAAGGTGCTCACCAGATCTGGGAGGCCATCTACCGTGAGAACTGTTTCTCCAAGCCCAGTGCAAACGAACAAAGCCAAGGAGCTGGTAGCCTTGCTCCTCCATTCGCTGGCTTCTCAGGCATGCAAGGCCAAGCTGCACAAGACCTCAAGTCTGTCATGAAAGAGCACGGTCGCCAACTGGCCTCGCAGGAAGGCAAGTTCGAGGACAACATGGAGTTCGACGACGAGTGTCTTGAGAAGCGTGTCTTCTACCGTGTAATCTCTGGCATGCACGCTTCTATCTCAACCCACCTTTGTCACGACTATCTCAACCAATCTACTGGCAAATGGGGCCCTAACCTTGAGTGTTACAAGCAACGTCTGCACACCCACCCGGAGCGCATCTCGAATCTGTACTTCAACTACGCTCTCATGGCTAGAGCTGCTGGCAAGCTCAAGGACTACGTTCAGGACTATACTTTCTGCACGGGTGACCCAAAGCAAGACAGGCGTACTAAGGATATGGCTCTGAAGGTTGCCAACATTATCCCTGCCGGTCCCGAAATATTCGATGAGAGCGTCATGTTCCGCGAGAACCCCCTAGGTGACACTGGCATTAGCCTCAAGGAAGACTTCCGCAACCGCTTCCGCAATGTTAGTCGCATCATGGACTGCGTTGGCTGCGACAAGTGTAGGCTCTGGGGAAAGCTTCAGACTGCAGGCTATGGCACAGCTCTGAAAATCCTGTTCGAATTCAACGATGAGCAACCCGCCCCAGCTCTCAGAAGAATCGAAGTAGTCGCTTTCTTCAACACACTGGACAAGGTCAGCCATGCCATCAAAGCCCTCAGCGAGTTCCAGGGCATGTTGGCCGATGAAAAGGGTTTCCCAGCATCAGAAATTGTTGCGGAGAAGCCGCAGCAAACCATTACTGAGGAGGATGTGCTCGACGACGACGATGCTTGGGAGCAGGCGAAGCCAAAGCCCACACCGTTCACAGAATGGGAAGCAACCAAGAATGAGCTTCGCTTGGTCTGGTCGGCCACTAGATTTGTTCTCAAGAGCTGGATCGAAATACCACAGACCATGTAAGTTGTCCCCCGAGATTGGTACAAACACATCGCTAACTCAGCGCTCAGTTTCATCATCCTCATTACCGAGCTCTGCAGATTGTGGCAGCGTTGGCTCGGCCTTGAGATTACACCTCGCTCTTGGGAGTTCCGCTTGCCCACCACTGATGAGCTATAGAAAGGAACATCTATATAAGAAGGGTTGCGTCGTTGGTGTTTCAGCATATGTGTGTGTCAGTTTTCAACATAGCGTTGGCGTTTATAGGGTTATGAGGTTCTTTGGAAGGGTTCGGCTGCACAGATGTGCCGAGCAGTTGCTATCATTATCCCGATAGAAGAATGTCGAAAAGTTGCCTATCGATACTGATCTGCGGCCAAACGGTGCGTTACCCTACTCGCTTGAACGAACATATCACACGAAGAAGCAGAGTAAAGTAGAAAGAGCCATGCAATGTGTGCTTAGTGTCTGGCTCGCTCGGCTCGGTCCTGAATTACCATCGACCTTGCTATATGCTTTAACGCGCGTGAGCGACCCCTGACAACGTCTTTTGCACCACTTGGACAGCCGAACATGTTTTGATGGCGAGCACTAATCATTCACAACGTCCTTGCAGACACTACAGTATGTGTAGTCTTATGAGCTCCTGATGACCGGATCACCATGCATCAGACTCGATCATCGTCATGCTCGGTGCCAGTGCTTGACGCAGATTCTGCACCTGTCGATTGATTTAGCAACCATGGCAGATCTCGTTTCAAAGTCCCAGCACGTGGAAGAATAGATTAGACCGCTGTTTTGGGATCATGAGTATGACCGGATGGCTGCGTTTCACCTTTAAGCAACCAATATGAAAGGGCGTGTCGCGTAGCGTGATCGTTGTGTGCACATGTGGTTGTGTAGCACGGCAATTGCCTGTCGGAAGACGCGCGATTTGCAGTCACGCACGAGTAAACAACGCCAGTGGGTTTGTAGTTTGTACTTGGACGGTACACAAAAACCATCGCGCTCACCTCCTTAACAGTTGGGCGGTTGTGGTGGAGTTCTGGCAAGCATCCGGCGGCCGTTAGCATTCGTCGACCACTCATGGCACGATCGCTAAGCCCACGCTGCCGCGAGTCGAGTGAAACCACGGCTTGAATAGGGTTGGACTCGCCTAAGCGTCCCGTCGAAGACGACTCTGGGAAGCGCTAATTGAACGTCGGCGTGGAGAAGATAGGGGTTTGAGCCAATCAAGCGCCTGTTCCTGGGTAGCTTGCGAGTTAAACCTTTTGTCATGCGTCTGGAACCATGCCCTGCACGATTTTCACACTTGCAGCCTTCCGAATTCGTTGGCGCCCGCCAGGAAGTAGGTGCTTCAAAACGAAGGAGGTGCCACCCCAAGAGAACTTCTCTTGCTCTTTTCCCAAGAACATCACACGTTTCCCAAGCCATTCCTTGTCTCAAGCGCCCAAGTCTCAGGACGTCGCGCTTTACTTACCTGACCATCGCTTCCTCTCATTTGGGCGACAAAGTCAGAACATTCATTCCCTCAACTATTAACCGCAAGGACTGTGTCCCGGTTAGCCTTCATTCTTTCAAAAAGACAGTCTCGATCACATTTCGAAACATCAGCAGGCTGTGACATCTTCTGCAAGACAGAAACTTGACAAGACATCCTGATCACGCGCTCTACAGCACACGCTCAAAGAACAAATCCTTGTGATCGCCTTGGTTACACGTGTGAGACCTGCTACTTAGTGACACTTTCACTCTCACACCAAAAGAGCTCTCTTCTTTTCCAAAAACAATTCGTGGTTCTTTGACAGTTCCCACCACTGCTATCCGCAAACATGTCGCTTGTCCGCGCTTTCACCACCAGACGGGCTGCCCGCAACAACAAGTCAGACTTGAACCGCACTGCCAGTCAGCGCACACAGCGTCCCAAGATCTCTGGACCCATCGAGTTGATCTCGACGACGAACACCCTGGCTCATGAGGCTCCTGATATCTTTGGAACCAAGCCTATCGCTTTCAAGGCAGGAGTCCTTCAATCCTCGTCCAGCTCCAACAGCCTGAGCTCGCTTGAGTACAGCGATTCTAGCAGTATCGGTCACCGTTCAGGAGGCACCTTCACCGACGCTTCTTCTTTTGAGGAGTCACCACTTTCTCCCGAGCCCAACCACTTGAGCTGCTACTTCAAGCCTTCGGTCTACGATGAAGCCACGCAGCACAGTCGTCAAACTTCTGTCAACTCGTTCCACCGTACTTCAACCAGCGATGTTGCTCCTGTTCTTCCTCAACGTGCACCTTCGCACAGCAAGCGTGCTCACCAATTGAGTCACAAGCGATCAGTCTCGCGCGTGAACCCTCCCTCATTCCCCGAGGACGCTTTTGTCACCAGAGATTCGACCGACTTCTTCCGTGCTTCTGGCCCAACTTCGCCTCACCCGTTCGGCAAAGAGCTCGAACAGCTCAATGAAGTCGCCGAGGAATTTGGCACAACAGTCCGTGACGTCGAGGCCGATGCAGACCGTGTATTCATGGATGCCCATGGCCTGGATCACTTCTCTGCCGACGACTACATGATGGAAATCGCAGACATGCTCAACGTCATCTTCGAAGACGAGCCGACACCGTACGAAGAGGCTGGATGGATCTAAATGCCGTCCTCAATGTCAAGTAACGGTCGCAAGTCTGGTAACTTGCGGGACCATGACATGACCTATCCTCTCCTTTTCTAACGAGACTCTGACACGACTCTTCACTTCTTGTTGATCTCACGTCTTTTAAACTTCTTACTCTCTTTTGTTCACGTTACCACGGAAGACTCGGACTCTGATGTATTACTGGCGTTGGGATATGGATATCCCACCAAAAAAGGGCTATGATGATACGAAAAACTCGGGCAGTCTTCTTGGGAGAAGGCAATACCTTCGTCCCGTTCACTCTTTACTCTCTTATCTTATGACCACAATTTAGGCCACACAGCACGCGGGGAAAAGTGGTGCGGTGTCTTATATGTAGCTAGAAACAGCAAATGCACTTCTATGCTCACTTTCAAATTTCACTCGACCAATCTTACGTCGAACACATGATTCGTGTAGTGTGCATTGCAGTATCCTATTGAAGTTGGTATCGAGGAGCACATTACGGCGCACGACTTGTCAATGATACGACGAGAAATTACGCCAACTCAATCTTCTATCATTCGACAGTGGACTGATTCGGCGAGCAGGTCATTTCTGCCCCAGGCTGTCCATCTGCTCTAATTAGCACGCACGGAGATTTGCCGGAGCGAAGCGGACATGATTCACACGGGGCTTTGTGTAAGGTCAGACCACGTCCACGTTTTGACAGCAATAGTGAGAAATTTGACACAATGTCAATGGTGGGAAAGTGAAAGCGGTCAATGGTGTTTTATGGCGGTCAAGTGGTATAGAGAAGGCATAGCCGGATGGAATGCAGAGTGTCTGGCAGTCGAGCCTCGAGATAGTGCATACACAGGCAGCTAGTCTGAAACCCCAGGGCAAACACAGGGCAACTGTTAGCACGCAGCGACTCCCCATATGCTAAATTCTGTCACACCCATCCACTCTTAATGGTCTGAGTAGAGCGACGGCGAGCTGAACCAATGCATAACCATATGTTGTATGGAAGGATCTAACACAGAGAGTCGTTGAAAAGATGTATCTAGGTGCTGTCGCTCTAGATCTGAAAAGGGTTTTGCGTCAAGACAGCTGCAAGTGTGACAGTGCTCCGTACATGGGGAGGCAAGAGAGATGAGATAGGGTATGGGAAGAGCCTCATTACATGGCAGCAGACCAAGTCGGCCGATGGGCGGGAGTCAAGAGTGCAGCATCTTGTCAATTGACGATAAGATAGAGCTAGCTCAGGACAAGCGGTAGCAGCAGCAAACGTAGTCGCAGATGGAAGCCTTCTTGTTCGAATAGATCGAGTCGGCACGGTAGCGCGGCGGAGGAAGGTTTGAGAGCGATCTGGACGGAAGGTGCCGAGGAGGTCGGCGTGAGACTAAGGGCTTTCTGGGCGATTAGTGCAAGTGCAAGCAAGAAGGTCCCACTCGTGCAAAAGGCGAAGTGCGGACGGACATCAACAATCAACAACAACAACACTTTTCCTCTCACCACTTCCCCTCCTGCCAAATCTCCGTCTACCGTGCTGTCGCATTTCGTCATCATCTAAAACGCATCATCGAAAGCGCCATTGAAGTCGCCTCAATCGCATCGCTTTTGCTGTTTCTTGTTGCCTTCAAGCAAACAATCGCGCCAGTTTTCCTAGCCCCGCTCGAGCGCCGCGGTTCGATAGCAACACAGGCGCATTCGACAGCGCAGCTCGTCCACAGCTTCTCCCACCATCACTCGTCAACACAGCTCTAGATCTCCTACCGAGAGACATTCCGAATTAGGGGCTGCATCACAGACACCGCCTGCCACCCACGCGACATCCATAATCGCTTCCTACCACTTCTTAGCCATCCGCACTCTTCATCTACCAGCTCCTACCCCCACCAAACCTACATAATGGTCAACATGGACATCGACGCCACGCGCCGCAACAAGAAGCCGCGTCCTTTGAGCGACTCGGAGCGCGAGCGCCTGGATGAGTTCATCGAGAGCATCCACTACTCGTCGAGGTGAGAACATCTTCATCGGATACGCTCTCTTCCGCTTCTTGCTGACTCGACCTAGATACTCGGACGATCACTTTGAGTACAGACACGTGCAACTGCCCAAGCAGATGCTCAAGGCGATACCGAAGGAGTACTTTGACGGTTCGCGAGGCACGCTTAAGCTGCTGTGGGAGGATGAGTGGAGAGCTCTGGGAATCACTCAGGTACGTGTCTATGCACGCAAAGACATAGAGATCGTAGACTGACCTTCGTCGCAGAGTCTGGGCTGGGAACACTACGAAGTTCACGAGCCTGAGCCGCACATTCTGCTCTTCAAGTGAGTCTCGACACCCAGTGTCCAAGAAAGTGGCCAAGCTGACACTTTTCCAGGCGCCCCATCAACTACCAGCCTCCAGTGCACTAGGAGTCACTGCCCACGATGAAGACGACGGTGATGACCTCCATGATGTTCGACTGCTATTAGAGCCTGTTCCTTTTCGATTCTCTCAGCGGATCGCAACTTGAGCCACGGCTTCGTCAGAGCGATGTACAACCACCACTCTCACACAAGCACTGGAATCGATTTGCAACCACAGAGCACAGCGGAGCTTGAGACACAACCCAAAACCCCCCCCCAAATACCAAATACAGCTTTCTTTGTACCTACTTTCTTCAGACTCGAGCGCCAGACACAGGGGCAATACCAGAAGACAGACACACACATCGTTAATCGTCAACGGCCGAACACACATGCTTTTCCATCGCCTTTTCAACTTGGGCGGTTTCGTCTTGTTTCCCTTCACCACCGCACAGCCCGGCACCCCAAGTGATGGATAATAGACATTCCTTGTTTTTTCCGTCTCGTTTCTTCTCTGCACATTGCACATTGCAAGGCGTTTTTCAGTTCTCCTTCTATCGGGACTCTGGGGTTGCATTTGTTGGTTTCAAGTCATTCTGGGTCCTTTCGGGCCTGGCAAGGACACCCGGCGAGCAGGAGCAAAGGTCGAATCAGCGTCTGGACAACTTTGCTTTTTTGTTTCCTTTTCCTTTTTCCCTTGTACAAATGGGCCTTTACCGAGTATTGTACTTAGCTAGAGACACAGAGAAATGGAGAATGAAATATGTCAACCACATTGTCTCGATGTTCTTCCTGTGAGTTCGAATTGTAAATACAACACCTAGGACCTGGACTTGTGCAGTAACTCAGTCGTGTTCTAGCCAGGTGACCGCGCCTGGCATAAAACTCATAGCTCCTCCCCTTCGCTACACAATCATCCTACAGAGATAAAAGCAGTGACTACATCCGCCTCTCCAATCAGTCACGCTCAACTCGCCAAACATGGAAGTACTGCAGGGTGATATAGTACTACAAGTGTCACCTCGTGCTACCGCCAGAAGCCCGCCATAGCACCCGAATCTGACCACGGGCACAGCAGCAAGCATACCAACGTCTCAACTCATCCGCGTCCCGAGCTTACGTAGAGAGAGACCTTGCATGTAATCACAGACTTGTCCACGGGGTGGAGCATCACTGTCATACTGCTACTTCGACTTTGCCACGATAAACCGGACTGAACAAGGGGGCTTCATCAGTGTGGCGGCTCGCCCGAGAAACTCGTGCTCTGCGAAAAATGTCCTTGCATGCAGTCACTACATTGAACGACCTACACGTCTCGAAGACACAAGGATTTGACAGTCTCTGAGCTGTGCGTTCGCCCGGTTCGCTTCTCGATCGACGTGGGCAGTGCTGTAAGGTCATGAGACTTCTGGCACACGCGCCATCGGCTTCTTTCGTCCTCTTCCAGGCTCTTTTGCAATTCAATGCTCGGCTTTGAGGGAGAGAATGTCGTGGGGAGCTGAGAGGTTGGTTTTGTTGACGTGAGTGAATGGAGATTGTGATAGCAGCTGCAAATCTCTACATGTCCTTTTTGAATGCGCTTACGTGGCGATATTTCAGTGCACCCAAAATATGGTATAGAAAACACATCTTGAACGCGATGAAGGCATGACCTACCGAATAAGAAGGAAGAAGTTTTGCATTTTTCTAGATTCTTCGCAACTCGTGAGGACTCACCCGATCTTCTCAAAATACGCCACCTCTTTTTCTGGGATGCGACTGCTTGTTCCCGATCGGTAGGGCAGTGACGATTTGCCCGATGCGCACCTTTACCGCGTCGAAAGAAACGACCATGTTATCGCAGAGCTCCTTTAGGATATCGTCCACAGCCGGCTGCAATTTTAGGTTATCATCCGCGAGGTTGCGGTCTGGTGATGGTAGGGACCAGCCAATGCTGATGTGGAAGTAAGGTGAAAAGTCCTGGCTGTTTGCCTGGCGTTTCAGCTTGGTGTAGAGCTGTGGCTGGTTGTATTGCTGGGCTGTGTGGTTACTGGCTTCGAGGATATGGTTCAGGAGGGTTAGAGCTGGTGGGTCTTGGGTTTCTTGTGCATCTTGGACACGAAGGACGAGGAAGTAGCGACTGCTGTCCTCGTTACCGTGCCATGAGAGCGATGCAGGGCGTACCGCGACTGGGTGTCGCAGCGAACGGATAATTGGAGTTATGCGCTCTGTGATAGTGTCCAGAAAAGCATCTTTGTTCTCAGTGCGTAATACCAATGGTGCACTGAGAGAGATGTGTAGAGGCAATGGTACCTGGAGCGGTGTTTGCAGTAGAGAGTGGACACTTGATGATTCTGGCAACGCCTGGAGCAGTCTGTTCAGTGTTTCATGTTCAGCCGGCGATGGTAACCCTGTGAGGCTGTGTGAGTCTGGTTGAACTTCTTCTACGAGGATCCCAAAAGTCTCAACATACATTCAAGGTAGACATGGGTCGGCCAATTTCCCTCGACGTGCTTTACGACGCGTTTACGACCGTGGTGCAAAGACGGATCGTCAGTATTGCTGACGCGGACGCTGGACGAATAAAGATTCAAGAAAGACGCTGGTAGCGGTGGTAGGTCGTCTTCATGGTCTGCCTCTTTCTTGGATCGCTTGGCTACGGGTTCGTCGTCTTCTTCGGAATCCGAGTATGTGACTAGTGCCATTGGAGAGCACAGCACTATCGACGGATCAATACTTGACCGAGAGGATGTCGGCGGATGTGTAGGGTATAGAAGTGTTACAGAGCAGTTGAACCCTGTTTCGAAACACGATTGCGCCAAGCATCGCATGCGCTCTACGACTATCCGTCGCTACACGGTAGATGCTCCAAACACTTCTTGAGCTATACTGTGCAGGATACTCGGTGGATGACTTACGGCTGAGAGTTCTTCGCAAATGCACAGCTCATCAAATGCTGTTTTCGGACATCTCGTATACAAGAGAAATCGAGAAACGTTCAATACAAAGTCCTTGAAAGAAGGGTCTGGGGGAAGGATGACATGTGCAGAGTGCGTGCGCGGCCGAATGACGTCGGCGGATTGGTGATGGTGGGCCTGCGACACAAGCAAAGCCAAAAAGTGAGAGATGTTGACGATGACAGCGGTAGGGAAGGTGCGGCCCAAGGAAGGATCATCCATCCTTGTGCATTTTTTAACTGCTGTACCTGCGCCGTCCGGCTGACCTCTCCTTCCTCTCATCTTGCTTCTTGCTCCTGCAGTGCGACACTTAATCAGAGTCGATACCAGGAACCAAAAGTATATCATGGCTGTCAACTCCAAAGTGGTAAGATTGGACTTCTCACTCCGTGTCCAGGCAGAACCCCGCTCACATACCACGTCCAGGCTCAGGCCTACCTTATCGACCCGCTCAATGCTCCGGAACCGTCGCAAGAGACTGGCCCGGGTACGCATTTCTACCCTCCCACGGCCGTCAAGACTCCCACTCCTACCGGATCGCCTACTGTTTCTTCTCCCTCATCATCCAAGAACCCGTTCCGCGACTCCATGAGCAGTCCCAAGGGCCATGCCCGTCACTCTAGCAGGGGTTCGACCGGTAGCAACTCGAAGTTCCCGGACTTCCAGGAGGGTGCTTCTGCGCATCGCCGCAACTTCAGTGGTGAACATGGTTCTTCGCATCGCCGTAACTTCAGTGGTGAACACATCATGGACGAGTCGTCTGCCGCCCGTCGTAGAGGTAGCTCGCTTAGCCAGCGCTACCCTGGCGACCTCTCGAACCAGCCTCTGAACATGCTTAGAAAGGACAGCAAGAAGGCATACCGTTCCCCTCACCTCAGCAAGCGTCACATCCCTGGTGCCGACACCATCGATCGTTTGGACCCCACTCCCAACAAGCTTCCCTACCACCACGAGGGCCCCTATGACGCTGCTCTGCTAGCCCGTAACACCAGCTTCGACTCCAGCCCAGTCGCCGCCCTCGAGGACTCTAACAGAGAAGCACTCAAGGCCACACCTGCCGAGAACATCAAGGACTCGCTCACCAAGCATAGACCGCTTGATGGCGTCGCAATTGTTCCTCCCGGTCAACGTGACCAGCTCGGCCGTGTCTATCACTACGAGGAGGGAACAGATATGATGCGTGAAGCCAATCCTGAGGGCGGTGCTTACAAGCAGTGGCCTGGAATCGTGAGTCGTGCGCAAACTAAACTTCCCAATAGTATACTGACTATCAATAGGACTACGACAGAGATGACCTCAAGGGCAAGGGAGAACCCGCATTTTCTCTTGACCGTGCGCTCAAGGCACACACCATCAACGAAGACGGCGAGGGTGGCATCGAGATGTCAGACCGTCCGCTCATGAGCGACTACGACAAGCAGAAGGACAGAAAGAATCTCGACAGTCGCGACCCTGTCGAGATTGCCGGCGGCGAGTCTCATTATGCCGATCTCGCCATCGCAAATGACAGGGCCATGGCAACCAATACCGACGCCCACATGACCCGCACAAGCAGTTTGCGAAAGGCAGGTGAGGGTCTCAAGAAGAGACTGAGCTTGGGCAAGAGACGTCAGGCATAGGTCTTTTGAGCGTCTCTGACATTTTCTTCTGTTCATTTCGTTTCTCTTTTGTATTTCATAAGCGATAGATTTATACGTTATCGGCATGATTATGGGTGGGATGGAGACACTGGTTGGGATTGGCCGAGATTGGCCTTAATAGCAAATTGTAAGATACGACAGAATACCAGAACTTATAACATCATATACTATCAATATTTGACACCGCCCTGTGTCTAACGCAGTGTAGTGCTCGTTGACTCTAGAACAACGACCTCAACATGACACTCGAGGTGTCGTACAACATTTTAGCAGACCGCGCGCTACGTACCACATCCTGTGCGTACTGTTTTGTCTGCATCTTAGTATGTACAGACACATGTTGTGCAAGTCGAAGAGAGTGTGGGTGCAGCGGCTGAGGGATCCCAGGCTTCAGATATCGACGTTCCAAACCAACAACTTCCACATAGCTCGTCCCAATGATGCCGTGGTGAGCCAGAAACATGGTAGTAGACGAGAAACGTTCTAAAGATGGTCTCACGATAATGTGAGCATAAAGAAGTCCTCGAAATGGCGAGCAATCTCATGTTATAGTTGCTCAGGCCGTTGTTGAGAGTACGACCCTGTCTCTGAAAACAATCAACGTCTTTGGTTCGAGAAATCGATGTTTGATATAGAAGTTGAAGACCATGGCGCGAGAGGGGAGAGAGACGAAGGAATACATGTGAAGGTGAAAAGGAATAGTTCATGACATTTTTAGATATACGCTTTGGAAAACCCAGATTACTCCGACATGCTCTCCCAGCCACGCTCGTCAGCACCGGCATCATCCTCATTCTCTTCCTCATCCTCGTCACTGTCACTTGCCTCTTCATCGTTGGCAACAGCAACAAGTCTCTCCTGGACCTCTGTAGCGTCAATGCCCTTGACACGACCGGCAAAGGCCTCACGGACAGCTCTGTTGGTGCTGGTATCCCAGACCTGGACAGCACCCTTTGATCCGGCAATAGCGAGACGGAAAGCTACTGCATCATCAGGGGCAAAGTTTGTGGAGAAGACACGGCCAACGCCCAAGTCGCGCGACACGACCATGGAGGGTTGGTTGGTGGCTTGATCCACGTTCCAGAGTTTGACGGTACGGTCGGTGGAGGCAGTGGCGATGAAACCAGGAACGGTGGGGTTGAGGGAGAAGGACGAGAGTGATGACTCGTGGGCCTGGAGGCGCCAGATGGCTTGAGTCTTTTCGGGGGTGGAGGGAGGGTTGCGGGCGTCAAAGGCGTAGAGGATACCGCTTTCTGTAGAGACGTAGAAGACGTGCTCGTTGTGGGGGTCCCAGCGGACTTGCTCGACGTCGGAATCGACACCCCAGCGCTTGGGCTTTGTGCCTTCTGCGGCGCGGAGATCGGCGACACAGACGGTGCGGTCGTAGGAGCCGGTCAGGAGGACGGTCGAGTGGGCTTCGTGGGGGTTGAAGTGCAGGGCGCAGACTTTGTCGGTGTGGAAGTCGTTGTAGGACTTTGCGCATTGTTGTGTGCTGAGGTCCCAGAGCTTGACGGTGGTATCGGCGGAACCAGAGGCCAGCAAGTTTCTGTGGAAGCGGTTGGCTGACAGGGCGAGGACCGAGTCGACGTGGTAGGCGTCGTTGACCTGCTTGCTCTTCTTCTTCTTCTTTTTCTTCTGACCGGGCATGGTGGGTGCTGACGTCTCGGCGGTGCCCTGGCCGAGCACGGCATTGGGATACATGCAGTCGACGGTGTCAAGGTCCCAGATCTCAATGTCGGGGTCCATGGTAGCGACGGCGACAAAGTTTGCCTTTTGGTTCTCGGGGACGGGCTCGCCAGGCTTGGAGACGGGCATGTTGACCCATTCGACGGCCAGCGGGATGGCGGGAAGCATGATGTCGTGGTGGACGTACAGGTTGTCGGCGTCATCCTCGTAGACGTAGCACTCCAGATGGGCGACTTCGTCTTCGATGCGTGCGGCGAGCAGCATGTTGTCGGTGGGCAGGATCTGCATCTCCTCGCGCTCTTCATCGTCCGACTCCTCGCCCTCCTTGAGTGTGATGTAGGGGTCCTCTGCATTGGAGCCGTGGTATGCCAAGTTGCGTACGTTTCCAAACATGCTCAAGCCCTCGCCTTGGGTGTCTTCGCCCTCGGGAGCGTCGTCGTTGTCGTAATTCTCGAGGTCGTACTCCTTCAGGTCGTCGTCTTGGAGGTCGATGTCTTGTGTTGCGGCGCCAGTCGCTTGCATCTCATCGTCGTCGTCGTCGTCTTCGCTCTCATCCTTCTTAGCGACCTTCTCGCCCGTCAGCTCAGCTTGCGCCTCGGCGAGATCCTCCTTTGCATCATCCAGTTCCAGCTTGGCCAGCTTGGAGATGCGCTCAAACTCCTCCTCGTCGAATTGGTATTTCGTCGGGAAAGGTGCCGCAAAACCTCGCGGCACCCAGGTCGTTGCTGTGATCATCGACATGTTGTGTGTGTTATGTCTGAATCGTCTAGGAAAAAATCCACCTGAATGCAACTTTGATAATTTTCGAGGCGCGAATGACGCGGGGAAGACCAGGGCCGGAAGTGCCAAGCGCCTTCGCCGCAAGCCGATAGCGAACGTAGTCAAAAGCATCTCGTCTCCATCACCTTTGACACGCGGGCTCAGCGTTCACTATGATTGACTCGTGCGCCTCGTAAAAGCTTCCTCCGTCGCGCCCTTAGCGTCACGATGGAAGGTCGCTCCATTGAAGGTCGCTCTTCAGGCAATTCGTCTTTGCAACTCGACAACAACATGTCTTCATACAAGCGACGCAAGATAGACAATGACGGAGCCGAAGACGATGGTCACTTCGCGATCAGGCCCTCCGCACATAAACACCGAGATGGTCCACGCGATGGCGCAAAACCACGCCAGCAAGAGTTCGATGGCCCCGAGCCCGGTGTCGACGCCCACGACCAAACAGCTCTGGACCGCGACTGGTATCTAGGCGATGAAGGCGGCGCGACTCTTGGTGACGATTCGCACAATCCCTTTGGCGACGATGCAACATGGGAGAACCAACAGCGCGAAGCTGCCCTGCTTGAGAAAAAGATGGCAGTACGAGCCCGCGGCAATCCTCGTGCAATGCAGAGGCAACGCGAAAATGACGCCTGGGAGACGAATCGTATGCTCACTTCAGGCGTTGCACAACGGCGAGAGTTAGACACCGGCTTTGAGGACGACGAGGACGGCACACGAGTTCATCTACTAGTACACGACCTCAAACCACCGTTCCTCGACGGCAAGACCGTCTTTACGAAGCAGCTCGAGCCTGTATCGGCTGTCAGAGACCCTCAAAGTGACATGGCAGTCTTCAGTCGCAAGGGAAGCAGGGTAGTAAGCGAACGGCGCCAGCAGAAGGAGCGTCAAAAAGCCGCCCAGGAGGCTACCAAAGTCGCTGGAACAGCTCTCGGCAACGTCATGGGCGTAAAAGAGGAGGATACCGACAGTGCCGCTCCAGAACCTGCTGCTGGTCAACAGGAGAAGGGTGGCAGCAAGTTCGCAGACCATATGAAGAAGCAGAGTGAGGGTCAAAGTGCTTTCAGCAGAAGCAAGACCCTCAAGGAACAGCGCGAATATCTACCTGCATTCGCTGTTCGTGAGGAGTTACTCCGCGTCATTCGTGACAATCAAGTCGTCATTGTCGTTGGTCAAACTGGATCAGGAAAAACAACTCAGCTCACACAGTTCTTGTACGAGGACGGCTATGCAAAACACGGCTTGATAGGTTGTACTCAGCCACGTCGTGTCGCTGCGATGAGTGTTGCCAAACGTGTAGCCGAAGAGATGGAAGTCAAGCTCGGCGGTCTGGTCGGCTATGCTATTCGTTTCGAAGACTGCACAAGCAAAGAAACGTCGATCAAATACATGACTGACGGTGTCTTATTACGTGAGTCTTTGGTCGAAGCTGATCTCGACAAGTATTCATGTATCATCATGGATGAGGCCCACGAGAGAGCATTGAACACTGATGTCCTGATGGGACTGATCAAGAAGGTGCTGGCTCGCAGACGTGATCTCAAGTTGATCGTAACCTCAGCCACCATGAACTCCGACCGCTTCTCGCGATTCTATGGCGGCGCCCCTGAGTTTTTCATTCCTGGACGTACATTTCCGGTCGACATTCAATATTCACGAAGCCCCTGTGAAGATTACGTGGACAGTGCTGTGAGGCAGGTCCTCGCCATTCACGTATCTCAGGGTGCTGGAGATATCCTTGTCTTTATGACTGGTCAAGAGGACATTGAATGTACCTGCGAGCTGATTGACGAACGTCTGAAACAACTCAACGATCCGCCGAAGCTGTCCATCTTACCCATCTACAGTCAGATGCCTGCTGACCTGCAAGCGAAGATTTTCGACCGCGCTGCTCCGGGAGTTCGAAAAGTCATCGTTGCTACCAATATCGCCGAGACGTCGCTGACTGTTGATGGTATCATGTACGTCGTCGATTCTGGATTCAGCAAACTCAAAGTCTACAACCCTCGTATGGGCATGGATACGCTGCAGATCACGCCTATCTCGCAAGCCAACGCATCACAGAGAGCAGGTCGTGCTGGACGAACTGGTCCTGGAAAGGCCTTCCATTTGTACACCGAACGTGCCTTCCGCGATGAGTTCTACATCCAGACTATTCCTGAAATCCAGCGTACCAATCTGGCGAATACTGTTCTCTTGTTGAAATCGCTGGGTGTCAGAGATCTGCTGGATTTTGATTTCATGGACCCTCCTCCTCAAGAAACCATATCTACATCTCTCTTCGACCTATGGGCACTGGGTGCTTTGGACAACTTGGGCGATCTTACAGAGCTTGGTCGACAGATGACATCCTTCCCAATGGATCCTTCGATGGCTAAGCTAGTCATAACATCATGCGACTATGGGTGCAGCGAAGAGATCCTGACTATTGTATCGATGCTTTCAGTGCCCTCTGTCTTCTACCGTCCCAAGGAGCGTATGGAGGAGGCTGATGCTGCTCGGGAGAAATTCTTCGATTCATCCTCCGATCACTTGACGCTCTTGCATGTTTACCAACAATGGGCTGCGAACGGAAGACGCGATGGATGGTGTGTCACGCACTTCCTACATCCCAAAGCTCTGCGACGAGCCGAGGAGATTCGCAACCAGATTCGCGATATCATGGTCAGCAGCAAGATGGAGCTAGTCAGCTGTGGCTATGATATGGAGATCGTAAGACTTTGTATCTGCTCGGGCTACTATCACCAAGCTGCTAAACGCAAGGGTCTGGGTGAATATCTCAACCTACGCACGTCTGTGTCGATGCAGCTACATCCTACGTCCGCGCTCTACAATTCAGGCGATCCGCCAGACTATGTCGTCTACCATGAGCTTATTCTTACCTCTAAGGAGTACATGTCATGCGTTACAGCCGTGGATGCGACATGGCTAGCTGATCTAGGAGCTGTTTTCTATTCCGTTAAGCAGAAGGGCTATAATACCAAGCTCAAGCGTACCACTGAGCAAGAATTCAATAAAAAAGTCGAGCTTGAACAGCAGATGGCTGTAGACAGACAAAGGGCAGTCGTCAGAGCTAAGAAAGAAGAGGAAAAGAGGATACGGAAGCCTGTGGTCAAGAAGGTGACGGCCGTAGGAGCTGTCAGGAAGCCTGTAGTACCTAAGCGTAGGGGTTTCTAAGCTCGGTAACATTGTATATAAACAGGTTCTTACTGAAAAATTTCACCATCTTCAAGAAGCTTGTGCCTTGCGACATCGTGCTTCCAATTGGTGCGGGAACATAGGAGAGAACAAGTAGCTTACGATCATGCAAGACGTGCTTTTGCGAGCACAATTAGCTGAAGGCAAGCGCGCGCCTATTGTTGTACTCGGATGATAGTATGCCTCTGGCCCTCATGTAATATGCAGGACGGAGCACTCCAACTATCTATGCAGTATACAAATCAGGAATCAATGTGACGCTATCATGAAAGAGGAGGGATCGGGCCCACAATGACCATGAGCGATGCTGTTCAAACTTGTAGATAGGTGGCTGGCAAATAAAACATAGATGGTTATTCCAGCCCGCCCGCTAGTGCACGAACATCTAGCCGCTCGGAAGCTCAGCCACCTGGGGGGAAAAGAATAGAAAGACGTGGCGCCGTACGCATACGTAAATACCAAAAGCCAAAACAGCAAGGCCGCGAGTTCCTGTTTGCCCTTTCTACATTCGTAATCTGTATCTCTCTCCTACATTCGCCCTCCTTGCCTTTTCGAAAAGCGCTTCAACGCACCTCCTCCTTTCGCAACTTCTTCAAAGGGCAAACTTGCACGGCTCGCCTCGGCTATTAATACACCCCCCTGCGCTATTCTGTCAACGCCTGAGAGAGGCGCCTGCCTGGAACCAAACTCCGCAATTCGAGGGAACTGTCAACCTTGCTGTCAAACACTGAAGGCGAATTCTGGGGCAAACGGCATCGATCAAAAGACAAAACACAACATCGGACATTTGTTTTCAGCATCTTCACGTTTGCTTGATCGACTGGCTGTTATAGCACATCGCTCGCTTAGATCCGCGCCGTTCCTATGGCACCTTCGCAGTTGCTGTTCAAGCGCGCTTGTAATGACATAGATCAGTCTGATTGTTATGATTCCTGGTGGTGGAGCAGTGTATGTTTTGACGGCTGTTTGAATGCACCAGAGTTTGGGGGCTAACAAGATCTATCACAGTCTGGCTATGGAGTCCGCTACGCAATCATTGCTCTAATCTTTGTCGGCATCGCCCTGTTACTCTTCGGCGCCTACTTCCACGCTCAACGCAGGATCCGCAAGGGTCTGCAGCCTCTCGCCTATCACCGCTGGCTCGTGTCTCGCCGTCGCTACAGAGCTACACCCTTCCCTCAGAACAACTACACCTACTATCAGCAGCAAGATCCCGCATACCCACCGCAGCAAGGCTATCCGATGCAGAACATGGGCGGCGCACCTCACGGAAATGTCGAGTTCCAGCCTCCGCCACCTGCGTACGGTAATTGGGAGTCACCGCCGATCTATCAGCCTCCTCAGGGCGCGAGCAAGGTTGCCGCCAATCAAAACACTCAGCCCATGGAGAGAAATGATGCTGCTGGCGAGGGCGCTTCATTGCCGCCGAATCATGCTCAGAACAACAACAGTCACACCCAATAAAGGAAGCTGGCAATTTACACTGACTTGCCTTCGCCTTGATACGAAAGAGATACCCGGCTTTCTTTTCTTCCTTTGATCATTCCGTTATCCTGTTTTTCCTTTACTCTTTTCAGCAGCGACATTCTGATAGAGCCTTTGGCGATTTTCCTTTTCGGCATGGAGAGTAAGGCGTTCTTGTTGCATGGGTTCCGTGTTCGAGAGGGTATTGAAAGCATAGTGTATGCACGATGAGAAGGCCTGCGCAAACGAGAGAAGCAATATGCGTTTCATCATAATATCGTAACCTTTGTTTCCACTCCAGTCCTTTACTCGCAAGTGCTCAACATCTTCTTTATGACGCCAACCAGAGTGCCGTTCTCCATGGCAGCGGCAACACGCTCCTTGTCGCCCAATTGCTTGTTGGTAGCCTCATCACTGGCATGTGTACCCTCCTTGATCCTCACATCGATTCTGAATCTCGGAGGCAACGACTGCTCCAATCTCACTCTGACACCGAGGCCGATGACAGTAGCCAACGAGCAATGAGTAATAGTCGGCGTGACCAAAACCCTCACAGTCGAAATCTTTGACGAAGGCGATGCAGGCGGCAAGATGAAAATATCAGGCAACGAGACAACAGCCAACGAACCCAACGATAACGGATGCTCGGGATCCGAGATTGTGCTGATCAAGTCAAAGATTTCCTGTTCGTCGATTTCCTCGCGCAAGTCATCATCGTCGTCTGAGATGTCGTCGGATGAGTTTGAAGGGATGGGTGCGGGGAAAGAGGTTGATGTTGTTAGGTTGTCGTAGTGTGGGTAGGAGGGGATGAGGCCGTCGAAGAGGCTGGCGTGTGTGGTGGATTGGTGCGAGGCGCCGCGGCGAGATGGCAGGTCGCTTGGGTTGAGGATGGCGGGGTTTGCGTTGTCTTTGTCCATTGTGATGTGTTTGGTCATAAGATTGGTGGAAAGACTTTGTTTGTGGTTGAGGTGGAATATGTAGTGACGAGCGAATGAGTTGTGGCGGGGCAGATTGCTAACGCAAGGGCGAGAAAATAAAAGAAGTAAAATGGATATTAATCATGAATCTCAATCTCCAGCTCCAAGTCATCGGGAGGCTGAAGACGATCAGAAAACGGGCTGCCTTGCACGACAGACAACTGATTTATCCTCCGATACATGGTCGCTCTTGACTTGCAACCTGGCAGACCAACATACGACATCAAAGTGGCTCTAATCGCGCTGCCGTGACACTGTGAGATGTACTCAGTACTACTTGTTCAGGTACGAAACGGCGAAAGAGTGGTCGCCAGGATGTGTTTGCTGAAGCATTGTATGCTCCTTATCACTTGGGGTAAGCGAGGCTGCTTGCATGTTTCGGACATGTTATAGGACCAAGAGCAGAACATGCATGGTCTGTATAGGACCGAAGTGTCGCATAGCATCACAGATCAAGAAGCCCAGCCAGATAATGACACACTATACACATCTGAACAGCATTAGATCTTCGGGAAGCAGCAGTGGCAAAGGCCAGATCGCCGTACGCTGGTTCAAACACACATCGCTTCCTCAGAAGTCAAGTCACAAGAATTGGAAAGTACGGGGACCAGGACCATGCAAGTGATGCGCCGGCTCAAGAACACCAGAAGGAATAAAAATACAAGCTTGTTTGTCATAATCTATAGAGTAGTGTACACATTTTGAGTATTACTCGAGGCTAATTTCCCGCCGCCTGGCGCATGAAGAAACTCTTGAGGAAGCCCAACTTATCAACAGCATCTAGTCCAAGACTTCTTGCCCAAACGACTGGACCGCTGCCAGCACTGTAGAGCTTGTGCAGCTTATCTACAGTACCGAGCATGGCATTGTTCTTTGACCACTGCTCGGCGTTATATGCGTCGAGTGCCCAATTGCTGCCAATGTCCTTGCCGACAGATAGCGAGAAGCTGATGTGCTTAGCAAGCGATTTGGCATCACCGAGACCTTGGTTAAGACCTTGGCCAGCGAGAGGGTGAATGGTATGAGCGGCGTCTCCGAGAAGAGCGACACGATGGCCAATGTAGGTGTCAGCATGACGCATACGCAAAGGGAACGAAGCAATACTGCCATCCTGGACAGCAGAAATCTTCTGTGGAATGCGCTCAGAGTTGAAAGCGGTATTAGCTTCACGCCAGGCAAACTCATCGGCGTGACCGGACTTCATGGTATGCAAGTAATCCAGGTCGACTGGCAAGAGTCTGAAAGCCGCATTCACCATCGCGATGAAGTCAGCGCTGCTGAGCGACTTGAGCAAAGCTGCCTTTTCCGGTGTTGTTGACCACACCAGGGTGGCTACGTTGCCAGGGAGAGGTAAGAGTGCAACGGGACCAGTAGGAAGGAAGCGTTGATATGCTGTTCTGGGGCCATTTTGACCCCAGTTGGCACCCTCGACCTGCACAGTAGCTACGACACCATGGCGATTGTAGTCCCAGCCGCGCGAAGGAATACCAGCAAACGTGCGGACGGGACTGTTTGCACCGTCGGCACCAACAAGCAGACGTGCTGCCAGCTTGCGCGAGTTGTTCAATGACACGATGGGCCAATTGGACAAGTCCATGTCTTCTGTCTCTTTCCCAAGCTCAATTCCCTCCACGCGTGTCTTGTCCATAATGTCGATTGAAGGCAGCTTATTTAAGCGAGCCAGAAGAGCTGATGTCAGGTTGGTGTTCTCGGTCATAGTGGCCACCGTGTCTGGTACACCCGATGGTGTTGTTGAAGGATCGAAACTGATGCTGCTTCCAGAGACACCATCCCACACCTGCATAGCCTGATATGGCTGCACACGGGTTGCAGAGATGTGGTCCCATGCTCCGATGTCGTTTAAAAAGTTGACCGAGCCAGGGGTCAAAGAGCTGCATCTGTTGGAAAAGGTTGTCGATTCGGCCTGGACCGGTGATTTGTTGAGGTCTTGTCCCTCGACGAGAGCAATTTTGAGGTTCGCAGTCTTGGGAGATGCACCTACACGTCTCAGCTATTGAGTTCTATGCCACACATGCTGTGTCTGATCTTACGAAGAGCGCTGAGCAAGCTCAATCCTGCCGGACCGCCACCAACGCACACGACATCATAGATTTCAGGCCGGGTTAGCACGGGGGCGGCGGTGGGCGCGGTCCGTGACCAGAAGGATCGCGAGGCTACAAAGGCGTTCGAGTATCTCGAAGATACTCGGGAGACTTCACATGGTGTTCGGGGGAAGCGCAGCGGCATGCCGGCAGATGTTATGGCGAGGATGAGAGATGGAGTGATTCGGCGGAAGTCTGTTCTCCAGATCTTCGACTCTCGGGGCAAGACTTTCCGTTTGCTCGGGCTATGACTTGCCGAACCTGTGAGTCGTCTACTGATTGGCCCGATATTTCTATGTGCAAAACATGTCTGGAGCGCCTGCTTTTTGATCTTCAGTCATCTTCCAGGAGCACAAGCATGTGAAAGATGGTATGAGACCACCATCACGTGTGGGCAGCTGACTTTGGTAAGCGGAATGAGCTGATTCGTTGCTCGGAGCAGGAGTTGTGGAGAGTTTGAGTTCGGGCTTGAGGCGGAGAAACTTCACATGCTAATGTGGAGCGCCATCCCCCTCCTTTCTTAGTTCCCCAACTTCTCGGATGGTTCTACCTTATTTGACGAGGATCAAAAGCCGAGCGTAGGGTCTCGCAGGATTCAGTCGGCGACTGGGAATGTTTGTAACAAGAATTAGTTCTGCAGCTCCGATATGCCTTTCCTGGAAGCAGAGAGTTTGAGAGCGAGGGACATCATTATCCGAGTCCTGTGGGTAATCAAGCAGCAGCGTTTGGTCCACGGGAGTCCGCGAGGAAGGCACGAAGGCGAGCCTTTTTGGCTTCACAGTGCCTCGGTCCGTTCACATCTCCATACCTTCCATTTCCCCACACGTGCTATTTAGCGCATGTGGTCCAGCCATTAAACACCCTTGCCCTCGTCCTTTGCTCGTGCCTCCATTTCCCCTTCTTTTTCGTTTCTCTCTCAGTTCTTCTTTTTATTTGTGATACCCATCTCTATTATCATGCCTGCAAGAGTCATCGTTGTCGGTGCTGGCCGTAAGTTTCTCAGTTCTCCATCTGCTCCTCAAGGAGTGTGTCACTAATCTCGAGTAGTTTCTGGCCTGAGCGCCGCTCACACCATCTACCTGAATGGTGGAAATGTCGTTCTACTAGACAAGAACAGTGAGAGACTATGACTGTATCTCACTCACTCAATCAACTGACATGTGATACACAGACTTTATGGGTGGAAACTCCACCAAAGCCACATCCGGAATCAACGGTGCTCTCACTCGCACACAGACCGATCTCGGTATCCAGGACAGTGTCAAGCAATTCTACGAAGACACCCTGAAGTCGGCCAGAGACAAGGCTCGACCAGATCTCATCAAGGTCTTGACATACAAGTCTGCAGGTGCCGTCGAGTGGCTGCAAGATGTCTTCAACCTGGATCTGACCCTTGTTTCCCGTCTCGGGTGAGTGTTCCCCGAAATGCGGGTTCCGAATCATCAACTGACCTGAGTGTAGAGGGCATTCATTCCCTCGTACCCACCGTGGTCATGATGCCAAGTTCCCTGGTATGGCCATCACATATGCCTTGATGCAAAGGTTCGAAGAGCTCGCCGAGACCGAGCCTGAGCGAGTGTCGCTCATCAAGAAGGCCAAGGTCACCAAGATCAACAAGGATGGAAACAATGTTACTGGCGTCACATACACATTCGGCAACGAGGAAGTCACAGTTGATGGCCCCGTCATCCTTGCGACAGGAGGCTACGCTGCCGATTTCACAGACGACTCCTTGCTGAAGAAGTGGCGGCCCGACACCTTTGGTCTGGCTACCACAAACGGTGCTCACGCTACTGGTGACGGTCACAAGATGCTCATGCAGATTGGAGCCAACGGCATCGATATGGACAAGGTCCAGGTCCACCCTACTGGTTTGGTCGACCCCAAGGACCCTGGCTCCAAGTGGAAGTTCTTGGCTGCCGAAGGTATGTACTCGATGTTCTGACATTCAACTCACCTTACTGACTGTCGTTAGCTCTTCGTGGTGAAGGCGGTCTGCTTCTGAACAACAAGGGTCAACGCTTCTCTGACGAACTTGGACATCGTGACTACGTTTCCGGTGAGATGTGGAAGGAGAAGGAGAAGGGAACATGGCCAATTCGCCTTGTTCTCAACTCCAAAGCATCAAACGTTCTTGACTTCCACACCCGTCACTACTCAGGTCGTGGTCTGATGAAGAAGATGAGTGGCGAGGAACTCATCAAGGAGATTGGCTGTTCGAGACAAGACCTTGAGAAGACATTCAACAACTACAACGAGATCGCCGACGGCAAGCAGAAGGACCCTTACGGCAAGAAGTACTTCCACAACTTGCCATTCAAGGTCGATGACACCTTCCACGTCGCTGTTATGGAGCCTGTCCTCCATTTCACCATGGGCGGTATCGAGATCAACGACCAAGCACAATGTCTGAACTCCGAAGGCAAGCCATTCGACGGCCTCTTCGTCTGTGGCGAACTTGCTGGCGGTGTACACGGCTCAAACCGTCTCGGCGGTTCATCCTTGCTCGGTTGTGTCGTCTACGGTCGTGTTGCCGGTGACTCCGCAAGCAAGTATCTATTCCAGCAGGTGTTGAACGGTAGCGGCTCTTCCGCAACTCAACGCCTGGGACAGATCAGCCTGCACATCGACCCCAACCAGCCTGGCAAGATCTCTGTGGAGTGGGCAGACGGTGTTGGCACCGGTTCTTCCTCAAGTGCAGACGAGGCCATCAAGAGGCAGTCACAACAGTCTGCTGGTCCAGTCATGACGCCGGCCGGCAAGACCGCCGATTCCTCTGATCCCGCCAAGGTATCAAAGCCCAACGACATCAAGGACTTTAAGGTACCCGAGAAGGAGTACACTCTCGAAGAAGTTGCCAAGCACAACAAGAAGGAGGACCTCTGGATCGCTGTCAAGGGCGTCGTCATGAACGTCACTGACTGGGTAGACGAGCACCCCGGCGGTCCTCAAGCTCTGTTCAGTCACATGGGCAGAGACGCCAGCGAAGAGTTTGAGATGTTGCACGACGACGAGGTCATCCCCAAGTACGCCGCTGGCATTGTGATTGGCCGAGTAAAGGGTCAAGAGGTCACCCTCGAGTATTGATGAATCCGTATAATGGGGAAAGGACCAAGGGCAGGAGTTTTCTGGGATCCAAACAGAGGCAGCATGGCATGCATGCATTCTAGTCTGTAGTTTCGAGTTTCAAATCACGGACAAATACCATCAACGTCCATGTTCAATCACACGTCAAGGCTCAAAACATCATTGCGTCGTCGATTTGTGTCGTTAGGTTGTTCATTGCTGATGATATCTATGTATCGAGGTTGGGTATCATAATGTGGAGCAGAGGAAGGATGTGGCACTCGTGTCTACAGGGCCTTGTCGGTGGTGCCCTTCTTGACAAAGTCTCCAGTTCTGAACTCCTGTTCACCACCGCGAGCAACTTGCTCATTCTTTGCCAGAGAGGCGTTGTCACCAGTGAATCCGTCAATGGCTCCGTTGATGTTGCCGCGGATAGATTCGCCAATGCCCTGTGCATCGTCAGATCTGCTCTAGGTGTGTCCATTGTCACAGCTTACATGACCCTTGGCAAACAGGCCCTTTAGTCCTTGACCAACCTCAGCACCCTTGTTACCGCCAGTGGTAGTAGATGTGGTTGTGGGGTTGGCGGCGCCAGTGGTGGTGTGGGTAGCCCCAGTGGGGTTGGTGCCAGTGAAGTTGTTTGCAGACATGATGGAGATGTAAAATGCGGGAATGTGTTCGTAGATGTATCAAATACCATGAAGATGCACAGCGTTCGCTCTATATATACTACCTCACTCCTAGTGTTGCAGGTTTTGGGAACCATGAGATCAATGGACAATTTACTTTCCACGCATACGTCATAAGCATCACATGCGACCCTCAATTCCACATTTCCGACAATACAGTTCATATCCAACGACAATCATTGCAAACGATGACGGATTATGAGACACGCCGACTGGAAAACATCAAGCGCAACCAGGCCTTGATCAACGAGCTTGGGATTGAGAAGGTCAAGCATGAGTCTTCAGCAAAACGACCGCCCCCAAAGAAGCGCAAGCTCTCGCCATCGGCCACACGACCCACGCGCGTTTCGGCGCGTATAGCCTCGACAGACCGTCCTATCTATAATGACGAGCCTTCAACATCGAATAATGTGTCCTCACGATCGTCACGAAAGGCCGGCTCAAAGAAAACACACACTGCTGTAGCAGACGCTGTCGAGACGCGACCTGCCTCACCTCCAGCAGATCTCGAGGACATACGAAAAGGCTGGACAGCTTGGGAGCCGGTTGCGCCTCCGTCGACAAGAGACGAAGATGGTACATTCCACTTTGACGAGCATCCAACCTTCCTGCCGAACAAATCGCCAGCCGAGTTGCTCGCAGAAGGTGCCTTTGGAGGCTCTTACTACAGGCCGCTTTACTCCAAGCGTCTACGCACCACAATAGAGGACGACTGGAAAGAGCTCCCTGCAGAATGGCTCAAAGACTTGAATGTCGAGACCTATCTCACTAGTCCGGAGTATGACCCTGACGTCAACAAGTTCAAGGTCAAGTGTGGGCAATCCATTGAAGAGTGGGAGGCTGCTGGATGGATAGCACATGCCTACGATGTAAGAGGCTGGTTTCAATGGTATACGCGGTTCTGGCTAGGCCGTCGTTGCGAGGATGATGACAGACAAATTGGCAGATGGGAACGCTGTGTTGGCGAAAGAGGGCGCTGGCGACGCATGCTTCTGAAGAAATACCTCCAGGCTGGGGTCAAGACAGTCGCTGATGAAGGAGTCGACGAAGAAGAAGTGTCACCGGTGATGCACCAGACCTGTCATCAATGGGCGTGGGAGGTCCGTCAACCATCTTTGGATGAAGCATGGGCAGGCCACTTGTAGAACGAGAGTGTTCTCCACAAAGCTGGAGATTCTTTGTAGATACCTAAGTTACCTCAAAGGCCGTGCTCTCGCCCTGAGGCGAAGATCATACCCGTGGAGACACTTTTTGAATTCCAATACCCTCAAACACCCAACACGCTGTTTGTGTCTATCTGATAGTCTCACACGATTGTTCCGAGTGCTAAGAGTAATGCGAGACAGTTGTTCTGCTATTTTTGTGTTTTGGTCACGTGTAGGTGCAGCTGGGTCCATCAGCGCAACGCGCCTCGAACCTCCGATGGAAGTCTGCAGCGCTGAGCATTAGCACTCCTCTTACTGCACCATGTTCAGAAGCCATCGTCGTTCAAACCCTCTATGCAGCTTGTTGGTCGGACGCATCCAGACTTAGCCCTGTGAGCGACCTTTTGCAGGCTTCGCCGATCAGTGCTAGCAGCGAGGACGCATCGAGAGCCTTTGTTGTTTGTCGGGCTTCCGTGCCTGACTGCCGCAGCTGGGCACTCATCCTGAGGAGCTAACAAGATGTGTAGAAGGTTGACAAGATTGTATGAACGTCGCTAATGTCTACAAGTACCCTTCCTCGCCCGGAAGACCACGCCGACGAGACTCGCGTCAGAACTGGGACTTCCGTATCTCCCGATGCCTGCAGAAGAAACTCGTATCGCCGGGAGCTCTCAGCAACCTGCCTACATCCAATGCGACAACGGGATCAATACCCACCACTGTAGCATCGCTGTGGCCTCGCAGACCAAAGCAAGGCAGCAAACAACGAACAATCAACCATAAAGGACAAGAGCTAGGGCCTCATATAACATCCGACCTGACCTGTACATGCCATCCACCGGTAGGTGCTTGTGTTATCTCATGTAAAACTTTCTCATGTAGGAGAAACACTTTCCTTGTTCAGTCAAGCTGCACATCAAATGTCTCATATCCACTGCCCCTCCCCAGTTCCGGCCATCATAGGACACGAGAATGCCACCATGGCATCTCGCAAGACAGAAGAACAGAAAACGACAACACCGAGACGAAGCTAAACGGGTCATCTGGAGACATCTTTGCTCTGAACGCGACCGGACGTCGAGTCGGCTGCTATTCTTGGAAGGCAGCCAGCAATCTCGCTGTGTGATTGCATCTTGTCACAAGCCGGGTTACCAACACCTGATCCGGGACCGGGTTAATGCTATCAGTTGCCCCCGAATGCGATATGGCTTCCCGCCAGCAAAGGCTTGAACAGAACAGGAACCTTTACTGGGCCATACAAAACTCGATACCTTAGTTGCAGGCTGGCACAACGGCAAGCTCACGTCGAAATTCCGAGAGAGAAAATTGTCATGAATTCTCGACGTTGTCGTGCCAGCACGAAGCACGGATCTTTGACGTGTCGCGACTCGCGGCTTCCGGATAATTGGCGTTGGCGTTGGCGTCGCGCAGATTGTGAGGATATATTCTACCTGTCGCGAGCTCTCACAATTTCTCAACTGAGGCCTCGAATTACGCAAGGATTTGACAAGGAAGGTAACAGAACATTCATCACCTTCAAGGTAAGTGTCCGAAGGTCAGAATTCGTTGTCACTGGTGAGGAGCCAAGTCACGTGTGCTGTGAGGGAGGAAGGGCCTTGACGACGCCGAAGTCTGAAAGCTCGAGCTTCGCGTCCATTCTTCTCCTCAACACAACTCTTGCACCACCACTATTCCATCAATCTTTGCGCACGATCTCGACACTCACATAGTCGATACCTCCGCCCATCTTACAACATCATCTGCATCACTTAACACCTTCCATCGCGTCTATCGCGCCGTCAACGCGTCCGTCTACTACGTCACTACATCGTCGTCGTGCACCTTGCAACATCACAATGGCCGACGAACAGCTCCAGACTGCACCTGTCGAGTCACAGGAGGCACAGAACGTGAGATACCTGTCTCGAACGCGTCGGAGATCGTCGACCACTGACTGCCTGCAGACCACTATGACTGAGGCTACAAGTGAGGCCCCTGCAGTCACCACTGAGGCCGTCGAAGGTAAGAGTGGCTTGATCATCTGCTGTACAACTTGAGACTGATGTGGCATTAGCGCCCGCTACTACCGAGGCCATGGACACCTCGGCCGATAACACTGAGACTAAGGAGAACGATATAGCAACTGCTGGACCACAAGCAACCACCGAAGTCAATGCGCCCGATGGCGAAGGCAAGACAGAAGTAGCTACTCTTCCTTCCGACGTCGCCGACGCTGCCGATGCCGCAACACCATCAGGCAACAAGAACGGAAAGAGAAAGTCAACCTCGGGCGTTCCAGAGCACAAGAGCAAGAAGTTGAACAAGAAGAAGTCGCTAGCTCAGTTGAATCTTGATATCAAGGCCGGCGACTACTACTGGGCCAGACTGAAGGGATACCCTCCGTGGCCCTCGGTAGTCTGTGACGAGGACATGCTCCCCGAAATCCTTCTCGGCAGCAGACCCGTCAGTGCCAAGCGTGCTGATGGCTCTTACCGTGAGGACTTTGAGGATGAAGGCAAGAACGCCCGCGACAGAACCTACCCAGTCATGTTCCTGGGCACCAACGAGTTGTGAGTAACTTATCTTCCATCCAAGTACGCGCATCCCTAATTCGCTATCTAGCTCATGGATGGTAAACACTTCCCTTGCCAAGCTCGAACCAGGTGAATGTACCCCCGACAAGCAAACCGGCAAGATGTCCAAGGCCTTGAAGGAGGCTTACGACATCGCCGAAGAACGACACGACCTCGACTACTTCAAGAACATGCTTGAGGAATTCATGCAGCAACAGAAGCAGGCACAAGAGGAGGCAGCTGCCAAGCAAGCCGAGAAGGAAGCCAAGGCTGCCGCAAAGGCTGAGAAGGCCGAAAAGGCCGCTGCTGAGAAGACTACCAAGGAGAAGAAGGATCGCAGAAAGAGCAAGAGCAAGGAGACGGTCTCTGACGGCGATGACATGGATCTTGATGTCCCCGAAGAGGCAGAGAAGCCAAACAAGAAGAGAAAGAAGGATGCCGATGATGAGGGCGAGGCCCCCAAGGTAAGAGGACATTCTCTGAGAATGTTCATTATCGAAACTGACATGAACATAGGCTAAGAAGACACCCAAGGCACCAAAGGTCGCAGCCGCTAAGACTAACGGTGAATCGGCCAAGAAAGCGACAAAGCCTAGAAAGATCGTGCAGAAGCCCGCAGATGAAGAACCCATCACCGAGGCCGAGAAGCAAGAACGTCGCGAAAAAGCCGTCCTTTATCTGCGCCACAGATTGCAGAAGGGCTTCCTGATGCGCGACCAGACACCCAAGGAAGACGAGATGTCTAGCATGAACGACTTCTTCAACCAACTCGAGGGCTACCAAAACCTTGAACCCTCCATCATTCGCGGCACAAAGATCTACAAGGTGCTTCGTGGCATTATCAAGCTTTCATCGATTCCCAAGGAGGAGGAGTACCAGTTCAAGAAGAGATCAAACGATCTCCTTGCTTCGTGGCACGAGGCACTCGGTTCCAAGGGCGATGAGAAGGAAGACGAAAAGGCCGAAGAGCAAACCAGTGGCGAGAAGTCAGAGGAGGTTGTCGAGAAGACGGAACCCAAGGAGCCTACCGAGGTCCCGGCTGCCGCTGCCGCCGACCAGGACGTCGCCATGACCGACGCAAAGGAAGAAAATAGTGAGACTGCACCTGCTGCAGCCAGCGAGACCGCAACCACCGCATAAACGTCGCTTCATGTTGGCTTTATTTCAAAAGGCGCGCTACGAAGGTTCAAGGAGCCCTGGCTTGGCTGTCGAGGAAGATCGACTCATTGCTTGCATCGTTTTGCTCATTTTCCAAGGAGGCTCTGTCATAGAAGCGATACGTCTATTGCTATGACACCAAGTTAGCAATGAAATTCCACCAGTTCAACTTTCAAGAAGAATAATGTGTACGTGTCCTCTAGAATATATCATGCACGATCGATAGCGTGTATGTTCCTGTGTCAGGTACAGATGAGTACCTCAGGTACTTAATGGCTTTTGTGACGCTGCAGACCCCGCGCTCCCCGCACTCGTCAACCAAAAATGTTGGCGCAGAGCAGCAATGTCGACAGTTTCCACGAAGTCGTTCCAAGAGTAAGATGGCGACAACACACGACGCAGAGGCCTTGATCACCTCTCATGATCCCCACCACCCTGCAAACTTGATCTGCGAGCTCTGCAAGAAGTTCTATACTCTTGGATGGGTATGCCGTCTCCACGACTAGCCGCGACCGCTTTGTCGAAACCACTACTTACGCTTGTTGTCAGGTCACTGGAACTGGTGGTGGCACCTCGATCCGTGATGGCGAACGTATCTACATTGCGCCCTCGGGTGTTCAGAAAGAGCTCATGAAGCCGCAAGACCTGTTCGTCATGGACTACGCGACACGGGAATACTTGCGCAGACCTCCGGTAGGCACAATTGGACGCCTTGGACTCAAGAGACGCGACGACTGAACGAGATGGATATATAGGTACTGAAACCTTCGGCATGCACACCTCTTTTCATGGCTGCCTTCACACTGCGCGGTGCCGGCTGCTGCATCCACACACATAGCAAGGATGCTGTCCTAGTGACACTGCTCTGCGAAGCTGCTGGTACCGATGTTTTTGAAATCCAGAAGCTCGAGCAGATCAAGGGTATTCCAAAAGGCTACGGTGAGGAGAAGAAGGGAAACCTTGGTTACCACGATCGTCTTCGCATTCCCATAATCGACAACACTGCGCATGAGGAGGATCTGAAGGATACACTTGAGGCTGCTATCCAGCAATGGCCCGACACTCACGCCGTCCTGGTCAAGAGACATGGAATGTATGTGCTTCACGACAAACGGTTCGACAGAGCGACAGTATGCTGACGATTTGCTAGCTACGTTTGGGGCAAGGATGTTGCTCAGGCGAAGACCCAGTGTGAAAGGTATGTCCTTCCCCCATAGCAACAAGAAGAACAAGACGAGAGTCTAACGTGACGACAGTCTGGACTACATCTTCCAGCTTGCAGTCGAGATGCACAAGCTGGGCTTGCCATGGATCCCAAAATAATCGCATACAAATCATGACCTAGTCGCGATAGACTGTCTGTTGACAAATGAGAAGTAGACGACCTTGGTATACTATGTATAGAGAGAGACATTGTTCGAGTCTAGCATTTCGAGAATATACCCACCTGACCATACTCTATTGATCCTGATCCGCATCTGGAAAGACTCAGCTTCATAATGTGCCAGGCACACTCGTAAGTATATATTGCAGTAGTATATGTAACGTCGTGTAGTGCATTCTTCAGAATTGCTAAGTGGGATGTGCATTGAGATTGCGCTGACTCAGGAGATGACATGAGACACTGTATGGAATGTCAAAGTTCAGAGACATTGAATTTGACGGCGGGACATTGCAGACGAGGGGCCTTGAGATTACCGCATTCAGGCAATGCGCCAGAAAGGTCGCCTTGAAAAAGAGTGACGGCATGCTGCAAGTTTTCTCGTCAGTGCATCCGTAAAGCTGACATCGCTACATGACTTGAATAGTGGATAGCCAAGCACAAAGAGCGAGCAGGAACGATGCAGGCGAGGAGAGATGAAAGTATCGGAGTCGACCGATCTGCTGCAAGCCGCGATATCCCTGCAAGCGATGCTTTCTCCGTAGATCTGCCTGCACTTTTGCTCGTCGACCGTCTATTTTTAAACACACCCTCTACCATTCATTTTGCGCCTTTCCTATTACCTCCAAGGTTCGAGAAATATAAAGGGTCTTGGCCACTGGAAAAAGTCTTCGATGTTCAAATTAAGCAAATTTAGCCTTTACGGACACGAAAAGTGGACGGTCCGCCCAACGGGCCTTGACATCATCAGCGCCTCCCACGCACTTGCAAAGTGTAGCATTCTCGCCTTGTTGGCAGCGTTACATGGTGTCAGAGGCCGGCCAGGGCGAGAATTGGCTTCATGGGTTTAAGAATAGCAAAGGTAAGTTGAGGGTTTCGGTACGAGGCCTGATGATATAAGTATTGAGGAGCAGCACTTTTTATATTTCTTGGTCACTCTTGTCTGTATCGCCAATAATCTACCATTAAACTCACAATCTTTACGAAGATGTTCAGACAACTATCGATAGCCGCTGTGGCCCTGTCACTGGGTTCGTTTAATACCGCTGCAACATTTATGCAAGAGCTTTCTTACTGATGTCTAAGCAGCAACTTCTCAAGTATCGGCTAAGCCAATCCAACGCAGAGCAGCTGGTGATTCTTCATTCGACTACATTGTCGTTGGCTCAGGTCCTGGTGGTGTCACAGTCGCCGACAAGCTCTCAGAAAGCGGCGCATCAGTACTCCTAGTCGAGCGTGGTCAGGCAACCACTGGTCAGTGGGGCGGCAACAACAAGCCTCAATGGCTGGACAACACTGGCTTAACATTCTACGACGTCCCTGCTCTGGATGACCAGATCTGGACTAAGGGCGGTGACTTCACAAACGACATCTTCTGTCCCGACATTGTCGGTGGAATCTCAGGATGTGTTCTTGGAGGTTCGGGTGCTATCAACTCTGGTCTTTGGTGGAAGCCTACATCCTGGGACTGGGATACCATGTTCCCCGAGAAGTGGAACAGCACCAACATGGCCAACGTGACCGAGCGCGTTTTCTCGCGTCTGCCAGGCACTGAGGTCCCCTCTCAAGATGATAAACTATACTACCAGCAGGGTGCGGATATCATTGAGGGTGCTCTCGCTGCTGCCAACTGGACTGAGGTCAGCGCCAACAGCGTTCCCGATCAAAAGGACAGAGTCTACTCCAACACTACCTTCATGTTCCAGAACGGTGAGCGCAGTGGACCCATGTCGGTTTACCTCGGATCGGCTTACCCTCGCCCTAACTTCTCGCTTTACACCAACGCCATTGTCGAGAGGGTCATCAGAGAAGGCTCGAAGATCACCGGAGTTGAAATCTCCAACACTGCCGATGATGGTTTCAGAGGTACCGTCAAGGCAAACAAGGCTGTTGTACTCGCCGCCGGTGCATTTGGCACTCCCAAGGTCTTGATGAGAAGTGGTATTGGCCCAAGAGATCAGCTTGAGACTGTTCGCAATGCTGAAGGCTCGAAGATGGTCAGCGAGGATCAGTGGATTGACTTGCCCGTTGGTTACAACCTCATGGACAACATCAACACCGACATTGTCATCTCTCACCCTGATGTCGTTTACTACGATTTCGCTGGTCTTTGGAACAACCCCAACCAAGGTGATGTTGACGCTTACCTTAATGGACGCACCGGCATGCTCGCTCAGTCTGCTTCCAACCTCAACCCCATGATCTGGGAAATGCTGAACGGTACCGATGGCCTTCAGGGTCTGCAATGGACTGCCCGCGTCGACACTTCTCTTGACATCAACAACGATGCCAAGCACAACATGGTTCTCGCACAGTACATCACCCTCGGCCAGGCTGCCCGTGGTAGAACCACCATCACTTCTGACCTCAAGATGAACGTCTCATCTCCTGTATCCGTCATGGACCACGAGTCTGACCAGATCGCCATTGCTCAGGGTATCGATGACATGAGAAACATCCTCAAGAACGTCCCTGGTCTTGAGATCCTTTCTCCTGCTGCTGATGTTTCTTCCCTCGATTACGTCAAGTCTACTACTCACTTGTACGTCAACCACTGGTTGGGCAGCTGCAAGATGGGCAACAACGACGGCACCTCGGTCGTCGATGCCGACTCCAAGGTCTACGGCACTGACAACTTATTCATTGCCGACGGATCCATCTTCCCTGGTCAGACCACCTCGAACCCCCAGGCTGCCATTACCATTGTTGGTGAGCGCGTTGCTGAGCTTGTTCTTGCTCTCAACTTGTAAGGAGCTATCGTGACATGGCAATACTCTAGAGCCATATAATACTGTACATAAGACACGAATGATGAAACTAAAAGTACTTCTAAACTTTTCTCGACATGAACTTGGTGATGTTTTGTATTTCGTGGTGGTTGTGAGGCTAGGTTGTCCCTCAGTTTGTATAGTCTGGTGAGCTACGAGGGCGAGTCTATCGGCCCATGCTGTTGATCATTTCACGTTGAGCTGCTCTTTCGCGATTTGCTTCCGAGAGCGGCGGTATGCTTCTCAGATCGCCAACAACGTCCTTTGCCTTGCCGAAGTAGACTTCCTCTGTTTGTGATGCATTAGTAACTGTACGTTTGGTATTGACATGTAGTAAGTGCTCACGTAGCAAGTTGCGCATCTTCAGCTCCATGTCCTCGACGAGTTTGCCAACATTGGCGACGTGAGTCTCGTCGGCATCGACGGGCATGTCTGATTCCACTTGTCTGGTCATGTTCCCGGCGAGATCGAGACTGCCCAGAGCATCACCCTTTGTGCCGAGGTTCAGGATGACGGTAGATGTGAGCTTGTACTTTGCGGTGCGGCCACGCTCGGCGACCTCGAGAACGTGAATGCTGTCCCAAGCTCCCGACGCAGCAGTCTGGGAAGATGACTTTTTGAGCAGCACGACACCCGCAAAGCCATCGTCTAGGTTCCAGAGGTAGACTGATGAGGTACCACCTTCGTAGTATCTGTTGTCCCGTCTCAGCACATTGATCTTCTGTATCACTCTTTCTCTTTTCGACTCACAGCTCGCGGTAGACATCAAAAGCTTCGTTTGCGCGGACTTCCAAGCGACGGACACGTTCGGAGCTCATCTCGGCGTCGTCGACAGGAGGGTCGAACTCGTTGCTCCAGGGGCTGCGGTAGCTGTCGCCATCACGGTTGTAGTCGCAGAGAAGGTAGTCGCGACCAGTCTTCTTACAACGACGGACTTCGAGAGGTTGATCTACCGAGGCGAGCAGTTCTTCCTCATGTTCGGGGACCAGGCTGCAGATGGCCGAGAGGTTGGCGGCTGTGTTCTTTGGGTTGAGGCGTCGGAGGAGATCGCTGTTGGGATTCTATGATTAGTAAATTGTACTGAGGTTAAGAAAGGTGCAAGGCTTACAGCGCACTGTCGAATTGGTCTGCCATGATTGCCAATGCGCGTGTATATGGCTATAAGAGCACTGGTGTTGTTGCTTGGGTCGGCATCGTGACGGGGTCCAAGCACTCCCCCACGTCAGTGACTTCCGTTTCAAGAGCTTCGCCGCAGCCTCCTCCGCCCCTTCTTGTATTTATCCCATGTCTGTAACTAGTTCCCATTCTGCATCTTCAAGCCGGAGCAATCGCGATGTCCTTGTAAGATTAGAGTCCTACATAGTCACTTGCACTTCCAGCGAACGATAGTCAAGTACATGTCCTTCAGATATTCATATATGCCAGTCGCGTTCATATCCTTGCGGGGTCAAGTTTGTTGCACAAGACCATGTGTTCCAGCTCGGGCTGAGTGGCTCATCGTGCCTGCCTCGCTGATATCCGTCAATTCGTCTGTTTATAATGACAATTATATCCTGTCCGAGAAGGAGCAGACCATCCGCATGTCGGAGCACGCCGTAGACCGGGGCGAGCCAGAGCACCCCGCCAATCAGCAACTGCCATCCAAGACTCCACGCTTCAGCTCCAGGAGACTTTGGAGATAAGTCGTTAAATGGTCAACCTTACTTGTTGCTTTTGACCTTTCTGGCTGGACTCTATCGTCTTCTTCCCTCGAATTATATATACTGGACGTTCCGGGTATCCGACTGAGGCTTCTGTTTGATTTCGCTTCTTGTCTTGTCTTCTTATTTGCCTTATCTTTGACAACGTTCAACTTGAATCATCATGATTATGTCGACGACCAACGGACATACCTCTGGACAGACGATTTACTTGGGTGCATTTGCTCATTGCACCGCTCTTCAGGAAGTCGAGATTTGCGAGGCCGGAGCTATTGGTGTCGATTCAGATGGCAAGATTGCATTCATCGAGCGAGACATTGGAGACATTCCAGCATATCAACTACGTGAGCGAAAGGAAGGCTGGGAGCATGCAAAATTCGTCCAAATACAAGACCAAGGTTTCTTCTTCCCTGGCTTCATAGGTGATTACGATCAATCTCTACCAAGGAAGGTACCCCTGGCTAACGCAGTTGCCCAAAAGATACACACATTCACGCTTCTCAATATCCAAACTCTGGCATCTTCGGGAAATCAACATTATTGGACTGGCTAAACACATACACTTTCCCACTGGAGTCGTCATTCACAGATCTGACAAAGGCTCGACGCATCTATGCTCGCGTCGTCAATCGCACTCTATCTCACGGCACAACAACAGCCTGTTACTATGCAACCGTGCACGTAGAAGCCACAAACCTTCTCTCCGACATATGTCTATCGAAAGGCCAACGTGCATTTGTCGGCCGCGTCTGTATGGACCAATTAAGCCCAGACTACTACCGTGACGAAAGCACCGAAGCAGCAATTGAAGCAACAGAAGCCTGCATCGCACACGTCAGCAAAATCGACCCAAAACACCACTTCATCACCCCAATAATCACGCCTCGCTTCGCACCTAGCTGTAGTGAAGGATGTCTAAGTGCTCTGGGTAAATTGGCCAAAGAAACCGGTCTTCCCATCCAAACGCATATTTCAGAAAACAAATCCGAGATTGAATTGGTGGCGGAGATGTTCCCGAGCAGTAAGTCATACACCGATGTCTATGACAAGGCTGGACTGCTCAACTCAAAGACTATTCTCGCACATGCCGTTCACTTGACACCTGAAGAGCGTGCATTGGTTCGTTCTCGTGATGCAAAGATCAGTCATTGTCCAGCTTCCAATACAGCATTGACATCTGGAGCGGCGCCTGTACGTGTTCTACTCGACGAAGGTCTCACGGTTGGTCTCGGAACAGACGTCAGTGGAGGGTACAGCCCCAGCATCTTGGAGGAGGCCCGTCAAGCTATCTTGGTGAGCAGACATGTGGCCATGGTCGATGGTGATGCCGCGAAGCTGAGCACAGAAGAAGCTCTATGGCTAGCGACGCGAGGTGGTGCCAAAGTAGTGGGCCTGGAGAATCGTGTCGGTGGCTTCGAGGTCGGCATGGATTGGGATGCCCAAATGATCAGTTTAGACGTTGTTAGCGAAGACGGCGAGCTGGAAGACGCCCAGAACAAAGGGCCCGTTGACGTGTTCATGTGGGAGAGCTGGCCAGACAGAATCAACAAGTGGTTCTACGGTGGAGATGACAGGAACACCGCAGCAGTGTGGGTAAAAGGTCGCTTGGTGCATGCAACCCCAAAGTACAGAGGTTAATGATAAGACGACTTGGTCACTACCAATAGAAGATGCTCAGATAGATAATCTTGAAAGAGCTGGAAATCCAGCGTTGGAATTTAGAACCACAATTATATACACCACCCACTAAAATTCAATACGGCATGGGTCTTGAACAACCAAATGTCCAAGGGATATAGTCCTTCTTAAAGCGTGTTTCCCCCGAAAAATCGCCAAAGAAAATAAAACAACCCTTGATATTCGTCCTCTACAAGTTTAAACAGACCCCTCTTTTGTTTGGGGTATCTCATCTATGCCGCGGGTGCGGGCTTGCTGCCATCGTCGTTAACATAACTCTCCCAGTTGGCAAGAATGTTGCCAATCTTGGGTGAGTTGGTCAGGCGGTACACATCCTCAAAGTACTCCTTGGTGATCTCGAATGGCCTGGCGGTGACGTTGGGAATGTATTTGCCAACGAGCTTGCTGGGATCGATGCTTGTCTTGTTGATCTTCTTGAGCAAGAAGGAACGGAAAGGCTTGACACCTGAACGCAGGAAGGTACTGTGGAATGGCACATCGATACCCTTGAGAGGGATAGTGGCGAAACCACGCTGGAGGTCCAGAGGCTTAGGCTTGGCCTCAGTCTGCTCCGCACATCCCTTGATGATCTCGACGAGATGGCTCTTGACGTCCTCGAGAGACATGGTCTGCATCAAAGATTGAATGTCAATCTTCTGTACCTTGAGGTAGTTGAGAACGTTGGCCAAGCAGTCCAGCGCACGCAGATCACCAGCGGCGACGTACTGCATGTTGGCGATGTTGTAGTTGACGATCTCGAGAAGCCATGTAGTGGTCTCGGCGATGTTTTCAACGACGTATTGCAGAGCCTGCTCAGTGAAGGTCTTGCCAATACGCGAAGGGTTGACAGCGCACATGGAGTAGTTTGAGCGACCGGCCTCATCACGCTCGACAGCAACTTGCATGGTCAGACCACGGTAGAACACAACCGAAACCAAACTCTCGATGGGCATGACCTCAGCCATGGCAGCGAGAGCAGAGTATTCTCCGAGAGAGTGACCTGCGAAAGTGCTGTCACGTTGCACAAGACCCTTGGAGCGCATGTCCTCGAAGGAGGCCTTCTCCATAAGGGTAAGTGCAGGCTGTGTGAATTGAGTAGCCGACAGCAGACCAGTTGGCGAGCGGTAGGTGTATGATGTGGTAGACTCGTTGACCTCCTTAAAGATCTTCTCTGACTTGATGCTTCCATCGGCGGCAACGGTCTCGAAGGTCATCGACATGTAGTTCTGGCGAATGGCCTTACCACGAGGGCCACCGAAGTGAACAGTCATCTCGTTAGGGTTGTTCTTGACAATGTTGGTGATGGCGAAACCATAGTTGTCGAGGAAGTGCTTGTCTGCTCTATCCCAGACTTCCTTGGCGACAGGACTGCTTGCGTAAAGCTCCATACCCATGCCCTGTTCTTGAGAACCTTGACCAGTGAAGACGTAGGCAGAAACAGGCTGCTCAACTTCTGCCTCACCAATAAGAACCTTGTCCTCGGTCTCCTTGTTGCGTGCCTCGACGGTAATGATCTTGCGACCAGAAACCATACCAATGTGCTGCAGGGTGACCTGGATAGTGTCGTTGGGAAGAACCATGCCAACAAGGTTGACGTGGAAGCTGCGAACGCGACCAACGTTGTTCTCGGCAGCCCAAGTCTCAACCAGACTTCTGACGGCAGCACTCGAGTACATACCGTGAGTAATGGTGCCAGGAAGGTTGGCGTACTTGGAGAAGACACGAGAAACGTGAATGGGGTTGTAATCACCCGATACCTTGGCGTAAGTCTCGTTGGATGCGGGTGCCTTGAGCTCAAGAGGGGTCTTGCCGTTCAATGGGATAGGGTTCTCGAAGTTGACAGGCTGATCAATGGCAGAACCGTGACGCTCAAGGTAGTCGATGACAGGGTTTCCGTGCGAGACACCAGCTTCGTATTCGACCGAGGCGAGTTGGATGATCTCCTTGCTAGGCAGCTCAATCTCAACCTGGCCAACAGTCTCGACAGTGCTGAAGACGTTCTCATTCTTGTAGCGCACCAAGCTTTGCAGGCGGAAAGTGATAGTCTGACCAAGAAGATCGATCTCGGTGTCCTCAAGACGGAACCATTCCTTTGACTGGAGGACTGCAACATCCTTGCTGGTGGCAAGAGTGATCTGCATAGGCTTCTCGGTCTTTCTTTGGAAAGTGTTCTCGAAGTCAGTGTAAGCACCGCGGTACAAGAACTGACTGGTGACCTCCATAACGGGCTTGCCATCACGGGTAATGGTACCGCAAACCTCGACCATCTTGCCAGAAGCCTGGTTGATCACAGCGTTGACCTCGGCAGTGGTGTCGAGGACATCGCCCTTCTTCAGAGGAGCAGCGCCAGGAATCATACGGAAGCCGTTGGAAAGGTGAACGAGCTTGAGGAGGTCACCATCGATCTTGCGAGGGAAGATAGGCTTGGTGATAGCCTTCCATCCGACAACAATGGCGAAGTCCATAGGAGCAAAGACCTCCTTACCGGGACGATCGACAAAGGCCTCGCCGGTGTTGCCGACAGCGTGAACGAAGTCATTGATGGCCTCGCTGGTAACAGTGGCTCTGCCACCATCGAAGCGAGAGGTGACAGGGGTGTCGAAGGGAACGTCAGCATCGCCGAACCAGATCTTGTAGTAGAACTCCTTGATGCGGTCGTTACGAGCATCCATGACCTCTCTGATTGGGGCGTAACCAGTCTCAGGGTGGTATGTGAACTTCAAGGGCAAAGCGACAGGCGAGTGAGTGGCGGAACGCTCCTCAATGAGCTTGACGGTAATCTCGTTGTTGGCGATAGGACCAATCTCGATAGTTTGGACGAATTTGCCACTTGAGGTAGGCTCCTTGACAGTGATAACAGTCTTGCTGGGATCGTTGGGGTAGTTGATCTCGACCATCATACCGGGAGCAGGTGCAAAAATGCGCTGCATAGGGTTGGTGTTGAATCTCTGACCTTGAACAAAAACGTCTGCAGTGAAGAAAGCGTGTCTCCATGAGTACGTCTTGCCAGCAAGCAGAGACAACCACGAGTCTGACTTGGGAAGAGCTGCACTGGGCGAGGCAGAGAGGCGGTAGATGGTCTTGTTGTTGAGCTCGGATACGGTCAAACCCTCAACATCAATCTCATCGCTGGCCTCGACGAGCTTTCCACCGAAGTACTCGACAACGGGGATCTTCGACTCATCGCCACCGTAAAAGTCTCTGAGCAGGTACTGAATGTGACCCTCGTGAACACCGTCAAGAATCTCCTTGATAGGCTCATCGACCTTGGTGGAGTACTTGACAGCCATGGGACCCTGGAGAATACAGGTTCTGCCAACATCCTCGCCAACAACAGCAGCAAGATCCTCAGACTGCCAGAGAGAGTCCTTCTTGAAGAAGAACTCGAAGCTGCCATCGAGAGCAGGCACGAATGGCACAGGCTTCTGTCCACGTCGCTGGCAGAGCTGGATGAAGTGTTGGACATCTTGAGCGTTGATAAGCTGCTTGTCGGCCTCAGGATAAGCAGCTACGAATTTCTCGACGACAGCGAAAGGCTCGTTCATCTCGGCGTAGTTCTGGACGAGCGAGCTCTTATTGGCAGCGGTGGTGAAACGCTCCTCGACACGACGGATGAAGTCGACGGTGAGTCTGGCGAGAGAGGGATCGATCCATCTCTTCTCCTTCTTCACGTACATCAACTCAACCATGCGGTGGACAACCTCGGCGTAGGTCATGTCTTCAAGGTCAACAGAGACACCGGCAGAGTTACGACCAAACCAGACCTTCTGGAAGTCATCGTTGAGCTTCTTGATGATGTGGTCGCGGTTCTTCTTGAGCTCAGGAATACGCTTGGCCTTGTCCAGAGAAAAGATCTTCTGATCCATCTCGGCCCAGAACTTGACACCGCGGGTGGCGAGCTTGTGAATGGGCTCGCCCATCTCAGAGCGAACAGTGATGACACCACCAGCCTCACCCTTGTAAGTCTTCTCCCAATCAGCATCGTCGAGACCAGGAGCATCAACGATAGCCTGCTTGGCAGCAGGAGCAGTCTTAGCCTCCTTAGCGACCATGACACGACTGCCGAAAAGAACACCATCGAAAGGCATAGGAGGATATCCGAACTTGCTTGCCCATTGACCAGTGAGGTAAGGGTAGGTATCCTCGGCAGCACCGAAACCACTTCCGGCAATGAGGACGAGGTTGGGACACTTGCGAATTCTGCCATACATCTGGAACATAGGCTGGTGGAAGTCCTCGAAAGAGTGGTGACCACCACCACGACCACCAGTCCACTGCATGATGACAGGGAAACCAGGGTTGGCCTTTGCAATGTTGATACACGACTGGATGGCCTCAACCGAACCAGGCTTGAATGCAATACGCTTGATGCCCAGAGTCTGGATGTACTCGTTGGCAACCTCGATAGAAGGAACACCAGCACCAATGGTGAGGGACTCGATCGGAACGCCGTCAGCACGCAGTCTGGCGATCATGGGGATCTGCCATGCCATAGCTTGAGGGCTGACATAAATCAGGTTAATCGAGATACCACGGCCAGCAGGAATGGACTTCTCGATCTTGGCGATGGCCTCGGTCATCTTGGCATCAGTGAAGTAGCCACCACCAGCCAGTTCGATCTCGTAACCAGCGTTCATGGTGGCAGAGACAAAGTCTGTAACGACAGTGCAAGGAGTCATACCAGCAACCATGACAGGAGGAAGACCAAGCATGCGACTCATCTTGGTGTCAACAAAGGTCTGGCCGGCTGAAGTACGGGCAAGCTTAGGGCCATGCTCCTTGACCCAGTCGACGGCGTACTTGACGGCGTGTTCGGCGTCGCGGTCGAAGATTTCCGGCTTATACCCAACTTCGACGTTGGTGCCGTCCATGGTGCCGGCAAGAATGACACGGACACCAGTTCCATCCTTGTTGCGGTTGGTGAGAACACCAAGACCGGAGATACCGCCAGGACCGAAGTCGAGAACATGGGTGGCTCTAGGGAAAACAGTTGCGGTCTCCCAGTTGACTGAGTCTTGGGTGATCATACGCACGAGATGAGGGACAATGTTGTCGGCGCTCTCCTGGCTGATATCCTTGCCAGTGTTGGTGTCGAAGAGCGGGATACCAAGATCGGAGCTGGGGATAACGATATCCTTGAGGTCCTCCTGGAGGTGGGCATCTGCCTCGGCGAGGTACTTGCTGTGGAAGGGGGCGGTAATGGGGAGGAAACGGTTGACGAAGCGGACCTTGCGGTCGGTGAAGGGGATGCGGCTTTGGTCGAGACCAGTAGGAGCCTTGACTTTGCGGAGGCGAAGGTTGAGACCGTAGAGCGACATGGGAGGACCAGTTACAACAAAGTTGCGAGCGCTGTTGACAAGTGAGATGGCAATGTGGCGGTCTTCGGGAAGATGCTGGTTGGTAGCATCAATGTGGGTCTGGACAGCCTCACGGGTGAGGTCGCGGATGGACAGCATGGGAGTGGGAGTTCCCTCGCCGCTGTCAATAGAGTCCTGGAGGGTTGAGGGAGCCAACGAGGTACGGGGGTATGCCTGCTGACTGCGCGAGCCGATCCAGAACAGAATCGAGAGGGCATCTCTTGAAGCCTTGTCGAAAGTTTCCCAACTCTTAGACGCAGCGATGGCTGCGGCAGTCACAACACCCTGGGAGTGACCGGTGGTACCGCTGAGTCTGTCGCGCACATTTCCGGGGTGTGTGCCAAGGACTCTGCAGGTCACGACAAAGTGTGCGAGCTGTGTGAGACCGATCAGGGGGAGACTGACGGGTGCTGAAACGAGGTAGTCGATGTCGGGCTGGGCGTCCTTGTTGTGCAACCAGCGCATGACATCCAGACCCTTGGGGTAGAGCTTCTCGACCTGGGGCTCTCTGGACAGCGTCTGCAAGTGTGCAGCTGCCGCAGTGATGAAGTCCTCGACAAATGAGGGGTAGGTGGTGTAGATTTCTCTCAACTCTTCGAAGTACTCCTCGATGTTGCCCTGGCCACCGAAAACGGCGTAGATGAAGGCGTTCTCGTCAGCAGCCTCGCGCAACAGAGCCGACTCATGAGACTTGATCGGCCTGCTGACGGCAGCTCTGGCGGCGTAGTACGACGAAACAGTGGCGAGCTTCTTCTCGTAGATGCCGGGCAGAGAAGCGGCGATGGCGTGGACCTCGTTTCCACGGAGGAAGGCACGCTCGAACTCGTGGAGGACAAGCTTGAGCACCTCCTCAAAGGAGCCCGGGTCATCGCCCTCGTCGCACTCGCGGGCGACAAAGCCAATGTAGCGGGCTACAAGCTCGGTGACAGATGAAGGCTCATCATCTTGAGCAAGCTCGTCTGTGGGTGTGGGAAGAGTGGCGATGAAGGCATCCTTAAGTTGCGAAGCGCTGAAGTGGAGAGCAGTGGGTATTAAAAACGAGTACTCGAGAGAGCCGTGCGAAAGGATAAGAGGGCGAGAAACAGCCTGAGAACGGGGTGTCGAGACACCGGTCTGTGAGCCGGAGCCGTACATGATGAAGAAAAGCTGTATACGTGACCGCTGGAGACAACAGCTGGTCAGCAGGAGGTTGAAAAAATGGTAGAGAAATTAATGCGGGGGTGCCGGGGGTTTGAGAGGCAACCTCGACGGCGCATTCAATTCAAAGACAAGGGCCAATTCAGAAGGCAGCGGCAATTGAGCATGATTGAGCTTACCTAGGAGTCTCACGAAGCAACGTGGCAGCGAGAAAAAGAAGGACAATTGGCCTCGTGACAAATTCGAAGCAACTAAAGTGCAGGCAACAGCTCCGCGAACAGACTAGACTCCCTCGGGGAAGAGAGTAGAGCTGGAGGGGAGTAAGGTGCAGCTGGTCTGAGTAAGGATTGAGATGCCAGACAGCAAGAGGAGGATGGGAGTGAGGAGGGCAATGGAGGGAAGGCGGCGATTCGGGTGGTGTAGGAAAGTGGCCTTTCTTTACGAGATAGCTTGAGCCCTGTCTGGCGGAGGTGAAGTTTGAGCGTGCGGCAAGTCAGACCAGGGGTGACCGGCTCTCTGCCGGTGGGCCCTTTAGCGCCGAAGTAATATGCACCTGGAACGCGTGCTTCGAAATGTTCCTCCCCAACTGTCTACCTAAATTGTTGACTCAACATGTTGAGCATGCAATGCCGGCCTCCCCGGTTATTCACAGGCTGCAGTGTAAGACTCGGGCTATCTACACGACCGCATTGCGCGCTCGAACAGGCATACGTCGGCCAAACGGACGTGGGACGCAGGGAAAAGCAACAATTAGATGAAGCCTCAAATTCCAATCTCTACCGCACTAGCTCCCGCGCTCTAAAAGTTGTGGCTTGGCACGACCGCTCACCGAATTCTAGAGGACAGCAGTCGCGACAGAAAATTGAAGAGGCCAGTCAGCAATCGTATCATTATTTGTGCCTCATCTCAACCTCTGCACGTTGGTATCAACTCCCCTCACCAGCCTCCGAGTGCGTGGTACAGCCTTACTCATCCTTCTTCTTGCTCCTCGACGCTTTCTCGGTCTATTGATCATCGAAGGTGCCCGAGCATTTCCACGCAGCTCTTGAAGCTAGCTGACCCTTCTTTCTTCTCCGCACTCTGAGAGCATTGAAGTTCTATTCCTCACTTTCATCTCCTGTCTCGTCTCGCTCCGACGCTCCGCGAGACCTCTCTCTCTCCCTCTTCCATCTTTTTTCAATCGCTCGTTCGGTTGTACATTCTTTGTAATTTGCTGTTTGCTGTTTCTCTCTCGCCATCATGCGTCCCGAGGTCGAGCAGGAGCTCGCCCACACGCTCCTTGTCGAACTTCTCGCATACCAGTTTGCCTCGCCCGTGAGATGGATTGAGACACAAGATGTCATTCTCGGCGAGAAGACCACCGAGCGTATTGTCGAAATCGGTCCCGCAGACACCCTTGGTGTTATGGCCAAGCGCACACTCGCCTCAAAGTACGAAGCCTACGATGCAGCAAGATCAGTGCAAAGACAGATTCTGTGCTACAACAAGGACGCAAAAGACATCTACTACGATGTTGACCCCGTTGAGGAGGAGGAGGCTGCTCCGGCACCCGCTGCTGCTGCCGCTGCTCCCTCCGCTGGCTCTGCAGCACCCGCCGCCGCAGCAGCACCCCCACCACCGAGTGCTGGCCCGGCAGCGTCAGTTGCAGATGCACCTGTTGGTGCCGTGGATATCTTGAGAACATTAGTAGCCCAAAAGCTGAAGAAGCCGTTGGGCGACATTCCCCTTAGCAAGGCCATCAAGGACTTGGTTGGAGGTAAGCAGACTCGGTCTCGAGCGATTCTAGTGTACAATCTCTAATCAAACTCCCTTGCAGGTAAATCAACACTCCAGAACGAAATTCTCGGTGACCTCGGAAAAGAGTTTGGCTCAACACCTGAAAAGCCAGAAGACACACCACTCGATGAGCTGGGTGCTTCTATGCAGGCCACCTTCAATGGTCAGCTCGGCAAGCAGTCTTCTTCGCTCATTGCCCGTATGGTGTCCTCCAAGATGCCTGGTGGCTTCAACATCACCGCAGTCCGCAAGCATCTCGAGACACGATGGGGTCTTGGCTCCGGTCGTCAGGATGGTGTACTCTTGCTGGCATTGACACAAGAGCCTCCTGCTCGTCTGGGTTCTGACAACGATGCTAAGGCATGGTTGGACACCGTCACAAATGCCTACGCCACCCAAGCCGGAATCAGCCTTGCCGCGCCCACCGCTGCTGGTGGTGACGGTGCTGGTGCAGGCGGTATGATGATGGATCCCGCCGCGATCGATGCCCTCACCAAGGACCAGAAGGCCTTGTTCAAGCAACAACTCGAGCTCTTCGCACGTTACCTCAAGATGGACTTGCGCGCCGGCGACAAGGCCGCTGTTACCGCTGCCTCCAACAACACTGCTCTCCAGGCCCAGCTTGACCTGTGGAATGCCGAACACGGTGACTTCTACGCTGCTGGTATCGAGCCCTCATTCAGCCCCCTCAAGGCCCGTGTCTACGACTCGTCATGGAACTGGGCTCGTCAGGACGCACTCAGCATGTACTACGACATTATCTTCGGCCGCTTGACCGCTGTTGACCGCGAGATTGTCAGCCGCTGTATCCAGATCATGAACCGCTCTAACCCCAAGCTTCTCGACTTCATGCAGTACCACATCGACCACTGCCCTACCGAGCGCGGTGAGACTTACGAGCTCGCCAAGGCTCTCGGCCAGCAGCTCATCGACAACTGCAAGGATGTCCTCGACGTCGCCCCTGTCTACAAGGATGTCAATGTCCCCACCGCCCCTCAACTCACCATTGACGCTCGTGGTAACATGAACTACGAGGAGGCACCCAGACAAGCTGTTCGCAAGCTTGAACACTACGTCCGCGAGATGGCTGAAGGTGGCAAGATCTCTGAGTACGGAAACAGGACCAAGGTTCAGAACGACCTCCAGCGCGTCTACAAGCTCATTCGCCAGCAACACAAGCTCACCAAGTCATCGCAACTGCAAATCAAGCAGCTTTACAGCAACATCATCCGTTCGCTGTCGATGAACGAGGGCCAGATTATGCCTACCGACAACGGTAAGAAGGGCCGCAAGGGTCGCGCCAACGGTCAGCTAAAGGCCGGCAAGGTTGAGACCATTCCCTTCTTGCACTTGAAGCGAAAGGAAGAGCACGGATGGGAGTACAGCAAGAAGCTCACCGGTGTCTACCTCGAGGGTCTTGAGGATGCTGCCAAGTCTGGTGTCACTTTCCAGGGCAAGCACGCTCTCATGACCGGTGCTGGTGCTGGTTCTATCGGTGCTGAGGTCCTCCAGGGCCTGATCAGTGGCGGTGCCAAGGTTGTTGTCACTACCAGTCGCTTCTCTCGTGAAGTCACCGAGTACTACCAGTCCATGTACACCCGCTACGGTGCCAAGGGCTCTCAGCTCATCGTTGTGCCTTTCAACCAAGGAAGTCAGCAAGATGTCAATGCTCTCGTCGACTACATCTACGACGAGAAGAAGGGTCTCGGATGGGACCTTGATTACATCGTTCCTTTCGCTGCCATTCCCGAGAACGGTCGCGAAATTGACAATATTGACTCTAAGTCTGAGCTCGCTCACAGAATCATGTTGACCAACTTGCTCAGAATGCTTGGCGGTGTCAAGGCCCAGAAGGCCGAGCGCGGCTTCGAGACTCGCCCTGCCCAAGTCATCCTTCCTCTCTCTCCCAACCACGGTACCTTCGGTAACGATGGTCTCTACTCCGAGTCCAAGCTTGCTCTCGAGACTCTGTTCAACAGATGGCACTCTGAGAGCTGGGGCTCCTACCTTACCATTTGCGGTGCTGTGATTGGCTGGACTCGTGGTACTGGTCTCATGGGTGGTAACAACATTGTTGCTGAGGGTGTCGAGAAGACTGGCGCTCGTACTTTCTCCCAGCAAGAGATGGCTTTCAATATCTTGGGTCTTATGGGACCTGCCATTGTCGACCTCTGCCAAGAGGAACCTGTCTTCGCTGATCTCAACGGTGGTCTTCAATTCCTGCCCAACCTTAAGGAGCTGATGACCAAGCTTCGCAAGGACGTCACTGAGACCAGCGAGATTCGCCAGGCAGTCACTCGTGAGACTTCAGTCGAGAACAAGATCGTTCACGGTGAGAGCCACGAAGCCCTCTACAAGAAGGTCACTGTCCAGCCTCGCGCCAACTTGAAGTTCGACTTCCCCAATGTTCCTGATTGGGAGTCTGAGGTTAAGCCCCTCAACGACAACCTCAAGGGCATGGTCGATCTTGAGAAGGTCGTCGTCGTCACCGGTTTCTCCGAGGTCGGTCCTTGGGGTAACTCCAGAACTCGTTGGGAGATGGAAGCCTATGGCGAATTCTCTCTCGAGGGTTGTGTTGAGATGGCCTGGATTATGGGTCTGATCAAGAACCACAACGGCCCTCTCAAGGGCAAGAGCTACGCTGGTTGGGTTGACGCCAAGACTGGTGAGCCCATCGATGACAAGGACGTCAAGTCCAAGTTCGAGAAGCACATTCTTGACCACTCCGGTATTCGTCTTATCGAGCCTGAGCTCTTCAACGGTTACGATCCCAACAAGAAGCAACTTCTGCAGGAGATTCAGATCCAGGAGGACCTTGACCCCTTCGAGACCTCCAAGGAGACTGCCGAGGAGTTCAGCCGCCAGCATGGCGAGAACGTTGAGATCTTCGAGATCCCCGAGTCTGGTGAATACCAGGTTAGACTGAGAAAGGGTGCTACCCTCCTCATTCCCAAGGCTCTCAGATTCGACCGTCTTGTTGCTGGTCAGATTCCTACTGGTTGGGACGCCCGCAAGTACGGTGTTCCCGAGGACATCATCGGTCAGGTCGACCCTGTCACTCTCTACGTGCTCGTCTGTACCGCAGAGGCTCTCTTGTCCTCTGGTATTACCGATCCCTACGAGTTCTACAAGTACGTTCATATCTCGGAGGTTGGTAACTGTATCGGATCCGGTATCGGTGGTACCACCGCTCTCCGTGGCATGTACAAGGATCGCTTCCTGGATAAACCTCTCCAGAAGGATATTCTTCAAGAGTCTTTCATCAACACCATGTCTGCTTGGGTCAACATGTTGTTGATGTCCTCCACTGGTCCCATCAAGACCCCTGTCGGTGCTTGCGCTACTGCTGTCGAGTCTATCGATATTGGTTACGATACCATTGTTGAGGGTAAGGCCAGAATGTGCTTCGTCGGTGGTTTCGATGACTTCCAAGAGGAGGGCTCGTACGAGTTTGCCAACATGAAGGCTACCAGCAACGCCGAGGATGAGTTTGCACACGGCCGTACTCCCAAGGAGATGTCGAGACCTACCACCACTACCAGAAATGGCTTCATGGAGTCTCAAGGCTGTGGTATGCAGGTCATCATGGACGCCAGACTTGCGCTTGACATGGGTGTTCCGATCTACGGTGTCCTTGGCTTCACTGCTACTGCCACCGACAAGATTGGTCGCTCCGTTCCCGCTCCTGGCAAGGGTGTCTTGACAACTGCTCGTGAGGATACCTCCAAGTTCGCCTCGCCTCTCCTTGACATCAAGTACCGCAAGAGACAAATGGACGCTCGCAGAAAGAACATCAAGACTTGGCAAGAGTCTGAGCTTATGTATCTGCAAGAGGAAGTTGCCGCTATGCAAGCCGAGAACTCAGAGTTCGACGCAGCTGAGTACATGGAGGACAGAGCCCAGTTCATCGAGCGCGAAGCTAAGCGTCAAGAGAAGGATGCCTTGTACAGTCTCGGCAACAACTTCTGGAAGCAGGACCCTCGCATCGCTCCTCTTCGTGGCGCACTTGCTACTTGGGGTCTTACCATCGATGATCTGGATGTCGCTTCTTTCCACGGTACCTCTACTGTGGCCAACGACAAGAACGAGTCCGATGTCATCTGCCAACAGATGGAGCACCTCGGCCGTAAGAAGGGCAATGCCCTTCTCGGTATCTTCCAGAAGTACCTGACTGGTCACCCCAAGGGTGCCGCCGGTGCATGGATGTTCAACGGCTGTCTGCAGGTTCTCAACTCTGGCATTGTCCCTGGTAACCGCAACGCCGATAACGTGGACAAGATCATGGAGAAGTTCGATTACATCGTCTACCCCAGCAGAACCATCCAGACCGATGGTGTCAAGGCCTTCTCGGTCACCTCCTTCGGCTTCGGTCAGAAGGGTGCTCAGGCTATTGGTATCCACCCCAAGTACCTGTTTGCCACTCTTGACCAGGCAGAGTTCCAGTCTTACAAGACCAAGGTCGAGGCCAGACAAAAGAAGGCTTACCGCTACTTCCACGACGGTCTCATCAACAACACCATGTTCCGTGCCAAGGACAAGTCTCCTTACGAGGACGACCAGATGAACACCGTCTTCTTGAACCCCAGCGCTCGTGTGTCGCAGGATAAGAAGACTGCTCAGCTCACATTCTCTGCCACACCCGAGAAGCCTGCTCGTGATGCCAACACCACTCAGATGGTCGAGTCACTGCTTAAGATCAACTCCACTGGCAACAGCAGCCCTGGTGTCGATGTTGAGACCATTGACGCTGTTAACATCGAGAACGAGACCTTCCTCGAGCGCAACTTCACTCAGCAAGAGATCGACTACTGCCGCAAGGCTCCCAACCCCCAGGCCAGCTTCACTGGCAAGTGGTCCGCCAAGGAGGCAGTCTTCAAGAGCTTCAAGGTCGCCTCGCGCGGTGCCGGAGCCCCTCTCAAGGACATTGAGATTGTGAACGATGAGAGCGGTGCTCCCACTGTTGTCCTCCACGGCGATGCCAAGGCTGCCGCCGAACAGAAGGGCATCAAGAACACCACTGTCAGCATCAGCCACAGTGATGCTCAGGTCATTGCCGTTGCCATTTCTTCGCAGTAGATGGAATCTCAGGATCAGGTTCTCGATAAACAGCACTATAAAGGGTGTATGAAGGGGAGGCGCATGACACAATACCACATTTTGTAATTAGGCACAGGAGTTTTGCTTGACATCTGGGTATCTTGAGTTCACGAGTAAATTCTCAGCTTTTCCCAATCTATACTGTACCGTACTGTAACAATAGCTACTACACTTTACTAAATATTCTATATCATCTGACGTAGTTTGCATAATCGATAAGAAGCTGTTGCCATCCAAGACATCAAGGTGGTTCGACCACGGAACACGATTAGCCTATCTCTGGTGGCACAGTAACATGCAGGCCCCATCATCTTCAACAATGCCATGTGCCGTTTTCAACCAAAAATCCTTCTCAACCACGACATTGTTGATTATGATGTTGAGGAGGGGTTTCTCAAAGACGTGCATGATGCAGAGAGCTGAGCTGTCATTCTGCAGCTATCACGCGTTTCTGCATGTCAACTGTAGGGGTACGTTCAACGGCGCTTGTAGAGAGACAACCCTGGCACTTGGGATTGTATGTGTCTCGCTCAACCATTATGTTCCCAAGACTGGCGAGGCAAACTGTTCTCACTGCTTTCTTGACGAGCTCCATAGCTTTCGAGACATTGGACTTGAGAGCCAAAAGGTTGCGTCGGGGAGCTCGAGAATGGATGCTGGTTGTTTCAGTCGGAGATAACGGTGTTTCGTATGCGGCTGCTTAGGGAGGCTGGCAAGTGCTTTTGGAGATCTGCACTACGTCAGACCAGCCACGCGCTTGCTGCGTGTGCCATGATCTGAATTATCACTTTCACGCGACTTGCGGGCCATTGATGACGGTGGACCTCACATTTGGGTATGGGGAGATTAGATGCCTCGAAGAGATGAGAGCGACTCACAATGTAAGTCCGCGATTGGAGTTGCAGGACCGAGGACGAGGTGACGCCTTCCTGCTCAAGTCAGTTCAAGAAAGGTAGGAAAAACAAGGCAGGGCACAAGAAGATTCGCGTGAAGTTACGTACATGGGCATTTCCTCTGCCCATCATTCCTTCCCCTTACACCTCTCCCTACACGAATACATAAGCGACAATGACGGCTAGAATAGACGCGGGCGAACCTTTTCTCAAACACCTCAACGTCAGCAAAACACCTTTTATCTTCCTCACAGCCGAGACGGACGACTTTGACGAAGAGACCATTGCTGCATGGCAGGGAGAAGGCTTTGTCACGACATATATCCCGTATGGCGATGGAGGGCGAGAATACGTGGATAGGATGCATGCAGCTCCAGACCAGGTGGTGGGATTGAACGATCAGTACGCCATAGTAGGTTCGTTTTCTTTTCTTCCAACATGACTTCAGCATCGGTCCAGTCCTAATCAATCGTCATTGCAGCATTCGGCGATGCTGCGAGTACTTGCCTTGAAGCCTACGTAAAATCTACACCACGTCTAGCCGCCCTAGTCGCATACTATCCCTCCCGTATCCCGGACCCGCAACAAACGCGATATCCCATGCACACCACCGTACTCGTCCATCTCACAGGCAATGAGATGAAAGTTATCCGAACGCCAGAAGTGCTGGGTATACAGGGCAAGAAGAGAATCATCACAAAGAGAATAGGAGATGGATTAGGTTTGGGTGGAGAGTTGAAGTTGAGCTTCCAGGCATACAAGTATCCAAATGTAGAATCTGGGTTTGCAGAAAGCGATCTCGATGAATTCGACGCTGCTGCTGCTGGTGTCGCTTGGAGTAGAAGTCTGGGGGTTGTAAGGAAGGCTTTACGCCTGGCCTCTGACATCGAGAGAGTAAGAGACGAGCATCTAGAGAGTATGTTTTTTTCCTCTTCTCTCAGGAGAAGATATTGCTGACAGGGAGAACCTTAAACAGACACACGAAAAGGCAACATACAAAAAGCCCTCTCCATCACAAGCTCCAACCCAGCAATCCTCCACACACCCACCCTAACCGGCGGCTTCCACCCCGAAGACATCTCCGACTTTTACACCGAATTCTTCCAACCCTGCCCCTCCTCTCTAAACGCAAAACTCCTTTCCCGCACAGTCGGCGTAGATCGCGTAATCGACGAACTCTCTCTCTCCTTCAACCACAACAAAGTAATCCCCTGGTTACTCCCTGGTATCCCTGCCACCAATCGACGTATAGAAGTAGTGGTGGTAAGCATTGTGTGTATCAAAGCTGGGAAATTGGAGACGGAAAAGTTGTATTGGGATCAGGCTAGTGTGTTGATGCAGGTGGGATTGTTGGATCCGAAAGTTGTGCCTGAGAAGTTCAAGGAGAAGGGGGTAAAGCAGTTGCCCGTCATTGGGGCTGAAAGTGCGAGAGCGGCTGTTAGAGAAGGGAGTAGAAGGATTAATGAGTTGATTGAGGATTGGTGAGAGTTTTGATGTCTAAATGAAGCTACGGCTTTCGATGTCTTGTAATGTGTTGTAGATAGACTATGCTTAGACATGATGTATCCTTGAATGCCTACACGGTCATGCCCGTACTGGTGATCGCCAACTCTGTTCAGTCCCAGACAGAATCACTACAACGTCTGCCACGGCCTTGCCCTCTTCTCTATCTTTCCTGTTCTCTCCTCCTGCTGAGCGTAGTCACAACCGTGAGATAGGAACCATTGACGTGCCTTGGTTTTGACCATGTTCGAGTTGCTGGTCGTAGCACCCTGTCAATATGTTCAACTGCCAGATATCTCACCACCGACGACGACATGGTCATTATTGCCATGCTGTTGGGTTACCGTGGTCCAGATCTAATTCCTTCAGTAGAAAGTACGCACTCATAGCTCGAGACTGTGCGAGATGGTGATGATATGAATAATTTTAGGTTCCAGTTTAAGCATGACTACTACTTCAGGTCACCTGCACTGCATACCCAACTGACCAACTTCTACACTGGACCAGCACAACTGAACGCCGTCGAGGAACCCGAAGCATAGGCATCAACCATTGACTTGACGCTCGAATAAGTGCCCAGAACGCAAGTCACCACCGCACCGAGGAAGAAGACGGCATTCCAAGCCTTGACATACCACCTGCGAGCGAAGAAACCACGGACCCATCTTTTCATACCGTGATCATGTCGTACAGTCTGACCAGTGGCAGGATTGAAGCCTTCACCTTGGTCGGGGCGGATGGCATCGTACTGAATCTGTACTCCTAGCATGAGCAGGGGTGGGAAGGTGTATGTGAATTGGAGAATGCAAAGGGCTGCCACGAGACCAGAGAGTGCGCTGATACCATATTAGCTAAACGTCCGCGAGGTATGTTCCCCAACCAACCCACCTGAATTGAGGAATAGCGGCGGCCAGAATGAATGCGATGCCCCAGTACACTGGAACAATACCGACCCAAAGCAGCTTACCAGCTCTTGTCGTGAGCTCAGGCAGACCAAGAAGTTCCTGGAAGATATTCTGATACATGACTTTGATGCCGATGTTTCCGTACAGCGCTGCCGCGATCAATGCGGTGATGAAAGCAATGATGTTGCCAGCGGTCAACGCTGCTTGAGGGAACATGCCCTGAAATGAGAGTGTCAGCAACTTCTCGCGGTATTCTGAGTACAGAACGACGTACCTGTTGAGCTGGGTTGATCGAGTATTGGCCCTGGTAAGAGTATACATAGATACCAAAGAACAGGTAGACCACGTAGATGAACGTCTCTGCAACGACCAGAGCCTTCCAGAAGTCGAATGGCTTTCGCATCTCGCTCATGAACTCGCAGTAGAGCATAGCACCGCCATAAGAATAGACTGCTTGCATCAAGCCGACGATCTGTCCACTGAATTTGACGGTAGAAGGAGGACCTGCAGTAGTCATGACCGGGGGTGCAGGCGGGCCGACATCGACGCCATTCGAGTTCGATGCGGCTTCATAGTTAGGATGCGTATGAGTGACAACAACCATAGTGAGAATCATGACAACCACATTGAGCCAGACGGCGAAATTGGCGATCCAGCCATACCGCTGCAGGGTACGAACTTGTCCCAGGAGGAAGCCACACACTTATCACACACGTCAGTAAGCATGGCAGAGACCATACGTTCGGTAACTTACATGTCCAGATTACACAACACTATAACTGGTTGTCAGCTTAATGTCTACGGGATACTCGTGACTTCATACACATACCACAATGTAGCAAATGTTGTTGTTGATCTGATACAAGCCTTGACCATTCATGATAATGATGACTCCAACATTGAAGATGAGCTGAATTGCCTGGAGAACATTCATCAGATGGCGCACAATCTGTCCATAGGTTCTGAATGCGATGTCTCCAAAGGTCTTCAGAGGATACTGATCAGAGTCAAGTTGAAGAAACATTTGCCAAATTTGCCAGCCGGTATAGCCTGCTAAAGCTCCGAAAATGGTATACAGAACGATACCCGGACCGTAACCCATCTGGGAGAGAGCCCAACTATAGAATTGTCAGTACATCTGGCTCAAAAATCAATATCCGGAGATCACTTCGTACGGCACGCTGTAAGGACCAAGAACATCTGTCGTGATGAGATAGAAGATAGAACCCCAGGTCGCTGTTCTTGCGGCCCTTGAAGCCTGTAGCCATTCAGCATCTGTCACCACCGCTGACCGGTTATTCGCGGAAGTTTCGAGGTCGCCAAGTTTCTCGTTCGTGACTGCACCCGGCGCCTGTTTCGAGTGACCGTCTCCGTTTGGATCAGTGCCGGTGATAGTAGAGGGAGCAGCATCTCCTTTGCCGAAGCTCAGCAGCTTCTTGACTGGATGTTTGGTAGTTAGAAGGCTTTTCTGCTCTTGACGGGTGATCTTGGCCCAGTAAAGGTATTCTTCGATGGTCACTGAGGGGTCGTGTAGGTTTCTCAACGCCGGCGTCGATAGTTCTGCTATGCCAGGACCCGAGGTACTCATTCGCGGACCGCCATCGATTGTTAAGGCCGCAGGCTGTGCCATTGCTAGGACGCAGACTCGGGATGAAGCCTTGATGCGGAATACAAACTAGTGTGATCAGCCCACGCAGGTGGGCGATGCGACCAATTTATGCAATACACCAGAACTCGGGTCGCAGACTTACATGGGTGGAACGCGGTATGTATATAGATGTGTACCTTGATCTGGATAGGTCACACGATAGGCGATAGCTCCGGATCAGCTCAAATGAACGATGCTCTCCGGCTTGGCCAATTGTAGAATGGAAAGATAATGCCGGCTTGACCAGATTGACGAAGTGATAGGCGGGGAATCGTGACCAGAATATTGATGATGATGTAGCGGCAGCAGCGGCATGGTGTTCGCACCTTCGAACTTCGAAGCGGGCTGATCGGCCTAGCTCATTGAGGAAGGTGGTAGAGCTGTATGTAGGGGGTCCTCTACAGCCCTCACCCACACAACAGGAGCAGGAGCCGCTGATGTGCGGATGCGAGGCTGTTTGATTAGCATCTCTTTCCTTCTACTCGCATGGAGGTTCACCGCCCGCAGCAAGCCTCTTATCACGCTGCATGCAACTCTCCTCTTTTCCTCATCGCATGAGGAAGGACGAGATCATACATGTTGACAATGCCGCTCGCCCGACACTTCGTCGAGCCAAGTTTCAACAAGCAACGCCACGACAAATCTCGCAAGCTTGATGGATACCACGCAATGGGTTCGCAGACTGTACTTGCTTTGCTGCTGTGTAATAGAAAAAAATGCCCGGGGGACAGATACAGACCAACGGCATAATTGGCTGCTCGTCTGATAACATGCATTCGCGTTTAATATCGTCCAGGTCTCCTTATTGTCTGCTGTTGTGCAGACCTGCATCATAGGCCAGCTCTTTCTCAGTAGTGCCAGAGGCAGTCGACATGTTCAAGCTCAAGTCTGTGTGGAGTGATCATAAGTTCTCTTGATTGTGACGCCTCACGAGACGTTTGAGCAGAGAGGAAGATGCTCATGGATATACACATCTAAGCTAATGTTACAGACGACCTACCGCCACCAACTCCATGCCTGTAATAACGCCGTAAGCAATATCTACAAAAATGTACAGTTCAGAAAAGCACTGAAGCCAAACCAAGATTATTCAAGCTTTATACGCCGGAGTAGATGGCGGTACAGTCTCTTCCACACTCTACACGTTGCTCCATGCTGACCTTTCTACCATCAGCAAGGCGTACAGTGCTCCTTGGTGTAATTTGGAATCTGTGCTCCTCCTTGCCTCTGACCTTGCGCTCTGCGACTTGATCGAGAGGCTGGATGTAAGTGGGAGTGTTGACGTTGTTTCTCTTGCCAGTTCCCAGTTGGTAGTTCTCATTGCCGCCCCAGAACACAATGTCTCTTCCCCACCACGTCTCCCCGTCTGTGTTCAAGGCTCCTGTGTGTGCGACATTGCTCATGACAGCCGCGACATGCTTGTTACCAACACTGATGCTCGCTAATCTGATTGGGATTACGGTGTTGTTGGTCTCGTCGTACTCAAATAGCGAAGACAATGAAGGGATCTTTGTGGGAGTTCCCTGTACGTGAGTCCATCGGTTGTTTCCGAGCGTACCATAGATACCAGCGCCGCACGCAAAGGTGTCAGCACTGACTCTACCAACGCCTCTGCCATCAGAGTTGCGGGATGCCACTTTGGTAGCATCAACAGTCAAAAATGAGTTGGCACCTCCTGCGGCTACCGATGTGACTACAGGGACCTGAGATGATCCAGCATAGAGCTTCTGGAGAGGTAACAAGGCAGGCGTATCAACGACGGCGGATTCAGTGTTGTAGTCAAAGCCTAGCTGACCTGAAGTGTTGTTGCCAAATGCAAAGACACGGCCATCAGAATCAGCTACAATGCTGTGGAAATCACCACAGGCAATCTTTGAGATGTTGAAGCCACGGAGAGTGGTCAACTCATGAGGTTGATAGTAGGGACCGGACGGCTTGTTGTCCCAAGATAAGCCTGGAACACCGAGCTGACCTCTGGTAGGGAAGGCGTCAGTGGCAGCGGCCATGGAGAAGAGACGGCCCTTTGAGGTGAGCAACAGGGCATGTTCAAGACCGCTGTCAATGCTAGAGACCTTTTCGCTGTAGCTCATGTCGGAAGGAGTGATGGTGCGGTAGCTGATGGGAGACGAGGAGGACCAGAAAGGGATCCAGGAGCTCTCGCTGGGCTTCGTACCGGAGGCCTGGTCAGCAGCGGAAACGGGCAGCGAGTAGACCTTTCCGGAAGACGAGAGGCCAAGAATACGGTCCTTCGAGATAGCCAATGAGACCAGGTCCTTGCCCTTGAGGGTCACAGTGGGTTGCGTAGTGTCCGTTGAGTAATCAACACCCCATTGTAGCAGGTTGCCCTGCTCATCTATAGCAGCACCAAACTTTGTATCCAGCTTGATGTCGCGGAGGAGCTTGCCATCGAAGAAGCTGATACGACGGGGCGTCTTGATGAAGGAAGCATCCGAGTCGGGCGCGACAACCTTGCCGGCATTGGAGCCGCAGGCATAGACACCAGGGTTCTCCCACGACTTCTTGACCTGCAGGTGTTGGGAACTAGCCAAATCTCTGTCCTCCTCTTTGTTTGCACCGCGCTTGCGTCTCTTCTCGAACTGGATATCGGGTTGATCGGCGGGGGGTGCTTCGGCGAGTGCCGAGTTGAGCAGACGACCGTCGTGGAGGTAGTATTGAGAGACGGTGGCGATGCCGGCAGCGGCGGTGATGACGGCCAGAGACCTCAGGAAATGTTGCTGTCGTCGAGCAGCGTAGGCGGGGGCGGCGAGGACTCTAGCTTGGCTTCCCGATTGCATCGAAGCTCTGGTCGAAGCTCTGGTCGAAGCAGCTCTGGCCAGCTTGGGTACACCCGTCTTCGGAAGCATGCTGTAGGATTGTTTGGCGAATGATGAATTGGATTCTGACAAGACTCTTGTCTGTACAAGGATGGAGACAAAGGGCAGAGGGCTGAGAGCAGCTACCGGTATATTCTGTCAGCCAGTCGACGACGATTGGCCAGAAGAGTCTTGGGCGTCATCGAAGGGAAAGCACAAGCCACGCGATTGCGGGACCAGGACCCTTCGGCCAGATCGGCCCGAACCCTAGCATCTGCCTCGCCGTGTCCGTGTCCGTGTCCGCGTCCAGCTCATCCAAGCCAAGCCAGTCGACATTGATCGTTCAGCCAGACTGGCAATCGACTTGACTGCAGCTTGTGGTCAATTGTCAAGCCCCTGTCTCGCCCAAGATGATGGACAGCGACTGGTATACGTCCTTCACCCCCACTGCGCCGGCAACGTCCGAGAACGCTCACGGGCATCGGCGACGAGCATCCCTCTTGCAACAGCCTAATGTAAGCTGCTCGGTATGTTGGCCGACCCGGAGTCTGATGCTGTACAGGATGCGACCCAGGCTGATGATGCTGCAGACCCACTGCCTAGTCTCAGCGAAGAAGACGAAACTCCCCTGCAAAAGGGCCCTCCACAAGCGACACCTGTCAGGAGAGCCCACTCGTACTCGCAACTCCGCGAGCTCGATGCACCAAGACCGCATACCACCCGCCCTTCGCCATCCTCTCGGAAGAACAGTCTGTCCTCTGCTCCCAAGCCCAAGAACCTTCTGCAATCACGTCTCGACTTTGCTACGTGGTACGATGTGCTGGAAGACGACCTCTTGGACGCCAGCCATGACGACTATGATCTCTACCACGACCAGTTGAACTTGTCGCAGCATCATCTTGACTCGTTGGTGGAAAGCACCAACGACGCCTTGACCGTACTGTCTTCCCTGTCCGACTCGTTCAAGGCTGTCGAGGAGCAGACGACCGCCTTCCACGCTCAATGCGAATCGCTCGTCACCGAGCAGCGTCGCGTCACCGACCTGGCCGAGAAGATGACACACAACCTCCAATACTATGCCTATCTGGAGCCCATGACCCGCAGACTCAACGCTCCTGGTGCTGCCAACCTCGTGCGCGCGAAAGAGTTTCCTGACATGCTCACAAACCTCGACCAATGCCTGGAATATATGCAGGCTCACGTACGTCTTGCACTCCTGTGCCGCTTTCCCTGCTGACCCTCCTAGCCTACCCACCGCGAAGCTTCTACCTATCGATCGCGTTACCGTCTCCTGCTAACCCGAGCCCTCACACTCATTCGAGTCCATTTCACAAACTCTATACGAGCTCTGGCCGCCGATGCATCACAACGGATCGCAGACCGACAACTCAACGATACTACCCAAACCGCTCTCCTGTACACAAAGTTTCGTGTCGGTGCTCCTGAATTGAAACAACTTGGTCTGGAAATACAAAAGCGTGCTGTTCTGCCTGCTGGAGCAAATCAGGGAGGTGAAGCGGAATATCAAAGTCTCATGAACGAACTGCACCAGAGTTACTCGGCAACTAGAGGTCGCCTCTTGTTTCCCATAATCACCCGCAAGCTTACAGAAATGGCCTCAGTCGACAACGCGGTGGGTGATTTGGTCACCTTTGCCAAGACCGCCATTGGCTTTGTGAGAGGCATATGTCTTGACGAGTACGACCTCTGGGGTGACTGGTTCGCTGGAGACGGTGGTGTATACGAGTTCTTGGAAGCCGTGTGCGAGCCACTGTACGACCATCTCCGACCAAGAACCATTCGTGAGGCTCGTATTCCAAAATTATGCGAGCTGTGTACATTTATCCAGACACGCTACATGATTGATGAAGAAGATGACGACCTAGGATATCAAGATTCGAATTCTGCGAAACGAAGTCTGGATTTTGCTGCTCTAGTCAAACCCGCTCTGGAAGACGCCCAAAGTCGACTGGTATTCCTCGCATTAGCTGTTCTCAGGGACGATATCGAGAACTATCGACCAAAGCCCGAAGACCTGGACTACCCATCACAAGCACGCGGGCCATCCACAATCAACGCCGATGGAAAGCGAGTGGCTCTTTCTGGTCGCAAAGACTCGACACATGCCGCCCAGGCAAGATCGCCAGACGAAGATGATGCTGGCAGCATGTTCGAGCCCGCTTGGCCCACCAACGAGAAGCAAGTCATAGTATGGTATCCAACGTTGCGTAAAGCCGTGTGGCTCTTGAGCCGAATCTACCGACTAGTCAATGTGAGTTACACCATATCTTTCAAGCCAATCACGATTGCTGACACTCGCGGGAAAAAGTCTACAGTATTTGATGACTTGGCACACAACATTGTCCACAGCACTACAGTTTCTCTGGCATGGGCGGCGTCACAGATTGCGACAAAGTCGTCACCTGCTGACGCAAACGTATTCCTGATTGCCCATCTTTTGCGGCTCAAGCAACAGATTGTCGCATTCGATATTGAGTTCATCACGCCCGAAGTGACCTTTGATTTCTCATCAGTCACTAACACATTTTATGAGCTTCGTGAGCGAGGAGGTCTTTGGAATCCAGCAAGCTGGGTCAAGCTTGCTGCTGGAGGACTGATGCCACGAGTAGTGGAGAACATGCTCGACGCCAAAGCGGAGCTAGATGGACGATTGCGAGCAGTGATCAACGACTTTGTGAATGGCTTTGTAAAGCGCATAACAACACCGCTCGCAGCACCGAAGAAGGAGCCAGGGCCAGAAGCGAGTCACGTTACAGCTGAAGTTCGCACTATCACGCAAAAGGAGGTCATCTCCCTCCGACAGAAACTGGACGAGTACATTCAAGATGTAAGGACAAGGGAGACACTTGTGGCAGCAGTCCGAGACCAGGTCGTCCTAGCGTACGAGGAGTGGATGGACCAGATGAGCGAGGGTTCGGGCAAAGCCAGAATTGGTAAGATCAGTAAAAAAGGAAAGGGGAGAGAAGACGAAGTGTGGTCCAGCGAGGTGTTCGCCGAGTGGTGCGAGCGCGTGTTCGCCGTGGGACAAGTGACGGGTGATGAGGAAACTCCGGATCCATGATGATGTCTTAGGGGAACACTCCGGTCAGTGAATCATTTCAAGCAGCATCTCTTGCCGAAGGATTAGATATGTTGCGGAAAATTCAAGCCATGGAGCCCCAAGAAGTAACGGGTGATGGAAGTCAGATCTTTACGAGATACGAGGCAATCCAATAGGTCCTGCTTCATTGCGCCACTTGCACCAATATCCCAAGTGAGGTTAGACAGATATTCTTTCCGGGGTCGAAGAACGGCAGAGAGCGTGGCTCTCGAGGCGTTTTCGAGGGTCACAGGGCTGCAAGCCTGTAACCGACGACCTCGTGGCCGATTTCGGGGTCACCGAAAACAGCGGGACGGGCCAACTGACAACGGAGAGCAGAGCATAATAGGTGATAAGAGACGAATAGGGTTGAGAGATGATGGGTGGCTTGCATCATACCAAGGAAGTCGAGTAAGATGACTGAATAGAGGAGCTCTTTATGGAGGTAGGTCTTGATAAGGCTGATCGACGAGGGGAAACAGACGTCGGTGGGTGATCCTTACAGAGCCCATGTCGCAGAGCCGACGTAAGTTGCGGGGAGTGGGAGGCAGATGGTTCACACAGAGAAAGACACTGAGTGAGAAGCCGTTTGTGGGTTCTATTCAAGAAGGGCGCCACATCATCTCCTCCCCAGTGGTGCAGTCGGTTGGCTTTTCCTCGAAGCAGTTCGGGTTGCGAGAAGTGTCTGACGGATAAGACGGCTCCTTCCTCCATCTCTTTGATCATCGAATTCCATTTTCCCACATTCACCCAGGCAATTGACGGAAGCGCCAAGTTATCGCAAGAAGTCAAACGCGTCAGCGACCCAGCAAACCCCGCGTGATTAAGAGCTCTTCTCTCCAGCAAACCTAGCTGACCTAGCTAACCCATCACTTTCCTACTACCTCTTCAACACCGACTCGACCTCGACCTCGACATCGTCTCGCAAGCATGTCGTACTATCCCGGCCAAGGCTACCATAACCAAGGGCCTCCTCCGCCTCAGCAACAACAACAACAACAGTATGGAGGATATCCTCCTCAGCAAGGATACGGCGGTTATTCGAATGCACCCCAGCAGCCCCAACACGGAAACTACGGCGCCCCTCCACCGCAGCCACAATACGGCGGCGCATACCAGCAACTACCGCCACAGCAGCAGGGCTACGGCGGCTACTCGCAGCCTCCAGCTCAGCACTATGCTCCTCAACCACGTACGGTTTCTCCGTCAGCCACAGGCGCCATGATTCGCGACTGACTGTGTATACAGAATTGCCCAGCGGCCAGAACATCTACCAACAGCACAACCTCCGTCAAGGCGCCCCTCCACCCCCGCCCCAGGGCATGCAAACCTTTGGCCACGGCGCTCCCAATGGCTACTCGTTCCAATACTCCAACTGTACCGGCAAGCGCAAGGCCCTGCTGATCGGCATCAACTACTTTGGCCAAAAGGGCCAGCTCCGAGGTTGCATCAACGATGTTAAGAACATGTCAAACTACCTCATGGAGGCCTTTGGTTACAAGCGCGAGGACATGGTCACCTTGACCGACGACCAGCAAAATCCCATGAGCCAGCCCACAAAGCAGAACATCCTGCGCGCCATGCATTGGCTCGTCAAAGACGCTCAGCCCAACGACTCGCTCTTCTTCCACTACTCCGGTACTGCTACCACTCCCATACTGCTCCACTAGTTCTCTACTAACAGCTTCTAGGTCACGGTGGTCAGACCGAAGACGTTGACGGCGACGAGGAAGACGGCTACGACGAGGTTATCTACCCCGTTGACTTCCGCCAAGCTGGACATATTGTTGACGATGAGATGCACTACATCATGGTCAAGAACTTGGTCGCTGGTGTGCGTCTTACTGCTATCTTCGATTCGTGTCACTCCGGTTCCGCTCTGGATCTTCCGTACATCTACTCCACTCAAGGTGTGCTCAAGGAGCCCAACCTTGCAAAAGAAGCTGGCCAAGGTCTGCTAGGCATTGTTAGCAGTTACGCTCGTGGTGATCTTGGCGGCATGGCCAGCACCGCCATGGGTCTATTTAAGAAGGTCACCAAGGGCAACGACAGCTACGAAGCCAACAAACGCACAAAGACTTCGCCTGGAGATGTCATCATGTGGAGTGGTAGTAAAGACGACCAAACCTCGGCAGACGCTTCTATCGCCGGTCAGGCTACTGGAGCCATGTCGTGGGCGTTCATCGGCGCTCTGAGGAAGAACCCCCAGCAGAGTTACGTACAGTTACTCAACAGCATTCGTGAAGAATTGGAAGGAAAATACTCGCAAAAGCCTCAACTGAGCGCCAGTCACCCTATCGGTAAGTCCATAGCCTACTACCAACAAATTGTGTGTGATTGCAAGCTAACTCTGCTTCCAGACACAAACCTGCTGTATGTCATGTAAACGATGATTGATACTCTTTTAACGACCCTGGATGTTTTTCAAGCGAGTTTGGTTGTAGATTGCGCTTCTATTCATTGCGCACAAGAAAAGAAGGTCATCCCTGCCATATTAGTCCCTGTCACGATCACTTCGAAATGAAATGTTGTTCTAAAAACGTTTTATATCATGCCAAGCTTTGCCTTCGTTCATCCTGTCGTGGTGCTTGTGTCCGATTATTATCGCACGTAAATCCTCCGAGTCGACGCATGCTTCCACCCGTCTCCACCGTCAGTTCGTAATGTCACTTGTTACAGTGTAGTATGTCAAATTCAGCTCGGCGCGAAAGTCCACATGCCGTCAACTCGCAAGACACTCATCACAAATGCTCGCCCAATGAAATTGACGACGAGCGCGAAGCTACAGAACTTGATTTAGTACGACACACGAGTCTAGAGACAATCGTGAGATCGGCTTCAATAGACGCGACAAATACGTCTAGTGTTGGTGAAAACTTTACAAGATTTAGTGGCTTGAGGAGATGGTGGAAGCACTATATACAATTACATGTTCCTCACGCGGATTGTAGAGATCATCTTGGTATGTACTTTCGATCTACACAGCCATTCAGAGCACGTTACCACGTTACACCTTGCAATTCACAGGCAGGCCTAAAAATTGGAGAAGACAATTGACTTTTTTCATGTAGCGAATGAGAGGACATTTCTTGCCTACCAACGAACATCGCTTGCTCTATCGATGCTGGGGATTGTCACCGCGCAGCTCTTCAGTCTTCAGCACTCGCCAGATCCAGCTTCAGATCCTGTGTTTGGCTATCACACTCTCGGGAAGCCTCTAGCGGCTCTGTTCCAGAGTGCCGCAATCGTCGTAATCCTCATTGGCGGCCATCGATTTTGGCGTCAGCAAATGAACATGGCCAGAGGCAGAGTATGGGCTGGCGGCTGGGAGATATGGTCAATCATGGGATTCATGTTGCTGGTCAGTATCTCCCCTGAACCTTTTCACAAGGTTTCCTTTTCATTCTACCTGTTTCTGTGGACTGATAACATGTAGCTTCTCGTGTTTGTGTTTGGTCTTTTAATCGCCTGTGATGCGTCGGTGTAACGATGGGTACTGCTTCGTGTGCGGCGCAGCGACGTCCGAAATCTGCCCGACACGACCATGGCAATCTGAAAGGAGCGTAGGAATCTCCCTCTTGTCCGAGCTCGTACGTGGTATATTGAATTGAGGTCTTGCTTGTTGTCTCAGTTCTATATCCAATTGCATCACGCCCTTCTCTAGATCATGGCTCATGTCCGGCAGGAAAATTTCCGATCCGACTAGTGCTGAAATACGAATGTGGTTCTCAACTCCGCAATGCTTGTGTGAGACTGACAGGCACTAAGTGTGTCATTGTCGTTCGACATTGATCAGGCCTGCCCATGTTGGTAGATTCACCCACGATTGTGGGATCGCGCTTGTACATATGCCCAATGATGAGACAGGACGTGGACAAAGACACACAATTGGTCGCGTGTCTTGTCCGCGGCACATGTGTTTTCTCGTGCTCTTCCGCGAGATGACCGTTTGTGGCAGGATGATCCCGCCGTCAGCCAAAATCCTGCAGGCACTGTGAGGCACGGATTATATTGCAAAGACATGCTTGGCTTGGGCTTCCAGCAAGTCGGGCGTTTCGAGTGCATGCTCGAGCAAGCGAAAAGAGCGAGGCTCATGCATGCGGTCAGAGAATCCTTTTCGAGCTGCTTGAAGCAGATATGCTGTCTACTCGGTCGTGAAAATGCTGTTTATCAAGTCAACATTATTGTCCATCTCCCAAATACGGTACCAATATATTTTGGGTCATGATCGCTTCTTTTGCCGAGCCGAGAGGACGAAGCTGCGAATCCTCCAAGGGATTTTAATTTCCTACCTCCACCATCACTCTCTGCACACGGCGAGGCGGCTAGAGAGTCGTGGCCTTCGCCTGCTCCAGCCGCGCCAACCCCAAACCATCATGCAGGTCTGCAGCACAGGCGAGCGCCTTGGGCAGGTTGACGCAAAATATGTGTTTTGACGCATCCGAGTGGCCACCTTCAAAACCGGCCGCTAAAGCGGCAGGCCGTGCGATCCTTGATGATAACGTGCATCGTGAACGCTGAGAGGTGACAGGGAGGGAATTGCCCCTTGTGCGCTATCGTGACCAAAGCTTCCTGTTGCGCAACGAAGATCAATGTCTCTTGTAGCCATGCACAAGGAGTCGGCAAAAGAGAAGGTTAGTCTAGTGGGCTGAAGCGAAGCCTTGCGATCTCCAAGAAAAGAACAAGCCGTGGGAAGTATTCGGTGGCCTTTCTCAATGAATCTGCCACTCCAGGCCTGGGCAAGGCGACCCAGCTTGTACCGCCACTACGGTCACCCACCTGCCAAACTAGAGATCTTTCTTGAACCGTCCTTCTCGATCCTCTTTCTCCATACTGTCAACTTTTAGCAAGATCAACCCCACGCGACCTGCCCAGCTCCTTCCTCCTCCATCATTGGTGATCTGGTCCCAACATCACTTCGAGATTGGCTGTCGACAAGAGACTGCCTTCCACATTGAGCACGCTTATATTGGACGCCTCCAACATCCTCCGAACCCCCGCAGGGTTTAACCGATTGTCTTGGTCCTTATATATGTTCGCTCATCACAACACGGGACACGCTGAGAGCAGTTTGATCGTCCTCCCTATATTGTGCCACTCCTCGACGTGTGGCTCTCGTGCCAGAAACGCACTGCTGTCATGTTCCTCAACTCTACACTGCACGGAGGGTGCATAGCTCCTTTCTACGACGCTTCCCTTTTCCCATCAGGTGGTGGCTGTATGTGGTCTCGCGCTTTACTCTTAGGATCACATCGCTGATACGTGTCAGATATCGGTGGCCGTCTTTGTTCTGTGCAGAGCCAGGATCCGAATTCACCATTATGTTGTCTACCTTGTCCAGCATCATACTGGGCGTACTCGGACAGTAAGTGTCGACCGATGCTGACTTCGTGTGACTTGCTGAATCTCTTTACCAGACTTTGAAACGCTTGGTACTGTCGCAGGTTGGCTCAACGTAGTTGGCCTAGCACTCCAGAGCTTCATGCTCATTTCGAACTTCTTGCTCCCCACAGCACGGACGCGAAGTCATTATCTTACACAATGCCTGATCATTGCCGTCATGTTCATCAATGTAAGTTTGTAGAGAAGTACCAGAGACCGGCTTGCTGACTTGGCCAGCTTGCATTTGTGATACCATTGGGAGCAGCGCCTGATCAGTGTTACGACGGAATCACACCAAACGACATGTATACCTCGATGACGTGCGCATGGTCCGGAGCATTCCTGCTAGCTGGAGCACTTGCTGGTACCTTCTGGAGTAAGCACATACTCATGCTTATGGATGTCACAAACTGATCATTTCAGTCTTCATTCGATCTTTCTCGATGCATCTTACCGTTGTCTGGGATATCGTCCCCGGTCCGCGTTTCTTCTACATCTCACAAGCAGTTGGCTGGGGAGTACCAGCAGCACTCTTCACGTCCGCTACCAGCATATCGGGGGTCTCTTTTCGCTTCGGCAATGCGTGCCACATCAACCATGATGACTCAATGGTGACATTCTGGGGATGGCTACTTGCCGTCGCAGGAGCAGCCTCAATCGTTCAAATCAGCACGTACGTATTGTACTCTCGGACTTCACTCATCAAGCTGACGTGGCATGCAGCTTTGGTTACTGCCTTCGTGTCTTCTTCGATAGTCTTTGGGAAGACAGCGCAAGACCTAGCTCGCAGGGATCTGCAAAGAGTCTGCCAATGTCAATGATGAGCGCCAAATCTCAGAGAGCACGCGTGATCTATCGCAGATTGAAGAGTGTACTTTATCTGCAATGGCGTGGTATGCTGATTGTCACCATCGTACTCGTCGACGTCATCTTCTTCGCCGTCGTCTTTGTGTATCTTGACAAGATCGAGGAATCGGTGCTACATGATTATTCACGAGTACTTCCATGGGTCATATGCCTGATCCAAAGTGGAGGCGACCGAGATGCCTGCATACACTTGAGTCAGGGATGGCTAATCAGCGAGCCGACTATTGGAGCCATGTTGATCATGATCTCGCTTTTAGGCATCGAACTGTTTGTGCTCTTGTTCCGCTGGTCGTTGATCACGGGATGGAAAGAGCGATGGGCTACGCTGAGGAAGCCGCAAGAGTTTGTATCATTCGATGCGCGAAGGGCACAGTCAAGTCCTAATCCGCCGACATACGAGTTGCGTAAATTGGGAGGTCGCATGCAGATGCACTACAGCGACCGCAAAAGCTCCGATCCAGAATTCGCGCGACCAACATCGCCTACCAACATGCTAGACGATATGATATCGACGCCGAATAGTCCTGCCCCAGTATACACGCAAAGACAGCGAAACGAAGATGAAGAGGTCTCGCCCATTACACCGCTCGAGCAGTCAGGGCTAAGCACACCGCCACTTGCACGCAACTTTTCAAGCCCGAGGATACGCACGCACGATCGAATGGGCTGGGATGCGTCGAGCACTTTCGCCAACAGCGGTGCCAGGCATATGACTACCCCTTCGTTACCGCCGCCGGTCGACCATGATGAGCGACCACTTTCACCGCCCGGACAGGCACTTTGATTCGCAAAAGGATGGGAAAACATGCATATGGGCTGGTCTCATTTAGTTTTTATGAGAGTTGCTATGGCGTTGATTTTGCTGACAAAAAGGTTATGGGGAGCAATCCCGTTTGCTATACTCAAATTCGTGTATAATGGTCTGCAAAAGTACAGTACTTCAATCATATATATGTATCCACAAGACAGTGTCAAACTATGGTGACTGCTTTCAAAGACAAACTTTTCCCGTCGGATTGTATCCCAGCATATCCGTTCTTGACCCATGAGAAAAAGAGACAAAAGAAGAAAGGTTGAAAGCTGACAGCATACACGAGACGTAGAGGGAAGGAAAGAAGAAGAAAAGCGAGCAGCTCATAATATGACACACCTGTTATGCCTGCGTCTGCTCCTCCTCCTCCTATCCCCATCCCCCTCATCCTCCCTCCTCCTCCTCCTATCCTCACCCCCACCACCCCCACTCCTCCCCCTCTGCAAATCCCTATGAATAATCTGTCTACAGACATCCACAAACACCTCTGTAACGTTCTGCCGCCTCCTCGCACTAGTCTCATAATAAGGCACGTTCCCCCAACCCGAAGAAACAGCAAAAGCCTGAGCTCGAGAAACCGCACGGTCTTCTTCGAGATCGGATTTGTTGCCTACCAAAACTATGGGGACGTTTGGGTCGTCTTTTAGGTTTACGAGTTGTTCGCGGAGTTCGGAGAGCTCTTTTAGGGAGGAGGAGGAGGTTATGCTGAAGACGAGGAGGAAGCCTTGGCCGGATTTCATGTATAGTTCCCTATGATATTTGGTTAGATGGGTGCAGCTAGTCAGTCTTTGCGTTCTTACCGCATGGCAGCTGAGCATATGTTAGCAAGGAGCACTGACATTGATTTGGAAGGTTGACTTACTGAATTGTTCTGTTCCGGCCGTATCGAGGATTTCGAGTATTACTTGTCGACCCTGGTGTGAGTTAGCAGGGCAGGCTTCAGGTGGGACGTAGTTGAGCGTACATCGACATCGATTTGTTTTCGATACGAGTCCTCAATGGTCGGGTCATATCGTTCTATCCATACACCTTGTACGAATTGTGCTTTTGGATTGTTAGTCGCGCCAGAGATGGTAGCTGCTTGAACGGTAGATACCTGTTAAACAACTCTTTCCAACACCACCTGTACAATGTTAGTGAATAAGATCAACGGAGTCTGATAGATACGTGATGCTGACCTGAGCCAAGAACGACAATGTGGTATTCCCTATAGCATCACGTTCAGTCTGTGACGTGGAGAAGGTTTCACATGGAAGACATAGAGACCTTTGGGGGACCGCTCGCGACATCCTGGCCGATCGCTCCAGTATGAACGCGAATTTGCAAGACAAAAGTCGACACTCAGTCAAGAGACAAAATTCAAATGTCAATGATTTCCACAGTCAAGGAAGTGGATGAATGGGAGACCACGGGTTGAAGGAGGCTGTCGGCGAGCCAATTCCGTATTCCGCTACTGCAGGGCTCCTGACCAGCAAGAGATGCAGATCAGTCGTTAGATCGTAACGTGCTGGCTCAGATCATGTCAGTCGCGCGGAAACTTTACGAGAATAAGAGCAGCAAAGAGGCTGGTTAATTATTCAGGATGCACATGGTCGGAGGCTCACATCTTGGCACGTTGTTGATTGAAGGTTTCGTTGGAGGAAGTGATCAAGGAAAGCGCCCGGCCACTCAAAGTGCACTGTACATACGGCCAGGTTGATGGGGTCGGGTAGATGTGAGGGTATGTATACGTATGTACAGCGACGAGCAAAAAAGCACCAGAATTATTGGGTATGAACAAAGATTAGGGATGAGGAGACGCGTTGGGATATAACGACATGTAGAACTGCCTCCCGATATCAGATTTCAATTTCGGCACGAGAGTCATGGATCGTGCGCGTTTGAGCGAAGGCGCGCCTCGGCTTCGAGGCACTCTGAGACGACCTTCAACACGACATGTCTCATCAAACTTGGCCGATTGTCGTGTACCTTTGTTCATTCGACGATGGCTTTGTATTTATTGGCGACGAAAGGTGCCAGGCACGTTCACCATGCGCTTGCTCTGGTTCAACATTTTCCATACCGCGAATCTGTGCAGGAGTCAATCGGAGCAATGCATCAGGGGCGCCAGATCTCAAGCGGATCGTGGCTGCTAGCTATAGGGTTGAGACATGCGTACCCTTCCGGCTGTAGATACGGCGATGGAAGGACCAAATTACAAGTCAAAGCAAGCCACAAGGAGGTGCAGCTCGCCAGTTCACACGGCACGATGGCTGCCGAACCCGACGTCACCAGGGACTGAGGACTGGGGTCGCGACCAGGCTTGCAAGCGACCCAACATGCGGGTGCTCGCTTGCAACAATGCGATTGATGAAATATTGATGAACAAGGCGGGTGAGAAAGTGTATGGCAATGTCCATAGCTGGTCGATCGAGTTGCAAGGCAGGAAGAGCGGATGGTTAGGGCAGCTCAATCTAAGCGGAAGAAGCTCCCAGATTGTCGAGGCAAAACTTCGGAAGTGGGGAAGGAGCTCTAGGTGCATGCTGTTCATAGTCGATGGCGGCAGGAGCAGAAGAGGCCGTCAGTTCTGTTGTTCAGAACAAGCGAAATGCGAATTCAATCTGCGCTTGTCGCAGCAGCTGGCTTGGTCCTGCCAGCATGTCAGGCCGTCTTTGTCGATGATGCTTGGAAAGTAGATTGGCATCTCGCCCTCGTCGGCGCACCCCAGGAACAGACGACCTTCTTCCACCAGCCCGTCGCCGCGTCCAAAGCCTCGCTGCTCTACACCCTCTCAGACAAGGCGATCCTCGGAGCCGTCAATCCCAAAGATGGCTCATTGCGATGGCGCCAACAACTCTCCCCTACAAACAATTCGACCTCGACATTCCTCCGCGCTGCCCAGGACCAGAATCTCGTCATCAGCGCCGTCGATGGCCAAGTTGCCGCATGGAGTGCTGCCGATGGTCGCCAAGCATGGTCCTTTGATCTGGGAGGAGCCAGTGTGAAAGATTTGGAGATTGTCGAGATCCCCGAGGTCAACGAGCAGGGTGGAAGCAAGGATGCCATCGTCCTGACCGGAGGACCTCTGCCCACTGTCCAGAGACTCGCTCGCCAGGACGGTTCTTCCAAGTGGCTCTTCAGAGACGAGAGTGGAGATAGTCCTTTCCAGCTGTCCGTCTCGTCCACGCACATCTTCTACATTTCCCTGCACACTTCAATGCTCGGAGGCTTCAAGATCAAGGTTGTTTCCTTGGACCCTGTTACTGGACACAAGATCGACCAATACACTTTGACCACTGAAAGCGATCTTGCCTCTCCTGCCGAGATCCTGTCTGTTGGCGCCAACTCTGCCTCCCCTATTATTGCCTGGACCGACAAGGCCCGCTCCACGCTCAAGATCAACGTTATTGGCTCCAAGACCGTGTCTACCTTCAACGTTGACGCTGCTCAAGACGTCATCCGTCTCTCGCTTCATGCTCCCTATCACGTCAATGCCCAGCCCCACTTCCTAGTCCACTACGAGACTCGTTCTCAGAACTGGGCTGAAGTCTACCATGTCGATCTTGTCAAGTCTACCGTCTCCAAGGCCTACTCGCTCCCCAAGCTTACGGGCAAGGCTGCCTTCTCTGTCAGTACCTCTGAGGCCAATGTATACTTTACTCGCGTCTCAGAGTCGGAGGTGACGGTCGTCTCTTCTGCTTCACATGGTGTGTTGGCACGATGGTCCTTGAAGGCCGCTGCTGGTATCACTCTGCAAGGCGATCATGCTCCGCTTCACGCCGTCTCTGAAGTCTCGGTCAAGTCTGATACCGTTTCTGCCGTACGCTCTGCTGTCTACCTGGCATCTGGCGAGTGGATTCTCATTCGCGACGGAACTCCGGTTTGGGAACGACCCGAGGCACTCAGCAGCATCAAATCCGCTGTTTGGGCGTATCTTCCTGCCCCCGAAGGTCTTGTCCACGAGCTTCAGATCGAAGGTCACTCTAACCCCGTACAAGCTTACATACACAGAGTGACAAGACATATCGCAGCCTTGGAGTCTCTTCCTGCTTATCTTGCAGCTCTGCCTGGTCGTATCGCCGGCAGCGTAGGCCTTGGATCGTCTGATGCCGATCTAGACTCTACTAACATCTTTGGCTTCCACAAGAGAGTTATTTGCGCTACTGAAAGTGGCCGCTTGATTGCTCTAGATGCAGGTAGTGAGGGCAGCGCCGTTTGGAACGTCAAGATCGTCAACGACGCAGCTCCCTCTCCCTGGCAGTCACCCAAGCTCACTGCTCGCCCAGATGGCACGATCTTGGCAACCAGTGTTGACGGAAGCCAGCACAGACTCTTCAACGCATCCAACGGAGCCGAGGTGGCCTACACCAGATCTTTGCTATCGTCAGATCTGAGCCTCGATGTTAAGTATGCCTACGGCTTGAAGAATGGTAAGGTCGTGGGTGGGCCCATTGCTGAGGCCGCATCATGGAAATTCTCACCTGGTAATGGAGAGGAAGTCTACAGCATGACCCCCCGTCCGCTTGACGACCCTGTTGCCTCTATTGGAAAGGTTTTGGGCGATCGCAAGGTACTCTACAAGTATCTTAACCCCAACACTCTTCTGGTCATCACTTGCTCAGACAAGACAATGTCAGCCACAGTCAGTGTACTTGACGCCTTGTCAGGATCCGTGGTCTACGTTGCTTCACACCAAGGAGTTGACACGACTTTGCCCATCGCTTCGACCATGTCTGAGAACTGGTTCGCTTACTCCTTTGCTTCTCAACCAACAGCAGATGGTGTCAAGGGTTACCAGCTCATTATCGGAGAAATGTTCGAGTCGCCTTTTTCAAACGACAGAGGACCTCAAAACGCCGCCAAGAACTCTTCAGAAGCTGATTACAGCTATCAGCCTCATGTAATCGCGCAGTCGTACCGTATTCGCGAGCCAATTTCCAAGCTCGCTGTGACACAAACCAGACAGGGAATCACTTCAAGAGCATTGTTGGCTGTTCTGCCAGAGTCCAATGCTGTCATTGGCATTCCTCGCCATGTGATCGACCCACGCAGACCTGTCGGAAGAGATGCCACCAAAGACGAGATGATGGAGGGACTGATGCGCTACACACCAGTCCTCGAATTTGACCCCAAATGGTATCTCAACCACCAGCGCGAGATTTACGGTGTCAATGCTATTACGACCAGCCCAGCCGTGCTTGAAAGCACTAGTTTGGTATTTGCTTATGGTCTGGATATATTCAGCACTAGAATTAGCCCGAGTTTCTCCTTTGATATCCTCGGCAAGGACTTTAACAAGCTCCAGATGCTGGCAACAGTAGCAGCACTTGCTGTAGCCACTGTCGCTGTTGCACCCCTAGTATGTCGCCTTGCCCGATATCTACCTACACATACTGACTATACTTGCAGGTGAAACGTAAGCAAATCAACACTAGATGGCAGTTCCTGTAGGGCTGGATAAGAGATCACATATAGAGGCTTTCCAATGTACATTATGTTCTTCGACTGACACTATATTATGTGCAACATCCAACATGTCTTATTACAAAGCCATTGATCTTACATCCGAAGGTGACAGCCGGCCTCGCTGTAGAGTGACGGAGACCGACGATGCCGTAGCACCGTTCAAAGTTCACACCCATGACGTGTGTCGGTCTTAACAAGTGATTAAATCCGACGATCTCCATTATATGTATCCCAGTCGTCATCAACTTGATGAAAGACACAACCGCACACAAACACTAGCGATCAAGCAATCATGTCTGACCAGAACAAGTACAACAGCAAGCTCAAGGACCAACGTGTGTTGATCATCGGAGGCAGCGCTGGTGAGTGGTTTGGTCAAGCTTGTAGCTCTTCACCTGACTGACAAACCCATAGGAATCGGTTATGGAGTTGCCGAAGCATCATTAGAGAATGGTGCCCATGTCATCATCTCTTCCTCAAACGAGTCTAGAGTTCAAGAAGCTGTCGTCAAGTTGCAAAAGGCATACCCATCAGCCGCAAAGCGCATTGAGGGCTATGCAGCCAACATGGGCGAGCAAGCTAGCCTTGAATCAAATGTGGAGCAGCTGTTCAAGAAAGCTGGATCTGTCAACCATGTCGTCTTCACCGCGGGAGATTCCCTGGCCATGATGCCGCTCGAAGAGGCAACTATGGATAAGACGATTCAAGCTGGTATGGTCAGATTTTTTGCACCGCTCATGGTGGCCAAGTATGCAGCAAAGGTCCTTGAGAAGAGCACAACATCATCCATCACATTGACCACCGGCAATGTCAGTGAGAAGCCCATCCCCAACTGGAGCGTCATCAATGGATTTGCCACGGCTTTACAAGGCACAACAAGAGGTCTCGCGCTGGATATGAAGCCCATTCGTGTCAATCTGGTTTCTCCCGGTGCTGTACTTACCCCACTATGGGATGGTATTCCGGAGGAGCACAGGGAGCAGACTTTCAAGCAGTTCGAGAGCAAGATGGCAACGGGCAAGATCGGGCAGGTCGAGGATGTAGCCGAAGCATACATTTATGCAATGAAGGACAAGAACTTGACGGGAAGCATGATCAGTACAAATGGAGGTTCCATGCTCATGTAGATTGAGGCATATAGTTGCCCAGAGAAAGAAAAGGGGATAGTGGGGCAGTAGTGGAGAAAGACAAAGACTTTGATGATATTCGTGGCAGCCCAAGACTTCACACATATTCCGGTGATTTTGTTGAGAGTGAAGAGCTAGGCAACAATGTGCGGACCATGCAGCGACGTTTCGGACAAGTAGACAATCTGGCATGCTGTTGGGATTGTCGGTGAATCTAGTGGTATGCGGAAAACAAAGAAAGGTCAGAGATGTTTGTCAGTCGGTTAGAAAATGCCAAGTGCATGATGCGAAGCAAGGAGGGATTGTTGGTGAAGAGAGCTTCTGTCAGGGCGGTAGGCGTTTCAGGAGCGTGGTCAAACCTGGTATGTGGGACGAGCGTTTTGGAAGGGCACGAGAACAGAAAGCCCCCCGCCTGTTTCCTCTGATGCCCGACTTGTTGGCACTAGAATTCGCAGAAACGGCATAAGTTCAAAGACTCCCTTCAAGTTGTCAATCGGGAAAGAGGTCTCTGCGGTTGTAAAGACAGCAGCAAGTCGTGGGACAAACAAGCGTTTCATTGTCCTGTCGAGGAACGGGCCGTGTGGTTTGTAGGTACGGGGGGCTACGCCATCGTGCTTCTGCTTGTGTGCGTGACGGGCAATGTCAGCAGCCAACAAGTGAGCGACAAAACCGGCAGCTTGGATCTTGGGCGCATTCAAGGACTCGACTTTTGCTTCTTTCCGCACCTTCGCAGACAGGCTTTCACACCGGCAGCAGCATCCATATTCACATCGACACCTTATACATTCGGCAGCGGTAACGGCGTCGGCGTCAATCCAGACGGCCATGTCTTACCATCGACCCTCGTCCCCAGGAAGCCGCCGTTTGGCTCATCCGGCTCGACTGTCGGACGGCTACTATCCTGCACCCACCTCCGCCGCCTATGCTTCGCCCAGGTCCAGTGGTGAGCGCATTGTGCCCATCTCGACGACCTCCTTCGTCACACGAGACGCCTACTCGGGCAGACCGCGTCGTTCGACCTTGACCGATCCCTCGCGTCCCACTGCACTTCCTACCACCACCATTACCAGCAATCCAAACATCCCCGTGCACCCGCGCAGCCGCCCTGCCGTCGTCCAATCCTCACACGATCGTCCGCATAGCCCATCGAGCCCGCATGTCTATGCTACTCGCACTCCCGACTACTCCACGTCGCACAGAGATCACTCTCACAAGAAGCTGTACAGCATCGACGGCGGCGGCAAGTCGCGTCTTGTTGCCGACATAGACATCAACACAAGCCATGGCTCCTCGCACCGCCGCAACAGTGTCGACCGCACCTCGGACCGTCACTCGTCCTCGCATCACCGTCACAAGGCCTATCATCTCAGCGGTCCCTCGGCTAGAAAGACCGACCCCGACCAGGGCTTCTCTTACACCGATCCGGCTGCCATGTATAGAGATACAGAACCCCGTTGGCGTCACCGCGCGGGCAGTGTCGAAACAACTCGTCCTAGACCCTCCAGTGCGCTGATCGAGCCGTACCCTCCCCGTTCGGTTCCTCGAGATGCTGGCCCGCCTACATCGCGTGCTCTCGACAAGTTCAATGACGGGGCCGGTCGCACCAACAGCACGCGAGAGCCTCCTCGATCATCCAACAGATTGTCCTACCAAGAGCCTCAATACAACGATGGTTATACTTCCTCGTCCAATCGCCATTCCACTGCCGTCCATCAAGACCGTACAAGGGACGTCCATCCAAGGGATTCCGAGCGTGCGCGCCCGGTGCATCGCTATGAAGACCGTAGTGTGGAGCGTAGAGGTTTTGGCATTCGCAGCGGAAGCCAGGACAGATACAACCATATCATGAATAAGGATAGCAACGAAAGCTTCGATGCTTACTATTCAGATCGCGACCACGCTCCACCTCGCAGCGACCCTCGCGCTTACGAATACCCAAAAGAGTCCGATCGCGACCGCGAGTACCGTCCAAGGGACAGGGATCGATTGCGAGACGACGGTTACGCTTCCGAAAGAGACCGACACCACGATCGAGACAGGCGAGACCGCGATCGTCGAGACCGTGAACGAGACGTTCCTCCTAGAGGTAGCGGCGATAGCCTCACCAACACACTCCTGCCCGCCGCCGCCACCGCTGCGATTGGCGGTCTTGGTGCTATGGCTGCCGCTGCCTACGGCTCGGACAGTACTGCCAAAGGCCGTGATCGCGAGTACGAAGACCGTGATCGAGAAAGAGAAAAGAACAAAGATAGAGAACGGGAGCAGCGCGAGCGAGAACTAGAGTATGAGCGAAAGCAGAGAGAGCGTGAGCGGGATCTCAAGGAGCGTGAACGTGAGAAGCGTGAGCGTGAAAGAGGTCGCGAGAGAGATGCGGAGAGGGACAGCGAGAGAGAGCGAGACAGGCTTCATGATTGCGAGACACGCACTCGAGACCGGCCGCGCGAGAGAGAAAGGGATAGACCTAGACAATCTTCATCCTCTGACAGCGGCCAAGAGAAGCACAGAAGTTCAAGACGCCACCGCACACTTGGAGCAGATGCATCACCGCCACAAGAGCATGACATAAGGTTTGTGCCCGATGAGCGACAACGTGGCCCGGAGCCTGATCACATCCACCTGCCCGAGGAGCGTCAGCGCGCTCCTGAGCGCGATTATCCCGCGCCCGCTGAGCCTGCGCTTGACATCGATCCTGACGAAGACTATCGTCGACGTATTGAGCAAGCTCAGAGAGACCTGCACGGTTCGCATGACAATGCAAGCTCAGACAGGGAAAGACGGCCAAATGGTGTCGAGTCTGTACCCAATAAGATTGCACCGTCTACTATCGCAGTCCCCGGCGAGTGGCCGGAAAGCACTACTAGAGAGAGTCGAGTTCGCATTGTTGAGCCTCCATCCGACAAGGAAGAGGCACAGCGGGTCAGAGGTATCCTCAAAAGACCTACTCAAAAATTTCCTGAGGACCCTAACCCAGTGCGCGAAGGCGTTGCACCACTGAAAGAGGTACGTTGAGACAACAAAATAGCAAACACATCCTTCTTACGATCCTTCACCGCAGACCACCAAAGAGGGCATTCCTGCAGGCGCTCGCTGGACAAAAATTGATCGACGTCTTGTCAACCCACAAGCCCTCGAGGAAGCACAAGAACGCTTTGAGGAACGTCTAGATTGTGTCATTGTACTTCGAGTCCTGACTAAAGACGAGATACAAAAACTTGCCGATAAAACATTGGAGATTAGAGGTATCTTCCCACGTTGTAGATCGGTTGACTAGAGCTGACATACCTAAGAAGCCCGCTCATATGGCGATGAAGATCGCGAACGCCGCGAACGTCGTGAACGTCGCCGACAGGAACGTGAACACGAGCGACGCGACCGCGACGAGTACGAAGACGAAGATAGCGAAGACGAATACGCCCCTCGCGAACCACGCATGCTTGAAGCACCCGCCGACGATCAGGAACCTACGGCAGACTTTGTACGCGACCGAGAAAGACGCAGAGAGCGAGAACGGGAACCTACATATGCTTCCGGCGCGCTTTGAATATTTCCATGATGACTTTTGATGCAGCGAAACTCACGATGTCGAATCGCAGACTTTTTGGGGGAAGCGATCAGTACATGCTTCTGGAGGCATGGCGTCGTGCGTGCTGTTTATGGGGGGGGGGGGGGGGGGGTGACGATAAAGTTGGCTTACAGCATCAAAGCTTTGAAGGAGACTCCAAATTGGAAAGAATCTACAATTGGTACATTCCTCACTCCTTCTCACTTTGGTTCCTTGTGCTGTCTGAGCAAAACGCCCAAAGACACCGAAAGCGGCAGTGCTGACTTGCGCTCACCCGCACTTCCTCGGTTTTATTCATCCGCAATCGGGATTCCGATGCGTTTTATTACGAGTAGAAATCTTCCTGTATTTCTGGCATAATCTGCATAGCGCTACCACGGCATCGCCGAGGTTAGAGCCAGAAAAATCATCATGGCGAGAATGAAAGGTGGACCAAATCCCGATAGTGATTCGAATTCCGACAACTTCGAGGCACCTTTTGATTACTTCATACCCAGTCTCTCAAGACTTCCCAGTATTACAGATGGAGTCTGGGTTCAAAAGCCTACCTCGCTAAGATGGAGGACGACGGCTCAGGGCTTGATGACAGTCCGGACGACATCCCGACTGAGGATGAAAGTGACTGGCCATATTACCTTGGACCCCCGACTTCATCCCCCGAATGTCACCCTTTGATTGAGTAGAGTTTGCAAATTTTGAACGCAGCTGGATTCATAAACTACGAACATGAGGACGAAAATGAGTTCATGGACCTGAAGGGCCGTTATTGCGACATCGCAAGCCCCCCCCCCCCCCCCCCCCCCCCC